CAAATCGGTGTTTAATGGACTTATCATCCGTGGAGAATAGGATCAATAGACTTCATTATCGGTGGAGAATAGCCTCGGCCTGATTTCGTGATCTGTAGCCTCCAGAATCGAAAGAAAATGGCATTTCGGAAAAATCGCCCAAAATCGGTGATGGTACCCCTTTGCAATCTGCCAAAAATTGACCCGGAATAAATCCGCCCAAATCGGAGCTTAATGGACTTAGTCATCGTTGAAGAATAGTCTCAGGCCGAATCCGTGATCTGTAGCCTTCAAAATCCAAATAAAAGTGCCTCTCGACGCCCACAAAATTACGAAAATGCCATCCGAAAATAAATTGGCCCAAATCGGTGTTTAATGGACTTATCATCCGTGGAGAATAGGATCAATAGACTTCATTATCGGTGGAGAATAGCCTCGGCCTGATTTCGTGATCTGTAGCCTCCAAAATCGAAAGAAAATGGCATTTCGGAAAAATCGCTGAAAATCGGTGATGGTACCCCTTTGCAATCTGCCAAAAATTGACCCGGAATAAATCCTCCCTAATCGGTGCTTAATGGACTTAGTCATCATTGAAGAATAGTCTTAGGTCGAATCCGTGATCTGTAGCCTTCAAAATCCATAGAAAATGGCCTCTCGACGCCCACAAAATTACGAAAATGCCATCCGAAAATAAATTGGCCCAAATCGGTGTTTAATGGACTTATCATCCGTGGAGAATAGGATCAATAGACTTCATTATCGGTGGAGAATAGCCTCGCCCTGATTTCGTGATCTGTAGCCTCCAGAATCGAAAGAAAATGGCATTTCGGAAAAATCGCCGAAAATCGGTGATGTTACCCCTTTGCAATCTGCCAAAAATTGACCAGGAATAAATCCCCCCAAATCGGTGCTTAAAGGACTTAGTCATCGTTGAAGAATAGTCTCAGGCCGAATCCGTGATCTGTAGCCTTCAAAATCCAAAGAAAATGGCCTCTCGACGCACACAAAATTACGAAAATGCCATCCGAAAATAAATTGGCCCAAATCGGTGTTTAATGGACTTATCATCCGTGGAGAATAGGATCAATAGACTTCATTATCGGTGGAGAATAGCCTCGGCCTGATTTCGTGATCTGTAGCCTCCAGAATCGAAAGAAAATGGCATTTCGAAAAAATCGCCCAAAGTCGGTGATGGTACCCCCTTTGCAATCTGCCAAAAATTGACCCGGAATAAATCCGCCCAAATCGGTGCTTAATGGACTTAGTCATCGTTGAAGAATAGTCTCAGGCCGAATCCGTGATCTGTAGCCTTCAAAATCCAAAGAAAATGGCCTCTCGACGTCCATAAAATTACGAAAATGCCATCCGAAAATAAATTGGCCCAAATCGGTGTTTAATGGACTTATCATCCGTGGAGAATAGGATCAATAGACTTCATTATCGGTGGAGAATAGCCTCGGCCTGATTTCGTGATCTGTAGCCTCCAGAATCGAAAGAAAATGGCATTTCGGAAAAATCGCCGAAAATCGGTGATGTTACCCCTTTGCAATCTGCCAAAAATTGACCCGGAATAAATCCGCCCAAATCGGTGCTTAATGGACTTAGTCATCATTGAAGAATAGTCTCTGGCCGAATCCGTGATCTGTAGCCTTCAAAATCCAAAGAAAAGTGCCTCTCGACGCCCACAAAATTACGAAAATGCCATCCGAAAATAAATTGGCCCAAATCGGTGTTTAATGGACTTATCATCCGTGGAGAATAGGATCAATAGACTTCATTATCGGTGGAGAATAGCCTCGGCCTGATTTCGTGATCTGTAGCCTCCAGAATCGAAAGAAAATGGCATTTCGGAAAAATCGCCCAAAATCGGTGATGGTACACCTTTGCAATCTGCCAAAAATTGACCCGGAATAAATCCACCCAAATCGGTGCTTAATGGACTTAGTCATCGTTGAAGAATAGTCTCAGGCCGAATCCGTGATCTGTAGCCTTCAAAATCCAAAGAAAATGGCCTCTCGACGCCCACAAAATTACGAAAATGCCATCCGAAAATTAATTGGCCCAAATCGGTGTTTAATGGACTTATCATCCGTGGAGAATAGGATCAATAGACTTCATTATCGGTGGAGAATAGCCTCGGCCTGATTTCGTGATCTGTAGCCTCCATAATCGAAAGAAAATGGCATTTCGGAAAAATCGCCGAAAATCGGAGATGGTACCCCGTTGCAATCTGCCAAAAATTGACCCGGAATAAATCCGCCCAAATCGGTGCTTAATGGACTTAGTCATCGTTGAAGAATAGTCTCAGGCCGAATCCGTGATCTGTAGCCTTCAAAATCCAAAGAAAATGGCCTCTCGACGCCCACAAAATTACGAAAATGCCATCCGAAAATAAATTGGCCCAAATCGGTGTTTAATGGACTTATCATCCGTGGAGAATAGGATCAATAGACTTCATTATCGGTGGAGAATAGCCTCGGCCTGATTTCGTGATCTGTAGCCTCCAGAATCGAAAGAAAATGGCATTTCGGAAAAATCGCCCAAAATCGGTGATGGTACCCCTTTGCAATCTGCCAAAAATTGACCCGGAATAAATCCGCCCAAATCGGTGCTTAATGGACTTAGTCATCGTTGAAGAATAGTCTCAGGCCGAATCCGTGATCTGTAGCCTTCAAAATCCAAAGAAAAGTGCCTCTCGACGCCCACAAAATTACGAAAATGCCATCCGAAAATAAATTGGCCCAAATCGGTGTTTAATGGACTTATCATCCGTGGAGAATAGGATCAATTGACTTCATTATCGGTGGAGAATAGCCTCGGCCTGATTTCGTGATCTGTAGCCTCCAGAATCGAAAGAAAATGGCATTTCGGAAAAATCGCCCAAAATCGGTGATGGTACCCCCTTTGCAATCTGCCAAAAATTGACCCGGAATAAATCCGCCCAAATCGGTGCTTAATGGACTTAGTCATCGTTGAAGAATAGTCTCAGGCCGAATCCGTGATCTGTAGCCTTCAAAATCCAAAGAAAATGGCCTCTCGACGCCCATAAAATTACGAAAATGCCATCCGAAAATAAATTGGCCCAAATCGGTGTTTAATGGACTTATCATCCGTGGAGAATAGGATCAATAGACTTCATTATCGGTGGAGAATAGCCTCGGCCTGATTTCGTGATCTGTAGCCTCCAGAATCGAAAGAAAATGGCATTTCGGAAAAATCGCCAAAAATCGGTGATGGTACCCCTTTGCAATCTGCCAAAAATTGACCCGGAATAAATCCGCCCAAATCGGTGCTTAATGGACTTAGTCATCATTGAAGAATAGTCTCTGGCCGAATCCGTGATCTGTAGCCTTCAAAATCCAAAGAAAAGTGCCTCTCGACGCCCACAAAATTACGAAAATGCCATCCGAAAATAAATTGGCCCAAATCGGTGTTTAATGGACTTATCATCCGTGGAGAATAGGATCAATAGACTTCATTATCGGTGGAGAATAGCCTCGGCCTGATTTCGTGATCTGTAGCCTCCAGAATCGAAAGAAAATGGCATTTCGGAAAAATCGCCCAAAATCGGTGATGGTACACCTTTGCAATCTGCCATCAATTGACCCGGAATAAATCCACCCAAATCGGTGCTTAATGGACTTAGTCATCGTTGAAGAATAGTCTCAGGCCGAATCCGTGATCTGTAGCCTTCAAAATCCAAAGAAAATGGCCTCTCGACGCCCACAAAATTACGAAAATGCCATCCGAAAATTAATTGGCCCAAATCGGTGTTTAATGGACTTATCATCCGTGGAGAATAGGATCAATAGACTTCATTATCGGTGGAGAATAGCCTCGGCCTGATTTCGTGATCTGTAGCCTCCATAATCGAAAGAAAATGGCATTTCGGAAAAATCGCCGAAAATCGGAGATGGTACCCCGTTGCAATCTGCCAAAAATTGACCCGGAATAAATCCGCCCAAATCGGTGCTTAATGGACTTAGTCATCGTTGAAGAATAGTCTCAGGCCGAATCCGTGATCTGTAGCCTTCAAAATCCAAAGAAAATGGCCACTCGACGCCCACAAAATTACGAAAATGCCATCCGAAAATAAATTGGCCCAAATCGGTGTTTAATGGACTTATCATCCCTGGAGAATAGGATCAATAGACTTCATTATCGGTGGAGAATAGCCTCGGCCTGATTTCGTGATCTGTAGCCACCAGAATCGAAAGAAAATGGCATTTCGGAAAAATCGCCGAAAATCGGTGATGGTACCCCTTTGCAATCTGCCAAAAATTGACCCGGAATAAATCCGCCCAAATCGGTGCTTAATGGACTTAGTCATCGTTGAAGAATAGTCTCAGGCCGAATCCGTGATCTGTAGCCTTCAAAATCCAAAGAAAATGGCCTCTCGACGCCCACAAAATTACGAAAATGCCATCCGAAAATAAATTGGCCCAAATCGGTGTTTAATGGACTTATCATCCGTGGAGAATAGGATCAATAGACTTCATTATCGGTGGAGAATAGCCTCGGCCTGATTTCGTGATCTGTAGCCTCCAGAATCGAAAGAAAATGGCATTTCGGAAAAATCGCCCAAAATCGGTGATGGTACCCCTTTGCAATCTGCCAAAAATTGACGCGGAATAAATCCGCCCAAATCGGTGCTTAATGGACTTTGTCATCGTTGAAGAATAGTCTCAGGCCGAATCCGTGATCTGTAGCCTTCAAAATCCAAAGAAAATGGCCTCTCGACGCCCACAAAATTACGAAAATGCCATCCGAAAATAAATTGGCCCAAATCGGTGTTTAATGGACTTATCATCCGTGGAGAATAGGATCAATAGACTTCATTATCGGTGGAGAATAGCCTCGGCCTGATTTCGTGATCTGTAGCCTCCAGAATCGAAAGAAAATGGCATTTCGGAAAAATCGCCCAAAATCGGTGATGGTACCCCTTTGCACTCTGCCAAAAATTGACCCGGAATAAATCCTCCCAAATCGGTGCTTAATGGACTTAGTCATCGTTGAAGAATAGTCTCAGGCCGAATCCGTGATCTGTAGCCTTCAAAATCCAAAGAAAATGGCCTCTCGACGCCCACAAAATTACGAAAATGCCATCCGAAAATAAATTGGCCCAAATCGGTGTTTAATGGACTTATCATCCGTGGAGAATAGGATCAATAGACTTCATTATCGGTGGAGAATAGCCTCGGCCTGATTTCGTGATCTGTAACCTCCAGAATCGAAAGAAAATGGCATTTCGGAAAAATCGCCTAAAATCGGTGATGGTACCCCTTGGCAATCTGCCAAAAATTGACCCGGAATAAATCCGCCCAAATCGGTGCTTAATGGACTTAGTCATCGTTGAAGAATAGTCTCAGGCCGAATCCGTGATCTGTAGCTTTCAAAATCCAAAGAAAATGGCCTCTCGACGCCCACAAAATTACGAAAATGCAATCCGAAAATAAATTGGCCCAAATCGGTGTTTAATGGACTTATCATCCGTGGAGAATAGGATCAATAGACTTCATTATCGGTGGAGAATAGCCTCGGCCTGATTTCGTGATCTGTAGCCTCCAGAATCGAAAGAAAATGGCATTTCGGAAAAATCGCCCAAAATCGGTGATGGTACCCCTTTGCAATCTGCCAAAAATTGACCCGGAATAAATCCGCCCAAATCGGTGCTTAATGGACTTAGTCATCGTTGAAGAATAGTCTCAGGCCGAATCCGTGATCTGTAGCCTTCAAAATCCAAAGAAAATGGCCTCTCGACGCCCACAAAATTACGAAAATGCCATCCGAAAATAAATTGGCCCAAATCGGTGTTTAATGGACTTATCATCCATGGAGAATAGGATCAATAGACTTCATTATCGGTGGAGAATAGCCTCGGCCTGATTTCGTGATCTGTAGCCTCCAGAATCGAAAGAAAATGGCATTTCGAAAAAATCGCCCAAAATCGGTGATGGTACCCCTTTGCAATCTGCCAAAAATTGACCCGGAATAAATCCGCCCAAATCGGTGCTTAATGGACTTACTCATCGTTGAAGAATAGTCTCAGGCCGAATCCGTGATCTGTAGCCTTCAAAATCCAAAGAAAATGGCCTCTCGACGCCCACAAAATTACGAAAATGCCATCCGAAAATAAATTGGCCCAAATCGGTGTTTAATTGACTTATCATCCGTGGAGAATAGGATCAATAGACTTCATTATCGGTGGAGAATAGCCTCGGCCTGATTTCGTGATCTGTAGCCTCCAGATTCGAAAGAAAATGGCATTTCGGAAAAATCGCCCAAAATCGGTGATGGTACCCCTTTGCAATCTGCCAAAAATTGACCCGGAATAAATCCGCCCAAATCGGTGCTTAATGGACTTAGTCATCGTTGAAGAATAGTCTCAGGCCGAATCCGTGATCTGTAGCCTTCAAAATCCAAAGAAAATGGCCTCTCGACGCCCACAAAATTACGAAAATGCCATCCGAAAATAAATTGGCCCAAATCGGTGTTTAATGGACTTATCATCCGTGGAGAATAGGATCAATAGACTTCATTATCGGTGGAGAATAGCCTCGGCCTGATTTCGTGATCTGTAGCCTCCAGAATCGAAAGAAAATGGCATTTCGGAAAAATCGCCGAAAATCGGTGATGGTACCCCTTTGCAATCTGCCAAAAATTGACCCGGAATAAATCCGCCCAAATCGGTGCCTAATGGACTTAGTCATCATTGAAGAATAGTCTCAGGCCGAATCCGTGATCTGTAGCTTTCAAAATCCAAAGAAAATGGCCTCTCGACGCCCACAAAATTACGAAAATGCCATCCGAAAATAAATTGGCCCAAATCGGTGTTTAATGGACTTATCATCCGTGGAGAATAGGATCAATAGACTTCATTATCGGTGGAGAATAGCCTCGGCCTGATTTCGTGATCTGTAGCCTCCAGAATCGAAAGAAAATGGCATTTCGGAAAAATCGCCCAAAATCGGTGATGGTACCCCTTTGCAATCTGCAAAAAATTGACCCGGAATAAATCCGCCCAAATCGGTGCTTAATGGACTTAGTCATCGTTGAAGAATAGTCTCAGGCCGAATCCGTGATCTGTAGCCTTCAAAATCCAAAGAAAATGGCCTCTCGACGCCCACAAAATTACGAAAATGCCATCCGAAAATAAATTGGCCCAAATCGGTGTTTAATGGACTTATCATCCGTGGAGAATAGGATCAATAGACTTCATTATCGGTGGAGAATAGCCTCGGCCTGATTTCGTGATCTGTAGCCTCCAGAATCGAAAGAAAATGGCATTTCGGAAAAATCGCCCAAAATCGGTGATGGTACCCCTTTGCAATCTGCAAAAAATTGACCCGGAATAAATCCGCCCAAATCGGTGCTTAATGGACTTAGTCATCGTTGAAGAATAGTCTCAGGCCGAATCCGTGATCTGTAGCCTTCAAAATCCAAAGAAAATGGCCTCTCGACGCCCACAAAATTACGAAAATGCCATCCGAAAATAAATTGGCCCAAATCGGTGTTTAATGGACTTATCATCCATGGAGAATAGGATCAATAGACTTCATTATCGGTGGAGAATAGCCTCGGCCTGATTTCGTGATCTGTAGCCTCCCGAATCGAAAGAAAATGGCATTTCGGAAAAATCGCCGAAAATCGGTGATGGTACCCCTTTGCAATCAGCCAAAAATTGACCCGGAATAAATCCGCCCAAATCGGTGCTTAATGGACTTAGTCATCGTTGAAGAATAGTCTCAGGCCGAATCCGTGATCTGTAGCTTTCAAAATCCAAAGAAAATGGCCTCTCGACGCCCACAAAATTACGAAAATGCAATCCGAAAATAAATTGGCCCAAATCGGTGTTTAATGGACTTATCATCCGTGGAGAATAGGATCAATAGACTTCATTATCGGTGGAGAATAGCCTCGGCCTGATTTGATACGAAAAATCGCCCAAAAATTGACCCGGAATAAATCCGCCCAAATTGGTGCTTAATGGACTTACTCATCGTTGAAGAATAGTCTCAGGCCGAATCCGTGATCTGTAGCCTTCAAAATCCAAAGAAAATGGCCTCTCGACGCCCACAAAATTACGAAAATGCCATCCGAAAATAAAGTGGCCCAAATCGGTGTTTAATGGACTTATCATCCGTGGAGAATAGGATCAATAGACTTCATTATCGGTGGAGAATAGCCTCGGCCTGATTTCGAGATCTGTAGCCTCCAGAATCGAAAGAAAATGGCATTTCGGAAAAATCGCCGAAAATCGGTGATGGTACCCCTTTGCAATCTGCCAAAAATTGACCCGGAATAAATCCGCCCAAATCGGTGCTTAATGGACTTAGTCATCGTTGAAGAATAGTCTCAGGCCGAATCCGTGATCTGTAGCCTTCAAAATCCAAAGAAAATGGCCTCTCGACGCCCACAAAATTACGAAAATGCCATCCGAAAATAAATTGGCCCAAATCGGTGTTTAATGGACTTATCATCCGTGGAGAATAGGATCAATAGACTTCATTATCGGTGGAGAATAGCATCGGCCTGATTTCGTGATCTGTAGCCTCCAGAATCGAAAGAAAATGGCATTTCGGAAAAATCGCCCAAAATCGGTGATGGTACCCCTTTGCAATCTGCCAAAAATTGACCCGGAATAAATCCGCCCAAATCAGTGCTTAATGGACTTAGTCATCGTTGAAGAATAGTCTCAGGCCGAATCCGTGATCTGTAGCCTTCAAAATCCAAAGAAAATGGCCTCTCGACGCCCACAAAATTACGAAAATGCCATCCGAAAATAAATTGGCCCAAATCGGTGTTTAATGGACTTATCATCCGTGGAGAATAGGATCAATAGACTTCATTATCGGTGCAGAATAGCCTCGGCCTGATTTCGTGATCTGTAGCCTCCAGAATCGAAAGAAAATGGCATTTCGGAAAAATCGCCCAAAATCGGTGATGGTACCCCTTGGGAATCTGCCAAAAATTGACCCGGAATAAATCCGCCCAAATCGGTGCTTAATGGACTTAGTCATCGTTGAAGAATAGTCTCAGGCCGAATCCGTGATCTGTAGCCTTCAAAATCCAAAGAAAATGGCCTCTCGACGCCCACAAAATTACGAAAATGCCATCCGAAAATAAATTGGCCCAAATCGGTGTTTAATGGACTTATCATCCGTGGAGAATAGGATCAATAGACTTCATTATCGGTGGAGAATAGCCTCGGCCTGATTTCGTGATCTGTAGCCTCCAGAATCGAAAGAAAATGGCATTTCGGAAAAATCGCCCAAAATCGGTGATGGTACCCCTTTGCAATCTGCCAAAAATTGACCCGGAATAAATCCGCCCAAATCGGTGCTTAATGGACTTAGTCATCGTTGAAGAATAGTCTCAGGCCGAATCCGTGATCTGTAGCCTTCAAAATCCAAAGAAAATGGCCTCTCGACGCCCACAAAATTACGAAAATGCCATCCGAAAATAAATTGGCCCAAATCGGTGTTTAATGGACTTATCATCCGTGGAGAATAGGATCAATAGACTTCATTATCGGTGGAGAATAGCCTCGGCCTGATTTCGTGATCTGTAGCCTCCAGAATCGAAAGAAAATGGCATTTCGGAAAAATCGCCCAAAATCGGTGATGGTACCCCTTTGCAATCTGCCAAAAATTGACCCGGAATAAATCCGCCCAAATCGGTGCTTAATGGACTTAGTCATCGTTGAAGAATAGTCTCAGGCCGAATCCGTGATCTGTAGCCTTCAAAATCCAAAGAAAATGGCCTCTCGACGCCCACAAAATTACGAAAATGCCATCCGAAAATAAATTGGCCCAAATCGGTGTTTAATGGACTTATCATCCGTGGAGAATAGGATCAATAGACTTCATTATCGGTGGACAATAGCCTCGGCCTGATTTCGTGATCTGTAGCCTCCAGAATCGAAAGAAAATGGCATTTCGGAAAAATCGCCCAAAATCGGTGATGGTACCCCTTTGCAATCTGCCAAAAATTGACCCGGAATAAATCCGCCCAAATCGGTGCTTAATGGACTTAGTCATCGTTGAAGAATAGTCTCAGGCCGAATCCGTGATCTGTAGCCTTCAAAATCCAAAGAAAATGGCCTCTCGACGCCCACAAAATTACGAAAATGCCATCCGAAAATAAATTGGCCCAAATTGGTGTTTAATGGACTTATCATCCGTGGAGAATAGGATCAATAGACTTCATTATCGGTGGAGAATAGCCTCGGCCTGATTTCGTGATCTGTAGCCTCCAGAATCGAAAGAAAATGGCATTTCGGAAAAATCGCCGAAAATCGGTGATGGTACCCCTTTGCCATCTGCCAAAAATTGACCCGGAATAAATCCGCCCAAATCGGTGCTTAATGGACTTAGTCATCGTTGAAGAATAGTCTCAGGCCGAATCCGTGATCTGTAGCCTTCAAAATCAAAAGAAAATGGCCTCTCGACGCCCACAAAATTACGAAAATGCCATCCGAAAATAAATTGGCCCAAATCGGTGTTTAATGGACTTATCATCCGTGGAGAATAGGATCAATAGACTTCATTATCGGTGGAGAATAGCCTCGGCCTGATTTCGTGATCTGTAGCCTCCAGAATCGAAAGAAAATGGCATTTCGGAAAAATCGCCCAAAATCGGTGATGGTACCCCTTTGCAATCTGCCAAAAATTGACCCGGAATAAATCCGCCCAAATCGGTGCTTAATGGACTTAGTCGTCGTTGAAGAATAGTCTCAGGCCGAATCCGTGATCTGTAGCCTTCAAAATCCAAAGAAAATGGCCTCTCGACGCCCACAAAATTACGAAAATGCCATCCGAAAATAAATTGGCCCAAATCGGTGTTTAATGGACTTATCATCCGTGGAGAATAGGATCAATAGACTTCATTATCGGTGGAGAATAGCCTCGGCCTGATTTCGTGATCTGTAGCCTCCAGAATCGAAAGAAAATGGCATTTCGGAAAAATCGCCCAAAATCGGTGATGGTACCCCTTTGCAATCTGCCAAAAATTGACCCGGAATAAATCCGCCCAAATCGGTGCTTAATGGACTTAGTCGTCGTTGAAGAATAGTCTCAGGCCGAATCCGTGATCTGTAGCCTTCAAAATCCAAAGAAAATGGCCTCTCGACGCCCACAAAATTACGAAAATGCCATCCCAAAATAAATTGGCCCAAATCGGTGTTTAATGGACTTATCATCCGTAGAGAATAGGATCAATAGACTTCATTATCGGTGGAGAATAGCCTCGGCCTGATTTCGTGATCTGTAGCCTCCAGAATCGAAAGAAAATGGCATTTCGGAAAAATCGCCCAAAATCGGTGATGGTACCCCTTTGCAATCTGCCAAAAATTGATCCGGAATAAATCCGCCCAAATCGGTGCTTAATGGACTTAGTCATCGTTGAAGAATAGTCTCAGGCCGAATCCGTGATCTGTAGCCTTCAAAATCCAAAGAAAATGGCCTCTCGACGCCCACAAAATTACGAAAATGCCATCCGAAAATAAATTGGCCCAAATCGGTGTTTAATGGACTTATCATCCGTGGAGAATAGGATCAATAGACTTCATTATCGGTGGAGAATAGCCTCGGCCTGATTTCGTGATCTGTAGCCTCCAGAATCGAAAGAAAATGGCATTTCGGAAAAATCGCCCAAAATCGGTGATGGTACCCCTTTGCAATCTGCCAAAAATTGACCCGGAATAAATCCGCCCAAATCGGTGCTTAATGGACTTAGTCGTCGTTGAAGAATAGTCTCAGGCCGAATCCGTGATCTGTAGCCTTCAAAATCCAAAGAAAATGGCCTCTCGACGCCCACAAAATTACGAAAATGCCATCCGAAAATAAATTGGCCCAAATCGGTGTTTAATGGACTTATCATCCGTGGAGAATAGGATCAATAGACTTCATTATCGGTGGAGAATAGCCTCGGCCTGATTTCGTGATCTGTAGCCTCCAGAATCGAAAGAAAATGGCATTTCAGAAAAATCGCCCAAAATCGGTGATGGTACCCCTTTGCAATCTGCCAAAAATTGACCCGGAATAAATTCGCCCAAATCGGTGCTTAATGGACTTAGTCGTCGTTGAAGAATAGTCTCAGGCCGAATCCGTGATCTGTAGCCTTCAAAATCCAAAGAAAATGGCCTCTCGACGCCCACAAAATTACGAAAATGCCATCCCAAAATAAATTGGCCCAAATCGGTGTTTAATGGACTTATCATCCGTAGAGAATAGGATCAATAGACTTCATTATCGGTGGAGAATAGCCTCGGCCTGATTTCGTGATCTGTAGCCTCCAGAATCGAAAGAAAATGGCATTTCGGAAAAATCGCCCAAAATCGGTGATGGTACCCCTTTGCAATCTGCCAAAAATTGACCCGGAATAAATCCGCCCAAATCGGTGCTTAATGGACTTAGTCATCGTTGAAGAATAGTCTCAGGCCGAATCCGTGATCTGTAGCCTTCAAAATCCAAAGAAAATGGCCTCTCGACGCCCACAAAATTATGAAAATGCCATCCGAAAATAAATTGGCCCAAATCGGTGTTTAATGGACTTATCATCCGTGGAGAATAGGATCAATAGACTTCATTATCGGTGGAGAATAGCCTCGGCCTGATTTCGTGATCTGTAGCCTCCAGAATCGAAAGAAAATGGCATTTCGGAAAAATCGCCCAAAATCGGTGATGGTACCCCTTTGCAATCTGCCAAAAATTGACCCGGAATAAATCCGCCCAAATCGGTGCTTAATGGACTTAGTCGTCGTTGAAGAATAGTCTCAGGCCGAATCCGTGATCTGTAGCCTTCAAAATCCAAAGAAAATGGTCTCTCGACGCCCACAAAATTACGAAAATGCCATCCGAAAATAAATTGGCCCAAATCGGTGTTTAATGGACTTATCATCCGTGGAGAATAGGATCAATAGACTTCATTATCGGTGGAGAATAGCCTCGGCCTGATTTCGTGATCTGTAGCCTCCAGAATCGAAAGAAAATGGCATTTCGGAAAAATCGCCCAAAATCGGTGATGGTACCCCTTTGCAATCTGCCAAAAATTGACCCGGAATAAATCCGCCCAAATCGGTGCTTAATGGACTTAGTCGTCGTTGAAGAATAGTCTCAGGCCGAATCCGTGATCTGTAGCCTTCAAAATCCAAAGAAAATGGCCTTTCGACGCCCACAAAATTACGAAAATGCCATCCGAAAATAAATTGGCCCAAATCGGTGTTTAATGGACTTATCATCCGTGGAGAATTGGATCAATAGACTTCATTATCGGTGGAGAATAGCCTCGGCCTGATTTCGTGATCTGTAGCCTCCAGAATCGAAAGAAAATGGCATTTCGGAAAAATCGCCCAAAATCGGTGATGGTACCCCTTTGTAATCTGCCAAAAATTGACCCGGAATAAATCCGCCCAAATCGGTGCTTAATGGACTTAGTCGTCGTTGAAGAATAGTCTCAGGCCGAATCCGTGATCTGTAGCCTTCAAAATCCAAAGAAAATGGCCTCTCGACGCCCACAAAATTACGAAAATGCCATCCGAAAATAAATTGGAAGTAGATTTATTTGGTTTAGTTGCAACTACGAACAAAAATTCTCTGAAAAGCCCCTATCTTCATCACCGGTTCATCCATCCACCTTGCCGCAAACAATGTCAAGAGCTCTTTGTCTCCGGCGCTCAATCCTCCACCTCCTCCACCTCCGTCCCTGTCAACCCATTTCCACCGAATTCCCCGACAAAGCCGCCGATCCTTCCAAACCATCACTACCCATCAAACCCTATTCGCACATTCTCAACCTCCTGCCCCGCGCCGGCTTCGTCCGAAGCTGAGCTCCGGAGGTACCTCGGCTACACAGCTCTCGTGCTCTTCTGCGGAGCCGCCATTTACTTCTCATTCCCCTTCTTGGAGAACGCCAAGCACAAGAAAGCCCAGCTCCTTAGGTACGCCCCATTGCCCAAGGATCTCCACACCGTTTCCAATTGGAGCGGCACATAGCCTTACTTTGCAGAACTTTGCATCCATTAGAGAAGAGCAGATTGGTTGCATTATTCAGGTTCTCTCACTGCATTTCGTCCTTTGGATGAGATACTTTAGTATTGGATATTAGGCAAAAGATGTCTCCTTCTCCATCTGAACCATTTATTAGTTTGAGATAGTTGGGGTAATCTGATGCTGATCCATTGCTGCACGCTTGCTAGACATTAAACCGTCTCCTACGCCAAAAGTATGCTGTCAATAAATCGAGGACGCTTCTGATCGCGATGTCAAAATTAGGTCGGGTCTTGCGAAATCAAATCGATTTTGGAAATTGGTACTTTCTTCGATTTGGAGGTTTTGCTGCATCAAATTGTTTTGATTGTAATCTCGAAATCGCTATTAGCTAGATTGTTGCAACACTCTGGGGTTTATCCTGACTTCACTTAAGAACTGGTTCCTGAGAGTCGCAGTACACCATTCCTGTTGATGAACGTCGTTCATATTCAAGCTGATGGGCGATTTGTTTGTTTATAGAAAGGCAAGTTAACACGGCTTACTCGTAGATGAATAATTGAATATACTTCTTAGGCTTTCAGTGAAATTTGTTGACTCTTTGACCGTAATAATTTTACGCGATAATTACTATATTAACGAATATATTGCATTTCTTTAATTTTCGTGACATATTTGTTAATTCAAATATAGTGGTTATATTGAGAAAGAAAAATTAAAATTTTTCAGCAAATGTGACGATGTCGCTAAAAAAATAAGATGAACATATAATAATTTGTGAAACTACTACTATAATAAAATAAGACGAATAATCCAATAAGTATTAAGTACGCAGTTGCTATAATATAATAAAATATATAAAAAAAATTATTAACTGAATTGCTGCAGTTTGGGCTTTCTCAGTGTACTGACTACTGAGGGCAATAGATTCGAAGAACCCGATGGGCTTCTATAGTTGTTGGGCTTTGGATCAATGCAAGTCCAGAAGCTGGCAGATTTTCAGCAGTCCGCCGCCCGAAATCACAGCCAATTTCCCTCCCCATTCCCGACTGCTTCCGGCGAGAGAGCAAAGCAGAGCAAGGCGGCCTCCCCCTTCTGGCGCCGGCGAATCAGAAACCAAAGCAGCTACATAGAGAGTGTTAGAGAGGGAGAGAGAGATGCAGAGACTGAAAGGTGGATTGATGAGAACAGCAAAACAGTACTGCTTGAATAGAAATGGGATGCACTGTAATCCCCACGACCACCGGAGCTTCTCTGCTCTCCCTAACTACGCCGCCGTAAACGATGCTGATCCCGAAGACCAGGTTGAGTCTCCGTTTCCATCGTTTTGTCTCGGAAGAAAACGAGAATGAACTGTGAAGTATAGTTCCTTTTTTCGTTTTCCTTGCATCGGCAGGTTTTGGTGGAAGGAAGAGCAAAATCAAGAGCTGCAATCCTCAGCAGACCCGACACTCTCAATGCACTTACTGCTCCCATGGTTTCCTTCTATCTAATACACCCTTCCATTTTCTCCTTTGCTTGTACGAAGATGGAATTTTTTCAATTCACTCTTTTGTCCATGAAATTTGGCAGGTGGGTCGGCTCAAGAGATTGTACGAGTCGTGGGAAGAAAACCCAAGTATTGGGTTTGTGTTAATGAAGGTATAGCATTATACTACTACTCATCGACCCACTATTGCTATGAGATGAACGTTTGCATTTCTCTGCTGCCACAAGTTACATTTTAAGCTTAGTGCATGGTGCACGCAAGATGTTTGTGGAAATGTCTCTGGATAGATGTCTTCTGTTTACAAGTAGTGGTAGACTGGTAGTATGTAACTTGGTTTCTTTGATTTTTTGAAGGGTGGTGGCGGCAAGGCCTTCTGTTCCGGTGCTGATGTTGTTTCCCTAAGCCAGATGGTTGATGATGGTAAGCCTCCCGGATTTGGATATTAGCAGCATTGGTTGCATACAAAGGTCGCTTCTTTTGTATATTACTTGTAGTTAGCGCATCCTGCAGTTCAACTTTCATTTATCCGGTCAGATTATGTGATAATCCGATTTTAATATTTCTTCCCATTCCACTGATGGTAATGTAGCTGATATGGTTTGCCACCATCTTAAACTATGCAGGGAACATTGAAGACTGCAAACGATATTTTGAGACGTTGTACAAGTTTGTCTACCTACAAGCAACATATTTGAAACCACATGTGAGAAAATTTGATTCTTTGTAAACAATGTAGATTTATACTCGCCTTTTTTCAGTAAATTGAGATTATGTGAACATTCTGCCAATTCTCATTACTTATGCAGTAAAGCGAATATAGTAGCCTCCCACCGAGCCACTTTCTAGTCTTGATAGTCAGTTTAGGTGATCTACATTCTTGCAGGTAGCTATTTTGGACGGATTCACTATGGGATGTGGAGCTGGAATTTCAATTCCCGGAATGTTTCGCTTGGTCACTGACAAAACTGTAAGTAGCCTTTTGTACAACATTTTCTTAACAGCTTTCATTTGATAGTAGTTTGTTCTCGTCTATCTCCTTTCGTTGTAGTCGAGACCTGAAATAGTATGAATACTTTCGATAAGCTCCTCATTGGCTGAAATGTCTCAACTGTAATGAAGTGAAACTCATGTGCACTGAAATGTCCCAACTGTGGAAAATTTTGCAGATTTTTGCTAATCCCGAGGCTAAAATGGGATTTCATCCTGACGCAGGAGCTTCGTTCTATCTATCTCGCCTGCCGGGTTACCTAGGTAGGTGCAATGTTCCAAACAGAATCTAGCTTTGGCACAACAGACGTCCTAAATTAAATATTAATCTTATTTTGTTTCAGGGGAATACTTAGCCCTCACTGGAGATAAGCTTAATGGGGTGGAAATGATAGCGACTGGCCTAGCAACTCATTATTCATTGCATTCAGTTTGTTCTCTCAGTGCTTTTTTTTAATCGCATACTTAACTTCAGTTTCTGCCCCTTTTTAGCTGTGATTCCATAGTGAAAACATATTGTCCACAGAAACTTGCTTGGATTGAAGACCGGCTTGGTAATTTGATAACAGATGACCGTGATGCCATTGAAACGTCTCTCGCACATTATGGTGTCATTGTCCATCCTGACAAGACGAGCGTCCTTCATAAGTATTGTCTTTATCCATGTCCTGATGTCTGTTTTATATCCGTTTTCCGGATTGCATTAATTGTTGCCTCTATAATGTGAGTTTTGAACTCAGAAATGAGCAACACACAGTTTGAGCAAATCTACTGTTGTTTGTAACATTTGTTTATAAATTTTTTGCTTCAGGATAGAGATAATTGATAAATGCTTCTGTCGTGATACAGTAGAAGAGATTATTGATGCCCTGGTAAGCATTTTATGGTATTTTAGCTACAGTGTTTATTCTTTCTGTGGGGCAGTCGGCAGCCTTATAATTCTAAGCATTGATTTCAACAGGAAAATGAGGTGAAGACCTCTTACAGTGAATGGGTTAAGGTAGCTCTTAACAGAATGAAAGAAGCTTCTCCACTGAGCTTAAAGGTTACCTTACAATCTGTAAGTCAGTACTCTTCTGAACATCAGCAATCCCCAATAGTATAATGCATTTCACTCATGATTTCTTATCCATATATGATATATCCCTTTTAGATACGAGAAGGTAGATTCCAGTCTCTTGATCAATGCCTCTCTCGTGAGTATCGGATGTCAATAGCAGGGATCTCAAAAAGAGTTTCCAATGACTTCTTTGAGGTACTGTTTCTTCCATCTTTCCTTCACATTATGCCTCGGATACAAAAAAAACACACTAATGACAGTATTCTGCCATTGTTTAGGGTGTCCGAGCTCGGTTAGTGGACAAGGACTTTGCTCCAAAGGTACTGACAGTTATTCAATTGAGATTCGTGAATGCAAGCCATATTTGTCACTGTTGTTCTTTATTTCCTGTTGAATTGAACAATTAGTAATGGAGGTCAATGATGAAACTGCAGTGGGATCCTCCAACATTAGCGGATGTGAGTACAGACATGGTGAACAGCTACTTCTCACGGCTTGATGAATTCGAGCCTGAGCTGGAGCTCCCAACAGCAACCCGCGAGCCATACATCTGACTATCTGAGAAAGGGGATTCTTTCTAAGGAAAAGACAGCACATCAGACATCGACCTTATTCTTCGACGAAAAATGCTTGTTGATGTTGTAGAACCATTTTATGTATAATTTACTTTCAGGCCTGGAACGTGATCCTATGGCCTGGTATCGAACTTCTTAGAGAGTGGTATAAGATCCAACATAATCTTCTCCTAACAACTCGAGTTATTGGGATCAACTAGTTTATGACATGGTATCAGAGCCTAGAATCAAAAGGTCATGTGTTCGAATCTCCACGACCCCCAATATTAACCGTTGATGGGCATGGTATAAGATCCAACATAATCTTCTCTCAACAACTCGATTTATTGGGACCAACTCTGGCTCATGACACAAATTATTGGTGTCCTCCTTGAGGCGCCTCGAGTCTCTAGACTTGAGGCACAAAAATAAACCGCCCATCTAAGCATAAGATTTAACAGTGTACTTATTGCTTAGTCGCATGGATAATCAGGCAGGACAATAAGGCAGTATATAGGTGATTATTGATTATGAAGCATGCAAGAAAGTCAGTTATCTAAGGAGTCATATTACTATTTTCTACCCACCATACTTGGTTAACTTGGAAGAGTCCACAAATAGGGACGTAAATGTTGAAAAACTATAGTACAGGGATGAAAATAAACATCAATTTTATTTATTTGAGCGTGTTCGATAAAACCTAAACGGACGGCGGAGACAGGAAGTCGATAGACACTGCTTACCGCCGCCATGAATATATGTAAAATCCTCAATCCATTTTTACCAAGAAATCATCGGAGAGCTGCTTAAACCCTCCATTGCTTTGCTCCCCAGTCCCACTACCTTCCTTCTCCCACAAAGTCTCAGTCTTTGAATCTTATCCGTCTCGGAATAGAACCTCTTCCTTCTCTGCCGTCTTCTCTCTCTTGGTTGGTCTCCGTCAGTCCCTCTGCTTCAGGTGAGCTCGCTCTCATCCCTTCCCTCTGCCAAGTTTCTCCCTTTTCCACTCCATTGATACTCGCCTCATGTTTTTCTTTTCTGGGTAATGATTTTTCTGCAATGGAACCGATGAAAGAAAGTTATGATTTCTGAAAGCTGCTAGTACTGCTTTAGCTCAAAAACTGGCCTCTGTGCTTCTCTTTTAATTTTGTGGAGGAAAAACCAGTAGGGTTCTAATTTTGATCCAGAGGTTCCATCCATGTGTGTGTTGCGTTGCAGGATTCAAATGCGGTAAGAAAAGCTGTGGACTTGGTTTCTTGCTGCAATGCCGGCTTTAACTTCAACAACCAGGTTGCTTGTTATAGCTGGAAACTCATTGCCTTCACAGCAATTGACGTTACTTCCCGTTACTGTATCGACATGGCGCCATTCGGTCAGGTTCTTCAGTCGAGTTGCTAAAGAACACCATGGCCCTCTCACTCTTGCTACCGTGGGATTCAGCAATCAGCTTGATGCAACAACAAACAGTGTTGCGAAGCAAAGTAAATTTGAGAAGAATGTGAAACTGACAAGGTCGCCTGTTGATAATCCAAGGAGTAGAGTGAAGCCGGTTGTTAAGGCGAGGACATCAGCTGTTGATATAGAGCTCCAGGCAACAACAGACAGCGATGGAAAGAGTAGAAAAGCTGAGAACTATGTGAAATTGACACGATCTCCAGTTGACAAGCCAAAGAGTAAGGCCAAGCCGGTTAGTAAAGTGAGAGCATCGGTTGATGATATAGAGCTCGCTCCGTTTTCAGCGAAGTCATTCTCCGAGCTTGGCCTGCCACCATTGCTGATAGAGAGATTAGAGTCTGAAGGCTTCAAGGTTCCAACCGATGTGCAATCTGCTGCAATTCCAACTATCCTAAAAGACCATGACGTTGTTATACAGTCTTACACTGGGTCGGGCAAAACATTGGCGTATCTCCTTCCTATACTATCCAGAATTGGACCACTGAAGGATGCCAATTCTTCTTCTCATTCTAAAGACAATGGTGGCGGCAAGAAGAGGAATGACATAGAAGCAGTGATTGTGGCACCATCTCGAGAGCTCGGAATGCAAATCGTGAGGGAGGTCGAGAACATCTTGGGACCTGAAAACAAGAGAGCTGTTCAACAGCTCGTTGGTGGTGCAAACAGGTCCAGACAGGAAGAAGCTCTCAAGAAGAACAAGCCAGCAATCGTAGTGGGGACGCCTGGGAGGATAGCCGAGATTAGCGCAGCTGGCAAGCTTCACACCCATGGCTGTCGTTTCCTGATCCTGGATGAAGTCGACGAGCTCCTCTCATTCAACTTTCGAGAAGCAATGCGGAGGATACTGGATCACGTTGGAAGGAAATCAGAGCGTCGCACTGTATTGGTCTCTGCCACAGTGCCATTTGCAGTGATAAGAGCTGCCAGAAGTTGGTCGAATGACCCAGTTCTGGTTCAAGCAAAGAAAGTAACCCCGCTGGAATTGGTTTCTCCGTCTGGACCGGTTGATTCAACACAGCCTGCATCGGATTCAAATCCAGGACCGTCAGAAAGCTTGCCTCCATCTCTGAAGCACTACTATTCTGTGGTGAAGTTGCAGCACAAGGTGGATGCTCTGAGGAGGTGTGTCCATGCGATGGACGCTAAGTGTGTGATAGCCTTCATGAACCACACTAAGCAGTTGAAGGACGTGGTGTACAAGCTGGAGGCGAGAGGGTTGAATGCTGCGGAGTTGCATGGAGATCTTGGGAAGCTTGGGAGGTCCACGATTATGAAGAGGTTTAAAAATGGAGAGTTGAGAGTGCTTGTGACGAATGAGCTGTCGGCAAGGGGTTTGGATGTACCCGAATGTGATCTCGTGGTTAATCTGGACTTGCCTACCGACTCAGTCCACTATGCTCATCGTGCTGGCCGGACTGGGAGGCTAGGGAGGAAGGGGATTGTGGTGAGTATTTGTGAAGAGTCTCAGGTGTTTGTTGTGAGGAAGATGGAGAAGCAGCTTGGTATGGCGATTCGTAGCTGCGAGTTTACGGAGGGGAAATTTGTCACCGATGGAGAAGAGAAAGAAGAGAGCACGATGGATGATGCCAGTGGTTCTGAGATGGTTCAGCAAGAAGCTTGTTCTCCATGAAATGGAAGCTGTAATAACGTTGCAGTGCTCGTGTTCTTTTGTGTTTTCTAACTGGAAATTTATAATGAGATACAACTTTCTGTAAACAAGAACAAACGGATGCAATTACGCCTAGTTCAAACTGGCAAACCGTGATAGCCATATAACTGTATCGGCGTGGTGGTCTATGCGCAGTTCTTACAGGTAATGTTTTCTAGACACGACGTTTTGCAATTCCAGAATAGAAGCAGCTCCGATAACAACATTGTCTCTATTACGTCGGGATTCCACACTCTCAACTATCAGGCTCCCCACCTATCTTCAAAAGTAGCGATAGAGGAACGCCGCTCTGAACTCCCCCTACTTGAATGTCTCCTTCGATTCGATGGACTTCTTGTTGGGGATCGTTCCCTGTCCGAATTCTGCTTTAACCGCTTGGTGCTTACATCATTCCCACCACCATCATTATCACCATCCAAGTCCTCCTCGTCATGACCACCATGCCATCCTCTTTTCCCATGCTGTCTTCCTCTGCTTTTCCTCTCCTGCTGATAATCAAGGTCGTTGGGATCATGCAGTTGTCTATCAAGCTGATCATCATCATCCTCCACTTTTTTGGACCTTGTACGAAAGAAGGTATCATCGAGAGATCTCATGCTGTTATTTTCTCTTTTTCTCTCCCCGCCATTTTGATGATCTATTCTGCTCCTTTTTTTGCGACTTGGTTGCCCGCTTCCGGACCCCTTCTTCTCGTTATCTGAAATCACATCCTTATTATCATTCCTTTTCTCCTCGTAGTGGTTTCTCGAACTACGACTTCTTGATCGGCTGCTTCTTCTGCATTCCTCCTTGTTGTCGATGTCCCTATCTGACCAACCCTCTTCTACTGATGTAGAATCTAGCCTTCTGGCAGAATGATGATGGTCTTCAACTAGATTTCTAGTTGATTTCTTTCTATTGTCTACATGTCTCCCCTGCCATGCACTTTCATGAGCATAGTTGTCCCTATCTCTTCTTTTATCGGACTGATGTCCAAAGTCCATGGACATGGATCTTCTGGAACGCTGCCTGGAATCAAGGACATGTTATTACCGGGTACAAAAAAAAGCTTAAATATTTATAATACTCTACTTATGTCCCAGGTTCCATAGATAATCTTAGTTCAGCAGAGAGAAATCTAGAGGGGTGTACCTTTCTCTATCATTAACATTTGCCTTGTTAGATGCCCTCCCTATTTTCTCTTCCTTGTGTTCATAATTCTCGGCGTCTCCAGAGGGACCAAATAAAGCAGTCATCTTTTCCACCCAAAACCTTGGTGGAGGTTTGTCCCAATCTGCCCATTCATAGTCTCCACCAGGATTGCGGAAACAGTGGATAAAGTTGCAAGCATTTCCACGAGAACAGTTCTGTCAGGATTCAGATGTATTTCAATTTGCTGGAGGCCGAAAAATGATTTAAGGAAGAGGACGGCTAGACAAAAGAAACCAGCTAGTTTTATACCTTGAGCCTCGACCTCATATACTCCCCACATATGGCTACCTTCCATCTGGTGATATTAACGAATGCACAAGTAATCTGCACAAATTAACAATTTAACATCCCCACTTGACAAAGCATCTGCTAATCCAAATAATAACAAAAAGAGGCCCTTTTCAGGAACGGAAGATTATTAGCAGAAGACTCCGAATTACTGGACTCTAAATTCAATTGCCCCTTGTCTAATTCAGGCACAATGCTCCAAGTACCCTTTCCAAAGTCAAACCTACTTATCCCATCACAACTTTCTACCTTGGAAATAGTACCTCTAAAACCTTGAAATAGTATACCAAAACTACAATTAGCCAATATAGCAACAGGGAGCATAAGTTCATTGTCGACCAGTATGACAAAATCACAAAAGCACCAATAATTTTTTCAATAGCCTCTTTTGTTCTGTACCTGTTTCCCAGCAAAGTAACGTCCATTGATGGATTCATAGGCAAGTACAGCTGAATCCAATGACTTATAGTGAACATACACATTTCCTCTCAAGTGGGACGAACTGTTTCGACAAACCTGCAAGATTTAAAATATGGTTGTTCAGGAAGAACACCGGGAAAGATACCGAGAATGAAACTTGCTACTGTGCCTCAGTACAAAAGCTTCCTCTCATGCCTTACTAAAATTAATATGAATCCAATCCATCCATGCAAGTGTTATCAAAATCCTAAACTTTGACCTTGCAGGGCTGAATGAGCCATATTGGTTCATAAATCCTACGACACCAAAAAGGTTGGAAAGTAAAATTCCAACAAAATCAGTTGAATAAACTGATTGAGTCTGTTAAAGATCTAAGCCTTAATGATGACAATACAAAATCCAGAGTGAAAAACAGAACACAGAATAGCAGTTTGGACCTTGAAATTCACTATCTCGCCATACTTCAAGAACTCTGTGTGCACATCCTCGTAGAATTCTTCGTAACTGCGTTCAATCTCTTCGTCTGTATACTGAAAGCAGAAAATTGGACATGAAACCAAACATTCTCCCTTTGTAAATGTATGCCATCTGTTAGAAACTAACCTACGAAGCTTAAAATAACCTAGCAAAAATTAAAAATCTCTTATGCTGATCTAAGCTAATTGTTAAATGTAATACTCCTGTCTAACAATGTGGTCTAATAGATGTCAGAAAAGAAGCAATCTAGTTCAGCCACAATATAACGATCTAAATAATGCATAAATAATGTAGGTGTCAAGCCATTAGCAGAAAAATTCAAACAACTTCCAGTTCCCTCAACTCAATGGATAGTCGAAGAAATGCTCACGTAGTCCAACTTCATCCATGTAATCAGTCTTCAGTGCCTCCAAGAGAAACCCAGACAACTAATAAACTGTCAATGGCCAAAGCTCCAGAAACGAGAATCCCAAGTGTTCCAGCAACTAACACTCGTTAAGGAGAAAGAACCCAGAAAGATATCGACCTTAACACTAATCATCAATTATGACGCAGATTTGAAATTGCAACAAGCAAAAGACTTGGTATGAACACTACAACATAAGTTATAACAACTATGGCACATGCAACCAGCCAAAGAAATGCAAGTTCATGAGACGAAATGAACAGTGTATTTTAAAGCAAAAAGCAAAGCAATCCATTATGCAACCATTAATGTCAGTCTGTGACATAAATGTCAAATTAATTCCAGTCAAGTGGAAGGATACATCATAAGGAAAAAACCTCCGTTGCTATAAGTGGTAGGATACGGGCGACTGCAAAGCCTAATTCTGCATCTAAGGTTAGACTGAGAATATAGAGGACTAGAAACCAAATGGTCACTAATCATTTTGAGATGCCCTCTTTTTCTCACATGTTAGTGTGGTTTCTAATATTGCCACAATACAGACAAAAATAGGCTTCACAAAGCAAAGCCACTCATAAAGATTTGTCATTCTTATTCATTAGGATACATGGATCACATGAAGTCAGCATTAACAGACCTCAAGTCCTTCATCTTGTTCCCAAGCAAGGCCAGGACCACTGTACATATTCTTGATAAGCAAGGTACATGCTTTATCTGGATAAAAATGTACCCTGCTGCAACGCTGACCAAACCGGCAGACTCCAGTTTTTAAATGGAATGGACAGTGAGCTTTATCCTGTCATCAGTAGGAAAGTTCAAAGAGAAACCATTAGTTCTCTTTGATGATTGAAGCGGGTAAAACTGAACACTGTCACCATGATCAGTTCAGTAATAATTCACAAACGAACAACAAAAAACTCTACCTGTTCAGTACCGAAGTTTGGTACTTGTTGAGCAACATTCTCAAGCATCTTTTGTGCTGAAAGAGTGGAAGCCTCAAATTCTGGCGGAAGAGGATTAGAAGTAGGCCTATTGGCATCCTGTGAACTCGAAATGTATCCATTGAGAACCAAAATGGTAAACCTCAAAAGTCATGTTAAATATACCCAAGTACCCAACCAAGTATTGCTTCTACCTCTTTCCTTTGGGCATCCGCATTCTTTTTAGGAACTCGAACCCTTTTTTTCTTGACAATTATCTCATTTCCTTGCCAGATAATTTCAGCTGGCCCTTCTTCTACATACTCCCAATTACTATCCACATCACATCCATCCTCAATTGGAGTCTGCCAGGGGTACAGAAGCATTCAAGTCAGGTAACAAGAAGGAAAACGAAAATGCCAACACCAGATTGCAAGACGATTGATCAATCCGGGATTCGAATAAACCCAAAGACAAAAAGGAAGAGAATAGAGGAAAGTTACCTCCAATCTTCTCTTAGCATCCTCCTCCTCTTCTTCTTCTTCAGCATCTCTTCTAGCCTCCTCTTCCGCCTTCCTCTTCTGCTCCATCTCCTCCAACAACTTCTTCTCCCTCTCTTCGAACTCCTTTCTATCTCGTTCCATTCTCAACCTCTCCTCTTCCTCCATCTCCTTCAACCGTTTCTGCTCCTCCGGGTCATTCATCCTTTTCTCTTCCTCCTCTCTCTCCCTCGCCGCTATCTCCTTTCTCATCTGCTTCCTCTTCATCTTCTTCTTGCCTTTCCTCTTTTCCTTCCTACTCGCCGCCATAACCATTGCCTTCCCGTCCGTTGCCCCTCCTTCTAATTGCTCTTCCTTTTCTCCCTGTCCTCCCTGTTCGTCACCAACTATCATCCGCTCTGCCTCCGCCATCAATCGGATTTCAGTTTTCCGGCGAGTTCTAGTTTTGAATTAGCTCTCCTCTGAACTCTGAAGACTCCATTGGAACGGCAACGAAGTGACTCCCGCGACTGCGAATATATATACGGTTCACATCATAAATAAACGGCGGCGTTTCTTTTCCTTCTTTTCTTTTTCCAGTTGTGGTCCTCATACCTTTCCTTTTTTATTATGGGCTCCTTATACTTTTGAGGATTGTAGTGTAACACAGCAACAGGGACCTTTATGGCCAAATTTTAAAATTTCTTCCACATGATACATGGGAGTAATTCAGCTCAGTGACAGAAACATAGTTTGAAAGGAATCAACATATATAGCCTATGTTTCACCATTGCAGTTTTCAGACTTTCTCTTCTTATTTGGAGTGCAAGTATCACTTCTGGGTCCGGACTCAGTTTCTTGTGGCTGAAGCAACTCGTTTGAGTCAATCTTTAGCGAAGCCACAGCTGCCTCTGAATTTGCTGGAGATTCTTCTGAACTCATGCACTGTGATTCATCCTCCACTCCATTCTTCACATCATGCACTACGAATGTCACTGTTGTTGCTTCTGCTTCCGCTTGGGCATCCTGGCCACTATTGTCGTCGTCTTTGCTTCTCCCTCGCCTTTTCGAAGACTCATTCTTCGATCTTTTAGCTTTTACTGATGCTAATGAAGAAGGTCCAGGTTTCTCATAGTTCCGCTGCGAAGCTCTGTCTGCTGTAGATGGTGGCCTTGAGTAAGTAGTACTAGTAGTTGTAGTCTCCTCGTCTGTAGGTCTTAACTGAAGATGTCGAGTCTCACCAATCAACTCCAATACACGGTTGCACACGGCCTGAATACCTTGCAGGGTTCGCATTGCTTCGTCGCTCGAAAAGGAGTCGAGAGCATTGGTGCACTGGGAATGGATGTTTGTCAAACTCTGAACCTGCAACAATAAAACCATGTCACCCATTTCTCATCACCTTCAAGATAGAAATACTTGCAACATGTAAGCTATTCATTGCAGCTGAGCTCATACTAGTAAATGGGATGTTCCACTAGCAGGCTGAAAGCACTTGTGCGATCTTTGAGTTAAGGGGGTTATGAGGCGACGAGTAATTCTCCTGTACCACTCCATGTAAGGATCATGATACTGCATGGGTCCTTCTTCCGGCTCCCCGCCAACAATGGTGGCCTCACGAGCTTCCCATAGATCGAGATACCGTCGATGGTAATGCTCCCAGTCATGGGTATGCTTTCCTCGTCTATCGATTGCATGCAGTTTGGAGTCCGTATCACAGTGCTCAGGAATCCCTTGCCGGAGACCAAACTGGCGTAAAGCTCGTTCAGGGTGGTGCCATTCTATAATGTCAAAGCAAATGAGAGGAGCAACTGTTCGCCAGACTTGCTGATCTCTTAAGCATATATCAGGTAGTGTGGCTAGTAGTTCAGATGTGTATGGCTGCCATATCATCTAAAAAAGGAACAATTGCATTACAGAAATCAATATCTTAAATAAGTAAGCATCATAATACGGATGACATACCTGATCTTCTGTTTGTTGATCGATTTGGTCTCGATACAAGAATAATGCTCTGATTGGGTTATCTCTGCGAATCACAGGAGACCTCCACCTGAGACAAAAGTCAGATTAAAAAGAAAATTAGAGACACAGGCTATCTACATGCTCCTATGGCCCATGACATCCATTCAACATCTCACACTTACCTAGATCCTAATGGACCAGGCGATAATGGATCCTCATTGATTCTGGCAGCCGCAGCAACAGACAGCTCCTCACCTAATACCTTGCTTTCAGAAGCAGATGCAGTGTGCATCTGCACACCGAATTTCTCAGGACGGCCAAAATGCCAGTGCTCCCATGCCCATAACTGTGGAAGAAAAGTTTTTAAGGGAATGCTTCCTTGCACCTCTACAACTTTACCGATAGTACATTAAGGATACCAAAAGCTTTTCACCTACCTGCAACAGAATAAGAGGGCCAGACATCTCACTAGCACCTGTCTTACTAGCACGACAGAGTTCCCGATAAAGAAACGCCAACGTGGCACTGCCCCAGCTTAACTGTCCAGTACATGATAAGTCCCTCAGCAGAGGAAGGAATTTCAGCTGGATGGCTGATCCAGACTTATCTGTGAAAAGAACGCCACTAATCAACCCTAGAAGGTACGCCCTAGCATAACGCAGTAATGTTTCTTCATCAGCATCAGGTGGAGGCTCCCTTAAGTGGGTTCTTAACCAGCTGAGCTTGACGGTTGAACCATGAAGAACGCCTGGATCTGGTTTAACTCCCAACAACTCTTCACAGAGTTCATCCCACTGAAGGTCACTTTTGCCTGTCACAGCAGGACCATGTACCCTAAGACCTAGCAGCACTGCAACATCCTGTAGGGTTATGGTGCTCTCCCCAACTGGTAAATGGAAGGTGTGTGTCTCCTGTCTCCATCGTTCGACTAATGCAGTCAGCAAAGGCCAATCTAGTGGGATAAACCCAAGCTTATGAAACTCGTGGAATCCGGATTGGATCAAATACGGACGAAGACGTGGATCAAATTTCCAGTCTCGCATCATTGAACCAGACATCTGTCTGCATTTCACTACACCAGGGTCCTGAAAATTTCAAGAATAAATACTAAAAATATGGTTAAATACATCCTACCCCAATGCACTTGAGACTCAAAATACATCAAAATTGTTGATGGAAAATGGTATATGTGCTCAATTGCATCCTGTTGTCAGTATTAGTTTCCCATTCCCATATATACCTACACCAAACGCTTCCCACAATCAATGTACCATAACAAACTCAAATAGAAAAAGTACTGACTTGCCCATTCCATATAGCTTCAGATCTATGTTGGCCCTGTAACACAAGCACGGATTTGTCGATTGGCCCAGGATCCAAAAAGCTATAAGCACCAGCATTCCATTCGACTGCTTCTGCTGGTCTCTACAATGCAACAAAAACACTATTACCTACTGGAATCCATAGAACATTATAAAAAATAAATTATGTTTGCTTACTTGTTTCTTGACATCCCTTGATCTGCCAGCAGTACCCTTTGAAGCACGGCTCTCTACTCTGTGATTATCAACATGTTGTAGCCCATTCTCATTGGTCTCAACTGAAGCTACACCATAACTGCAATCTAATGCTCCAACGAGTGCTTGCTCATCAACTTCTATCGCCATAGCATCACCACTTAATAACTGATTATCCTCAGAGAACACTCCAACTTCATCATTCACTTGCAGCAGTGCCTCAGCACTGGCATTTGCTTGGTCGTCTGTAGTGATTGGCACTTTCTCCACATACAGTTCCAAGCAGTTAGTTTCGGGCTGCCGAGCGACATCGAAAACAATATCTATCGACTCGTTGTCCTCTATGGGGACTGGTATGAATTCTCTGCAAGCTGGATACCGACAAATGATCTTCAGAGCAAACTGCAGCTTGTCGAATCCTGTGATTATGTAAATCTTGTCGAGCAATTCCTCGTACTTCATCTCGCAGCCGACCCTAATGGGCTTCGGTGTAGCTCCTTCGTACAGTATCCCGTTTGGTCCATTTGCCATCCTCCCGTTCCAGTAACACATCAGAGTAACACCTTGTCTGGAAGTCGTCATCTTCTGCCTACAAGGGAGAAAGGGAAAAGATACGAAAAACCATTGTCGAAAAAATCAACAGCTAAGGAGATGGAAGTGAAGCAAGAAGAGATTTTTTTTTATATACCAGAAGTGTATCACAGCTTGCAGAGCTCGTCTATGGCGGAAAGGCGCGCGCTTTAGGACCTGGCAGGCGGGGAAATGAGAGAGCCGCTAACTGCGAAAGCGAGTGTCCGTTGGAGTGATGACTGAAATCGTTAGGGTTCTTCCAATTTCCACTCTTTAACCAACGAGATCCACTAGAACAAGATGGTAGCTGATTTAGCGGGTTCCGTAAAACGCAAGCGTCACAAACGCAATACGCTGGTATAGGAGCGGGACTACAGGGATAAGGTGCCGCCACGTTTTCCCACGAACCAAACGGTATATTTTTCCTCGTCGGGGGGTTTTTCGTTCTCCCAACATCTCTCGTCCACAATCGCCGACGGGGAATTTTCCGATTGTTTGCTTTAGTTGAATGAAGAGAGCGACCAACTGAACGGGGACAATTAGGATTTGTATTTTGAACTAGGAAGGGTAATTTTTTTCCGCGATGACGGCGGCTGCGGCGGTTGCTGGTTCGTCTTTCGGGTTAGTGAACAGAGGCGGCGGCGGCGGCGGGGGAAAGAAGGTGCTGATAACGGGAGTGAGCCGAGGACTGGGTAGAGCGCTGGCAGTGGAATTGGCGAAGAGAGGTCATACAATAATCGGGTGTTCGCGAACTCAAGATAAGCTGAATGCGCTCACCTCCGACCTCGCATCCTCCGACCGCCACCTCCTCCTCAACGCCGACATCGTAAAAATTCTTCTGCCCTTTTCTATTTTCTTCCCCCGCCTGCGTTTCTTTCAACATTTCCGGTTCCTAATTACTTGTGATCAATGTAAAACCAGAGGTCCGACAGTAGTGTGGCAGAACTGGCTCGAGAGGTAACGGAGAAGAAGGGCGTTCCTGACATCATAGGTTTGTTCAATTTCTCATCATTACTCCATTTCAGGAACTAGGGAATTTTCATTTCACCCCTACGATTTCTCGATCTCGTTGGTTAAATTTTGGGGGGGTGTTGCAGTGAACAATGCAGGAACAATTAACCAGAACAACAAGATATGGGAGGTGCCCCAGGAGGAATTTGATGCTGTGATTGATACCAATGTGAAAGGGGTAACAAATGTGTTGCGGCATTTCATCCCTCTAATGCTTCCCAACAAGCAAGGGATTATTGTCAACATGTCCTCTGGATGGGGAAGATCTGGTGCTGCACTGGTACTACCCATTTCTTCTTCTTTCTTTCTCTCCAGCATTTATGCAGTTCTATAGTACTCAGAAATGGAAGTTGAACCTCCCAAGCATGGTAAAGTTAAGTAGGGTTGTAAGTTTCCATGGAGATTTAGTGCAGAAAGCTGAATCATTGAACAACCTTTCAAGTGATTTATACTTCTGGGTTGAGATGCACAATCAATATGTTCTATGAAGCTGAGACTACTGAGGATTAAGCAGATCTTTGAACTTAACAGCACAACTGGAAAAGGGTAAACCTTCATTTTCATGGATGAGGATGGAGTATCCAAATGCTAAAGTGAAATAGGAGAAATAAGAGAGCAATTGATATTCGAGGAAAGCCAGTTCGCATATCTTTTGTTTATAGTGACCAAAGTCTATTCATCTTTGCTATACCGTTTGTTTGTCGCAGGTTGCACCTTATTGTGCATCGAAATGGGCAATCGAAGGTTTGTCAAGATCAGTGGCAAAAGAGTTGCCTGATGGGATGGCAATCATTGCACTCAACCCAGGAGTGATCCACACAGACATGCTCTCCTCATGCTTTGGCACTTCAGCTTCTCTTTACCAGGCTCCTGATACATGGTATTCAACTCTTATTTACAGTCCCACCAGACCGAATTAATATCTGATAAAGAATTCAATGCCAAATTATCAGAAGTCACCCTTTCAAAAAAAAAATCCCTGTTCTGACGGCCATCTGTTTGATTAATCAGGGCAGTGAAGGCAGCTACCATGATTCTCAATCTAACTGGTGCAGACAATGGCGCTTCTCTCACAGTGTGAAAAAATTAATGGGACTACAGTTTGCTTGTCGAAGTACTTATATTTAGCTCAGATAATTAGTCCATGTTTCTTCTTAGGCCATTCTTTTTCCTCATCCATCTTGTAACTGTGTAGAAGAAAAGTGCTTCAGGAACCCTATGCAGTAGATAATTGTAATTCAAGCCAACTTTTGCAGTAGGCCTTCTTTCTTGGTCAAAAAGTTTAGACAAAACTCCATCCAGTAGTCTTCTCTATACCCTGTTCCTTCATCATCTCTCTTGCTTGTTCCGCCTCCTTCCACTTTCCAATGGAGCTATACATATCAGACAATAGTACATAGTATCCATCGTTTTTTGGATCTGTCTTAATCGCTTGCTTTGCTATCCTTATCCCTGTCATGATGTCGGCATGAATCTTACAAGCGCCTAACAAAGCACCCCAGACGCCACCATCGGGACAAATGGGCATTGACAAAACTAACTCTTCAGCCTCAAGTAAACTGCCTGATCTTCCAATAAGATCCACAAGGCAAGCATAGTGCTTAAGATTTGACCTCACAGAATGCTGTTTCATTTTCCCAAATAGATGCTTCCCTTCCTCAACAAGGCCCGAGTGTGCACAAGCTGAAAGGAGAGACAGGAACGTTAGAGAATTTGGCTTGATTATGGACTGCTCCTCCATTTGCTCGAATATCTCAATTGCAGATCTAGCATCTCCATGCATTGCATACGCCGAGATCATAGCATTCCATGAAATGGAATCTTTGACTTTCATAGAGTTGAATATTTCTCTTGATTTGTCCAGTCTACCGCATTTGGCATACATGTCGACTAATGCAGTAGCAACAGATACATTTTGCTCGCAGGTCCTAATCAAACAGTGAACCTTTTCCCCTTTCTGAAGGTCAGCAAGATGAGAGCAAGCAGAGAGCACAGTTGCAAATGTGGCGGAGTTAGGGTTAACATTTTGCTGTATCATTTCCTCAAACAATGCAATTGCCTCCACAAAACACGTTCGGTGACAGTATACTCCGATCATTGTGTTCCATGAGACAACATCTTTATGAGCCCCACGAAAAATGCACTCCGCAGTGGCCAACTCACCGTCCTTTCCATACATGTCGATTAGCGAATTGACAACCGAGTTACCGTCTTCCATGAAATTCTTGATACTATAACAGTGGAGGGAGCGGCAAAAGGTGGCAGTTGCTCCCATTTGGGAACACGCAGAGATAACAGACACCAAGGTATTGGGATCTGGTTTGAAGCCCAGGTTTTGCATCTCTCTGAAAAGTTCCATGCACTTGTCTTCCCTTCCCACCTTGGCATAACCACAGACCATGGAGTTCAAAGACTCTTTATTCTGTTTGTTTATCCTATGAAAGAGCTTCTCTGCTGGTCTTATAAGTCCCAACTTGCAGTACATAGATAGCAATGCATCAGTGACCATCTGATCTAGGGTAAAGTTCCTCCTCGTGATGGTACAATGAAAAGCTTTTCCTTCAACCACACTCGATGAATTACCGAACCCCAGAAGCATGCAACTCATAACAATCGCATCTGGATTGAAGCCAGCAGCTAGCATATCCCAAAACAAGGACATGCAGTCATTCATAAGTCCCAGCCTAGCATGAATTCCTATAATTGAAGTCCATGAGAATAGGTCCTTATTGCCCACTTCAGAGAAAGATTGGAGAGCTTCCTTGACGCTTCCAAGCTTGCAATACATTGACAAAAGGGAAGACTGAATAACTTGCGAACACCAAAGTCCAGTTTTGACTGCAAAACCATGCAAACACTTTCCTTCGACCAAAGTACCCAAATTCCCACAGGCTTGAAATCCTCCTTCGAGTGTCCTAAAATTCATTCTCTCTCCATCAGCATCATTCCCATGCATCTCACGGAGACACTCTAGACCCTTTTTGCTCTGACCATTCTGCACATAACCGATTATAAGAGCAGTCCATGATACTACATCCCTTTCAGCAATTTCATTGAAGACAAGAGATGCATCTTCCATGATCCCACATTTCGCATACATGTATACAAAAGATGACCAGACTGCTGAGTTTCCCATGAAAAGGCAAGACTTTGTCACTAACCCATGTGCAGTTTTTGCCTCCTTCAGCCACTGAAGCTCAGCACAGGAGGAAACAACCATGGGAATAGTGAACTGACTGGGTGATGCATTATGCAACCGCATCCGGATATAGAAGTCAAATGCCACAGCATAATTACCATTCGAGAAGTAAGAGTGGATAATGGAATTCCAAAGAAAGGTGTCCTTCTCGTTGACCAGCTCAAAAACTTGCCTGGAGCAAGGGGTTTGGTTGAAAGCTGCATAGAAAGAGATGAGCTTTGACGATACAAATACATTCCTTGCATTTCCAGTGGTGATAATGAGAGCATGGGATTGCTTAAGCAGCTGCAGAGTAGCAGGGGTTTGGTTGGAGAGAAAGGAGTTTATATGAGAGCTCAAGTAATCTGTAGCTGACTGATAAACTGAATAACGATGGATCGATGAAATAGCACACTGGTTGAAGAAGAGATGGCAAGGAAGTTTCCGTGCAAGCATTGGAGGGTTTGCTTATGATTTCCCATGATTGAAGCTTCAGATATATAATAATTGAACTCTTGGCATCTTCAATTTCTCCACCGCCATTCTGTGCTAACAAATCTGACCACCAGAACACACAGCCCTTATAACTATTCTCGGATGACAACTGGCAATTCCAAGTTGAACAAGAAGAAAAACGGAAAGGAATCAATTCTATTCTCTCAGAGATATAGCCACAAAACGTGCTAGTGGTCACTAAAAAGACGAGAGCTAGAGCATTTCCTGTATGAGGGAAGCTAATATTGTGCAACAGACCCAGTAAATTTTGTTCAATCAGAACCTGTTCTAACTACGAGAACAATGGAGAACTAACCAACTCGGGTATAGATACTTTCACAATACCAGGAACAGGAAGAAAGAAAACCCCAGAACAAAAAAAAAGGTTCCCTTTGTCAAGAAAGAAGATACCTTTGCAGCGTTTTCCGAAGTTTGAATGCGCTGGCTGGCTCAGGAATTCAGAAGAGGGAAGGTATTTTACAAGCGCGCCTGCGGATGGGTTCGCTCAAGGAGGGACAGAAGTTGAAGACGAAAATTGGCTGTGTGGGAGTTTGGAGTTGGGATACTAATACTATACTAAGCAGTGAATGCCAACGACACCGTTTCGTTTCGTCCTGGGCTCCATGCTTCTGGGCTTCTAGCCCGACCCAAGAGGAAATATCCGTTTATCGTTGTATTTTTTCTTGCATTTTTTTATTTTTTTCACCCACTCACTGGTTCTTTGTTCCTTGGCTGTTGGTGTTGGAAGAGAGTACAGAGAGAATACAAAGAGGAGCTTATAATAGGCAAGGGCAAGTTATTTGACGTATTTTCTGTAAAGAGCTTACAGTGATAACTTGTACTACTGCATATATTTACATCTGAATACCGAAAGGATCCAGGTGAAACAGCAAGACACTATTAACTATACTCCTAAGCACTGCATCAAGTGACAGTAACTAAACTAATCATTCTAAAAAGGCACTTGACCACCAATCTTTAGAGTGCAAACTAGACATTCTTGCTCCTGTAAGCATCCAAAATGAAGTTAGTGCCATAAATAGACGTCTGCCGCGTTCATGGCATGTAAAGAGCTATGACCTGATTCTGCACTCGATTCTGTACTCAATTAGCAGGCTTGAACCCACCAGCCTCTTACTTGGAGGTGTACTCAAAACATGCATAGGCATGTTTACAACTCAACTCATTGGTTCCAACTTCCAAGTTGAGGACCTATGTTGAAACCGGCTTCTGGGTTCACGATAGTTAAACATTTACCTCAGCATGTCGTTGCTGTATAATTGCGGGCCACTCAACGCGGGAGAGATGCTGAAAGCGTGGCTGTTCGTGGAGAAGGAAGGGTGCGAGAGAGGCAATGGCCGATCAGGAACCGGTGGAACTTCAATATCCCCTTCCAACATCTTCAATGCATCTGAGATACTAGGCCTTAAAGCAACCATAACATGAGCACACAAAATCCCTACCAGCACAAATCTCTCCATTATCGCCTTTGGATTCGAAGTCGAAGAATCCTCACCACCACCGCCCCTCAACAAGGAAGGATCCAGAGCTTGCTCTAGGTTCCCAGCTTTGACTAGTGCCCAAGCCCAGTCAGTGATCAGAAACCCATGTGCAGAACCTGAAGAAGACATATCCAGTGCTTTTCTTCCACACATGATTTCCAGTACAACCACTCCGAAACTATAGACATCGCTCTTCTCGGTTAACTGCCCGTACAGGGCATATTCCGGAGCTAAGTAGCCGTGAGTTCCAGCCACTCTAGTAGTAAGATGAGACACCCCTTCCTGACTCTGCTTGGCCAAACCAAAATCAGCCACTCTAGCTCTCATGTCGCCATCTAACAGTATATTAGTCCCTTTAATGTCCCTATGGAAAATGGCAGGCTTCACTCCATAATGCAAGTAAGCTAACCCTTTAGCCACATCTAAAATGATATTCTTCCTCTGAGGCCAACTCAATGGCTCCTTCCCTGCTGCAGGAAACAAATGATCTTCAAGATTGCCATTCGGCATGTAATCATAAACAAGCAACCTCTGACTCTCTCCTGTGTCATGATCCTCTCCTCCATCAATCCCACAACAACCTCTAAGCGGCACCAGATTCCGGTGCTTGAGATTGCTGATAATCTCAATCTCATTCCGAAACTCTGCATCGCCTTGAAAGTCAGACTCCAAAACCCTCTTAACAGCCACCGTTGTCCCATCAGACAAAACCCCTTTGTACACAATTCCAAACCCTCCCCTGCCAATAAAGTTCTTCTGCGAAAAGCCATTGGTTGCCCTCTCAAGATCACGAATTTTGAACCAGATTGATCCAGTATTCGGCCTCAATCTCGGCCTAGCTCGCCGTCCCTCCACATCAGAACCATTACCAGACCCCTCCTCCATTCTTCCCCTCCTCTTCCTATTCAAAAACCAGAACCCTACCAAACCAGACATTACAATCACAGCAGCAGCAGTGCTAGTCAACCCAATCACAAGAGGGAACCGAGATTTACGAGCTGAAGAACCCAGTTTGGAAACCAAATCCAACCCAAATATGCACGAGACAGCACCATAACTCTCCGGCCCGAATCTGTTGACAACCCCAGCAGCGTACAGAATCGCGAAGTAGAAGCAACTCGTGGCGTGAGACTTATCCCCATCAATCGACACCAACGAGGACTGAACCCTGAACCCAGCCGCCACACACGAATCACAAGCGGTCAGATCCGTGAGGTCGCCTCTACAAGCCGCGTCGAGCGGCGTCGACGGACCAACCGCAGCAACCCAATCCTGGGTCGACTGAATCCGAGCACAAACGTTGGGCGACATCACGAAATCCGTAGGGTTGAAGCAGTAGGAGACGAGATCGCCGCTGTTGGAGAGACCCAGCGAATTAAGCTTGGCTTGGTAGTCGCGGAGGCAAGCGACGGAAGTGGGCAAGTCGGAAAGATGGAAAACGGAAGTTTCTTTCAGATGGAGCGACAGAGATATACCGAACAGGGAAAGCAGAGTCCGGCAGCAAGGGTCGCTGCTGACTATGTCGGATCGAGAAGTGGCGTTGTTGGGACTGGGTGCAGGGAGATTGTAGTTCTGACAAGAGGATCTGTTCCATGGGATTCTCGATACATAGTTGAAGTCCATTGGGCATGATGATGAAGCTCCGGCGCCGGCGGAGATGGAAAGCAGCAACCCAAAAGAGAGAAGTGCTAAATCAAGGCTGCTGCTGCTGCAGCGACGGCGGCTGCCCATCTCTCAGCGATTCTGGGTTTCGTGGGCTTGGGAAAATGGGGATACATGGTCAACGAGAGAGTGGATTCTGGTTGTTGGGAGTGAAGACGACGGGTGAACGGTGGCCGGGGTGGGACCCGTTTTGTTGTGAGTATTATTGCGGGAAACTTCAGCGCGCCAGAAGGGTCCCGTTCCGTGGTGTTCTACACGCGCACTGTTGGGCGCGTGCGGGATATCTTTATGTCTCGTTTTTGACAAAGAATCTTCATGGCGGCCACCTAGAATTGGTCAAACTTTAAAAGTCCAGATCAAGTATTTTAGCATAGTTAACATTTGCGTTTGGTTTTAGTCATAGTATGCGAAACCAAGATTCTGATTTTAGGAGAAAGGATAGAAGTAGAAGACTGATTAGGAGTCATTTGCAGCAAACTCGGGGAAGGGTTGTTATTACTCCTGAAAGGGTGACATGAAGCTTGCGTAGAATCAACATGAGCAGATCGATCATTGACGACAAAAGGTCTCGTAGCTTATCAACTAACCTCAATGAACAACCACATTTTCACAACACAGATGATCAACGACGAACGATCAGAGATATCTTTGATTCCATTTGGCATGGTCCATAGTTAGTTGAAACACGAGTTAGAAAAGACATTGTCACAATCTCGCAAGTCATACAAATCGTTATAGTATATGTAGTGCGAATTGGCTTAATGTATCTCACCACGAGACATATAATCAAGTCAGCAATGGCATGTTCTCAATCTAAGAAAGCAAACAGATTGATCTATTTAACAACCAGATTCTTCAACCAGTGAAAAAATTTGCAGCCGAGAATCATATGTACTAAACTTGTTTGTCAGTGAACTGCTGCTACAACCAGAAGGATGACTAGTAAATAGTAATCACCCAAGCCCCTCACCACTTTCGCCTTTAAACATGGCAACAAAAAAGTGCTATTTTCTTTCGGCATCAAATCTCAAACTACTGTGAGTTCAGTTTTCCAACCAAGAGAGGAAAAGACACCACATCTGTCTCGAGCTTTCCCTATACATCCACCCACCATGAAAGCAGGGCTTTCCTTCTGTAAAAGCAGATGATATGATCCTCCGAAACTCCAAGGATCGTTCTGTGGTGCTCTTACAATAGAAAAATGCCTTTCTTTGAAAATTCAGAACTCCAATACCTTGATTACACACTTCCGCAGAACAGTTGCAGCAGGAGGCAAGCATCACACTAGTGGTAAACTCTGCATCATCAATCCTTGCAAATAATAGCTCCGGCGGTTAAAAAAGAGTCGCTTCATTCCTACTCGTTCTTGATTGAGTAAAACTTGTCCGAGAGTGTTGGTGATTTTCCGATTTCACTCATCAGATTCTTGAATCGAAGGCTGTAATCACCGCCACTGCCAACAAAAATAAAACGAAGAAAGAACTCAAAATTAAACAACAGCTACACTTCTACAGAAAAAGCTAATTCCATCAGACATGAACATGTTCCAAACTTTCGTAACATGGCGATGTGGATACGTCATCTGATAAACTCTTTCATCTACACGAAATGGGAAGAAAGAAAGCCCACCTTATCCGATTAAGAGCAGCAATTGCCCGAAGAGCGCTGCGGATCATATCTTCATTACGGTCAACTTCTTGCTTCACAGCATCTTGCTTTGGCTTGAAATTGATCGTTTTTTGAAGAGGATCTACCAAAGAGTCCAGCACTGGATATTCAAACCACAATCAATCAGATGGTTTCGAGAATGTAAAAAAATTCAATAAATTCCATTGTTTAATTAGGCCTCACATACCTGCCAGCACAGCAGATGGACATTTATCCGCCAGTTTGGATAGGATGAGGTGGCAAGGCATCTTCACGTCATAATGATCTGCAAAAATCCAGAAAATTAGCCAATTGGCACTCGACCATTTGCATTCCGTTAGCATAGAAACTAGTGGATTTATCTATCAAGAGTTTCTCTAACAGCCTGAAACATGAAGTCAGTTTGAAACAAATGAAAGTTCCACCGCATATTGTAGGTCAGGCCCATTTATGAGGCATATCTCACTTAAATGGGAATAGGATATTCATGAGAGAATTCATTTAAGTACCTTCGAGGCCAGATTTCAGGAAGGGGACTATGAAGGATGATGGATTCACTTGATCCAGACAGCTGTCTAACAATGTATCTACACATTCAAAAGCAGCTTTCCTCAACTCCAATCCATCATCCACAATATGCTTGAAAGGCCCGAGATCAACCGTTCGTATTAATTCTTTCTGCAGAAAACAGAAGTTCAGAATTCAGAAGTTTGAAAGAAGAAGAGAAACTATTATTGGCATGCTATAAGATTCAAGCTTTACCTTAACTACTGTCTGATCATAGAGAAGTGGCAATAGTTCAGGAAGAATTCCCTTGATCAGGTTGGGTTTATTGTGACCAAACGTACTCAAGGCCAACACAGCTGCACGCCTAACATGCTGCATATCAAATTACAGAGCAACAAACTGTCAAGGCTCAATAATCCTGGATCACTTACAAAGCCCTTTTAGTTTTTTCTTATGTCATCAAAGATGAGCTACAACATACCCGGTCATTATCCTTGATGAGCATGAGGAAAGAGGAGATCTCGGGAAATATAATTTCATCTATCTTCTCCGCCCTCTCAACTATAGAATATTTTACAGCAATCACCACTGTTGCTCTTGTAAAAGCTGCCGGACTAGTTGTTCTCACCTACAGTGATATGAAATACAATATGATTCAATCCTACTTGGCAGTAGGCTACAAATGAAAAAGTTTGTACCAAAAGCAAAGCAAGGAATCTTATAGTACCTTGAGAGCGGGGATAAGTTTCGCAGGTTCAATAAGAGCAATTTTTCCCAAGCATTCAGCCACAACATTTCGGACACCCTCTTCATCACTCTCACAGTGATTAAATAGTAGCTTCAGTATCTTTTCAACACTAGAATCCTGGAACTCTGCCTTATCAACTGATTGCCTCACAATAACCTACAAGGAGCAAAGAGTAGATGTTACTAACTGAAACACGTCACTTTTGTCACCCCTGATAAAATTTCAGCAGAAAAGTCCCTAACGCATAGTAACTTACCTCTTTGAGAGAATGGAGCAATAGATATTGTTTCTTCTGCTGATTATCGATCTGGTCCAATATAAATGGTAGATACTTTGACAAATTACCGACAGCAATATTGCCAAGAGCATAGGAAGCAGCGGACTTAATCTCCTCAAAGGGAGACTGGAAGGACTCGATGATGATGGTTTCGATATGTGCATGTGCACTTAAATCTTTCCTTCTCCCTATTTCCCCCAAGCACAACAAGGCCACGTGCTTCTTAGCCTAAAAGCAATCGCAGAACAGAGTGATAAATCAGGACTGAAATCAGAGCGAAGATAAATCTACTGGAAAACAGAACTCACAGAATTGGAACTACTATCGTCTTTGAGGATCTCTGTAAGCATCCTAACGGTCGGTGTACATTTCTGATCTCCTGCAGCAAGGCAAAGCACTGCCACACATTGGGCTATTGAATACAATGCCTGTTTTGCAATTCCACCAGACTGAGGAGTTGGCTTAGCACTAGAAAGAAGTGAATCTAACAAAGCGTCGAAGCTTGTATTTGCGGAATACACCAAAGCAGCAAAAAAGTTCTGCAGAGCCTACAGAATGAGATATTAAAGGTTCAGAATCAACCACAAACTTTAAGATAATAACATTTATATCAAAGACCGCTTGACTCAATATATAAACATTAAAGGTTCAGCACAAAGCTTTCAATTGAAACAAATGATTCATAGGGATCAGCACAGTGTTTACCAAAAGGGCTTGACCCTGTAGCAATGAACTTTTGATCAAAGTTAAAGCTTGGGGGAGAACTTTATTTCTCACGGCCAAACCTATGCTCTGACTTGATCTGCTATCAGCCATTAAGGTGCAGCATAATTCAAGAGCAAGTGCTGTCATGTGCAAGTCTGAATCACTGGAAAATTAGGAATGGGAAAATCAGATGCAATCATACGGGTTCTAATGATGTCCAAACTCAGCTTCATCAATTAAGAGAAGAAACAAAGATTACAATCCTAGTGAAAAAGCACCTTATCAGTGTCGAAAGCTCCACAATAATGACTTCATAAGCAGATGAACCAATTAGATCAGCATACGCAGAAACCAGCGAATTAAGTGTTCCTAGAGTCGCCTGCCGGAGCACTCGGTTGGCCTAAATAAAAGGCATAGTTCAAATGATTAATTTGCATAGAGATAGTTCCCCATAAAAAATAAATCTATGCAGCAGATTAACGCCATACCTTCCTCAAAAATGCTGTTAACTCCCCAATCACATGCTCCAAGATGCAAGCAAGATCAATCCGTAGAGGAGAGGTCGCAATAACTGCAAAAGCCTAAACACTTAACACTATAAGCAATCACAACAAGCAAATCAAAATCTCCAAGGCACATCTTTGTAATAGCTTAGAAGCCAATACTAACACATAAGTCCTTGTTGATTGTTTACAAAACTAATCATGGGCAATCATGCAACACACACCTTCACAGCAGTAAGCCTAGTAATCTCATTCCCCATCCGGTCAACGAGAACAGGTAGACAAGCAGGTAACTCTGCTCTGAGGCTATCACCAAATGTTGAGATGACAAGTCCCATGCAAGAAATAGCACACTCTTTAACCTCCTGAGAAGAAGAAAGATAAAGAATGAATTAGTTCCATAAACACATCACCAAACCAGTACAACTCAAACTGATTCTACAAACCTGGTCTTGATCTTGGTTCGTCAAACGTGACATGATGGCTTTATATATTGGATGAACATAAGGTTGGAAGTCAAAACCATAGTCCTAAATCAGAAATCCAATTAGTCAATGTGCAAAAGACAAATGAGATCTAAACAAGGTCCAAAACAAGCAAACCTGAATATTTGGCCTCAAGACGCGAACAAGTTCCCCGCATACTCTTAAAGCCTCAGCTGTAACCTTGTAATACCGTTCACCCACAGCAGATAAAACAGGACTAGAAAGAGCCTGTTGCAAACAACCCAACAAGAGTCAAACCCAGTCTATACTCACGAAAACTAGTATTAAGCTCTCCTATGGCAAACAATAGGCTAATTAAAAACACGAGAATAGTTACAGAAACTGAACATTCATATACATTCATCAGAAGGAAAAAGAGTAAAGGGGGAATTGAAATGTCACATCCCACCATCGACACAAAACATAATTGATGTCATATCCAAATGACAGTTGCTCACCAGAGAGACAATTCACGAAATAAGTCAATAACTGCAATTACCTTGATATATGGATGGAAGACAGGTGGCGAGTGTGAAGCCAATACTAATCTTGTAAACACAAGAGCTTCAATCTTCAAATTTGAGGTTGAAGATTTGTCCTGTACAAAATTACAAGAGAATTAAAATAAAGCAAGTGAATCCAATAGGTCATATAGTAACAAATAGGATCTAATATAACCTACTTACATTTAGCGCCTTTTCAATTCCAGGAATCAGTGATCCTATGTGTTCTGCTAGACAGTCTGGTAAAACAACCACCAGTTCTTTTAGAACAGAAAAGGCACCCACCTGCAGATGCAAAGCTTAGTTATAATGACCTTATATCAATTCATATAAAAACAGATAATTCAACCATTACCTTCGTCTTGATAGATTTCTCACGCAACTGCCTATTAATAGACTTGACAATCTTTGGAACTTCTTGCTTCAATAACCATCTTGCACTGCCGAAGAATAACAGTGCAAATAATCAGAAAGTAGCAGACATAATTGGCAGCTTTTAAACAAACTGCAACATTAACTAAAACTAAATTTTGAAGGGCAAAGAAATGAGGTACATTGTTCTGTATTTTAGTTTTGGGGGAGGGGGATTGTCGGAATATTCAATGCCTTCAGGTTAAAGCTAAGAAATCCTACCTTGATTCATCCATGTCAGTCTGCCCTTTTGTAACATTCCCAGTCTGACGTAGTAGCTCTATAGATGTATTAAACACGTCCATCTGCATTTGAATTTAATCAATTGACTTGACCAACAACCTTAGTGATACTGAATTGTCAACCATTGGCTGATCAAGGCTTACCTTCACATTCTCTTCCCTCTCTTTGAATCTATCAATTATTTTCGGACATGCCTGCATAAATCAGGGGACAAATGTAGGAAATCTAGGTTAGGTACCACGAGATAACATGCATTTTACAAACATTTAAGTTTTCCTTTCGACAAGCTCAAAGACAACTGAAGCACGCGGAATCCACCCAATGCGACAAAAGCAAACTTATCCACTTTGAACAATATATCCTTTCCCCGATTGAAAATGATTCACATGCTCCTAATCATACCTCCATATATAGCTTTGACAGTAGCTCAGGACGAGAAACAATCAGTGCAGCTAAGCATTTCGCAGCCGCTCTGCGAACTTTCCAGCTAACATCCTCATCATCGGTATATTCATTTGCACTTTCACTGCAAAGTAGTTAAATGTTCGATATGAGTGAATTATCACTATGGACCCAAAGCACAGAAGAAATGACATATTATGCTTATTGAACATACTCATCTTCTTCCTCCTCATGAGTATCATCATCAGTATCCTCATCCATGTTATCAGTAAAGTTGGGATCATAGCTTAGGTATTCCAAAGCAAGACGAAGAATGGCATCACAGTACGAAGAAATGTCCCTGGGGCATCTGAGCAAAAAACTTTCTAATGCCTGAAACCAAAAGTTAAAACCAGAGAATGCAGAAGTGAATAAAACAAAATAGTAAACACATACTGAGTAACTAAGAAGTTCATAGAACATAAGTGGTACCTGCAAGCTATATTCACGAAGTTCCTCGTCATTCTCAGATGCAGTAGTGCAGTAATTGATCAGAACAGGAACTGTATCTCCAAGATGGGGTCCAAACCGGTATCCCACAGCACGGCTAAGAAACCAAAGAATAAAGCAGTGAGTAAAACAATATCTTTTGAGCCAGAGCAAATGTACACTAGAACTTAGAGGACATGCATGCACTCTGATGTCCCAACACTTGAGAGCATGGAGAGCCAACACATTCAAGATATGGGGGTAAAATCGGAATCAAAAGGGCATAAGATTTTATGGACCATGTCATAATCGATACTTAAAAGTTCAAATTAAACTAGATAGTATTAAAAATGCATGCTTAAACTAATACTAATTACCTAAAAATTCAACAACATGAGTGATAAGTATCTAACAAGATCTATAACAACAGCAAATACAGATTCTGATAGTTGTAATTCTCTTTTCTGTTAAAACTATGTCATAGTTCTCAAGCCTATAAATCAATAATATTATGTTTACGGATACCCATGTAAAAGATAATACAAATGAAACAGGTAGGACATTGATCATTAATTTTATAAATAAAAATCACGTCAGAGGACGACTGGTTACCTTAGGCCACCAATCATTTGAATATTTGTTCTAGTCATTTCAGGCTTCACGCCCTTGCTTCTCAATTTCTGAACAACTTCAACAGTTGCCTTGGCCAACAAGTCATCGGACAAGCTTGAGGCAAGAGCAGCTGAAAACAAAAGAATGTTGTAAACCTTACAAATACATTATGCAAAATCCAGAAATATTAACCTGAGAATTGCCAAAATAGTTGATATGCGGAAAAGGAAAATCAGTTGGCCTTGGCCAAGTGGAAGACAGAACAGAGTACAATCCACCGGTTCAAGTTAGCAAAGAGTTATTAAACCAAATGGAAAACATTTAGAGAAACATCCCGCATACAGTTTATACATAGCACAGGATCCAAATCCTAGGCCTGTAAGTTATAAATATGCAGTAGTTCAACATACCAACACATGAAACTGTCTTCTTTCTAACACTGGCTTGAACAGAGTTCAATTGGGACAGAAGAGCAGCCAGGAGAGTCTCATGGCCGGCAGCCATTAGACTTCCAAATTTATGGAGCACTTCACATAAAATATCCAGACCTTCACATTTTATCTCTGTGGTCACACCCTGGTGCAGCCAAAACAACAATATAAATACAAGACTTCCTCGAAGGCAACGTGTGCAAGGCATATGCATTCAATTACTCACCTGAGTAGTAATTCCGTTTATCAATTGTGGAGTCAAGGAGTTGAGAATCAACTGAGCAAGAGATGGAGCAGTAACTTCAGCTATAATAGTCTTCAAAGCTATGCTAGCAATGTCACGATGCTGATCTTTAGGGTTCAGCAACTTAACACAAAGTTTACTAGTCATCTCAGCCACTCGTGCATCAGTCACCTTCTTCACCAATGGGGCAAGACTGCAAGACCATGCCGTCAAGACAGATGAACAAAGCTTTAGCTACTTTAGAAACATCCAACTCCTACACTACATGCCATCACAGTGGCCAGTACAACTGCAACAAGGTGCATCAAGTAACGAGCACATAAACTAGCAGTTAGAAGGAAACAAGATGTACCATTTTACAGCCAATCCAGAAACATCGCCAGCAACATCATCAAGTTGCTGTAGGATGATACTTGTCAACTTTATCTCCATGTCAGCATCGGTCTTGAACCCATCCTTGTTCAACTCATTCAACAGATCAGATGTGGCCATGTATCTGTAGTCTTTATCTTTTCCAGTCATCTGTCCAAATAATAAACGCAACCAAAATGTAATCCGACTGCCAATCAAGAAAGCTCGCACATCAGACACTGAGCAAAGAATCATACCTTCTCCAGAATACCAGTCAATTGCAAATTCGCCATTTTTACTTCCTAAAAGGGTGATCAATACGCTGATGCCAAATCTCCCGTCCCGTATATCACACCTACGTAAGAGATAGTCATAATGAGGAAAACTTGATCCAGCAAAAAGAAGCAGTAGCATTTAATGCAAAGAGAATCAAGAAACTGCAGTGCACGACATTTCACTACCGAGCTACCACAAGAGTGTGCTTGCATTCTGCAGCCACTGTACAAACCTGACCGGCGGATGACTTAAAGCACATAAGGAGCTCGTTGCTCGTTACTCGCTACGCAGCGATCAGAGCAAAATAACCGACAAGAAGGTTTGACGGAGAAAGATTAGAAGGACGGGGAAGTAAACGAGACAGAAAGAACCCTAATCAGAATCCAGTTGCGACACGAACAGGGAGGAACAGGGAAAGGGACGGGAAAAGCGAAAACCCTAAGCAGTCAGTAGAAGAGTGAGGGGGAGAAGGAGAATGCATGAAGAAAGGAAACCCTAGTAAACAGCAGAGTTACGGAATTGGAGAGTGAAATCTGTGGAAGAACACACAAGAACGACAACAGTGGAGGAATAAGACGGAGAGGAAGAAGAAAAACCTTTATGGAAGTCGGAGTATGATCGGCCGAGGGAGTGAGGTCACAACTCAGGTGGCGAGTCTCGCATTTCACAAACCAAACGAAATTGACGTCGTGTGATTTCCAATCGAAAACCTTATTATGGATCGATTTATGGGTATGTGGAGTCCATTTTCTTCACCGGGTACGGGCTCTGTTTTCAAAATCGGATCGAAAGTTGAACCGGAAAAGCTAGTGTTTTATGATTCAGTGGTTAACCGTTACAAAACCGTTAGTTAACCGTTGATGGAACCTTTCATGTTATATAGAGTATAAGACTTATATTATACTGATTTAAGAATGAAGTTATCATTGACCATAAGGAATTTCAAATTCATATCATCGTCAAATTATTTAATAAATCATTGAAACCGTTTCACAAAAGAAATCATAATTTTTTAAATTCAAATTAAAAATTACGATGTCGGTCAGGTAGTGGACGACAAGGTTGGAAAATGAGAATAGAAAAAAATATATGAAATTAATAATTATGGTTTGATGATCTTAGTTTACGTTAAAGTATTTAGGGTAAATACAATTTAATATCCAAACTTTTTATTTTAAACAATATAATAGACAAACCTTTTCGAAAACAATCTAATATCCAAATCGTCAACTTTCTGTCTGTTTGATCGTTAGTTGACACTTCAAAAAAGTTCGAAGTACGACACTTCATCAATATTCATCGATATCTTCTCTGAAAAACCACCAACATATCGTAGTTCCAAACCCGAGAAGTCCATGACTCCACCATGATGGTATAGAATATCTAAATATTCAGTTATCTGCAATGCCAAAACAAGAAACAAAGTTGTATTGTGACAATTTCCCCTAAACGAAGCTTTTTTGAAGTGTCAACTAACGGTCAAACGAACGGAAAGTTGACGATTTGGATATTAGATTATTTTCGAAAAGGTTTGGCCATTATATTGTTTAAAATGAAAGGTTTGGATATTAAATTGTATTTATCCAAGTATTTAATAAAAACTGTGGTTAAAATAGTGAAGCAGTGGACCAGTTAAACAGTGGTGGTTCATCTGGTTTTATGTTGAACCGTGAAAAACCGTTTGGTCCATCAATAACCGTCCAAACAATGAACCAGATCGCTATCGTAATTGGTTTGATGGCTCTACTGGCACAGCCGTTTGATCCGATTCGGTTCTTATAACAATGGGTACGGGTCAACCCATGGATCGACCTACAAGTTGAAAATCTTGACTCTTGGGCGAGTGTATTCATAAAGTCGCAATGATATGTCATGTATTTTCTGCGAACTCGAATGGTAGATTAATTGTTTGGACCGTTATTGTCGGATTTTGTATTTGAAAATAGAATAATTGATTCGGTTCGTTTATACTAAAAAGTTGTGCGGGAATAAAAAAGATATATGCAACACATACTTCTTCTAATGTATTATTGTAGACCATGCATAACAATAGACATTACATTTCCACTTGCAATTTGCAAAGAAGGATGAATATTATTGCAGATATCATCCTTCCAATCCAAACTATACTCAACTGAACAAAGTGTACAATGTCATCACGACCCGTTCTCATTTTCCTCCTAGGAATCTAAGGCATTGTTCTGACTTCGATGAATCATTGGGATGTAAATAGTCATATAATCGATAGTCGTCGAAATGTGAGAGAAATCGCACCATCTCCCATGGTTGTTTATGCACGAGTGCATGTTACACTGTATGTATCTCAACATATATACACAAAGGAGATACAAAAATCTCAAGCAAATGCTTAGAACAAGAAGAAAAAAAATTACAGCCGCATCGCTCTAGGCTCGAGTCCTGTGTCCCCTTCTAACAACTCTTCGAATGGCTCTTCACGTTCCCCCTACACGAGAGGACGATACATGCTACGTTATCCAGTTCGATTTTTCGACAAGCAAGAAATCAACATTGCAGCAAAAACAATGAAAACAGACCTTAAGCTCTCTCGAATCTCTTCCGTCGTCATTACTCCCCGATGTGTCGCCATCCTCGCGGAGAATTTTTGCTCCGCATCCAGGTGCATCCACTGTTCCGACGGCCTCTTCATCGACCACAACTGCGCTAATAGCACACGCGCCTTCCTTGTTATCAGGAACCTGTTAACCGCGGAGGAGACGAAGAAAGAAAGCAAGGTCCTCCTTTAGATGATTGATTTTATACTATATTACTCACCAGTCTCACCGTCTTCCTTCTCGTAAAGGAAATAGTTGGAATTTAACAAACCTCGAACATAGCTTCTGTGAGAATGTTTTCCAAGATGCCTCTTAGACCTCGGGCACCTGTATTTTTGGTCATTGCTTTCTTTGCAATCAATCTCTGTGCACTCTCGGTGAACTGCAACTTAACCTGCAGCGACAGGGAAAGGATGTTAGCATTTACCACAAAGAGAAACAAAGAATGTTCTGGTGATCCTGGTACAGGGTCAAGGGTTGCTTACATTGTTCATGCTAAACATCTTTCTGTATTGTTTCCCAAGTGCATTTTTCGGCTCCATGAGGACCTTCATATAAGAATCAATTACATCACGCGTCATGTCAGCTTCTTTAATCGAGATGAGAAGCATTTAGAGCAAAGAACAATTTCAACTGTGAATGCACCGCACCAATTTCAACTGAGTTGACAGACCAAAAGAGGCGTGAATGAAAGCCTAAGCAGTCAGATATCAGCTAAAGGGACACGACTACACCACCTTTTAATGTTTTTTCACTAAAGCAAATAAAGATCAAAGAAAGCTGATAAGTAACAAGATGGAAGTTGTCTTACTGAGCTACTGTTATACTGGTCATCAATAAGACCATGCATCTTCTCCTAACAAGCAGACAAGACATACCTGAACAAGTTGATCCTCAGTTAAAGCTGACAGGCTTACTAGAATGGGAAACCTTCCAACAAATTCAGGGATCAAGCCATACGCCACAAGATCCCCACTTTCTACCTGCAAGACGGGGTAAAGAGATAGGTGTTGTTGCAACAAGTTCAAGGATGGGAGTAAGACTATTTATCAAGTACATGATTGGTTAAACAAAAAGAAGATCAAGCAACTCAGACCAGTTAAGGAAGCATATGGGGACAGCAGATTCAATGCTTACAGATTCCAGCAACGATGATGTCACTAAAGCACTAGTCACCCCACTTCTCCTCATGTTCTCGCGAACTGGAGCTCCAAAGCCAATTGAAGCATCTTGACGTCTGGAAATAAATGGATACTTGGATAGTTGTTCCTTTTTTAAGCTTGTGAGCTTTCAAACAGAAACTGTGAATGACTACTTTGACCACCATAAAATATCAAAATGGGTTACCTTTCCGAAATGGTTTTCTCCAAATCCACAAATGCACCACCACATATAAATAGAATGTCTTTTGTATCCATCTGCAGTTATTATGAGATCCTCATAAGTCATTGCAGCTGGTAATCAGGAAAACAATGAGCTGAAGGCCATATTTTCTTTATCTGTTAGCCATCTATGGAACCATTAGTTATCTTCAAATCTGGCTCCCTTCACTAATGAGGTCGGCAAAGGTTGTGTCTTGTGTATGGCGTTTTGGATTTCATAATATGCACATCTTTGAATATTTCTTTTATACTTTCGCCATGGGAGACACTTCTTCCTCCTATATAGCTGCTTCTCAAATCAACTGCACTTTCTTTCAACTTCTCCTGGGGACTATTAAAGCTAATTTCTCCTACTAATCTCCTACTGATAAGAAGAAATGAACCCATACAAGAGCTACCAGTGGCATATGTTCAAAGCTTCCAAATCAAATGTCACACTCACACACCATTTTTAAGTTGCACAGAAAGAGAACTGAAGGTTGAAGAAAAATACAAACGAAAGTTTAGTTTTTTAACCACCTCGTTAAGGCTGTTTGTTATAGAGGGCTACAAACAAAGTAATCTTTTTCCACCAGTAAACTAGGAAGATGAACATCCAGCAAAAGATGGGCGATCCACAAAATGGCATGGTGCTAATATTTACAAGATGAAAATTGTCTATACACAGACAAACAGTAACATGCACAAATAGCTCACGATCAGTTTACCTGAATTGTATCGCTGCGATTATGTTTCCGAGGTCCTTTATCAGGGACAGGAACATTTACTACCTGACAGAAGAAGAGTGAAAACAGTTCAGTAATATAATAACTCTAAGTCCCCCTGCTAAAAAGTGTACAGTTGAGGACGCACCGTTCCTTCGAGCATCTTTAGCAAGGCCTGTTGAACACCTTCTCCAGATACATCTCTACCAACAGTTGAACTCTCAGACTAAAAGAAAAATTAATATCATTAGCGACAACAAAAAAGGCTCTTAAATTCTTTGTATTGGAGTCTATCTTTGACAAAGCAAAACCTTCTTAGTTATTTTATCAACTTCATCAATATATACAATCCCTCGCTGAGCTGCTTCCACATTGAATTCCGCTACCTGTTTTGTAGTGGCAAAGAGGACGGAAATGAAATCACAGATTGAGTAAAAGCTAAACCTTAAGAAGAAAAGGAAAAGTAACTGACGGCAAGAATACAGATAACACAATTTGTGACTTGTACAAGACAGCGACCAAGAATAATGGCATCCAGTATAAGAATAAATTAGGTCAGATAACCATGCTAATAGTTTAAAATTTAAATACATCATGAGAATGAGAAGTGCGAAGAATCAGAAACATCCAATTAACCCCCGACTTTCTTTCTCATAGATATAGGACACGATGGATAACCATATAACATACTATCCCAGGAATCAGTACCTAGTCTGTTCAAGTTAGACATACTAGAGGTTTTGATTGATTAAAAGAACAGGTACGGGCATAAATTGGGGAGTTATGGACAATACCATACCGATAGTAGCTTGTACAGCACTGATTCAACATCCTCTCCGACATAACCTGCCTGACTAGTCAGATTGGGACAAGGGGCAGAGACAAAGTGAGCAGATCATCAGTGGAATTCAATAACCAGACAGACCATATAAACATGCTTTTGACTTTTAAGTCAATATCATGAAGCAGAAAATTACATATCACCAATTATGGCCTCATGAAGAATCTTTAGTCAATTAGCACCAAGGGATAAGTGAATAATATATCTTTTTTCCTAATAACAACATCTTGATAATGGTAAGATAAATTATACAAAATGTGATGCCTTCATAGAAAACTAGGTAGTCAACGTAACTTGCCTGTGTCAGCGTAGTAGCATCAGCAATAACAAATGGCACATTCACGATGCGAGCTAGAGTTTTTGCAAGTAACGTCTTCCCTGTCCTTATGATCAAGGATAAACAAGATAAATCAGACTCAACAAATAACTGTACAGAACAACCACAAAGCAAGAAGAAGAGCGAGACATAGTGTCGAAAGGAGGGAAAAGAACATAGCCAATACCTGAGCCAGTTGGGCCCATCAACAACACATTACTCTTATCCAACTCCACAAACTCAGACTCCTCAATTATGTCGTCCATTCCGTTTAACTCTAAACCCGACCTGTCATCCAGATGAAGCGATTAAGACGGTAGAGCAAGACTGAACTGAAGCATTCAGGGTATAATCTTTCGAGACAAGAAAAGTGCAGATGATCAACTGCTTCCACACCATTTGTAAGCAATCTGAACTGACTTTTATTAGTGCGAATGAGTGATCAGACACAAATAATTACAGTAGACCAGTTCTGATACTAACTCTTTCTGCCATGTCGAATGATAAATCCTTTTGTAGTGATTGTACACTGCCACAGAGAGCACCTGTCACATTGAAATAGCTATTGAAATCCAGACCAAAGCATCTTTCAAACCTAATCTAACTGGAAAGCATAAAAGCACAAAAGCGATCTGTTCGAGCATTTTGGTTTCACTCTACAAACAAAAAAAGAGAGAAATGCTTACCCTTTTGGCTTTCTCCTGCCCAATCACAAACAAATCAAGCCCTTTACAAATCTCCTTCGGAGTTGGCAACCCCTTTTCCAACTTCACATCACCGCATTCCTCCACATCGCCAATCCTGCCACAATCTTTCTCAACAAACCCCTCAATATCCCTACAGTTCTCGTCATTATCACTGCTAGCAGCACCACTACTGCAACTGCTACGACTACTAGTAGCATTAGTATTCTCAAAACCTTTAACCTTCCCCAGCTCGATGAAGCTCCCCTGCAGCGGCTCCAATTTGAGCGGCCGGAAATAGTAAGCGGTTTTGCAGTTGGGGCAGAAATTGACCGCCTGGAAAATCCCTGCTTCCCGGCCTGAAATCGACAGGGGGCGGTTGGAGAAGAGCACCGGCATCTGCGAGGAGCATCGAGGGCAGTTGACGTCAGCCCTGATGTGATCGAACTCGTTGCTCGTCTTGTCACTGAATCGCCGCGTGAGAACCCCAATCCCCAAAGAGTTCCTGGTTGAGGGAACTGAAACCGAGGGTTTGCAGGGGACTGAAGTTGCTACGGACGGGGGGGTAATCTCGGCGGGAGCAAGGCGTTTGAGAAGCGCGACGGCAGCCGTGGAGGTGGCCGGTTTGGCTCGTCGGAGAAGTGAAATCATTGTTTGAAGGCCGCCGGAAGTGAGGAGTTGAGTGGCTATCGGTGGCCAGTGAGGTTTGAGGGGACAATAATTTCGGGGTGTGGAACTTGAACTTCGTGAGGGTGATGGCAGCCCATGGGATATATAATCGATGGGCTTGTAGATGGCGGGTAACCAGAGGCCCAAATGCGATACGAGCCCAATGGGCCGGAGTTTTAGCGCACGTGCAGCACACAAGTGATGTCGGAATGAGACAACGTAGAGAGAGAGAGAGAGAGAGAGAGAGAGAGAGAGAGAGAGAGAGAGGCGCAAGTGGCGAAGGAGCAAACTGGTGGAAGCGCCACGTTGGCGTCGACATCCAATGTTAGGGCATCCTCACCCGCCACCTCAGCAAGTGGAGCTGTGTGGCTGGCTCTGTCTCCCTTTTCCTTGTGCAATTATTTTGGAAGATGAACAAGTCTACTTGAAAAAATCTTGATGATGTATTGGATACGATGATAATTTTCGTGATCAGTCATATTTTCAAAACATAAGAATATAGTTATTCTTTTAGAGTATGCATAAAAGATGCAGAAATAATGAACCAGTGATATTTAAAAAAGATAGCAACAGTTTGAGAAGCTTACGGCTGTAAGAAGTCGGTTAGACGACATCAACCGCAACACCAACCAAAGCACTGAGCATGTCACTCCTAGTTTTCATCATTATCTTGGCATTTGACTAATACCATCGAGATGATTAACAATACCTACCTAATTATAGCTAAATCTCGAGACAAGTGGCAGTCGGAAGAAGAGAACCAATGCAATCTCGAATTTATTATCTCGTGATTTGAATGGACCACTCAAAATATTGCATTACTTCGTTGATAACAAATAAGAATTTTTATTCATCGAATCAAATGATTTCATCAAATCTATTACGATCGATTGACAAAAAAAAACATATAAGTTGATTGAGCCAAGTAGAAGCAAACATAAATCATATAAAACGGTCAAACAACACATAAATACATCCCCTCGAGTTTTTGTCCTAAGATTTCACAGATCCATCCATCGTGAAGAACTCTATTTTTCTTGCTTTCGAATATTTAATAATAATAATTATTATTATTTTTGGTAGAAAATAGAAATTCTTCTTCTAGGCCTTTGATGTGCTGTGCTGTCTCAGTAGCTCCGTTGATGCCAATTGTACTGTATTGTTAGCCCACCCGCTGCTTACGTTTTTCCCTTCTTCTTCCCCACATCAAACACACAACGCAAACTCTGCTTCTTCCTCCTCCTTCCCTCCACCCGTCGTTACTTCCAATGCCTCTCTTCCCTTCCCCTCCATAAATTCCCCGCCTTTCCCAATCCCCACCCACTTCACTCCTTTCCCTCGCCCAAAAACCCAATTACCCTTCTTCTCTCTGCATCTACAATGGCGCCGCCTCCGATCAAAATCAACAAATCGGCGACGGCTCAGTCCCTCAGCAGCTCCACCACGGCCACAACCCTCGTCCGGGAAACCCTCCGGATTAGCGCCAATCTCGCTTCCGCTCCTCCGCTTCCTTCTCCTCCTACGAATGCTTCCAATTCGGCGGTGCATCAGCAGTTCCCTACCGCCGTCGCCGTGCCCCCTGTTTACGCTGATAGGATGAGGATGGGGATGGTGGAAGAAGAGTTTGTTCAATCCAGCCTCAGGTTGATATGCTGTGAGGAGATTGATGGGCGCCGATGGAAGTACGTCGCCGAGAATGATGGTACCGGCCGGTTTAAGAAGAATTCGGTCCGTGCTGTCAGGTTGCACGCCCCCCAGGCACCCGTCGAGGTAATTGCATTGTTGTTCCTCTCTCAAGCTGCTTACTTTTCCACCTTCGATTTGCCTTTTTTCTGGTTCTGAATCTCGCCCTGATGCTTGTCTACTGAATTTTCGTCCCGGAAAGTTTCTAGCTTTTCTCGAATTAAGTATTTGGGTTTTCAAGCTTTTGAATTTGGGGATTGTTACTTATCGTTGTTGAACTCTTCTGAATCAAGTTCTGGCGGGATGTGTTTTTTGTTGCAGGAATTGGTGTCATTCATAAGATCCTACGTAGTGCCAGAAGGTTTCCCTGATAGTGTCACTCCATCCTATGTTCCTTATATGACTTTCAGAGCTTTGAAGGTATCTTCTTATGATTCCAAGCGCAGGGGAACAACTTTTGTAGTTAGATGTCTGCTTACACTTTCGGTATCAAGTGTTAATTGCTTGGATGCATTTTAACTAGGATTTATTTTGGTATGTTCTTCACAGCATTTCTTTGGCGGGGCAATGGGCGTTTTCACGACGAAGACCCTTTTAAATGCTGTTGGAATTGCTCATAAGCAAGCCATTCCAGGAGCTGTTGCTATTAATTGGATTCTCAAGGTATAGTGATAACATGAAAGAGGTGCTTGCAATTGTCATATAGAACTTTATCCTTCAACTGATCTGCAAAGAGTTGACTTCACTGCATCATGCTCTTTTATCTGCCCACAGGATGGAGCTGGTCGTGTTGGAAAAATGCTTTTTGCTCGGCAGGGAAAGAAATTTGACTATGATCTGAAACAGGTATACACACGGGCATTACGCATTGATTGATTATGCTCCCCAGATGTTTACTGAAATTGCTATTTGTTGCAGCTGAGATTTACTGGTGACCTCCTCATGGAGTTGGGTGCGGGGGTAGAGTTGGCAACTGCTGCATTTCCGCACCTTTTCCTTCCTATGGCTTGTGCTGCTAATGTGGCCAAGGTATCGTAATCGTCTCGAACCTTTAAGCTTGCCATGATGCTTAAGTTTCTCAACATCTGAAGTTCTGGTGATTGCTTGCAGAATGTTGCAGCTGTGACATCTACCTCTACACGTACACCGATTTACAAGGCCTTTGCTAAAGGTGAAAACATTGGGGATGTCACTGCGAAGGGAGAATGTGTCAGCAACATCGCTGATTTGGTATGCTTTACTGGTCTTTATAGTTTATTGACTTGTATGCATAGGCATGAGTTATCAGTGGGCACTCAAATGAAGTAGTCCTGGGCATTATGTTTATTGTACTTTGGATACTGCTGTTGATTATGGCTATTGGCTTTCTAGTTTGAGAGGGTGATTTAGTTGATTCCAGTAAGAGAGTGCCAATTATAATATGTTTGAAAGTTATTTGTAAACTCTGACATATACTACTGATGAAAGTAACTGAACCTCAGGAGTAGTTAAAATAATTGGTAAAGTGCAAAATGATTAGGTCTTTAGGTGCAGTGACATGCTTTTGTCTTATAGACTTCTCATAATGCCTGTCGTTATGTCATCTTTCAACATGCAAAAATGCGATCTATATTGTTAGTCAGCCGGTCTTTGTCACCTCTATGTATATTCATTCACGTGTATAGTCATTTGTACTAAATGTTTGTTAACCTGTCTCGTGAAGTTGGGAACTGGCCTTAGCATAATGCTTACAAGAAGAAATCCTTCACTGGTGATCACATTTTCACTCCTTTCATGTGGATACCTCCTCAGCTCTTATCAAGAGGTGAGAAGCCAACTGAGGCCAGGTCTCATGCTTGTTTATAGTGTTACCTTCTTTCTAGTGCATGGAAGGTTCATCTAACTTTGGGTGACTTTTTATTTTGCAATTCTCTGCACAGGTACGATCTGTGGTTCTGCATACTTTAAACCGAGCCAGATTCAGTGTGGCAGTAGATTCCTTCCTCAAGACAGGTTAGACCAACTGGGCCATGGTTCTGCAACCTTATTCTCCCCTGATCGTCTAGCGTGAAATTTGTGTTTACCATTACTGTAGGCACTATATTTATGTCTGTAAATAAATGTTTTGATATGCTGTATCACCTCTGCAGGACGAGTTCCTTCATTGCGGGAGGGAAATGCTAGGGAAAAGATATTCAGCCCTCCTGGTGTGAAGGAGGGACCTATTGTCCTTGGTATGCTTGCTCTCTCTTATTCTTCTGCAGGATTTCCTTTTTGTTACAACCATAATTTATCATGACGTCATGTATCCTATTCGGCAGGTCCGAGATTTAAAGATGCTTTTCAGGATCCAAGTTCATATCTCGCTATAGAGCCTTTCTTTGAAGTATGCATCCTTTTGGCACAGAATGTAGACTTTGTTAATTGGTTCCGATTAATGCATAGTTTGAGCAATCAATGAATATACTCAATCGTTCTGGCAGGACGAGAGATATTTGGTAACATATAACCCATCAAAGGACAAAGTCTATGCATTGCTGAAGGATCAAGCTAAGGCGGATGATATCCTGAAAGCTGCATTCCATGTAGGAGCTCTCTCTTTTCTATTCTATGCTATAGTTACTTAAGAAGAAGTACGATTTTTCTTTCATTATTTGAGCTTTGAGATAATGTGATCACCTGTTGTATTGTAGGCTCATGTCCTGCTGCACTCCGTACACTCTGCTCAAGATAGCCGTAGATCTTCCTCTCAAAAGGTTCAGGATCGGGATAAAAACTTGAGCTACATTCTGTCGAATGCTGACCTCGGTGATCGTATTGCTGAGTCATGCAAGATGGTCTCAACCCTTTACGGCCCTTTCAAAAGTAAAGCCGCAGAACAGGTAAAATCCAATCCAAGTCCCGCGTATCTTGGTTTCCTCTTCGAGCCAAAGAGCTTGAACTCTCAACCAAAGCATGGATTATTCGAGCTGGATCTTTCGAAATGATTGTCATCTGGTGGTGGGTGTATCTTTGGTTGCAGGGTTGGAGGATGTCAGACTTGCTTCTCAATCCCGGGCGAGCCCGCCTTGTTACCACCGGTTAACAGGCCTGACCGGAAGATCCCTTTTGAGCTATTTCTTACAGATTGCCTGCTACTGGCTGTACAGGCGGCATGAGAACTCCAAGAAAAGTAAATAACAGACATAAAGAACACAAAGAAGCTGACCGTGTGATGGCAAAGGGCGAACGAGCGAGGCAGTGGCAGCAACCAGACCAACCATCGGAGCCTCTCAACTCGTTGTATTTATAAGCTTGGCAACTTCGTTGACTCCATGCCGCCAAGAAAAAAAAGGCTCTGGCTTTTGGTGGATTTTTGGGTTTATGGGAGTCATTCTGAAGATGGATGGGGTTTGTTTGGTGAAGGAATGGGAGGAGCATAAGTGCAGACTGAGTAGCACAATGGATCTGTGAGTAAGTAGTAAATAGCCGTTTGTTGGAGTTTTTTTTGGTAAAGTAGTACATAGAGAAGATGACTAACCCAGGAGGAGACGCAGGCCAGCATAGTTTGCTCAACTGAACTCTTACATTTCCTCCCTTTTCTGCTATTGTTTTCCCGCGGGTTGTGTGTTGGTGTCCAATTTCTTCTGGTATTGTCATTTTGGTGCGCTTTTCAATGTGTCTCCTTATCCTTTCTTGATGGGCTGTGGCCATGGCTTGGTCCAATTACATATCCATCGTTTTACCCTAGAGATTAGGAGCCTGCAGGCTGCAGGGATCGGAGTAACATGTTCTATTAGACATTAGAGGGTAACTACTAACTAGGCTAGGGTGGAAGAAGGGCTCAGGTGAGTTCTATTTACATTACAGTACAGTCAGTGCAACAGAAAATTTAATGAGTCAAGCTGCTGCTCGTGCTGCAGACTGCAGTGCTTACTGGTGGTGGGTTTGATTCAGTGCAGCAGTGGGTCTCGTTGGTTGGTTCAGAATATCATGCATGCTTCTCTACTTTCCTTGCTTGCTTTTGGGCTTCGACTTGTCCACTCTTACCTTTCACCTCAAAAATTTGCCTCCATCAATAAATGTCTGTGCAGTGTTTTGGTTAGAAGTGCTAGATAGTCAGGAGATTAGCTAGTCTGAGAGTGTTACCAGTAACTTGGAAGTTTTGAGGTCGACGATCCAAATCGGATAATATCTTGTCCGGAAAAAGTATAACATGTGCGTGATGTGAATCATATACACATAAATGTACTCGATTTTCCTTTAGGGCACATTGTAATGTCACCTTTCGTCCAAACAATGATGGTCGGCATCTTCCCTTTGTCTTGTTGTTTCTCCCCGTTTGACGACATGACAAATGAGATATTACTTATTAGCAAGTCATACGAGGACATTTCTGGTTGTTTCAATTTGGTAGTACAAATGTACAATCATATGGCGTGTTGGTCCATTTGAGAGGTAGTCTAGTCTATAGTTTCTCCAACACATAAAAATATCTTACGAGAGCTAGCTACTCTAGTAGTCTCAAGGCCGTCAATCAGTTTTGATCCTGACTCGGTGAGAAAAAACAGGTGCCATGCACACACCCTTGGGTCGACCCACAACAGATGTTCTCGAGTTAACTCATCATACGTCGCCATTTCTTTTGTTGATTTTTGAAATGTGCATCTCTTTTTTATTTTCCCGTTCGTCTAATCTTTTTTTTTTGTTTGGAAATTTTATGTTGAACGTTTGAATATTGATGTTATATGAGTATGTGCGTTTGGATTTACGCTATATGTTGATCCAAGTACGAACTATTATTTTAATATGTAATGTTATATGTTCCGACGCATATATTAAATGCAATTTGATATGATTTAGAAATGTAATAAGAACAATATAATAAATTTTTTCATATATACCGACTATATCATACTAAGCATACCATTAGCGCTAAACTCACTTGTTCGACTGGACCAATAAGCTAAATAGTGTTTGGCAACCTTAAGTAGTCTAATCTTTTCGTCGGACTTCCTTACTTATGGCGTGGTTCCATTTCTACCTTGTTAGCTTTTACCATACGGTAAAACTGTAGAAGGAAGAGAATTAATCAGAGAAAAGAGAGAAAAAAAAGGAAGTAAACAACAAAAGAACAAAAAGGTAATATTCTTTCATTGGACATATCTATAAATAATTTTCTATATTTTTACGTTAATACACACTTGTATTTATACCACTCATGATCAGTACTTGAAGCTTCACTTTAATAACTCATCAGTAACATAACAGTAACAATAAGTAGTAATTATTATTTATTACTCCAAATCCACATGCATAAAGGTGACCATAACTATAACCACCATCATTAGAATACTATAATTACCTACTAATTAATTAACCCGTACGTACTCAACCATAACAACCTCATTCAGGTTTGTAATGTTAACTCGGTGATAATACTAACTAATAATAATTAATAATCAAGTGGTAGTGGCAGAAGGATGAGCAACAGACGTGGTAAAAGTAGCAGCGGCGGCAGCCGTAACGACGCCGCCGTGCTGGTTGGAGGAATTAGCATGCTTGTTGTTGTGCATCCACACCTTGAGAACCCGCCGCTTGACGCCGATCTCCTGGCAGAACCGCTGCACCACGTCGTCGTCCTGGTTCTGGATCTTCCACCCGACGCCCTCCGCGAACTCCAGCATCTTCTCCTTCTGCTCCACGCTGAACCTCGTCCTGTACCGCTTCTTCCCCGCCGCCACCCCCTCGCCGCCGTTTCCGTTTCCGTAGGGCCGGCGGTGGCTGGTGGCTGCGGCAGAACCAGCCATGGTAACCGCCACCATCTTCAGTGACGACGGAGAAGTTAGTTTATAAACAGCGCCACCGTCGTCATCATCGACTTCTAGCAGTCCATCGTGATCGTCGGACTCGGACAACGATCCTCCTGGCATGTTGAACGACGTGATCATGTGGCGGCGGTGGTGGAAGGGGAGGAGGAGTTGTTGTTTGCGGTGGAAGTTGCGGTGGCAGGTGCAGGCGGAGCAAGTGAGGGCTTCGATGGTTCCTTGTTCGCCGCTAGGCATGAACTCGCCGCAGCCGTCGGTGGCCGTCCCGCCGATGGAGGCTGCGTGGTTCTTGAGGCACTCTCTGTACCTCACGTTGCTGCTGCTTCTGCTTCTCGTCTTCTGGTCGTCGACGAGTGTGGCTAGTGCGGTGGTGGTGTTGTTGTTCATGGCGGCTGGCGGCGGCGGGAATTCCACGGCGGGTGGATTAAGACCAAGAGGGTCATAATTGTGACGGTGGTGGTGGGTGTGGATCAAGTGGGCGTGAGGTCCACCGTAAGAGGTGTTTATGGGGACAGGGATGTCCTCATGATCTTCATTGCTCGATGCTTCTTCCATCCTCTTTGATCTGGGTGAAATGACGATACAGTCCTTCTCTGCCTCTGGTATATATTGTCTTCTCTTTGGCTGTGGGGAAGAAGATGATCAGCTCAAAAGCTGCAGAAGGAGAAAGAGAAGAGCTGCTGAAGGGTTGCTTAAAACAGGGTTGGGTTGGGTCTGAGTCATTTGAACTGGTTGGGTTTTGGGTTTGGTTTGTTGGTTGGAATTTGGCATTGCTTTGCTTGCACTATCAGGCAGCAAGGTATTTATTAAGGCCATCTGCTACTGTGTAAATGTGTCAGATAGCTAAGCCTGCTGGGCTAAGTTACCTTCTCTCTCTCTCTCTCTCTCTCTCTCTCTCTCTCTCTCTCTCTCTCTCTCTCGTTTCCAGTGTACAATTCAACAAAACTACTCCCTCACTGATCAGAAATCAGAATCATGATGAACAGCTATACCTAGCTTGCTTTCTCCAAATCAAAACACCATGAGAATGAAAAATTTGTATATCAATCATGCTGTCTTAGCTAGTCAAATGATCAATCAAAGAGTTCTTTGGTTTGATACTCATGAGGTGCTGAAGGGTTGCTGGATTTCTTAGGAAAGTGTTGATTACTTTTATGAGCATACATGTTCAAGTTTTATTATGGTAGTTTTAAGATTCTATATAGGAGTTTATCTTAACCGGATTGAATCAAGTTCGGGATTAAAGTGATCCGTTATAATGACTGCTAATCAAATGATATTATGAATAATGATATAGTCATTCAACACTGGTCGTACTACAACTATGTTGAACTATTACGAAGTGCATATTTCATTTTTTATAGAAGGAAACAAAATCACTACAACAGAGCGCCAATCATTACTAACGAAACCCCCCACCGTAATAAAGGCCAATGTGCATATTTAGTACTACTAACCAAGCTACTACATTCTCAGAACGTCACTACTGATTAACAAGACGTTATATTACTAACTGAAATCGTCCTAGTCCAATCATCAACAATTAATTTCGCGTCGACATCTCTGATACAAATGACAAGTAATTTATTTTGCTAGCTGATATGATAATTGATCATCGAAACGATAATCCGCTATATGAATTACAAACTAATCTTTTCTTTGAGATCTGGCCAAATTACAAACTATCTTAAATTGAAAATCAAAGTTCCTCTCGATAATATAAACAATCTTTTCTTTGATCTGGCCAGTTTATTATGTGTCCTTCAAATTTCATGAATTCCTTGAAATTAAATTCTCATTCTCTTTGGTTTCTCTTTCTGTGAATTTTTTTTTTGTGCATTTAAAAATCTGAATTTAAGAGCTTCACGTAGCTCATGCTAGAATATTTGTGCCTGTGATGATGCCTTACTTGAACAGTATGAAACCATCATGATAATTCCTATTTACAAATGTCTCCCTGTACTAAAAATTTATTTAGTAAGAAGGTCATATGACAGAATTGAATTGATTTTGTTACTAATGAGATTAAGCAGTCATGCATAGTAAGTATTTTCTTAGGGCGCATGACATCTAGTACTTATGCATGCAACTCGTGAATGCTGTTATTCTCTTGATTACGGTGTAACTATAAATCACGCCGCATCAAGTTTTGATAGGGAGACAGAAGTACGAGATATTCGAACAATACTTATATCTATCGGGTAAAAAGATTGAGTAAAGCAGAGAGTGTTTTCACTAGTCAAGATGAATTACCAAAATAATTTATTAAATAGAGCAAATGCATGCATATCAATGGATGTGCTTATAAATCAATGAAACCTTTTAATAGTCATCAATGGGTACGGTTTAGTTAATTATATGGCCATGTCATCCGTCGAATTTGAGTATATGAATCGTTCAGAAGAATTCAAAAGCTTCATGAAAGAGGTAAAGAGAATCATGATATATGGTTTATTGAGGTCCCCGATGGAAACTTTTCTTGCCTTTCAAGCAAATATGGTCATTTAGATATGATATTTGGCACCAAATATCAGGGTTTAACTGAATAAAAAGGCGCAATATTTAGAACCAAATGTCACATTTCCTTGTTGACCTTCTAATCAGGGATTTGAAAATCGCTTCCGGAATTGCTTTAATTTTCTTATGAACAACCAAACAAAGAGTTTTAGAGACAAAATACTCCTCACAATTACAAAGCCTGCATCAACTAGCTAGCTAGCTAGATGCAAAGACATACATAAAGATATATTCTTGCATTATTGTACCTAGCTAATATATGGTGTTGTGTCTTAAGAAACATTTCAAAGCTAAATATGTGCAGCTTTCGTAAAAGATGAGAACCATGCCCCATTTTGCCAAACCATTTTATCACTTTGTTTACACCCAAATCTATATTTATTGTTCATGATCAGCATCATCATGCCACACAACAACATGCAAATGTGTAATTATTATATGCCATTTTAAGGTTAGCATCATCCCTAGAGAGATTGGTCCAATATTAGTATATTACCCTTTTAGGAGCTTCCATTTCTTTAGTGGTATTTGCACTAACCTGAGTCTTATGCCCAAAATACTGACTTCAAACAAAGAAAATGGTCCATTTTTATTAATGGGTCATAATTACTCATCATAATAAGACTGGTCATAGATTGCTTAGCTTTTTATTCGTTAAAGATTTTTTTTTAACAGATTTTATTTTTGTTTCACTAAATCTTGTGGTCATAGGTGCAATACAATAGTGAATGGTGATATTGTTTGGTGTCATAATTAATGAGGGAGCTAGTGAGTTGTTGCCACCATAAAATTTTGAAAAAATCAAACAAAAATATAAAAAACATAAGGAAGAAACCCTATTACAAAAATTATTGCTAGAATTTTGACAACTCAACATCTGCAGAAAAAAAAAAAAAACTCATCAGCTGAATTAATTGTATTTTTTATTCAAATATCCTAAACTTCCACAATGTCCTTCTTTAGTGGGTTTATGATAATGTATAGAAATTTCAACTTCTCTAATTGCAATAGGAAAAAAAAAATTCCAACACGAACATACTTCTCGACTAATGCATTCATCTCTGTATGTAACGCTTTCTTTATAACAGTCCAAATTAAACTAAAATGAAGGGTTTTTTTTTTTTGCATCAATTACATTGAAATGCCTATATGCCTCATAAAACAGACTTATTTCAGTATAAGTTTATAATAAATAAAAAACATAGACAGGGGAAAATAGACAAAGTGCTTTTGCCTTTTGGTTTTATGGTTCATATATCACCTAGTGAAATCGAATCTTCCTTCATCAAATTCTAATTAGGTTTCTTTACAAAGATACTTTATTATGACCAACCATATACAAACCCAAAACAATGAAGCTCCAAAAAAACACTAAAGCAAAGGGGGGGAAAAAGCCGTAGGGAACATTCCCTCTTTGGCTCCCACCTTATTTGTAGTCTATATCTTTGTCTGAATTTAGACTGAAAAGAAAGAAGGGGCATGAGATTCAAAGCAAACCCTAATACCAAACAAACAGAAAAAGAGGGAGAAAAAGAAAAGGGTCATCGCTACTTTGATCTTTGTCATACGATTTCTTCTTTTGTTAATTTGCCCTAGAGTTTGAGCAAGGTACTATTTAGTGCTTAGTATTCCACACTATTTTTTTTTATCAAGGAACTATTTAGTATTTACACGAATTATGAGTAGGATGATATTTACGTTGATTGTCGCTCTGCGATTGATTACTCGTTATATTCAAACTAGTTGATCACATCTCGCATTCCTATTGGTGAACAATGTAAGGTGTCTTGTTATTCTGCCAAAAAAGCAACAACTCCGATTCTTTTGTGTAACAATCACCACGTCTGCAATTACGCTGCCAACCTCATCTTGCTCTCCCGACTCGAATGGTTTTTTTTTTATTCACTGTGGTTTAAGCTGAAACTTCCCTTGTTTCGTGAACTTACACCGGGTGGTCAATTACATACCTTGCCAAACTCATCTCTTTGCCTTTATTTTCATTATCCTTTCGAACGGGTCAGACGTCAACATAGGTTAGCGCTATTGGCTCGTGAAGTTTGTGGGGTCGTCGACACAAAGTTATCAGTAAATTACACTAAATGATAATATCACAACTGCTCGTACTAATGTCATATTAATCGAAATAACATTGCTTTGCCCTTTCTTTCTCTCTGGACCCAGCATATACCTATAGGTTATTATACTTTCAAGAATGATGTCTTCCCTAGCTAGCTTTCTTTTAGGAGGAATTATTTGTTCTTGGTGTTTAAGGATATTTATGTGGGAAGAAAGAACAGATTGGGAGAAAGGAGAAGGATAAGAGAGTGATGGGCTTTTGCAGTTCTTTCGTTATTGAAAAGTTTCTTCCGTCTGGCGTTTATTTGGCATTTCTCTAGCTTTGTAAGATGTACAGTTCCCTTTAATTTATTCTCTTCTGCTTCTTTTGCTTTCTTTTGTTGCATTGCATTGCATATATATGTGTCATAACTAATAGCTATAATAATTTATTTACATTGTTTGATAATAGTTTCTGAGAATTAGAGAGAATGACCAATACTGATATGAGCGAATTTTACAATGCTATATAGCATTTGTGTGTTACAGGTTTTTGCATTTATAGTACAATTTTAAGTTGTAGTTTAACGTTATCGTACAACTTAAGATTGTATCAATACTCTTTTGTACAAATTCTTTTATGGTACAATTTTCCTTATGATACAACCTGAACTTATACATTTAACGTTATGGTACAACTTTAAGTTGTACATTAAAGCATCTATGCTTTACATCATAGTAGAAGTGCTCATACGATTATATCTCTTGACGACTTAAGCAAGTTTTAGAATTCGTCCCACAAAGTTATCTATAGCAAACCCTGATCCTAACCCAGACAACACACCTTAGTATGGTTGAAAGGGAAATACGCACGCCGAAGACCATTTGCAAATCGCATGCTTTAAGAAAATGATGATTATGATGAGGTTTTGTATTGTACACATACAGTATCATTCGTGATAAAAGCACAGCAGCAGAAGGATATGGCATCAATTAACCATTTTTCGTTTATGACAATGAGCGACATTTCGGTATGTACACGAAAACTACGTAGGCGCATTGTATCGATGGCGTTACGATTGATAGATGGATTATTGCTAGCCTCGTTAAAAGAATGGTCGTCCCTAAATCATCATACATAATTATAAAAAGACCAAACACAATAACTCAAATCGAATCGGTTTATGTTCCAGTTTCGATTTTTCATACTTTCTTTGCATGCAGGGGGTTTTTATCTGTTTCTTGTCTTTTGTTGGTTTTCCTTTTGCTTGTTGTATCTTGTAGAAGTGGTGTAGTCATCGTCCTTGGCGCCCAAGCATTTAAGTCGATGCTCTGCCGATGGTGAAAAATGCTAAAACAGAGTACCAGGGAGAGGAAAGAAAGATGGGCGGTCGATGATTTCTTGTGCAGCAGACTGAGATGGATAGATGGAGAGGAGGCGTGTAAGAAAGCAACCACCTTTCGCTCTCATTTCTTTTCTTCAAGGAAGGCTCTGCCATTGCTCCCCAACGTTGCAGGGGACAGGTCCCCCTTTTCTGTGCTAAATTTTTGTGTAATGGTAGATGGATGGATGACCTCTGTTTCTTTCTTTGATGGAAGAAAGTAATTGCTTCTTTCCTTGTTCGTTTTTCACCACTCTTTTTTCTTTCTTTTTTACCCTCCTTTCACTTTCTCTGTTTCTCACATGGATGCAGCAACAGTAGAGAGAGAGAGAGAGAGAGAGAGAGGGGGAGGGAATTCCATTGCCATCATTTTCCTTCTTGTCTTTCTTTCTGCTGCCCTGTTTCCGTTTGAGCCATTGAAGTTTCCATGCTTCACTGTCTGCAACAAACCAGACCCAATCTCGCCCGCCCACCAGCCAAATTCCAGTACAGATACAATACAGGAGGCAGGTTTTAGTTTTGTTGTGTTTGGCATTGAAGATGAAAAGTGGTGTAGTTTTGTAATCCAAAAAGGCTGGCCACCACCCTGCAACTGTAGAGCTACGACTGAAAAATGGTTTCCTTTTTCCTTCTTTCTTTCTTCCTGAAAGCAACTACAAATGGGTTCCTTTTCAGCTTTTGGTTTGCAATTGGTAATGTGAGTGAGGGTTTCCATGCACAGTTAGTTATGAATATGGCTACTGTGCATATGCAAGAACGCTAAACGGATCAGTCAAGCCCCACTGTCGAGGCTTGAGCAGACTTTCCTAGGCTCCTTCTGTTCACAACATTACTTGCATATCAAACAAAATCACAGGCTTAAGACTAGCAAACCATTTCATTCAACCTATGTATGGTATGACTCGCCTATCTCTTCACTGCACTGGAGTAATCAGTTAGAGGGGGGTTGTATTGCCTACACTTTCGACATCACGCTTTGATCTGCCGCGATGCACACATATTACGTTGTGGTCTACAACTTCCTCAACCCTTGATGAACATTTTCCTGAACTCGTCGTTTGACTTGGGCTGTTCATCTCCATCTTCTGAAGGGGGCATGGGTTGTCGATCGGTCCAACCAAGTGCTTTAACCATGTTTCTCGGGGCGGCAAAAGTGTTCTTACCCTTGAGCACTACATCCTCAACCTGCCTGCGACCCCCTTCCTGGTGTGAAGCCTGGGACGTTCTCGACTCATCTGAGGTTCCGACCTCTGTAGGCTCAGATTCCTCATCCTTCTTTCCTCCATCAGTACCGAGAGCTGAAGATAAATAGTGAATGGAGGCATTAGGGAAGAAATACAATCACAATCTCTCTATCCATTGGCAATTACAACATAATCACGTAATCATGGAGGCAATTACTTGAAGATTCAACACCCATAGAAGGCAAAAGACTTTAAAAAAGAAGAAGAAAAATTACTACCTTTTGGAGCACCCCAATCGCCTTTCTTGCCCTTTTTCGGATTGGACCGTGCAATGCTCAATCTCTTGCCAAGTAACGTTTGCTTGTTCTTTGCTACGGCTTTAGCAAGATGCTCGTCATCTAAAAAGTCCACATATGCCAGCCCCTTCACCAATTCAATATAGAAAAGTCAATTAAGTGTGTAGAACGATCATGAGAAAACTATGTGATCACAGGGAGCATAAAAGGATCTTGCAAGAGGAGGAACGAATTAATTTCTAACAGATCCATAAATGATGAAAGGAATGCAGCTCAAATGAGCATATTTAGAGGGAGAAAGAGGGGTGGGAGACAAACCCTCGATTTTCCAGTAAACTTGTCATGCAATATTCGAATGGAAGAGATTCCCCCAATGTCCGCAAAGAATTTACGCAGATCTTCTGAGTTGGCCTGCAATAATTTGGAAATCATAAGTACAACATACCTATAAGTCAAGGAAATGCAAACCAAATTCCAGATTCCCTAGAGTTGCTGCAGTAGTGAAGAGAAAACAAACCACTTTTCACTTGCCTTGAGATTTAGATTGGATACAAATATAGTGCACTCATCCTTATATACTTTAGGCTTTCCACTGCTAGAATCCGTCACCCTTCTCCCAGGTTCATGGTCAGTCTTTCCAGTGACATCCTTGGCCTCTTTTGTTTTATCTCCATGAGCTTGATCAGGATCTTGATGTTGAACATTGCCTTGCTCTTTCTTCTGGGCTTGAGTGGCCATCTTTTTACGCTTTGCTGGAGATTGTTCATCAATGATGTTTGAGCCTCCTTTCCTCTTCTCACGAGCATTCTTAGGAACAGGATTCTCCTTCTGCCCCACTGTAGCAACAGGGGTTTTCAACTCTTGCTGCATCTTGTATAGCTGCAGCTCTTCTAGTCGAGGTGTCACCTGACAGGAACGCTCTTACTAGTCAACAACTCGTATCATAAACAGACAGAAAATCGATATACTAAAATGTAGACTGCAACAGGTACCATACCTTTTGCACAGCAAGATCAAAATCTTCAAGCGTTCCAAATTCTCTCTCAAACCGCAGCCAAGAGTGGCATATGTCCTGGATAATTCTGTTAATTAGGAAAGGAAGGTATCATCTAATCTACAGTGCATTGAAGATGCTATAACCTCTGAAAATTCCAAAATTCTGAATAACAATAATCCGTGATATGTTTCCGAAGGGACACAAATGAGCTGAGCAAACTGGCAACACTGATCATACTTCTTTCTGCCTTACCAAAAACCATACTCACACACCCTATCCAACACCCTAGATTGCAAGGTTGAATGCCCCTTTAAATCCTTCGATCTCACAAGTCACAAGGGTGACATTTACTATGAAGTGTCAGGTATGCACAAAGGATCACACTAGAAAATTTTCTTACGACACAAAGCTAGACTACACTAAAAAAGATTTTGAACCAACGTCCAGTATCAAGAATAATTTTTTTACATTGGCCAGCTTAAGTTTCTTTTTCTTCCACCGAGACCCAACTTCAATGGTAAATAGGACATGGGTGTGTATTGACAGACTACTCACACAGAAACTAGACCACACATTAATCTATGAAGTACAAACATAAAAATAATCTTCATAAAGAAAACTATGTTGAACTTTAAGGCAGGGTGTGGAAACAGAATCTCACCTCTGATCCTGTTCCAGCTAATCTTTTACCATAGCATCGCTTATAGATTGATCTAGCTTCACTAATATGACCCAACTCGGTTTCCATTGTGATATAACCTTGCCATGCTTCCATCAGTGAACCACTTCAAAAAGAAAAATGACAAGCAAAATTAATGACGTTATCTTCGGAAGAAGAGTGCATAGAATAGAAGCAGCTAGGATACTGGTATCTTAACCAAAGGAACTTCGTAACACATCATAGAACATACTCTACCAAGTCACATAGTAAGAGTGTGCAGATAGCTTACCAGGTCTTAAGCAAACTCTCCCAAACACCTCGTGCTGCCACTAAATCTTTCCCCAGATTTAGTTCTAGGCGGGCCCAATAAGCATGCAGCCGCAACAAACTATCTGTGTTCTTTAGTTGTGGTGACAAGTAGTCTGATGCATACTGCAAAGACAGCAAGACCAATTCGGTAAGCACCAGAAGAAGCTGAAAACTAAAGACTCGCTTTGATGACTCCAACTCAAGAAACTGGGACAAATAATCAAGCATAGTAAAGCTATAGACTACGATTAAATAGTATGCAACACATACTTCCTCCATATGTGGAACAATAAGCACAAAGCAGCTGAAAGCAACTCAGAACATAAGGAATCGTTAAATTAAAGTATTGCCCTAATCTAATGCAAGAGCTCTTGGAATGGAAACCAACAGCAATCTTCTATAATAGGCCCAACTGATACTTGCCTGAAAGGTTTCCCTTACTAAGGAGAAATCTAAGACGCCCTCTTTGTCCCTACCAGACAGAATTCTTCGCCTCAAGCCGTCCACTCGCGTGAGGAATAAATCAAGGTACTGAAATAACCAAAGTAATCAAATAAGATAAATTGGTATGGAGGAGTGTACTAACATAACGCTGATGTCAATCTCAACTAGCTAAGAAATATTTTTACCTCTTCTAGGGTTGAAAAGGTATACTGCAAGGCTCTCCCCAAAACCTGTTAAAAGACCAAAAACCAATAGACTCATTACTCTGTATTAGAAAAGGGCAATGTTATTTCAGATTTAGAAGTGAGCAGGATGATCACAATCAAATGGTCATTTTAATTGGTATTGAAGACTCTACCATAGCAATTTTGCGTTCACATCTGCCTATACTAAGCATAAAGGTTGCTACACTGACTCTGTAGGAGTAAGGAGTGAGATTGTGAGAATAAACATACAGCAGATATGTCTTCCTCAGGAGCATGACCACGTTCCAGGGCAAGTAAGTAACGGACCCAAAGTTCTCCAACCCAAGGGCAATTCCTCGAGGCCCTCATGTAAACATCTCTTACAACATTACCAACCTGAAAAAAAGAATTAGTTTTACTATTGCAAACACCACAGGTTAAATATTGGACAATTACACGACCATCAGCTCAAAGAGGCAACCTTCAATGTACTGTCCATATACCGCACGTAATCAAGCCAAAGGTCACTTGACACAGGAAACTCAGCTACAGCTCGTTCAAACAGAACTTGCACACGTGCCGGATCGCCGTCTGATTTTTCAAATGTCAAGTAATTCTGTAACAGAAGGAGAATTTGGGTCTAAGTCTAGTACAGAAGTAAGAGGAACTCAAACATGTAAAAGAAAAATATATATAATTCAGGGATTGTCCTTGTCAAAGTTTAGAGACCTAAGTAGAAAACGATGAGAACAAAACAATGAGAAAATAGTAAAGAAAAACACAAAAACTCAGATTATAGGAAATATAACTGTCGGGCCGACGATAAAGAAAATGTAAACAGAGCGCAAAGCACAAGAGATTAATGAGCTTTACATACCATGAAACGTTGTAACTTTTCTTCTTCAGATATGCCCTTCATACAAATTTGCTCCTCAAATCCAACACGGGCATTATACATTTCCATGGCCTTCTCGTATGCTGATACAACATGAGTAGGAACCCCATCCAAATCACTTGACTCAGCATTAAGATTACTCCCCTGTTCCACTTCCCATGCTTTGTAAGCTACAAGTGTAGACTCTAAATTAACAAGAGGTACAGACAATTGTCGCTGGAACAATTTCCTGACTCTCTGGACCTGTGATTCCTTGGCCTGAATGACAAGAACAATCATGTAAATGTACAAAGTAAAAGATCACAATACATTTGAAAACCATGCCAAGACAATCATCATCAACAACTCGATATCTTGTATCAACCAGAAAAATATAAAACAAGAACAAAAGCAGAGCAATCTCTTGGAATTATGGTAGGTTCTGATGTATCTACAACTACAAGGCGGAACCCAAAAGACTAGGCATCACACTTCATTAATCCTTATTGAGACAGGGCAATTATTAAGGTTTTCAAGTGGCTTATGGTAATCCAGAGGTAGATTTCCAGCAAAACAATAAACTACAGCAGACCCATGACGGTAAAGGAATCGTTTAAGAAACTTCAAACATGTCATGTATCCAATTTTATATTAATAGACTAGCTATAACCAATTCTAATTGTTTCAAAGATCAAAATGGAATCAGATGGACTAATCAGCTAATGAATTTGAATTGACCTGGACTTTCAATTCACATCTAGCTATGTAAACAACAGAAAGAAGTGATAGTTTGCACCTTACTGTCTTTGTCGTCAATTGTATACATGACAGCCTCTTCAAATTCCCTGTATGCTTCCCATATCTTATTCCCCTCCGCGACGTGTAATCCACCGGCAGTTAATGCACGATCAAACACATTTCTGGCCTTTGAGATCCCATCAGGAGAACACTCGCGAACAGAAGGATCGCATTCTTGAATGTAGCTCAAGTAGTCACACCAAAGTGCGATAGACTGCATTGAGAACAAGTACTCTCAATCTTCTCAGGAACTAGGGAACAAATGCTCATACTCAGGAAAGAATCTAACACTTCATCGAACTTTCAATCAAGAAATGAATAGAAAAGAACCAGAACTTACCAAATAGTCCAGGACCCCTCGCTCGTACAATTTCTCAACAGCTACCACATCCTCGGGCCTAGCAAGTTTGATCAAAGCAACAACAGTAAGAAGTTAATTATTGAAGGACAAGAATCAGATGAAGTGCCAGCAGCTCTACCCATTCAGAACTCTATACACCAACTAAAGTAATAACCGAGTGTCAAAAACGTAGTTGATACCCAGACGAAAGAGAAGCTTCATCTTTGGCCCATTCTTGCCACATAGAAGGTGTCAACGGGAACAATGCATTCATAGCTTCCCTTGCCTGCCTCAGCTTCTCCAACTCCCCCATTCTCCTTAGCAGCTTAATGCACTAGAAATCACACAATCACGATAATAATCAAAACAACGAACTAGAAGAAGAAAGAATAAGCAGAAAAGCTCAATAGAAACAGTGGAAGAAAGGGAGTAGAAGTTAAAATTTACTTCAACGTGAGCATCGTAGTTAGACGGATTGGCAGCCAGTTCATATTCCAACTCTTTCAGCTGCTCAGCAAGCTGGGAATCATCTTCATCGTCGTCGGATTCGTCACCGGAGTCGTCGTCGATCGAGAGAGCTTTAGGGCTCTGGATATTGCGGTTGCTGGCATCATCTTTTCCGTTCAAATCGCCGTTCGCAGCTTCGCCATGAACAACGGAGTGATCTTCTTCGTCCACTTCCATTATCGTCTCCATTTCCACTTCCCTTTGTCCCGCCTCTTGCTACGGAACTGACTGCTGATTTTCTTCTCTCTGCTTAGCAGACAAAAGAAAAACTTCCCGATCCATTGCTACATAAGGGTCTGGGCTTCCGTATGGGCCTCCGGTGCGGCTGGATCAAGTATGAATATTTGACTCCTGGGCTTTCGATTCATATGGGCCCGAACGTTTCTTCATGAACATTCTAAAAACAGCATTTCCTTCGGCTTCTCTCTAGAGTCTTCATTGCAGATTTTTCTTCCTTTGCCTTCTTTAGCAATGGAAAGAACACTCCAGATCATCCTTCCTTCTCCACCAACTTATATATACATCATCACCTCCATTTTCCTCCCAGGTTCAAACATCATACGCAAAGCAAACCAAAGCAAAACAAAAGCTTCTTCTCCCCTTTTTACGAGATAAAGGTCTCATCTTTCTTTACCCATTGCCCCTGCATCAAACCCCAACAATGAAAGCATCTGCATTTCTCATTGTCCTCCTAAGCTCCTTAGCAATGGCAATCACACCGGCACAATCCCTGATGCCCTACACAAGATCATCACTGTGGGACATGATGCTCCCTCCAGAGGACCCGTTCAGGATCCTGGAACAGAGTCCCCTGACCATCCCCGCCAAAGGGTTGGAGACAATGGGGACGACGGCGCTGGCTCTGGCGAGGGCGGACTGGAAGGAGACGGTGAAAGCCCACGTGATTTCTCTGGATATCCCGGGGATGAAGAAGGAGGATGTGAAGATCGAGGTGGAGGAGAACAGAGTGTTGCGGATCAGCGGGGAGAGGAAAGGCGAGGAGGAAGTTGCAGGGGAGAAGTGGCACCGTGCTGAGAGGGCTGCGGGGAAGTTCTGGAGGCAGTTCAGATTGCCAGGGAATGCTGACTTGGAGAAGGTGAATGCGAAGCTGGAGAATGGGGTGCTGACTATTACTGTACCGAAAGTTGCTGAGGAGAAGAAGAAGCAGGCGAAGGTGATTGATATTGCTGAGGAGAAGAAAGGTGGCTCTGCTCAGAACATTGAGGCAACCAAGGCTGCTGCTTGATTTCTGTATCTTTTTGGTCTATATGTATAGCCCCATGGAGGATGCAGCTTTTCCCCTTGTTTCGTGTTCTATGTTTGTTTGAGTGGAGGAGATGAAAAGGGTGTCCTGTGGAATTTGAGTTTGTTGTACTGAAATAAGATCACATTTTTGGACCTCCATTGTACAAGTTTCATCTCTGTGAATTTATATCATCCATAAATGTACTAGTACATAAAATTTGATGCAATATTTGGGGATAAAAAATAAAATTTGAAGTGAGAATTTACAAGTGGCTTCTAGGGATCGTTTCTTTGGTACATTTTCTACACCAGCCAAATTACAGGCCAAAAGTTCTTCTGTACAACACCATCCCACCACCAGATTCCTTCCCAGCAAGGGATCAATCACCAACCAAGTCGTGTTCCATTAGTTGAAGAGCAGTCAGCAGTCTACTGTCAGGTAGTATTGGCCATCTTTTCTCCTCTCCATCAAATGGTTCCTAGAGTACCATTCTTTGCTATACTGGTGCATTTGGCTGGCTAGTTTGCCAACAAAAGCAGAGACCGAACAGGAGATTCGAAGTCCTGTGAGGAAAGATGTAAGCTGGTCAGTGGAGGCCAGATTGAAAAACCTGATGTAATGGCTGTGCAGAATGCTACTTGCCTGTTGCAGTTCCTCCACTGCTAGTACGAGCAGCTAAAACAGCAGACCAAGCTTTCATTAGAAGCTTGAAATGAACTCAACCATCCTCCATTGCGAAACCTCCCATTCTTGTGACGAAATCAACTGTCAAAGGAACTATTTCAAGACAAATTCCCCTTCATGCAACTGAATCACAGGAGGATATAGCATTACTGTAAACACAAATGCATTCACATGCAGCTGAAAGTACCAGGATGGCATCTTCTGGAAACTATTGTTGTCCTGGTGGATGAGAGCTGAAAAAACTGCAACATCCCTCTGCAGTTGGAAGAAAGAAAACATCATCCAGCTGCCTGTAGGGCTTCATCTTCAGAGCTAAAATCCACCGACGATGAATCATGACCTAAATCTTTCATTAGCTCTGTCATCCCGTCCAATAATGGATACAGCTCATGGGCATGCTGTTCCGGTGTACCTCCCACCAAGAAACGCCTAAACCCAGAACCCACATCAACCCAGGAACACCCTGGAGACTTCTTCACACCAGAGTCCCTCATCAAAGTTCTAACCATCGCTAGCTTATCCCAACAGCCAGCTGCAGCATACATGTTAGCAGCCAAGACATAGTAACCCGAATTTTCTGGCTTCAACTCCAATAATTTCGTCGCCACCCATTCCCCCATACCTATATTTCCATGAATCCTGCATGATCCTAGGAGTGTAGCCCACATAGCAGGTGTTGGACTGTAAGGCATAGTCGTGATTATCTCCTTGGCTTTATTTAACAACCCAGCCCTCCCAAAGAGATCAGCCATGCAATCAAAGTGCTCCAATCTAGGAACTATGTTATACATACTAGACATTTTTCGAAACAACATTTCCCCTTCAGTTACCAGACCTGAGTGACTACAAGCTGAAAGAACCGCGACCATGGTAACATGGTCTGGTTGGATCTTGTACCTATTCATTTCATAAAATAGTTTCAGTGCAGTATGTCCATCTCCCTGAATCCCATAAGCGGCGATTAGTGAGGTATAGGTCACCTCGTCCCTCGTGGTCATTGAATCGAACAGCCTTTTAGCTTCTGGAAGCTTACCAGATCTCGCATACATCTCAACCAGGGCATTCCATAGCAATAGACAATCTTTATGAACGAGACGTTTAAGAATGTATGAATGGAACTCCTTCCCGTGTCTTAGATTCGCAATTCGAGCACACATGGGAAGGATGCTTGCAATAGTAACATAATTGGGTTCAACCCCAGCAAGCAACATCTCTCTGAATACTAAGGATGCTTCTTCAGATAGACCGGGATAGGCAAAGCCAGAGATCATGGAATTCCAAGTAACAATAGTCTTCGTTTCCATCGAAGAAAACAAAATATAAGCATGCCTCAGGTCATTGCACCTTGAGTACATGGTAATTAGGGCATTCCTGACATTATGAAATCCATCATAACAACTGCGAATCGCAAATCCATGAAGCTCAGCTCCTATTTTAAGGCTTCCAATATGGGAACAAGCACTTAAACCACTAAGAAGTGCTACTGAATCCAAATTAACATAATACCTCATCTTAGAGAGCAGGTAAAGGACACCTAAGAAGTTCCGACCACGTAAACAACCTCCTGCCACAGTGTTCCATGTTATGTTGGTTATGTCATCAACTTCTAACTGCATTTTCTCAAATATGTCAAATGCTTCCTTCCACAAGCCCCTTGATGCATAACCACAAATAATAGCATTCCATGACACTGCATCCCTTTCCGGCATTTCATTGAACAAACGACGGGCAACTTCCAATTCCCCAGTTTTACTATACATGGATATCAAGGAATTATGCACAAACAAACTCCATCCATGAGAGCTAGCATTAATGGCGTCATGAACCTCCCTTCCGAAAGGGAGATCCAACAGTTCACCACAAGCCTTCAGAACAGACGGATAAGTGAAATTATCTGGTCTAACTCCTTTACTCACCATCTGTTTATAGGCAGAAAGAGACTCTTGATACATCCCATTGCCAACATAAGCAGATATGAGCAAATTCCAAGGCAAAGGGTGCATAATATTTGCATTCTCAACAATAGAATGAGAATCAACTACGAAATCGAAATTTGAGTAGAAAGTAACAAGCTTTGGAACCAAAACAGGATGTCGATCCAAACCCAACGAGATGACATGGGAATGGAGCTGCCTACCTTGGCAAACCGATTTCTGCTCGGTGCAAGAGAAGAGAAGACAAGAGATGGAATGTACGAGAGAGTCACAAGCTGCAAAGGACCGAGCATGGCGCTGCACCAAAGAGAATGTTTCGAATGCTTTGGAGACATTTCCTTGGCTTGTGTAATCTTTAAGACAGCTTACTAAGAAACTCAACATGATATGCCCATCCTTAATAGCATAACTCTGGCGAATTGGAGCCTCCACCACAGTATTATCCACCTGTAGCTTAGCACTTTCTTTCCACTTCCTAGGTATAAACCTCTGTATTTCAGCTATGGATATGCCCTTCAATACCAACGGGGAAGAAGATGACCGCATGCACTAAGAACATAGCTCCGTCCTATACCTCATCATCTCCATAGGCGAGCTGTGCGTTTGAAGTCGGCAGATGGATAGTTGACTTCTCGCGTAAAGGATAAAAGCTATAAGAATCAGCCATTGGCCAACCATGTTGAGAAGCTACTGGAAACTTGCTCTGAAACAAAGTGTTGGCAGCAACCCCATAAGCTGCTGCAGAACTGAAAGCTATTGCCTTGCTTCTCCTGCGTTAAGTACGGACAAACACAAACAATCCAATTCCAGGTGTTCCCAGAGGATCAGCATCTTCGACTGCAACAATGAAGCGATAAATCAGCCATTGTATCTTGCAGGCCTTCGCCAGTAGCTCACTGCTGCAGCAATTGAACTAATGAAGTGCGGCAGAGGATGAACTCAACCGCTTGACGCTAAATGCTCTCATTCGGAAACCTCGAACTACTTGGATAATAAAAAGCACCAAAGTAGGATACTTGACAGCAACGCGAGCGTCAGGTATGAATTCAAGAACCCCAATTTGCAACATCCAGTTGCAAACAGACGGCTTTTCACAAAGAAACTGGACGAGATTGATGTAGAATTTGCAGATTAGGGTTCTTTTTTTGGTTTGTTTGGTTGAACATGGGGACTTGAAGCCTCGAATCGACTCGCCGAGGAAGATGAAGCAAAAATTAAATTCCCGTTTTTGTTTTGAGACAGACGGGCTGAAGCCTACTACAGTGATAAAGGAAAAAGATATTGGGCCGAGGCCCGAGGTTCGGTTTTTGGATTCGAATCTTTTTCACAGAATGATCCAAATTCTAATCCAGACTTAGATTAAATCAGTTTGCAGGAAATAACAGAGATTAGACACTCTAAAAACACGAAGCTGGCAAAGCTCTACAAAGTCTGTCAAACAGCAATTGCAATAACTCAATCATCATCACATTGTTGAAGCTCGGGTTTCACAATTCACAGAGTGTACGAAGTCACAACAGTGGCTACAAATTGGTAACTCAGAATTATGCTTTATGACTTTTCTATTTCTCGCAACTGCACTACCCCATGCCATACTTTGTTTCAGCCGTTGAGGGCATCCTTGAATCTCTTGATGCAATGCAACCCAATGCTCTCGCTCGAAATCACCATCGGACAGGCCAGTTGCGAAGTGGCAATAGCCATTAACCAGGGAGACCGGTCCCCGACGCACTGCTGATACATGGACCTATTCCCCGAAAAATGCTAGACTCAGCAACCCAGGAGTTCATTTCCAGAATAAATATAGAGTAAACTATACAGAGTTTAGCATACAGTTACAGAAAGACAACAGAAAAGAGTAAAAGGCAAGAAAAAATTAGAAATTTACCTACATATGAGGACGGTTGCAGTTGGTCATCTCCAAACTCGAACTGGGTGCATCATGCCGAAGGTAGTCCCCATATCATAGGCACCATCACTTCCCGTCCCCTACTTGGAATGGAGACCTGGCATTTCACCCCACCAAGGCAAGAAGCATATGAGCAATAGTGCAAGAGAACTGAAGGAGCAGGGTTAAGACTTCAGTGCAACAACAGCCTCACCTTTCTTTGCTTTCTTGTCCTTCCCTTTCAAGGATTCAGACTCCTCAGAGGACCTTGAATTGAGTGAGACAAGAGCTTTCTGCGGAGGTAGTTCAGCAATGAAAAGTAATGTCTGTGCCCAGCCAGCATATTTACCATACTTCATCACAAATGCATCTGCAACACGGCCACAGAGCTTGCGTGTAAGGCGAGTGCCAGCAAGCTCGGGTAGGAGATATCTTGTAGCAATCTGCACAACCCCACAAAATAGTAACATTTTCACATCAGAACAGCTCAGCAGAAATGTCAACAACAAGTGGCCAGTCATAGCTGCATCCCTGAATCTTGATTAACACATATTTACTATGTTCTCATAGTTACTAGTATGCAACAGAGGCGCCAAGCAGAATGCAAGCTTTATCATAGAACATCAAAGTATTATCAGGGGACATGTGAAGTTTGGCCATTCAACCCAAAGCCATCATTGCATTGGCATTATAGAAATCAGGTATAACTGTCGTAACTGAGTAAACAGACTTTTCTCGTATCCATCTATACTATACAGAAAGCAATTAGTGCTGGTTTTCATAAACCTGACAATGGATTCTGCTCTACCTATAAGGTGCTCATGAACTCTAGATATGTTTGAAAGCTCATCACTTACCTGCCACACATGGGTATCAACGGGAATAGCATGGTGCTGATCAAGAGAGAAGAGTGCAATGCAGGCAGCCACCTTGGGACCAACTCCGGGCAAAGTACTCAAAGCATCAATCACAACTGGGAGGTTCAATTTGCGCATGGAAGCAAGCCACTCTGAACCTCCACCAGGTTTTGACTGCAAAGCATCCACCGTGCCAGTAATATACTTCGCCCTGATCAAATGCAGCAACAACAACAAAACCAACCAAGCTCAACAAATGCAAATTCGATTCAGCAATCAAGTTGTATTTGAACAAGAAGAAGAAGAGTTAGGGTTAACCTATAACCAAAACCAGCTTCTCTAAGCTGCTGCTCCGTAACCCCAGCCAGCCGCTCCAGAGTGGGGAACTCATGAAACTCGAAATCCCCAACGGTCCCCAAACATTCCCCCAGCGAGGAAAGGAAATTCACCATTTTAGTAATGCGGCCGATGTTATTGTTCGAGGAGCAGAGGAACTGAATCAGACACTCCAACGGATCCTGCCTCAGAACCCTAGCTCCCCTCAGTTGCTGGGCAAGCTCAGCGAACCTCGGATCGGAGGCCGAGAACTCGCGCCAGAGGTCGGCGAGGGAGACTTCGGCGTTGAGGAAGTCGAGTAGCGCAGATTCGGCGTCGGAATGCGACGGCGTTCGATGAACGTGGTAGTACACGCCGCCATTGTCGTCGTCGTGGTGCTTGAGAGAGATCAGGTGGGGGCCGACGGAGCCGGTGTATTGAAGATGGCCGGTTTGCCTCCAGCGGAAGGTCTGGCCGGTGGGGAATGTGAGCGGGAGGGAGAGCTCCGATTGGCTGAGGTTAAGCGGGGCCCAGGTTGAGGAATCCGGCGCAGCTGTAGAAAATAGGGCAGTAGGACGCTTGAGGATGGCTCTTCTCGGTTTCTTGAGCAGTACTTGAGCGGTTTGCGGCGGCGTCGGAGGCAGCAGTGGCAGCGGGTGCGGCGGCGATGGTTTGATGGTGGCGCTGTCACCGGAGAGTGGCATAGTGAGTCTTGCTCTCTTCATAGTCGCAGGAGAATTTTTTATCGTGTGCGACTCGTGCGTTGAAATTTCAGAGGAAGGTTGCCTTTCTTTTTCTTCTTCATCTCAACGGTTAGCTAAGGGTTGGGCTGGGCCGCTCGCTATCGTTACGGATCAGATGGGCCCCGCGGGTTGCTTGGGCTGGGCTCTATTTTGCCATTTATCGCTTTCTCTTCATTGGTGACGAAAGATCATTTGTGAGTTGTGACTTGTGAAGAAGGAGATTTCTTGATACATCTCATAGTCTTGGCAGATATGAGCAAATTCGAAAGGCAAAGGATGCATAATGTTGGCATTCTCAACAACAGCAAGAGAGTGAACTACGAATTCGAATGGGAAAGAGTTGATCGTTTGCAGGACTATAAACTCGAACCGTCGAGTCCCATAGTTATACGAAATATCCATGGATCAGTATAATCTCGAACGTATGTTGCTTCTGCAGAGGGCTAAAGGAACATACAGAATAGCAGAAACCAAAAAAAAACGAGATCAACTACTGCATCTCCTTAGACGAACAGAAAATCGAGCAAGATCGAGTATAAGCGCCGTACAAATACGTCAGGTATGATATGATCTGTGGGCTGATGATACTAAAAATCATTAACGGCTCCACAACAGGAACTAAGGAAGCTAAATCACATGGTTTGAGCCCTGGGTTTCACTGTGACTACATCAAGCTACAACATCCGGGACTAGGCGCGAATTTCTGAAATTCGGTTTATCGATTCTTTTTATTTCTCACAACTGCATGAGTTGACAGCCAAACCACTCACTCCACTTTGGAACATCCACAAGCAAATGCAATAACCTCATATCATTGTTTTCAGCCTTTGAGGGCGTCCTTGAGTCTCTTGATGCAATCCATTGCTCGCTCGAAATCATCATCAGACAGGGCAGTTGTGAAGCGGCAATAGCCAGGGAGACCTGTCCACGACGCGCTGTTGATGCATAGTCCTGTTCCGCGGAAAATGGCTTCCCTGATGTTCGACTCGTCAACCTTGAACTCGGATGTGCTGCTGAACTTCACCACCTTGTTCAGATATGCAGAGGGCTTGGCCACCAGGGAAATGCCACCTTGAGGCTCCACCACATCCCACCCGGATTTCACTAACGTCTGTTGCAAGCAATTGAGCAATCCAACAGATAAATGTAAGAACTAAGAAATCATGCATGAAAATCGAGGGGGGTATATTATAAAGGACAGGCGTATCATCACTTTACCTCCTTCAAGCGCTGGGCTCTAGTTTTCAGAGTTTTGGTATTTGCAGCAACTGCATTTGTCAGCTCCTCGACTTTCTGCTCTCTCAGACCAAGCAATTTCCTCACAGCGTACCTCATGGTGGCATGCGGTTTACTCAACCCGGGGAAGCTATAAAATGCATCGACCAAAGCAGGATGATTCAGAATCAGGAACCCGAATTTTAGTGCACCAGTGAACATCTTCAGAGACATTCCTCCGAGAAGGGAGACACAAAATGAAGGGTTAGAGGAAGCAAGACTTGATAACGTGGCGTCCAAGTTCCATCCACCCCAAGCCTCACCATCAAATTCCAATCCAGAGAATGAAGTATCAATGATGACCCGAGCCCCGAATTTGGCACAAGTGGTTAATATACTCTCCATCTCTTTATTGCTGTAGATCAATCCTGTTGGATTTGCAGTCGGACCACAAATGTACACCCAAGGCTTCTTCACAGTGTCGAGCACTTTATTGAGTTGCTTGTCAGTCAGCTTGAAGCCATCGGAGTCGGTAGGGATGGTGACAATGCTTGCCTTCAGAAACTTGGCTGAAGAGATATAGTTCCCATTCGAGCCAGATGGGAAGCACAACGTTCCACCTTCTTGATTGCAGCATAGGACCAACTTAGTGAAAATAGCTTGTGCGCTGTCGCTATACACAAATTCGGAAGAGCTGCCGGTTGGGAATCCATAGCTGCTTTGAACAAATTGTTTGATGCTAGGGTTCACATCAACTTCACCCTCTCCCACGTTCTGTCTTGCGAAACTTTCAAAGATTGAGGCCTTGACAGCTGATGGAGTAGGCAAGAAGCTCTGGTCTACATCCATGTGAATTAGGGCTGATGACTTCTCTTCCTCACCAATTGACAATTCAGAATTATTAAGAACGGAGGTGGCTGAGCTTGCAAATCCTATCACCTCAGCTGATTTGGCTTTGCCAGAATCCCTCTGGAATTTGGCAAGGAATCCAGTTAGCAAACTTCGCTCCAAGATTTATGGAAGCTTGATTGATCACATTTGGAGAAAAACTATTTAAATTCAGATTATAATGGAAGGGAGTAACGTGCAAACCTCTGGAAGTGGATGACGATCAGCAAGCTGAAATGCCAGAAGCTCATGGAAAAGACAGCCGTAGTAATGTTGCCTAATTGGAGTAGTAATCCCTTCTAGTACTTCCACTGTTTTGGACAAGGCCTTAAAGATGGCCTCTTCTTCGGAGATCACAAATGCGACTTCTAGATCTGAATAAACCTGAAAACCAAACAGTTGCCTATCTTAGTGCAATCCGTAGCTGTAAAGGAGGATATGAGCTCAAATTGCCAATCATTTCATTAACATAGCACAAGTTCCAGTGAATACATCAAGAACAAATGAAAAGAGGAGTGTAAGAAACATGTAAACAAAGTTCCGGCAACATGACAACCTCCATTGAGACTGAACAAATACCTTGTTTTTCACAAGACCACAGACGATCGAAGCATGTGATGGCAATACATTTCCTGCAAGATATTTGAGGACTCCATTGGTATTTGGAAGGCTTGATAGCTCAAACTGGTCAGATATGTCCAAGAAAAGGCGAGAGCCAATTTGTCTGGTAACATCTAGAAGGTGTACAAATGCTGAACTAGTGACAGCCTCAAACTGAGCGATCCCAGTGATCACCACCTGTGGTCTTAGCTTTGTTATCAGTTCCACCATTAGATCCGACTGTCTTGGTGCTTCAATCACAGTAATCCCATCTTTTGATCCATTTTTTTCAGAAGCCTACAATATTTAGAACAAAAAAATAACAAAAAAATAAGAGTGTTAAATTGAAAAGACAGGAGTCCCTAGATTCAGAAAATGCAGCATCTTAAATTCTTGCAATTCAATTCTCAGTTAGTTGATTTACTTTCTGGTGAAGGTTTCAATACAATGACAGTACAGTTCTAGGGGAACATAAAATACAATAGAACAGACAGGAAAAGTTGATTGTATGATAAATTTCTGATACACCTCATCATTAGTTAGATTCTGAATAAATGAAACCGCTAGGTCAAATAGATGTCTGCCCTATATTGTGACAAAAAGAGAACAGAATTAATAGAGAAATCTATAAAATAAGAAACGTGAATATGAAGACATTAATCAAGTATAGAAGATTAGTTAAACTAAACAATACATCAAGCAGCAACGGTAGGTTACTACAGCCGATGAAGATGACAAAAACTGTCAACAAAAGGTTGTGCATAACTTAAGAGAGTATATTCATTCAAGGACATGTCAATTTTCACTGTCATTTGAATTGTACAACAACTGAATGTAGAATATGAGTAAACTTTTAGGGCCTGATACCTTGAAAACAGAAAATAGTGTTCATAGGCAACATACCTCAATTACTAACGATGTCAACCATTGTCGGGGAAGATGACGAGTCAGGTGTTCATCAACAACTGCTAGACGAGGTGAGAAAAGTCGGAGAACATGTTCAATTGCTACTGACCTCGAGGGAAAGATCACAACATTCTGGAACCATAGTCAGAAAGAGCAAGTTAGACACATGTTACAAACATTAGCTAGGGATTGAAGAAACTACTATGCCTAGCTGCCACTAAAATCTGACAGACTCATGTAACCTATCAAGCATAAACAAAACTGCACATTTAAATTGCAAGATGATTCCGTCACAACGTAGATTGATACAAACTAGTGAGTAACTTGTCGAAATAGCTTGCATGTGGCTTGTGCGGAAATTCTAGGATTGACAAATAAATAGACTAGATTACTCTTTCTGTGACTTGTAAATAAGAAAACCCTTCCTTACATTTCCTGGAAGTAAATTTGGAAATATGGCTTTTAAGGGGTCTGGAGAAGTATCATGCGAGAAAGTAATAGTTGCATAAGTTTCATATTCAATGGATCTATTAGACAGGAAAAAAGACAAAGATAAAAGCATTGCAGCAATTTCATGCATGATATGAGAAAATAGGCATAAACTGAGTAATGTAAATTACATCGGACTTCAATGGAATATGGTGGTATGTTTTCATAAATCCAGCAATGAAATTGCGAAACTTCAAGCTTCCAGCCGGAGGCTCGTACGAAAAACTCGAGTTCTCTTTTAGTTCACCAGCGAGATAAGCTAGGAATGGAATCTTCTCATCTGCAACTGCATCATCTTCAAAAGACAAGTCCAAAGAACTACCCACATCCTGGAAACCATTTCTAAGAAACTTGAAAATTTTCTTCACCTGTCAAATAAATCATATAGTCGTCACATTCACGAAAAAGGAGAACAAATTAAGATAGAATAACGTCATTCCAAATGCAGGGAAGAAAGATTGATACTCAAGAAAAGATTACTAGCAGAGAAGTACACACCTGCTGTGGCTGACGCAATTGACAACTATAAACTGACAAGGCATGAGCAATACGACCACCAGCTTTCCCATATGCCCATGCTGTTCGAGCACAGATTGGCTGATCACCAGTAAGCCCCATGAAGAACTCAAAACGATGTGGACTGTTCTTCTCAATTTCAACCAAGGCCGTAATGTCTGTATCAGCAGCCTGTACAAACATAACACATTTCAAGAAGAATGCCTCACTTGCGGGAAATTTTGTTTAAGTTGGAACCTGTTCTTGCCTGTATCACTTTTGTCTGCCAAAGCTTATTGACATTAAAACCACGACGTTCAAACAGACGCTTACAGACAGCCTGTCCTGGACGGCCACCCATGTTAAAGATCATAATACCCATAGGTTTGATGACGTCTATTCCTTCCTCAACTGCCCTGGCAATCAGACCTAGGCCAAATTGGTCTTCGACAAAGCCCTGTATACATTAAAAAAAAAATGAGGTCATCAAGTGGTCTCCATATAAATTTGGAACCAAGTGCGATTATATAGGCAGGACACATCCCAGTCACTCAGCCCTGCCTAAACTAATACTTTAGAAGCAAGCAAATAGAATCAAGACGTTTAACACATAGTATATAGTATCTCATAACAAAGAAGACAAACTAGCAGGCCAGTGACACACTATATAAAAGCTCAACAGGGCAGGAAACATTTACTACATCTAAATGCCTATACCATCAGGTCAGGAAACATGTACTACATCTAAATGGCTATACCATCAAGTTCCATCCTGCTTCTTACATAGGTGCATCAATCAACAGTTCAGTAAGTATCTAAACTCAGTAACAAGTTCAATTCAAATTATGTTAAAGCATCTAAACTCAACAGTTCAGTGAGTAGATCCTGGTGATGTCTTCCTACCTGAAGAGCACAATAGTTGCTTAAATCATACAGAAAATCTTCACTCGCATTCTCCGTAATCATTTTGGACATGGCATCTGGATTTGGATTTAAAATCTGCAAGAAGATAGCGAACAAGAACAAGCCAAAATGTAAGGCACAAAATACAAGAACATGAGTGTCTTTCAAAAAAATAAATACAAGAACAAAGTTCCGTAGTTCTTGAATTTCCTGTGGAGCATGGGTTGGCACACAACAATACCTGAGGTATGCATCCAACAATTCGTTCAAGTTGAATGTCATTGTCTCTACAATGAGATAGTAGATCAGATTCATAGAACTCCACCCTGTCCAGCAAAGTTTTCTTTTCTGCGTCATATATGGGCTGACCTTTGTCATCCAATGCATTTAAGTATAGGTTTATCCAGGAAACCTTGACAGCTCTTGGATTAATATCAAGGCCATATACCTGAAACATGTATGCCACCCCAATCAATTACGAAAGTTCCAGAGGAATACACAATGAAACTCTAGAGAAAGGATTGCTGGAAGTGTGTAAGCAACAAACTTTGGAAGGCAACCACTTGTCAGCAATTGCAATAGATATCCATCCATTCCCACAACCAAGCTCTGCAACTGTCCTGTCCTTGAAAATAGAATCTGGGTGTCTATTAAGTCCTTCATAGAATGTGAATGACCAGTCCTCAGGAATGAATATGCTAGGGATAACCATCATCGTCAACTTCTTCCTCCCTTGGTCAGCTGTGGAAATGCAAAGTGTGACACATTTCATGTGACGTTATGGGTTTTAGAGCACAACGCAGGTTGTAGAATAAAATAATGGAGTTCTGCAACAAATTCCCAGTTCCATGGCCACTGACTGAGAATAGGACAAAATCCAAGTTAATACAAAAAGACCTCGCAAATGGGAATCTTTTTTTGAAGCGCTAATCAATGTTGGATAAGGGCCTCATTTTACGTATTCTTGAAAACCACGACTACACCGAAAATTGAAATCTAAACTCCACCAAAGCAACCGGTCGAAATGCCGAAGAGAGCAAAAAATGAAGCACAAATCAAACAGATTAGAGTAATCACCAAGTAACCAACATTCCAATTCAAGCGACCGAGTTCAAACCCTCATTTCCCTTCCGGATTCTTCCTCTTTCCGTTTTCTCGGGAACCAAACAGAACATCAGTAACACGTAACCCCGCATTACAACCGCAAAGATTGCAGGGGCGAATTGAATTCATCAAGGCTTCGTCATATATATGGCCGCCCAAAGAAATCAACAAAATTACTGGCGGAATCGATGGGGAAGGGAGAGTGTTACCTTCGTGTTCGAGGACGACGTCTTGGATCCGGAAGTGGTACTTGTTGAGGCACTGATCGGAGTCGCCGACGCGTTTGTAGAGATCGGAGAGGAAAATACGAGACTGAGTGCGCGTGGCCGGATCCTCCAGCCGCTCCAAGAGAGAGCGGAGAGCGGCGTAGGCGGAGTCGCCGGACTGCTCGCACTGCTTCAGGAACTCGTCCATGGAAACTGCCATTGCTGGAAGAAACTGATCACGGGGGCAGACCAGGAGGAGAGTGAGTGAGCAGCAGAGAAGAAAATGAGGGAGGTTCTTCTTCTTTGCTACAGTGTGGAAGGAAACTAGAGACTGGAAAAGGAGCAGTGATGGTGAACACACAATTTCGCGGCTTCTGCTTTTTCACTCACCAAAGACTTCCTATGATAGCCTCTTTCCTTTTGCACTTTTAGTCTTTATAATTTACGTTATTTAACAAATACATGCATAAACTATGAATTTTTACAAAAGCATCCTTATATTATGTTGTTTAACCTTTTTTTTGGTTGTTGCTAACTTGCTATTATGCTAAAGATACTGTTTGAATTTATAATAGGTTAATACTTTAATAGTAAGATTGAACGTCTTGTGGATTAGGATATGAGAGTGAACCTAGGGTTACAATCATAATATTTAACATATTTGACATGTAAATTAAAAATATTTACTTAGTAAGCTTAAACAGATGGTCCATGTTAATTAATTCTGTCCATCCAAGCCCAATGGGCCTACAATGGGGAAAAGGAAAATAAGCGGGCTTTCGTTTTTCCCTAAAATTTATCTGGATGTCGGCCTGGCCGATGCCTTTCTCTTCCGGTAGAAGCCCAAACAAAACAAGCCGATACGCGAAACCCTAGTAAAGTCCTCGTATATATTGATTTCGCCGCTCTCTGAATCACCGATTTACGCAATCGCAGAAGCCGGGAACGGAGGCCTACCGTCGAGCAGAGGCAGCCATGGTAAGTTAGCGCTGTTTTTCTCCTCACTCTCTAGCTCGTGATCGATGCCGTTTCCCGATTTCTTACTATTTCATTACCATGACAATGCAAGAACGGGGAATTAGGAAATTTGATGAGTTTTACTGTATTTATCCGCCTTCGTAGCTGAACAAATGGATGATTTGGTTTGATCTGTGGAAATCATTCCTTAAAATCGTTGTTCCATTATGGAGGAATGGGTTCTGGCTTGCCTTTCTCTTGCATTTCACTGTCCTCCTGCGAGCTTTAGTCCTCCATCCATTCAGTAACGAAACCTAATGATCTGCATAAACATAGATTGTTCCTAATCTCTTGTCCTGGTAGTCGTATGAACCTGCTTCTTCGTGAGTTAATAGAGTAGGGCAGCCGAGACTCGAAGTGTCTCTTCTATACTGTCCTTGGTAGAATTGGAATTGGTTGCTTATGCTATCTGTGAGCATATCTAGAAATCTGGACACTTGTTACCTCATCAAGTATGAGGATCAATCTTATAGCGGATAAAATGTGCAAAAGGCACGCCTTGGCTGTTTCTCATTTGCAACTCGCTTGGTTTTTTGCTTTTAGGTGAACGTACCGAAGACAAAGAAGACCTACTGCAAGAGCAAGGAGTGCAAAAAGCACACCTTGCACAAGGTCACCCAGTACAAGAAGGGAAAGGACAGCTTGGCTGCGCAAGGGAAGCGTCGTTATGACAGGAAACAATCAGGTTATGGAGGTCAGACAAAGCCCGTGTTCCACAAGAAGGTATTCATTCTCTGGGTTTGATCTGGGTCAGTTCAGTTATAGGAACACATCTCATTACAGCATTCTGTTATTTAGTAGTTATTTCCTTTTGGTTTGTACACTTGACTTGATCAAGTCAGCTCATCTTTTTTATCCGAATCTATGCATGGAGGCCTAGGATGATTAGTATTTTGCCTACATTGTCTGATTGTAATACTCATGACAGAGACAATTCCTATATACTGCTGAGGCCTCCTGATTGAAGATTCACAACTCCAGAAATGGAATTTTATCTTGTAATTAAATTCTATTGAAGCTGATGTTTATGCTCATTTCCACAGGCCAAAACCACGAAGAAGATTGTATTGAGGCTGCAGTGCCAGGGTTGCAAGCACGTCTCCCAGCACCCGATCAAGGTACGTTGGGTTCTCTTATACTACAAGCCTGTTACGGAATCTCTCGATGTGCATTCGAAATGGTAATCTTAATTCTTTGCTTGTTGTTTTTTTGGTCTTGCTGTGTGCAGAGGTGCAAGCATTTCGAGATTGGTGGAGACAAGAAGGGGAAAGGAACATCCCTCTTTTAAGTCTTTTTTCTGTTGTTTGCTACTCTGTTTCTGCTCTCCCTTACAATGGGAAGGGGATACTGCTTGGGATTCTTTCAGTTTTGTTATTGCAGCAGTGGACAGATGCAAATGTGCTTTTACCAAGTTGAACCCATTGTTATTGTAGTTCAAGAATGTAGAATCATGAGATGGAAGTCTCTCAAGTCTTCACCCATTTCAAAACGTTCCATACAGCAGCTACCTTATTATTATGACCAACAAAGCTTGGTTCAACCTCGACTTATTAGTAAACAAGTTGAGTATATCGAAAGCGTTTTCTCAATTATCTAAAAGTTTTCATGTTCATGCAACTGACTAAAAGTCAATTTTGTTACCATCTACCCTCCGGTTCGAAATAAAAGCCAATCCTTTTCTTTCCATCTATGAATGACGGGTGCTATTGAGTAAGAAAGCTTGAGCTTTCTTCTCGTACTTGAAATCAACATCCGCCGCAGCAGAAGCATCCGCCGAGAAGATCATAACTCCATTCACCCCAAATCCATTCCTCTCCAGCATCGCCAGTGCGTCAAAAAACCTATCCCCCTGAATTCCTCTCCCCTTCACCTCGTAGCTCGGCAGCAGCTTCCGCTTTCCGAACTGCTTTGCCCGCACCCGAAACGCGCTCAGGTAACCCACTGGGCTCTTCACCTTGTCCGTGTAAAACTGGTAGTTCACATAGTCGATCAGCCCGCCGTACTTCCGAAACAGAGCAAAGTAGGGCGCCACGGTGGCGTGGAACGGCGCAATCGTGGCGACGGAGATCGAACTCTCCCGCTTCAGCCGCGCGATGAGCTCGCCGACGCAGTAGGCAAAGCTGTCGTCGTCGGCCTCGCTCCGGCCGAACGTCTCGTAGTCGACGTCGATGCCGTCGAGGTGGTAGGTGGCGATGAGGGATTGTAGGGAGGAGACGGCGTTGGAGATCCATTGGGCCGGGGATTTGGGCCGGCGCCAGCGGAGCACTTTTTCACCGATGCTCCATCCGCCCAGGCTGGCCATGACTTTCACCGTCGGGCCGTGGCGGGCCTTGAGGGACGAGATGGACTCCGGGGTCAGGCTTTCGGCCCAGTAAGGTTTGAATTTCCCGTTGAGTGGTTTGCCGGAGAAGTCGGCGTCGATGGCGAAGCCGAGGATGAAGTGGAAGTTGATGCCGGGGCGGATCGGGACGGCGTGGAAGTTGATCGGGGAGCCTGTGGCGCCGATGTACTCCATCATTACCTTCGCGGCGTCGGCTTTGTGGATTGTAATTGAGGGAACGACGGTGGAGAGGAGGAGGAGGAGGACGGCGGGATGGATCCATGGCTTGTTCATTCTCTTTCTTCTGCTTCTTGTGAGTGGAGTTGTGATTGTGACACTAAGAATGGTGATTAGATGATATATAGGGTTGCGTAATATTAATTAATTAGTTAGTTAGTTAGTTAATTAGATCGAACGACAAACAATGAAAGGAGGGTTACGTACGTTGTCGGGGAAGGTTAGGGAGGAGTAGAAGTTGAACTTGCAGACTCTTTTTGATTTTGACAGAGTTTGGGAATCATTGGATGGTGCTTGGCCGCAGTTAGTCGATTTATTTTAAACTTTCGATTTTGACAAAATAGTAATCAAGATTAAAAAAAAAAGCTATTTGTTAAATTTTTATGACCACTTATGGTAGACGATCTTGAGTTGGAAAATTTGATACCTGTGTTAGAAGAGTTTCTGTAATGCGACGATCGATAAAAAAAAGTAAATATAGTGTATTAATCAAAAATAAAAAATTTAAGTCAAATTTTTTTTTTTTACAAAATAATAGTCAAATCTGTCATAATATTGTAAAATTTTAGCCGTTGATTTTTTTATTGTTGATACATGAATCACGTTCCTTTTGCGGATTATCGATCTCGATGGTTGCTATGACATATCTTAATGCCAATGGATTGCACGATTGAGATGGATACACGTAAGAGTGCGTAAGTCTTATATACTCTGAAAATTGATTGCGGATGAGGTTCAACTAATATTTTGTCCAATATTTTTGTCCAATATGTTGTCTAATATTTTTTCAAAACTGAAAGAGTTGGCTAGTAAATTTGACGTGTTAGTTGATGTGGAGCGTCGTTAACAGTAACATATCAACAACTAAATTTTAAAAATTTATAAAAAAAAATGTTTGATTAGTATGTTTTATTTTTAAAATTTTGACTAATATTTTGTCTAGCTCAAGAGTTCATACTAATATATTTTTTTCTTTCTTTTATTTAGTGTGATAATCTCAAAGGCCAAGCCCAGTTCTTCCTGGCTCAAAAATGGTTGGGCCACAATTATGATTCGGTAAAAGAGTCCGTGGCCCAGGCCCAAATCTGCCAACGTGGCATGTCTTTCCAAGTTGCCACCCTTACACTATGTTTGGGAAGGGGTGCAAATGGAAGGGGGTGCAAGTTTGGAGGGGTAAACACAAGTTCCAAGGTGTTTACCCCCGTTTGGTTATTTTGTAACAGTAGGGGGGTGCAAAACGTGAGCGTAAATTCACTGTTTCGGCTTACCCCCCAAATTGGGGTGCAAGGAAAGGAAGGAAGGGAGGGGGAAGGAGGAGGAGGGGAATTATGAATTTTTAATTAGATTATAATTACATAATAATTAATATTATTAATTTTTTCTTATATCTATATTAGTGTAGAAGTTGTTTGGAGTTGACCGTTTGACTAAGAGAGCAAGTTTGTCAATGTTCGCCTCGTCAAATCGATATCTCTTAGTTGACCCGAATTTGCATTGAAAATTAGAGATAAGAAGCATTTGTTGAAAAGATAGAGAGGAACAGTTTAGTTAACTCGATTTACTTTAATAAGTAGTTAAAACTTACAGATTCGAACGTGTTTGACTAAGTTTGACCATATTCAATTTAAAGTTAGGCACGAGAACCCCCTTAGGATGACCAGTTACGAGTTGGATTTCGAGTTTCGAGGTTGCTCGACCAATGATTATTATTGTTGTTATAAATAATTATATTTGAGCATTATTATATAATAATTATTTTTATTAAAATTATTTTTAAATCTCTCTACCATTTTCTTCTCTTCTACTTTGGCCAATATGAGTTCACCTGGTACTAGCAGCTTTATCGGGGAAATAAAATTATTTTTATTTATTATTTTTATTATTATATATTGAATTTTCATGTTATTATTTTGTGATAATATTTTATAAATTGATAAATCTATTTTATAATAATATAATTACTTACTTTTTACTCTATTTGCACCCCCCTACTTTTTCATCCAAACAACAATTTACCCCTCCACTTACACCCTCCACCAAGTTGCACCCCCCAACAATTTACCCCTCAACTTGTACCCCTCTCGAACTTGCACCCCCCTTGTTGCCAAACATAGTGTTAGGAAAATCGAGATCACGAAGAAAAGTCAACGGAGTCGGCCTCCGCCTGCTTCCTCCGGCTGCTGCACATAAAATAAACCAAGTCGTAGAAAAGGAGAAAAGCACGTGATGAATTAGTAACAACCCCATAGTTTTAGTGACGACTTCTTGTGCCTGTTGAACCTTGTTACTCCGTGTCAGTATGCCGTTTGTTTCCTTCCATTTGCTTGCTCTGTTTTTCTCGTATTGCATATGCAAATGGCGCTCACCCGGAATCCATACAACAAAAATCGGTTCCATCGATGAACTTCATTGCTCACTTAGCCCTACAATTGCAACCACTATATAATAACAGAAAACTCGATCGTTGTCTTTCTGCACCAATTCCTCATTTGAGAGATTTCATGGCTCAGTTAGCTGCATCACTGCTGTTTCTCATCTCCACCTCACTATTTCTCCACACTACTTCTGCACTGACTGAAGTTGGTGACCGTAAGTGTTAAACTTATTTCTTCCCCTTGTTAAGTTTTCTTTTTGCTTTAAAGTTGCAGACTTTTATCTTATTCTCGTCCAAAAATGTTTGCAGTGAAGGGATTGAAGTCCCTGCAGGAGGCATGGAGGAATACTACGCCACCAAATTGGTTAGGAAACGACCCTTGCGGCTCGAGCCGCCGCGGCTGGGATGGCGTTACCTGCACCAACAGCCGTGTCACTTCCCTGTATGTTAAAAACTCACATTGGATAAAACAGAGCTCTGCCTCTATAAACTAGTTCTGTTTTTTCTAGTGCCAGTTCTTTCCTTCATTTTTTAGTGACGCATTGGCTGGCAACATTTGCAGACAACTATCTGGCATGGGATTGAAGGGCTACCTTCCTTCAGGCATCGCATTGCTACCCGAGTTGCGAACTCTGTATGTACCTCTTTCGCTTTTGTATATAAATAATCGTAACTCGAGGTATTGGAATCAACTGATCATCATTTTTGGACGTATGTGAATGATCACAACAGAGATCTGTCCTTCAACAAGGGTCTGGAAGGGCCTCTTCCACCCTCAATCGGCAATCTCAGGAACCTGACAACCCTGTAAGTTTTGCAAGCGGATAAACCCACTTTCTTCTTCACTTGCAAATGAGTATAGAAGTGTGTTAAATTCAATGTGTGGAATTCAGAATCCTGGCGGGCTGTAACTTCTCTGGTCCTATCCCTGCCACTGTGGGATCCTTGACGAGTCTAACAATCCTGTAAGCCCACTTTTGTCAAAAACATAATCTGATTCTCTGTTAGTAATTAGCTGAGGAGCTTAACTTCTAATTGAATTCATGGCAGCTCACTTGAATACAACGCCTTCACCGGCCAGATTCCAACTGAAATCGGCAACCTTACTAATCTGTCTTGGCTGGATCTTTCCTACAACCAGCTTGTTGGGAACATCCCTGTCTCCACTGCTGATACACCGGGTCTTGATTCGTTACTCAAACTTAGACACTTGTATGTAGTAATCTTACCTCTTTTGCTGGCCTTAGATTTTTACAATTTTTTTTTGGATTTCAATCTTTGATGTGGTTGTGATTTGTGAATGATCAATGGTCATGTCAACTTTCCCCCAGTCATCTGGAGAAGAACTATCTGTCAGGCACGATCCCTCATCGACTTTTCAGCTCTGCCACGACTCTCGTGAGCTTGTCAGTACCAGGCCCAACTGATTTAATTTCATTTGGAAGCTTTTGTGTCCAAATAGTTTCTGGGTTTAATATCTTCTTTGTGCTTTATATGTTCACTCATAGGCTATTGGACGGAAACAGTCTCACTGGGAGCATTCCTTCCAGCCTTGGCCTTGTGCAGCACTTGGAGGTTATGTGAGTATCTCTCTCTACCTCCACTTGTTAAAGCTCATCATTCAAATGGTCATCTCACAGTTGAATTCATCTGAGTAATTCTCTGACGATTGTATCTTGGTTACAGACGCTTAGATAGGAACAGGTTGACTGGAACTGTGCCTAGTAGTCTCAGCAATCTCACAAATCTTGATGAACTGTAAGTATCTAACGAGAGAGTGATCAGCTGCATCATATCAGAGGAGACAATCATGTAACATATTGTTCCTTCTCAATGTTTCTGCAGGAATTTGTCGAACAACGTTCTGAGTGGTCCTTTCCCAAACCTTACTGGCACGAATCATCTCGGTTTCTTGTAAGTAGATGATCTTATCCAACATTTCTACCCTTAGCTCAACCTGTTCAGTAACCATGCTCATCTGACCAAGAAATATATGGCAGAGACCTGAGCAACAACAGTTTCGACGTATCGAGTTTCCCTTCGTGGTTATCAACCCTGAAGCTACTATCCACTATGTAAGCAAACTAGCTAGAACCTGTGTTTTTGTTTTACAATCGTGTAGCTGTGTTGCTGGTGTTTATTTTATTGGGACTTTTATGGGTTGGCAGATCTCTGGAGAATATACAACTTAGAGGGCAAGTTCCATTTGAAATGTTCAGCCTTCCCAAAATACAGATTGTGTGAGTTACCCTACACAACGTCTTTAATCATCTTCTTCTACACGTAGATGGGTTCTGAATATTCGACATTGATTAACTCTGTGTTGGAAACTTGCAGGAAACTGATGAGGAACAAGCTAAATGGAACTCTGGATATTGGACCTACTCACAGCAATCGACTGCAACTCGTTAACTTACAAAACAATTCCATTTCAGACTACATGATAAGACCAGAAGCTAACAATGTTGATGTCAAGTAAGCCAACTTGTAACATTTGATTGATTGAGTGATTTGTTTTAACTTGAAAGCCTAAGCTGCATTCAGGTCGACCGTGTTTCAATCTCATTTCTCTTCTACTGCAGACTTTCAGGGAACCCAATTTGCAATGGAACTACACCAGGACCAACTCCCAGCTACTGCATGGTTAGCTAGAAGGATGCATCGCTAAAGATAACAAAATCACTATAGAACTATTCTCAAAGGAGGAACAATAAATTGTTTTCAATATTGATCAACTATTACGAGTTATAATGATTTTTCTAACTAGCAGAAGAAAGGAGAAATAAACAACTAGCTACATTAAGGTTCATTAAATCACCTCTTTTGAAAATTGAGCAGCATAATGCACATAGAGAAGATAGAAATGAACAACACTCCGAAACCTACAACTACGATGCCAACGACTCCTACGAAATGATGTTCAAATCCAAAGTACAACTTTACAAACCCTTCTACTGTTAGCCCATCTGGGAAAGTTGTCTTCACATCTCCATACTGTGATGCAACAACTCCATAGAATGTCCATGAAACTGGGCACACGTAGAAGTACCATCTCCACCATACAGGAGCTCTCTGTAGGATAAACATTACAATTCTTGAAGCACATTCTTGGTAAATGTCCTATACAATGACAAGAATCAATTCATATACATAAATACTTACTGGTTGTGGGATTATGAACCCTGCAAAGAGATTCCAAAGGCCATAGAACGCGGTGGAAACGATGTACCCAATCTGCTGGTTTGGTGTGAAAGATACTGTCATCATTCCATAGAATGTGAAGTACAACAAGGTGAAGTACATGAAGAACCAGAACCAAAAGCACTTGAGCAAGGTGTATTCAAATCCTATCATTGGATAGACTATGATGCAGTAAACCACTGTTTGTAGTAACATGTATGGAAGTTCGATCAAAACCTGCGGAAAAAAATCCCCAAATCAGGTGGCATTATTGACATTATAATTTGATGGCAGCAATTATGTACGAATTTTGGTGACTTACTTGGGACAAAGCATAGGGGAAGGCTGCATACATTCTAGCAGCTCTTTCTCTGTAGAAAACAGTTCTTTCAATGTCCACTACAGATTGAACTGTGGTTGCATTTTGGATCCCGATTGAGAAAATTGCAGTGAACATCGAGCCAATCGCGTTGAATAGATCCTGTTCGGTTTCCCTTCCAACATTTGAACACCAAACATTAATAAGGTTGCATGAAAATCATTTGAGAACTAAAACACTGGAAAAAAAATGTTGGTTCAAAGTATGTTGATCACTCACATTCTGCCTCCAAGGTCCCAATATATTCCCCCAAATAAGAAGGCTATGATCACTGTGAAGAGAAATCGAACGCCAGTATAAGGCAGGTTACGCGAGTATGATAGGTGAAACTTCCACAAGCACGCTGCACATTGCGTGAATGTTGATCTGTGGTATCGAGTCGGGAAGTAAAGATCCCTGGAGCCAACTACAGGACTGCTCAACTCTTTGATTATGACCTTGTTTCTCCTGAGGAAGACACAAAGTTGACACATTCTACATATGCATGAACAATAAAATAAAAATTTGATCTTTACATTGATGATCACACTTACTTGTAGAGGTCAGATTTCTTGTATAACATTGCAAAATCAACTCCTAAGACTTCCTCTTGTCTAGGTGTGGAAATTTCCAGCATCCAAGTTGCTGGGTTGTAGCCATCTTTTATTTTACTCACTCCTTGGATTCCCTTCATTGAAATAAAACTTTATCATTAAGCAACAATGAATAACCAGTATCCATTTATGAACATAATAGTTTTGAATTCTGATAGAGTACCTCAAAGTACTTGATTAGGTGACAAAATTTGCGACCTATTGGTCCAACGTATATCTCTTCTCCACCATGGTTCAAGAGGAACAACTACGTACCAGTCGAACAATGGCAACCAATCAGTGAGCAAAAAATAATATCGTTGCAGTAGCTTCGAAACGGTGTATCAAGAATGAGATTCCTACTTACTTGGTCAAACGACTCAAAGATATCCATACTTGGTTGATGGATGGTGCACACAATGGTTCTTCCCGTATCAACCGCATTTCTAACCGTTCTCATGACAATTGCAGCGGCTCTGGCATCCAACCCTGATGTCGGCTCATCCATGAAAATTATGGAAGGGTTCGCCACTAACTCAACTGCAATGGTTAGCCTTTTTCGTTGCTCGATCGACAAGCCATTTATGCCAGGCAAACCGACTATCAAATGCCTCAAGCTGTTGAGTTCCACAAGTGCAATGACTTCTTCAACAAACATCTGCAGCAGAACATTAATTACGTGCATCGCAAGTTATAACAACCATGTGTTACTTTGATGGACTACTATATATTACTGTTGAGAAACTTACCATTCTGGTATGGAAATCCACCTCACTTGGCAGACGGAGCCACGCTGAATACAATAAGGACTCATGGACAGTGACGAACGGAGAATGAATGTCATTCTGCTCACAGTACCCCGAAATTCGAGCAAATGTGTTCTGCTTCTTCGGGTACCCATTGATCCTGATTTCTCCTTGAATCTGACCACGAGTTTTTCTTCCAGCCAGTACATCTAACAATGTAGTTTTCCCTGCACCCGTGACTCCCATCAAAGCTGTGAGAAGCCCTGGCCTGAAAGCCCCACTAACCCCTTTTATAATCGTCGATCTCGTTTTAACGACACTTTTCTCGATCATCCCCTGCCACCAAGCAAAGCAACCATGATCTGTTCATTTCACTTCTCTTTGCCCAATATGTCCATTGTAGTTAAGAGCAAAGCAACATGATATGATTCTGACATATTTTCTCACCTGTGAAGTATCCAAAACATAAGTTATGTCCTCAAAAGTGACAAAACGTGGTTCGAAGGGAAGAACAACAACTCCTTGCTTCCTTGATACATTATCATCATCCAAAGCTACAGTATCAAACGTTACTACACTGCCATTTTTGCTAGGGTTGCTACCTTTGTCACCTTCAGAGTCCTCAGAAATGAAAGCCTGAGACCTTCCAAATGCTGCAATTTAAATCTTATAGATTAGTGGCCAAAAACACAAACGTATAGAATGGTCCAACAAATTAAGTTCATTGTCTGAAGCAAGGAAATGGTGGGACATGGAGCTCACGGTTGAGGAAAGTTAGGGCTAGAGCAAAACCAAGTTGGAATATGATCGTGAATGCAAGCAATGCCAACACTCCAATCCAATACCAATTTGGATCCGCGAAAAAACCCCGAAATTTCAGAATCTTAGTTCCCAATGTTGTCCCTGTGCTGAAACTGGCACCCTAAACATTAACAGAAAGAGAACGTAACATCACTAAGAAGGAAAGTTAAATTGTCATTAAGACATGCAAAGTGAACTAAGTGATATATGGCATACTTGATTCCAATTATCTCCTAGGAACTCATTCACCAAGATGGCATTGTCAGCATACATGAAAGGAGAGATCCAGTAGCCCCATATCCCCAACTTGTTGATTCTGTCTACAATACCAAGAAGCAACCCGTTAATTAACGTGATTTTTCTCGATCGAATACACGATTTTTTAAGAATTAGCATATATTTTTACCTCGAGAAAGAACAAATCCACTCATAGTCAGAAGCACGAGTAGGATGAAAGCACTGAGAGTGCTGGAAACCGTCTCGTTTCTTCCAATCGACCCGATGAAGCGAAACATCGAACCCGACATCTGGCTAACGAGTACCAGCAGAAAGTACTGCTTAAGGAGCCTGCACGTACATATGCGGAAATTTTGAAATCTGTCAAACTAGCTAGTCCCCCACCAAGTTCATTCCAACACATAGAAAGAACGAATTTTCGAATATGGTTTGAACTCGCGACGACCTTGCAATCTGGGGATCGAACCCGATCATGTAGTAAGGAATGGGAACGAAAGCAGCAACCTCGAGGAAGATGATTGGTATGTGAAGCAAACATGGAGGAAGAGAAAATGCCCATGGAGGATAGAATCTGAATTTCCTTTGCTTGTAGAACACGGGAAGCTTTGGAAGCATGATGGATAGATCAGCCATCCCATTGAACAGAATCATGATCACAATGAAGAACATTGCGCCCATGTAAATCAGTCCATCAATGGCTGTCTCTCTTTTCATCTCGGTTCTCAGGAAGAGTGTCCCAATAACCACTGCCATTATGATGAGCTATATACGTTCGATTTAGTTTCAAGGAACATTGCGCCCATGTAATGTTAACCCTTTAGGTAAGTATACAAGAGAATCTCACCTGAAGGATCTTAAAGACGTAGACATAGGAATTCCTCTTCATCAGCATAAATTCCCTAGAGATACAAGCCTTGAGCAACTCCCATTCCGAAGCTCCATGCTTCAAGAAACTCAAACCAGCTGCTCTGTGTTCTTCCTTCTTATCATCAAACGGCTGAGACAACTCTTCTTCTCTCATTTCTTCTCCCGTTGAAAACGACCTATACGCTTCCGCGAATTCCTTCACCGTAAAATAGCGGTAAGGCTGACAATCTCGTGCCCAATACTGTCGTTGGTCCTTCTTGGAAATCACCTCGTGCAGAAAATCGGGTACGTTTTTGCTTCTGGGGCACGTGAATCCCAAGTGGTGGAAGAACCGGAGCGCGTCCTCACGTCGGCCGTGGTAGACTATACGCCCCTGAGAGAGGAGAAGCACGTCGTCGAAGAGTTGGTAACACTCCGGCGTCGGTTGCAGCAGCGAGATGAGAGTAGTTCCGTTGAGGACGTGGGTCGCTCGTCTCATGTAGTTCACGATCTGGAACGTCGTCGAGGCATCCAACCCGTTCGATATCTCGTCCATTAGCATCACCCTCGCTCCTCCGACTAGCATCTCTCCGATTGTAAGTCGTTTCTTTTGTCCACCGGATATCCCCCTCGACATTATGCTCCCTACTAGTGTGTCTGCACATTCCTCCATCCCTAGAATCTACACGTTAAATTTGAAACTCGTGCATGAAACAACTATATATGCATGTGGAACTTTGAGATTTTCTTGTTATCTTAATTGTACTTAGCTTTGGAGGGTGACTTCCTTACCTTTAGAACATGGTCTATCATAAGGGAAGCCCGTTGACCTTCATGTCCTGCAGTCTGAGGTTAAGAAGAGAGAGAGAAGATCATCAGAAAGCGAAGTGGGTTTAATTAGGGCTGGCTATTTGGTCCCAGACTGTTTGGTTTACCCGAAACCGGACCATATAACCTGGACTGGGACCGGACTGGGACCGGATAGCAAACAATGCAATCTCATATTCGGGCTTAGATTTGAGGTAAAAAAAGCCTGATAAAGACCGGATAAAAGACCCCCAACACCTAAAATCAAGATAAAATTGGGACCGGACCGGGTCAAAACCGGGCCGGATCAAGATCGGACTGTATCCAATCCAATCTTTGGTCCTTATATTCCCGAAAAGACCGGACTGGGACCGGATCAATTTGGTCCAATTTAACCGGACCGGACCGTATAGCCACCCCTAGGTTTAATACGAGGATTGACGGCAAATTCGTAAATTTTCTTGTTTTGTCGTAAATTAACCAAACAATAAAATTGTTCATGGATGAATTATACTATCAAAATTATGCTTAAACACGTACAATTTTTAGTGTTATATTTTGAAACTAACATGCAAATTAGTAAGCTCACCTTCATGAACATGTCCATATCGGCGCTACGAACATCGTCGTCAACATTAAGGTTCTCTCGTCGCTTTGTCCTCAACACTTCATCTACCACTTCTGCAAAAAAAAAAAAAAATAGATAAGAAAGCATCTTTTATATACATAATAATGAAGTATGAAAGTTAATTAGAGAAATGGACGACGACGACTATGGTTTTATTATATTTTGTCCCGGCCACCTGAGAGAAACCCTGTCCCTTGACACCTTGCAGAGAAAGCTAGGGTTTCCCTAACAGTCAGTTCTCCGATGTGGTTGTCGTGCTGTCCAATGTAGGCAGCTGTTCTCTGAGGTACAAACTCGCTCGTTGTGTGCCCATTGTACGTCAGCTTACCAGAAACCTGCAATTTACAACACACCCGCCAAATTGGGATGAGAATCAATTTGAACGTTTGCATGAAAATCAGTTCAACAACCTAGCTCCCCATGCACGTACGTAACGTACGTACCTTTAAACTAGGATCCATTTCAAGTCCCGCCAATGAGTTTAACAACGTTGTCTTTCCAGAACTCGGGGGCCCAAGCAGCAACACCATTCTGTAGAATGAAGCAAATAATTAATAAACCCAATACGATAAACACATGTGATTAAGCAGTGTAATTTCCTCGTAACTATAATCACCTTGATGGCTTAAGGACTCCGCTCAAATCTTTCAAGATGGGAAACTGTCTCTTTCTGCTTCCGATTATATGGAGATAACTCAACAAATCCTTCAAGTTGCCCAGAAAGAATAAGAATTTGCCAAAACGTGATCAAATATACCAAACGAGAGTACGAGACCAACCGATCGATCGAGCAACATTATTGTTTTTAGATATGAATTACCTCCAACATGTTAGCTGCAACGTTGTACAGTGAAGGCAGTGCTCTTCCCGCAGGCCGAGCTTTCCCCTCGACGTTCAGATGCTCGAACCGAACTTCCACAGTTGGAAGCTCGATCCCCGCTCTGACAAAAAAAACCAAAATAATTAATAGCCTTTCGCTTCACATACATATATCCCAAAACCGTTTCATAATCTCTCTTCCACATTTTTGTTGAGTCAGTTCTAATGACTCAAAGTTGCAGGGGAGAGATCTTATACTATAACAACGAAATCCACTTATAAGGGTTTGAAATTTTGCACAGATCCAAATAACGTGTGCTCAAGTTCAACAAATATTGGAGGTCATGGGGGATACGAACACAAGAGCTCTCAATTATGACAGAAAGCTCTGATACTATGTTATGAACCAACCAGTTAGGCACAGCTAGTTTGACTGTAACTCAAATTATTGGGAGAAGTTCAATGATAAATCGTATATACCAAGGGTTACTGTTATGTCAGAATTACCTGTCCATAACGTTCTCGAGTCGGAAGAGAAGATCGTGATCACCATTCTGAAGATCCTTTAGCGGGGTACCATCAGCCAAACCTTCCATATCTGTTATTTCTCGTTTGTGTTTAGTCAAATTGACCACTCTTCCACCTCTTGTAACTATATGTATAGAGAAATTGGATGTTTATTAGCAGTTACTGCACAAGGCCTTTTGTACGCATTAAGTGGAGCCAGCGATGCTAGCTGCTTTCTCCTAGGTATATACCCCGCAACAATGTTGGCCAGGATTCCTCGACCAATAACCTTGCCTTTTCTTATTCCAGCTCCGCTGCATGTAACTGGTTAAATATCATACATAATTACATGCATAAACTTCTCTCGACAATTCGAATTATTAGAATCAATTAGTTTATGACGTGGAAAACACGTAAAAAACAGCTGCAGAGGATCCCGACAAAAGATGAAAACAACACAGAAACAGCGATGCTGCTTCCGGCATTCGCATGCAGTCGGCAAAAATAAGGTTGAACGTTGTTAATTACGTATATCACATTGTGCTCTGCGACCAGCGGCGGCATAATATAGTCGCCAGAGAGCACATTTATTTCTAGGTAAGTGTGCCGTTTTGTCGTTTTTGCTTTTGTTCAGCCGTTTGTTCCTTTTGTGTTGACAAGTTGGTAAGCTTCCAACCAAAACTTGCCAAGATGAGAACGGCCAGCTTATGGCTAGAAACAAGGAGCATAGTGTGCATTGTTGTGCACTCCGTCGGTTAAGGTTCCCTTCCATTTCCCTTCAAAAAAACAGAGCAAGCATTTGACTGTTTTTATACTATAGATTGTGATATAATCACAGTTTCTTGTAATTTTGTCCCCTGTAATTATGCTCTGGTGAGAATCTAACCACGGCAAACGATTTTTTTTTTTATATGGTATGAGAGGTTGCAAGCCGGTGGTCACGGAAATGAAGGTTGAACATGCCCGGAATTGGGGCGTTGAATCGGACTATTTGTCATGTGTACGTGTTTAGATTTTGTGTTTTTGCTGTGGTATGTAACCTTATTATTTACCATATAGGATTAGGGTTAGACCTTTTGGAGAGTAATATATATATTTATAATTCTCAATTTCTCATATAGTAATTCTCTCTAAATAACACACATTGTGTTAATAAACCACATAAATCTCCAATTCTGGTCTCCCTCCTTGTAGGGCTGTTCATTTTGTTTTGGTTTTTTGGTTTTAACCGAAACCAAACCAATTGGAAAGCTAGTGGTTTCAGTTTTTTGGTTTTAAACCAATAAGTAACTTAATGGTTTGGTTAGGTTAAAACCAAAAAACCAATAGAAACCATTAAGAAACCAATAAGAATAAAATTATTTATCAACAAATGTATTTTTTTTCTTTTGACACGCATGCCAACCAATAATTTGTTATGGCCATTTACCATTATTATGACGTTTATTCAATAAAAAAGAGGGAAATAGGAATAAATATGAGTGTATGAGTACATGTTGATTTTTTGGTTATCCAAACCAAAACCAAAACCATTAAGGCCTTTATTGGTTTTTGGTTGAACCTTAATGGTTTTGGTTTTGATTTTTGAGATTTGGTTTTTGGTTTTTGATTTTTCATACTTAATGGTTTGGTTAACCAAATCAAACCAAATTGACAGCCCTACCTCCTTGTCAATGCCGGACTGGAGCACCGGGAGGAACCCGCGGTCCTTTTACGCCGCTTAACTTTCGTCCTCGTCTCACGGGCTTGAAGCCCATCCTTAAATTTTTGCGACCTTGGGCCATCAAGCATTCCAGCTTGCTCTCCTAAGGCGGCCCGCCTCTCTCCTCCTTCAATTTAAAGCCCATTGCACCAAGTAACGAGAATATAATGGCTTCAATAGCGATTCCAACAGGCCTGGGCTGAATTGTTTCGCGGCCCACTTGCAATTGTGATCGGGTCATTATAAGTCAAAGCCCGGTCGCACCTTTATTTTTTATTTTAGTTAGGGCTTGTGATTTGGGTGCCAATTGGCAATTTACGATTGGATCTAGAACTCATGTACCTAGTTATTTGAGTAAAATTCAGAATTTATTCCAAAATAATTCAATTTCCTGCTTGAAAGTCATATTTTTTTCTCCACTCTTATAAAAGTATCGTCTATTAAATTTGCATTTATCATGTCGTCGTAGTATTACTTTGAGTATAAGAACTTTCAATGTTGTCCTTATCATGTCCTCTAGTTGTTTACACCTATTATTTTGCTTTAATTGATTAGTATGAACTATGGAGTGTTTGTTTGGCTTCAAATAAGCCAATTAGACTATTTCAAATAATTTGGTTAGACCAACAGGAGGTTTATGCTTTAGTTATTTCTATCCCACCATAAACAACCTTACGATACTAAGAAGCGACATTGTTTGGTCGAGTTCAAACAATGGTGTAAGTTCATCGATGCCACATTATAGCACTAAGCAATGTGGTCCGATCATTTGACAAACTTGATTGCCATCGCAACATCATTTTCAAACAATAACATTCAGCAGCTATCGAATACATTTTTTTTTAGTGAGATACGTATAACATTTTATTAGACGATACATACATATAATTTTTTTTCCAGTCAAAATGCAAATAAATCATTCTCTTTTTTTCATTGACACAAGTAAAAAAAAAAAAAGCAATTATGTTAGAAACTTGTTGCCCTCCCATTGGGTTATTACCACGAAATTTCACAATGCATGCATTAAATTGCAGAGACAGAGACGTGACTGATTTTTTTTTAATTTCTTCAAACACTTCTGTCTTTGACTTTCGACAGTAATTTGGAATTATACAAAAATAATATCTTATTGCCGGAATTAAGTCCGACAGTGAGAGTTGCAGCAGTCCTTTGTGGTGGTGGATGCGTCTTCGTCAGCTAGTAGCAACCGGTCAACACCTTCCTCCTCTTGCCGCCGCAGCCATGATTTCCGGCCTCCTCCTCCTCCTCCTCCTCCTCCTAATCTCGACCACCATCCCCTCACCCACTACCGCCTTATCCTTCAACTTCACAACCTTCACCAGCAGCAACCAGAACATCACATACGAGCAAGCCTTCGCCGCCGAGAACTCAATCCAGCTCACCCGCAACCTCCTCGGCTCCGATCTCAACATCAGCTTCGGCCGCGCCACCTACCGCTCACCTTTACCCCTCTACGATCCCAATTCCAGAAACCTCACCGACTTCCGAACCCACTTCACTTTCAGCATCTCCTCCCAAATCCGAGACGCCGGCGGCTACGGCGACGGCCTCGCCTTCTTCCTCGCCCCCGTAGGTTCCAGACTTCCCCCCGACCAAACCAATGCCAGCTCCATGGGGCTCACCAGAGACGGGCAGCTGCTGAACACGACGGCGAACCGATTCGTCGCCGTCGAGTTCGACATTTTCAGTAACGAATTCGATCCGGCGACGGGGAGCCACGTCGGAATCGACATCAATTCGATGCGATCCGTGGCGATCGTACCCTGGGAAGGAGATATAATGGGTGGGAATAAGAGCGATGCTTGGATTTCTTACGATTCTGTTCTTCGAAATTTGAGCGTTGCGGTGACAGGGTATGTGGGGAACGTTTCGGTGATTCGGCGGCTGAGCTACAATGTCGATTTGAGGGATTACCTTCCCGAAGAGGTAACTTTTGGGTTCTCGGGAGCTACCAGGAATCAAAGCGCGATTCACAGGATTCATTCTTGGGATTTCGATTCTACATTGGAAGGAATCGTTCCTCTTGCTAATGGCAATGGGAGTAACCCTAGTCGTCCAATCGGTGGGAAGAAGAACAGAGTCGGTTTGTTGGTGGGTTTGGGAATTGGGGGTTTTCTAGTTGGTGGGTTGTGTTTGATTTGTGTAATTGTGTATAGGAAAAGAGTGCGCTTTAGATTGAAGAGGGAAGACGACGGCGATGATGCAGAGCAGGAAGAAGTTAATCGCCGCATGATGGATGAGATACTGGGGAAAGGGATGGGACCGAGAAAGTTTACTTTCAAGGAACTGGCTAAGGCTACTAACAACTTCAGCGATTCGCACAACAAGCTTGGGGAAGGAGGGTTCGGCGGGGTTTACCGAGGGTTTATCAAGGAGAACAATGAGTACGTTGCCGTGAAGAGAGTATCCAAAAGATCGAGACAGGGGATCAAGGAATTCGCGGCGGAGGTGAAGATCATCAGCAGGCTGCGGCACAGGAATTTGGTTCAGCTCATTGGATGGTGTTATGAGAAAAGAGAGCTGCTCCTGGTCTACGAGTTTCTCCCCAATGGCAGCCTGGATATCCATCTGTTCAAGAACAAGGATGTGAACTCTCTTTTGTTGACATGGGAAATGAGGTACAAGATCGCCAAAGGGCTGGCAGCAGGGCTGTTGTATTTACACGAGGAGTGGGAGCAATGCGTGGTTCACAGAGACATTAAGTCGAGCAACATTATGCTGGATTCGAGCTTCAACGCCAAGCTCGGCGATTTCGGGCTGGCGAGGCTGGTGGACCACGAGAAAGGTTCACAGACGACAATGCTGGCAGGGACGATGGGTTATCTGGCACCAGAATGTGCCACAACGGGCAAGGCGAGCCGCGAATCGGACATTTACAGCTTCGGCGTGGTGGTTCTGGAGATTGCTACGGGGAGAAAGCCTGCTGTTGTAGTGAACCCAGAGGAGGAGCAGCGGCAGCAGTATGCGGAGCATTTGACTCAATGGGTTTGGGACCTCTATGGAGATGGAACGTTGTTGATTGAAGGTCCTGATTTAAGGCTGGGCAAGGATTTCGACGAGCGGGAAATGGAGAGGTTGATGATCATTGGGCTGAGTTGTGCTCACCCGCATGCCAAGTTCAGACCTTCCATTCGGCAAGCATTGCAAGTCCTCAACTTTGAGGCTCCATTGCCGGTGCTCCCGCTCAGCAGACCAGTGGCGACTTATGTTTCGGCCCCATCGACTGCTGTGTCGTCTACTTTTTCGTCTTCCACCGTTGGTGGTGGTTCTAGCTCTATGGATTCATCAGTGGAAGGTGACAGGAGGAGCTACTTCTCTGCTGATATTGCTCCTTCTAGGTTGAAGGTTTCTTCGTCGTCGGTGGATACTTCCCATGTCGCTAATACATTTTAGCTAGTACCAGTTTTGACTGCAAAGATTTCGACAAGTGTGTATCATCCGACTTTTATAGGTTCGTCGGCTATTTATGAAAATCGAGATAGTATTTAACGCATAAACCAAGGTTCTCGTTATAATGGAAATAGAGCAATTGTAAAAATAGATGTCCATATCGTTGAAGTATATCTGATGAAAAATCTGGAAAGCATAAGTACTGGACATTGAATCAGAACTACATTTCATCGTCCGTCACATATTCATCTTCAGAAGCATTGGGCTCGAACAGGTACTCATAACCACTCAAATCATCCCAATCATCTCTTGGAGCTCCTTGGTGTGTCAAGAACATGTGATGGCTCAGAAGAAATGCATCCCTCCCAACTTCATACCCAGATAAATTTCTGCTGCTGCTGCTGCTTTCAGCTATTTCTTTAGCCTTGCTGCTCTCCTGCTGCTGCTCGTATATGACTCGAATGCCACACCCTTGGACTTCGAAGCACGCCGCAAGATCCATGACGATATGAAGTTCATCCCCTGCTTCCAAGTACTCTCCAAACGTCCAATGGCTTAACCACAACATGCTGTTTCTACTACCAGCGACTTTAGCCCTAGGGATTCCGAAGAACATGGGGCTGTAACACCATTTTACACCACTTGTCTCATTGATGATCTTAAGGTAATTCTCATCCACAAGTGATGTTTCTTTCTCTTCCTCAGATTCCCATTTCCCTGTATAGGCAGTGCACAAACTCAACCCACGTATCTTTAGACCGGAAGCTGCTGGCAGCACCATTGACAGGGATGAGGATTCTTCAACTCGGATGTTGAACCAGTCTGGAACTTCACTCCCGGGGATGAATGTGCTGAAGATGTTGCACTCTTGGAGTACCTAAACACGAGCTTTCGTCGTTAGAACATTAAAATGCTATAAACACCAAAGGGTGAAGAAGACATGGATTTCATGAGAGGGAATGTGAACACCTGAATTGGTGTCTTTATGGTCGTGCATGACAAGGCATTGGACATCTCTATTTCAATCCCCTCGAAGCTTTCGAGGTCGAACAGGCCCAAATTGTTCAGCACTTCTGAGTCAATGCTGCTTAGTGGTTCTAATCTAAACAATCCTCCAATCTCAGTTATCCTTTCACAACCATGGACTTCCAAATCCAACCATTCAAGCAAGTTTGGCAAGTTTGCTATTCTGTTCAATGAGGAACAGTCATCTGCCTTCAGTATGCTTAAACTGGTTGGAAGCTCCGGAAGTGCTTCAAGTTTTGTGCACTGCTCCAGCTCGAGGGTCTCCAGCATACCAAGCTTGTTGATGTCTTCCGGTAGGTAACCAAATGGGTTCTTGCTCAAGTTCAAGCTCTGTAAGAAGGGCATGTGGGTAAACCGTATGGGAAGAGTTGATATGTTGCAGTCTGCAAGGCTCAGGCTCAACAAATTGCTAGGAAAAACTGAGAATGAAAGTGTGCTAATAGATTGTGCCTGGTTTTTGCCAACTCCGTCGGCAGCTAGGAATTTCAGTGACTCCATCTCACTCAAATCCTTAGGCATTTGTTGGAGATTCAAGCAACCAGAGAGAATAAGGACACAAAGACAGCTTTTCAGAGTACCGAAGTCTGAAGGGAGCTTCCTGAGACTTGTGCAGTCTTGCAGGTTCAATAGCTCAAGCCCCTTGAGGTCACAAATGGACTCATCAAGTTCGGTTAAGCTTGCACAATCCTTGAGCAGCAGCCTCTCGAGGCTCGGTAGCCCATTGAAGTTTGGGGTTCTAACAAGGTTATGAGAGTGATTCAGGTTGAGTATCTTCAACTCCGGTAGGAACTGATACAAAGGAAAGAAATCATTTAGTTACTGTTGTTGGCACTTTCACTGAATCACTAAGAAAATGTGATGTCCTTCATTCATACCTTTGTTTCCTTCCAGAGATATTTGAGGTTGCTATTTCTCATGTCGAGTACAACCAACTTTTCTAGGGACAACTCGTTCGGCATACATTCCATAGGAAAACCTTTCCAACGCAGCCATACTATGTTTCTAGGAAAATTCTTGTAGTCCCCTTTGAACTTCACGTCATTGAGATGCAGCAACTTAAGTTTCTGCATCCTTGCTGCTGACTGTATGGAGAATGAACCTTGTGAAGTACTGTCTGCTGGTTTATGGGGGAAGAAGCCAAGACGACGTTGCCTTTTTGAAACGTTTCCTTTCGAATCGCCACTTTGGGACTGTGTTTGATAGTGTGATGAACCTTTGTGCACATCCAAAGTGAGACCCTTCACTAAATCTGTACCCTGCATTCACATGAACACATTTAAGGAGAAAACGAGTCAGATTCTTAGTAAACAGGCAGGCTCAACTCAAATGCAGTGTTAGAGTTGCCATTTACCTTCTTCTCTTTCAATACCATGAAGGAATCCTTATGATCCCACAGCCTGCTACGTTTCCCAGGATCATCAACAGACTCCTGACGAACAATCTCTCTCCCCATTTCCACCACCAGCTGATGCATTGTCAACTTGTTCTCTTCGCTGATACTCACCAAACATCTGCGGTTCAGATTCTTAATACCGACGACTGCAAAGAATCCACATCCACCAGCTATCCTAGCAACATAGTCCACGTCCATTCCATTGAAGAAACAAGCAATATCAAGGAACAAATTTCTGTCATGATCATCCTCCAGAGAACCAAAGCTTATCTGGAAAATGCTCTGGATATCGGTCTCAGGAACCCTTTTCAGCCTCTGCAACACACTTTCCCATACCTCATTAGACTTCCCACAAAGGGAAGAGCCCAGAACTTGAAGAGCTAATGGAATACCGCCACAACGATCCACTGCTTCTTTAGACAGCAACTCGTAACCATCATCGGGACGATCAGCACCACTAAAGGCATGCCAACTGAATAGCTGAATAGATTCTTTATCGTCCAATTCTTTCACCTTCAGCATCAAGCTAACCGCATGAGCTCCCATTATATGCTGATGCCTAGTCGTTATCAGTATCTTGCTTCCCTTGTGAAACCACTGCAGCAATCCCATGATTACATCCAGCTGCTCCGAGTGATCAACATCATCGAGAATGAGAAGTACTTTCTTACGATACAAGGCATCTTTGATCTTGACAATGCCTTCATCTGCACCGTAAACTTTTGGAGCACTTCCCTTTGTGAGATCAGAAAGAAGCTGCCTCTGCAGACGAACCAACCCATTGGGTTGGCCTGAAACGCTTCGAATATCAGCGAGAAAGCTGCCAGCATCAAATTTGTCAAAGTTTTGGTTGTAGACGATCTTGGCAATGGTTGATTTGCCAACACCACCAACCCCATATATTGCAGCAACAGTTGCATCTGCGGATTCATTTTGCAGCCATAAGTTAACGAGCCCTGCTCGATAATCCATTCCAACTAAGTGGGTGGACACGTCTACCAGTGTACGGTTCAGCAGCTTCGCCACTTGCTTTACTACAGCCTGAACAAATTCGGATTCGTACCTACAAAGAAATGAGGAAGAAGGATATGTTAATGGGTAAAAGAAACTAAGAAAGACAATTACTTCGGGATAACTATCCAAGTCAAAACGTAATTTGCCCTCATTGATTCTCCATTCTCTGAATTATGATTTAACTAACCTGTCATGCAAGACCAAGTGGGATTGAAGACGTGCAAGCTGGGAAATCGCCAGTCGCCACCGATCCACGACATCATCGTCGAAGCAGTTCCGATGTTGGGCAAAGGCTTCACCATAGCTACCGGACAGGGCATGGACATCAGAGGGAAGGACGTCGTAGTAAATAGGGACGACGATGTGGCCGTGGGTCTTCCGGCGATCCATGATCAACGCAAGCTCATCAAGGCACCATCTGGAGGAAGCATAGTCGGAGGAGAGGACGAGGATTGAGAGCTTGGACTGACGAATGGCGTGGTTGATTTCGGACTCAATGTGCTCCCCTCGCCGGATTTCGTCATCGTCTCTGAAGGTGTTGATGCCGGACTGAGTGAGCGCCGTGTAGAGGTGGTCGGTGAAGTTTTTGCGAGTGTCTTCGCCTCTGAAGCTCAGGAACACGTGGTAAGTAAAACGAGGAGCAGGGGAAGAAGAAGAAGCCATGGAGATGGGAGTTCTGAGTTCTGATGGTGAAGAAATATCTAACTGAACGAATCAATGGGTACTTCAAAGCATTAGTGGAATAATCAAAATCAAAGTCAACGGTAAGGACAAGAAAACCAGCAAAGTCAACTGATGGAAATGTGAAAATGAGTAGGAGGCTAGGAGCCAACAGGCCATGTCGACGGCTTTACAATCGGACCAGATTTAATAAACAAAAATGTCGATCCAAAGTAGAACCAATTCGATTCGGTTCGGTTTCGGTTCAATCTCTTTTACAATGCTGGCGTACGCTACAAGGTACAAACGAATGCATGACCTTAAAGCAAAGATTAGACTCCACCATCACCTATCCCCTGCTTCATAACTCACTCTTTTTCCATCATATTTCTTCGTCTTCGAAGGGGTCTCTTTCTGGATAGTCACCAACCTGTCAATATTGCAGCATATAACCATTCAGTTCCAAGGGACGATCCATTACCAAATTTCATTAGGATTATCTAGCAGAACCAAACACGAAAACAATATGGCACTAAAGCGAACCTAACTACCGTGGCTAGATGGTTGTGTTCATACCTTTACTTTGTCTGGCCTCAGCATTGCACCATGAAGAGGAGGGCACTCGAAATACCGGGTTCCTTTCACCCTACAGCACCACCCGGAAAATAAGAGGTATCACTAATCATGTATACAGAGAAATTTAACTGAATGCTAACAAACCTAAGCATGTGTATATTCTGAAAACTGAGAAGCCAGGAATGACATAGGATGAGAGACTTCCATAAATCAGTTCACAGACAGAGCAGCAAAAAGAAGTGTATACATACATGCCGTCGTGTTTCCCCAACGGCTCGTCATACTGAACTCCAACCCAAAATCCCAGTCCAAGAGGTTCTGCTCGACCAACATACTTGATAACCCCTCTTTTCTCCCCTGGTTGAACCTCACATCTGTCTCCTACCTAATTTGTTCAGAAAACTAGACAATGAATCACGAAGTTTTTTCACTGGAATGCAGTAAGAACCAAAGCCATGAGATGTAGGGAGGGTAAAACAGCTTAGTCAAACCTTCATATCTGCACATAGTTCTTGCATATAGTTTTCCGTTATCTGTGGATGTATAAAAACTAAATTAGGGAATATATAAGGATCATGATCTGAACAGTGACAAAATGGCAACATTGCACCCAAGCTGGCTCAAGTAAACACCATTTATCACAATAGTGTATTTTTAAGCAAGAGGTGTTACAGAATAGAGCAGTCGATTTACAATAAAGAAAAGGCTCATATCAAGATATCACCTTCGGCTCAAAGGCTGCCGGATTTTGAGCGACCATCTTTTCTTTGAACTTCCTGAAAGTTCCTGCTAAGGAAAAGCAACATGTAAGTTCCCATTAACTCAAAACTTCAGACTTTAGACCTTGACTTCCAACTCTAAGAAGCCAGCAATCCGGAAGAAAGTAATTTCGAGTGAGAACCCTGAAGCACAACTCCTCCAACCACTTGTTTCAGGGTTGACATCATGGAAATGCCCAAATTAGCTTCTGAACCATCCATGCAAGTGCACGAAGTAGACACCAAATATCTGAAAGATATAGCTCACCTCGAACCATATATAATAAAACAGTGTTTAGACATGCTAGCCCAAGCAGATCATAAAATAAGGGGCCTAATCATCAATGGTAACATCATAGGTTGCAATTGAGCAGTTTCTCGCTCGCATTCAGTTAGATTACAAAAACACACGAAAGATCCCATCCCAAGCTTCCAACTCTGATGGACAACCCCACGGAAATACTAACAGCAGATAGTACTCGTACCAACTGAACCCAACTCCCTCACGGTAAACGGTGATGCCAGCCAAATCTAAGACTATAGAAACAGAAACCAGAGAGGCTGATTCTTTCAGCAAGCAATCTGGGTTGGTAGGGGCTAAAGCATTGGCTTACCATCAAGTTTATCATATGATTCATCTGAGATTGTGTACTTCTCCACCAATGAGGTGTCTTCCAACCAGCCACCAGAAGTGACAGACGACGGATCGAGATCTATAATGTGTAGCCGGAACCTAAATCAAAACCCAAAAAAGAACAAACACTTAATCAATCATCCAGCTGCAGGGGAAATTGAGCGCCAAAATTAGTTCACAACACCCAAACATAAACTACAGAAGAAAAGAGATCACACCCGTCGACAGGAGTGTAAAAGCCGAGGAGAGTAGTGGGATTATTCAGATCAGCGATTTTGGTGTTAGCATCATCATAGAGCTCCAACGACATTGAATTGACTGATGTCCCACATTTCCTCCATAGCTTGTCCTTCACTGCTTCTACTGTTGACTGCAGTAGACAACCAAAAATGGCAACTTTACACTCTCGCGATCGTCATTCGTGGACAGGGGCGGGAGGGTAGGACTATATTTGGGCTTACCTGAAGTGAGCAGCGGACCTCGGCAGAGAAAGTTTTGAGATTGGAGTGAGTGACTCGGAGGAGAACCGAGTCGTCTCCCTCAATCTGAAATCGAGCCGCCATAGACGGCTTCTTGAGTAAAGCGACGCTAGTCGACAGGCCAGATACTAGAGGCAGCGATTGAGAACCCCCCGACGGCGATGGATTGAGGAATATGGGAGAGTGGTAAGACGGCGGAGATCTCTTTTCTTTTTAGGGTGAAAGCGGCGAAGATCTCTCTGCTGCCGGGATTCACGAGCGAATCCCCTAATCCCGGGGTGATAAAATTCCAAATTAATCACCAAACTTGTTAATATGCGACAATTTGGGAATAAAACTTTCTATTAAGCCCATTTAAGTATATAACTCACACAATAGTTGTAGGAACAAAATCCACATCCACTATCAATAAAATGCTTATTGCATAATGTGTGCTAACCCCATGGAGAAAATTTCCTGATATCATCTCTCAATCATTACGAATGACCTCATAATCATTGATAAATGGAACTCTTATAGGTCATGTTAGGGGTGGGCATGTGGGTGGGTAATTCGCGGATTGATATCGATCCACCCGCAAATAATCCGATTTGTAAGCTGTGGATGATTGATGTGGGTGGATTGCGAATTGATAAATCTCTCACCCGCATTTATGTAGGTGGGTGGTGGGTGGATTGCTGGTCACCCGAATGACCCGCTTCCTATTTTCACATGAAAAATGTTGTTTCTTATAGTATCGAATATTAATCATATTTCCAAACCACACTACGGTCTGACCATATACTTCTTAATGTGGAGAATAAATAATACTTTTGACTATTGTTATTGGTTATTATGTTGTGTAATATCCATTTATTGGATATTGGAATGCAAATTATTGTTAATATCCATTATATATTGGGATGAAAACTATAAGTTATTAATTGTATAAAAATCACAACATGCGTAAGTTTTCTCTATATAATTGGTGGATAGAGTAGTAAAATGTTTTATGCAAATACTACATAGATTCACTAGAGAGAAAGTGATAAGTGTCTAAATTGATACAATCTTACTACTTTGCTATGGACTTATTATAAATGTTAGTCAACTTTCTTAATAGCTAGTTGGAGAATTATGTTTGCGGGTTAACCCACGACCCAACCGCCCCCATCTGGCATCCATCCAACCCGACCCACATAAGAAAGTGAGTGGAATGCGGGTCACGATTATTTCAACCCGCTAGTAAGCGGGTGGGTCAATTTGAGATGAAAACCCACCCAATCCGTCCATTGCCCACCCCTAGGTCATGCTTGCTCTTGATCATCATTAATCAGCTTACTAATGAATGCTTAAAATTAAACCCGAATCTAAATAATAATATATCGTTCAATACATTTCATGTCAAAGGTACTACTTCAACTTCGTATGGTTGCAAAATCCAATACATGTGACATAGAGTTACAAATAATAATATCTCGTTCAATACATTTCATGTCAAAGTTATTTAACTATAGTACTACATTGTCAAAGTTATATAAGAAATAATATCATTACATTACATGTGAATTTATAATCCAAAATCCAATACATAGACGTAGAGTTACAAATAATAATAATAAAAAATTCATCCAGTTAGTGAGTACCAACTAGTAAGACATAAAACACAAAGCACCACAATATTATCATCATTCACAAACATCATAGAAGGGTGACTTTCCAAGTTCCGACTCTTAAACAATGTTTGAGACTTTTCCCCCTTAACCAAAGTCCTAAATTATGTGGTTATACTAGTCTACGGTTATCGATAACCACTAATCAAAATACAACTAACAACAACCCAACAATTAAGATCTCATACCGTATTTGATAACCACTATCCACAGTTATCAGTTCAATTATCGATTAAAATCAATAACCTACTAACCATTTACCACCCATAATTTTCACTGAAACCAAATTATCGATCAATGTTGATGTGAAATATGTCTCCTGATAAACGAGACGGCACGATGAAGGCGGCCCAGCCGATTTAATCTGGTGAATTCCCACTGCAGACTTGATATATGCAGCGATAGAATAGAAGCCAGAGGAGAAGTCAAATAGTTGGAATGGAATACAAGCCACGCTGATGTTGCCGAATTCCCCTGCCTCTCGGTTCCTCTGTATAAAAAGCAGAGTATACCAACCCAAGAAATCACAAACCCATCTTTCTTCTACTCCATATCCACAACAAACTAAAACCCGACGAAACAAACAGACATTGCCCAACAATGGCGGCCCTGAACAGCAAGCTGATCCTCCTAGCTTCCATCTTCACCCTCGGAGCTCTGGCTTCCTTAGCCATGGCACGCCACACCCCTCAGGAGGCCGCCACGCGCCTCAGGCACGAGCAGTGGATGGCGCGCTACGGGCGAGTTTACACCAGCCCCAACGAGAAGGAGACGCGGTACCAGATATTCAAAGACAACGTAGCTCTCATCGACTCCTTCAACGCCGAAGGCGCCAAGCCTTACAGGCTCGGAGTGAACCAGTTTGCGGATCTGACCAACGAGGAGTTCAGAACGGCTAGGAACAGGTTCAAGGGCCACATGTGCTCCCCGCAAAAGGGAACATTTAAGTACGAGAATGTGACAGGCGTGCCGTCCGCCATGGACTGGAGGACGAAAGGGGCTGTGACTCCCGTGAAGGACCAAGGCCAGTGCGGATGCTGCTGGGCGTTTTCGGCCGTGGCGGCGGTGGAAGGGATCAATCAGCTCAGTACGGGGAAATTGGTGTCACTTTCGGAGCAAGAGCTGGTCGATTGTGACACCAGTGGAGAGGACCAAGGCTGCAATGGCGGGTTGATGGACGATGCTTTCGAGTTCATCATCCAGAACAAGGGTTTGACCACCGAGAGCAACTACCCTTACACCGCGGCGGATGGATCATGCAGTGCTGGCAAGGAAGGCAACCACGCGGCTGACATCAAGGGGTACGAGGACGTGCCAGCCAACAGCGAATCCGCGCTGTTGAAGGCTGTAGCGAATCAGCCCATTTCGGTCGCCATCGATGCAGGGGATTCCTCGTTCCAGTTCTACAAGAGCGGGGTCTTCACCGGAGAGTGTGGTACCGAACTGGACCATGGTGTGACGGCCGTTGGGTATGGCGAGAGCGGCGGGATGAAGTACTGGTTGGTGAAGAACTCTTGGGGAGCTCAGTGGGGAGAAGAGGGATACATTCGTATGCAGAGAGATGTTTCCGCCGAGGAAGGCCTTTGCGGCATTGCTATGCAAGCTTCTTACCCAACTGCTTGATGATCTTGCTGGCAGGTGCAGCATATGCAAACTTTAAGTATCCTATTGTATGTTGAATATGATTATCGCTTTGCTGTAAGAATTGGAGTATGTAGATAAGGAAAATTATGTGTACAAATGCTACTATGTATTGTAATATAAGAATCAAAACTAAGAAAGTGAATGTTGGGTGGCTAATGGAGAAGTTTCGAGTTTAAATTCAACGGTATGAATTCGGGACGTAGGTTAAGTTTAGGGACTTTAGGTGTAATTTGTCTAAATCCAATTAAAAGGTATGAAATTCCTACCCTTCCTTCCCCCGTCGATTTCCCTTTAGCTGGTTAATCTGGGCCGCTGCGGACACTCGACACACAAACAGCTGGTCGGAAACCCTTTTCCCCGGTTACCCATTACGCCTCTGTTCACCTTAAAAATGCAGAGCAACAAGAAGAAGAACTTCAGGAAGAGGACTTTCCCAGAAGACGATGGAGCCGGCGACCGCGAAACCAACAATCCCAACTCCAGCTTATCAGACGACGAAGAAGAACGCAGGTATTCTCTCTTTTCCTCCCGCTAATTTCTCCTCCTTCCACCAATCAAATTAGGGTTCTTGCCTGATGTGGCAATCTCCCTTCTTCCTGCCGCAGATTAGCATTAGAAGAGGTCAAATTCCTTCAGAAACAGCGGGAGAGGAAATTCGGTATCCCTGCCCTTCCCGCTTCCCAATCTGGGTCATTGCTGTCAGCAAAGAAACTAGCTGACAAGAATGATGCTGCGGCGGCCGCAGCTGGTGGCGGTGGCGAGGGGGAAAAGGAGGAACTCGTCCTTCAAGACACCTTCGCTCAAGAAACTGCGGTCATGGTCGAAGATCCCAACATGTAAAGTTTCTGTTTTTCTTCTTCTTCTCCTCCCATCCTCTTGCTGTTTTGACTTGCTTCCCTTTCAAGATTCAGCTCAGAAGACCTTGTTTTTCTGCTTCATTACTCTTACCTGAAGTCATCAGTTCCGTAATTAGGTTTCTGATTAGTGAATCGATTAACTACCATTGCTCCCTGAAATCATTTCCTGTAATCAGCCAGGGAAACTCCTTTGCTCACTGTTTGGCCCTTGGCCGACCATTTGATAGATCAATGGCTCTTACTCTCTTCGCCTATTGCCCATGGCAATTCAACTTACTAGACTAAAACATGTCCTTTCTGCTTCTTTATAACTGATCACCACTACATTTGTCTGAGAGCTCTTAATGGTGCTCTTTTTTATTATGGTGCCTGTGGAAATTCCTTGAACAAAGGGATGTTATAAGAAAAAACCAACTTTTTTTTTTGTTTTTGTTTTGATTGATTAACAGGTTGAAGTATGTTGAGCAGGAATTAGCTAAGAAGAGAGGCAAGAACCTGGACTTGGATGGTCAAGTTGAGAATGAATTAACGCGTGCTGAGGATGAATTATACATAGTCCCTGATCATCTTAAAGTGAGTTTTTCGTTGAGTTGCAGCCATTTGTTTTCTTTTCACATGGTTCTGGAAGAGAACATGGTTGTACATGTTCTAGAGGCATCTGTTCTTATTTTCTCCTCCAGATGTTTTACGTTGCTGTTTTACTCTTGTCATTGCTTTTGAACATCTCCCTGAATGACCTGTCAGGTTAAAAGGCGTAACTCAGAAGAGAGCTCTACCCAATGGACTACAGGAATTGCAGAAATTCAGTTGCCAATCGAGTATGCATTTTTCCCTCGGTTCCTTCCCTCGATTTGTGTGGATGGACTTGTAGTTGCAATTTTCTTTGAATGGCTGTGAAATTGTTGTTGGTTTTTGCTTCCATGGGGGAGCCACCTGCATTTGCTAAATGTACTACTACAGCATTGTCTCTTGCCTTAAGCTTCCTTCAGAAACAGAAGGGTTCTAGAGTCTGTGCAGTACACCTGTGATGCTATTGTTCACTGGTTTCTCTATTTCTCGTTGTTCGTAGATACAAGTTGAAAAACATTGAAGAAACAGAGGCCGCAAAGAAGCTGTTACAGGAGAAGAGGTTAATGGGTAGGACCAAAACGTCCGACATTAATATCCCATCAAGTTACAGTGCAGATTATTTCCAGCGCGGGAGGGATTATGCTGAGAAACTTCGAAGAGGTTTGTTCTGATTCTCTTTTTCTCTGCTTTTTACTCAAGAATGGGTTACAGATCTCTTGTGGCATTTATCCCTGGACAATTCATGAAATGACCAAAACCGAGTAGTCGATGTGGCTTTATACCTTGAGTGCAATCTAAATTTGCAATTGGGTGTTAGCTCTTTGGAACTCTACACAATGTTGTGGGTGTATTTATTCATTTGATGATTGTTGACCCGCCTGCTACATTGAAAATGCAGAGCATCCAGAACTGTACAAGGATGGGAAGCCGAATGCTGATGCTGCTGGAGGCGGCGTACCTAAACCTGCTGCAGATAGCAATAATCAGGAAGCAGGAGGAGCAGCAGCTCGCAGGGAAGCTGCAACAGATCAGTTCATGCTAGAGCGCTTCCGGAAGCGTGAGCGCAATCGTGTCATGCGGAGATAGATGCCTCTCTCTGCTCTGCTCTGCCTTTTTCCCCTTTCAAAGGACAAGATTGCTTTGATTTGCCTCTTGTACTATTTGTTGAGAGATGCAGAACGCATGATGATTGGCATTGTGGTGTGACCATTCAGCGCGGCACTGAAATGAAATGAAATGTAATCTGGTGCAATGAGATTGAGATTCATATGCAATGAAGGTCACCGAATCTTGCGTTTACCGATGATTTGACAAAAAAGTGAATGGCTGACCATCTCGAAAGCTCAAAATCCCATTCTGTTCCATCTTTCTAAGTTCTAACCATCAGTGTAGATTAAGAACATAACTTATACAGCCAACATAGGAAACCCTAACAACGAGCCACTGTTAACTAGGCATACCCAGGCGATCTTCACAGTGCAAAATAGCTTATACGAAGCAATAACAAGAATCAAGCTACATTACATGGCTGCAATAGATGCATCCAACGGAATTGGCTGTTCCAACAGCCATGAAAATTCTCCTAAAAAAATTCTTAAACGCAGAGTTAACAACCACAATCTTATTTATGAGGGAAGTTTATCCTTTTACAGGTTCCACCACTGACATCAAAAGTACACCAAGCCCAAACATCTACATGGACGACTTGCAACGTTTGGATACAAAGGAAACAAAGTTATAGTCCCAAAACAACAAATTATTTTTGCCAAACAGCAAGCAACTCTTTGAAACCAGGAAAGTAGGCATCCCAGCATTGACTTGGCCTTCCAACAAAGCGCCCATCTGCAATATCTGCCATAAACCAATATACAGGGATCAAACCAACGAATCAGCATAGATACAAGAACTCTCTTTCAAGTTTATGTTTAAGTAACACAAATAGACATGCATTCTTACGAACAAACAACTTTCCAGAGAACTGTTCACAAACTTGTTATCCTCATCCAGAGTTCTCGCAATGATCATTATGGCTTGGCCATTAGCAAGACTGCAAGAGTGAGGGATTGCAGAGCCACAAAGAGATAGTGACTCCTAATCAACCATTAAGAAACACCGTCCATACATCCTGTTATGAACTTCTTTACTTCGCTACAGTTCGAGGAAAAGTTGAATTACAGCCATTGAACTCTTCCAACTCACTTGTGGTGGAGCTAAAGTATCCATAAGAGCTCATAACACAACTGCCAACCCCCATGAAAAAAGAAGGGGTAAGACCAGAACACTGCCAGCTCCCAAATGAGCAATTTGGACAGACAGGGAAGTGACGAAACAAGAAGCAAGGCGAGAACTATTGTACTAACATAATTCGCCATAACCAACATTTGTATGTTCATAACATCACAAGTTCTTGACCCCCGCAATGAAAAGAAAGGTCATGGAACTACAGAACAGCAGCACCTAAACGCAACGGAATCCATCTACCAGAAACGTAGTCACACACGACATCAGCTTCGAGACAACCCAATTCCTAATGGGATTCAATTCAAACAGGGAACCTATAACTACCCTGGATCGCTAAGCGCTATTGACGAACAGCTTGATATAACTGAAAAGAAGACAAAATCCTACCCCCAAGTAAATTCAATTGGAATGAATACCCATGAAAATTCAGAACAATCCCCGAACTCGAGAAAGAGAAAGAAACCAACCTCAGGGATACAATTATCAAGAATCCCAAATCAATGCGAGTGAGAGGACGAAGGCGAGCCAACCCTATCGTAGATTTGCTCGCCGACGAGATATACGCCGAAGGCGACAAGCGCGATGCCGAGCCCAGGAGTCGCGTGGCGGAACTGCTTGATCATCATTGGATGCTTCCTCCATTCATCCCTTCGCCGGAAGAATTCCCCGGTTGGTCCCAACTGCTTCCCCATCTTTCTTCTTCTCCGATTTGACTACTGTGTGTGCCCTCTCCCCCAACTTCTCCCTGCTTCCTGCTCTCAAATGTGTTGTTTCTGCAAATCGGGAATCCTCTTCATTTCACAACAGCGCAATGCTCCATCGCGTGGGCCTATGTTGTTTACGGCCCACAGAACTACAAGCTACGCTCAAGCCCATTAAAGTTGGCTGCTTTCGGAAAAAACAATTTGTAAAGGAGCAGCCTTGGCAGTGTAGTCAGGCGACGAACTTTGACCGGCGATTGTCTTCCGTTGATCTGGACTCTGGAGTACGAATATTTTATTGAAAATTTGAGCCGGCGGGGGGAGGTCTGATTTAAACGAAGGTGGTTGGTGAGATTAGAAAGGCAAAGTTCAGGTTTTGGATACTGATAGATAGACAGGCCAAGTGACACAGAGCTGGGTGGTAGCAACAGAGAAAGAGAGAGAGAGAGATGTCGATTACTCTGCAACTTCGTCTTCTTCCCAATCCCACCAGCACCAACCATTCTTCTGCAACTGCCAGTGCTCGCCACTCCACATTCCTCTCTCTGCCTTCCAATCTCTCCTTTGCTGCTTCTTCCTCTCTCTCCAACTCTTCCACCATTGCCTTCCTCCCAGGTGAAACCGATCTTTCACCACGTTCTCTTCCTCTTCCAAATTCCCTGCATCTATGGCCTCATTTACTTGGGTTTTCGTTTTTTCTCTCTGTTTCAGGTCACAAACTCAATTCCCTCCAGAAGCCCAGATTTGCCGCCTCCCCCATCAGATGCTCCGCTGCCCAGGAAAATGTACTTGCTTTTCCCCCCAACTTGCTGAGTTTGCTTGCTTTCTACTAGATAGTTGTATGGTGGGCTATTTCTGATGCTTCCATCTCTGTGAGCAGGGCTCTGGAGCTGTGAAAGAGCGGAGTGTTTCAGTGGTTCTATTAGCTGGAGGACAGGGCAAAAGAATGGGTGTATGATTGAATTGCTCCCCTCCTTAGCTATTTAACTTTCCGTCCTGCCTCTTTGATTATCACTGGTTACTTATTTCTTCATTTTTCCAGAATAGGCGAGCATGCCAAAGCAATATCTTCCACTTCTCGGCCAACCAATTGCTCTCTACAGGTAACACAAGAATTGCAGTTCTCTCGTTGACTTAGAAATAATAGCTGATTGCATTGTAATCCTGAGAAATGAAAGATGTACACGATAGCATTGATATGTTTAGAGAACGAAAGCACATTTCTTGGAATCTTGGAGAGCACTAGTGAAGTGCAATACCATGTCAGCGAATTTGAGTTCTCCTTAACCCTAAGAAACTGCTCTTAAGACACTGTACTTCACACTGCTACAACTAGTTGCATTTTATATGCCTCTGGAGAAATGATTTTGGTGCTGTTTCTTGGCAGTTTCTTCACTTTCTCGAAGATGATTGAAGTAAAGGAAATCGTTGTGGTCTGTGATCCTTCCTACAGGGACGTCTTTGAAGGTTTCTACATCTGTAGCTATCTGTGCATCTGCTTCCCATGCGTGGTGTTTTCTATTTGCTTGTATTTTAACCGTGTCGATTGCCCTGTGGCTGTCGTCTTCTTTGCTTAACTTAGCTGAAACCGACTAATGGCCGGTGGTTTTTCTCAGATGCCACAGAAGGGATCAACATTGACCTTAAATTTGCACTGCCTGGTAAGGAAAGGCAGGATTCTGTGTACAGTGGTCTTCAGGTGAATCGGAAATGGTTGAAAAATTGTTGAGATTCATGAAATAACCAGGAAATGCTAGTCGTTACTAGTTACTCACACATGCCTCATCTCATGACAGGAGATAGACCTTAGCTCTGAGCTTGTTTGCATCCATGACTCTGCACGACCTCTGGTGCTGGCAGCTGATGTGAGAAAGGTCTGTGGCCAGGAACTAATCTATCCGGGAAGAATTTCTTGGCTTGAGTGGAATTATACATTACCAAGTCCAACCTGTTTATCTGGCCTATGGTTTAGGTCATTAAGGATGCATCAGTGAATGGAGCAGCAGTGCTCGGTGTTCCTCTTAAAGCCACCATAAAAGAGGTAACCGATTCTATATGCTCTGAACAGTTTAGTTTAGACTAAAGATATTAAAGGGCACAATCTTGAATCAGGCATTCCGTGTTTTGGAGATTGATGAGTTTAACACTAAACCTCTACCTGGGTAATTTCGTTGACGCAGGCAGATGGTAAGTCATTTGTAGTGCGAACTCTTGACCGCAAAACACTATGGGAGATGCAAACCCCACAGGTACAATGAATGTCACAGACGTTTCATCAAACCTTTAGCGTGAGAGAAGGGCTGTTGTGCTTACAAGTAAATCTGGTATTACTTTTCTTGACAGGTGATCAAGCCAGAAGTGCTTAGGAAGGGCTTCGAGCTAGTCAATAGGTGAACAGAGTATATATTTGAAGTTCGTTGTGTATTTAGATTGATAACTGCATTAAGAAAAGCTCATTTTCCGAGAATGAGATAGTGGCCCATTTTCCTCTTCACAGGGAAGGCCTAGAGGTGACTGACGATGTTTCGATTGTAGAACATCTAAAACATCCTGTTTTCATCACTGAAGGATCATACACTAACATCAAGGTAATCTCTGAATGAAGCAAACTCAAACTAAACCTTTCACCTTACTGTTTGCTGACTACTTTGATTGGGAATTGTAGGTTACAACACCAGATGATATGCTGCTTGCTGAGAGAATTCTGAACATGAATTGAGCTTTTAGGTTGAGAAGTCATGAGTTTTTCAAATGATTGTTTGCCTACTGTTCTTTTGAGGCCTAACTATGAAAGGAAAACCAAATACTCTGGATTTAATGCAACGGCAATAATACACAGGATGCAATCCATCGACAATTTATGTTTTGATACCTTCCAAGTTCTTCCATTTTTGCGTCGATCAAACTTGAACTATCCAAATGGAAACAAGGCAGAATGAAGACCAAATCTACAACCTTGATTCTCTTATTCATCAATGGAGGAAAAAACATGACCAAAATGGGAGTCTATAGCAGTAAAAACAAAAGCGAGGACGCTCTTTACATAATGAAATAAACATTTCTCGTGTTATTGTTCCTGGGCAATGTCGCTAACTAAGAAAGAATATAGGCTTTTTCAATGAAAAAAATGTCCCGAAAACAAAGAGGGGGCAAAAGAAAACGCAGAAGAAACAGCAGAGACCCACAAGTGCACTCAGATTGTTGCCATATGAGCTACCTTCTTCTAGCCCTGCTCCCACTCTTCTTTTGCTTTCCACACTCACCAAACAGTGAAAATCCTCCAACTCTCCGTCGAGACCGCGCAGTAGCAACATTACCCTGTTGTTTCAAGCAAAGAAATGCAACAATCATTTCTGTCAGTAAACAAAATGCAGACATAGGGAACAAAACAAGAAAAAAGGGCAGCCGTTACCACCTTTCGCCTGTGGGATTTCTGTGCATTCCAACAGAAGAGCCCGCTGCAACCTCCACCTGCAGTGCTTGACTCATACCCCCCACTAAACCCAAAACGAGAAAACAAAACATAAAGACACAATTTTTAGGTAATACGAGTAGTACTAATGCAGTAATGGATCCATCTGGGGACAAAGAAAATCCGCAAGAAGAAAAGATGGGTGGAAAAAGACTCACCTTTCTCTGTTTGAGAAGTTGGTGAAGCCGTTACTATGAAGCAAGCTAGGTGACATTGGACTGTGGCCAGCCCTTCTACCAAGTTGATCCTTTATCAAGACCTCCTTTGGATCCTGCATCTTTAGAAGCTTCAGTTCCTGATTCAACTCTTCCCATTGACGTGGAGACAACCCCGTTGTTGGCTTTGAAGTTTCCTTTTCTCTTTCTTGATGGTGGTATATCTCCTCTTGAGGTAGCACCTGATTCCTCTCTGGTTTCAGCCGGCTTAAAGTCCCCGGTGTGCCTCCTTTCTCTGCTGTTTGTAACCATGCAGTTTCTAGCCTCTGCTCCCGGATGATAGATTCTATTCTTTGCATTGGTATCGCTACCCCAGTTTCCTTCATTTCAGTGCCGTCAGCTTCAGGAAGCAATTCTTGTGACAACTTAGAGTGTTCTCCTGCTGCCCCTCCCTTTAGCTTACTTTCCGGGCCACTAAGCTCTGAATAACCATCCAGTGGATTCAAGCGACTTCCCTTTCTCTTGGGACCACTTCGTTGTGAACCATTGACAAGAAAGTCAGTATCAGAGACGAGGATAATTTTGACTTCTACATTGCGTCTCAAGACCATTTCTATGGAGTTTGTGATGCTACTCATAAACCTTTCAGCTCTTGCTTTGATTTCTCCGTCAAAGAATGCAACATACACAACCAGCACACCTGCAAGCAAAATATATAGAAATCAAGGGATATACTTCGTGCCAAGTTTATTACTACCGATGAGTAAATGACTTCCTATGTGTTTGACTTGTGTCGGTGAAATGATAAATTTCCCCAAGGATAGTTTATAAACTTGACAAAACTAAAAACGTTTCTCAATAGTTTGGTGCCATGTAAAACCTTCTAGCTTATTGGAAAACCACCAAACACACCTTTGTCTTAGTTCACTTAAATGAGAGCACTGAAGGGTGCAAAGGACTTCCCAATTGAAAAAGCGTTCCAAAAATAGTGAACAATTGAATTGCATGCGCAACATTCTTCATATCAGTACAAGATAATTCTTTAAATATAGCTCCAGAAGCATGAAATGCACAGTTCTTTGGGGGGAAAGCATGTAATTCACACAGCTCATGATTCATGAAGAAGCACGAGTCCTAAGGTTTCAGACAACATCATGAAAGTCATATTGTATATTGCTCGCTCATCCATTCATTCTATGTTTCTGTAACTTTCTAGAGAGATCCACGTGCTTACCTTCAACTTCTGATATGGACAAAAGCTTCCCATGTGCATGTAACAGCTGCCTCAGAGACTTTGAGTGACACTTCTCAATGCACTTCTCCCAGATGAAATCCAACTTTTCTGAGTCTCTAAGTCGAGATGGTGTGTCACCAGACATGCTCCCATCCTGAGAAAGAGACGAGCTACAGGTACCCGTCAATTGACTGTGAGGGGACTTGCAATTCAACCCAAATGAGCTACCATTCATTGCATCGTACAAAGAAGCAGGTGAACTCGATCTTCGTGGTAGAGACTGAGCATCTGACTTGTGTTTGTAAACCGTTGCTCCTCTTGAAGCGCTTGAAGGATCTTCCTCAGTCGCCCTGGAGCTGCTACCCCTTTTACTGTTGCTTGAGATTGTGAGTTCTAGTGAAGGCACTGAACCAAGCTGTAAAAGGGTTGCAGTGAACCATGTAGAACGATCACTGGAAAACCTTAGTTGTTTTTCAGCATCTGACAGAACCTTTAAGGAATTCTTTAATCTATCCACTTCTGCTTCAGTCACTACAGCACAGTTAGGAGACAGAGCAACTATTAGTATCCTGCCATACTCTTGCACACACATGAACAAGTATTGTCCTTCAAACATGCACTGGTAAAATTATGAACAATATTTTTGAGTAATTACTTAAGCATTACAATGCAGAACAGGAAACCAAAATCACTAAACCTATCAACATCTTAGCATAATTTGTTAACAGACATTTCTAAAAGGATCCAAACCTCCCGAATAAGCATCATACTCACAGCTTCTTCCACCAAAGAATGAATTGCTAGATCTGCCATCGCCTGCATTGCCAATTCCAGCAATGATGTCCATTATAAGGCTAGCCAATTGAGACATCAATACCATTGGATCAATCCCTGAGTCCATCAAATCCCTGGCTCTTTTCACTGTTTCGGCAGTGTCTGATAACAATGCCAACTCCAAAAGTTCCAGTAATTTCTCATCTGAGACAACTCCAACCTACAGATGCAGAAAGCTTTGAGTTTCAACCCACGCTAGTCCATATTCCAAGACATCATTCAAAGTAAGAACATAGTAGATATTCTGCTAAGAATTTTACAGAAATTTTACAAATAAGAAACTTTAAGTCGAAATATCCACATTAGAGCAAAGTAAATGGAACCATTCTGTTCTGCATAGAGAACTTACAAGTTCATTCACCAATGATGTAGTTATCTTCTTCCCCAGAAGACTCAACTGGTCTAACATAGTCTCCGCATCTCGAAGTGAACCATCTGCGTTCATGGCTATAAGATCAAGTGCATCTGATTCGACATCCAGATTCTCTTCACTAGAAATTTTCCTCAACTGCGATACAATATCTGCATCTTTAATTTTGTTAAACTGGTACTTCTGACATCGGGACTGTACCGTTCGTGGCACATTGTCAGGATCTGTTGTGATGAATATGAACACCACTCCCCAATGTGGCTCCTCAAGGAACTTAAGGAACGCCAACCACAACTTAGATGGAAGCAGGTGACATTCATCAACCAGAAACACCTGATAATGCGAAGAGCTCAATTGGTGAGCTTGAGAAACCATTTTGAGAAGGTATCTCATTTTGTCAGCACATTGCTTACTCGTCCCATCAAATTCCCACAGAAATCTGCTATTTCCAGAAACGAAGTCAGCACAAGATGAGCAGTACCCACAAGGTTTAGTTACATCAGTAGAAGTGCAATTCAAAGCAGTGCTAAAAATCCTGGCTGCTGATGTTTTCCCAGTTCCGCGAGGTCCCTGGAAAAGATAGACCGGGGCAATCCTCCCCCGAGAAACAGCATTCATTAGCGATTGAACAACTATGTTCTGACCAATCAGCTCACTGAAGAAGACAGGCTTGTATTTTTGGCTCAAACTCTTAATATTTTCAGGACTAGTTTCTCCTTCAAGATCTCCTCCATTCACAGGAACAATCTCAAACCCCTCTGCACTCCTACAGTTTGACCACCTTCTCCCATCCAATCTACTCAATGCCTCCATATCAAGCTCCCCGTAGTTCGCTGCAGATAGTTCATCATCACTGCAGGCAGTACCAAGAGATGATCCACCTCTGCCACCAGCCAGCAATGGCAGAACTCCCTGAGCACTTCTCGACGCGATCCTCCTCTTATCAGACACCGATAACGAACGCCTCGATCGATGACCACCAATCGACTGACTACCACCACAAAGAATCCGACTTCCTTTCCTCCTCAACGTATCCGACAGTGAAGGAGAGCAGCAACTACCACCACCATACGACCCTCTACTGTGCCGAGGAGTCCTCCTCGGCCAGTAGCAAGGCATCCCACATCCACGACCACCAGCCAAATCCAAATTCTCATCATCCTCATCCACTCCATCATTCGTGGTGGCGTCCCAAGATCCAACTGTGCTCGCATTGCGATTGTAGTACCGATTGTACGAGCTAGTCGACAATGCAGGGGTGTTGTAAGAGTAAGAAGAATCCTCCTTTTGACTACTCTGCCTCAGAAATGCTGATGGCGAACGAGCCCAGTTCTTGTGCTTGAGCTTCAGCAGCAACGGGGATGCGGAAGACAACTTCCTCAAATCCTCCGAACGAGCATTAGCGTAGTCCTCGGTAGTGGCATCGGAATGGTCAACCGAAGTCCCTTCCCTGCTGCCTAGGGCTAAAGCCAGAGAAGGATGATCTCTAAGCAATTGGGTCAAATTAGGTTTGTTGTTGTGGTTGTGGTGGTGGCCATATCTAGACAGAACATCCGACCGGGTAGCAGATTTCTTACCCCGCTGCTTCTTGATCGGAGCAGCTCGCTTGTTAATCGATGGAGAAACCAGAGCAGCGTCGCGGCAGCGGAGAATCTTGGATGCGACAGAGGAGGAGAATGCATGGGTGTCGCTCCCCCCCGCCGCAGCAGCAGCTCCGACGTCGGTGAGGCTGCCGTCGAGACTCTCTTCCTGTAGGGAGCAGGACTCGCCGTAATAATAATCATCACCATCGGCAGAAGCAGCAGAAATTAGGGGGTTTTGGTGGGAGGACTTCCAATTGTAGAGGAAGACAGGGCGGCTGGGAATTGGGTCGGCGGCATTGTTGGCATTGGAGGAGGGAGGAGCGGCGCCGGCAGATCTGGAGGCGGCGGAGGAGGAAGGAGGGGGGAAAGGGGATTTCTTCCAGGAGGAAGAGGTACCTGGGTCTCGGAGGACGCGGGAGGCTTTTCTGATTTGAGTGAGCTCTTTTCTCAGGTGGAGCCTGCTGGGATCAGCTAGTCGGCGTTCCGCCATGGGAGTCGAAGTCTAGAGTGTGCTGCCGATGATTTTTGGTCCAATAACAGAGGCAGACACATTTGTCATTTGAAGGTGTGAGAACAGAGGAGTGCTGCAGATCTGAGAGAGGTAGTAATGAAGAGGAAGAGGAATATTATATTCAGTGAGCATATAGAGAAGACGATGGAAGAAGAGGGAGCGTGGTGGTGGAGAAGGCGCACTGGTAGAGAGAGAAGGTTGAAAGAAGCGAAGAAGGAAAGGAAAGGAGGGAAAATTTGTTTTTGATTTTTGCCTTTTCTTTTTTACCCTTTGGAATGATTGATTTGACGGGAAACATGTTTGTGTTGGTTTCTGGTCTGGTCAGACTAACTTTTCCGGCAATAATTTTTTCCCCGTCGACGTCTATAGCCTTCTTTCGTCCATTACTAAGATCTTGGAGCATATTTGACAAGCCGTCATTCAAGGAGGATGGATCCAGCTTGCATGTTGACATGCTTGGCAGTACATAATTAGACCCTATACATTGGACATCGTTCAATTCGACCACGATGTTCATGGTGTCGATCGATATACTTACCAGACCACAAACATCTATCGTATTCCGATCGAGGTACTCCTGTATACAATTCTTTAGCATAGATAAGGTCTTCTAAGGCGTATAAATCTTTTCTCGTGCTAACAATTGTCGAGTTGTGACTATTATTTCCTTATTTTCCTCGAGCATGTGTTGGATCAGACTCGTCGACATCCTCGTTTTTCCTCCTCGACCTCGAGTGACTTGCCCCCGCTCTCGAGGGCTTAGAGATCTCCGCAACTCGGTGTTCTTCGAGGATCGTCAGCCTCGCTGGCACATCTTGATCTATCTACTTTGATAGAGCAGTGTTACAAATGATCTAGATCATCAAGAAAGAAAAATACTTTCTTTGCGAGACTGCGGCCATCTTTGATCTTGACAAGCTGCCCCAGCCCTTTGCGAGGTGCTGACCATTGTCAAATGAATCACTAACCATGAAACACCAATGGTGGCGGAAAGCCTCCCACTTCATCAAATGGATCAAAATGCTTTTAACAAATGGATCAAAAGACAAACACAATTCATCAAACTGTGACTGCAACTAGTCTGATTGAAACTCAGGGAACCCAAATAGGAAGCAATTCAGCCCAGATTGTTCGACCGAAAATCCGAAATCAGCTCGTTGTAGCAGCACAAGATAAGCAGATCATCATCCATAGAGCAAAATCAAAATGGTTTAACAGAATTAACCCCAAAACACCAAATGCCAAAAAAAAAAAAACAGGGGAGGGCAGGGGAAGACTCGAATGTCACCAAGAGTCAAGACTCCTCCTCCACCATTTCAGTACCGACTGGGACATGAATGTCCTTATAGTGGCAAACATAAGGGGCGTCGCCGCCATGGTAAGTCCCAGTCCACCTCCCTTCATCGATGTAGCTAGCATCCCACACCGACGCATACAGATACATCGGCTTTCCAGGGAAACAATTCGAATCAGACGACTCACCTTGGCCTTTATCCTTCTCTTCTTTCCTCACAACTTTACCATCAATCACCCACTCGATCCAATCCGGGTACCATTTGATGATATACTCGTGAAACCCATCCGAGCAATCGAACCCTAGATCGTGGATTTGCTCCCTGTTCCCAGTCCCGGCGGTGTAGTAGTTGGTCTGGACGACGGTCTTGTCCTTTCCGACGAACTCGAAGTCGATCTCGTCCTGGGATTTGTCTCCTTCCAGGGAAGAGAGGTAGATGTTGAAGTTGAGGCCGCTGGTGTTCCCCTTTGGGCACTGGATCCGGGAGCTGAATGTGCCGTAGAGGAAGCGGCTGGTGCTCCGCCACCGCGCGCCGCCGCGGTGGTCGTAGGTCAGGGTGATGGAATTGGTCTCCGGGCAGTGGGTGCACGCCTCCGGCGTGTAGTCCACGGCGATCTGGTTTATGGGTCGGGTCTCGTGGTGGAGCGCAGGGTCCGCCATTTCTTTCTCCGATTTCCTTCCTTTTTTGCTTTTCTCTGAAAACTTTCACGCCGGCTCCATATTACCGGCGGCGGCAGAAATAAAAGCCCAATTAAAAACTAAATGGGCCAGCGCCCAGCTGGGCTCGAGAAGAAACAAAAGCCTTTTTACTGATTGCCACCCGGAGCCCGGCCCAAACACTATTTGCTTTCGTCTTCAGTCTTCACTGGCTGTTTCCCCATTTCAGTTTGCGGAGAAGAAAGGAAGCAGCTATGTCCAACTGGATTCCCGACGAAGTTGTCACCGGCCGGATCCTCGTCCAGCTGCCGGTCCAGTCACTCCTTCGATACCAGTCGGTATGCAATCACTGTGAGCAACGTAACGGGTCCGGTCACTCCTTCGATACCGGTCGGTATGCAATCACTGTGAGCAACGTAACCGAATTGGAAACACAATATTTCACATTATAACATGACACGATGTAGTGACCATCTATTTAGAAATAAGAGAGTTCAAGTCCCAAAACCTAATAAAAAACAACAGATTCCCGACAACATTGAGATGAAATGAAACACATCGACCTGAAAAAAATTTTGACATAGGGAAAACCATAGACACTTAACAAGGAGACCAAAAAAAAAAGTAAGAGAAAAAAATTCCAACAATCTCCAGAGTCGTCCCTGATCCTGAACTAAAATGGGCGCCTGAATTGGGGCCGGTTGGTTAAGTTTTTCCAACTTTGCAACAGACGGATTAGAATACGAAAGCTAAAAAGGTTCTACTACCTCCCCCTCCCTGGCTTCCATCAACCTCCAAGCTTTTCCTCCAGCGGCTAATATGATGATTGCCTAGACTCTTGCCCGCTTGCCACTGCATCCAGGGCATTTATACTGCTTGATGTGCTCAGCCTTTGCAGGTGTAATCTTCACGCATTTGCCATGGAACCATCTCTCGCACACGTCGCAGCAGATCCAGAACTCGTCCGTTCCGTAGCTCTCGCCACATGCCCCACAGGTTGCACCCTGTTCATCATCTTCCTCCTCGTCTTCCCCGCTCTCGTCATCCTCCTTTGGTGGTGGAGACATCTTCACTGCCTTTGTGAGGGGCTCCGGCTGCCGAGCTTGCTTTTATATCCATACATACAACCACAAGCGCAGAACCCGGTTCGTGATAAGTAGATGAGTTCTTCTAGCAATAAAATCGGGATGGGATGCAAGAGAGGAAAATAATTTGTCATACGTCATCCTCTTACCATCTTTGAGCTTGATTTGCTTTTACTGCTGCTGTTGTTGTTATGAGTTACAGACTGGTCCTTGGGTTGCTTGCCCGCTCCTGACACGACTTCAAATATTGTGGGGACTTCATTTATCATCTGGAAAAGCCTCTTCCTGCAAATAGAAAATCCCAAACGAATGACCAAGGTCAAAATCGGAAAATTCGGTTCCGGCTAGGCTATGTTCACATTAGGTGAGAGTCACAAATGAAGCTGTAATAGGCATTGGACAGGCAAGCTTACAATCAATGTTATCAAGCCTTCATAATGAGATGAGAAAGAAGATTTCCGAGTATCAGATATTAACGAGTCAAGCTCATCAATGGACCATAATTAAGCTTTTTCCTCAGCAGTGGAGAGAGACATTGAGATACTGATCTGATCCACGTCCTTCCAACTTATTGCCCCTTAACCCTCCTAAGGCCCTACCTCAACAAACAAACTATAAAGGAAGAAAGAGAACCACCTGAAACCCAATGGACAATCCCATATGGGTCTGCTTACACCAGAAATAAATCAAAAATATTCAAAAGGGAAGATGAAAGGAGGATAAGAGGCAGGTCATCCACATCTTCTCATTCTGGTTAGGACGGTCAAATACAGTGAGCAAGGTGACAATCATACTGCTACTGCACTGCACACAACTTTTTAGCATTGTAAGATGTAACAGACTCTACAGCACAAAATAGTGCCCTAGCTAAGAGCATAACCATCCTCGCTGTTGCTAGTGCCCTGTAAACATTTCTTGTTGTTTTCCTAATTAGAATGTAATGAATGGAACCTACTAACGGGAATGTACAAATAATGAAATATATGGATGACGATAAAAGCACATGGAACCCAACTTCATAAACGTAATTAATTGGAACTAGGACTGGACTGTTTGGATTTTTTTTTCGGTAATTACTGTTTGGCTTTTTATGGCATTGTACACTACAATCTAGAGATGGCCCATTCCGATCAACAACACAAGAGGGATTTAAGAAGATACAGAAAGCAGTAATGAACAGCTCTAAAACATTATGTAACCGTACCTTTCGTTCTTGCCAAAACCAAAACGTGCCCCGAAATAAAAAGCAACAGCAAGCAGCCATGAATCACTGTGAACTGCAACAAGTGACAACCAATCCTTCTCTTGCATCCCATCTCTAGCAAAATTAATGCCTAATGCAGGTTCAGGAAGCTCAGGAGGCACCTCCTCCACTGGCAAGTTAACTTCCCACGTCTCATTTGGCATTCCATAAAGACACAGATTCTCCTTCTCTGTTGAGGCAAAATTTGGCCATCAGAGACAGCATGAACCAAACTTGACTAGTAAATATAAACCACATTCAAACAAATTTCACACAAGACAAAACTTCACAAACTCCAATGATGGGGGGGAGTGCCTAGCAACCTGGTTAAGCTACGACACAACTGTAAGATGTAACCGACAAGCTTAAACTGAAGATGTCAAGCTGTGACTACAAAACCAGTATGGGCTAGGGTCACTAAAAAAACCATTCATGATATCATGGTTCGTGAATGCCAATGAAGTGGTCTTTTGGAAGGAGGATAGAACACATTTTACCTTGCCAAGCACCTGTCAAATGTGTTGACAACATAGAAGCTGGCCAACATGGCTAGCATCTATGTCACCGGCGCCAGCTAGAACATAGAAACCAATTATTTACCACATACTCGCATGTAACACAATCAGTGCACATATCCAAACACAGACCATACCTACATCACATAATTCATACAAAACCACATCATCTCATGCTCTGTTACACACTAAAAATCAGTATCTTAAAATCAGGAAAGCAAGTAAAGCTGAAGGCATGCAGATACATGAGGGATATAAAAGGCTTAGGTAAGTACTAATGTGAGAACGACATAATTAGCAAACAAGCAAGGATGAGACAGCATGATAGTGTTAACAGGGTTAATCTAACTTCAATCTAGCTGTTTCTAATACTTGTCAGTGGATCCTTCCTCACATTTTCTGAATTGATAACCGTACTGCATTTGCAGGAGCTACCACACACCAAAGACCGAAACGCCAACAACTACAGACATTTGCGTGGCAACAAATACTCTTTTGGTTTCAGAAACATATAAGGCAAATTTTGAAATGCTAGGAAATAGCACTTATTCCGAAGTCATCTCATATATGTTATAGTTCAGTGCAAGCGCAACACTCTTCAAACCCATTCAAAAACCGAAAAGACCAAATTCCAAGTTCGCAATTTCACAGCCTGCCTTATTTACATCACTAACAGACTAACTGAAGATGCTTCCATAGCTCAAGCCTACCTGCACCTTAAACAACAAATGCAAATGACAGACAGACTATAACGTAACAAGAAGGAAAGCAGTTTTAAGCATTCCGTTTTGACCGAAGCAGCCAATTGCATGTAATAAAGAAACAACACTCATCTAGGCATTAATTAAAAACATAAGAACGAAAGCGGCCACATCAGAGTCTTGACCACCGAATGTGAGGTGCCATAGGCACAAACTTCACACATAGTACTAAAACTAGCTCCAGAATGCTCTATCTTTAGAGACTGGACTCGATCTCGACGCATATATTATGCAGAGAAACCCATTAGAAGAACAACACACCAGACGTACACACACAAGCTTACTTTCAAAACCATGAAAAGCAGAATTGCAATATGGGCACTAACATAAACGTGCATGAGCAATAACCAAAGAGGCCATAAACGAATATTCAGGAGCTTCGTCAAAGAGAGAAATTAAACAGAAAAATATGAACGGATAACCGGAACCCACCAGGGTCGCACTGATGGTAGAACTTCTCGACATCTGCCATAGAAAAACGGGAAACCAGTTAAGAGAATTACATGTGAAGAAAAGACCCAGACGTCCAATCAGAATAAAGGCAAAAACTTAAGCCAATTGGAGAAGAACCCATAAAGCCAAAGAAAGAGGAGATTTAGGGCGTTCTAAGTACAAGACAACAGAGAAGCTGAAACATAAAGAAAAAGCAGATTCGGAAGATGAAGGGTACCCAAAAAGAAAAAGATACCTGTAGTGAGAGCCTTGATCAAGCCAGCGCGCCTTCCTTTGAAGTCACCGAAGACCTCTTCCACGGTCCGAGGTATTGGGTGCGGTATCCCCTCCATGCCGTGTTTTCTAGCTGGAAGCGGAACTTGTTGCTGCTCGTTGTGTGGAATGAATCGCTCTCAGTCTCCCACAGTGAGGTTCTGTGAGCAGACACGGACGAGGGTGAAATGCAGGCGAGAGGGGTAACAGGGAATTGCAGGAACGGAACTTGCTGAAGGAATTAGGGTTTGCAGGTGAAGTCGAGTGAGGGGGTAGGATTGTGAGTGAAGGAAATTAGGGCTAGGGTTTGCTGGTGCGTATCTTTTTTAATGGGTTTCAGATTTGGGGAGGAGGAAAAGAGGAAGGAAGGAGAGAGAGAGAGAGAGAGAGAGAGAGAGAGAGAGAGAGAGAGAGAGAGAGAGGCGACGAGAGCGACGAGCGGGCGGAGGGTAGAAGAAGAAGAAGAAGTTGCTGTCTGTCTGTCAATCCAATCTATGGGGGAGAAGGAGAAGTTAAAATTTTGATTGTTGTAATTTATTTGTATCATTCAATTTGATCCCCAATTCTTATTCCGATTGAAAAATGGATACGAAAAGTTCGATTTATCTCCTGAATTTTATGGTGTATTGATGTTTTACTACACCAATCTTTGAATTGTGACAATAGAGTCCTGAAACTTTTAAATTTAAGTCCAGAGAAGGCGCGTTTGAATCCAATAAGATTTATTTTCTTACAATTGGAGGATCTTTCGAAAATTATAGTTTTAGTTTTATATGACTAATAGTTTCTCGCTTTAAAAGTTATTTGGTAAAATTGAATTAGATTTCGAATCTATCAGTTTACTCTTTTGGTTTAATGCAGTTGCGTGATATTCAAAATCATAAATAAATTGTAATTGGATCACTCAAAAGTATATTTTCAATTTTACTTTGAGACTCAAAGTATGCCTCTCATCATTTTTATTCAATCCAAATACCGATTTGATTCGACGTACATCAAATTGTTACTCACCCCTCGCATATTCAATTAACTTTGAAAGAAATGCATGGCTTGTTAATTTGGCATACTATTGTTTCGTTCCAACCTTCAAGAGGTAGTCATTAGGAATAAATTCTTTTCTTTTAAGAAGTTGGTTCTAATTAAATGTAATATAAAAATAACTATAGCCTAATATAAACATGTTTGATTTAATGGGATCTAAAAAGAATGAAATGTGTATCAAATGGAAAATTCACTACTAACATGATTAATTAAAGACTACTTGTACCAACAACAATTTGTGTATTGGCTAGGTTAAAATCAAGGAAGGCCACGGAACTCGAAAAAGTTGGACAGATCAAGTATTGAACTTGTGATTATGACCAACTAAACCACTAAATTAAATGAATTGGGGTCCTTTAGGTACTCTGCCTATTTTTGTCCATATGTGGGAAAACAAATTCAAAAGTTACTCGTACTTTTAGTCTACACATAATATAATACGCCGAAGAAAAAACGGGAGCCCCATATTACTTTTTTTTATTCATTAAAAAAACACGTACTGGGATTCGAACCATGACCATTTTAAAGAAAAGCAAGGATAATAACCAATCACACTAAGCACATTTGTTGTATCTTTTTAAATTAAAAACAGATAATAGCAGGGAGGAAAAAACCCTTCCCCCATTTTAAATTCCCTACTCCATGAGCGTTTGTAGGAATGGTAGAATAGGGAGTGTCAATTTTTTTTCTCTTTCCTCTGTGGAACGGGCCAACTTACCGTACACATGTGAATTTAAACGGGTCCAGGAGTGTCAATTTTTTTTCTTTAAGCCATTTTATTTCTCCGTGGTGACAAAATATATATGAAAAGGTAAAAATAATACTCCTTTTATTGTTAAAAATAAAACAATAAACTAATGCATGGTATCTAATGGGCTAACCGCCAACCATAAAATAAAAGAGTTGAATGTGTCTGACCTACATGGGATTTGGCCATCAAGTAAAATAAATGAACATCATTGGTTTGTCATTCTAAAATAAGCTAATTTCTCTGACATAATATATATTATGCTATTAATTTATATCTTAGTGGCTAAAATATAATGTATTTTAAAGTTATTCAATGGTTCAACCTCGACCAACACAATTAGTCCAATTTTTATCATTTCAAATATATATTTTATAATTATTTGATATCATAATGATCAAATTATAGTGTATTTTATAGGGAATAGTTTGGTATTTGTTAGTAAAAAATTAACATAAAGATCTATTTGGTTATTTAAAACATTATAACGATCCTAAACATTTTCAGTTCCTTTTGAATTTCTATGGTTTTATTCCCGAATAAGTGATGTGCAAATGGCGAATTGTAGTCGTCTCTTTTCTTTCACTATTTTTTATTTTCAAATAGAAAGTTTAAAAGTAAAGAATAATTAGAATTTGGCATGGGTAGTCAAACAGGCTGAATTTCAAGTTTTGGCCCGTTTGTTTTATGTATTGCAAATTTATTAGCATTTTGATGGAAATGGCTTGGAAAAAAGACATATAAGTTGTACCTTTGCAGAAATGTCCTCAAATGTTTTAATGCTTTGTGAATCAGGTTCTGTGACTTTTGTGATGGTGTATGTGCTTGACAATTGCTCGATGTTGTAACTGCTTAATTTGAGAGTAAATCTTTTGATTTTCCCGATGAGTTGTGATACCAGTTCTGGTGGTTGCAGCATGTTGTCGTTGTTGGCCTGTAAAAGTTGTTCCGCCGTGGTGCTAAATACCTTTCTTTCTTTTTTAACAAATTGTGTAGTAGTGCTATGAAACAGACCACCCATGAACGCTACGCTTATTATGGTCTGTTCTTACTTCCGGTGGTGAGAAATTGTGAATTGAGAATCATATTTGCCTACCGCACTGTGTCTGGCTGGTGGCTGCTTACTGTGCTCTCTAGAGTTATGAAACAGACTACCCATGAACGTTTCCCTTAAGAGTCCATAACTTTTGCGAAAAACCAAATTTAGGCAATCAAAGGTGGTGGATGTGTGATGATTTTTTATGGCTTAATTGTTTGTGAATTGGATATCTGATCTTTGTATTGGAGGGGATGTTTGCTTAATAGAATTATCCATTTTAATTCATGTTTATTTTTAACATGAACTTTAGTAACTCAAAACCTTCGAGACACATAAAACCTACTGCATTGTATCATTTTGCCTGGGTGCTTGCTGTGTTGTCAAACTTCTTTGTTGCTGCTGCTTTTACACTAACAGGGGAGTTAAGAACCCATGAATGTTTCCGTTTGACACAAACAGTAGGACTTGCTTCTAAATCGTGCACTAAAGATGATTGGAGGAAACATCTCTATTCCAGTTGATATACTGGAGACCAGAACAAAAGCAATGTATAACATCAAAACCAACCATCTGAACTATTAGCATTGTTGCTTTACTATTTTTTCGTGGTAGAGTCTCCTTCAAAAAATTTAGTTTGATTTTAGAAAAATTTGCTTCTGCAGTCCTGTCTTGCCACCAACGCGTTCAGTAGATGGAGATGGCAGAGGCGAAGGCTATTTTTGTGCTGTTGTTGCTGGTTTAGGGATCGGTTTGTGAAGAAGAGGGAGAAGAGAGGGGGAAAGCGAAATGCATGAGAGGGGGTAACTCTTTTCTCTGACAAAAATGGAGTGAAGAAAGGAATTATGATCAGTAAGGATATGGTTATCTTACATAACGGTCTCTATTCTGTTTGAATTGAGCTTGAAAGCCAGTGATAAGACGAGCTGCAACCAATTCATAGTGAGAAGAGAGCTATGAACTGTGATCATGTCTTATTTCAAGTTAGAAGGTAGTTTCAGTATAAGGATTATTTAATTTGACAAGTTGTTTCGTCCATGATTCTTGGTAGTTTCAGTGCCATTCTAGCCATTGTTTAGTCTGTAATTTTTGAGAATTGATGTGCGAGTAATGACTTTCACTTAGCTTCAACTATTATGTGTGTATTTATTGGCATGTGATAGAAATCTCTTTTCCTTTTCTTTGAATTCAATTTCATACTCTAATTGTATCATTTGTACATAGGCAAATCATGCTCGAGATGACAACTCGCTGATAAGGCTGGTGCAAGGAACGGAGCCATCATTAGAATTCATACCGACAACGGGGAGGGATGCCCAGGACTAATTCAATGATGATTGATGATGGTATAATAAAAACTGCAGTTTGCATCAACACCAATTTCTAGGCCTAAGTAAAGCTATTCAACCCAGAACTCTTCTTAGCGCTAAAAATTTCCCTCACCCAACCTTGATCTTGTTTGACCCACTTCTGAAGAGTCAAGATATATGAATATGACTAATCCTCTCCGTTCGTATTTTCTTATTGACTCTTTCTGACCCTTTAGGTTGGGGCGGGTCGGGAAGAATCGGATTAGTGGGTCGGTCCTAATCAAGTGGAATCCCAATCCCTTCACTCTCACTTGTTTTCTCTCCTATTCCACAAGTGAGTAACATACAGTAATCCGGCCAACGGGCCGGGTAATAGGCTAGTTACATTTTATCATCTAAAGTTTTAAATTTATGTTCTTACTCTAGATCACCGTGAGAACTCTAAGTGAGTCTTTAGACTCTAATTTCACTCGAATTTTATTAATCTTTCCCTCCATCATACATGAATTCGTGCTTGATAGAAAATTTTGTTCCAATTGCTCTATACATGTTCAAGTTCAAATAAAAAGAGTAAGAAGCGAAGTTCAAAATTAGAAAGGAAAAGAAAATTAGAACAAAAGGAGCATAATAATACAAACTTATATGAGTAGTTTGTTTTCATATTATTGCAAAGTAACCGATTAAATTACAGTATGTACACAGAACTTAAATTATAACACTACAAAATATCCTTAGTATATTATTTTGTATTTTGTGCTTAAATCTCCCTAACTTAAAAATTTAAACTACCAAATCATCCTTTACCATTTTTTTTAAAATATACTTCAAACTTCTCCAGGGCTGCTCTTGTCAGTCGTTGGCCTCACGGGTGCCCGGTACCAAAGAAATCAATAACAATTACACCAATTGTATTATATATGCTTTATCATTTGTTCGTTACTCCAATAGGAGGATTGACCATATTTTATTTCCTGTCTGTTGGGATAAACATCTAAAAAAAGACATCTAAATAATTACATCATCATAGAGCTCTTTCATTTCTCGACACCTAAAAAACTTTTCCCCCTCCATCAACAACCATGAAAGAGCAAATTCCCAATAGCCCATGGATCCTTCTCGTAATGATTAAGCCGACGCTTGATGCTACTAACTAACGGTTGCGCCAACAGGTTTATCTACCGCCAAATCTTTTGGGGGCGCCCAAATTGTGGTTGCCTGACTGAAATTGAAACTTGTCCTCCGAATTTTTAATGTTTCAGTGTGGATTGATAGGTTTGGCGGTTGCAACTGTAGGGTTGACATAAAAATCCATAAGCACCTATGCATCTTGAGGTAATTCAAGTGCTCTTCAACACTGATCTCAAATTCTTACTGTTTTTCTTTCTTGAGTTTGAGTATTAGCTAGTGATGGAGGATTAAAGACCGATGATGAGGCTAAGGGTAGGGCATGTGATTCCAATGGGTAAGGATGGGTGGGTTTGTTTTGTATAAATTGAGTGTGTAAATAGAGAAATGTAGAAGGGAATTAAAAATATTAAGTTAGGGCGACAAATGGCAACCATCATCCAAAATCGGAGTTTAGTGTTAAGTTTTTTTTTATCAATTTGAATATAATACCCATATTCGGGAAGCTATATGAGGGCGATAATAGTAAAACTAGGACGACGAATGACAACCCTCATCCCAAATCGGAATTTAGTGCTAAGATTCTATTATGCACTTGAATACAATGACCATATTCAATAATCAAATTTATGTTTGGATATTCACATTGATGCTCCACCTTTTGGACGGAAAAGATATCTCTACATATATCATAGTTACACTTACACACACTTCAGTGTTCATGTTTATTATGTGTGAGATTTTGATCACACATGTTATGCCAGCGCTCATGGTCACACTTTTCAGTACCGGCTCATGGTCACACTTTTCAGTACCTAACCTGACTATTCTAAACAAGCTCATACATTTTGAAACGTTATGGTAAAAAACGAGATACTCCATCAATGTAATACATGTAGTCATGTATCTTTTGAGATGGTTAACCATAGTTTTTCACCAAGTATAACACATGGTAAGGAGTCATAGTTCTCTCAGAACATGTAAAAGTAGAAGGTGTAAGGCTTTCTGCAAGGGGAAAAACTAAAGAGGCTTTTTAAGGAAGAAGCCATAAAAAATTGCAGAACAAATCGCCCACCGTGGGACTCGAACCCACGACCACAAGGTTAAGAGCCTTGCGCTCTACCAACTGAGCTAGACGGGCTTGTTGTTCTTGGACAATAAATACCGTTTTCACTCAAATTGTCTCTGCATTATGCAAATCTTCAGCCAGTAAACGAAACTTATTACACCCACAACTTATGAACTCTGGGTAGAATTTTGGTCATTTAACACTAATCGAATCCTATCCGTGGTATCACTGATTCACTGCCTGTCAAACCTTCACTCTTAGGTTCCGTTCTTTCTGCAGTGTTGGGTCGCAGACTGCAGCTCCAGCCCACTCATCCCCAAATCTTTGGCCCATTTTTAAAGGCCCTCGAGCCCAACATATTTATGTAAAAATTATATAAGAAATAATTTTTTTCCCCCTCAAGAGTAGGGGTAACAAGATAGTCAAATAGAGGAGTCAAGTAAAGCGAGGGAGTCGACCAATAGTCGAACTCCCAATGAAAGGGCTTTATGTGCCACAAGATGGGCGGCCCTATTAAGTCGACGAGAAACAAAACAGAAGGAAAGCCAACTGAATTGGGTAGCTGCTAAACATGCCACTTTGTGATAGCGAGACCTACTAAACATGGAGGCCACCAACGGGCCTCGCTTGGATTCGAACATAGGATCTACAACTCCCAAACCTTCACCGTCTCGGCAAATTTGCGTTCTTAGAGCATCCACATCAATGATATTTGCTCAATTGCAAATCCTACATGACAGTCAAAATGCAATTGCAAAGCGGATTGCACCAATGTAGTGGGCACTTGCAAGCTAAAAATGCAAGTTTGCATTAAATGAAATTGAATATGCAAGCCAAATAGGAAAATAAAAAAAAGCAATCATTTATTTCTCTCTCTCTTAATTTTTTATCTTTTATTATATCATTATTTAAACTATCATATATGCAATTGCAAGTGAATTGCATTGATGTAGGTGCAATGAAATAAAAGTGAGTTGGATTGCATAAAATTTGAGATGATAATCAAAAAATTATATGTAATTAACTTGGGAATTGCATTGATGTGGATGCTCTTAGTGCACTTGCATCAGTTACCATTTTCTACTTTCATTATGACGCGGATGTGCTGTTGCAATTGCAAAATGAATTTTACTGATGTGTGAAGTGCTTGCAAATATGCAAGGTTTCATATAGTGAAAGCCCATATGCAATTAAACGTGTCTAGCTAGTGGGGTTTGACTACTTTTTCTTCTTATTTACTAATGTTATTTGAATAATATAAAATATATTTTAGATGTTTTTTTTTATTGCAATTGCAATGAATTGCATTGATGTAGGTTCAATTACATTTAAATGAGTTGGATTGCATAATTATTGAGCGGGCAAAAAAGCAACAATTGTCATTAATTTTTGCAATTGCATTGATGTGGATACTGTTATGGCTCAAAATACAGGAGAATTTTAGGCGAGAGGAGGGAGTAGAGGAGCCGCGTTGATTTGAATTGGCATTATCCTTCCTCTCTCGCGTTGATTCTCACGTGGATGCAAACAGGGTACGCAGGGTAAAACTCACACCTTAAATGCGAGAGCTTCACTAGTAAATATTGATATAAGATCCATAATAACTTCTCCCAATAGCTCGAATTATTGGGATCAATTGCTTGCAAACTTCAAGCTAACAAGTTGACTTTCATTTAAGGGCGAGCGTTAAGAAGTGCACGCGCAATGCATTTTGAATCACTGTGCTTCTGTTGTTATTCCCCGTACGTACATTAATTACATATAGATACGGCTTAGATTATATATAAACTGATAAGCCCTAACCCCATATAAAGCTACAAAATTATTGACCATAATCAAGAATCGACTGATTACTGGTACATATTACATAATCATACAGCATTAGGGTTTATCATCATCATGCACGTACACGTGAGAATCTACATATTAGCTCAGTTTAATCCCACTTAATATTATCATTAGCTTGATGATCGTCATGATCATCACCAGCCCGCTGAGATACGGAGACGTTATTATTCCACTCCCATATCTGCAACGGCGACCTGCCGTTGCTGAAGCTCGGCGTCGGGAGCACGATTTGGTTCACCCCCATCTGCTGCTGCTGCTGATGTGGAGGGAGGAACATCATTTGCTGTTGCTGTTGTTGCTGGAAGTTCACCAGCCGGTGCAGATCATCTAGAGAACTAATTAGACCGGCGTTACTATTACTATTATTAATGTTGCTGTTGTTAGTGTCACTTCCCCCGCCGCCGCTGAGGATCAAGAACTGCTCGTCCACTACTTCATTTGGCGGCGGTGGTTCGTGGTGGTGGTGGTGGTGAAGGGATGTTGCGGCGGCGAAGGAGGAGGAGGTGAAGGGCTGCTGGAGGTTGAGATGTGGGTATTGTGATGAAGGTTGTTGTAGTTGTGGATGTTGTTGGCGGTGTTGTTGATGGTGGTGGTGGTGGTGGTGAGGCGTCCTGGTTGAAGGAAGTGAGCGTGGGAGAGAAGCGCCGCCACCGTGGTGATCTTCGACTCCTGGTCTCTTGTATACTCGGCAAAGCGATATCTCCGTCGTCTGCATTCATACGAGTGTATAATTTAGGGTTAAAACGAACAATATATCTGTTTATGACTTTTAAAGTTAAAAACAGGCTAAGAATATATAGTGGCAGAGATCGAGCTAGGTTATATCCATGAGGGGGGCGTTATAGTTCTCTCAACTTTGAGATGAACGTAAATTTTTAGCTCCGGCCACCCCAGTTATCACAATTCAAAGTCGAGCCCCCGTCATTTAGAATTCTAGTTCCATCACTGAGAAGTGAGAACATGGTATCATATTTTGAGTTCGAACATTGAGAATAATAGCCATTTAATTAACAAAATAAGCTAGCAAATTATATAATTATAGAGTGAACCACTGTAGATGATGCAAAAACACACAACCTAATCATGATTAAGAACGAGCTAGCCTTATAATAATGCAAGTCTAACAAAATTAAAGAACATAGTAAGCACAATATTAAAAGCAATAGAGAGATAATTGAGGATATGATTATCCAACAAGTCAACTAAAACTAGGGATACAAATGAACAAAACAGTTCGCGAGCGCGGCTCAACGTTCGGGTCGGGAAAAAAACACGTTATTAGACGTTCGGTTCGTTTGCTTAGAGTCAAGTTTGAGTTAGTTATTCTTGTTCGACTTGCAAGGTTCGCGAATCAGCTCGACTCGATGGCTTGTTTAGGTCGTGAACATCAGCTTATGATCGAATAGATTAATAGCTTACCAGTTTGGCTTGTTGATCAAATAATTAATAACTATTGAATACGAACAATTAAAAAAATTATGAGCTAGATTATATCGGGAACATGTGCAAGCCAAAGTTTTAGTAAACAAGTCTAGACCGAACTTAACTCGAGATGAGCTCCGACTAGGATAAGACTCGACGCATTTGCCGCGCTATAATAAAACCCAGACAAGTACAGTAGATAGAAGCAATGACGATAGTAGTAATGAACTTAGCTACTAGCTAGCTAGCTAGGTTCCGTTGCACCCTCAGCTATGGCTTCCTGCAATTAAAAGGATCATGCGTTTCCTCTCGTGTGTCAATTAATACTTTTTATTATGTACACACTGTGATTCTGTGAAAGAGAGAGTGAGAGCAAAAAAGAACAAGGTTGTGGAAGGGAGGGAGGATCTGTTTCGAATTGAAACAAAGCTATGGACTGACTGTCAGAAGTGATTTATCACCAAAACGGGAAAACAATAAAAATAAATAAAACAATGGAGGGCTGCTGACTGTCAGAAGAATTTGCAGGATCAGGATTATTTTTTATTTCTTTCTTTCTATCACATCAATTGTTTATTGTATTTTTCCTAGAATTAATTAAGTCACATAGCTACCTAGCCTGCTAATGTGAAGTAGGACTCATTTAACAAAACCTAAATTTGGTTCTGCTAGTGCTATGCATATCTATACAGATCGAACACAGATGATCATATTAACTCTTGGTGATAATGGTATTTTTTTTAAAAGGGTTAAGTGCAGTCGCGTTTTAGGAGTAAGGCGAGCGTTGGAGTCTTGTCTAGTGTTTAGTTTACCTTGTGGTAGCGCTGGGTGTCGTGGTGCGGGAGGCGATACTCGTTCATGATCCAGCTTGTTCTTATCCCTTTCGGCGCCTTGCCGGAGTAGAACACCAGCGTCTTCTTCAGCCCGATGGACGACCTCGATCCCTCGGTCCGGATCATCCGGTCCGCCCCCGTCGCCTTCCAGTAACCGGACGCCGTAACCCGGTTCGGCCGGTCCCCGTTTCGGTACTTCCTGTCCCTCGGCACGTAGAAGAACCACTCCTTCTCCCCTATCGCCGCCATCGCTGCACCCACCAGCACATATATATATATAGGTAAGAGATACAGACAGACAGAGAGAGATGAGATGGGAGGTAAAAAGGAAGTGAGTGGAAACCTGGGAGCTGCCAAGGGTCGTAGCGGTAAAGGTCGAGGGAAGTAATGAGGTCGACGTTGAAGCGCTTGCCCTCCACCTTACGGCGAAGGTAGAACTCCACCAGCTCTTCCTCCGTCGGGTGGAATCGAAACCCCGGCATCACCATGTCGTGCTCGTGATCATCACCACCACCAACAACAACTGCCAGCTGCTGTTCCTTGCTTCCACCGCCAGTACTGCTGCTATTGTTGCTTCCTCCTTCTCCTGCCGCCTCGCTGCTCTTCTCCTCCTCATCTCTGCTGATCATGCTCTTGCTTCTCTCTCGGCTCGGCTCGGCTCAGGTCACTCGCTCGGGGATTCTTGTTTCTTGTTCTTTGTTGGGTTTATGGGGATGGATGGATATATAGAAGTAGGAGGCGGTGTTGTCTGTGGTTGTGGAGATGAAGAAAGGGAAGGAAGGGATGAATGAAGAGGAGGATTTTTGTTGATATTATTAATTAGTTTTTTTTCTTCTTTCTTTCTCTTCTTTTCCTTTTTGCATAAAACCGATTGACTCGACTAACTCGCTCACTTGACTCACTCTTCACCACATCACACGCAGTGACTCGAGCTGCTGGCTGGCTCACACCCCCAGAATTTCAACCGTGTTTTTTTCCCCCACTTCTCGTCTTTTCTTTGGCGACAATTAATGTTTCATTCGTCGAAGGTAAATCTTGGTCGATCGATCATGGCTGGAATATTGTAATATCAATTGAGTTAAGGACACACAAAGTAGTCGATCAATGTATAGTATTCTTCAAAATAAAATAACGCCTCGCGTCTACAATTGTAATGCATCAATTGGGTACTGTGTGACGCGGTGAAAGATAACTAATTAACCTAACCTTTTTTTTTTCATATGTGAATGTGTATACACGTCATAGGTAATATTCGTCTGCTTCTTCGGAGGGCCGGACGGGAGGTGGAGAGGGAGAGAGTAGTTGATCGGAAGAAAGATGTACATAGAATGGAGGACCCACCGGCGGCCACCGGGGAGGCGGTGGAGGGCGGTGGAGGAGTGCCTCTAAGCTAAGGCTAATGCTAAATAGCTAATGGCGCGTTTAATATAAGAAGGGTAGAAAATGACACGTCAAGGTACAACTAGGGCGGGTCCCACTTCGTCTTTGTTTTGCGGTGCCTCCCCTTTATTTTGGACATTTTCTCCCCTTTCCATAACAATCCACTCTTCTATTATTTAGATGTCGCGATTTTTTTATTATTATCTGAGCCACTCGATTTAATTCCGTTCTTACCATATGAACATAATCACATTTTATTTTTTCAAAATAGCCACATCATAATATTATCACAATGTATCCATGAGTACTCATTAGTTTATGAACATAATCACACTTTAAATACCCACATCATAATATTATCAGAATTTTTTCGTGTACAAATATGTTTCTATGTACTGGCAAAACCCGAACCCAACCCGCCAATTAACCCAGTGAAAATGGTAATCATGAGGTCATTAGTGACATAAAAACACGTTATAGTACTGTTATAATGCACCATATGTAATATGGAGCCCAATATGAATTTTGGCATGTATGTGCTGTGGCTTGGCTGGCTAGCTATACACATGGAACAAAAATCATGTGGTTTCCAAAGACCAATTCAGAACTCGTGTGTGTGTTTGTGTTTCTAGCTATCTAGCTAAGATTGCACGTCCATATATGCCCAACCACTTGCAAAAGCATCGTCATCAATCTCCATTTTCTGGGTCGTTGCGGTAGTGAAGCCATCGAATACTGGTACAAGTGATTGGAGTTTAGACGTTTGATGTGCAAGAATACAAGTTTTGAGCGATCTACGGTTTGTTCGGTTTGAAATGAGGTTGGAAAGACTGTTATCAGAGATCAAGTGTAAAAATAAGGTCGATTAATGTTAGGAGTTATAGAGAGGACAAATAATTTCACTAGTTTGTCAATTTCTTAGTGACATGTTTGCATCATGAAAAGTCTAAATTTCATTCAAAAGAGTCTATAGGTACGTAGATGTAAATATGTATTAAAAACACTCGATTTTAACAATATTTTGGAGTCAACGAGGCTCAAGTGATACCCGTGACTTCTACTTCTCCTTTTCGTCCTACTGGGCACTGGCTATCTATTTCCTGTTATTTAATTAATTATCCGCTTGATTACCCTAATAAATATTTGCTTCCTCACTCACATGAAAAATGTTTTACTAATCCAATGTTGCACTTGCTGCAGTGGCCAAATAACTAATTTACTGGTGAAAGTGTTCGGGATATAAAAAAAAATTCGAGTTTATGTACTTGTAGCCGTAGGCTTCTGTTGTGGGATTTATCGTTAGGCCAAACTATATATAAAGTCCATACCTATTATATGCAGTTCAATGAAGATATACGTTGTTAGTTCTCTAGTTCGAGATTCAAATTCAACCTCACGAAGAATAAATGATATGAATTCATGTTCAATTCCTGAAATTCCCTTACCAATGAATGAACCACAAAATCCATATCTTGTCATGTAAGAGATCTTTTTAAACTTATCTTAGAAAAAAAAAAAACTCTGATGTTCATGTCCCATACAGGTCCAATTTAATCAGCTACATCTGCTGATTTCAAGTTCTTAATCACCACAAACATGATTCTCTGAAAATATCTTTATTAGTACATTCTGTTAGAGTCTAACTTTTAGCTAGCAAGCCCACTAATTAATGACTAAACAACATACTCATCTATCTCCCATATCCTCATCAACACTAACAAACAAAAGCCTACTTTCCCCCCCTTCTCATTGGCCCACAAGTGCCTATCCTCAAAATTTGTAAAACCCAAGGTTCAACAACGAGGCGATAGACGCTAGACAGGCGTTGGGGTTAGCGTATAGAATGTTTAGGTAGGGTTTATGCGTTTTACGTGAAAATGTAAGAATTTTTAGTACAAATAACAATCTTGAAGCACTTTTATTTAGGTTCAATTTCAAATGAGTAATTTATAACTCGGTCAATTCTCAACAACAATCAGAATATGTGATGATTTCCAAAATAGGTTTCTCCCGCTAGGGCTGGCAATTTGGTCCAGGAGTGTTTGGTTTTATCCAAAACCGGACCGTATAATCCGGACCGAGACCGGACTGGGACCGGATAGCAAACAATCCAATCTCATATTCGGGCTTAGATTTGAGGTAAAAAATCCGGATAAGAGACCCCAACACTCAAATCCCCACAAGCTCAATCTAAAATCAAAATCAAATTGGGACCGGACCGGGTCAAGACCGGAGTGTATCCAATCCAATCTTTGGTCCTTATATTCCCGAAAAGACCGGACTGGGACCGGATCAATTTGGTCCAATTTAACCGAACCGCACAGTATAGTCACCCCTACGTCCATCCACCACTTCATCTTCATCATCCTTAATAGTGATCTCCACCCATCTTCATTTTTCTTCTTACTCCTCCTCCTCGGGCCCGAATTCTTCGTCGTGGAGCTCTCTCGCTCTTGAACTCCTTACGAAGCTCAAGCTACTCACTAGTTACCATTGAATTTTTTTAACAACGTACCGCCGACAGTGCACCGTCTCCTTCCTCGGTCCTCGTTCATACACTCATGTGCATAGCATCATGATCATCCCTCCCCAAGATAAAAAACCTTGTACTTCAATTGCATCGGATCATAAGATAATATCAACCTCAGGCTATTAGCCTGCTTTAGCGTGCGTTTTGTACCGGAAAAGTCACCAATACACGCGACATTTCATGTTCAAAACATGGTCTAGTGATTGTCCAACCGTTCCGTACCGGTAAATTAAAACCCGCCCCCTACCGCGCGGCTTGAGACCCGACACACAATTTTCCGGTTTAACTCCCGGTATACGGTACAGGTTTGCAAACACCGATAAATTCTATAACTTTTGCCCGCCGCCTAGACTTCAATGGTCTGCTGTGTGCGCAGGAGGCAAGAGCACGACATTTCATGATATGAAGGATCGTCATTTAGCTGAAACGAAAAAACCAAGTGGACGAGAGCAAGCAGCAGCCGACTATATTAACAATCACACGTCCACATGGAGAGAGAGAGAGTAGTGTGTGCGCGATGGGAATGAAACGGTGAAGTTTGGTAGCTCATAATCATCTACGCATGCACCTGCAGTCTTAATATTTGAGCGGTGATGATGGTGCATAGGAATGGCAATGGGCGGGGTGGATTTCTTGGTACCCTGATCCACCCCGTAGCAGGTCGGGTACAAGTCGGGTAATTGATTATGGATTGCGAGGCGGGGCAGATCGACCCAATGAGTATGCAATTTATATGAAAAACATTAGAAATATTCATTATTTTTATTATAAGACTAAGAAAACAAACAATATTATGACAATTATAGTTAAATTATTGGATAAATTGAGGTTTTCACTAATTTACAACTTTATTATAGCTAAAATATGATGCAATAAAAGGAAAATCCTAAGTAATTTGACTAAGATTACATGTAATTTAGACAAGAACGGGTCGAGAATGAGGCGGGTCAGGGCAGGTCGGGTTGATGAGACTACCCATGCCCGCCCCGTCCCGCCTACAGGGCGGGTCGGACCCGCCACAAAACAAGTCAAACATATCTGGTAAAACGGGTCAGATCGAAATTGCCATCCCTAATAGTGCATCTTCTTGGCTGGTTTTAAGTTAGCCAAAGTAAATAAGACCAGTTCGTCCATCGGCAACATTATAATAGCGGTTGTGGGGCTGGAATTAATGCATAGACATATGTGGTCAGGTAGGTCACACTCACAATCACCGCCACTTTTTCACAATCAATCGACTCAATTGTATTATCGAATAATATCAATATATATTATTATAGCTCTAGCTCTTGTTCTTATTGTTTTTCTATGTGTTTCTTTTTTAGTTGACCAACGCTAGATATGGACAAGGCAATGTACATATTGGACTTGTACTATAAGTAGCAGCGGATCCAGTACACAGTAGAGCACTGGGCCGCATTTCATTAGAAAATTAGATACCGTAAAAAAATTATAGCTTTTCTACAATATCAATTTTACACGTCGATCTTTTAAATTTTAATATAGTGAATTCATCAATAATGGAGTCTACATTCATACCGATATGATACTCTCTTTAAGATAAAATAGTTAACCAATTGGCGAGAAATTAATCGCTCATTTTTGTTGCGCAAGTAATTTTTCACCTATTTCATTATTGAAAAGGTTCTCTACATAGTAGCTGTTGAAACAAGCAATGTCAACACTAGACAAATCATTCGACTAATCAATATATATTTCTTTTAGTCTTTTACGTTTTAGACTTCTAGCTCCGGATCCATATGGGCAATGTCAACACTAGACTAAATCGATAAACTCATATGGGCTATACTAGCTCCGGATCCAGAGGAGGACTGGCTCGTGGCCCGGGGTGGCCACCCCCTGGATCCGCCACCGACTATAACGTGCAATGTGCAAATTTAGCTTGTACCTTGATGTTATGGTATAAGTTTCGCGTTATATTACAAGTGCAAAGTTTGTATCATAACATAGAGATTCAAATTCGGTTGGTACCATAAAAAGAAACTTTGCAACTTTGATGTTACCTTACAAATCCAGTTTGCATTATAAATAAACTTTTACAAAATGAGATAGATACAAAATGAATTTGTACCATAAAATTATTTTTGATATTACACATAGTAAAATTCCTATTGATGATGAGGTGATTAATGAAGGAGTGTACCAAAGGTAAGATAGATTAACGGTAAAGCTGCCGCGACAGTGAAGACTTGGGAGGTGCAGATTCCAAGTTCGAATTTGATTGCAGGTAACCCCAGGTTTAATAGGACTCGCTGTCACAAAATGACACATGGGGCTGAGTTTCCTCGATAATTAAAAAAAAAAAATGAAGGAGTGACTGAAAAGTGTTGACCCTATGACCGGACCACGAAATTATAGTTGATGACTTTGAACGTCAACAAATCCGGGCTTGGCCATCCTTAGGAATTTAATATTCAATAGCGTTTCAACTAAACTAATAGGTATCCGCTGACCATTTGACCAAGTTTATGAATTTTGTCCCATACTCAGCGACTCAACCCTTTATTATTTATCTCCCATTCTTCACAATTATATTCTTTTCTGGCAATTTACACTGTCATTAAAAGGGTAGGGAAGAATCCTTACGAATTTGTCTGCAGAAGATCAAAGCTGATACTTCCACTCAAGTTCATAACTACGGGTAAAACTTACTGAAGCTCTCAACTGTCTGTCTCAGTTACATATAAATATGAAGGATGGTCCTAAAAGAAACATACACCGAGATCCTAACCAACTCGGTCACATCTTTAGCAGATGCCAGCAGGCTGTAGGTACAAAGCTCTACTACCTTCTCCGCTCACCCTCGTACAGCTTGTTCCTCGAGTACTTGAGGGCGTCAGACCACTTCAGACTCGAGGTTGTGCTCTAACGGCTTCCTTCGGAAAGAGGCCCGCCTGCATTTCTCTATTTCCAAACGACATTGCAGAAAAGTAAACGACACTCATTGTTCACTGTTCATTTCGTAATAGCATCCTTCTCTGGTTCACAATTAACCTACCGTACCTTTGCTCTTCAAGCATCCTCTCCACCTCCTTCTGAGATGCCTTAATCTGCAAACAAACCCCCGGTACGTCAACTCAAGGATAAACCAATACTATGTATATGCATTTGGTTGGAGACTTGGGAGCTGCTTTCCTTGACAAGCATGGTGCACTACTAACTCACCTCAGAGACCAAGGCTTTGCAACTCCAAACAAAGCCTCCCAGCAGCAACATCACCGCAAAAAGCGACCTCCAATCGTCATCAAGTCAACATCTGAGATAAATAGGACTAAGACCACATATGCATGTCTATCCATTCTGCCACTTGTTTATCCAGTAGTACTGTATTCCTTCCTACAAATGCCGTCTCATCCAACAACTTGGTACTAGTATGTTCAACTGATAAAAAGCAACAAATGTGTTAGAACTTTCACGCGAAATGAATGAGATGACAGACATATACCAAAAATCTAGGCCAAGTCGGCAGATTTAACAAAACACTAACTATCCCATCTGCAAAGCCAAACTGTGTCCACCCCAGAAAACAGGGCATTTCGCTTTCAGAATTTCCAGAGTGCGCAAGTATGAAAGTGCAATAGAATGCCACGTAACGCATTCAAAACCTAACCCCAGATACACTATGCTTCAAGAATGCCTCGAAGATGTGGGCACAAAAGCAAAGACAGAAGCATAATTCATCTGACAGACCCTGAAGTAAATCATCAAGGAAAAGAATGAATGCATAATGCTCCATTTGCAGCATCTACTGACTATGGTCAGAACTCAGATGTCACAACCCACAGTTTAGGGTAGCCATCTTCCCTCAAGGACATAAACTGCAAGGGAGACACAAAAACACCCTAAGATAAAGTTTATACACCACCTTTGCGGTGTTCATTGACACTCGTTAAGCAAATACATTACACATATTATACCTAAAGAAGACAAGTATGGCATATTTACACAGGTCCATTTGTTTGGGGTGAAAAGAGAAGAAGCAGAATACAATTCTCTGGGACTGTTATTAAAAAATATGATGGTTGTACAATTTGGTCCCTCTCAGATTGACAGTCAATAGATAACTGATTCATATGAAAAGAAAAAAAAAACAACGTTGAGGTTTCTATAGAACAATAAATTTTGAGGTCTCTATAAAGATTTATGTGGGCTTAGTATACTAAAATAAAAGACAAAGAATCTAATAATAAAATGATATATTTACCTCTTTTTCGATCCATGAGTAGGCACATGTTTCATCCGAGCAAATTATGTCGACACTGCAACATGGTGAACGCTTCAAGTCAAGATGCTAATCTTATCAACACAGGAAAACCATTGTACAGCGTAAATACTATACAAAGCCAATTACTTGAATGAATACAAGCTTTGTAACAGAAAATATGAAATCCTAGTTCATCACTATATCTACTGAAACACAAGACTTAAACATTTACAAAATATGACAGTAAATAAAGGTGATCAGCAAGTATTTGTACACGCTCTGCCACATAAGACCTAGCATATGTGAGTCAGAAGTGGAAGAGGTTATCGTATAAAGTCCCACGCAAAAGTTTCCTTGTATGTAGGCAGTCCAGACATCATGGCATCAAAGACTACTACCACTTTCACCTCTGTACATGTTGACAAATAAACACAGGGGGTAAAGGAATCAATAAACAATAAACAGAATCGGGAAGTTGAAAGAGTTTGTAAGCACTGGAACTGAGGCACACTTACTTTGTTCCATGATAGATCATACAGAGGACCTTTTCGAATTATGAACTTAGCATTGCAAAGGACAATACCATTTTCGAATTCATAAAAATTTGTACGGATGGACTTTATCATTCAGAAAAAGTTCTCTGCTTTGCAGCATGACTGAGGAACAGAATTTGCAGCACATGAATGCATCTCACCTAAGGTCATTTTGCAGTAGCTTATTGCATCATCATCTCTCAACTTCCAATGGATAACAAGCCACTTTAGAGTGTTGTTTAAGCTATTAGCTTGTTTTCTACGAGACACCATATTTTTCAATACAAGCATGATGATCAAGTAAGAAAGTGGAAATCCTAAAAATCGAGGAAAAAGCAAGCAACTACAATGAGGCCCGCAATCAAAATTTGAGAAGATAAACTTCTGGGTCACACACAAGAGCGAAAAGGTAAAACCTTTATGCATACTGAATGCTATAAGTTTGTCGATTAGCTTCTGGAGAGCAACATCAAGTCTTCCATTCATGAAATGCTTTGTCAGCTTCATCCAGTAGCCACATACATTGTAGCCATCAACAAGCAAGACTGGGACAGCAGTATCTGGAATGCGGTTTGTCTGTCAGTAATGGCAAAGAGAGGGCGTATTAAACCCAAATTTCAAAATCCACATAGCAAAAATGGTGGAAGGAAACAAGGGCAAAGATAATCCGATATAAGGAACCATCATTGATAGAGAGTGAAGGATGGATCACGATAAATCTCCTGGGAATGTTCAGGTAGATCTTCCTTCTCCACCTTCTTCCTGCCGTAAGTAGTACCAGGCCTTGGATTACTAGGCCTCCACCTTAGAATTTCCTTTGAAGTTGGTAAGTTGGATTAATCAATGAGTTAAGGAATCTACCCTTTCCAGTCCCATTCCAATTATTCAAAGTACCATCCAAATTCTAAGGAATTGCAAGTTCTGCTTGACATTTGATGTAATTCTGGGAGGTGGGTCGGAGGAACCCTACGTTTGGGATGAACAGTGAAAGGTAATTGAGGTTCGGAACTGTAGAGCGAAGAATTACCCGGTAAAGAGAGCAAGGAAAACCTCGGAATCCGTAGGCTTCTTGCGTTTGGCCATGGCGCGAATCATCTTAATTTCGCAGTTGCAGTAAGGGGCAGAAGTAAAAGACGCAGCTGCGAGACCATGGCGAAGAACTGAAATTGGGGAAAAATAAAGCAATTTTCATATACAATACAAGAGCTGGCTTTACCCAATTCGGTTCCAATAATTAATAAACAGTCTTGCAATTGGATTAAATTAATTACCCTAAATTTAAGTAATAAAATTTAAAAATTGAATTTTGATGTCAATAATCATCTAAACAAACCAATTGATAAATGAAAATAGTGATTATAAGAGAATATTTCGAGTTGCATGATTTTTATAGATAATTGCTTGAGTTAATTACAATAACGACAATTATAACAATTGTATTTTGTTCAACGCCAACAAATTCTTACCTCTGTATTCATGATTTCTACACAACATATAATGCTTATGCTATCTTTTTTATGTAAAGTTGTAAACACTAATTTTGATATGATTCTCAATGATATGAGTTCACAAGTTTTAGAATCGCTAATAATCCGCGGTATGAAGAATTATGGGATCTATTTATTAAATTGATCATTCATTACTGGATTGCTTTAGAGCCTAAACCGGGGGCGGACCCATGGAGGTTTGGGGGTGTCCCGGGACACCCCCTAAATTTTGAAATAACGATCATCCAATTTCCGGTGGTAATTTACGTATGAAAAAAAAAAATAGTTCGATACACTCTAAAATTAAAAAAAACCATTATATTACTCTCATTTGTAGTTTGCGCATGAATATAAGTGGTAATTTGGGTAATTCAAACCCGGTACACTACTACTATTAATAAATATAATTTCTATTATTTTTTTTCGTTGAATTATATAATTTCTATTAGGCTACAACTTTTTTGTTGTTATATTCTAAATACGGTGTAATAGCAAAATTGTAGGAAACATAAATATTGAGGTGGTTAGGGGGCTAGGCGGCCGATTAGTGCCAAGTAGATTAGTAGGGTATCATTAGGTTTTTGGGCTTATTCACTACAAATATGTATTTGAGTCATTACGTTGGATTTAGTTAGAAATCAGTAATCAAACCATATTCAGTTTATCCCACTTCTTCTCCTAATCCCTAATTCCCATTTTGTTCTTCCTATCTCAATTTTCCAATTATTCTTCTCAAATCCCTAATTCTTTCTCTCAATTCCTAAATCTCTTTCTAATTTATCTGGCTACGTTAATCACAAGTTACCGCAGAATCGTAGTTCCTTCAAAAACCCTAGTCTCTATCTTTAATTATTTTCAAAACCTAACAATTATTCTAATTACAAGCTACCCTTAATTTATGGTTGTACAACAAGTGTTGAAAACGTATGTTCATGAATGATTGTCTAGTAGGATATACTGAGACAACTTTGTTGAGCAGTGTAGACACCAAGTGTATTTTACAATTTTTTTAAAATATGAAAATACATTATGGACTTTTTTTTTAACTTGTACGAGTTGGGTATTTTCTTATTTAAGAATTATTTAATAGTTATTAATTATTGTTTTTATTTTTATTTATTTATTGAAAGAGGACACCCTATTTAAAATTTCTGGGTCCACCACTTGCCTAAATCGATATTTATATAGATTAGACCGGATTTGATAATGGACAAAGTAATTTGTTGGCTAATGACAACCGGGATAAATGACATAAGCATATCTCTCCCTCGAGTACACTATCAAATGAGATAACTGAAAAACAAACACGCCGCCGGCGTGATTGAGTCGCCGTCGTAAGCAGAGCCGTACACATTGACAAGGAGTATGAAATTTGAATATAATACATTATCAGGTGGAAGATGAAAATTTTTAACTTTCTCCGACAATTCTACTGACCAAATAGTAGTAACCCAATAGTCAGCGACGATGGATTCCGTCACCAACAACCACCACAAACAGTCGCCGGTTTGCGTGACGGGAGCCAACGGGTTCATCGGGTCGTGGATAGTCCGAACCCTCCTCGAATCGGGCTACACCCGAATCCACGCCGCCATCTACCCTGGCTCCGACGCTACCCACCTCTTCCAACTCCCCGGCGCCGCCACCGACCACCGCCTCACGATCTTCGAGGCCGACCTCCTCGACCCGCCGGCGCTGTCCAAGGCAATCGCCGGCTGCCGCGGTCTATTCCACGTCGCTTCCCCTTGCTCCCTCGAAGACCCCGCCGATCCCGACCGCGATCTCCTCCTCCCCGCCGTCCAGGGCACCCTCAACGCCCTTCAAGCCGCCGTCGATTCGAATCTCGTCCGCGTCGTCCTCACTTCGTCGATCTCCGCCTTGGTTCCAAACCCTAATTGGCCCTCCGGCAAAGTCTTCGACGAGTCCTCATGGACCGATCTCGACTACTGCAAGTCCCGAAAGGTAACCTAACCTCCAAATTCAATCAGTTCGAATTCATCCATGGCTGAGCTCAATTATTCCAATTGGGTTTTTTCCCTTCCTTATTTGGTTGCAGAAATGGTATCCGGTATCGAAGACGCTGGCGGAGAGAGCCGCTTGGGAGTTCGCGGAGAGGAATGGGATCGATTTGGTAGCGATCCATCCGGCGACGTGCTTGGGGCCATTGCTGCAGCCGGGACTGAATGCGAGCACCGCTGTGTTGAAGCAGCTGCTGGAAGGAGCTAAAGATACACAGGAGTATCACTGGTTGGGAGCTGTTCATGTTAGAGATGTGGCCAAGGCACAGGTTTTGCTCTATGAGACTCCTGCGGCTTCTGGTAGATACCTCTGCACCAATGGCATCTACCAATTTCGAGACTTTGCTGACAGGGTTTCCAAGCTTTTCCCTGAATTCCCTGTTTACAGGTTTACTTTTCTTCTCCCTGCTTTCTTTTCCCCCCCTCCATTTTCTTAGTTGTTCTTTGCTCAAAAGCTAAGGGAAGAATCATAATCATGATGGTATTGGTGTCCCGCCAAACATGATCGTTTTAGCTACTCGAATCTGGTTTGCTTTTTTCTGCAATGGGTGGACCACTTTGCATAATCAGATTGCTGCCATTGATTCCGTATCTATCTACATTCTTCCCCTGTTTACTACTGTGGTGAAAGTAAGTGATCATTAAAAGTTCCCCTGCATAAAATCAATGGATATTTGTTCTTAAGTGATTGCACTTTCTCCTTCAAAGCCAAATCATTTTACAATTGCTATATTGTTGCAATGCCTGCTGCTACTCTTTGTTGTCTTTAAGTGATCCAATCCAATTCTTTCTATGTGAATTATTGTTTTTGTCCTTGGGATGCGTATTGCAAGTTGTGATCTTGATTATTTGTGACCTTGTGAGGTGGCAATGGTGTTTGATCCTCCTGGGGCAGGACAAAACGTTGGTTAGTTAGTGAGAATTGAATCCAAATGGGGAACAGGACAGCCTGGAGTAAAGAAAGCCACAGTCTTTAACTATTCGATGATAATATAGATGCCAGAAACTAAGTACACTTAATGATCACCTGCAACAGCTTGTTTGACTGCTGTATTCATTGAAACAATCCTGAACTGGTCACCGTTTGGTCATCAAGTTTGACTGTGCTTACTTGGCATGGATTTCATGTCCCAGGTTCACTGAAGAGACCCAGCCTGGTCTGGTTGAATGTGATGGTGCTGCTAAGAGACTGATTGATCTGGGGCTGGAGTTCACACCGGTGGAAGATGCTGTTCGAGAAACGGTCGAAAGTCTGAGATCTAGAGGCTTGATTGCTGTACCAACTCAGTCTTAGACTCTTTAGTTTACTCCTGGGCTAGTTTCAGCTACTATACCTCATCTACAGTCTTGAATAGATGATGAAATGTTAACTGTCTTTACCTCCTACGGAAGATGATCGATTATCTATTTGAGAAAGTAGAATGAAAACCTTTTTATTAATCTAAAGTCTAAACCTTATTATTGTATGCCCATAATTGCTCTGAATGTTGGCAAAAGTAGCTTAGGAGTTTGTTCTGCTTCCCACCTGATGTTATCATGACATAGAAAAAGATGGTATGAATGGTATCTGCACCTTAATCAAACTACCATTTAATTTTGGCACTCAAGGGGTGAAATGAAATGGATGAAGAAAGACTTTACTGACTTGTTCTCTCTGGTATTAACTCATGTTCAGAGGCGAAGGATAGTGGGAGCTGTTCATTAACTCGATGGGGATGTCGATGGAGGAAAGAAAATACCTCCCTAAAGATGGACCAGATGCAGGTTAGTCCAAAACGTTAGCTAGCTGAGCTGTGGGTTTGTTATTTGTTAGTAGAACTCTCACGTGATGATGGGAACTGGACTGGAGAGATTTTAGGTAAATGAGTGGGGTCATTGTCACCCTTAGAACCAAACAATGTAACCTGCAGAGCTAAAGGTGAGCTCAATTAGAGCCACTTCCCTCTACTGCTTGCCTTTTGTTTAATCTGGATCAGCACTTATGAAACTTTCCTTTCTCTTCTAAATCCCTGCTTATATAAAAAAGAGGTTAAAGGAAGTAATGAATCGATGAGAAGAAGGCCAAAAAACACTCCATGTGGGTCTGCTTCTTCTCTTCGATGCTATCCTTTTATCTTCACTTACACACACAGCGTGCAGTTTAATCATGGAGAGTGCCTGGCAGGTCCATGTGGCTTCCAATGACCTCGCCCCACTTCCCATCATTATTCTAAACCTTTGATGATCCTCTTCTTCTTATTCTCTCTCGCTCTCTCCTGCTGGGTATAAAGCATTACAGAGTGAGAGTACTATACCATGAGCACTTGTCCATCTTTTGTTTTGAGGTAAATTTCAAAGCTGCAGGGGAAGTAGCGATGGTACTGATGCATAGTCCGACGACACCGCCAGCATGTAGAAGGTCTTGGTCCATCAGTGAAGAGTCACTGAGGAGGTACGTGCATTTCGCGAGCGAGAGCTGCATACAAGAATTGTTATCAGCCTCCACCTCCGGCTCCGACCTTCCCACCAACAGCGGCGAGGAAGAGTGGAAGGTTATCAGCAGCCTGCAGAACATCCATGGTGGAGTGGAGATCTCCAAACGCAGGGGTGCTGGTGGGTCTTCGTTTCCTGCCTTCCGCAGCCGGTGTCTCCTGAAATCGGTCTCGCCTCAACAGTTCACCTCTGTTGCCAATGCTATTGATGCTGCCAGGGTAACCTACTTTACCTTTTGCAAGAGTCTGTTCATTCTGGTTCTAGAAAAAGTTGAATTTGAGAGGCGAGATATTTATATTTAGCATGAAAGATTAGTGATGGTAGATTGTCTAACAATGAAGAAGTTGAAGGTTTTGGGAAATGACTATTACAGATTCAACTTTAAGCATAGATTTTTCTTTCCAATGGTAGAAGTTGAAAATGAAATGTAGCTTTTAACTCAGTTGCTTGTTGGAGGATGAACTTGTGGAAGATGAATTTGTGTCTGTTTATACAGCAATGGGACACGGATCTAGTGGAAGCAAGGTACATAAAAGAAATGGACGACAACCTGAGCATAGTCCAATTGAGGTACGGGGACAAGTCGAGGCAGCCACTGTTCAGGAACAGGGAGTTCGTGGTCTACGAGAGGAGGGAGACAATGGAAGACGGGACGCTGGTTGTAGCAGTCGCGTCACTCCCCAAGGAGATGGCGGAAGGATTGCCCTGTCACGACTACAACAACAGCAGCAGGGCGAAGAAGACGAAGAGCAACGCGATCAGAGGGCTGGTGCTGCACTCGGGCTGGGTGGTGGAGAAGCTCCAGCACGACTCATCCTGCTGCATGGTCACGTACGTTGTCCAGCTCGATCCAGGAGGTGCTGGATGGCTTCCTAAGTGCTTCGTCAACCGGCTCAACACCAAGCTGGTCATGGTCGTCGACAGGCTCCGTTTCATCGCCCAGTCACTTCCTCAAATTCCTAACTCGCTGTTGCCAGACCATCATCACGAACAGGAGTGAAGAAGTAGAATCGTGTTGTGGGTCGGTCGATCGATCAATCGAATTGATCTGCCTTGTCTGTGTATGGTTCTTTTTAGCAGTATACATAAAGCTTTAAGGTTGCAGTTGGTTACAGGGCGATAATCAAGTACACTTCTTTTTAGTAACATGGTGGAGATATGTTGTTGCGAAAGGCGGCCGTCGTTATCAGGACAGCACAGGCCACTGGAGCATTGATTAAGATCATCATGAGTAACCAGCTCATCAAATGGCCGGGCACCAACCAATTTGCAGAGCATGGAATGAAAGGGACTATGAACTTGTGTGGCCCAGTTTCCCACTGTTACTTGGTTTTGACGGCACCCACTCAACCGAATCCTTTTTCCTATTCCGGGTATCTTGTTCCCCAATCAACGTCGAATTGAATGGTCCTTGACACAACAATATCTTCTGGCCAGTTGATACTTTCCCGAACTAAGAAAGTCTACAGGAACAGAGTACTCTGCATATAAACAGAGTAACACAGTACCCTGCATATAAACAGAGTAAATAGTATAACATTCATAATTCAAACAATTCGAGCTACCAACACTTAATAGACACTAGCTAATTCTGATCAGAATGGTAATCCAAGTGATAAATCATTAAATTATTAACCATGTCATATTCCAATGATCCATTCAGTATTTCAACAATCTTACACAGTGGCGGACCCAGGATTGTCGGAGAGGTGTGTCGCCGATAAAATATAATAATAATTAAATTAAAAATTAAGTAAAAATTAAAAGAAATTAATTCATAAAGTTCACAATGTCATGTTTACAACGAACCGCGACGACTTTTCATCTGCTGAAATGTCTCTAAAATACATTCATCACTTATGCTGCAAAGCAAATCTTTTTCAATATACACAACTAAACAATCATTCATAAATTGGTCACTAAACCGATTTCGAAGATCGTTCTTGATTATCTTCATAGCTGAAAATGCTCTTTCACAGCTTGCAGTTGCCACAGGTAAGGTCAACACCAACTTTAACAGCAAGTAAACTAAAGGATAAAGAGTGTCCTTTCCCCTTTCCACCAATTTCCTAGCTAGCTCGTCGATTCCTCGCAATCCATCAAAGCTCTTATCCTCCTTGACATGAGAAATGTAGCCCCCCAATTGTTGATGAAGTCATGAGAGCACATTGGATGGAAACTCCTCGGGATAAAACTCAATAAGACTCATCAACTTTGCTTTATCAAAAGAAGCAAAAGAGTTACCTGGACTAAAACAAGAAATGCAGTCCAACAATCGAGTGTTCACCTCACCAAATCGAGTATTCAATTCTTGCAACTGCAAATCTATAACTGCATAGAATAAATCGACTTGATAGTAATGCAAGTTTGTAGGCTGATGAGGGGTGCTACGGGGGAACAGGGGATTATATTTTTTGCGACTTGCGAGCGAGAGAAGAGGGAATAGGGGGAATAATGGGGATGGGTCGCTGGGGCTTGGGATACGGACAGGGAAATGGCAATTGGGCCATTAATTTGGGGATTGAGCCATTAATTGGATTGGGAGGGAATGAATAATAATGGGAGGAGGTGGCCGATTGGGCTATTGCCCATTTGACCTATGATTTTTTTTTCTCTATTTAATTATAGGCCCAGACCCAACACTATATTGTATGAGTTGAGAGTGTTTTTTTTTATATGAAGGATAGGATTATACTTTAGGAGTTATTTTAAACAAAATTAAAAAGGATTATGATTAAGATTGATTCATTTGGATAATAATATCTTCTAGTATAATGAAGGTATGTCGGCTATAATTATTGAAGGTGTGTCGGCTATCCCAAAATAAAAAATTTTGTACCAAAAATATGTAGGTCATTCGTAAACACACCCCGCCCCTTCTTAGGTCCGCCTCTGATCTTACATCTAAACAAACTTCGAATTTATCGAGATCGCCGAAACGGTACCCAAATTTTCTTCTTCTTCTTTTTCCTCCTCCTCTGTTCATGATCATGGCGTTTCACCACCTCCAACGAGTCAGAAGGAACCGATTCTCTGTTCACAAACTTTGCCCCCGCGGAAACCTCATCCAGAAGCTCCGAATTACTGTAATAATGATCGGACTCCGCCGCCGTTGTTCTGGTTGTTAACTTCTCCACTGCACAAGCGAGATCCCATATGAGATTATAAGCCCACGACGAACCAATCTGGCTCTGCAGCTCCTCTGTTTTCTTGACTCGGGATTTGAATCCTGGGGAGGGGAAGGAAATGATGGGAATTCCAGATTTTTCGCCGAATTCGGCCAAGATTTCTGATTCTAGCTCTGTTCGTGCTATGAGGATGATTGCTTTGAGCTTGGAGGAGTTCTTCAGGAGATCAGTAGCTGTAAAAAATGGCGTTGCCAAAACTTTTAGAGACCATTACACAAATTGCTTTTTTAGATGGTTAGGGTCAATTTACAAAATTATCTAGTTACTTCATCCGTCTTTATAAAAAATTATTAATTAATTAATTAAAAGCACAAGCAGCCAAAACACCCGTGGCACTGTTCACCACGACATTTTCTCGCGTTACTGTTCACAATGGGATTTGGGTACTTTGCTGCGGGCGAATCTACGTGAGCCTCAAACCCAGCCCGTTATAAACTTTTGGGCAGGCCCGAGCTCAGGTGCATCTGGCCGCACCGCATGCGCTCCTCCTGGCCTCTCTTTTTTTTTATTTTTTAAAAACGTCACTCATTTATTGTCACCACTTCTCTCTCCTCCGTTTAACCGACCCATCATCTCTCCTTCTTCTTACTGAACAACAACAGCGGAGGCGGAATCCCTTCCGGCCATCCGACCCCTCTCTCCTCTTCCCGTCTGATTCATATTCTTTCCGCCATTCCAACTTTCTCTTTCCATCAGACCCCTCCATTCCAATCGAAAAACATGAAAGCCTTCTCCCATCGCTCTTCCTTCTCTTTCCTTTTCCCCATTTCTCCTCTTTCTTTCTCCTTCATTCGACCCATCCTCTCCCCCTCCTTCCGTTCGAATCCGTCTAACACCTCTTCTCCCCTTCATTTCAATCAAAGAAAATCAGGAATGTTTTCATCTCCCGTTACTCCTCCGCCCAGACGAATGGAGCACGCATGGAAAGAGGGCACAATTCGAGTTAGGTTTCCGATTCTTATTCCCAGCGAAAGCAGTTGAAGCAATCAACTGAATTCCCGGCGAATGTTTCAACAGAAGCCTCCCTAGCTGTTTAGCGTCCAATTCAGCGGGTAGGAAACTGTGAATTTGGTTTCTTTTTTTCTTTTAAGTAGTATACTGGTTCTTGCCCGGCCCTCTGGATTGCTCTTCCCTCTTCGAAACCACTGAACGGACGCCGGCGGGAGACGATGGCGACAGAGAACCTGGAAGCCGACGGACGACGCCGGATTTCCCCTCTCTCTCATCTCTTTGAACCCACTGAATGGCATGCCGGCGAGAGGAGGTGGTGACGACAGATCCACCATCTCCCAACCCACTGAACGGACGCCGACGAATGTCCCCCGATTTCACCTCCCTGACCGTTGAACAGCACGCCGGCGGGAGACTGGGAAGGGCTGATGTCCCCGGGAAATCGCGGGTTTTGATTTCCCCCCTCTCCCACGAACCTCTAAACGACATGTCCTTCAACTCACTCGACGACACTGCGGCGGACGGCGACGAAACCTCCTCACATCCCAGCCTCCTCTTTGATCCTCACCTTCTCCGACGTTTCGTCTCCTCGGGTCGTCCCCAAGTCGATGATGGCTTCCATTTCACTTCTGTACAAAGCATGAGACGACAAGGGCAAGACATGCGGTGAAAATCAGATCCACCTCTACTGAGGGCTACGGTAATTCACGGTGGCACCTTTGATTGTTTGATTTCGGTGAGTCCACCATCTGGGGTTGGGATCCATTCATCCTTCTTTTATATCAAATACCTCATTGATTCAGCACATTAGATGATGCCATTTCTTCTTTACGCCTACTTCATTTGAAACAAAGTAGAAAGGTTAATCTAGGCCAAACTTAATGTTGAATGATTTGCTAAACAACCCTTTAGTCATTTATAAGCTTAAGCGTGAAACCATTTATCCATGAGTGAGAAGAATTGTTTTTGCAGTTCCATGTATATTATCAGGTAAATATAGAAGGGTTCGTTCATGAGTTTTGTTTTGACAGTTAGAACACAACTTCCTCCCTCTTGCTAAAAGTTGTGGAAGCCTTTCCTTGCTAACTCACAACAACCTGCTTGCCCCATGTGCTTTGGCTTTCAAGTAATAGTGTCTATTTTTATTCCAAACTGACTAAAGGAGTTATGTTCTTTGACGCAGCACATAACTAAGGATGAAGAAGAAGAGGGACCAGTTGGTATCCACAATTGAGCGGTTTACCACTCTAGCAATGCCTCTACTCCTCAGCTATGAATCATTCTCCATCAAATATAAGTGGAACAATGCAGGGAGTCGAGTCATTTGCGTGGAGAAAATGTGGGCTCCATTGTCCTTTTAGCAAGAGGTGAGTATGACATTTCACTTTGATAATTCTCGCACCTTCTTCTATGTTGAAGCATGGTCTGAACTAGCTTTTTTTTACACAGACACTTCTCTTTGATAAATGAGCAGCTTCTTCTATGTTGGAGCATGGTTTGAGATGATATGATTACATTTTAAGTAGTCCAACAATGATATATGTTACATGTTTCTCTTTTCCTTTCCACCCTGGATATAGTTGGGGTATTTAAAATTGCTTTGTCCTCAGGTAGCTAGCGGCGTATTCAAAAGTCAGTACATTTACTAGATGATCTACATAGCAGCTTAACTAGGGTGTAGTGATATGCTTTATGAAAGTTGACTCTCACTGCCTCCCATCTGGAGTTGGATTAAGAAAGTGGTTGTACTGTACAGTAGAAAGTTTGTCTGCTAGGTGGCTTCAAATGATTTTCCATGGAGGTTTTTTATTCTCTTCTCTTTATGTCATTAGCCGCTTAATGGATGGACTGCAATTTCAGACTCTGGCCGATGAGTTCTAGACAAACATTGGGTCAGAGTGAGAGCAGGAGTGCGAGTGGAAGGGAGACAGTCATGGGATCGAAGCTGTACAAGTTGCAGGTGCAAGAGGCTAGGACTTCAGGTGACTCCATTTTTACTCAAGGGGGTGATGTCATTATTCAGTAGGTTTGTTTTTAATAGTATGGCCTACAAATTTGTGGGTTTGTGAATCTGAGTATTCTCTGCATAAATAATATAGGTAATAATTATCCTTACACTTAAAACCTCTTCTCTCCCGCATTTCAATTGATCAACAGAAGCGGCACGCATAGGAATGGCATCGACGGCACCAGCATTGGCGGTCCGTTCATTGGTCTATAGAATCGGCTTCGAGAACACAGTACTTATTTCCGACGAAATCCGTAGAAGCAGTGTGCCATTCAGGAATCAGATGAATGCCCAACGAATGGTTGAACAGAAGCCTCCCCAGGTAATTCATTATGGCACATTAAACATAAATGGACTAAATCGGCTAACCATAAATGGACTGATTAGGAGAACTGAATCAAAAGGACTCCTTGAGATTCCTATACTAGCGAAGCTTCTTTTAAGGAAAAGCACAATCAGGTTATAGAAGTTTATTATTATAAAGGTATATATATTTATAGTAGTTTTATTTGTATAGGAAGTTGTACAAGCATATTCCGTATAAGTTTTGTGAATTAGTTTTCCTTTCCAACAAAGGATTTTAGACCACAGGGACACCTATAAGTTTTCTATAAATCGTCTCTTTGTACCTAGGGTATTCTTCTTACTGATTATCTCATTGTAGCACTACACCATATTGGCTCGATGAAGCTCATCAGTGAACTAACGCTTGGTGATTCCTCTGCAGTAATCAAAGTTCGCCTGCTCCACGCTTGGCGTTCAACAAATCCATCATTCCCTCGGAAAGTGTTCGATTATGGAACACTGTGGACAGATGAAACTGTAATGTCGTTCTTATCATGTGGCTAGATCTTTGCCGATGGTAATCCATGTTAATCTTATATTTTTTTTACTGTTGACAGGGGATGCTCATACATGGCCTTTCAAGCAGTGATCACGCTGATGAATTGGAATCTAAACTGTCCATTGGGTCCGTGTACAAAATAAAGGATTTTTTTGTTCGGGAAGCTAAAGCTAACTATCAACCATGCCAAAACAAGTTTTGCATCTCTATCAGCTTGAAAACTGAATTTGAAGAGGTTACTTCTTTGAATCCGGACTTCTGTCAAGATAGCTATGAGTTCTGTGCGTTTGAAAGACTGAAAGAACGACTGAAATCTAATGTGTTGTTATCAGGTCAGATTTCCTCCCTAAATGTATGTATATATGTATGTTCATTGATTGCCAAAACCTATAGAAATAAATAGCTTTGATCTAACAAATATTTTGTTATGTAACATAACAGATGTTATTGGTTGGCTTAGCTCAATTGGTAAAATTGATAATGTGAATACAAAGAATGGTCCAACCATTATACAAAGATTAGTACTGAAAAATGAGAGGTACTGTTTCAACTTCCCCATTTCAATTAGTAAGTTTCTTTCTAGCACACTTTTTAATTATGTTATTTGTCAACTTTTCATACAAAGGGGCGTCGCTTTACCTATTACATTGTGGGGAGACTTTGCTTCTCAGCTGAACGCTGATGAATTGGTCGAGACTGCCAAGACTTCACCTGTAATAGTTGCTTTACGCGGTCTTTTGATTGAACCGTTCAAAGGTAGAAAATTTTCATAACTAAACATTGACATAATCAGTTTTTTGGTTCTTGATCATATTACCAATTCGACTGAAATGCCAGGTGTTACAGCTTCAACATCTTCTGCTGCGTTCATAACTTTGAACCCTCAATCTGTAGATGTCACTGACCTGATACAAGCGTATGTACTATATCAACCCTATCGTGTGTGTATATATTTTTATTATTTATTTACGCATTCATTAAAATTTCAATTACAACAGGGCTTCCAATGAGCTTGGAATTGTTGATTTGCTGCCCGTTAAATTTGAAACACCTGAAAAAGCTGCTGAACATGAAAGAGAATTACAAAAAACTCTCGGAGAACTTATAACCCTTCGCAGTGTGGGTGCTTCACCGGTAGTCTTCACTATCATCATCTAATTTTTATTGTCTATTCAGCACTTCCCATTACTGTTAATATTAAGTACTACCCATTATTGTCTATTTACCGACTGTTACATGTGTATCATGTAGAATGAAAGGTATAAATGTCAAGCAACAGTAGCTGCCATAGACGGAGAGAAGGATTGGACATATCTTGGTTGCTCAAAATGTTATAAAGCCGTCAGCACATGTGGTCAAAACTATTGGTGTGAAAAGGACCAGCTATTATCGCCATTGGAAGCAAAGCAATGGTATTATCTAAATTCATATTGAATTTCTTTCTCAATGTGTATCATTTTCTCATATGTAGGCCCGTAATTCATTGCAGCTACCGCATTCGAATGATTGTTCAACAAGGTGGTGACGAAGCTATCTTCCTCCTCATAGGAAAAACAGCAGAAGATTACATACACCATCCTGCTTCTGAATTGTTGAAAACATTCACAAATGCAAATGGAAATTTGCCAACTGCAGTTGAAGCATTCTGCGGGCAAACATTAAATTTTGCCATTCGGCTGCCTAAACAGAGGTTCAACGGCAATGATGGTGACTTTATAATAAGTAGTATCTCTGGAATGATTAATGAAACAACCAAGACACCTAAAAGGGCACTTTTCCAATTGAAAGATGAGAATGCGTAAGTCTCAGCTATAAGCTTTCTCCTTCCAAAGTGCTTTTTCTATATACAGTTAACTTTCTTCATCATATTATGCAGCTCTGCTACTGATGAAAATGTGACGGTCCATCAACAGGAAGAACGTAAAGCAATTCAGGATAAATCATCTGCAATGTAAGGAGCTTTTAAATAATTACTCATAAGAAATTAACATTTCTTTAGATGATATCCTAAGTTTCTTATTTCATGCAGGATCGCATCACCAACTTCTTCCACCGACGACTTGGCTTCCATTGAAAAACTAACAAAGAAAAAACAACAGTGCAAGAAAGATGTCAGCTCTATACCTCGGTGAGTGAAAGTTTCACATCTTATTATTATACAAAACATATAAAGAATAATGGATTTCTGATTTTTTTGCTTGAATCAGCAGCAGCATGAGGAAACAAACCCCTCAGAATGACAAAGTCATCACAATGGAATCACCAAATCATACAGCGAATGAAAATTCTTTGTCGGAAAAGGAAAAACAGAAGAGCCCCAACTCTGCTGATAATTGTTTCAAAACTGCCAAAAGGTGATCGTTCCTTCACAAAACTCTAGATTTTTTGTTGCTTAGATCACACCAATGATCTTTATATAATAAATATATGTGCTTGATAATTGCAGCTTCCGTTGAGAATTTTAAAATTATAAATTATATGTGTCCTCCTTATTTCATTCAGGATACAATCACCAGCTTCATCCGACGATGGCTTACCTCTGAGTGAAATACTAACCAGGAATAAAAACTCAGCTAAGAAGTTAGTAGACAGAAATGCATTTTCTGGCCTTCATTAAGAACCAAACTTTAACATCTTATTAATATAGAGAACATAAGTGCAATTTGGAAGGCTAACGGTTTTCCTTGAATCAGGACAACTGCTAAACGGAAGCATGAAGCTGACCAAGTCATCGAAGTTGACTCGACAAAGATAAAACGTACAAATTCCAAGTATGTTATCATTTCTTCCAAACAGTCGTTGGGTGATAATTTCTTTACTCTCTTTAGGTTTAATTTATACAAAATACTAATACTGATGATATTTTTCAATAATACTAGGCCAACTTCACCATCCGCAACTTCTGTTCCACCCCCACTAAGTTCACAGGTGATTGACCTTGAGAAGAATTCTATTAAGATCCAATCCCATAGCACTGTCACTTCAGCTTCCAAGTAAGAGTTATCATCCTGCCAGTATGTGATTCTATCTGTCTGGTTTAATTGACAGCTTAGGATTTGAAAACATCTGATAATTTAGGTTCTTGGCTTTCCCAATTTGATTGCTGATTTAGCAAGACTAGATTTTAGCATCCTTATATACAACCTTTTACTTACAAGTTCAAAGTCCTTTACGTCAGAATTTCTGTTATTCGATGGAGCTTTCTGTTTTCACAGTTCTAAGTATTAATTCATGCTGAATGGGTTGGCTTTGTATGATTAAATTAGGACTAATCGAAATCATTTGAGATTTTCAACTCTGTATTTCCTTTTTCATAAATCTTTGTTTTAGTGCATGAGTATCAATTTGTCTTCTTCATTAATTCTTCTTTCAATGTGCAGCATTCACGCACCATTGGCAAAAATAAAAAAGGAAAAACTTGATGCCCTGCCTAAATCCAACCCAAAGGAGAAGGATTCTCGAGCAACAGCTGCTTCTCAAGCCATTGGGAAAAGGACACGAAGGCCTTCAACCAAATTGACGAGTTAGGAATAACTCAACATTTATCAGAACTTTTAGAAGAATCTTTTGTTGCTCTTTTTCCTTAAACAATTTCTATTTCAGTCTTTACTTTAGATTACTCTCTTTTTACCATTCGGAGCTGTTGGAATGTAATACTGGATTCAGATTAAACTATCTATAGAACTGAGACATCGGATATATTTAATCTAGCCACTTAGTTTGTCAAGACCAGTTTTGTTTCAGATATAAGAAAATTAACCCAAAAAACAGTCCCAACCGAGTATTGAAAGTTGTGACCTTCTACTGGAGACTAACTTAGTATGAATTACCGACCGGTACGAAATGATTGAATCATGGTTAAACCACAATTTTTAATATAAAATGTTCAATTGTTCATGTTTATGGTACAACATCAGCCACTTAGTTTGTCAAGACCAGTTTTGTTTCAGATATAAGAAAATTAACCCAGAAACAGTACCAACCGAGTATTGAAAGTTGTGACCTTCTACTGGAGGCTAACTTAGTATGAATTACCGACCGGTACGAAATGATTGAATCATGGTTAAACCACAGTTTTTAATATAAAATGTTCAATTGTTCATGTTTATGGTACAACATCAGCTACGATTTGATAATACGGAGCCAACTCACCATCCACCTTAGTCTAAACCATGGTTGTCAGGCCAGCAGGCGTGCCACCGGTTGTACCTGGTTCAACCGGTACCGGTCAAAAAAATTATTTTATTATTTATTTTATGAGTATAAAAGTTAAATATTGGTGTTATTTGTTGGATTCAAGTATAATGTTTAGGTATAGACGTTAAATGTCGTATTTAAATATGAGTATTTATAATTTTATTTATAATATTGATCGGCACAAACCGATATGTGCCACGGATTGAACCAGGCGCTGTGGGGAATTGGAGTAGTGGGAAGGATTTCATTCCTCTCTGGATAAGGCCAAGAGGTTTTACTTCATCTGCGGCAACGGCCAGTGCTTCAATGGGATGAAAGTCTGTGTGGTTGTTCACCCTCTGCCGCCTCCACCCTCCGGCAGCCTTGGCCTGAACCAGACGCATTCTGCTGCTGCTCCTCCTCCGGCGGCTCTGGGTTTTGTGGGTTTGACTCTCAGACAGGCCTTGGTTATGGGATTTGCTTCCCTCTGGTTTGGATCTGGTTGGATCTAGCTGTTTAGAGACCCACGACAATAAAAAACAACTTTACCAATTCCCATATTGCTTCTCTGTATGTCTTCCCCCTTTCTTCTTACCACTACGAAACGTCCCAATGATCCTTTCTTCTTGATTAGTCCCCTCCGCCCCAATTCTCTCTTTCTTTTACCTGGCAAGAATTACTAAAGTCGGCCTGATCACAGCGGCGGACATTGAACGAAATGGCATTATTCGTTCCTATTATTTCCTTGGAATTGATTGATTCCAGCCAGTCAAAGTTCGTTGGGTCGGTGGCGGTAGCTAAGCTAATTGATGACATGGTCAGCACCAATACCTACTATTTGTTGCAGAAGCCCGCGTCGATCCAATCAGGTTTAGTTCCGCCTGTTTCCACCACCAAACATTTTACGCCTTCAATTCGGAGTTCAGACAACTTAGCACTCCTATATAGCTAATACTCTTTTGCTTGCCGCAAAAATCTCTTCCGCCTCTGAAACCCTATCTTCACTATAACAACGGCGCACCATACAAACCTTTACTCCAAACTTCAATGAAAAATCACGAACCTGCACTTTGACACCATCATTCTCTTCCTTCTCCCGCCACCAAATACGTCAACAGCGGTATGTATGAAATTGCTTCAAAGTCTTCATTGCAATGTCTTCCTTCTAACGGATTCTTCTTTCATTGTCTATTTTATGCTTACTGTCTATAAAATTTTCAGACACAAAGCTTTGATTAACAACAATTGTTGCACTGATGTTGCAGCAGAATATACTTCGGATCAGAGAGAAATTACAACAATCAACACAAGTTATCGACTCATCTACTGAAAACATATCGTAGGTAAGTCTTCAACCACTCAAATACTGCTTACATTTAAACATCATATGTAGGCATGCGATGACTATTTTAAGGATTCCTTAGTTGTTATACAATCATGGACTCAACCAATGAGGCAAGGGATGAGCCACAACAAAAACGAAGGAAGTGTGGGATTCTTAGGCCATCGACGAAGCGACCTACACCAGAAACAGCAGATATGCCTTCAGCAACGCCATTGCCAAAAAGAAGGAAATCAGGGATTGATAGGCGCTCACGGTTGTTCGGTCTTACATCCTCTAATCCATTCTCATGTCCAGAACAACAAACTTCAGCAGTTGCCATGTTCATGGGCCAAGAAACGGAAAATAATGTGGATACACAAATGGAGAATGAACCAGTCGCTTCAGTACAACAAATTCCTCCTCTGCCACCAGTACTCAATAATATCATCCTTGATTTGGGATTACCTACCATAGCTTGCACACACTGTGGTGCACGCTTTTGGCCGCAAGAACAAGTAAACTACCATAGAAGAAGCAACTCACCAATCTTCACATTGTGTTGTCAGCAAGGAAAAATTCAGCTGCCACTTCTTAAGTCGACACCGCCTTTTCTGGATAAGCTTCTTGATGTCAACGGCGATTCAATGTCCACTCACTTTGCGAAGCATCGACGACCATACAATGCTGCGTTCTCATTTACATCAATTGGTGCACAACTTGATCCACGACTATTCAGTTCTAGAGGACCCTACTCACTGGTAATATGTGGTGAGAACTATCATCGAATAGGTTCTTTATTACCACCTATTGGACAAAGACCGAAATTTGCTCAGTTATACATCTTTGATCCATCTACAGAAGTTGAAGACAGGATGGCAAACTTCTCAAATAATGACAACGTATTGCTACCAGAAATTGTTGAGGGGCTGATACAAATGCTAGATGAGACAAATGAGTTGGTACGAAGCTTCAGAAGAGTAAGACAATGTCTACAGGATCCTGCAAATGAAAATCTGCGCTTGAGAATAGTGGGTTCTAGAATACAAAATGCAAGACAGTATGAATTACCTACTGGGGAAGAAGTTGCAGGCCTTATTCCTGGAGATTTCCATCCTGAGAAACGCGATAGAGATATTATTGTTGAACACAGAAGTGAAGGCCTAAGATGTATAACGAGTTTGAACCCCAAATATGATGCATTACATTTTCCTCTACTCTTTCCGTATGGAGAAGATGGCTGCCATACAGGCATATCATATGCTCAAGAAGTACTTAATCTATCAGCACATAGAAAGTGCATGACTCAAAGAGAGTACTATTCTTTTCGTCTGCAACATCGAGACAGTGAAGGAACTACACTACTTAGGGGTGGGAAAGTTCTACAGCACTACATCATAGATGCATTCTGCTCGATTGAAAATAATCGACTACTATTCATCAGGAAAAATCAGGATGTATTACGATCAGAGATATTTCAAGGATTATATGATGCATTCCAAGCAGGTGAAGTAACAGGTAAAAATTTAGGCCGGATTATATTACCTTCTTCATATACAGGGAGTCCCCGATATATGAAACAATTGTACCTGGACGCAATGGCGATCTGTCAGTATTTTGGAAATCCAGACCTGTTCATTACATTCACCTGCAATGCCCAATGGCCCGAAATAGTACATGCATTCGAGAATACAGTCGAACTTCGAAGTGAAGATAAACCACATATAGTGGATAGAGTATTCAGAATGAAGTTGAAAGCTTTGAAGGACCGCATCGTTAAGGAGAAATTCTTTGGTACAACTGTGGCAGGTATGAAAGCTTGATATAATATTTCTTTGTACTGAATTCAATTTATAATGATAATAGCATAACGAAGGACATGTTCTATTCCCAGATTTACATACCGTGGAGTTCCAGAAAAGAGGCCTTCCTCATGTGCATATTCTGGTGTGGCTAGCAGACTCGGATAAGCCCAAAGACATTGCAGATATTGATAGAATAATTAGTAGTGAGATACCAGACCCATCTATTGATCCAGTCGGCTATGAAGCAGTCATAAAATTCATGTTACATGGGCCATGCGGTCAAGCAAATACTTTATCGCCTTGCATGAAAGATGGCCGTTGTTCAAAGCATTTCCCAAAAGCTTTTACCTCAGAGACTATATATGACCGGTTCGGGTACATTGTCTATAAAAGAAGGGATACTGGAATTTCAGTTGAAAAAGGAGGAACAAAACTTGATAATAGATATGTTGTCCCATTCAACAGAGACCTTTTAGTATGGTTGCAGGCACATATTAATGTGGAAATTTGCCACAAAGGAAGGCTGATCAAATACCTCTTCAAGTACCTTACTAAAGGACCTGATAGATCTTTGGTACAAGCTACAAACACAAATTCCAGGTCAGTAGATGTGCAACCTCCTATTGATGAAATTAAACAGTATCTGGATTGTCGTTATTTGTCATCCTATGAAGCAGCTTGGCGGATCTATGAATTTCCAATACATGAAAGGACGCCATCAGTGTTACGGCTTTGCGTGCATCTCAAAAATCAGCATGTCGTCCCATATAATGAGGAGGAACCTTTGGAAGGGGTACTGCAGCGTAAAGGAGTGGAAAATACTATGCTAACCCAGTGGTTCAAGCTTAATAGAACTGATCCAAGTGCTAGAACACTTACCTATGCTAAAATACCAAACAAATATGTTTGGGACTCTAGAAAGCGTGATTGGTTTTTGAGGAAAAGAGGATTCCAGATTGGCAGAATAGTATACATCCCTCCAGGGGTTGATGATGTGGTCTATTTGAGAATGCTTTTAACAAAAGCTAGAGGTGCTAAAAGCTTCAGAGACCTTAGGAAGGTGAACAATGTGGTATGTCGCACATATAAAATCGCATGCCAAAAATTGGGATTACTTTCAACAGATCAAGAGTGGACAGCTGTGTTGCAAGAAGTCTGTCAATGGGGGCAGCCGTCTTTAATACGCTCTACCTTTATTTCTTTGCTCATGTTCTGTGAAATTACAGAACCACTTGATCTGTTTCAAAAATATTGGGAACACATGGCAGATGACATGGCTTATACAGCTCGACGACAAAGCTCTTCCGTATACTTCGATCCACCATCAAGCTCTTTGCAAAATTCTGTACTACTTGAGCTACAACGACTTCTCAGTTACTATTCTACCACTTTACAGCATTTTGGCCTACCAACACCAGAATTGAGTGACTGTGACTATACTATGAATAGTCTCATTGCTGAACAGCTAGATTATGACATCAATGAACAGAATTTGAGAGCTACTTCACTGTTGCAGTCATTAAATGAAGAGCAAAGGTACGCATATGATGTTGTTTACAATTCGGTGCTTTCGGCACAAGGATCACTATTTTTCCTCTATGGTCATGGCGGTACAGGTAAGACATTCTTATATGATACCATCATATGCAAGCTCAGAAGTATGAAAAAAATTGTTCTGGTAGTTGCTTCATCAGTTATTGCTGCTACATTATTACCAGATGCAACAACAGCCCATTCAAGGTTTAAAATACCTCTTGACTTAGATCATACTTCTACTTGCGCTGTTAAGAAGGGGACACATCTTGCTCAACTAATACAAGAGGCGGCTCTTATAGTTTGGGATGAAGCTCCAATGACACATCGATTCTCTTTTGAGGCAATGGATCGAACATTCTGTGACATCATGAACACCCCATTGAGTGGAGAGGGTTACACGCCTTTTGGGGGGAAGTGCATTCTTTTGGGTGGCGATTCAAGGCAAACGTTACCTGTTGTTGTTGATGGGGGCCGCGAACAAAGTATTGATTCTTCTCTAACAAGATCGCATCTCTGGCCACACTTCAAGGTCTTGCCTTTGACAGTCAACATGAGAATCAACTCCAACCCGAACAACCTTCTACCACTATATGAAGGGAGAACATTTCAAGACTGGGTGTTGGCTATTGGCAATGGAACGATCAAGCAAACAAAATTCGAATCATCTACTTTCACAGACTGGATACAACTACCAGATAAGTTTCTCATCCCTCATACAGGAAACAAGATTGAAGCAATTACTGATGTCGTTTATAATGATTTTATGGCTAACTATGAAGATGCCGGGTATATTCAGAATCGAGCTATAGTAACGCCTACAAATCGCACGGTTTCGGAGATTAATGCCTATATGTTAGATAAACTCAAGGGTCGTGCCACGACATACTACAGTTCTGATTCCCTCGAAGGTGACACAGCAAACAAGAGTAACTTAGAAGAAGAATATCCAACTGAATTCTTGAACAACTTATCATTCAACGGTGTGCCAGAACATGAAATACAATTGAAGGTCTCAACTCCAGTGATCCTTCTTCGTAATCTGAATCCATCTATTGGCCTTTGCAACGGGACAAGGATCATGATAACACATTTGGGTGAAAATGTGATTCGAGGTGATATTATTGGAGGATCATATGACAAGACAACAGTTGCTATTCCTAGAATTGTGCTCAATGTCACTCAACATCGCTGGCCATTCATCTTAAAGAGGAGACAGTTTCCAATTAGGTTGTGCTATGCAATGACTATAAACAAGAGTCAAGGACAAAGCCTCGATATAGTGGGTGTTTACTTACCAAAGCCGGTGTTCAGTCATGGACAACTATACGTAGCTATTTCACGAGTTCGGTCGGCTGATGGTCTACATATACTGGTTGACAATGACGGAGAAATTCCACAATCCTACACCAGAAATATAGTATATGAAGAAACTTTTTTGGATGTCAATGCAACAACTGAGTCTCATACAGGTGATCAATTAATTTTCTATCATAAAATAATAGCAACCATATAATTACTACTATGATTGCTTACGTACTACAGCTAACCAAAACATATACTCCTATTGCAGAAGCCATGGAAATTGATAGGGACGAGCCCAGACAATAACCAGCATGAAAATGATCTCCTTTCAATCCATCATTGATGTTTCCTAATGCATTTTATGCGAGATGTGTTGTATTGCCTTAGCCACCTAGACCTTTTTTTAATGGTTTGTAGAGTTGCTACTATGTAGATCAGCAGGCTTTATGCTCTTATTTCTTCTGTGGTATCATTTGTTAGAAGTGCAGGTACCTTCTGCCCACAAATATAATTTTATTAGTACGGAGTTTGGACTTTATTTGTTTCATGATCATTTGTTTAAAGGATAAAACTATGCTTAAGTACCCATACAGGGACTATATGGTAATCACCAAAATTATTAACATAATAAAAAATGTGTCAAAGAACGTAATAAACTGACGGTAACAAATACAACAATAAGTTTTCAAAAAGAACATATACCATATTCCCAACAAATTAGGCGTTCCGCAGCGGAGCGCGGGCCACAATTCTAGTTTCTTTTAAATTGATGAGATTGGAGTGTCAACGGAATCCAATTTAATTTATTCTCGATTCAAATGTAGCATAATGTTGACTTACTCTACCTCGATTCTATACGATTATCCAAGAGGAACAACAATTTAATATTTTGTATGATTGCTACTATAAATGTCTATATCAATAAATTTATGATAACGATCGCATGTACTTCTCACTATCTGTCATATTTATCAATATAAAATGTTGATGAATCTTTCAAAAAAAATTATGTTGTGAATCATAAATTTCGTGCATAATTTAACATTGAGCAAATAGAGAAGAACGGTGACGTACCCGATGAAAGAATGTGGAAAGGACCTCTACTAGAATCTTTAAAATGAAGAAGCAATCTAGTTTTGAAGTGAGAGTGGAAGGCATAGAAATCAGAAACAACCATGGAAAATGGTGGTTTGGAGCATCTTCCCTTCTGAAGTTCCCATTTCCATGATCACTCCCACTTCTACATCCACAATAGGAACCCAACAGTTGGCTGGCTGAAGAAGAAATGGTGTGACATTGAAGAAGAAGAAGAAGAAGAAGAAGAAGAAGAAGAGTTGTTGGAGGTATAAGGATGTGGGTTGCCTAGCCTCCTTCATCATGATGATCAACTTCTCTCTTGCTTTGTGGCCTAACTATATCGGTTGGTTGGACGATAGATGATATTTATACGAAGAAAATGATATGTCTTCTTGAATCTGTTCGTGATTCTGATTCTTTGATTTATTTATAATTAAGGTACTAAATGCGTATAGGACCATGGGATATTAGCATGGATTCCTTTCTTGCTTTGTTCATTCATTCCACCACACAAAAAATCATGCAATGTTCTCTAGATGCATGATTAGAATCTAGAGGCCATTGGAGTTGTTAGTGAAGTTTAATTAGGACGTATCATCGGTCTAAGGTTGCTTTTGAACAAATCAATCTATTTAAGTCCTCAACCAAAGTTGTTAGACTACATACGACTTACAATACATGTTTTTCGATCGAAAAAATACCTCCATTTTCTATTAAAAATTATGCTCAGTATTTTTTTTGACAAGTTTGTTATATATATATTTTTTTTGAAAATACCACTTAGCTCGAACCATAAACAAGAAGCTAAGGTCGTACACATCCAACTTGCTACTTTCGTAACTATTTGAGGTTGTCGCCGTTAACAATGATTCTTTACTCGAGAGTTTCGAGCAAGTTATGTCGAAATTGGGAAATAATAGATTTAACACATAGAAATGAACCCAAAAGCGTATATAAGTAACAATACTGATCTGAGTAGAATCCAAATCTCTGTTTATTAACTCGAAATCCCATTAATCAAATCACGAAACCCACACTCCTCCTCACTATGATATCTACAAAAGTTAACAAAAAAAGGAGGAACAATCTTCTAGTTGCTCAAAGGCTCTCAATTACAGTTTTGGGACTTTGGTGCTAGTCAAGAACAGCACAGCTAGAGCACAAAGAAAAGAACATTATAGCTTACTACACATAAATGAATCATCCACTCTACCCATTTCCATGTTAAACAAAGCATAACAGTAGAACAGTTAATTCTTACTGGGGCTCTACCTTGGAAGGCGGGAAACCCCCGCTGTACTCAAACGACTCTTTGCTATAAGGATGGCGAGGGCTTCCTTTCTCTGCCTCCTCGTATGTCGCCGAGGTACTGACAGAGTCTGCATTCGGGTTCAATCCGGCTTGCTGCAGTATGAGCTCGATCTCCTTCACCACGTCGCCCATCGAAGGCCGATCTGCTCCAGTTTCGTGCACGCACGACATGGCCAAATCGACGAACTTATCGAGGCCTTTCAACGACTCGTTGCAGATAGCCGGGTCGATCACTGTCTGCAAGTTGTACAGGCTCTTCGTCTTGTCCATCGCCATTTTCACCTCCCTCACAATGTACTTCCCCCTTTCGATGGGCCGCTTTGCAGTCGCTAGCTCGAGCAGTACGACCCCGAAGCTGTACACATCGCTCTTTTCTGTTAGCTGCTGTGTCATGTAGTACTCAGGATCGAGATAGCCCTGCAACACAGATTTGGAGGGGGGAAAAAATTCAAGCTTTTGTTGTGATCGATATAAATAACCAAACAAACTGCAATGCTGGGATCATAGGTGATCACCATGGTTCCTTTGACTTGAGTGGTAACGTGGCCTTTTTCACTGTCACCCATTAGCTTGGAGAGGCCAAAGTCTGCAACTTTAGCAGTCAAGCGCTCGTCGAGTAGAATGTTGGCGGATTTGATGTCTCTGTGAATGATGGGTGGATCGGCGAGCTCATGGAGATAGGCTAAACCTCTAGCTGCACCGAGTGCCACTTTCAGCCGTCGAGTCCATTCCATTGAGATCCCTGATTTGCCTGCATCCATTTTTGTTGTTGATAAAGCTAAGGATTTGGGTATGAAACAGAGTAGAGGAGAGGAAAAGGGTTTATCAGTTGAATTGAAACCAACCTGAGAGAGCGTCACCGAGAGTGCCATTAGGGACATACTCGTAGATGAGCATTTGCTCGCCTTGCTCGAAGCAAAACCCAACAAGGCTCACCACGTTCTTGTGATGAACTCTCGACAGCAGCTCGATCTCCGTCTTGAACTCATGCCCTCCCTGCATCGATTCCCTCTGCGCCCGCTTTATGGCCAGCAGATGACCTGTGGGTAGCACACCTCTGTACACCTGTGTTGGGGAAATTCCCTATTATCAAACCGGCGGAAAGAAAGACAGACAGGCAGGAAAGGTGTTCGATGAAATGCCGCTGAGAGAGAATGGCTTTTACCTTCCCGTACCCTCCAGAGCCAATGGCATTGGCGTCTGAGAAGTTGTTGGTGTATTTCTTGAGCTCGTCGAAGGAGAAGCATCTCGCTCCCTTCAGCTGCGGGAACCCGCCTGTGTTCTCAGTTGCGTCCCAGTGAGCTGCAAATTCCAAAATCAAACAGCTAAGTAATCATCCTCAGAGAACCGTAAATCATCTGTCTTGATTCTTGGGTTGGTTTCGAATCGGTTTATTACCAAAAGGGTGGCTCTGTTCGGTTGCTTTCTGTGCTCTCTTCTTCTGCCTATATGCATAAACTCCAGCCAGGATCACTAGAAGAACTAGCACAATCCCGCCAACTGCAGCTCCAATTATAATCCCAGTGCTCGCTGATTTCTTCGATCCAGACCCTCCTCCTGAATCAAACCAACCCCACCGTCAGAGAAAACAAAAAGAGAAAACCCCAGAAAGGACTCATCTTTCCATCTAATACGGTAACCTACCGTCGAAATGTGTATACTCATCGCCGAGGAAGAAAAAGGGTCCAAACATCGACGGCGGCTTGAACGTCTGGTTACTCAGGGAAAACGCAATCCGGGAAACCCCACTCCGATTGAAGAAATCCTGGCCGTAGGGGAACACCTTGAGGTCAATGTCGAGGTACTCGGACGAATCCTTTCTAGGGTTGCTGAGCTGAACGGCGTCGACGGGGAGTTGGGTGGACCTGAAACTGTCCATTAGGGACCTCTGGAGATCAGTGAAGATGGTGGCGTTGCCCAAGTCGGAGAAGGAAGGCGCCCTGAATACAAGAAGTCCCGTGTATGCGAATGCGCATGCGCAATTGGGGCTGGCGGTTTTGTTGGATGAACAACGGCCTGGCACGCAGCTGTTTGAAGGAGTCGTGTATTTGGAGTTTCGGTCCGGCGGGATGCAGTAGCTCTGCCTTGGTCCATTTGGAGTTTCATCGCAAACTGGGTTCCTCAGCAATCTGGAAAAAGCACATAGATACACAACTTCAGTCATGGCCCATGGGTGACTTCAGCGTTTGATTAGGCCAATCATGATTTTATCATCACTCTTACATTATGTCAACGTCATTGGCGCCTGGTCTCTGTCTATAGTCGGAGATGAAGTTGGATTGCATGTCGATTAATTGAAGTTGGCTGCTGTGACTCGGTCCGATGTCCAGACTGCCATTCAAATCGTTCCGCGCCAAGTTTCTGCCAATTTGCAAGGTAAGGTTACATATTAGGCCTAAACATGAGTTGGGGGAGCAAGAATAAGCAGCTATATACTTACACGGTTTGTAGATTGGGAAGGCTGAAGAGACCAGCAGGAACTGGTCCTTGGAGTTGTGTGTTCTCCAGCATTCTGCAAACCATCAACATGAATCAATATTCAATGAGTTGGGTGTTCATTCTCCTTATCTGGGTTGGTAATGGTTGCAAATTTTGTGCTTACAGTGTAGTCAAGGAGCCCATGGATGATATCCATGAAGGAAAACTAGAGGAATCGAAGCTGTTGTTGCTCATGTCCCTGCCAACAACATGCAAGAAGTAGTTGACTATATGACTGGCCATTATTACTCAATGAAACAGGTTAACTGCTGTGGTGGATTTAACTTACATAGAGCTAAGGACTGCCATGCCAGTGATGTTTGGAAAAGGACCATTCAGATCATTGTTGGATAAACTCCTGTATAAGTAAATAAAGGCAAGATCTTGTCAGCAGGGTGATAAATACATTTTTTCTTTAAGTAGGGAAGCATTCAGTGTACGTACAGTTCAGTAAGACTTCCGAGATTGTTGAAGCTGCCTGGGACAGTTCCACTTAACGAGTTCCTATCCAACCGTCTGCAATCAGAAGGTACATAAAAGAGAAGGTTACCAGTGATTTATATACAGATGGGAATGTGGAGTGGTTGTTTGATCATGAGTTGAATAAGAGTGAATGTTGCTAGTGATTTACTTACAAGACCTCCAATGAGTTCACTTGTCCAAGAGTTGGGGGAATGTTGCCAGTGAGCTTGTTACTGTCAAATAGGCTGTTCTCCGGGATGAAAAGCGAAAGTTAGGTACTCTGTTGATTGGGTAGAACCCTGAAACCATTTTGTGGCGAGCCTGATTAACTTACACGTGCAGGAGAGTCATGCTGGAGTTGAAAAGTTTAGTAGGGATGGAGCCTGTGAGCTGGTTCTTTCCGAAATGACTGATGCAAACAAGTTATTTCTCATTATAACACAGAATCTCAGGGGATCAAGGCCAGGTGGAAACAAAATCTCAGGGGAAAAGAAGAAAGAAATGTACAAGTGCTTAGTGTTGACTAAGAGATCAAGGCCAGGTGTGTCCCCATCTGAGATTGGGACGCTGCCTTCGAGCTGGTTGTCAGCCAGATCAAGCCAGTACAGGTTAATAAGGTTGCCAATTGAAGGAGGAATTGTTCCGGTGAAGCCATTCGAGTTCAAAGATCTACATTCAGGAAAAGTGAACGCATTACAGCACCAAATAAGGTGAAAGTTTGAGTCTTTAAGCCAAGAAAGATGTACGGGTCATGAATCCCTTACAAGTATGTGAGCCGGGTAAGTGATCCTACGGAGTCTGGGATAGGACCAGAGAAGCTACAACCAACCAAGATCCTGCAACCAAGATGTTTACATTTGTGAGGGATCCAAATTTAAGATGGATCATACAGTTGACCTTGGTGTATATATATGCAAAAATGACCCGTTGTGAAGCGTTTTCGGCGGAAAGAAAGATGGAAACCTACAAGTTGGTTAGCTTCTTCAGGTTCCCAATGGATTGTGGCAGATTCCCTCTCAACCCTTTGTTGTATGAAAGATCCCTGTAGTTTTTTCACAAATTGATTATTTATTGGATTCAGGATTCTGTTTTAGAAGCAGAGGAAACAAAAGACTCACAGGATCTGCAATTCAGATAAGGAAGCTATGTCTCCAGACAGTTGACCTGACAATCCAGTGCTTGACAATGTTCTGCAGTTTTCAGGTTCTTGGTCAAATTCAACAATTGAAGATAGCAAGAAGAAGACCAGTTATCTTCAGAAAGATAAGAGATCCAAATTTGACAACTTACATGGAGGTCACACGAATACCACTACAGCTAATGCCGTCCCAGTTGTCTCCACAAGGGTCACCACCAACCCAATTGGGAGGAGTATTCGCCCAGACGTCCTTGAGCGAGTTCAGAACACTCACTGCACAGTGTTTGGATCCATTGCCATTAGTTAAGAAAACAGGATGATGAAATTCCAAGGGCCCCCAAAAAGGTTGAGGGGTGAAAAAAAGGAGGTAATACGCAGATCGTCATCATTTGATAGACAAAAAGAGCATAGCTTCCCAGCTGATCCAGTTAAAGATTCCAACTTTTCCTCATCAACAGGAAAAAAAGAAGAACACACAAGCAAGCAAGTAGCTTACAGTCGCCGCCGTTGGTGGCCGCCTGAGTGATGGAAATCCGGGCGGTGAAGAAAGCAAGCAGCAGAAGCACCGAAATTCTGAGGCCGGCTGTGGTTGTAGCAGAAGTGCCCATATGGTGAAACTTGCAGGTGGGAAGGATTGTTGCAGATTATAGCTTGAAATGGTTTGAGAAAGATTGAGGCTTGATCAAAGAGGGCCTATCATCGTCTTCTTCTTCTTCGGAAGGAGACGACTGAGAAAACTAGCGAGGAACTTTGGTTGACACGCCCCCAGGAGAGAAAGTCTGAAGAAGAAGAAAGCTGAGATGATCAGCAATGGCGCCTTGGCAAGGCTTGTATTACCATGTCAAAGGAAAGGTTAGTTTGAACCAGCCAACCTCAATAATCATTTCTTCGTTTTTTAAATTCATCTCTCATTGTCATTGTGTTGAACTAGAATAAAATATAAAATACAAAAATGATAAACAAGAGCAATAATCCACCCAACCAATATAGTAAATGAGAAGGGCACGAGACTCACCAAATCTCTCATTTTCTCATTTATTGAGCAATGATGACATGGAAGGGGAAAGCTGTAGCAGTCTCTTCAGCCAACTTGGCTGAGAATTGGACTTTGCTAGCTTGCTACTGGCGGGTTATGTGACTTGCATTCAAACAGATTTAGATCGTCGAATCGCAACAACGTAATAACATCTGTTCGTATTTTCGTCTAACTCGTTATGAATCGGAGTATTCTCGAGCAGGTGAAATTCCAGAGACAGAGCGTGGGGCCGGTATGTATACCATTTGGAACAATGCTACTGTACTATTACCAGGTAAGGAAAGACTAGTCTTCTCTTCTGCTGCAATTGTGGTGGTCAAATGTCAAAACCATACGATTATTAAACTAATCTTCATCTTCTTGTTGTTCGTCATATGCTGATCAGCCTAGAAAAACTGCATCTCTACATTATTTAAACGTAAACGTGTATGGTTGGATCCTTCCAATCCAATGCCAACTTGTTTTCACAGTATGGTTGAATTGAATAGTTCAACCAGCTACCGCCAGTTCTATTTCCCTGATCCCTACCATATTCCTGGATTGACCAATAAACATAAGGTTAAGTACATATCAGTACCTGATCTCAATCTTTGTTGGCATTTCAGTACTCACAACTATCTTTTTCTTTCTGTTTGGGATACAATGGTGCAGCTGAGGAGTAGGAGAAAAGGAAGTTTTTCAGGGGGAGTGGAAGAACAGCAGGGGGAACCAAGGTGACTTGAGCAGGCTGAACAGATGTATATGGTAGATGTAACATTCATATTTTCGAAATTATATTTCTTTTTACAGTACTAAGTGGTATACTGTTTTTTTAATCGAGAAATCTCGAAAAAAGAAAAAAGAAACACTCCACCCTTGCAAGAACCCAAACAACCCAACTACGTACAATGGGTAGTTAGGCGTAAAAATCAACCGATTCCAGCTCTAACATATACAGAGAAAGGGATTTACGTGTCATTCTATGAACAACTCGATTGACAACTCTAGAAATCGCCCCAGACTCTCCAAACGTATCGTAATATTACACCAAGAGCTTGGCGGTATGGTTTGACTCCTGGGGTCCTTGATTTTCAATGAACCCTAATTGACGTCCATAAATTTCGGGTGGACGTGGAAGGGACAACCAGCTGATCAGATTATTTTTACATTTGTAATCTTTCATAGTAGTAACTCTGAATTAGTCATCGTAACTATTCGTTGTTGTGTTTTAACTTGATTTGATTTAAGTAATTTGTCGTGTGTAATTATGTGATTTCGAGAATATCATCAAATCAAGTGGTCTCGATAACTCGAGTCGTTGAGAGAGGCCTGTGTATGGATATTATCCACTTTCATACAATGTCCCGTCAAACGGGAGCCGGTGGCTCATGTGTCTTGAAGCTTGCACAAGCTCGTCATACCATGTGCTTCAAGACAAATGTTATTATTGACGGTCACGAGGACTTTGAACACATGACCTCACAATCAAACCAACTCTAATATCATTGCTAAAAACCAACTAATTCCTATAATACGAGAGCCATTTATATGAATCTTAACCACCGTTACAACTTCAATACAATTTGTTCGCAACCCAAAAAAAAAAAAGATTAGTCACGTTGGAAACCCACTAACAGGAATGGCAATGGGGCAGGTCCGGGGTGGGTTTATTGGTACCCAGACCCGCCCCGTGGCAGGTCGGGTACAAGTCGGGTAATTTATTACATGTCGCGGGTCGGGGCAGGTCGATCCAATGGGTATGCAATTTATATGAAAAACATTAGAAATATTCGTTATTTTTATTATAAGACCAAGAAAACAAACAATATTATGATAAATATAGTTAAATTATTGAAAAATTTGAGGTTTTCACTGATTTAAAAAGTTATTATAGCTAAAATATGATGTAATAAAAGAAAAATTCTAAGTAATTTGACTAAGATTACAAGTAATTTACGCAAGAACGGGTCGAGAATGGGGCGGGTCAGGGCAGGTCGGGTAGATGAGAGTACCCATGCTCGCCCCGCCCGCCTACGGGGCTGATCCAAAACAGACCAAACGGGTCAGGTCGAAATTGCCATCCCTACCCACTAATCAACCAAACAAGAAGATTAAAAAAAAATATTTCAGTAGTTAATAATTTGTTCTCAATTACGACAAAGTAAGCTTAGCAAAACTCCAAACCAAGCCCAATGGAATAAGACGTTATTGGAAAGATCCAAATATACCAATTTTCCGAGATTGATGGATATAGCATTGGAGGGAGAATGTAGTCAGGAAAAATAAATGATGCAACTTTAAATGAAAACGTGCCACGTGGCGAGTGGCATTGTGTATTTGGGGCATCAGTGCCGTACGTAATCGTTGTCCCTGTCTTAAAGTAGTTAATTAGCTTCCTCTCTTTCTGTCTTGTTGGCCCAAATTGAACCAATGCCCGCACGCTGGCTCGTACCCACATTACTTGGGCTTCGTGGTGCTGCTGAGCCCAAGTAAGTGTCCATCAAAGCAAGGGTTTTTTCGCTGGGCTAGTATGACAGATCGGCCCAAGCACACCCATACAACTTGCAGGCCTGGAGGGCTTTCACTCTCGGACAAAGAAAAGGAAAGGAAACAAAAAGGACGCTAATGAATGCTAAAGACAGTGATGAACTGAGGCAGCTAGGACCAGAGGAACTTCGTGTGGCTGTGGTGTTGCTTGAAAGCTACGTGAGTGAATAAAATCTTATGAAAATACATGTGGATAACAGAAAATGCTGTAATTTTGGGCTTGTCTTATAGTCCATTATTCACGCAGAAAGCCAAACCGGGCCGGACCCATCAGGCCCAATGGGACTTCAGGTGGCTTACACTATCTTTAAAAGGGGAAATTTTTTTTTTTTTATTTAAGGTCTTTGATTTTTGTGTCTGCATTGCGATGTATATTATATATATATCCAGAAGTGAAGAAATTTAACAAAAACGAACAATCATCTGTAAGTGTCTACACAGTACTACCGTGTTCCTGATCATGCAGATAATACACGCGCGCCCTGCAACATGATTGTATCGTAATCCATGTCGAGTATGCTAAATCACTTCATATCAAACCTTGATCGTGTTTAGGTTAGACCTTTGATTCCAATATCAAACTAAGAAAAAAAAATATGTTTATCAGATATTATCGATTTATTTTTGTGGTAGAATCAATTTGTTTTTATTGGGTTTTTTTTTTTGGGGTCAATTTGAAAACTATTTTCAGAAAGGAAATTTCCGTTTCATATTTCCACATCATGATTTCAACCACCTTAGTAATTATAAAGAAATGGACAAAAACTTGGATATGGACGTATGCTCTAAGGTTTGTGTGTACGTAGCTTCCCTAAGCACAAAATTTGTGTGGTTCATGACTTGACGTATCATGCGGAATCATTTGGCCGTATTTAACAAGCTCGTAACAAAAACAAAAAAAAAATTATGTGAATTTTTTTTCCACCAAAGGCTTTTTCTTTATTATCAGGCTCAACGGTGAACCGAAATTAGGTTTACGGTTCAAAGTGGTTCATTTGGTTTGATACCCGACCATATGATAAATCATTTTGTTCATCCTGGACCTCGCTCAATCAAATGAATCAAACCATCATTGTAACTGTTTTGATGGCTCTACTAGTCTGTCAGATTATTCGGTCCCATTTGTAATAAGGGCTTTTGTTATGGTTTTGTAGGGTTAATTGCACTGGGTACCACCTAAGTATTGATTTTGTTGTACACTAACCACTTAAATTTTTTTAGTTGCAACTAAACTACATTAACCAACTTTCGGTTGCATCGTTATATTATTCATCCTTAAACTTAACGATAGGTATTAATTTGGAATTTTCCGCCTCATTTTGCACTATGTATAATTACCCTATGCCTCCCTCTGTTTTTCTCCATTCAATATTATAATTGTTAGCGTTTTTAAACTATCATGGATAAACAAATGTGTGTGCAACTAAATGGTAGGTATTAAATTGAAAATTTCCGCTTCAATTTGCAATATGCCTACCTCTGTTTTGTGATATGTTTTGCACTATGCCTCAATTTGCACTATGCCTCAAATTTGAACTTTGGCTACCTTAAAGTAATTAAATTTTCTAGACTTAGGAAGTGAAATGCAATCTTGATCCGACTTTTTTGGGTTTATGATATGTTTTGCATTGTTGGTGCCTTTGTACAATCAATTTAATCATGATAAATACAGTTTTTTCAGAAGTAGGAAGTGAAATATAATCAATTTTGATTATGACCTCTGATATGGTCATCTCACATGCTTTCTATCGATTTAACCATGATAACTATAGGATTTTTTTTCCATGTCACATGCTTGTCTGTACTTATTTCTTCTACAATTCAATTTGGTCAGACTGCTAGCTAGTACTGATACAACATCTGAAGCCAAATGAGAGTTGGAGGCTATGTAAAAATGGACATTTTAAAAATAAACCAACAATGAAATATTAATCTAATTGAGACGTAAATTTGAAAATTGTTAGAACTGTCACTACATGATTAATATGATAATGGTAAAGGAAAAAAAATCTTTCTTTTCTGTAATTTCTATTTACTTCGCTTGAGTTTGTATAAAGCACCAACAACGCAAAACATATCATAAACCAAAAAAAAAAAAAAGAATTGAGATTGCATTTCACTTCCTAAGTCTAGAAAATTTAATTGCTTGTAAGGAAATCAAAGTTCAATTCAATTAGAATCCAGAAAGTAAAAACTGTAACAATTATAAATATTGAAGGGGAAAACAGAGGGAGCTAGGCATAGGGTAATTATACATAGTGCAAATTGAGGCGGAAAATTTCAATTTAATACCTACTGTTAAGTTTAAGGATGGAAAATATAACGGTGCAACCGGAAGTTGATTTATGTGGTTTAGTTGCAACTAAAAAAATTTAAGCTAGTCAGTGTGCAACAAAATCAATACTTAGGTGGTATCCAGTGCAATTAACCCCTGGTTTTGTGAAGTTTGAGAACTTTATCGAATGATTTACCACTGATTAACAACTCGGGTCAAATTCATCAATTAATCACCTATACAATTGTTTTACCATGACGATTGTTATATACAATTGTTTACCACAGTCCACAGCTTAACCTTCCTAGCTTTTACCATTGGGAACCCAAAACTTTCCTTTTCCCTTGAACGCGACTCACGAGGGTGGGAGCGTCTATTTAACCACTGCAGCGAAAATGGGGTTTGGAACTTGGGTTGTCGGAGAAGGAAGGAATTGTGTCCATTACATTGCACCAACCTGATCCTTTTTCATCTCTCTTCTTCTTCTTCTTCTTCTTCTTCTTCTCTGGTTGAAGTAGCTAGTTTGAAGAATGGACCAGAATCTCCAGTCAGCAGGGAAAGAGCCGCTCCTGCTGCAGCCCAGCACTGATGGAGAAAACCAGAAGACGAACTATGGGTTGGTGCGGATTTTCGCCAAATGGGCTCTGAGGACGACGATGTGGGCCATCTTCGTCTCCTGGGTGGGGTTCATTTACCTCTACCCGACCCAATTGGGCGATTCCCTCTTCCAGAAGTGGAATCGCCTCACCGAGAAGTCCCTCTTCGGCATCACAGGTCTGCAAATAATACGATTGATTCTTCTAATTCCCTTCCAATTCTAGTTAATTAAACGCCCATCGGAATTCTGCGTAATTGATTAACTGACTGGGTGGCGGTGGCGGTGGCAGGCAGCATCTTGTTGCTGGTGAGCGGGCCGATCCTGGCGATTGCAGTTCTGGCCGTTGCCCATCTCGTTCTGGTTTCAGGGGAAGATGAATTTTACCCAAGGTAACGCTTAATTACTAGCTAGCTTTCCTCGACCATGCATGTCTCTTCTCTGCTCTCTGCCTTTTTGGGATTTTCTAGTGATATATGTAATCTGCAGGCGTCTCTTTTATGGCTTTACCAATTAATTAGTCGTTTATTACGAGGTAATTAGTTTAACTGCAAAGCCTAGGATTGAAGGTGGTTATTTAGATAATTACGCTGTAATTTTATACATCTGGAGAAGAGACTAGATAGCGGTGACGGAGTCAGGATTTCAAATTACCTTGTCTTTTATTCAGAATATATATATAATATAATATTTTATAAATATAATTGAAATTAATAATATCTAAATAATTCATTCACAGTGAAACAAAAAATTGACTAATACAATTAATGTTTCATAAATAACCAGGACGAATTTTCATATTATGAAAGAAATGTAAACTACATTGATTGTTTTACAGCATAATATCATGAAAATACCTAACGAGCTGCTGTAAAACGATAGTGTCATGAATGAAACCAATAATTTAATTATTTTTTTGTGAATTAATGAACAAGTAATGAGTTATGTTGTAATATTAAAATATCATTATGTTACTTGTAAGTGTTTAGTTCGATCTGTACAAATGTATGTGGGGTTATTTTTTGCCCACCCCAGAAGTTACCCCTTAGTGATGGCAATGGGGCGGGCAGGTACCTCAATTCCCATGCCCCGCCCCATGTTACTACGGGTCGAGGCGGGTCGACCCACTCTTACATGTTGTTAAAAAAAAATACAAGTAAATTTTACTTTTTACGATAAAACGTAGGGAAAAACACTTTAAGAATGATAAATATTGATAATAGAATGGATAATTGAGCCTAACAAGTTGAAAGATCGACTCTAACTAGTTGAAAAAAGTCAAAATTGGAGAAATATGTATAGATTTTGTAAGAAATTGAGATAAAATGAGTGTAGAACGGGGCGGGGCGGGGCATGGCAGGTCGGAAGTAGATACTCATGTCCCGCCTCACGCTACTGCGGGTCGGGTAATACCCGCCCCATCGCGAGTCAGGTCGGGTAATACCCGCGGGGCGGGTTGAAATTACCATCACTATTACCCCTGTCCTGGGACAAAGGGACAAACATCTCTGCCTCCGCCTATGATTGGATGACACGTGTCAAGTTTAGCATGTTCACCTGCTAAATTGGGTAAGGTGTCAAATAATTAAATTATTAGTAACCCGTTTTTATGATTGGAAAATCAGAAGTTGGGTAGGCAATTTGATAGTTGAGACTTAGAGAGTAATCAATCAATGTAATGTAATAAAAAGACATTACTGAGTTAACTTAAGAGTATCAATAATAAAAGTTTTTTACGATTTTTTCTGTGATATGAAAATTTTATACAAAATAGAATTCTGTATTAATTGATTATTTCCTTTATGAATGAATTACTCATCTATTAATTTGTAATTATATGTTTTAAATATTTATATATATCATATAAAAGGACACAACTAATTCAATCTTTTGCCTCCACCGCTATATAGGAAACATGAGATTTATAGGTTTTGCAACGAAACCCAGCTAGTGAATAATTGTTCGAAACATATTAATTAATTAATTAATGGTATATTCGTATATGGCCCTACGTACCAATCAGCTTACATGCAAGAATACGTATGCTTGCTGTACTGTACACGTATTGTATTTGTATAGAGTGAAATTCCTATGAAAACCAATTTCAACATTTGCTACACTAAATCTTGTTTCTAAATAATTAATTAAATTAATTAGCAAAATGGAACGTAGAACCTTCTTATTGGAAATCTGAACTTAAATTACGAGACTCATTTGTTAATTTGAAAGAATTGATTATAGAACCAGACGGCTGCTAATAAAACCAATTTAAACCTCTTGTTGATTCATGAACTCAACCTTTTAATCCTTCCCAACTGGCTAATTAATTAATGCATTTGAGAATGATCAGGAAAAAGAAGTACCCAAGAGCACAGTTGTGGACATTCCCGCTCATCGTCGGTGGACCACTCGGTGTCGTTTCAGCCGCCGAGCTGATCGGGGTCGTGCTCTTCGTCGGCTACATCCTATGGGCTCTCTACTTCTACACCCTGCGGAACCTCGCCCTTCTATCCACCTTCAAGCTCACTTCAGCACAGTTCAGGTACTACATTGTGCAGCTCCGTTGATATTGTTTGTTACATTACCATGATCTATGATCATTGTTGTGAGCTTACTTGGGGAGCACACAATCATGGTGTGGCAGCATCTATCTGATGGAGCTGACCGGTCTTCGGTTGGGGATGATCGGGTTGTTCTGCTTGGCATTTCTGTTCCTCCCAATCGCCAGAGGCTCCGTGCTGCTTCGCCTCATCGACATCCCGGTTGAACACGCGACAAGGTACCATGTGTGGTTGGGACATGTCACCATGCTCCTGTTCACTCTCCATGGCCTCTTCTACGTCGTCGGATGGGCTCTCCAGGGCAAGCTCCTGCAGGAGGTCAGTAGTACCGATCTCTCTCGTTCTTCCTATGTTTATGTTTCTTTTTCAATAATCATGAATGTTTACTTATTTATTTATTTATTTATTTATATGTAGATCTTGGAGTGGAAGAATATTGGGATATCGAACCTGGCAGGAGTGATTAGCCTTTTGGCTGGTCTGATCATGTGGGTGACATCCCTCCAGCCGGTCAGGAGATGGAACTTTGAGCTGTTCCTCTACACCCATCAGCTGTACATTGTGTTTGTGGTGTTCCTTGCATTCCACGTCGGCGATTTCATCTTCAGCATAGCTGCTGGTGGGATATTTCTGTTCATGCTCGATCGATTCTTGAGGTTCTGTCAGTCTCGGAACACTGTTGATGTCGTCTCGGCTAAATGCTTCCCCTGTGGCACAGTTGAATTGACCCTCTCCAAGCCTCAAAGTAACTAAAATTCGATCTGCTTACATTTGTTTCCCCATCAATGAATAAGTTGTTGATCTTTGTACGGTTGCATATGCATTGTTATAACCATTTGTTTCCCTTCTTTCAATGTAGGTCTGAGGTATAATGCACTGAGTTTCATCTTCATTCAAATCCGGGAACTGTCTTGGCTACAATGGCATCCGTTCAGTGTGTCATCTAGTCCATTGGATGGCAAGTATCACATCTCAGTTCTCATCAAAGTTCTAGGGGGTTGGACTGATAAGCTTAAAGAGAGGATTGTGACGACGAGCTCAGCTGATGAAGATGCAGAGGGAGCAATAATTATGGACCGAAATTCCAAGATATGCCGGAAGTTAACAGCTTCAGTCGAAGGTCCATATGGCCATGAGTCACCATACCACTTGATGTATGTCATCTTCAGACTTCAGAAGTTTCAATTTTCACTTTTGAACCATTTGGAAATGCATGCTCATCATTCGTCCCAATGTGATTTCCAGGTATGAGTACCTTGTTTTAGTAGCAGGAGGCATAGGGATCTCACCTTTCATGGCCATTCTGAGGGATGTCTTCCATCGTCTTGATGAAGGAACACCCTGCCTACCAAGAGAGATTTTGCTAGTGTGGGCTGTGAAAAAGTCTGAAGAAATCGGGCTTCTTTCGACGATCAGTTTGGACTACTTGCGTTCAGACATCTTTCAGAAGCTTAACTTACATATTCAGATTTATGTAACCCGCGAATCGGATCCTCCTTTGGTAAGCTGCAGCTATACCCTAACATGTCGTGTGATTAAGCCCTGCAGTCTCTAATGATTCTCTTCACTTCACTGCTCATTTTCAGGAAGAAGGCAAAGTAACTCATGAGGCTTCCTCAGTAGTCTCTCCTGGGTGCTCTGGCCCAAAAGGAAACAACATGTCAGTTCTGGTTGGCACTGGTGACAACATCTGGTCCGGACTATACGTTATCTCATCGACACTAGGTTTCATCGTTTTGCTAGCCTTAATTGATGCCTACTACATCAATCCCTACGGAATTTCATCGTGGTGGTACAAAGGATTGCTCCTAATGTCATGTATGGTCGGAGGGGTTGTTGTGTTTGGTGGCGTGGTCATTGCACTATGGCATATTTGGTCCAGAAAAGTGTCAACCACGGAGCAATTCGAGGAGGATTCTAAGACGAACGGCACCAATGGTCTGCACAAGAACGAATCGAGTACTGCAAACGAAGATGTTCCTCAAGGTACTGATGGGGTAAAGGCGAAAAACTTGCTGAGTGCCAGTACAACCTTCATCAACTATGGTTCTAGACCAGACTTCACAGGTACACGTATTGCAATGACCTTATCCATTGTTTCTATGTGCTGTTTTGACAGCTGACACTAATGTATGTTCTTTTCCCCCATTGTTTATGTCTCTCGCTACCGAACCTGAAGAGATATTTCAAAGCACGTCGAAGAACTGGGGCCATGTCGACGCTGGTGTGATGGTATGTGGACCTCCAACTCTGCAGACCACCGTTGCGAAAGAGATCAGGTCTCACAATTTGAGAAGATACTCCCATGACACTGTGCTTCATTTCAACAGCCATAGTTTTGATCTTTAAGCCCTGCCTTGCCCCTACCCCAGTAATTAAACTAGCTCCACCTATAGATTACACTCATCTCTCTCTACTTATGCATCGTCATCAATCTACGATTCTACGTTGCGAGAAGCACATCCAGTCCAATGTGCATGGCAGTATATATAGGTATTCAGAAGTCGGGTATAGATCGACTTACGTATGTGTATCGATATAGTAAACAAGTGTATAGAAGAAAGAGATGTCATTAATCTGGTATGTACATAGCAGTACGATTAATGTAATATCAATCATTAAATATGGGTAACAGAAATGCTGTAAATATGAGTTATCCAACCTTATCCTAGCACTTGTTTGTGTTATGATCTACCCTATTTTTTGCGAATACGATGATGTGAGTATTGTATGTCATTTCATCAGCAAAAATACTGTCAGTACATTCTCCGTGTTAAATATGTGAATTTAGATAGATATGGTTGCGAACCAACGTAGAAGGAAGAGCAAGATTTTGAATCACAAGTGCGCGTCCACCTTATTCATACGATTATGCTTTTTAATCGTTGCGCCCGCCACGGTGTATTACCCAAAATGAAGAAGTTACTTAAACGAAAACAACCATCTATATTGCCTACATTACAAGCATGTCATTAATCATACAAATAGACATGCCCTATTAATTGCATAACTGTAATGTAATCTCTGTCGCGGACATCCTGAATCGGCGCCTATCAAACCATATAGATTGTGTTTTTTTGCCATTGGTGACAACCACCTCTACAATTTATAAGCTTGATTTTTGAGTAAAGGGAAGGTTTTAGTACCCCTACTGGTGCTTAAGTAGACTATATTCACCACGAGCACTTCTACTATGCTCTAAAAATCCCTCTATTTACCTCGTACTAGATTAGAACCTTCATGGCGATCAACAATCATCTAAAAGAAATATTTAGTTGTTGAATGATATCGATTTAACTTTACCGATTATTATTTGCATCTAGCTGAATTATTTTCTGCAAGGACATTTCCACATCAAGATTCCAACCACCTTAGTAATTATGATATGGACGTACGTATGCTATTATTGTTAAGGTTTGTGTGCAGGTAGCTTTTCTTACATTACCACTCCTTTCTCTCTGTTTTCCTTCTCTCTCTAGCCCCCCTGTTCTTCTTTTCTGGTTGAAGTAGTACTGCTGGTACTAGCACATCCAGCCAGTTTGAAGAAAGAATGGACCAGAAGAATCCGCATTCAGCAGCAGGGAAAGAGCCGCTCTTGCTGCAACCCACTACCGAAGATGATAATCAGAAGAAGAAGAAGACGAACAACTGTGGATTCTTCTTCTTGCGCATCATCGCCAAATGGGTTCTGAGGACGACGATGTGGGCCATCTTCGTCGCCTGGGTGGCGTTCTTCTACATCTTCCCTACCCAATTGGGTGATTCCCTCTACGACAAGTGGAATCTCCTCACCGAGAAGTCTTTCTTCGGCTTCACAGGTCTGCAATAATACGAATCGATTCTTTCACTTCTCCCCATTTTTTACAGTTAAAAACGCCGCTCGATCGGAATTCTGCATAATGCTGGGGTAATCAACTAACTAACTGGGTGGCGGTGGCAGGCGGCATCTTGTTGCTGGTGAGCGGGCCGATAATGGCGATTGCAGTTCTGGCCGCTGCCCATCTGATTCTGGTTTCTGGGGAAGATGAATTTTACCCAAGGTAACGCTCTCTGCCGTTTTTTGGATCTTTCTAGTGATATCAGAAATCTGCAGGAGTTTTCTTTATTTATTAATTAGTAGTTTAGGAGGTAATTAGTTTAACAGCTTAGGATCGAAGGTGTGATTTATTTGGAAAAAGACAGGGGATGACACGTGTCAAGTTTGGAGAGCCATGACCATGAGATTATGAACTCTAAACTCAAAATTTGAGACTCTTGTTAATTAATTGGAACATAGAGATTATGGAACCAGTCCAGACGACTGCTACTTTGCCTTAATCAAAGCATTAACCTTTTAATTCTCTTCCCGGCTGGCTAATTAATTACTTAGCTAATTAATGACTTTGGCTTTGAGAATGATCAGGAAACAGAACAGTTCTAGGAAGAACCCAAGAGCACAGTTGTGGACATTCCCGCTCATCGTCGGCGGACCACTCGGCGTCGTTTCGGCCGCTGAGCTCATCGGCGTCGTGCTCTTCGTCGGCTACATCCTATGGGCTCTCTACTTCTTCACCGTCCGAAACCTCGCCGATCTATCCACCTTAAAGCTCACTTCCGCGCAGTTCTGGTACACACGGTCTCCACCTCCATCAAATTTCTTGGACTCCATTGGAGTGATTATGTATATATATGATCATTGAGAGCTTAATTATTTGGGGCACAAAAAATTATGGTGTACGTGGCAGCATCCATCTGATGGAGCTCACCGGGCTCCGGTTGGCGGTGATCGGGTTGTTCTGCTTGGCATTTCTGTTCCTCCCCATCGCCAGAGGCTCCGTGCTGCTTCGCCTGATCGACATCCCGGTTGAGCACGCGACGAGGTACCATGTGTGGTTAGGACATGTCACCATGTTCCTGTTCACCCTCCATGGCACCTTCTACGTCGTTGGATGGGCTCTCCATGGCAAGCTCCTGCAGGAGGTCAGTAGTAGTAGTACCGATCTCTCTCGTTCTTCCTATGTTTATGTTTCTTTTTCAATACTGATGAATGTTTACCTTTAAATATGTAGATCTTGGGGTGGAAGGATGATGGGATATCAAACCTGGCAGGAGTGATTAGCCTCTTGGCCGGTCTAATCATGTGGGTCACATCCCTTCAGCCAGTCAGGAGATGGAACTTTGAGCTGTTTCTCTACACACATCAGCTGTACATTGTGTTTGTGATCTTCCTCGCGTTGCACGTCGGGGATTTCATCTTCAGCAGAGCTGCTGGTGGGATATTTCTGTTCATGCTCGATCGATTCTTGAGGTTCTGCCAGTCTCGGAACACTGTTGATGTCGTCTCGGCTAAATGCTTCCCCTGTGGCACTGTTGAATTGACCCTCTCCAAACCTAAAAGTAGCTAAGAATTCTGCTTGCAATGTTTCCCATCAATTAATAAGTTGTTGATCTTGGTAGGTTGCGTATGTATTGTTATAACTTAAAACCATTTTCGTGTCCCGTCTTTGGTTAAACTTGATGTAGGTCTGAGGTACAATGCACTGAGTTTCATCTTCATTCAAATCCGGGAGCTTTCCTGGCTACAATGGCATCCGTTTAGTGTGTCATCCAGTCCATTGGATGGCAAGTATCACATCTCAGTTCTCATCAAAGTTCTTGGCGGGTGGACTGATAAGCTTAAAGAGAGGATTGTGACAACGAGCTCAGCTGATGAAGATCCAGAAGGAGCAATACTAATGGACCGAAATTCCAAGCTATGCAGGAAGCTAACAGCTTCTGTCGAAGGTCCATACGGTCACGAGTCACCATACCATTTGATGTATGTGATCTTCAAAAGTTTAAACTTTCACTTTTGAATCATAACACGGTGAAATGCATGCTCATCCTCTGTCCCCCCCTTGTGATTTCCAGGTATGAATACCTTGTTTTAGTAGCAGGAGGCATAGGGATTTCGCCTTTCATGGCGATTCTGAGGGATGTCTTCCATCGTCTTGATGAAGGAAGACCCTGCCTACCAAGAGAGATTGTGCTAGTCTGGGCTGTGAAAAAGTCTGAAGAAATCGGGCTTCTTTCGACCATCAATTTGGACTACTTACGTTCTGGCATCTTTGACAAGCTTAATTTACACATTCAGATTTATGTTACCCGAGAATCGGATCCTCCTCTGGTAAAGCTGCAGCCATAACTCAACATGTCGTGTGATGAAGCACTGCAGCCTCTAACGATTCTCTTTACTTGACTGCTCATTTTCAGGAAGAAGGCAAAGTAACTCATGAGGCTTCCTCAGTAGTCTCTGCAGGGTGCTCTGGCCCAAAAGGAAACAACATGTCAGTTCTGGTTGGCACCGGTGATAGCATTTGGTCCGGACTATACGTTATCTCATCGACACTAGGTTTCATCCTTTTGCTAGCCTTAACCGATGCCTACTACATCAATCCCTACGGCATTTCATCGTGGTGGTACAAAGGATTGCTCCTAATGTCATGTATGGTCGGAGGTGTTGTTGTGTTTGGTGGCGTGGTCATTGCATTATGGCATCTTTGGTACAGAAAAGTGTCGTTCGAGCAGGAACCTAAGACGAACGGTGCCAATTGTCTGCACCAGAACGAATCGAGTACTGCAGCCGAAGATTTCCCTCGAAGTACCGATGGGGTAAAGGCTAAAGACTTGCTTAGTGCAAGTTCAACCTTCATCAACTATGGCTCCAGACCAGACTTCAAAGGTAACACATATTGAAATGACCTTGTCCATTGTTTCTGTGTGCTGTTTCGACAGCTGACACACTAATGTATGTTCTTTTTTCCCCCATTGTTTCTGTCTCTCACTACTGAAACTGAAGAGATATTCCAAAGCACGTCGAAGAACTGGGGCCATGTCGACGCTGGTGTGTTGGTATGTGGACCTCCAACTCTGCAGACCACTGTTGCCAAAGAGATCAGGTCTCACAATTTGAGAAGATACTCCCATGACACTGTGCTGCATTTCAACAGCCACAGTTTTGATCTTTAAAGCCTTGCCTTGCCTTGCACTCCACCTATAGGTTACCGTCATTTCTCTCTACCAATTATGCATCTTCGTCGATCTACCATTCTACCTAGTGAGATGTAAATCCAGTCCAATGTGGCAGCATATTCCTAAGTCGGGTATAGATCGACTTATCACTTGCGTACGTGTATCGATATAGTAAGCAAGTGTATACAAAGAGATGTTAAGCCTTAATCTGGTGTGTACATAGCAGTATGATTAATGTGTATCAATGCATAGTAGTTATTATTAGTATGAGAAACCTGCAAATAAACAGTCATGGCCATGTTCTTTTCTGAGATGAGAGTAGAGATCATCTACATCTACAAGATATAAGATGGCAAAACATGAGTTGGTTTTGCAGGGATTCGAATTTGCTGGCCTCTGAGGAATTTTCGGAAGGACAGTTTGGACAATTCACCTGCCCACTTAATGAAGTTTTGCGTTTTGGTTTTCTCTGATTTTCTCCATCAGTCCTCCCTTCCGCTGCCGCCATTTACTGGGCCTAATTTATGGAACTTCAAACCACAATGGGTCCAGACAGCTGCGGCAGGCCCACGGGTGTCAACAAACGTAATTAATTGTGATCCATTGACATTAGTGGAACTAATAAAGGGTTGTCGTTATTGTCATTTCAAAATATAAATAATAAGCGTTTTGTTTTCCAAACTTCAATTACGGGCTCCAAAAACGGGTCATTGAAGGGTCCGATTTGGGTTGTGTTTTTTATTTTCAAAGTACCATTCCAGGCTCCACATTTAATAGATCTTGAACTTCTGTATGATGCTTCCCACTTAACAGAATCCATTTTTGAAACGAATCAAGAACAAACCCACCGAAAATCGAGCAAAAATTCAATCTCCGTCTTCATGCCTTTCACGCCGTCTAGATCCAAGTCGGCGACCATTTCCTCATCCCCTCGCTATAATCAAACCCACACAAATGAAAGGTCAGAACTCTGAATTAGCAACCAAGAACCTACAATTCGACATGCAACCAACAAAAATGCATCTTACCTTCGCCTCCGTTGTCATCATTTTCGCCGGCGTACATCTCTATCATCATCGTCGCCGGTATCCACTATCCACCGCCGTCAATTCTCACCACCGCCACGAGAAGCCGCTGTGTCATCGTGGCTCTGAAGTCCGATCTTTAAAGCTCCAGTCGAGGAGATGTCCCGAGCGGGCGAATTCACTGTAGGAGCAGGCGAATAATAGATCTGAAGGAAGAAGAAGGGTTGTGTTTATTTCCTTTTTGGTAAAAGAAGGGGTTTTAGTAAGGGAGGAAAAGAGAGTTCCACGACTGTTAATGAAGAGTGAAGTAGGGTTTTTTTACTTTTTAGGCCTAAAAGAAGAATTTATATTTCACTCTCCCCCTTCGCACGTGCTCGCCATTTCTCAAAATGGCTTTCCTTTAAAAAAGTTTCTTCAACCCTAAATTAATTCAAATTTATAATTAAATACAGATAATAATATATATATTTCAACCTTTTAAGTAGTATCAATTTAGAGTATTGAGTGTGATAACACCTTCCCCTACGTAACTGTGTTATCTAATGTAGAACTTTAATTCTCATATCACAGTTTGGTTGCAATCCTAAGGTTAGGACCGGTGCAAATAGTTTTTGATCCACTACAAATTAAGATTGATGGCGACTTCGAAAAGATTGCAAGTGGCCAAATTCTGTGGGACAGTTGCGACAATATTCATTATTCTATCTAAAGTGGTTTGAATTTTATCCATTACCTAAAAAAATCAGGTTGACAATCAAAGTCATGTCCGTACTCTATTGAGATTCGGGTATCCATGGGAATTTATTTCGTAACTCCAATCGACATGTTTATATTCACACTAATGCTCACATTACATAAGTGGAAACGTAAGATGATAAATCACTAGAATGAAGAAAATTAGTTAAAAACAACATAATTTCATTAAAATATTATATATATACAACCAAAAAAATCATGTGATAGGACACTTTGTGTTGAGATTTTGATTCAACCATTTCATACAACCAAACTGCATACCGATATTTTTTGGTCGGATCGATGATACGGTACAAGTTTACAAAATACATATTAAATTAAAAAATGTGGTAATCAACCCACCAAAATTTTCATATCATAGAAATCGTTAGTAAACAGGATTTTTCGTTTTAGGTTTCATTTTCGTAAGCCTCCAAAATTTTCAGCTAAACAAGTTTTCTTCAGTAGGCTTTTCAGGAAATAGTATTTCTCTTTTGTTCGAGTTCTTTTTCTAATTTCGAGAAGAAGAAAAAAAATATAATGGTTACTAAATGGACCCCTTTCTCTATTACCAAACTCGACTTTTTAGGTGAGATTAATTACAAGAATTTGAGCAAAAATTGAGGTTACGTAAAGTTATACGAATTTCCCCTAATAATTTTAGTGCGATTTCTAAGTTGGGCACAGGGATCCTAATTTCCTTCATGCAATTGCACCAACATTTTCTCTCAATAATCATATTATTAATTCAACCTACATCGATATACGGGGTTCATAAAGACAATTGGTAATAACATATCAAGATTCCACTTCAACGTTGGAGTTTCACAGAGAAAGATGGTTGGAGAAAGCATGGAGTTTCACATATCAAGATTCCATTCTTTCATATAGAGTTATGCAGAGGCAAGTTGAAAGCATGGAGGTAGGTCTATGTCGATTTCCTCTCCAGTAAAAACCATTTCTCTTGATTAATTGGTCGAGAGTTTATTACTTAATTCCCAACCGTCTTGCTAAATAAGAATTAGTTTGGTAACATACAAGGACATGCATTTAGAATTTTAGATTCTTTCAATTTGGGGTTTAAGTGCTCGAACATGTGTATTTTCTTTTTAGCTCTATAAGCTAATTATATCATAGTTCATATTTAATTTTGGGGGTTAGACATGCAACAATTAAATTTGGAGATAAATATTTGGTGCTTGGAGAAATCTGACTCATTGACCTGTTACGAGAAGGATTGCAACAATTTTGCTGGAAATGTTCTCAAGCTTTTATGTTGGTGTGAGCTTTTAAAATATGTCTCTTTAAGGTATTGTGAAATCATAAGACATTGGTGATATTTTGCTTTCAATTTATTGAAATACTTTATTTACGACTCTAATATATTTTGTGCGTATTAAGTGAATTTCAAATTTACGAGACATAATATCAAATCTAGGACTGGCAATTTCGGTCCCTCATTTGTTATTATAATTTACAAAGTGTCTTTTCAAATAATATAATTTCATATCTATAACCTTTGTCGTGATCAACAAATATTATAAATACTATAATATATTTTCATGGATAATTTTTGTACCAACTTATTTTCAATGTAATCTTATGTTCATACATCTTTTTTATGTGACTTCATTTCATTTTATATATATTGGTTGTACGAAAATTACTATACTTAAGTAGTGAAGAAAATTACTTTTTTTATTAAATAATTATATTTAATTCTTATATCACATTTCTCATATCCTTATTATATTATAACTTATAAGCACATTATGCATAGTTGAATTACCGACATAACTAAGATGTAAAGACACATGTGACATGCATTTATGGGCATCTATCATATCAATTGTATAAATATCATTTTCAAGTCTAGACTCTCCCGGCCAACGAGCCGGGTCATTATGCATAGTTGAATTACTATAACCAGGGGCGGACCCAGGGGCATTTGGGGGTGTCCCTGGACACCCCTAAATTTTGGAAGATCGATTATCCAAACCCCGGTGTTAATTTACGTATAGACAAAAAAATTATAACTAATAGTCTGGGACACCCTAAAATTTGAAAACGATTATACTACTCTCGTTTGTAGTTTGCGTATGAGAATATAAGTGGTAGTTTGGGTAATTCAAACCCGGGACACTACTATTACTAATAAATATAATTTCCATTAGGCTACAAATTTTTTGTTGCTATATTCTAAACACTGTGTAATAGCAAAACTCTATTCTCTATCTTTCATTATTTTCAAAACCTAACAATTAATCTAATTACAAGTTACCCTTAATTTATATTGATCTTATGGTTGTACGACACGTGTTGAAAGTGTTTTTTCAACTTTGAGTTACATCATGAACAAATTTAGAATTCAAATATGCGTAAGCTCGTGAATGATCGTCTAGTAGGATATACCGAGACAAATTTGTTGAGCAGTGTATACACCAAGTATTTTTTATAATTTGTTTAGAATATGAAAATACATCATTGACTTTTTTTTAACTTGTACGAGTTGGGTATTTTCTTACTAAACAATAATATAATTTTATTAATTATTAATTATTTAATTTTTATTTTACTTTATTTTTTGAAAGAGGACACCCCTATGTAAATTTTCTGGGTCCGCCACTGACTATAACTAAGATATAAAGACACATGTGACATGCATTTATGAGCATCTATCATATCAATTGTCCAAATGTCATTTTCAAGTCTAAACTCTCCCGGCCAATGGGCCGGACCTGGCGCTAGTATTACTTGACAGCAGATAATGAGAGTTCTGAGACCCTCTCTCTGTGGGCTGGACTAACTAATTTGGTTGACATGACTGTGGATCCATTCAAATAGCTCAATCAAGCCCATTGATGCGAACGGATTAGCCCAATCCCTTTCACTCCTAAGCCCTCTTGCTTCTTCTTGCTACAGGAGTAGCATTGGGTTATTAATCAAAATGGTCACATAGGTTCGGAGCAGTAACAAAATGGTCACAAACGTTTAAAACGTAACAAAAAGTCATATACGTATCATGACATAACAAAACAATCATTTCATCTCTTTTTAGCCATGTTTTCATTCGCAAGAATCGGTTATTTTGATGACACCATGGAAAATTTAAAACAAATTATCAACCACCTAACCAGCCTGTGAAATTACCGCTTATTTAGAGCAAGCAAACTGGGCATTTTAGATGGAAATATAGATGGAAACGCATGGAATAGTTGTTTTGTTATAACATGATACTTGCGTGACCTTTTTGTTACGTTTCAAACGTTTGTGACCATTTTGTTACTTAAACAAACTTGTGTGACCATTTTGATCAATTACCCGAGTAGCATGTCTGTTGGGTTGCTGCTGTTGAAGCGACCCCAAACGTTGACACTAGTTTGGTGATTGAGAATGCAATCCGACTGGGAGTCGTCAGATAAGGTGATGGACGCCTCGTGTTCGTTAGATTAATGTGTTGACATTTTATTTATAAAACTATTATCGCATTCATCCAACGGATCACGATGTGCCCGAAAATTCGATTTGACGACTCCCAGCATCTATGAACACGTTTTTCCTACTCGTGTTGTGATCGCCAATAACCGGATTGGGTGAAATGAAAATGGGTTTACAAAGAACTGTCGGTGGCCTACTCGTGTTGTGATGCATACAACTGGGAACACAACAGCAGAATAATTTTGCTGTAGATTTTCCTTTTCAACGTTAAGGTTGAATTTTATAAAATTTTCTTTTTGTGGAAAGTGGAAACCACAGTGGATGGTTGGTTAGACAGGCTGTCTTTGTCTGTTAGCCCGCCGGTCGCCGTCATCCAATCGGACCAAACCGTGTCCGATCAACCTTCATTTTCTCACTACATAACTTTTCCTTTTTACAAATCAGTCACTCGTTACAACCTTTCTTACAATTTCACTCCTTAATAATATCACAGTTTTTGTTTGTTAATCAATAATCTCAGTTTGCGTAGCTCAAGTTTTAGTGCTTTAATTTACAATTGTATTCACAAACAAACTATATCTAAATTGGACTAAAGCTTCGGTTACTTAGTCATCTAAGCCTTTAGGATTTTGGAATCAGTGATTGTAAAGAAAGCAGACTGATGCGAGAACATATCATGGTTGATCATACAGTGTAGTTCTTTACCTTCACGCGTCCTCTTACAATAACTATATCATGGCTCGAGATAAAATTTTCGAAAGATGACGGTCTCGTTCCATTAGGTTTTACCTGCCCTTCAATGTATTGCACTCTACTCATAAAAAGTTGTGCTTAACGAAGTATCAATATGCACACTGTACACCAATCACGGTGCAAGTAACTCATTTTTCTCGTCAATTCTAAATCGCCAAGGTCAAAAGTAAGGTTACTTTTGACATTATCAACTTCGCTTGTCGATTCTTATCAATAAATCAGCTGACTTTCACACTTCCTAGTTCCTACCATAGCATCATTGCATCTTAATCCTACAAATTTATCTTATTGTAACTTTAGCTAATGTAGGTTACAAAAAAAAAAAAAAAATATTGGACAAAATTAGTTTGTGGACCAAATTGTAATTCTTTGGATATGATCCCCTATTCCCCTTGTCTGAAAATAGGATTTTATTACTATTTTCCGGAGCGAATATAGTATTTACCATTTTCTGCATCTTTAGTTCTTTTTGCTAATAAACAATGAATGGAAATTAACACAGCACCAGCAAATCTCTAGCTCACATGGATTGCGACGGTGAGTAGTGAGTCGAGTATTCAGCAAGCACTACTCCTCACCATTATTGCTGCTCTGCTGATTTTTGACTAACTACCTTCCTTCTCCACTCTCCACCACCTCTCTCTCTTCCTTTCTCCAACCTTCCTCTTCCTCTACCCAATTCCCATTTCACATTAGATCTGCCCATCTTCTCCTTTTTCCTTCTAATTCAGCATTTACAGTGAAGTGATCGATCCAATTTCCGGCAGAGCTGAGTGGAAGGGGAGGTGGGCAAGATGAGTATGTACGGTAGAGATCCGTGGGGCGGCCCGTTGGAGATAAACACGGCGGATTCCGCCACCGACGACGACCGGAGCAGGAATCTCAACGATTTGGACCGGGCAGCTCTCTCCCGGCCGCTGGACGAGACCCAGCAGAGCTGGCTGTTGGGACCCACCGAGCAGAAGAAGAAGAAGAAGTACGTGGATCTGGGCTGCATCATCGTCAGCAGCAAGATCTTCTGGTGGACGGTCATCGTGGTAGCCGGCGCCGGAGTTCTCGCCGGCTTGATCGCCATCCTCGTGAAGTTCGTGCCTCATCACCACGACCATAAACCCACGCCGGACAATTACACCGCCGCACTCACCACTGCCCTCAAGTTCTTCAATGCCCAGCGATGTAATGCAATCTTTGTCCCTTTCACTGTCCTCCCTGTTTTGATTTGCTTCTTCTGAACTCTTGATTTGGGGCTACTGATCTGGGTTTTGGTTTAAGTTCGATTTCCAGCTTTGATTTTGTTGCCATGGAGTAATTGGACCTGAAATTCAGTTCTTTCGTTTGCAATTATGCAGCAGGAAAGCTTCCCAAGCACAACAATATATCATGGAGGGGTAACTCTTGTACGAAGGATGGGGATCCTTCGGGCCAGTTCAAAGATCTGGCTGGTGGCTATTACGATGCTGGAGACGCAATTAAGTTCAATTTCCCTCAATCGTATGCCATGACCATGTTGAGCTGGAGTGTGATCGAGTACAGTGCAAAGTATCAAGCTTCCGGCGAGCTCAATCATGTTAAAGAGATCATCAAGTGGGGAACTGATTATTTGCTCAAGACCTTCAACCACACGGCTGATACGATCAACATACTTGTTTCCCAGGTAGAATACAGTTCGTGTGACTGTGACCCCCTGCTATCTGTAGAAGTATGCTGTCAGTTTTAACTAGGAGATTCCTGTCATTGTTGTAGCTCTTATGGGCTCCGGGATTTCGTAATTCTGTCAGCTTTATCTTCTAGTAAAGAATCCTGCTTTGTCAAGCATAACCTTGAATAGTGCTCGCTTCTAGATGCAGCTTCTGTTGAATGTATTATTAATGTATTTGAAACTTCTCCAGGTTGGATCCGGGGATACTTCCGGCGGCATGTCAACTCCAAATGATCACTACTGCTGGACGCGCCCTGAGGATATTGATTACGAGAGGCCGGTGGCCACTTGCAGCAGTTGCTCTGATCTTGCTGCAGAAATGGCTGCTGCTCTAGCATCTGCGTCCATTGTGTTCAAAGACAACAAGGCTTATTCTCAGAAACTTGTCCATGGTGCCAGAACCCTCTTTAAATTCTCGAGGGACCAACGTGGGAGATACAGCGCGAGTAGTACGGAAGCTTCTCAGTTCTACAATTCTACTAGCTACTGGGATGAATTTCTTTGGGCTGGAACTTGGTTGTATTATGCGACTGGTAATAATACCTATCTTCAACTTGCTACTACTAATGGTATCGCAAGGCATGCTGGTGCTTTCTGGGGTGGACCTGACTACGGTGTTTTTAGCTGGGACAACAAGCTTATTGGTGCTCAGGTTAGTTGATTGAGCCACATATATCTTGCTTATCCAGTCAACGTCTTTTAGCCTAAGTATACTGAGCTTATATGGATTTTATTTTTGTGCTGAAAAAAAGGTGCTTCTTAGCCGTTTGAGACTCTTCCTGAGCCCGGGGTACCCTTATGAAGAAATATTAAGGACGTTCCACAACCAGACTAGCATAGTCATGTGTTCCTACCTTCCATATTTCACAAGCTTCAACAGAACCAAAGGTAAACAGCATCTCCTTTCACTGCCTTAGCTCCATTTTGAGATGACAATGCATTCAATTGGGATTCTGATTGAGAATGATTTGTTGTGACGTGATCCTGCAGGTGGTTTGATTCAGTTAAACCATGGAAGACCACAGCCTCTTCAGTATGTAGTGAATTCAGCTTTCTTGGCTGCTGTATATAGCGACTATCTTGATGCTGCAGATACACCTGGATGGTACTGTGGACCAAACTTCTACTCTACAAAGATCCTGCGTGAATTTGCAAAGACCCAGGTATCTAATACAGTTTCCTCGCCGTTAATGAATCATAGTTTGGATGAAATCCTCTTCGAAGCATGATGGAGATTGTTGATTTCATTTTGCAGATCGACTATATCCTGGGGAAAAATCCAAGAAAAATGAGCTATGTTGTTGGTTTTGGTAACCATTACCCAAGGCACGTCCATCACAGAGGCGCTTCTATCCCCAAGAACAAAGTTAAGTACAGTTGCAAAGGTGGATGGAAGTGGAGGGACACAAAGAAGCCAAACCCGAACAAACTAGTGGGAGCTATGGTTGCGGGGCCTGATAGGCACGATGGTTTCCATGATGTTCGAACTAACTACAACTATACCGAGCCAACGCTTGCAGGAAATGCAGGATTAGTTGCCGCTCTTGTGGCGTTGTCTGGCGAAGGGGACTCTAATATTGACAAGAACACCATTTTCTCGGCGGTGCCCCCCATGTTCCCCACTCCTCCTCCACCTCCAGCACCATGGAAACCATGAGAAAGACGATATGTAAATTAAGAGTTTTAAGCAAGTCAGAAATGGTTGAAGGCACTTTACAAAGGCAAGCTGAAGCTCGGGAAGAAGACAGTGGATGAGGCTTTCTGAAAGAGGGCCATGTGGCCGTGGGAAGCAAGAAGATGGGATGGATGAATTCTTCCTGGAAAAGCGTTGGTCTTTGTTTGAATTTTTGTGTGTTATACGATAGCATAATATGTATGTATGGATCTTGTATTCTTTTGTAACCCTTGTGGATTCGTCTGTGGAAACAATGGACACTTCCCATTTTGATGTCTGACAGTGAAAGAGAATACATTTGTTGGTTTACTACAGTCCACTTTCCAGGTTTCGCTGTTCCAGGAAAAGGAAAGTCTTGGATCTTGTGTATTCTGTTCGATCGATCCATACATATTTAAATCCATACAATCGATCCACGTGGTTTTGTGGTGAAAAAACAAAGAGCTAACAATAAAATGCAGCTGTAACTATGATACATCCTTTTGCAGCCCAAGCACCTTCACCAACTTCAGTGTGACGTTTTTCTTACAATGGCTGTTCATAGTAATCATATTGATGGAATATACAAACCAAAACCTGCTTCTTTGGACTTGTACACAAACAGGTGGCATAGATTAGAATCTACAATGCTTTCTTCTCAATCTTTATTTCCTGTTGTAACCACACCGAAATAGTGCAACTCTGTTATTCCCCAGAGAATTACAGCCACTGTAAACATCTGTTTCTGGAGTAAATCACAAGTACTGGATTTTGTCTTTCTAGATTGTAAGTACAAACAGGGAGACCGAAACATTGATTATAGCTAAACAAGAGGCAAAATTAGGGTTAGTAGTTTGCAGGGGGATACTTTTTACAGGGGGCAATGATAATTTCATTTAAATCTAGTTGGGGGCGTCATGACACAAAAGATGACAGAACCATATGGTTGGATCTCTCATGTGGCAGCTTACCCATCTCGTAACTAACGTGTGCTGCTGAGATCGGGATGCCAGTAGACTCTCCATTTTCAAGTGTGTCCAACGCTTTCTTTGTGTACAAGGTAAAAGCTATGACAGTTATGATAGCAATGATAAACGAGATCACGTTATACACGATCTGCACTGGCGTTAGATGATGATTCCCATAGTTCACTTCAGCTAGCGTCCTGATGAGTCGACCACTGCCCCAAAAGAACATCAAAACTAACAAGTTAAAAGCAGGAGAGGCACTAAAATTGGTCCGCTGCAATTTTGAGTTGAGAGAACAGACCTGTAGATGTAAAGAAAAGCTTCCGGGATCATTCCAGCAACTGAACCGCATATGTAGGGCCAAAATCTTAAGCTTGTGACGACTATTGCATAGTTGAAAATTGTGTATGGAAATGGGGATACCCTGAAAAGGGCAACCACTCGAAATTGATGGAACCAGTTCCCTTCTGCTGCTAGTCTCAGTATGGCAGCTTTCTTGGGCCACCTCTCTAACCATTGCTAGAACAATCATCAGGAAATATTCATGCCCTCATTAGATTGGATGGTATTGGATAAAGAAGAATTGGATGATGGAACTCGTAAGAACGAGGATATAATAAAGTTATTCTTACATGGATACGATCACGAAAAAACAGGCCAATGAAGAAAGGCAGGATCATCCCAATCGTTGTTCCAGCAATGATTATGACAAACCCAATGCCATATCCAAAGATCATACCAGCTAACCACATAGAAGGGCCTGAAGGAATTAAGAATACAGGGAACAATGCCAGAGAACCGACAAGCACAAGAGCAAGTACAGGACGTCCAAAGGCAGTTGCTTCCCATTTCATTATTGGGTACAGAACCTACACATGCAGAGAAATTCGAACTTAAGACCCTAGAAACAGGACTAGCCTCAAAGCTGGTTAAATATCAGGAACTATAAGCAATTGGTGCTGAGAGAGAGAGAAAAATACCTTTTTGAAAAGAAAGGGTAAGACCCATTTGATTGAAATGAAGACAACTAAGCCAATCACTATGCACAACGTTAGAATTTTGGTCCAACGCTGGGAAGACTTGGACTTTGATGGTGTTGGAGGTTCCGATACATGTGGTAGAGTCGGATTTGGTTCATCAGACATGACAAGCCTAATATATTCACCGTTTTCTCTTGTGTGGTGACCAGTATGGTCACTGTCTTTTACTAACTCCTGAGATGTGTCTGTCATCTGTATCACAGGGAAATCATGCCATAATCAAAACTCTGAACTTCCCAGTCTAGAATAAATGGATATATATTCATAAACATGCCATAATGAAGGAAAAGTATCCAAATCCATTTAAAACCCCTACCATCAGAATGTTGTTGGGCTGCAGGACAGACAACAAGATGAATTTGTCCTGCGTCAAAGCACATTATACGACTACTCAATCAAAAGACGGTTACTCATAACAAAGATAGAGAGGGATGCCGGAAGGTCATCAAGAAAACACCATAAGGGATAAGACCAAAAGAAGGGCGACGACAAAACTGGATAACATGGAAAAACTTCTACTATGGAGGATAACATTGCATAGGAATGAAGCTCCCCATAACAATCGATCAGAAGTGCGGTCATCTAACTATCAGAGTGAAAAAGAATCACAGTGAAGGAAAGCTAAAAGTGATGCAGCTAGACAAATTCTGTTTCAGGGTAAGACAGCTAAATGAGCTCGACCAAAGTCGTTAATCACAGATTTGCCACAAGCCTGAATGGACTAAAACCACAACAAAATGTCCGACTTTGGCTACTTTCTGGTAGTCCACCAATTAAAGACAGGACCTTTGGGGGTGTTGCTAACCAGCTGGGGCCCTAAATTGACATTCTGAAGGTCACTCTCTCAAGCTTAAGATGTCAATTCGAGAGATACACGTATTGGGTCCCTCGAATTACGATCAGAATCGAGGGTTCTAACTAGAAAACAAGAGAGTCATCACAAATTACAGAAAGGGGTTGGCTTTGCGGTAGGGTTTATGCACAATGTTGGAAATTTTCGGAAATTGGGTTTTACCGTTAAGGGAACAGACGGACGGAAGTGAAGCACAGGAAGGCAAAAACGGCCGCCGATCAACCTCCTGCGCCTAACGGTAATCGAGTTTGCCTTCACGTCGTCACGCGATCACAAACCAGAAGTTTTTTTTTTTCTTCAGGCGGTGGGGAAGATGGAGAGTTTTCCAGCTTTCCCCTTCGCGTTTTCTTTTTTTGGGCTGTCTGTCAAGAATTTCAGCTATCTCCTTCTTTGCCTAATCCTAATGCCTTGTACCTTCTTCCCCTTTTGCTTTATGGTTGGAATATCCCTTTTCATATTCAAAATGGTTGCTCGATTTCGGATTTCCCACGGCCCAACTAAGCAACATTAAAATAAAATTAGACAGAAAAACCAAAGTTTAGAACAGAAGAGGTTGCAGATTCATGCTTACCTGACCTCTACCAAATTCTCAGTTACTAATTGATTTTTATATATATATATTTTTTAATTTCTACGTCACAAGTTAACCGTCAAACATCATACATCATAGTTGACTGTCATATAGGACGGATTTAATCGAAGTGAACGGCTAGTGAAAAAAAAAATGTTAATTGAAGTGACCATTAAGAAAGGAAATATTTTCGAATGGCAAACCAAAAATGGCAATTAACCCAATTAATATGTGATGATTAGATTAAATCAATAATTTAACAATCGGAAAAACCAAACCACCTTTTGTATATAAAGTTCCTCTCTTCATTAGAGTTCATCAATATACTTTTTTTCCTAAAAAAAAATCATCCACATACTTGATGTAATCGTCTCGTCACTACTTGTTTGGCACGGAAATATGTATTACGATTCTTCGTTTAAGTAAACAAGTGTAGGGATCGTTTTGTATTTTGCCATATCTCTCGTTGCTTGTTGTGGGAGAATGGCTCGTGTATATCTAGGGTTCTAGGCCGCAGCCGAAACCCACCATCATCATCACTCTATCAGTAAGAAAACCTAAGAGCTCACGCTTTTCGTGGACTAGTCCCGTTCTCACAAAACGGGAAAACCACGTAAAATCGTTGTCCCGTGTTCTTTACTTCTATCGATTTTTACAATATGAAACGATTGGGTTTCCTTCGAGTTTATCAAAATAACATATAGAAGGCTACACCAGATCTTGTTATCTAGAAGAGATTTCCCATTTTCTACATACCTCAAAACCACATTTTAAGAAATAAACGGTTTCAGGCTGGCAGGGTGGAGAGATCAGGCATGGAGACTAACAATCACCCAAAAAACAAACAGCCAATCTATATACTCAAACTCAAGATTACTTGATACAACACAGAGTTATGCTACTGCAAATCGTTCAATTGCATGATACAGAAACCTCATACCAAGCATTTCAGGCCTAGGCAAAGTATTACCATTTCCATGGTGTTCCTAATCAAGATATTACACTTGAGCACGATCTGATTACCGTGATAATTAGGAATAGTTAGCACCTGACCAGCATGCACTCACAATATGTCATCCGCCAGGGATTTCGAATGAAACTTCTCCACCAAGGACCAAGATGAAGAAACAGCTTCGCTTAACTTGGAAGATTCAGCCTCTAATTCCAATAACCGGGCCCTCGTTTGCTCGACTTTCGATCTGGCCTCTGCAACCGCCTGCTCTTTTAGAGCCAAATCCTCCATCATGGATTCGAGTTCTCTCTTTACCGACTCCACAGCATGATCACACTCGGCTTTGGCTAATTCAGCAGCTTGATGCTGACTGTTGAGATCGACTACTTCGGTGAGGTCGTTGAGGATATTACGAAGCCAATGCACATCAATCCCTGCTGATTCCACATCCTTGAGAACTGCTAACATTTCTTTGACTTTGGATTTTGTTAGCTGCCTAATGGAAAGGGACTGCAGTTCCAGAACCACGGAGCACAGGCACTCCAGATAATATGCACGCATTGAAACCGATTCCAGCTTACAGTTCCCGGCTATGTCTCCGTACTTGGCAAAGATTGCGGATAGGATTGAAGCGATGGTTGCCCTGACCTGGTATTTTCCAACTGATACACATGAATCAGAGATAACAGACTGCACCTCGTCGTCATCACTGTCATGAGACATGTGCGAGATGCCCGAGAAGCTGAACTCCATGGACTTCATAATGGGTTCATCATTGTTGGCATCACCAGGTTTAGGAGATGAAGCTCCCTTGGGTGAAGAAGTGGTGAGATTCTTCTCTTCATGTTGTTGTTTGGTGGGTTTTGGATCCACAAAGGATGTAAAACTTCCCTTGTTAGGGCTCAAGGGACCATCAGGCTGTTCAAGATAAACAGGACAGGGTAAGTGTGGAATTTACAACTCAAGAAATTTTTGGGACAACCTCATCATTTCCCTAACAAGTCAACGAGGGAGGAGAGAAGCACTACCGTGATGATCCCAGAGGCAGGAACTGATTCATAAGTTGGAGCTTGGGTCTCATGGAAAGACTGCTCTCGGGAATCAATTTCCTCTTCAGATGAGGAGGTTGACTGGCTGTTATCTGACTCCACCACCTTCTTGTTAGAGTTAGCATTGGAGTCTGTTTTAGAGACAGGCGATATTGGTGAAGCGATGGCAGCAACATTAGCTGCTTTTGCAGCAGACACATTATTGCTGACACCATGAGGTGAATTTGGCTGAGACAAAGCTTCCTTCGTTTTCCTTATCATGCTCACAGGGGCACCAAGAAGGAAGGGCCCTGCATTGACAAAAGCAAAGTCAAGAAGATATAGGGAGCACAAGACACCTTGGATCTTTTTTCAAGGGCACAGTATTTTTCCCCCACAGACCACTTCAAGGAATAGAGAAAGGATAGTAGAGCTTTTTCTCCAGTGTCACTTCTGTTTTCAGAAGGATCCATTTCTAAGCCATGGTAGGATTAAAGCAGGAACAAAAATCAACATTCCGAGAAAGGGGGAGAAACAAAAACCTTCATCTTTATCAGTATCGTGAAAGTTCGCATCAGCAGGTTTGTTAGTACAATATTTGCCACATTCATGGTAAGGATTGGCAGCTTTTGGACAATTTGGATTTGCAACTCTTCTTTCTCCATCAATCTTTCTGATAAGCTGAACTTGTTTTGCACTTCTTGGACTATCTAGAATGATTGGAAGCGATTGAATAAGAAGGGAATCAGAAACAGTCAGGAACTCCCCCTCGAAATCGAAACATCTTGAAAAAGAATTTGCCAAAAGAAAAAAAAAGGCTTTAGAAAGAACTCTGGAAAAAGCTACCTGACTTCTTCTTGCTCATAGACTTTCGAGTTATGCCCTGAGCAATCTTCTCGAGGCAAGCTACTCCACATTGATGATAAGGATTGCCAGCATTAACACACTCAGGATGGACTCTTCCATTATCAGCCATCTCTTTATCACCTTCTCTCAGGACTCTGCAACAAAAAGAAGAAGAAGAATTGAGCTTACAGATTAGACCCTGATTTGGATCCATAGAAAAATTCCTTCCTCAACAGATATTCGATAATGATAAACCAACTTCTCAGCGAGACCTTAAGCTTCCAAACCACACCATCCAAATCAAGAGTAAAAGCTTAACCCTTTTGGACAGCCACCTAAAACATGAAATTGGAGGTAGGAGATTCAGCTGCCACAGTGACGATCCATTCAGTTAGGCAATTAAAAAAATGATGAAGGTCAAATATGAAATACCACTACTAAACCACCCAGCCCAAACAAATACTTTTCACATATAAAACAATTCTCTGCATCACCAAATCAGGAATGGAGATTTGATTCTCTACCAACTGAACATGCAGAAAGAAAGTCGACATCACTCATCACCAACTATTACCAGAAAAAGAAAATAAATGAACAGCCTTTCCTAATCTAACAACTCATCTTTCCTCAACCCTTTTCCAGGGCAATCAAACAGAACAAAACCCAGAAACAGGATTCGCTTTACCTCGAAAAATTCTGGCGATCACAAGCTGGGAAAAACAAACAGAAAAGATCAAGAACACAGAACAAAGAAACAGTCTTACCCAGGAGACACAGAGAGAGGGAGGCAGAGATCTGTAACGAAAAAGAAACAGCTGCTGCTAACTCCCAACAGCACAGAAATAAACCCAGAAAGAGGGGACCCTAAAAATGGCCTGGAAAGTCAGCCTCCAAAATAATTCAATACTTTGTAGCTTCTTCTGGTCCTCCTCGTCGGCGTATAAATTTGACTTGTAACCACCACCACACCACCACCACTACTTTTCTTTCTGTGTGGGTATCCCTTCTTTACTCTCCTTTTCTCCCCCCCCCCCCCCCCGCTGTCTGTCGTCCCAAGACGTCACCTTCCTTGAAGGTTGGCGGAAGAACCCATTTACCCGGGAAGAGAAAACCCAAAAAAGAAAAAGACTTTTATTAATGGACAGCAACAAGAAATGTGGAATTAATTATTGCCTGGGCTATTTCATCCTCTGGTAGAAAGTGGAAAGACGACAGACTCCTGAAGAACCAGCCGGATGCTGCTGCATCAATGGCGCCCTGAAGTAGTGTTATAAGCACTTGCTTCCAAAATTTGACCATTATTTTATTGAAACCCATGTCGCCATTTGAGTTTATACTCTACTGTGACGATCCGCCCGACCCGAATTCGGTTGCCTACCCCTGGCCCGAATACGCAATTCGGGTCCCGCGCCAACCACCTAAGGTGACTGGTGAGTGGCGAATGTTGGTAACGTATGTCACTTCAGTAACCAGTAAAATGGACGTTTTAGAGCTTTTAATCTGCGTGGAGAACTGTTCTGTTCATCGTCATGCTGTCAGGATCTTCACAGGAGTTAAACAGATGCGTGTTCATCATCAAATTACAGACTCCCTCGATCTGATCTTCGGCTAAAGCATATGGGGTAATTGTGCATTTTTTGGTCCTATTCGATTTGTTTCGATACAGTGAAAACGATGTTAGATTAGTCCTTGGGATTTGGTATTGAAATGTCGTGGTAGAATTCATTCCAAGCAGAAGTATCATCGATTAATCTAATTTTATTATGATATATATCGCTTTTCGATGTCACAACCGGTGTAATGATTCGATCGTCAAATTCTCATGTATAGGATAGTTTTTATCCCGGTTGGATACATATTTTTTATATCATCCCTCTTTTTTTATCTTACATTCACTTGTGGAAGGAGCGAAATTTTCATTTCAAGAAAACGAATTAATTTAAACTTAGTTTGCATGGTTATGCTCTCATTTTGTCAAAACAATAGATTTCAATGACATTTTGTGGGTCGCACCTTCTCATCTACGAAATTATCAAAGATGATCAATTATTTGGGTACAACAATATAGATGGACCCCTAAGTAATTATGAATTTTACCATAGATGTTGGACCAGGAAATTTGGAGGAGTTTCAGCTTCAATTTGATAATGACTAACCATGGGATTGTCAAATTTTTCAGGCAGAAGAATACATTTCATTAAATTCTCCAAAAAGCATCTAGGAGAGCACTATGGATAGAGTCTGCGACAAATTAGACGTTTGGATAAGAAATTGTAACAAACTTTAACTACCTCATTTGCCAGCAGAAAATCTGAATAGATCTATTTAACCTAAATTGACAAATTTCAAATTGATCTATTTTAAATCAATTTCAATCGTATTAGAGGCAAGCAGGTAATTCGAATTGGCTCGTTATAAATAGGTCATATTATTACTTTTCTGAATTCATCCCGCATCAAGTTTGTCAAGTCAAACGTTGTATAACTTCTATTGCAGACTGGTTTCTTTCCCCAAATTTCATAACTAGCTTGGTGCCCGGCCTTTGGTCGGGTGTGAAATGTTAGAGGAATTTGTTTGTGATTGTTTTATTTGCATAATTTGTTTACTTTCTTGCGTTGCGTGTGCTACAAATTTTTTCAAATACATTCAAAGGAATCTTTGTTTGTGACTGGCAAGTGTATTTTACACCAAAATAAAACAACCAAATATTATTCACATTGTTTGGGTACTGATGATTCGTTACATTACACCATCAGAACTTATTTATAACTACATACACTTAGCTGAAAGCTATTGTTCTAGCTTCCGCGAAGAATCGGCTTGCATGAGTAGTAGGTGAGGCTGGAAAAGGTTATGTTGTAGTTTTCGAGTTGCATCGTATAAGGGAATCATAGATACTACCAAGAGGTACATATGCATTCAATCGACACAGACCTGCAAAATGACATAAGGTTGAACATGGTAAATTTCTTAACACCAAGCAAGGATGAACATGGTTCCACTATGTTGGCATTTGAATCAAAATTGTGCTTTCTCCTAAACTCCAGGACTTATAGTTTGGGATCTTATGTAAAATGGTGGTGTTAGAGATAGCAGTAGCATGTTTGGCTATGAAGCATCAATACACTATTGTTATGATGAGTATTAGAGTAATTAGGTTACCTAGGGTGTCACGTGGATGGAATGAAGATTGAAATCCATGGTAGCAATATAATGAAACACAATTATGGTAGAAAACCTAATAATAACAATAATGATAATTATGGTAGAAACCCTGTTTTCTTAAGGAAAACGTGTTTCTAACATTATGCAGCAACTGAAGAACAGCAAGATAAAGATATCCTGTCAGCTGTTGGCATTGTCTTTACCTTCCAATTGAACCTGTCGGAAAAACTTTCAGTTCACATTCTACAGATAAAAGTAAAAAATTCAACAGGTTGGTCTTTGCTAATTGCTATAACCATAAACCATGTATGTACCTTCCAGAGAAGAAGAGTGTAGAGGATTAATGACGTGATTTGCATTGAGTGGGATTGTGGGTTTAATACCCAAGTTACAACTAATGACTCCTAAAGCTAAGGAGGAGTGCCGAGTGGTGTAGCTATACATCAGGAGAGTCTAACCACCATTATACAATAGTAAATAAACAAAATAAATAAAATAGTTATTTTATATCCTTATCACGCCCCCGCAAGATGGAGGCGGGTTCGACTCCAATCTTGGACCGTAGTAGCTGGAAGCGGGTGATGGGCAGCGGTTTGGTGAGGGAGTCGGCCAACTGATGGGCTGTAGGAATGTGGCGAACATGTAGAGCAGACGCCTGGACTAGCTCGCGGACGAAATGGAAGTCAAGGGCTAGGTGTTTCATTCTGGAGTGGAAGACTGGATTTGCCGAGAAGTGAACAGCGCCGAGGTTGTCGCTGTAGAGGACAGGGGGGTGTGGAGGCGGCTGATGTAGTTCCGAGAGGAGATTCTGGACCCAAAGCATCTCCGCCGTGGCATGTGCAACAGCGCGGTACTCAGCCTCAGTACTCGAACGTGCGACAGATCGCTGTTTCTTGGATTTCCAAGAGATAAGATTGCCGCCGTAGTAAAGCAGATAACCCATGGTGGAAGTGCGGTCGTCTGGATCACCCGCCCAGTCAGAATCGGCAAAGGCAACGAGAGAGGGAGTGGACACTGGAGCAAGGCGAAGACCATGATGCATAGTCCCTTTAAGGTAGCGCAGCAATCGCTTGACGGATTGCCAATGGAGCTGGGACGGGGAGTGCATGAACTGAGAGAGCTTGTTCACCGCGAAAGCAATGTCGGGGCGCGTGCAGAGCAAGTACTGAAGAGAACCCAACGCCTGCTTGTAGAGAGTAGCATCCACAGGAGGAGAACCGTCATTGAGACAAAGAGAAGCAGAGGAGCTTAGCGGCGTGGGAGATGGTTGGGAGTCCTCCATGCGAAACCTGTGAAGAATGTCAGCAATAAACTTGTGTTGGGAGAGCACAAGGCCACCAGCAGAGGGGAGCACCTCTATGCCAAGAAAATAGTTGACAGCACCAAGACGCTTGAGAGAGAAGCGGGCGGCAAGGCGAGCCTGGAAATCAGCAAGAACATGGGAGTCATTGCCGGTGAGCAGGAGATCATCAACGTAGACCAGGAAGTACAGTATGGTGGCATTCTTGTGATACACAAAGAGGGAAGCATCGGAGGTGGTGCAGACAAAGCCTTGTTGTTGAAGGAAGGTGGATAATTCCATGTACCACGAGCGGGGAGCCTGACGAAGACCATATAAAGGCCGAGAGAGACAGCACACATGTTTGGGATGAGCGGGGTCACGGAAACCAGGGGGCTGAGCCATGAAAATCTGTTCCTGGAGAGAGCCTTGCAGAAACGCATTATTAACGTCAAACTGAAATATAGGCCAGCCATGAGTAAGAGCAATAGAAAAGACAGTCCGAATGGTGACGGGTTTGAGCACTGGACTATACGTATCATGATAATCAAGGCCGGGACGTTGAGTGAACCCCTTAGCCACCAGGCGGGCTTTAAAGCGATCAATAGACCCATCGGCATTACGCTTAATGCGAAACACCCAACGACAGCCGACAATGTTGGGACCCAGCGGTCGAGAAACCAACGACCAAGTACCGTTGCGCATTAAGGCCGAAATTTCCTCAATCATGGCAGCCCTCCAACGAGGATCAGCTAGGGCTTCCTGAACAGTAGTGGGTTCAACCTCAAAAGATGATACCTGAACCGAGAAGAGCTTTTTCGGTTTGAAGATGCCATGCTGACTGCGAGTTGCCATCGAGTGAGACCGGCTGGGTGCAACCTTACCCGGCGGAGGCGGAGGACAGTCTTGCCGAGAGGACATAGCCGGCGGGGACGCCGGGGCATCAGCGGCGGTGGACGGACGTGATGAGCCGGCGGACTGCCGGGAAGGGGAAGAGGAACGGGGTGGGGGTGAAGTTGGGTTAGGTGGGGAAGGGATTGAATATGTGAAGATGGGAGGAGTAGAAATGGCGAGCCATGCAGGAGAGGAGTAAGAGGGTGGTGGTGTGTCGACCAGGCCAGGGAAGGAATTCTCGTCAAAATTGACATGGCGGGAGACGAAGACACGTTGGGTAGCAGGATCATAGCATTTGTAGGCGCTTTGGGTGGGAGAGTAGCCGAGAAATAGACAAGGTCGAGATCGAGGGGCGAGTTTATGGGGTGAATAGGGCCGCAACCATGGGTAACAAAGACAGCCAAAGGTTCGAAGCTTAAGATAATTGGCATGTTCAATAAAAAGAGAGAAGTAAGGAGTTAAACCACGCAAAGAGGAAGAAGGGAGGCGATTGATGAGATACGTAGCTGTTTGAAATGCATGAGACCAAAAGGAGAGCAGGAGATTAGCCGTGTGCAGTAGAGCAAGACCAGTCTCGACGACGTGACGGTGCTTACATTCGGCTAACCCATTATGTTGGGGAGTATGAGGCGGGGTGAGCAGGTGGGTGAGGCCTGTAGATTGGAAAAAAGAACATAGCTTCTGGAACTCACCCCCGCCATCACTATACACACGGCGAATGGATGTATGAAAATAATTGGCAATCATTTTTGTGAAGGTAGTGAAGACATGTGAAACGTCATATTTGCGGGACAAAGGATAAAGCCAAGTGTAACGCGTAAAATGATCGACAAGCACTAAATAATAGGAAAAGGAATCAATTGAAACAACCGGGGAAGGACCCCAAACATCCATATAGAGTAAATCGAAAGGGCGAGTGCTGGTCAAAGTGGAAACCGAAAAGGGGAGCTTATGGCTCTTATTGAGTGCACAAGAAACACATGAATGAAAGTGAGAATTGGAAGAGACAGGGAGGGATAGAGTACGAAGCAGACGGGTAAGCAGCCGATGATTGGGATGGCCCAGACGATTGTGCCAAGTGGTAGAGGGAGTTTTGGTGGTGGTCATGGCGAGGCGAACTGGGGAGGCAGCCGCAGGAAGCTCATGCACGTCATCCTTATTCTGGCCGCGAAGAAGAGGCGCCCCCGTGGCTAGGTCCTTCACAACAAAACAATCAGAGAAAAATTCCACCGAAACCGGGTTAGATTTACACAATTGAGCAACCGATAACAAGCGGCGTTTGATAGCCGGAACACAAAGCATATCACGAAGAGATAAACAAGCTGAAGAAGTAGAGATATGAGAATCGCCAATGTGAGAGATCAGCAGACCTGACCCGTCGCCGACTAGAACCTCGTCGGGACCATGATAATCCGTATAGAGAGAGAGATCACCGAGATCGGGAGTGACATGGTTGGTGGCAACGGTGTCGACAAGCCAGTTGGAGGAGGGATAGCCAGCGGTAGTAGTGTGATGCACCTGCGGACGGCCACGAATGCGATAGCATTCCTTGGCCGTGTGACCCTGCTTGTCACAGAATTGGCATAGGAGCGGCGGGCGGCCAAGAAGAGAAGACGCCGATGGAAGGGCAGTCGAGGCAGGAGGGCCGCGAGAAGGAGAGTGGCCACGGGGAGCTGAGTCCGAATAATAGAAGGGACCGGCCATTTGTTGACGACGAGGGCTGCCCCGGCCGCGAGCAGGAGGCGAGGAGCGACCACGACCTGCAGAGAAGGCCGTAGTTGGCGCCGATGAAGAGCGATGACGAATGGCAGCGAGCTTAGCCTCATAGTCAACCAAACGATCATGGAGATCTTCAAGAGCAATCGTGGTATCACGAGCGCGGACGGCAGCAGAGAGATTGTCATACTCCTCGCGAAGGCCGCGGAGAATGTGGAGAATAAGATCTTCATTGGTGACGGGTGCTTGAACAAGAGCAAGTTCAGCGGCGGTTGTGCGCATCACTTGGAGATAGACGGCGACCGGTCGATTGCCCTGAGTCTCGCGAGCAAGCTTCTGCTTGAGGTTCATAACCCTCTGCCGCGATTGACTTGCATACATGCGCTCGAGGATAGTCCAGGCTTCGTGAGAAGATTTGGCAGCGGTGACATAGGGTGTAACCGCAGGGGAGACAGAGGCCAGAATTGAATGAAGAAGAAGCTGGTCTTGCCTGTACCAGCGTGTGTGATCAGCAGGAGGAGCATCAGAAGCCGGTGGAGGATGGGTCCATCAATGAAGCCGAGGAGGGCAAGGCCGCGGAGAAGCGTGAATAATTGCGCATGCCAGGTGGGAAAATTTTCACCAGTCAGTTTTTGTGGAAGCTGAGAGGCGGGATTGAGGGTGATGATGGTGTTTGAATCATCAAGATTGATAACGCTCTCGCCTGAGTGTTGAGACATGGCGGCGGCGAAAGGAGAAAGAGATAGAAGAGGGTAAGGGTTTCACGAGAAGAAGGGTTAAGGAGATCGGAGCGCAGCTCTGATACCATGTAGAGGATTAATGACGTGATTTGCATTGAGTGGGATTGTGGGTTTAATACCCAAGTTACAACTAATGACTCCTAAAGCTAAGGAGGAGTGCCGAGTGGTGTAGCTATACATCAGGAGAGTCTAACCACCATTATACAATAGTAAATAAACAAAATAAATAAAATAGTTATTTTATATCCTTATCAAAGAGGAGGGAAAAGCACATGTGTTATTCCCTTCCCGCATATAAAAGAAAAAAAAAAGAAAAAAAAAACATATCCCCGAAAATTGCCGAGGGATTCGGTTTCCAAACCTCTTACAAAAAAATTAACATGTGGCGGTCTGCTATTGGATAAAGGGGTCGCTGACGTGGAAGCATGTGGTGAACGGAAATTTGAATTGGAGAGGCTGTTTACGGGAAATCACTTATAATATTCTTTAGATGTACGAGCAAGCTAGCAAGCCGACGCCATCAACCATGAGTCAGTTTTCGCGCTCTATGAGGAGCCTAACTCCATTCGCCGGTTGCACAACCAACGCAAATCCTGGGGAGTGGACGTACGAAGGCGAAATCGAGAACCTGAAATTGAGCAGAATCAGAGACAGAATCACTTTGAGCTCCATCATGGCGAAGTGCTGGCCGACGCAGACACGAGGACCGACTCCAAACGGAATGTACGCAGCCTGAGAGCCGCCACTGGTACTGGTAGTAGCACCAAGTATTCCACCAGCAAACCTTTCAGGGTTGAAGAGGTGTGCATCCGGCCCCCATAGCTCGGGATCCTGCTGCACAATCGATATGGGAACTTGAACGTTCATTCCTTTCGGAATCGTTATGTTCTTGAACTTGATGTCTTCCAAAGCTTCCCTCACCACAAACACAGCAGGCGGGTAGAGCCGCAGTGTCTCTTGGATCACCATTGTCAGCTGCCATAAACCAGAAATTTTCAGCACCCAAGTTGTTAGAAGAAAGGGCTCAGGCTCAGGCTCAGGCTCAGGCGCATATGTTACTCACTGTTTTCATGTTTTGGAGAGCAGGAAGGTCCGGAATCTTGTCTTTACAGAGCTGCTGGGCCTCCTGGCGAGCTCTAGATTGCCACTCGGGATGAGCTGCCAGCAACATTAAGGTCCAGGACGCGCTAGTGGCGGTGGTGTCCTGGCCGGCAAAGTAGATTGCTTTGCAGTTATCGACGATGAACTTGTCCAGAGAAGTAACAACATTTGAACTAGTACTGCTGCTGGCATCTTTAGCACCTTCGAGTATCATTTGGAGAAGGTCTCTCTCGGAATCGAGAGCAGCTGCCCTCTGCTTGACTACATCCAAGATCACGGTGTTGATCTCCCTCTCCAATTTCCATATTTTTCTGTTCTTGCTGGTTGGCAAGTGTCTGCACATTCACTGTCAAAAATCCAACATTGCAAGAAAGAACCACTCTGCAAGTTCACTGTCATATGTACACTGATCTTACCTTAAGATGGGGATTCCAGCGTGGCCTTTGGCCAGGACGATCTGAAGCTCTCTAACCTTAGAGAAGATATGCTCCCCTTCCTTGTAATTGCTCCCGAAGCAGGCTCTCGAGATCACATCCGCGGACAAGCTTCTCATGTCCTTGTCTATATTCACATCTGCAACCCCTCCCTCGCAACGATCAATCGCAGCTCCCCAAGATGCCATCACCAAGTTGGTGGACTCCACCATAAGGCTCACCATGCTCTGAGGCCAAAGACATTGTTGAAATCCGTGGATTGTTAAGAAATGTGCCAATTCACGAGCTTACCATCCCGGCTCTTTCTATGGTGATTTACCTTAACCTTGTCAGTGTAGAACTGGGGAGCAATGATCTTGCGCTGATGGGACCAAGTAGGACCGCTGGAGGCGATGATTCCTTGGCCGAACAAAGGCCCGAAATCTCTCGAGAGGTAAGAAGGCCTCCCTAAGCTTAAAGACGTGAAATGGCTGATTTCCTTCACCATCTCTGCGTCTGTTGTGCAGAGTAGCTGTATGGTCCCGGTGGAGTAGACGAAGGTGGAGCCTGCGCCAACCCAAATCAACCATCAGTTGCAATTTTAACTCTGATCAATCAGAAAGAACAAGAAAGTGGAGATTCAAGCCTACCGTATTTCTCTAGCCATAGCCGGAGGTGGGGCAGGAGGACGGATGGCCAATCGTGGTCGATTTCCGGTCGACCGGCGGCGGTTCCGTCAAGACAAAAGGTGGGTTTGGAATTAGCTGTCTGGAGACGAATCCGGTTGATTTCAGGGATGTTGCCCAGCAGAGGATTCGAAGAAGCTAAAGGTCCCTTCACTCCTTGATTCCCCAGTTTCCGTCTCAGCTGCCGCGGCTTCCACATGTAGAAGCTGTAAATGTATGCTAAGAACCCTAAAATCCCCGCCAAAATTGTGCCGGCGACCATCTCTATCGTCATCTTTCTCACTCTTTTGTTTGACTTGTTTTTGACTAATGGAAGTGTTTCACAACTAGGGTTCTCTGCCTAACTAAATCAGGAATGGAGATTCGATTCTCCCCCAACTGAACCTGCAGATTGAAAGTCAGGCATCAAGCCATCAACAAACTATCATAAACAAAAAGAGGAAGGCTTTCCTAATCTAACAACTCATCTTTCCCCTACCCTTTTACAGAACAATCAAACAGAATAAAACCCAGAAAGAGGAACTGATTTAACTGCAGATTCTAATGATAAGAAGCTGGAAAAGCAAGCAGAAACGAGAGAGATCTGTAACGAAAAGGAGATGAACTCAGAAAAAAAGACGCACTTGCTGCTTCTGCTCCTCGCAGTCTGTAGTCTCCAGACGTCACCTTCTTTGAAGGTGGGCGGAAGACCCCATCGCGTCGGTAATGAAAAGGAAGAAAGACGGAAATACGAGACTACTGTAGAATCAGCTGCCGGATGCTGCACTGCTTCTTCCATCATCAGTTCAGTGGCGCCTAAAGTGTAATCAGTAATGTGTAACAGCTGGGCTGGGCATTTGCTTCCAAAATAGTTATGGCCATTTTTTTTATTGAAACCCATTGTCGCCATCTGTTCGTCTACAGTGACGAGTTCGGCTATACCTACTCCTGACCCCGATCCGCCATGGAGATGGAGGTGAGTGAAGTTGGTTTGCTGACCACTTCAGTTGGGATATCCCAGGCTTAATTTGTCCATTACCAATTTCCACGAGAGTTAACAAACATGTGCACCATTGAATTATACGCATACTTTACTGGATTTTAGCGCAGAAGACTCATCGGTTGTCTTATCTAACTGTTCCAATTCGATGAAAATTGTTGTCGACTGCCATTTCATTTTAAAAATGGCATCGTCGAATGCATTACTCGATGAATGACATTTATATTTTTTTGGTATGATCTCGTTTTAAGGTCGATGGTTCTTTTGCACCTTCAACCTACAAAGTTGACTGTAGGGCTGGGAAAACAGACCAGAGCGTTAGAAAAACCGTGGTCCAAACCGTACTGTACAGTTTGGTCCGGACCGTAGACCGTTAAGTATGGTCTGGTCTGGTCCATGGTCTGTATTATTTTATGTTTTGATCTCTTGGTCTGGTCTAGACCGCGGTTCACCGGACCAAACCGTGGACCCAACCGACTTGTCAATACGTGTTAACAGCCCATTTGACCACTCTCCCAACTCCCACAACCACACCCAAGTCTCAACCTTAATTTTGTGAATATCGTCTCTCCTTCATTCACAACCACATTTAACCAGAGAGTAGAGATAATCATGTCTCAATATGACATTATGTAAATGTTTTATGACGTTATAGTGCAAGTTGAGATGTTTTTACTTTAAATCTTTGTTATGTACTAAGAATTAGGGTACCAAAATTATTAATTAATGTTAGGATTAATGTTTTAAGGCAAATAACAATTATTTTTCTTGGTTATTGGTTCAATTTTTTGTGTGGTTGACGAAACAAATTGTTCATTTTTCGTTGAGTGTAGTCTATCTAGACCAGACCAGACCGAACCAAACCGCACAGGCGTGGTTTGGACCGGACTGTATAGTCTGTGGTATGGTCTGTGGTCTATACTTCAGCCTCTTGGTCTGGACCATAGACCATATATATGGTCTGGTCTGGACTAGACCGCACCGTTTCCCAGCCCTAGTTGATTGGGCTAGCAAGTCTCAAATTTAAGATAAAATTCATCCAACTGAATTTGGATTATTGACATCATCTTTCTTTTTATATTTTATTTGTCCTCCCTTCCATTGTACTACAAATTGAATTATTATATTTTTTGAGAATAATTAAATTGGATTTAAAAAAAATTGAATCTTGTGGTAAAAATTCCAATTGTTGTGATTAATTAGTTCTCCAACAATCCCTATAAAAAAAAAAAAATAGTTCTCCAACAATCCACCAAGTCTCCAACCCCTGGTAATAAACGTCTTAGAGGCACTCAATTCCCTCTTCTAGGATTGGGCCTCCAAACATTAGGCCAGAGCCCTTTCGCCTGAGACGGGCCTTCACTCCGGCCCAGAGTCCCTATTTTAATTCGGCCTTGCCGCTATTTTGTTTCTTGGCGGGAACAGGGGAAGCAAGCCAAACAGAGCAGTTATGAAGAATTTGATAATGCGGATTGAGGAAGGAATAAAAACACAAACAACGAGTTTTACGTGGTATCCGACATGAACAAGTCTAATTTATATTGAGTTCGAAAAAGTTCATGACTGACGTTTTATTATAGGACTACCGAATATATTATGACAGCTTATTTATGATAATTTTATAATTAGACTTATATAAAAACAGACGCTACTCGTTAAGATTAAAACCGTAATGACAACTAAGTTTCCTTCTCTTACCGCCACAAGGAAACAAAAACTTTGATAACGAAGAATTAATTATTTAGACTCACTAATTAATATCCGTAACCGTTGAGGAATGAAAGAAGTATTATTTTTTTGGTAGAAAAAGAAGGAAAATTTCTACCAAAAAAAAAAAAGAAAAAGAAGGAATATTTTAGCCAGTTATTTATATATTAAAGTTTTCCTTTGGGGCTTCGACTGCTCTCCCCCCCTACTTCTTTCTCCCTCGAGATTAGGGTTCTTGATTCTCCCTCTATTGTTGAATCAATCTGCCAATTACTTGCCAGAGGACTCTCTGCTGTGATTGTCCCTCTCGCCATCGTCAGCTTTGGTTCTTATCCGGCTCGTCAGCGCCATCTCGTTTTAATTACAAGCTTTGAATTCAGCTTCTCTTCTCCGATTGATTGATTGGTTGGCTGGATAAACCCTAGAAGTATTTTTTTCCGAAGCTTCTTCGTCTGATTCTGTGGTGACCGATGGCTGCTCTAACAGATACTTTCCTTGCAGACCTTGAAGAGTTATCCGACAATGAGCTTGAAACTATCGAAGAAGAAGAAGAAGAAGATGGCGATGTGGCCAACATGGAAGAAGATACTGACGGGGATTTGGCAGGCATCGAAGCTCTCAATTACGACAATCTGGATTCCGTGTCGAAACTCCAGAAGACACAGAGGTACAATGATATCATGCAGAAAGTAGAAGAATCAATGGTGAAAGGTTCGGGGATGGTCTTGGAAGATGATCCCGAATACCAGCTGATTGTGGATTGTAATGCGTTGTCCGCGGACATCGAGAATGAGATTGCTATTATCTGCGATTTTATTCGCGGCAAGTATAGGTTGAGGTTCCCTGAGCTGGAGTCACTTGTGCACCATCCGATTGACTATGCTCGTGTGGTGAAGCGAATTGCCAATGAGTTGGATTCGACACGCGTTGATTTAGAAGGCATTCTGCCCTCGGCTGTCATTATGGTTGTTTCAGTGACTGCATCAACCACAAGTGGTAAACCTCTCCCCGAGGATGTGCTCCAAGAGACTATTGAGGCCTGCGATCGAGCTCTTGCTCTGGATTCTGCAAAGAAGGAGGTTCTTGATTTTGTGGAGAGGAGAATGGGGTACATTGCACCAAATCTTTCTGCTATTGTTGGGAGTGCTGTGGCAGCAAAGCTAATGGGCACCGCTGGTGGTCTCTCTTCGCTAGCCAATATGCCTGCTTGTAGTGTTCAACTTCTTGGAGCTGAAAAGAAAAACCTCGTCGCAGGCTTTTCTACTGCTGCAACATCTCAATTTCGTGTGGGCTATATTGAGCAAGCCGAGATATTTCAGAGCACGCCACCGTCGCTGAGAATGCGTGCTTGCCGATTGTTGGCTTCTAAATCTACGCTTGCAGCCCGTGTAGATTCCACCAGAGGTGACCCTTGTGGAAATGTTGGAAGAAAACTGCGCGAAGAAGTTGGCAAGAAAATTGAGAAGTGGCAAGAGCCGCATCCTGCCAAGCAACCTAAGCCACTTCCAATTCCTGATTCTGGGCCTAAGAAAAAGAGAGGAGGGCGCCGTCTTAGGAAGATGAAGGAGAGATATGCAGTGACAGACGTGCGCAAGCTTGCTGGCAGGATGCCGTTTGGAGTTCCTGAAGAGAGCTCTCTAGGCGATGGGTTAGGTGAAGGTTATGGAATGCTTGGTCAGGCTGGAAGTGGAAAGCTTCGAGTAGCAGCTGGGCAGAGCAAACTCGCCGCAAAAGTTGCTAAGAAATTCAAGGTAAGGCAGTTTGGTAGAGGTGGTGCGACTTCAGGGCTGACGTCGAGCCTTGCATTCACTCCAGTGCAGGGGATCGAGCTGAGCAATCCACAAGCTCGTGCACATCAACTGGGCAGTGGAATCCAAAGTACATACTTCTCCGAGACTGGCACGTTTTCGAGGATCCAGAGGACATGACATGCACAGAGGCGCTGGGTATCAACGTTCAGAATGTGTAAGATGGATCGGAGGCTGAGCTTGAGAGACTTAACAGGAAATCTTTGTTGAGGAATTTAATGACTACCATAGCTATTTCTTCCTAAGGCTTATGTACTGGCCCAGCATGACGAATTTTATGTCACCTCCATAGCTTATCCACATAATTTCTTGTTATGAACATCATCAGCATCATATGACATTGTCCTTTCCTTCAAGCTTCTTACCATATAGATACCATGTCAGCCTCGTCAAGATCTTCGATTAACATTGTCAAGCTAAATGTGTCATATTCGCCATCTAAGTAGGTGTTTGTATAATGTTTGTCATTGAATACGTAATCGATGACCGGTTTCTGTCACTAGTTAGTTGTGTTATAATTCTTATGAGATTCCATTCAGCAGTCAGCTGACATTCTATATCCATGAAAACAGACCATCTCCATGACTCCATCCTCATTAAGAACAAAAGTAAACAGCAGTATGTTCAAAAGTAAAAGAATTGTGTCAGATTTTTTTCTCGTCATGCCATCCCAAAATTCATTTTTGATCTACTTAGAGTAACAGGAGAAATAATGCAATTAAGTGAAGATGTTTGCATGTGTTTATGTAGGTATGTATACATATATCTCTCTCTCATGCAAGCTCTGCAGTTCACCTACCAAGTAAACTGACAAACAACATCAAAAAGAAAAGAATAAAACTCACTACACTTATAAGGTGAGAACTACATCAAGAAGGAGTCCCATTTCTGCAATTTTTACTTGCAGCTTGCCTTATATTCTGTGTCTGTTCTTCCCGTCTACAACTGTACTCAAAGGACACAACAGAACATCTTTGTTTAACCATTTTTTATTCATTTCCTTTGGTGGTTGGTTGGCCTTTTCTTCTTCACTTTTGCTGAGGTGGGTTGTTTCATTTGGTGCAGTTAGCTATTGCTATCACCCTCTTGAGTTCATGTGGGATTGTTTGCTTTTTGTCCCCTTTTAGCTTATTCCCTTCTCACCATTGTTTTGGGATCATTGGTCTTTGGTTTTGCTGACTTGAATGAGGCAGACTTTGTACTTTTTGTGATGTGAAATATTGTCCCCTTTTGGCTCAAAAACTAACTTGCAGACTGAATCCTTCAGTTTTTTGTTTGTTTATGAAGGAGAGGGAGGGAGAAAAGAAGCAAGCAAGAAGAAGAATCATGAACATGGTCCAAAACCTTATGGATAGACTGAGACCTCTTGTGGGGTTTAAAGGCTGGGATTTCTGTGTTCTCTGGAAGTTGAGTGATGACCAAAGGTTGATGCTTTTAATGCCTCTCACCATCTATCTCCCAAATTCCTCAGTCCTTTTCTTGATTCTGATCAGAAAGGAACTGAGCTTTAATTATCTTTTTGTTACTGAAGGTATCTAGAATGGATGGACTGCTGCTGTGGTGGGACAGATCATGAGGCAATTCAAAATGGCGGGGAAGAGCTTCAATTCTCTGCTCTTTCTCCAACCCTTCCTTGTAGGGATGGTATCTTCCACCATCCAAGAACCACTCCTTGTGAACTCCTTTCCCAACTTCCTACTACATTGTCCCTCGACGAATCCGGGTACAATCACTGATCAATAGTAAGACTTTGCATTCATCTTGACTAGGGCTTCTACTTATCTAAGTTCATGAACCAAAACAGGATTCATGCAGAGGCTTTGATCTCTAACGTTCCAAGGTGGTTGAACTTCTCCAACACTTCAGGCCCAACCCTTCTTGAGGTCAGCTTAATTTGTTAGTTTCCCTTCTTCATCTGCATTCTCCTGAGATGGCTAGTTTCTGATTCTGACTGAACTTTTCTACAGCATTTGAATCATTATGCACAGGAAACTGTTGGAACTAGAGCTTTGATTCCTGTACCAGGTGCCCTCATTGAGCTATTTGTTGCTAAACAAGTTAGTAAATATGCTTTCTTTCTTGCTCCTGTAAAATAATATAACCCCCCAATTTTTTCCACCAAGTACACAGTTAATATAGCTATTTCTTGGCTCTCAAGGAAAGGAAGTAAATAGTTTGATGTTGCATTTCCAGGTTCCTCAAGACCAGGAAGTGATAGACATTGTAACTTCACAATACAGCATTCTGATGAGTCATCAGGAAGCAATGGCATCAGCAAATTTCATGATGAACACTAAACAAAATCACGAGCACCAGAAAGATCATGATCATGATCATCACCAAATCATCGACATGAACCACTTCCATCCACCGCCAATCTCTCCAGCAACAGCATTGGAGACCTTAAACCTGTCATCATCCTATGACCTGTCATCATCAGTTGATAGAATCCGCGGGCTGTGTAGTAGTAGCTCTCCCATGAACTTGCTCCAGCACTTCAGCTACACCAATGACGATGACAACAGAACAACAAAGAGCAATGGTGGCATGTTCTTTGAAGGTGAATATCAGAATTGTGGCGGTATTAACAGTAATAACTGCAACAACAGCAATAAGTTTCATCAATATCACCAGGAAGAAGCTGAGTTTGGTGAGTCATTACTAGCAGGAAAGGAGCAACAAGGGAACAACAATGACAAGGACTCAATCAAGCAAGATATGAATGGGAGATCAGATTCAGTCTCGGATTGCAGTGATCAGAATGGTGAAGATGATCAGCACCAGCAGCAGTTTGGTGGTAGCAAGTTTAGGAGGAAGAATGGGAAGCCTGAAGCCAAGAACCTTCAAGCTGAGAGAAGGAGAAGGAACAGGCTTAATGGGAGGCTCTATGATCTTAGAGCCTTGGTTCCCATGATCTCCGACGTAAATTAACAATGTCCACTCCTCCATCATCTTCTAAATCCTCTGCTCTTAACCCACTAATGCGGTTCCTTACAATGCAGCTGAAGAAGGCATCTATAATTGGAGACGCAATCGAGTTTGTAAAGGAGTTGAAGAGGCAAGCCAAGGAGCTTGAAGAAGAACTTGAAGCTAACTCAGATGATGATGAGATGTCAAGAAGAAACAACAGCTGCCACAACAACAATAATAACAACAACAACATCAGCAGCAGCAGTTTGGGTGCTCAAGATGGAACGAGCGAGGCGGGAGATGTTGGGATTCCAAGCTTGGTGAATGTAGTAGGGAATCAGGATTGGGAAACAAGCAACTGCAATGAGAAAGGGCAGCAGCATCAGCAGCAAATGGAGGTGCAAGTGGAAGTGGCACAAATTGATGGGAATGGTTTCTTTGTGAAGGTGTTCTGTGAGCACAGGCCAGGTGGGATTGTGAGGTTGCTAGAGGCACTGGATTCCCTTGGTCTAGAAGTCACCAATGCCAATGTGACCAGCTGCAAATCCCTTGTCTCCAATGTTTTCCGGGTTCAGGTAAAACTGCGATAAGCTACATAAACATACATAATTCGCACACGCGACATCTGCAGATTGAGAAAAAAAGACCAAATCTTTTGTGTTCCCTTTTTGTCCTGGACAGAAGAAGGACAGTGAGATGGTTCAAGCAGACTATGTGAGGGATTCTTTACTGGAGCTCACAAGAGAACCACCGCCAAGAACATGGAGTGAAGTTCACCATCGTCATCGGGTAAATGGTGTCAATTCTTCTGAGAATGGCAATGGGATGATAATGGACCATGATCATCCCATTAATGATCATCATCACAACCAATTACTTGTGCTGCAGAATGGCGCCGGCAATCTGATGGACTCCAACCAGCATTACCTCCACCTCCTCCACGGTTGATCCATGGTTCGATGGTTAAGTTAGTTGACAGTTAATTGTGGCAAAAGTCCTTAAAGTTTTGGATAAATCATAGATAGATCAAAATGTGGCTAGTAGTACTCATGACTTGTTCAATTTTGGAACTAACTGTTAGTGTTGTGGTATATGATCCACGATTGAACATCTCCCAACAACTCGAGTTATTGAGAGCAACTGGTTCTTGACATGGTACAGAATCTTCTGTGACCGAGAGGTCTTGTGTTCGATTCCCGGTGACCCCCATTTGTTAAGCACATGGTATTCTTGTCTTCAGACCTGTGCAAACTTCAAGGCCTTCTGAGTGGCTTTCGTTTGAGGGGGCGTGTTAGTGTTGTGGTCCTTCTGAGTGCCCTTATGAGTGGCTTTCGTTTGAGGGGGCGTGTTAGTGTTGTGGTATATGATCCACAATTGAACCTCCCAACAACGCGAGTTATTGGGAGCAACTGATTCTTGACACTAACAACTTTAGTTGCAGGATTGATCATTAGAAACGAGTTTCTTTTTCACTTATGACACAAAGTACGCAAATTTCTTGACAAAAACCACGATGAAGGTTCAATCTTTATGATCTTTTTAACGTTTATGTAGTAATACAATGAATCAATATCCAATGGAAGAAGAAGAAAAAAAAAACGAAATCTAAATCGTAATGAAGATTCAAAACCCATCTCAGAAAAATTATTATGCCCCATCCAATCAAAACATTCTCAACATGGAGAAATCAGCATTTTTCCAGAAGTAATCAAGCATCACTTCCAAATGCATGCAAGGACAAGTATCATGTAGATGAACAAGCTACAATATCTCCCCAAGGAGTATTTAATCATGTTGGAAGCACCAAAGCTAGCGCTGCTGCTGCTGCTGCCGCCGGTGGATGAATCGCCGGTGCCTGCAGCTGGCTGTTGTTGTTGTTGTGCCACTTGAATTGCCAGTCTCATTCCTCCAAAGCAATGGCCATCAATTTCGCAAATGAACCAGTATTTCCTGGCTTCCTTCAGCTCTATCTGGTCGTCCCCAGTTTGGTACTTGGCTAGCACTCCATCGCTCGCAGTCGCATTGCACGACTGATACACTTCCTTTGTCACCTCGTACACATTGTGCTCCGATCTCGAGTACTTGAACTCTGCGATTAAATCGGTTTCAACAGTAACTAAATCATAATCTCTTGACATGTTAATTAGATTTGACCGAGTTAAATAGAGAGTTTGGAAGGCAATAGCAATCGGATCAGATCACCTATAAGCTTCAGTGAAGACGTGGGTCATCAATTGCAAAGTTTAATGATCATATATCGTAAGAGAAACAAGTGATTATGAGTGTTGATTAAGGTTTCTTGGCTAGCAAGCTAGCTCGGGGTGGCGTGCGTACCAAGAATGTCGCCGACGGTGAAGTTGTGGCTATCTGTCCAAGAGCCATAGTTGACCTGCATATTCCACCTACTCTCATCTCCAACCGTGAAGACCTCCGACGCTGTCAGAACGAAAGCGTTGAAGAAGACGACGACGAAGAAGAAGAAGAAGAAGAAGCAAAGGGTGCAGCTTCGAGATCCGATCGTCGTCATCCTCTGCGGCCAAATGGATTGGGAGCAGAAGAAACAGAGGAGGAGGAGAAGAAGAAGGCTGTCTAAAGTTGTGTGTAAGGAACTGTATATATACAACCACTGGGTCTGAGAGCCGAATTCGTCACTAAAAGTTAATTAGTAAGTGACAATGACGGTCGATTATATTATGGCGACGTAAAGTTGAATGTTTCTCTTTTCTCTCTGTTTTTGTTTGCACAGTTTAATTGCCTCTTCTCTGTTTCATTTATTTATTGCCTAGCTGATTACCTTGTTGTCAACTGTGTTTATAAGGACGGCATGCCTCGAAGCCATCCATCTGCGTCATTATCAGACCTGGATTAAAGTTAAGGAACAAGAAAACAGAAAAGAGGAGGAACAAGCAAGGTTGATCATAGTTAATTAATAATATGCTCTTCCGCCTGCCCCCATCGTAATTAGTCACGGATTATCATGAATTGATGCCATACCTTTAGTAACGGTTTTTATGGCTTTTTCGACAAAGCAAAGTGGCAAAGAGGACGACTTTGCTTGATTAACCGGCCAGTTAATGCAGATGATTTGTTCTAATGTACAGAGTCAATCAACCAATTCAGACAATCAAAACTGTGGACTTCCATTATAACGAGGGCTGGAAAAGGTTCGCAACAAACACAATAGAAGAACAGAGTAACAATGTTCAGTATCAATTCCTTCCAAGAAAAAGGAGAGAGAAAAAAAAAACAAGACAAAGGAGAGGTCTCTCTATGAGAGTACCTGGATAAGAGTATATAACAGAAACTCATACAATTAAGTTATGAAACAAAGCACAGGGTCTGCTAATAAATAATAATGCACTCTACTAATCTCTCTGTTGTCTCTCAAAAATCCATCGGCAAAACTTCAGTGGTCTCGATTCAGTTCTCCTCGGCGGCGGTGCCATTCTCGTCCTGCTTCCCATTCTCATGCTCAGTAGAATCTGAATGTCCATTCTCGACTCCGTTCTCCACCGTCTCGGCACTGCAGACCACATAAGCAAAACCTCAAGTCAGAATTATGAAGAACAGGCCACATAAGAATAGCGTAATGGATAAGCTATTGTGATCTGAAATTGGGTACATAATGGTTGTTTGGAGTTCAATGTGGGTTGTCCTGGTGGATAAGAGAACAGATCATCCATAAACCCGTCCGAAAAGACAAATACAAGCTCATTGAGCAATGGAGGTACAGCAATTGCCAGACTACTTTCACTAGACAAACAGATCAATAAGATTTGCAGCTCCCTGGATATAGAAAAACTGCAGCACTTAAATGAGCCGAACTCGTACAATGCAATGCATTTAACTGGACATGAGATGGAGTAAAGCTCAACAGTTATCCAAACCCAACAACACTTCACTAGAGTGTGCACCGTTAACTTCCAATAACCAAATGCAATGACCATTCTTAGCTAATCAATCCACAGTAGTACCATTATACTTAAATTAGCTTTCGTACACAACCATGTCAAGGCAAGACTCGGAAACCAGGGAAATTCCAGGGTTGAAAGAGAGACCCTGGAGGGCAGTCAATACCGCAAGCACAGCTTACAAAACATCCATGAATGTCGAGAAGGCATAATCATCATATGGCTCCTGAAGTGTCCTAACTACCGAGCTAACAAAGCCAAAAATGACACCATTCTCTTTGAAAGACTCAAAATTTCATCAGGATACATGAGATTAAGACAATAAGTTTCAGAAGCTTATAGCACATCAATCCACAAAACTTTCAGATGACAAACAAATATACATAGTCCATCTCATGAAGTGTACAAGATACAATAAAGAATCAAACTTTCTGAAAAAACAGATCAATGCAAGAATGCTCATGAAGCAAACCTCTGAGGCCGAGAACCGAAATCGACTGAATCGGGCTTCCTCCAGCTCCTCTCCACAGTTTCACCAGAGCCTACACGACCAAAGCTCCACCTCGAAGTCTTATCCAATTTTTCCACCTTATCCTCTTCATTCTTAATGTTGAGCTTCATGCTCTCCAACTTCTCATCAATCTCCTTCCAATCCTGCCCCTTCTCCGCCAAAACCTCCTCTCTCGGCCTAGCACTCCCAAACGGATTCGAACTCCTTGGCTTCACAACCAATTCATTCTCATCACTCACAGGGGCAGCCCGTGGCGGCTGCAAAACCTCATCTCTCGGCTTAGCATCCCCAAATGGACTCGACCCCTTGGGCTTAGCCGCCGATTCATTGTCATTACTCACAGGGACAGTCCTCGGCTGCAACACCAGCTTCGGCCGAGCAGTCACGGCCCCTGATCCATCTCCTTCCTCCCTCCTCCTCCCCCAGGTTTCAGAATCTGCAGACCCACCACCGTTAACGGAGCCCTGTCTATCTCGTGAGATAGAATCGAAGCTACCTCTTCGCTCAAATCCTCCGCCGCCGAATTTCCTCGGCTCAACTGCCGGCTTATTGGACACCCAGCTACTAGCCTCGTCGGCTTTCGATTGAGAATCGAAGAACGACGAGCCCCTATCCCTGTCCCTATCCCTCCTGTCGAACCCGTTCCCATTCATCACCGCCGGCGATTTCTTCGCCTTCGACCAGTCATCGTCCTCATCCGCGCGCGACGGACCCAAGGGTTCCCTTTCTCTGCTCGAATCCCTATCCCTAGGGCCAGAAGACCTAGAATTAGTATCCCTGCCCCAGCGCGAATTAGACGAATCCTCGCCGCTCCGGTAACTGTTCATACCGTAGGATCTGAACCCGCCGCCGCGAATCTGGTCGAGCTCCTCCGCCGAGCGCTCGCGTGGGCCCTTGGGGAGCGCCGCGGTCGTCAATTCGGGGTCGGCGTACTTACCTGCCTGGTACAAGGCCAGGGGAATGGCTGTCGTCTTCTTCTTCTTCTTCTTGGCCTGCTTCAGATCGGCGGCGGCGGCGGCCAGGGAAGGGAAATCGGCCGTGGCCTCTTTAATCGTCGCCTGTTGTTGTTGTTGTAGCACCTCCTGCTGCTCGAGCTCGGCCTCGTGTTCCTCGGCGTCCAGAGCCCACGCGCCGGGCTTGGCCCAGGGAGATGAAACGGTCGCCGCCATGGTTGGTTGTGGAGCTCCTTTCCTCTTCTTCTTCTTCTTCGCTGTTTGGTTGCGTCTGTCTGTGTGTTTTGTGAACTGTCTCCTCGCGTTTGCGTTACTTCTCAGCCGGGGGAAACTGAAACGGGTGGGTTATATAAACGGGTAGGGCTGTTGATTCCATCCGACGGTGGAGAATGGGCTTCCAAGATTCTCGTAGGAAGCGACGGTGGAGATCGCTCGGTGGGATTTATTCCTTTCCCAACGGCAACAGGAATACATCATACACAGCTTAGCTCAAAAGGAAAAAGGTTAGCCACTGCGATATGATTCCCCACTTTCTGCTTTGATAACACTGATTTTTTATAACAAAAATCAAATCGACTATTTTTTTTTTTTTGCATATTCCATTCCTAATAATTAGTGTCCATAAAATAATTAAGAAGAAAAAAAATGATGATAGCTAATTTTAGGTGATTAAAAAGGTAATTGTTGGAGACTAAAAGTTCAATTCGAAAAGAAAAACGATTAGAAAATGATTTAGCGTTAATCCTTGTGGCTTTTTCTATTACGGTTAAGTTTAACATTTCCAATTAGTATCTTCAGAAGCAAGAAATACTTTTCCACTGAACCCTTCAGGTCAACCTCGAAAGATGAACGATTATTGGAGCTAAAAGAAATAAGAATTAGGATTCAGGAAGATGGTTTTGCACAAGAGTTCGACCATTATTCTGCAACTTCCAACAAACTTACAATCGCTATCCTTGTCATCTAACATGTGTTTGCCTTTCCATTAGGAAATGCGTCTTACACTCATGTTTACCGTGAAAACAACTTTGTTGCGAAATATCTAATTCGAGGTCATTGCTACGTTTGATTGGCACCAGGGTTTTCTACCTTAACAAATCAAGTCAACCAAAAACCAAACTCTTAATGGAAACTAGAAGGGAAAAAAAAAACTGAAACCGAAGACACAAGTTACTGAACTTTCAAAGAAAAAGCATTTCTCAAGTCGCATCAAGTGCAGATAAGCAACCAGTATCTGCTACGTTTTGTTTTAGAAAACATCCTGGAAAGGTATAAGAATAAAATAATGCAATTGAGGCATATATCCTTTGACCTTTGTTGCTTGCATTCCACGCAATTCAAGGCTCTTAACCAAGTAATTTCATCTCAAACCTTGCAAACTTGTAGTTAACTGTTCCTTTCAAATATGCTTCAGAAAACATACAACTAAGACTAAATAATGAGCTCTAAAACTACAGAGGCAAAGAATAGAAAAGGAATCAAAACAACTCTCCATGGTAAATAGAAGCAAGCCAGCCAGCCAGCCCAAAACTACTGCACAAGAATGATCACTGTACCTACAACAATATGGTTCGAGATGAGAAGCTGATGTAGGTCGACCTTTGTTTCCTGGAACCAACATGCGCCATTGCACGAGCCAGGCTGTTCATTCCTGGTTGATCCAAGCCAGCTCCTCATCAAAAGGGGATGAAAACATTATCCACAGCTTTGCATATCCAAGGTATTCACATGAGAAAAATCTTGCAGCAGAAGAATGAAGATCTCCTCTGGCACTCAATTGTGGTTTGAATGTTGCATCCAATAATTTCATAGTGCTCGAATCGAGATTGGTGATTAGAAGTAGTATTATCGTTCTTCGGATTCGTGAATGTTGAGTAAATGCTCCCCTTCCAGGTTCTTGAACGAATCCCCTCTGACATACCATGTTACTGTCCCTGCAACGACAAGGTGTAATGGCCAGGTTAGCCTGAAAGGCAATTACAGATTATCGAAACAGTAACCCAATAAGACATCTACCTCGGGAAGGAGGAGGTTCTTGATCTCTCGTTGAGTGAAGTATAATAGTACCAGTAAGAACAGTAATAAACCCGCATATCTCAGATGCTATGCTGCTGGCATCTTGACCTTTCCAGTCCTGCTCATATATAAATGAATAGAAATATTAGTTAAATCCTGGTAGTATTAATGCAAATCATTTTAGCTGAAAAAATCAGCACCAGCAAAATGGAGGTTGAGAAGTTTACCTTGAACATTATAGCGCTAGCAACAATGGTCAGAGTTGTGAACATGACATAGTATACTGGAGAAACAACTGCTGCATTATACGTATCTAGTGCCTGCAACATTGACAAGATAATAGAAAATGGCCAGTAACTAACTTGCTCCATTCAGTACAAAATAAGTTACAAATCAACTTTACAAAGCAATGATTCGGCCACACCAAATGGGAAAGGAAAACCAGGGGTAGATTGCTCCGCAGCTGGAAACAAAGCTACACATTGAAACCCTGAACTTGAAATTGCAAATTTACTACTAAGATTGAAATGTTCCAACATTCTTGGAGATTGCAACATCATGTTACTCTGCTATAAATTTTATCTGCCTACTCGCGTTCATCCGATACAAATAATACCCAAAACTGCCCTTAACACTATGTAGAATGGGTCTTCAGGTTTCCAACATTTTCAACTCCCTTTGTTATAGTCTTATAGATAAGAGTAGGTGGGTGAAACCATCTATTGACTTCATGAAAACGGAATACATGCTGCTGTAAGAAATCAAAGTACCCTCCTTAGTACCTCAAGTAAACTTATGGCCCAGCATAAATCTGACACTAATTGTTTGTAACTCTGTATCACATTATAGGTATGGTCAATGCTGTAAAAGAGTCTGCACAATACTAATAGGGGCTGGTTCAAAACTTATGATGCAGGAATCAGATCATCTTGAAAGTCCCCAGTTGGAAAAACAAAATTGAATCTTTATTATTATTGCAAAAGAAAATGTCCCAGAGATCATAGAAGACGACCACATGACAGGAGACTGTTCCAATTGTAGCAAAATAAACAAATTTAGCAGTCGTTTATCACACAACTCAAACAGAGGGAATAAAGTTCGACTCGAAGGCCTTATGCAACAACAAAAGGAGAGGTACGGGACAAACGCAAACTTACCTTGTTCAAATAATTTAACTGTGTGACGACACATATTGCTGCTACTGTGAGGAACAACCAAGTCTGAGGATAAGCAATCTGATTTATCCCATCTAGTGTTAGTTTAATAGCTATTCCAATTGCCTTGATGCTGACAACCTGGGGAAATAAAATAAAAAAAAGAGAGGTCATGCAATAAATAGAATGTGAAGATGCCATTACAGTTCAGGAATTGAACTAGAGCGCAAGTAATTACAGTGATCGAGCCCATCAAGGAGCATATTCCTAAGTAGACCAACATGTTTGTTTGACCAAATCGGGGTTCGAAGTGTAAAACCAAAGCTAACACTGTTGAGATTGTAGCAGCTACATATATCAAAAAAGCTGCAAAAAGGAGTGAAGAGCTCAAGTAACAGGTAATCATGGAAAGCAAATAAGAGAGTACAAAGTGAGTGAGCGCTCACCTGGCTGAGTTGCCAGGTTCCATACTTCTTCTACAGAATTTAAAGGTTGCTCTTGAGGTGCATGAAGAACGATTACTACTGATCCAACAATGCATGAAACGCAGCCAAGAACGCCCATTCTAGGCAGTCTTTCATTCAGCATAAAATGAGCTAAAATTGCACTATCGAATTTGTAAGAGCTGGTCAGTAACAAGATAATGATTACAATTTACAACACTATTAGAGACGAGCAACAATATTAGGAGATATCTCATTCACCTGATTATTATACTTAGTGCCCCAAGGGGAGTCACTAGAACAGCAGGAGCATAAACGTAAGCCACAAAATTTGCAACCTCCCCAAGAATCACTGTTGAATGAAAGTCGAAATTAATTGTCAATTATCCATTTCACGCCGAGTCAGTGACATGAGTCTGAGAGTGAATATGAGCATGTGACTGTGTGAATATCTGAGTAAGGGAAAAAGAGGGGTCGAGTGAAAGATAACTACACTTACTGGTAACCATGCCAACCCACCATAGTGGCTCTAGTAAATAAGTATAACCTCCAACTCCTGCATTATTCAGGAGGAACAACGCATTAGAAATGATCTTGAAATTCAATGATGTTGTCCTGAGCTGTAAAACGGCAACTTTCTAGCACCGAGCACCTAATTTGAAGGCCGGTTGACAACTCCATAGACTTGGAATAACCCATTAAAGGAAAGTGGCCATGTGAAAAATCCCATTGAGGCTATCCTAATCAATGTGTCTCCCCTTAACCAGTTCTCATCATATCAACATTTCGAAACACTCCTAAGTTCAACAGATATTAACCCAACACAAGCATTAAAAGCTTGTAGGACTGTGTATCCTCAGAAACGATACATTCTACTTTGCCATCTGCAATGTGAGACCAAAAAGAGGAAGAAAAACACTTCAAGTCTAGTCTTGAACCACAGGAATCCCACTCATGGTTGCAGACCTGCGCAGAATCGACATTGAGACTACAAAAATGGGAACCGGGGGCCGGGGGCATAGTTAAGTTTCCTCATTGAAACTTCTCAGAAAACGACTACGAGCATATTAGAATCGCAACTTGACAAGGTTTTGATCAAGGTTTTCCACTAGTTCGAGAAACAAACAAGATCAGGGCGAGCTGATACTCCAAACCCATGGAAAGAAGAAGTCAAATTGCCAGAGAGAAAGGGAAGCAAACAGACCTGCACGAGTGCCGGAAGCACCAGCTCGCTTGAGGCCTTTCTTTTTCAGGATGAAGCTAGAACCGATAAACGCGTTGGACGCCACTGCCAATATCAGCCCCGTCGTATTCTCCGAAACTCCCATCTTTCGTCCGCCTCCCGTTTTACATAAACACAGACAGTGGCGGCAGCAGAGAAGCGGTGCGGTGGAGGCGGCGGCGGCGGCGGCGGCGGCGGCGTACTATCTAGCCCTAGAATTCAATTCGATCGCAGGAACTTTGACGGATTCCAGCCTTCCGTGGAGATCAAAGAAAAAAAATAGAGAGAAGAAACTCGGCCGATTTCCCGCCAAAATGCAAAACGACAAACCACAGAAGGTGATGCCAATCAGAACGGCGCAGATGTGCTCTCTCCCTCCGACGCGGCGGAGACAACCGGGAAGCTCTGAGACAGTTCGGAAGTCAGCTGATTTGAGTTCCCGTCGTTCGCTGAGTCGTCGGATATCTGGATCAGGGGAATGAGAATGAATGACAGAAGAGAGAGGAGGTTAAGCAATTATCCAGTGTTTCGCAGGAACGAGAAGTGACTCTACACCCGGTGATGGCAGCCGCTTAACGACTTGTTGATCTTAAGTTCAGCCATTATGTCCGTCCGATTTCGATATGTCCAAAAAAACTACAGATTTTTTTTTTTAATGGTGTGAGGATTGAGGAACCGTGTAATCTGGCCTTTCTGCCTATTGGCTCGCTGAAAAGGTCACAATAAAATATAATTTAAACTTTTTTTTATAATAATTTCGTGGCGGGCGAGCGGTAAGATGACAATTGGCGGGTTGGTTCAGGGTTCACGTTACCGTAATGCCCTTCACTCATGAATATTCTCCAGTTACTAGGGATGACAAAAATGTCCGTAACCGTAGATATCCATCCGAATCCAACCTAATTGGGTAGGGTAAAACCCGAATTCGAATAACTTTTAGTGGGTACGGGTAAAACCCGAACCCGAATATTGCGGGTAATTGGTGGACATGGTTTTCTCACTATCCAACTCGAACCCGCCCGATTATACCCATGATATGTATTTTGTCTAGAAATAATCAATATTTTTCTCTAAAATATTTTATATTTATCATATAAATATAAATATTTTATGAAATTGTGTTATTTTAATTAATTTTCTTCATTCTAGTGAATTATTGTCGTACTTTTCATCTTATGTAACGTGAGAATACGTGTAAATATTAACATATTGGTTGGAGTTATAATAAAAACTTTTACCCATGGATAACTGTGGATACCCGAAACCCGAACGGATATGGACATGGTTTGGATTTTCTACCCGTTTTTTATGTGGGTATGGACATGAGTAAAACCCGAATTACTTTGAGTAGGATAATGGATATGCACTATCCGTCCCCGACCCTACCATTGCCATCCCTACCGGTTACCGTAATTATTTCAATAATGCATAATTTTGGCCCAGAAAGACACGTCAGCAAGTTAAGCGGGTTTAGAACTTTAGTTCGCTTCTCGCTCCTTCCTGCAAAACAGTGGATCACTGCTAACCTACGCCTCTCTCGTCGTCTTGTCTTCTCTCGAATTTCCTGGAAACCGGAAATTTCCGACGACTCCGCGACGGAGACTGAAATCCGCTGACTATCACACCCTTCAAGCTTCCCCTCTGGCTCTCGCGCCACCGCGCCTGGGGAAATCAAACCTTCCGCCTCGTTCTGATTGGCTTGGCCTTGGGATTTGTCGTTTTGCCTTCAGGCGGGAAATTGATCGCGCTTCTTTTTCTCTACTTCAACCACCACGGATGGGCGAATCCATTCGGTTGGGAAATTGTGGCGATCGAATTGGATTTTAGGTCAAGATACGCCGCTGCCGCTGCCGCCGCCTCCGCTGCTGCTGTCGGTGTGTGTATGTGAGACGGGGCGGAGAAAGAAAGATGGGAGTTTCGGACAATGCGAAGGGGCTGATACTGGCTGTGGCGTCCAGCGCGTTTATCGGTTCGAGCTTCATCCTGAAGAAGAAAGGGCTCAGCCGAGCTGGTATTGCCGGTACGCGTGCAGGTGTGTCACTACTTTCGTTTCTCTTATGTCATTTTGATTTTTTGGCTGCCTGGGAAACTCGGAATTCCTGAGTAATTGTGAAGATCGCATGGTTGGTATTTCGGTTGTCTATCCGGAACTGAGAGAGGAGCTTGCTTAGAATTCAAATTGCAATGCTCTTCTGCCAGTAGTGGATATCTGGGACGGGGTGGGGGAATTGCAAAGACAGAACTATGTGTCTATGCCCTCATTTTTTTTCATTTCATGTTGATCATTTTGCTCTGCTCTGCAACCATGACCTATTTCCTGTGGTGGAACTGCTTGTTTGTACTCTTTGTCTCGCTTTGTGGCGCTGCCGATGTTGCTGAGATGGATTGATATATGCTGCCTTTGACACTGTATTTCCTCCAAAACTTTGGTATGACGAGAGCTTATTGAAGGAAGATATATTGGTCCTTCAGTGGCATCTGCCACTTACCCACTTAACTTTAATGGGTTTTCCAAATCTATGGAATTGTTAATAGTTCCTGAGAGTAAGGCATTGAGCATTAGGAGTGTCGCAGGTGTCAGTAAAAGTGAATGCCATTGATTCTCATGTACAAGGAGTTAAGGACTATACTTATTTACTAGAGCCTCCAGATCGAGCATTAGGAGTGTCCCGGCTGTCAGCAAAAGCAAACACCATTGATTCTCAAGATTATTTTTCTCATGTGTTATTTCTCCTGAACAATGCAGGAGCTGGAGGTTTTACCTATTTACTAGAGCCGCTATGGTGGGCTGGCATGATTACCAGTAAGTGCAGGAATCTCTTACTTGCTCCCTCTCCCTCTCTCGCACTCACCCTAGAACACACACGCAAATGGTTGATGATTCATTTAAGCTTACATGTGAGCAGTGATTGTTGGTGAGATTGCAAATTGCATGGCTTACGTCTATGCTCCTGCTGTTCTAGTAACTCCCCTTGGGGCATTAAGTATAATTATCAGGTGAATGACATCTCTGAATTTTCTTGTTAGTGTATGATATTGACTCAGCCGTTATCTTGCAACTGATGTTTTTATTCAAATTCAATAGTGCAATTTTAGCACACTTCATGCTGAACGAGCGATTACAAAGGATGGGAGTTGTTGGCTGTGTTTCATGCATTGTTGGGTCAGTAGTAATTGTTCTCCATGCACCTCAAGAGCGAACTCCAAGTTCTGTAGAAGAAGTATGGAATTTAGCAACTCAGCCAGGTGGATATTCAATCACTTTTTTGTTACTATCCTACTTTTTTCTACTGTTACTCATTACTTTAGCTTTCTCTTCTTTTGCAGCTTTTCTGATGTATGTGGTTGTTACAGTCGCAGCAGTGTTAACTTTGGTTTTACACTTTGAACCACGATCTGGTCAGACAAACATGTTGGTCTACTTAGGAATATGCTCCTTGATGGGGTCAATCACTGTAATTGCTCGCTCTCGGTTTAGGTCTTCATTTGGAATTATTTACTGGGCTATTGTGGCATCTTGAAGGTGTATTTACTGCATACCTGGGCCTTTTTCTTTCCCCAGGTTGTCAGCATCAAGGCCATCGGAATAGCTATAAAACTTACAATAGATGGAATAAATCAGATTACTTATCCTCAAACATGGTTTTTCCTCATGGTAGCGGGAATATGTGTCATTACACAGTTAATTTATTTGAACAAGGTGAAGTTACTTCTGTCCTATTCCACTTCTTTTATGTTCTGCTCCTCTTCAGATATGGCTTTTGGCTTTATATTTATTCCCTCTGTTTGATTTGCTGGATCAATGACTGCTAACTTGCTTGGCTTTTGTTAGTATTGGATAGGTCTCCTGGCATGTAGTGGTCAGGTGTGGTCCTTGGGCCATTTTCTTTGGCAATAAGATTTTAACTTTCAGTTTTGTCTATCCAAGTTGAGTTTGCAATAGGATCAAAAGATTTATAATTCATACACTAGAAGTTCTTAGCTGCTATGTACTCTGTAGAACGACATAGACTCTTTGGTATGATCAACAATCTGTTGTCTTGTGTGACGTAAACATTTAATTATGTTGATAAGCGATACGATTTAGGTTTTGGATGGTTGCCAGAAATTGTTAATTTTGGCCCAACTTGACAGTCAAGTCTTGACTAGTTACTAAGTAGGGTACTTAGTGCAGCAGCATGTATTCTGTTCCCACGAGTTCGTGAAAATATTTAGCCCACCAACTGGTACCCGGTCCTATTGGCAGTTCGTTCAAAATCACAGTAAGCTAAAAGGTGATAGGTGCAATTTTGAAGAAATATTTATATGTTTGATGAATACAGGTAGATAATTATTACTGAACAGATACTTCATGGTGCAATCTTTGTAGTTAATCTACTTAATCAAATTCGGGAATACCATACGAAATTTGGTTTTCAGCTGCAGAAGACACTTGCTAATATACTGTTGCATCATGATCTTTGTTTTCCTAGTTATTATCTTTTAAGAAAATATACTATGGTAGCTGCTCTTCTTTTGCCTCACTAGGATAGATTCCCACGATCAATTGCTTTATGATGTTGATTATTAGCTTATTTTCACCTGAATGATTGCAGGCGCTGGATACGTTTAATGCAACACTTATTTCTCCGGTGTACTATGTAATGTTCACAACTCTCACTATTGTTGCCAGCGCTATAATGTATAAGGTAACCTGCTCGACACACATATTGTCCCTGCTGGTTCTTTCAAATTATTTCAGCTAAAAGCATCTGAATTAACATATCATGAACTAATAGGTTCTCTTACATATTATCTGACCAGGATTGGGCGGGCCAAGATGCCGCCAGCATAGCATCCGAGATATGTGGGTTTATCACTGTCCTTTCAGGAACTATCATACTTCACTCAACAAGAGATCAGGAACCTCATCCTTCATCTCGAGGTAAGATGTCTTGGCCTGTTGCTGTTCTGGTATTTCCAATTGTCTGAGCATACGAATAGGTACTACTTGAATGAGTTCATTTGGCCGTGCTTGATCGTTGTGTTGATCTCCTTACCGTCACCGAGTGATCATGTTACCGACTCCCTCCCTCCCTCAAGAGGCAGTCTGCACTTGCTTATTGTATTACCTTTGTCGTTGCAGGAACCGTGACATGGTATGTCAGAAGCGACTCATTGAAGAACCTAGATGAGGAACATCTACTCAACATTCTTGAAAACGGACCACAATAAGCACTACGATCACGACTCTTTGGATCGACATTCAAACATTGATTCGCAAGCCAGGAGATACGTTCGATCGTCTGGGAGCATAGTGTATGATAGTTCGCTCTCTTTGACGAGTCGTGTAAAGAGCCCTGATCTCGGGCCAACCCGAAGAGCAGACATACTGAACTCGTACTCGTTGGAGATCTCGCCCGTCGCCGAATACCAGACCATCTCAGATGTATTTGTACGAGCGATAGTGTGATACACTGATAATGGTGGGCGAGGTTGGCATTGGCAGGGCTTCTAGTTCTATCATTGGCCTTTCAAGGGTGTTATTTGATTCCTTTTTTTGATTCTTTATACCTGTATTAGGTTGTATCATTTGTTAGTTGTAGTTACTAATAGCTAGCTTATTATCTTAATGGCTCATTGCTTTTGATTGATTTCAACCAATCGTGATAAAATTAGTGCCGTCTTTATTTGGATTAACTATTCCGTTGTTAGTAATTTTCTATCTTATCTTTACACTAGTGCTTGAGATCCGGCGCATCGGCCCGATGGGCCTGAAAAGGCCCACTGACTAGATCCACTAGCGTCGAATGCAATTATTTTTTAATTTCCAATCCTCCTTTTTTCTCGAATTTTGAATTTCTCAGTCCGATCAGACTTCAGAGAGATAACAGAGTCGTCCAATCCAAAAAAACAGTACGAACAAAACGATGAAATTAAGATTAGAGGCGGAAGAAATCGAGATAGAGCAAACCCTAATCTTATTTATGGAAATTGGTAGATCAGATTCTGAATCACATAAAAAAAAAAGTTAAACAGACCAAATCCAATTCCCGACTCTGATAGTTGTACGACAGAAGCAACTCCCGCACCCAAATCCCTAGAGAGACACCCGAAACCCTAATTGACTAACAGAAACGAAAACAGGACACCGGACATAGAAGAGAAAAAACATCGACACCACCGGAATCTCATCACCGGTTGAAAAGTAACATCAACGGAACGGAAATCACCCCCCCCAATCGAACACTTAGAGCTGGCCACAGTCGGCGATGCAGACGGGCTTGGAGGTCTTCCCAGATCCAGATCCGACCTTCTCGATCGCCTTGACGACATCCATGCCCTCGACGACCTGCCCGAAGACGACGTGCTTGCCGTCCAGCCACTCGGTCTTGGCGGTGCAGATGAAGAACTGAGATCCGTTGGTCCCGGGCCCGGCATTGGCCATGGAGAGGATCCCGGGGCCGGTGTGCTTCCTGGCGAAGTTCTCGTCGGCGAACTTAGCCCCGTAGATCGACTCGCCTCCGGTGCCGTTCCCGGCGGTGAAGTCGCCTCCCTGGCACATGAACCCCGGGATCACGCGGTGGAAGCTGGATCCCTTGTAGTGGAGCGGCTTCCCCATCTTCCCGGCTCCCTTCTCGCCGGTGCAGAGAGCGCGGAAGTTCTCAGCGGTCTTGGGGACGACGTCGGCGTACAGCTCCATCACGATCCTGCCGGCCGGCTGGCCACCGACGGTCATGTCGAAGAAAACCTTGGGGTTCGCCATTGGATCAGAAAATCGGGGAATTAGGGATTTTTTTTTTTTTTTTGCTGGAGTGAAATTGGCGGAGGTTAGGGTTTTTTTTTTATCTTTCGCTGGTGGGGGTTGTGGTTTATATATAGGATGGGAGGCGGTGAAAGGTGAAAGAGAGTGAGATACGACCGTCAGATAGGAACACGTGTCGTGATCGCAACGGGATATTGGGTAACCGTGGTTCGGTTAGGAGTTTGACTAGGGTTAAATGTGGAGATCCGCGGTGGAAATATCGACATCGTAGATGCCATTTGTCATGGTCCGGAGTGAGGACAGGGACGCGCTGAAACGACGCCGTTTCTTGCAGTTGCCGAAAGGTGTGGGGTCGGCCAATTTTGTCGTGACGTTGGGGGGCAAGTGTTGGCGCGTGAGGCATAGAGTGGACTGGGTCAGTTCAGTTATTATCCTGCTTGGCCCTCTTTTCTTTCATATTTAACAGAATGATACTAATTATTTTTGGGAATTCTCTTTGGACTCCTTTACTTTTGCTCTTTTACTGAGAAAGGTTAGTAATCCCATCGTTAATTTCGTTTTCATTTTGTACAATAAGGAGAACTTTGCATTGTGCTTTTTTTTCCTTTTTTTTAGTAGAAATGCTTCACTTTTCTACTAGAAGAGCTATTAAAGTAGGATGAAACTTCAATGGGACTTTGAAGTTATAGCCATTTTCATTTATGTATTCTAAATTGTGGGTCATATATGTAAATGTGAAAAATATGGGTCATTTTGGCCCAAATAGTCAAAGACATGTAAACGTTTTAGTTCATATAATAGGTTTCTACTTGTCATACATAGTTATATAATCATTGATTTAGTGTTTCATTATGTATAATCATTGATTTAGTGTTTCATTATATAATCATTACATATCTCTTTTACTAGATCGAAGCTATCGTGGTGTGCTGCCAATGTCCATGTTTTTGTACACACTCTCTCTTCATGTTTACCACTTAACTTTCGCCTAAATCACGCCCCAAATGTGTATTGAATTGATAATTTTCATATCAAGGGTCCTCCATCTCTCATTACGTATTTGTCTACACTACAAAAAAAAAATGGACTAAATCACAAGACACTTACCTATACATATCGTCTATTCTTCTCAACTCAATATTACTCAATTAAAAAACATACATTAAGTATATGTCAAACGAACGACTAATTCACCATCTCGATCAATTGAATTGAGAATTCAATTTCTTTTATAAATGAATTTATGTTGAAAATTCATTGTCGAATGAATTCTTATGTTTGGAATGTCATATTCAAATGTTTAGAAATAAATTAAAATGAATTCCATAATCGTATTTAAAATATGTTCAAATTTTTATTATATTAAAAGTTTTCAACTACTTCTTTATTAATTTACTACTATTGCTTATTGAAGATCACCAAAGGTTAGAGTTTTCCTTTGGCATATAGGGGAAGTAATATTCTTCCTACAAGTGGGAACCTTACTAGAAGACTAAAGGAAGCAAATTACGAGTGCCCGTTCTGTGGACTTTGTGAAACACAGGAGCATATTCTTAGAGATTGCGATTGAGGAGGAAGAATTAGGCAGTCTGCCTCACTCAGAACCCTATTCTCACAATGAGAGGATAAATCTAGCAAAGAATGGCTCTATGGACTAATTAAGAAAGTGTTAGATGAGGAGCTATGTTCGGTGGTGATGGCTTTGTGGTTTATGTGGTAAGAACGCAACAATCACTTGTTTAACAACCTTAAACTAGAGGAAAGGGAAGTACTTGATATATCGTAGACTTACCTAGACGAGTACCGTAGTTGTATGCAAGGAGAAACCCATGTGAGAGGACCCCGTCAAAGGCGAGATGGGATAAACCAGAAAAGGGGAGTGCTGGAAGTCTATGTCGATGCAGCAAAAGTGAAAGAGGGAGGAACTGGATTGGGGATGGTGGTAACTGGTAAGAGATGAAGAAGGTAGATTTGTACGGGTGGCGGCAAAGAGAATGAGGGTGGATTGAGAGTCGGAGCTCCCGAAAGCTCAGACAATGTCGTGGGATCTCCGATTGATAAGCGTGCATGGGAGGAAGCCAATCCTTTTGGAATCGGATTGTCAATCGTTGATTCATAAATTGGATTGGGAAAAAGTGATAGAAACAAAGTAGGGGGTGGTTTTGGCTGTGATTCGAGAGCTGAGGTCGGAGAATGGTGAGACTTGCTGGAGATTCTAGGGAAGGAAATACAATGAGGTTGCTCATCAAAAGGCTAGGGTGATTTGTAGGTGAGAAAGAAACGTAAATTTGGATAGATAGACCTTATGTTTTCATCCTTGTCGTCTCCTTCCTCTATCGTTACCTGACCGTTCAGATTTTATGAATTTCGACTAGTAGTCAAGCGTCGATAATGTTTTATGAGGACAGAGAGAGACGAGACTCACGGGAGAGAGAGGCAGGTGAAGGGCTGCATTTTTAATAATTTCATTCACTTCAAATAAATGGGACAATTCTGTCATTTGCCTCTCATAAGTGCAATAGTAAACCCTGACTTAACGGTAGACTAACAAAATTTTGAATGGAGGGTTACATTTGATAACATCCTCACCGTACACGAGAAAAATCGTTGTAAAAAAATAATAAATAGGCATGTTTGAGAACTTCGCAAAATAGAGAATCAAAATATACCTACAATCCTAAACAAAAAGAAATTCAATCTTCTAAAAATCGCAAAGTATTAAATTTATCAATTATCATCCAACCAAGAAAAAATAGCGAATTTTACTCACCTCTAACTTGCTCCGCAATCCGAAACCAGCATGGAAAAGAAAAACCGCCTTAGACTCAGGCACCGCCTCTTTTCCGGAGAACAAAAGCTGCCCAAAGAACGACGATTACTTGCATCTGAGATTAGGGCAATCAGTTCCCGTCAATCCGTTTCTATAATTGGGTTCATCACTGAATCCCCTTTGAATTCGATTGCCCGATTCACGCTCTCGAACCAGAAGCAAAGCAAGCAAGCATGTGCGTCATAGCAAACCATCCCTTTCAAGATCCACCGTCGCCGTCGTCGTCGGCGATTCGTTGGAGTCGAGGGAAATTGCTGGGAAAAGGAACCTACGGCAAGGTTTACATCGGAATTCCAAGAACCCCAAATTCGCCTCTCATGGCAGTGAAATCTGCGCCGGAATACAACGCCAAGTTTCTGAAATTGGAGCACCGGATTCTTGCCGAGTTCCGCCTCAACCCAGCAATCATACAGTGCTTCGGCGCTCAAATAACCCAAGAGGACGGCGGACCCAGAATCTACAACTTGTTGTTGGAATACGCCCCTTGCGGCTCCCTCTCCGATTTAATCGCTAGGTACCGCCGCCGTCGCGGGATTCCGGAGAGCGAAATTAGGGTTTACACTCGAACGATACTGGAGGCGCTGTCGTGCATCCACTCCAGGGGATACGCGCACTGCGACATCAAGCCGGACAACATTCTGGTGTTTCCCCCATCGGAAGAAGCAGAATCGGTGGGTCGGCTCAAGGTGGCGGACTTCGGGGCGGCGGTGGACTTGTCGGAGCAGAGCGGAGGAGCGGAGAATCTGGGGATTAGGGGGGCGGTACGGTACATGGCGCCGGAGGTGGCGGTGGCGGGGAGGGTAACGACGGCGATGGATGTTTGGGCGCTGGGGTGCACGGTGGTGGAGATGGTGACGGGGAAGCGGCCGTGGAAGGGTTTGGAGGAGGAGGACGTGATGGCGCGAGTCGCCGATGGCCGGCATCCCAAGATTCCGGTGGGGTTGTCGGCGGAAGGTAGGGATTTCTTGAATGAATGTTTTGTTGTGAATCGTTTGAAGCGAGCGACTGCTGACTCGCTCCTGAGTCACCGTTTTGTAGCCCGGTGTTACAGCAGCATGGATCAGTAAGCAAATATTGTAACCAGGCGGCGCTGTGTCTAAATCATCGTGGTATTGGCAGAGCAGCTGTTGCTTGGAGAATAGGGGAAGAAACCCGCCATTGACGTTGCTGCAAAAAGGTGCGATTTTGATTGAACTAGCTAATTACTCCCTCAGCTGTTCAATGTTTTCTTTGAAGTATAGACTAATTACTGTATTGATTGTGCTAAAAAACAGCATAGCACAACTTGGCAGCTAGGTGATTCTTTAGATCTTAAGTTCTGAATTCAAGTTTGGGAATCATGGTATCTGTAAAATCAGTGTTTGTACAACGGCTTAGAAAGATTGTAAGATGTGTGTTAGTGGATGATAGTTCTCTAATTTGCATTGCTGTGTTTCTTTCTTGAAATTCTGATTAATTTCAATAAGTTTTGCTATGTTCAACATGTTGTTCGAGTGATGCGGTCTCGTTAAAGAACGCGACTGGTGGCCGATTCTGGAGTTCAAGCTTGTGAAATGAAGCTGGAACGACCATCTTAGAGGTGACAACCATCTGCACCACGATTGTGGACCAATCTGGGTTACTTACCATGACCACAATCACCATTATGGGCGTGACCAGGTATTCATATCTGTTGTTAAGCGTTGTTTTCAGAGCATACAACCATTAAATCATGATTTAAGGTTAATTAGAGCAATCAAAGCACGTAAAATCAAGTGGAAACGAATGTCAAAGACAATGTTGGAACAACGAAGCATGAAACGATCTCACAAATCAGAACATAAAATAAAAATCTGGACCTCAAGGTAGGAAAATGATTTATTAGAACATTCAACACAATGATCCAAAAGCAGATCCATAAAGCAGAAACTCCACCATTACATGCAGTAATCAAGTAAAAAACAGTAATAACTAATTTACAACTCTAAAACCGTTCCCAGAAACAAATAATTGAAATCCAAACAAACCCTTTAAGAAAATAGTAATCCAAATCTCAATCCTTTGCGTCTTCCCATCTTCTCCACTGTAGCCTAGTTCAGTCTTCTTATTTCTTGCAGTGCTTCAACTTCAGAACCTCCACTTAGTAATAAAATAACAACAACAATAATTATAGAGAATCGATCAAAGTAGAACTCTAATGAATTGGGGAGTAAGGTGGGAGAGGAGGCCAGCTTCCAAACTTATGCTTGGGAGGCAGCTTGGGGAACGGAGGTAGCTTGGGGAGTGGTGGGCATGGCTTCTTCTTGTGGAAAGGCGGCAACTTTGGGAATGGAGGGAGAGCTACCGGCGGCTTGGGGATCGGCTTATAGATCGGGACCTTTGGGAACGGCGGCAGCGGCTTGTGGTAGATTGGCGGGTGCGGGGTCGGCTTATAGATCGGAACCTTGGGGAACGGCGGCAGCGGCTTGTGGTAAATTGGTGGATGCGGGGTCGGCTTATAGATCGGAACCTTGGGGAACGGCGGCAGCGGCTTGTGGTAGATTGGCGGATGCGGGGTCGGCTTATAGATCGGGACCTTGGGGATCGGCGGCAGCGGCTTGTGGTAGATTGGCGGATGCGGGGTCGGCTTATAGATCGGGACCTTGGGGATCGGCGGCAGCGGCTTGTGGTAAATCGGGGGATGTGGAGTCGGCTTGTAGATCGGCACCGGCGGCGGCAACTCCTTTGGGACCGATGGCGGCTTGACGAATGGGGCCTTTGGAGGGCACGGTTTAACCATTGGTGGCGGCTTCGGCTTGACAATGGGGGCCTTTGGTGGGCACGGCTTGACCACGACCGGAGGCTTGGGCTCCGGCTTGGGGACTGAGGGAGGCTGGACCACGACCGGCGGCTTGGGAGCCGGCTTGGGGATGGAAGGAGGCTTGACAACTACCGGCGGCTCTGGCACCGGCGTGACCACAGCCGGTGGTGGGAGAACCGCCGGTGGATGACTATACTTGGGCGGGAAGGGAGGGAAGACCTTCGGAGGGAGAGGAGGGAAATGGAAAGAGTGGTGGAAGGATTTCAATGGAGGGAGGTGAAACTTAGGCAAGGGCGGGTGCTTGAAGTAAGGCCAAAAGAAAGCCGACGAGCAGACCTCCGGCGAGAATTTGAGCTTCCCGCCGGAGAGCTCGAACGCGTTCTTTTGCGAGTTGAACACGACCTTGGTCGAGTCCAGCCCGCCGTGGGCTGCACAGGGCACCGCGGCGGCAGGGTTGTGGAGCTGCGCGTAGCATTCTTGTTTAAGCTTCTTCCCATCTTGTGTCACAAGGTCACTAGGGAGAGACACTGTGAACTTGCCTTCCACGTCAAGTTTACCAACCCCCTTAGTTTTGAACTCACCATTTGGTGGCTTGCAGTCAATTGTCACTTCAAGCCCTGCACAACAACAAACATGGTATTTTTAGACACACTGCCATTTCTGGATGCAGAAAGGGACGCTCTAACCTGTATTATTAATTTACCTGAGAAGGCCTGACTGGGCTTGAGTGCAGACTTCGCGCAATCGACACATTCTCCAGCACCAACGACGAGGACCTGGGCTGTCTTCTGAGCATGGCAGAGAGTGGCAGAGAAGAGCAGAAGCAGGCACAAAGGTGCTGCCCCTCCTCGAGAAAGGGGAATCATTGTCTGTATTCTGGATTTGTTGCAGAGATGTGAGAGTTAGTTGAGATGGAGAAGCAGAAGGGTGTGGTGGTTATATAATGGCTGTGGCTGTGGCATGGCCGACACTGAATTAAGGGCCTCACATGAATGTTCAAAGTTTAACCTCTTATGTCCTTTGGGATTCATCTTCTAGTGTGGTGGTTTTCAGTTTTCACTTTGAGAGGGAAATGTCTCCACCATCACCGGCTTCGCTCCATAAATGCCCACCTCTTTATCTCAACTGTACCTCAGTAGAAGAAGAAGAAGAAGAAGAAATCAGGATTTCACAGCATGAGAAAGATCTTGGTTATGGGCTGTGGATACCCTTTTGCAGGGGGCATACTTCTTTCTTCTGTGCTGTGCACATTAAAGCTCCTTCCTACCTTCAACCATATTCCTCCCCTTCGCATTTAATATCTATGTAGGTGGATGAAGACAGAAGCTTATGGTGGCCAGACCTATTTTTGAATTTTCAAACAAGGGACTGGGCCTGAAAGTCAATAGTAAAAAACTTGCAGCTAGGCCAGAGAGTTGGTTTTGAAGTTGCAGTTCACAAATTTAGTTGTACAGATGGATTTTCGTCGAGCCGGTACGCTCAGAACAGAAGGGTAACATCAGGACCAATCACGTGCCTCCAGCGCGAACCACCCTGATCGCTTCTGTACAAATTTAGTTGTACAGATGGATTTTCGTCGAGCCGGTACGCTCAGAACAGAAGGGTAACATCAGGAACAATCACGTGCCTCCAGCGCGAACCACCCTGATCGCTTCTGTTTCAAGCAAACAATGGTTTGTTCGCTTCAAGAGTTCCGCGATCTACCTTATTGACAACTCTTTTGAGCGAACCGCTACCGAGCACACTTATATCCAGTGTAAATAAACAGCTTCACGTGATGCAACATAACTGCCCTTCCTGACCTGTAGCAACAAAAAGAAAGTCCACGGGGTGGGGGAGATATTTATTGCCATTGCCACTCTCCTAACTATCTATCTACCTGTCTATCTAATGAACCAGTATTCCAACTTTTCCCTTCTGCAGGGTAATGTTACGATGTTGTGCACAATGATTCCTTCTGACAGAAAGTACTATGCTGCTTCGGCGCACAATGGTAAGCAGTTTCTCCACATTACCTTCTTCTGAAGCTTGCTTTTATTGGTCATTTTTAGCACCCTCGAAGTCCAGCCTCTCCACACCAGGGCAATGCTGATTTGTGCGTGAGAGTTATAGTTCCAGTTCGGAAGAGCAGTGAACCCAGAAGAGGAGGATTAAAACCAGAACAGTCTTTTTTTCGTTGTGCAGTTAGCAAGGTAATTAAGAAAGAATGGAGTTTGGAAAGGGGAAGTGGGATATTATTGGCGTATTAAGGGGTTGTCGACCTTGAAAAACCACCACATGGGAAGTAGTCTATGAGATTTGATTACTTGCATGCTGTATGTTTCGTTGTCGATGTAGATGTGGGTGTTGGTTAGGGATCAGCAGAGCAGAGCAGAGGCAGAGGATCATTTATGGTCAGTCCACAAAAACTGGTGGGATAATTTGGTATGCCATCGTTATCCATGTCATTACTCGTTCTCTTCATCATCATCATCGCCACTAATATAATAATTGAGTGCGCATGTGAAATGAATTTTGGAGAAGATAGATCCCAAAGAATGCTTTTTTCATAAACAAGATCTGTAACGTGGTTCGAGTGCAGCTCATGGCGTCTGTTTTGTTACATTTCTCTAATGATGGATGGATGGATTCGAGTTGATCAGAGCCTCTTTTAGATGTCGTAATGCTGCAAATAGTAGTGTATTTTAACGTTTGTTTTGTTTCGTTTCTGTAATGATGTATGAACTCAGACTCAATTAGCGCCTCCTTTTGATGTCGTTATTTTGTATACGGTTAGCATGATGATTGAACTGACAGTGAGGCGACTATTATCACGATTAGACGAAAGAATAGTACCCTACTCTTGTGCGTTAGAAGCAATGAATAGATCTTCCTCAAGAAAGGGAAAGCATTGTCCGAATTCTAAGCTTTCGGAACCCACAGATAGATCCATATAAGCAAACGTCGCAACCTAGACAAGCTAATACATTCTGATATTGGCATTGGACAACAAAGAAGAAAATGAAGCAATTTCGAGACAAGAAAATTCTTCAAACTTTCAGTAAAATTTATATCCAGCCTACCTCAAAAGCACAGTTAGTTCTCTTCAAGGACTCACTCTGCTATCAAAATTGTCCAGAAAAAACATTAAAGTAGGAAAAAGAAAAAAAAGAGTTCATCCTAAAACTCCATTTTCCCCGCACCCTCCACATGCTACAACAGCTAGGCAAGTTCTATACTGGCCTAAGTTTCACAACTAGTTCGTGCAACTCGTGGGTTCTCTTCTCTCCAGAGGCATCTTCAAATGCTAAATTTTGAGTTACGAGAGTCGGCAGTTTACTACACTCCCTCCTGTGTTTCAACCCAACCCAGCGTCTATTTCTTCTTCTTTTGTTTGTTGGACTGGGTGTAGGCAGTGCCCTTTGAAGGGGGAAAAAAAAGCAATTGTCAACAACAGGCAAGTCATGGACACAGCTAAACTTAAAACAGCAGAAAAACCAGTTACCTGAAGCCACTCGTCCATTGACGCATCTCTAGTTCCAGTACCAACTTCAACCTTGGGAGCCCTCTTAGTTTTCTATACAAGGCAACATTCAAAATAAGTTCTCCCATCGTGTAGAAATATATGAACGAAGTATTGATAAAAACATCAACGGAGCCACAATGATAAGAAAATGACTTGCATCTGAATTCTTGGAACAGTTATCTACCTACACCTTCACAGATTCAATATCAATTACTTGGATCCAATGACAAGCTAAGCGATCTGCTAGGTTAGGTAGAATTTATTATCAATTATCACAAGCAAGGATTTGGATTAGCCTCATTAGCATTCATGTTTGTCCATCATATCCAAGTGCACCAGTTAGCAACTCAACGCATCTGCCTTATTGAGAAGGTAAACCAGATCTACTATAGGATAATGTTTTAAATGATTAGACATAACTTGGAGAGGAAATGCAAATGACACCCTGAGAAGTTTGTACCTTAGAGAAGTTCTGTATTTGACCATGAACCCATAGACCAAAGAGGACGAGGAGTGCACTTCCAAGAGAGATGAGGAAAACCGACTCCATGCTGAGGAAACCACCAGATTCAACAACTTCGACGGTGCCATTGTAAAAGGTGCTCTGGTAAGGCTGCTGATCTATTTCATAAATGATAGTGCCAACAAGATCAAAGGTACCAGCCTGCATACACAGATTAATCATGTAAAAATCAAATCCCAAACAATGATTTCACACAGCCATTAGGATCGTACATAAAATAAAATACTGGCCATTTCGGAACGTGGAATGGGAGAAGCACTAGCAAGATAATGCATTCACCTGGAGAAACTTGCTCACTGCAAAAATATACGGGAAGGTAGCCTGTCCTGCAGCCGGGACAGTTGCATTGGTGAAGGCCTAAATATAGCACCAGACAAAGTGTTCAGATTAGTCAAGCCTAATCAATGCTGCATAAGAAAATGCGTACCATTCAAGAAAGCACATGATAAATATCCAACACCGTTGCCCTAAAACAACCATATATATTAAACGCTATTCCATAACAGAAACCAAAAGGTCAGATGTGTACGAAACAGGACTACTATGGGAAACAATCTAGTTATGCTCCCTCCAGTACAACATGGAGCCATCTAATTTCTAAATTCAAGGAGATGCGCCTATTCCCCCCAACAAGCATTTAATCTACCCTATAGCTATAACTAGCCATCATCTTCATTTTGATTTACCAAAATTCCTTTGACACCCAGACGATAACTTAGAGAGATCGTAAGGTAAACCAATGCAACTATATATCTTAGATGAAATCAAGCATAACTGAGTGATAATATTGCATCCAAGACAAGACAGCCACCAAAAACTAATAATAAATAGAAGACACCAAATAATGCTTCCAACACTCCTTTGGATAGGATCCACTTAAAACATGATAGCTAGATGACAAAACTTCTATAATTACCTGGGCAGTGAGATTCTGAACAAGAAGATTGTGATCAAATGGAAGATGAACACTGGCCTTGATTGCAATGACGTTAATGTCAGATTCTCCTGCATTTCAATGTTGAAAAAACAATGAGAAGAAAAGGGCTAAAAATTTGAATATGTACGTGCATGCAGTTATCCAGATGCACAACCCTGCAAATGGGCGTATACTAAGCAATGCAACCCCAAGGCTCAACAGAAAGTAAGGCAGCAAACTCTATACCATCATTTTTCACTCCAACGAGAAGCTCAGACTCCAGTCCAGCAGGTATAACTGTTGACACAAAGAAATCCAAAACACAGGAAAGTTCATAAGAATACCTCAAAAATGCGAGAAATGGAATAAAAACTCTAAATAACATAAATGCACAGGAAGCGTCACACAAAAAGGAGACAATGTGAATTCCCCCTTACTTTTAGCGCTGTTTTTGGGGTAAACACAAACAGTCTCAACCCCGGGAGCTGGATTAAAACTCTCATCACCAAAATCTTGGGCATCAGCTTCAGAACCAACGATCCCAAGATCAGTAGTTTCCTCAGTAGACTGAACTGATTCAGCTGCGTCCACTCCTTCAGCCTCCGTATCAGACCTAGCCACTACAATACATGAGAGGAAAAGAAATCAATAGCGAAAGCCAGACCATCAGATGTTGCAAAATCAGGCAACGACCATGATCAAGGGGCGCCTATATACATTCATTCAACTCCGAAAATGGAAAAAGAAGGGCAAGCCACGCAAGCTGGAAATCCAGAAAAAAAAATTGCTGCTAAAACCAGCTTGCAGTAGTATTCACTGGAGCAATCAGAATTCGACAAGTACCCAATACTCAAAGTTCGCAATACAATAACTCGAAGCAAGAACTGATACGAAAAAACCACAACAGTACAGATGAATCCGATCACCCAAACAAAAGTCCAATTGATTCCAAAACAAAACCCACTCCAAAACCCTCGAGCTAAGCAAATAAGGAAAGCAATCGGAAATCAGATCTCAGTCAGTAGCACAGATCAAACACGATGGATCGACCAGGAACAGAGAATCTCCAGTTCGATACATTCAAGGACTTCACGAGCAGGGGAGGGGATCCAGATCTAGAACTGAAGAGTGAGCGAGAGAGGGGAAGGCGCAAACCTTTGAGGAATGGAGAGGCGAGCAGTAGGATAGCCAGGAAGAAAACCCTAAAACTCTTCATGGTGGAATTAGCAGATTCAGAATTCTGATTTGAGGAAGACGAAGATTAGAGAGAAAGAGAGAGAGGTTGGGGGTTTTGTTTTGGTCGTCGGACTCTCTTCTTCTCTCCGATTTACGGCTTGCGGACAATCCGAATAAGACAACCAAGAAAAGAAGTGACGTAGCTGGGAGCTAGCTGACCAATCAAACTTCCTCAATCCAATCACACGCTCCAGCTCGACGAGGAGTGATTTTCTATTTCAGTTTCCTCTTTTTTATTCTTTTTTTTTTCTTTCTCATTTTCCATCTTCCGCCACCTTACGTCCTCGTCGTTTTACCAAAAGATACCCTACTGTTGACTTTCCCAATACGATATCCGGTACGATTTCATGGACTATGCGTCCAATATACCACCATAATCACTAGGATAACAAGTAGTCGTGAGATGTACTGTTTAGACGATGTGCATCACCTATAGTCATGGCAAGCCGATCCACCATATCGGTATCCCCTGGCTCCATTATCATCCCATTCCACCTTGACCTTATCGTTGGTTCGGAATTCTTTCGAATCAACTTCAGTCGTAAGCCCCGGGTTCGACAAATCCCTCGTTCATCTCAGCTTCACGCTTCAATGTCCCCTTCATCTCAACTTCGAACTTCGCTATCACCTCCTAGTCCGTCATGGCCACAATACTAACAACTCGACCTAATCGTAACCTATAACGTTTTAGGAATTCGTTATATAAGCACCCAACTAGCAACAACCAACTTCTCTAAGAACCATACGTCCTAGGGCACACACCACTACCTAACGGCGTGCCATCTTCCATCAAAGCATCATCGATAAATACCTAGTTGCTCCGTGCTTGCAAATAGGAAATAGCACAACTACACAAAATAGTTGGCAACCACAATTAAAACCGTAGTAATCTGCCAAAAGGGATTCTAATTTCTAAGAGCATGCAAAAGAAATTCACAGTCCCAACACCAACTAGGAAAATTACACTTTTTAGTTCACATTCCAATCTCACAGGACACAAGTGTAAGATTGCTGCTAAGAAATAAGTTACTCGGTAATATGGAAAACATAGTTCTGTTTGCAACTAAGGTGCAGCCCAAATAGTAAATATAAGTTTTCTTCCCACGGAAAATAGTTTGCAACCTCGCATCCTACTGATACCAGGCAAGTCGGCATGAGTTTCAGTCGCCATGGATGGTGTAACGCTCCCACTTCCTTGCAGGATCATATATCTGCCACAGAAAAACAAACTCAACGCTGAGAAACAATCCGGCTGTTTTATTGTGCGGTAAACGATTACTACAATCATTACTTCCACACAGCACAAAATTAAGAAAGAGATAGAAGATGCACACCTCCCATCTTGATGCAGGGAATATATGCTTGTTCTTCTCATACCAATGCCTCTCGACAACTTTGCCAGCATGGGACTGTTAGAAAGCACAAAAAAAGTGTTAGCTTGTTTGAGTGGGAATTGTATCGGGATACAGAAATCGCAAAGCCAATATCCATATAGGGCAGTAAAGAGCATACCTCATCCTTCTCTATGGTTGCATCAGCAATTGTACGCACATCCTCGTGCACATCAAAGTGGAAAAGCTGCAAGAAGAAATTACAAGTGAGAAGTTGGCATCTGGTGTATCAAACAGAGCTAGCAATGAGGAAAGTAGATGACAATATTATGTCAAGCCATGCAATCAGAATGCAGAGCTGTAGTCAAGAATCAAGACGAAGAACGACTAGATTCAAAGAGTGATACCATAAAAAGGTATCCAGTAAGCAATAAAGGATCTCATTTTGAACCAAAATCATATACTTTGGCATTAGCGTCAATATTACCAGTACACCGTTACTAACTTCAACTAGCATCGATATTTGTCTTATAAGGTTGAATAGGCACCAAATATTATCCCTTCAAAGGGGGGAAATTAAAGAGAGCTAGTTTTCCTACAGGACAAAGGAAGTCCTTAACTTCACTTGAAGCGACTCTACTTAAACACACCTAAGAATTACCCGTAAAACATGAGATAACTTAGAAAAGCATTACTGCACCAAAAGTAATATTCCGCTACATTATGCCAATTAAGGGAACTTGACAAGATAAACATGGCTAAAACATGCACCAAGTTCAAGGACCCATCTAGGTAACTTAACAAAATAAACAATACAGAAGAACAAGCACCAAGTTTAAGGATCTAGAATGTTACCGGTCCACTTTTTCCTCTAGCTTTGTTGACTATGAGCTCATAGAAGCTGTGTTGCTGTAATGTTACAAGTATGCAAAGAGAAAACATCAGATAATCTGTATCACGACATGAAAGAATGAAGCATAAATCAGAATATCTATAGCAACTTACATGAGGAATGATAAGATCCTCTTTCACATAGAGCAAGTTCTCAACAGAAGTTGTTCTGATTTCTCTAAACTCGGGTGCTAGTTGCTGTTGAACGGACCGCAGAAACTCCCCGATGCTGTCACCCTTTCGACACTGCAGGGTGGAAAAAAGTAAGTAAAATCAAGAACTACTAAGGTACACTAAAGATTAAAACATGTTATCTAAAATACGGTTGAATTTAGGCTGTCTAGTAATTAACCTGGATTGCCCTGCGATGGCCAGTTCCATCCCAGTAACTGTAAGTAATTTGAAGGGCCTCATCTGAAACATCAGAAATCATAAATTCATCACCAGAATTCATAAGATCTCACAGTTTATCAGAAAAATAATGAGGAGAGACCACAATGTGTTCCAACATAAATATGATAGAATTATTGATCATACTTTTAATCTGCTCCTGCTCGCGAACCCATTGTTTCCGCAACACTTCACGTTCAGCTTGCTCCTCAGCCTCCCTCTCACTGTATCAGCATCCTCAACCCCCCTAAGTGTATGGTTAGTCCCAAGTCCATCCACAACTAAGCATGGTTCCAAAAACCAGAAGGAAAGACACCATACCTGTCAGGCAAAAAGCTTGTTTCTACAGTGGGATCTTTGCCAAATTTCCCACGAGCCAACTTATTTGGAACAGGTTCTTCTGCTGACAAGACAATAGGCAAGCCAACGTTCAAATGGCAATAGAACAAATTTCACTCTTTCTATCACATCCATCAATTTTGAAAACTCAGTTCTGATGTAATGCATCTCAAACATACCATCAAATAAAGCTACAAATCGGCACACATGATTTTATACTCAAAAGCTTAAAAAATCCTCAAATAAATCCCAGCATCAAGGAGGATAACAAGTCAGTCACATTGCCACAAGGAAATGGAAGAATTCAAAGCAACCACAGTACATAATTCAAAACCAAACCTTAAAACAGTTTTTTATAAAGGATTCAAAGTTAAAGCAGCATGATCATATACCGATTCCGCCATCTTCATCTTCCCCTCCGTCCTCAAAATCATCAGAAAATGAAAGCTTTGAATTCCCTTTAATCTTCCTCTTTTTGCGCTTCGCTAGCTGTGCTTCCTCCTCCCTGGCAACACACCACATAAAGAAACCGACTTTGAATCCGAGGATAAACAGCCCACATCAGGCAGAGAAAACTCCATGGTGCAAGAAACAAACTCACTCTTGCCGCAGCTTCTGAAGCTTCTCCTTCTCTTCTTCTTCAATCTTATTCTGAATAGTAACTCTCTGAAATCCACCCCACAATGTCAATTGGTTCCCGTTCGAAAATATAACCGGAGAAATCAGAACAACAAATCACAAAAAAAAAAAAATTCATCACCTTCTCGACATACTGCTCCCTTGTAACCAACCCCACAGTTTCTTTCTTAAACGCAGTCTCGAGAATCTGGACAAAAACCACAACAATAATTAAGCACGCATAAGAAACCCTAGGCGACAATCATCAGTATTTGGATGAAGCTGAAACGGGTTGGGAATGAAGAGAGACCTCCGATGTACTTGACCCGAACTGGAGAAGTCCAGGCCCGCCTTTGTCAGACTTCGTCTTCATCTCTTCGATTTTCTTGCGCTCAGCTTCTCGCTGCTTCTCCAGCCGACGGATTCTCACGGCGTCTTGCGCCGTGCCCACGTACCCGTCTCCCATGCCCGCCATTTTCCGTACACCGCTTTTCGATCCCGCTCGGTAGGAAACCTTATCCCTAGTTACCGGCGGCGAAGTAAGAGCCTCGCTTTCTCTCTGCAGGAAGACCCGAACAAAGCAGGAGCCAGGAAGGTGAAGAAGGTGCTCTGCTTTGTTCAACGTCGGTTCGCGGTTTGACGGATAGAGCTTCTGTAAATGGGCTCCGGTCGACTGAAGCCCACATTCTCCGGCCTGCTTCACACCCCTTCCCTTTTTGGGCCGAGTCCGCTTCCAATGCGAGTTCTGCTGGCCCTAAACATTTTCTTTCTAATTTTCAGTGGATGGAATTGGTTGCAAAATTCAGAGATTTCAGATAGGAATGTAATCTTGGGAAGAACAGATTTCCGCCATGACATCATCGTCTCTAACGATCTCGTGAATTTGTTGAGAAAAAGCACAGCAACCTAAAAAGATTGGAAATTTATTTCTAACCAGAAAACCGTGAAAGGTTTTATCATAGATTCATAATTATGAGTTGCAGTGTTGTTGCACTGTGCACAACAAGGAAAAGGAATATAAGGACGGAAACTACGATAACTTTCAAAGTTATTTCTGAGGTCATACACTGTCACAGTGAGTGAATATTTATCATTCGCCAATAAGCGAGGAGTTGTACTTGTTGTTGGAGCCCATTAGCCAAACCTGAACCAGATACAAAAAATCTCCAAGCTTTCTTCTCATCACTCATGGCGATGCTCTCCACATCACTCTCAGCCGCCGGCTCCAAATCCGCCGCCACCCTTTACTCCCCACCTAACTTCTCTGGTCTCCGCCGTTCATCCTGCCCCAAGCTCGACAACCCTTCTTCCAACTCTCTCCACCTATTCGATTCTCGGCTCCGATTACCTTCGCTCTCAGCTCGTAGGCCTTGCAGAGCCGTCGTTGCCATGGCAGGAACCGGAAAGGTTCTTCCTTTTTTGTTTATCTAGATCTTGGTTTACTACCGTTGTTTATCATCTGGGCATTCATTAATTTGTTTTGTTTTTCTTCTTCCTGTGTGTGCAGTTCTTTGTTGGTGGAAACTGGAAGTGTGTAAGTTGTTCAATTCTGTTTTTGGCTTCTGAGTTTTCGTTGCTGCAGCTATTGATTATATCGGCATGATACTTGTGCTGTAATTTGGAAGGAAGATTGATTGAGGATTTGATGTATGATAATAGAATGTGGCTGTTTATAAAAGTGATTTGAAGTGAGTAGAAGGAGAACTGGAGAACTATTTAGTCCCTTACTTCCCCTGCTTGTTCTTGTCTCCTACTCATTTTTATATACCAGAAAGGACATAGGAATGAATGGAAAACTCAAAGGTTAGGCTTGCCGATAATAATGGTGCTTACTCGGTGATGGCTGCTAAATTGTTTGTGAAATGCTGGCTGTCTAACTTTTTGTAGTATTGCTATGCATTCTTCATTTTAGCCTGTGAATACGTCCTACAAGGTTCATTCTTTTGGAACTTGGATCGTGAAATTTGTTGTTTTTACCTGGTTAGGGACTGTTCCTTTTTGGTTAGGTGTTATCTGCTGCCATTTTCCCTCCATTTTTTAGCTAATTCAGATGCCTTGTTCTTTTCTGTTACCTTAGAATGGAACAAAAGAGTCCATCACTAAGCTGGTCTCGGACTTGAATGATGCAAAATTGGAGTCTGATGTTGGTAAGAGAATCTCTATATCTTTAAAGTTTGATGTTCTTTATTCGTGTCATTATTAGGTGTGGCTGCAGTTACTAGCTGCAGGCTTTGCCTGCTAAATTGACTTCTCTTCTTGATTACTGCAACATGCCTGCCAAGTTATTCATATTTCATGTCTTCCCCTTGTTCTTTGCGCAGATGTTGTTGTGGCACCTCCATTCGTTTACATCGACCAAGTGAAGTCTTCACTGACAGATAGAATTGAAATATCTGCTCAGAACTCTTGGGTCAGTAAAGGTGGGGCTTTCACTGGAGAAATCAGGTGAGTGACTTCTATTATTCCAAGTTTGTACTATTTTGTCTTTACAGTTCACATTTCCGCACTCTTATGTGCTCTTTTTTTCTAATGTGTCTTCAAGTTCTGTTGGTTCATCCGGGATAAAAATTGAGATCTCTTGGCTAAATAGTGGTACATGGTATAGATGATTATATTAAGTAGAACAGTCATCTGTTAGAGGGTTTTGAGTTCCAACTTTAAGATGAAGAATCTTCAATCAAATTTCGAAGTAGAAAGTATTTACTTTGATTCTCCCACTGGACTGCATACTCTGAATAATGTAAGGCTACCAGCAAACTGTTGAATGATAATGTCTTACAACCTCTTTTACAGTGTGGAGCAATTGAAAGACATCGGGGCGAAGTGGGTTATTCTTGGGCATTCTGAGAGGAGACATGTCATTGGTGAAGACGATCAGGTGAGAGCTTAAACAACTTTCACGCCTATTTTTATGGATGCCACTTGGAACTGGAGTATCATCTTTTTGTTCAAATTTCAGTTTATAGGGAAGAAAGCTGCTTATGCATTGAATGAGGGCCTAGGGGTGATTGCCTGTATCGGCGAACTGTTGGAAGATAGAGAAGCTGGGAAAACTTTTGATGTTTGTTTCACTCAGTTGAAAGCATATGCAGGTTATTATTATGGCTGATGATGTCTATTGTCGTTATCTTCCAACACGATGATGCAGAGCTAACAACACCAGTTCATGATTTTGCTCTACAGATGCAGTGCCTAGCTGGGACAATATAGTTATAGCATATGAACCAGTCTGGGCTATTGGAACTGGCAAAGTGGCCTCACCACAACAGGCTCAAGAAGTGCATGCTGCTCTCCGAGATTGGCTTAAAAAGAATGTCTCGGATGAAGTAGCTTCCAAAACCCGTATTATTTATGGAGGTGAAAGCATTTTACATATCCCACTTGCAATGCCTCACTTATGGATTTTCGAGAACATCACTTCTGGATGTCTGATCTTCTTAAGGGTGATCTCTGTTGTTCAGGATCTGTAAATGGGGGTAATTGTGCCGAGCTTGCAAAAGAAGAAGATATTGATGGTTTCCTTGTTGGTGGGGCATCCTTGAAGGTATGCCTACTTCTTCCAACCCGAAACACTCTTCATCAAATAAACCTAAGTATGCTTTCTTCATTCAGTTAGATTTTGATTGTTTTGAATGCAAATGGTCTTTCAGGGACCCGAGTTTGCCACAATCGTGAACGCCGTGACATCCAAGAAAGTTGCAGCATGATGTTTCACCTTATTTTTTGTTCAACCAATAAGGGAAGGGACAAGAGAGGCTATTACCTTCACCTAGGAGCTTACTGTAATCACATGGAGTTCTGTCATGCCATCCCCTTTTTCGTTTTTCTTCGTTATTCTCGTTTCTCAGGCACATTCATTTCGCCTCGCCCTTCACTTAACTTCATTTGATTACAAGGTCAGCTGGTTTTGCATAAAATATACTAGAGAAGGAAAGGCCACTTCTACATTGAGCCCGAGTCTTGTTGTAACTTCAATCTTTGAGCTGTAACATTATTTTTAGTGCGAGCTATGGTAAGGCAACATGGATGTTGTCTCAAGAGAGCCGCTTGAAGTTTTATGCATAAGCTTTTAGTTCTTGGCTGTTGAGTATATCCCTGCAGAATGCTCCTGTTTGGTTTCTGGTAAAGTTTCCAACTCCTGGCTTGCTGGTTGCTGGATCGTTTGCACTGATCAGTAATTCCCGCTTTCTCTCATAATGTAAGCAAGTGATGTTTTAGAGGTCATTTGGATGAGGAATTCTAACAACGTTGAGTTGTGGATGCCTGCTCCATTGGCACTTTGGTCGTCGCTAACGAATGTTGGAAAGCATTTTATTTAGTTTAGGACGTTAAGCATTGATGAGTTAACTTGTCGTTTGATTCTTGATGTGCAGTTTAGCTGTTACAAGCATTGATCTTTGTGATCATTGTTATGTCACATTTATCTGAGTAATTTTGGTAATAGTTATTGAACAATTAGTAAGAAAAAAAAAACCTCATAAAGATGACAATGGTGTAGGCTAGACTTATTAAAAAGACAACAATGAAGTTGAATTCTCAAACAGATAAATCTAGCCTACACCCTTTTTTTCTTATATGCTTGAGCACTCTTAACTTCATTTGGTAGTTTCTTTGACAAGGATGAAGATGATAGAGTTGAATACTTTACCTAAACTAGTAGCTCTATTTGGTTAATGCAATGTCACTTTCTTCATTGCGTGCCTCGTCGGACTTTGTATGATCGTACTATGATTTTTAAATTTTGGATGGTTCTGAATGAAAATAAGGTTTGCAAGTTAAAAACTGAAATTAACGTTGTATTTTTATTTTGTTTTGGTAACAAATTGAATTTCTGTTTATTTTTTGGGTAAAATTTTGAAATTGCTTGCACAAGTGGATAACTTACCACAATGGAAATTTGATAAAGAGATCTTACCAATCAGTACACAAAATGAATTCATAATGATTATAAAATTTGACAATGCAGATACTGAAGCACATAATGAAGCAAATTTGACTAAGAGATCTAACCAAGTTTGTAAAACACGAATCATAAAACCGTACCAAAGGTTATATTGGAAAAGTCAGTTGTAGGTGTGTCCCGAGATCCATCAAGAAAAAAACTGATAAATTAGGTATAATAGTCATTGAGAGTGAAAATGTTACGAGACACAGAATTGAAGAATTCTTGTCTCGTAACTTTCTTGCGAGCAAACTACTAAACTACGATAAAATGAAAGACAATAAACTAGATTTGGATTCCAATCTTCTTCATATCATTAAACGAATGAGACATTACATATTTATAGGCATAGAATCCTCTCCTTCTTTCTTATGGTTTCGGCCCACTCTTCCCTATTCCTACCCATTGAATGTAACATTCTCCTTCAAGGACACCACAATCAAATCCTAAACATATACCAAAAGACAATACCAATCCTACTTAAGACTAGGAAACAATAATAATATCCCTAAACACTTGATAATTAATAAACTACCAAAATAGACGAGCTCGGAATATGCCCGAATTATTACGATAGCTCGTCTCATAACAGAAAATTAGGGCGTCTAATTGATATTGGTTGACCAATATTTTTTGTGTTCGAATCTCGGCGACCCCATTTGTCTAAGCATATGATATTCGAATTTGTTCAACATCGAACGCTACATAAGTTGGTTTTCATTTGAGCGGGCTTGCTAGTAAATGATATAAGATAATTATTGAACCTCACCCAAAATTTTGCGGTTTTTATACTAAACAATTTTTTTTAAAAAGCCCACAATTTAAAAGTGAACGACTAACTAAATCCTGAATAATTGTTTGGTACACATACAATTATGCGACGTTCAGGTAATCACTTCCTTCTTTTCCAATTTTAGATCATCAATCTTTCGAAAATTAACAACTTATTATTCGACGTGTACAAAATTTCGGTTTGATTGACATCGACTATATATATCAAACGAAGTAAAGGAAGAAAATATTTTACTTTCAATTTATGTTTGAACTCTTGGTGTGAGGGTTGAATCATAATTCATACAAGCAAGAATGCTAAATGAGCATTAATTTTCAACTAACATTGAGCACTTCTACTATGCTATATAGTATTGGTGTTTTAATGTACAACTCAAAGTTCATTGTTGTACCATAACATTAAATGTATAAGTTTAGGTTGTACCATAAAGCAATTTGTACCATTATGTTATGGTACAACTTTACAACTTGAAATTGTACCATCACATAAAGGTATAAGTTCATGTTGTACCATAAAAGAATTTGTACAAAAAGTATAGGTACAATATGATGTACCATAACGTAAATGTACAATTTTAAGTTGTACCATAAAAGCAAAAACCTATAGCACCAATACTATATAACATTGTAAAATTTCTCACTAACATTAACGATGATAAATAAAGTACATCACAAAGGTAAAATCATACACTTAATATTAATATCCACATATTACGCCAGAAAGCCAGGGGAAAAATTCCATTACTAATTTACAACGAAGAAAACCATAGATCTATCCTATAACCCCACAAATAAATAAGATCCAGATTCCTATCCTTAATCACCTCTATAATAATAATAATTAACTAATTAAGCAAACCAGTAATTTAAATCACAATTAGAAGAACCAGCTGTCAAGGAAAGCAGACTGGAACTGCAACAGCACCAGCAGCAACACAATCAGCGCCGCGACCCCCCACGGCGAGCTCCCTTCCGCCGGAGCCTGGTAGTGGGTCCGCCGCCGGCGATCCCACGGCGACGACATCCCGAAAAAAGCCATGTCGCAGGACTCCATCGACGACAGCCAGCGCACGAGGAAGATCAGGAGCACCGGCAGGACGAAGAGGCCCAGGCCCATCGACGACTCCGTCGACTCCACGAGCTCCTCGTAGCTGAAGTACCAGGAGCCGCCGAGGAAAATGGCGATTACGGCGAGGATTAGGAGGACCGGGTAAGGCAGCGGGTTGAGGGTGAAGTTGTCGAAGATCGAGTCGCCTCTTCTTCTGTAGTACTGCATGATGTTAATTTCGATTTGGGCGAGAGGAGTGTGAGGAATTTTTTCTTCCTTCTTCTTTTCCCCCTTTCTGGGATTTCTGGTTCGGGTTTGGTTGCTGAGAAAATTTTCCCGGAGAGAGTGGGAGTGGTTATAAAGGGAGGAAAGCAAAAGGTGTGCAATTTACTAAAATTTTTCCTTCTTCTTTAGCTAGTGGGTACTCGACTTTATCGTTTCCTTTTGTTTCGGTTCCCGAACTTTTTTTTTAAACGTGTTTTGGTCGATTCATTGGATTTGGATGTATTCGAGATCCGGGTCGCGCCCGTGTAAGTGTTTCGTTAAGTTGGTCAAGTGATTGATCTTCGGAGATTGACACTGCGAATGGCAAAACTTAAATTATTGGACGAGAAACAGACGAGTTGATTGTGTATCTTAAGTCTTAACTGATATTGATATGACTGTCAGATGGAAGCGCATCTGTCGTTGATATTTATATCTGTAGTTTGTCGTTTATGCAGTTTTAAGTGACAAGAGTAAAAGACATATTCATTCGCTAATGGTGTCCAATCATATGCTTGAGAGATGTTACCCTCAAGTAGAGGTGGTAATTAGGATCCAAATCCATAAATCCAATCCATCCACCAAATTATCCACCTAATCCAATCCATTTAAATCCAATCCATTTGATCCAAATCTAATTGGATTGGTGGATTCATGGATCAATCCATGGATCCAAATGACAAATTACGATTTGGTGCCTATATTTTTTATATTTTACGTTTTGGTACCTAAAATATATATCTTTATACGAAAATATCATTGGAAAATTACATTTTGGTACCTAAATTTTTTCATTATGACATTTTAGTACCAAAACTTTTCAAATTTTATATTTTGGTCCAAGCCTTGGATGTCATTTGGATTCATGGATCACTCCACCAATCCATTGAATCCAATCCATTTGATCCATGGATCCACCAATCCACGAATCCGATCCAATTGCCACCTCTACTCCCAAGGTAATCTATGTGGTTAAGTTATTTACAAAAACAGAAGTAGAGTGACTGAATTGACTCTTACACAAATTTCTCGTGGGGCAGAAATGAGAATGACATGAAATTCAGTGACCATGGCAGAAACTTTACTACACACTGCTGGGTGACTGCGAGAGCCATTAAAACTTTCCTTAATTAATTTTACAACAATTTTTGTCCATTAGATAAACTCCTAATGTGAGCCGCTGATTGGTTTAGGTTCAATGCCAAGACAAAAAAAAAAAAAAAAAAAAAGGTATTCAATATTTCATGTCTTAATCAGTCACTGCTCCCCACACCAGATTTATGGTATGTTCACCCATAAAGCAGACACACACCTGTCCAGAGAGCCGACACGATTTAATTTTTTTATCTACTGTAATTATTATAATAGCAGTTTTAAGCACTAATTAGGTCAAGGATTCAATAATTGGATCTGTGCGAGGATTAAAATAATAAAAAGACGGTTGAAATTAAACTATATAAAAAAAGTGAAGCTTTATTTTCTTTTTTCTTTATAAACATGGGTTAGTGGTGCTACTGGGCCTGGACGGTGGGTTGTGGGGCCCCACCGGAAGCCCATTTCCCAAGTTTTTAAAAGGTGGAAAATTGAATACCGAAGAAGAAAGAAAGATGTGTTCAGTTTCCCCCGTTTACATGAGTGAATCCACTTCCAACAACTGGTGCCTGTTTGAATTTTGCCCCCCCCAGCAAACCTTCTTTGTCGACTAAAAGGACAAAGAAAATGTTCAGAGATCAGATCCCCCCCCACCCCCACTTTTTGACTTTGGAGAGCCCCATTTCAATCACGACTAAGAAGAACCACGATAAGAGTTGGTTTACATCATACATGCATAATCAATCTTCAGTATACGATAAAATGTTTCGACTTTTCCATTGACTTTAGTGTATTCAATGATATAATGGAACAAAGTATATGTTTAGAGTGTCCTTGATAAGAAACAAACTAACTCACACACTCATGTTTCGAGTGACATTTCATATAGAAGTCACTGTGACATTAATGTAGTCGAAGCATGCAACTGGCAAGTTCAACTGATAGAGCAACACATAAAAAGCTAAATCAAACTGAAAAGAATGCGAAAACTAAAAGCAACATACCAAGTATTTTGGGGAAAATCGACAACAATAAAAGTCATTGTAGCTCGTACTCAAGTTAGAAAGACGTTATAACGGTAGGTAAACAATGATATGTAGTGCTTAATCCTTAAGAGGGAAGATGACACCTTACATTCTTTATCAATATGCATCTTAGTTTCATATTTCTCAAAAAAATGCATCTTAGTTTCATAAATTTCATAACAAAAAAGTAGTAATTCAATAATCAATATAAGAATCAATATGGAATATCTAATCAAGAGAAGAGGAAGCGAAAAAAACACAAATTGTTGTGTATAGATTCTGCTCACGATATTTCATAGAGAAAAATATCATAAAAATTATTAACCGACAAAAGGGAACGATAAAGGGGAAAATGCATCAATTTGAACCTAAAATGAGAGGAACTAATATCCTACACCATCATACAATAATGATATATTATATCCCAAAATATAATTACAAAAATCTATCTAAACGAAAAAGTATACTAAATTGAATCCAATGTGTAACGATGAAGATATATATTATATCCACCTAATAAATAATACATTAAGCCATGTTTCTTAGAGACCTCTCTCGATAGAACCACTCTATGATAAAAAAACCATTTCGTCAAACAATTGTATCATATGAGTTTTAACTTACAATTTAAGTGCTTATAATTAGCTATTTCAGCTCATAAATGAATTAATTATACCATTTAGTAAACAAAATTATAAACTTGAGAGTTATTTTTTTTTGTTGTTAAATCATTTTAACTAAAGTAAGAAAGTGCTTCAGAACTGTTACTTCATTCATCATTATTAAAAATCTGTGTTTATTATAACGTCTAAGCGAGCTAGGAGATAGACAAATGGCCAATGACCACCTTACGATTAACGTGTTGCTGAACGTCAGTAATTATAGCAAACTTTGAGAGCATCTTATAAATTTGATCACTTCTATGGGGTATAATTGATTACATCCCGAAACTGATCAATCAATGAGTCTTTCAATATGATTTTGATAAGATGTCCCCTACTGCACAATTAGTATGACTAAATTGTAATAAGATAATCATGTATTGAATATTAATTGATAGCGCAAAAGATCGTACTAACTCAAGTAGAGTTTTAGCTACTCAGTACTTCATATTCACATGTAGATAGATAATTCAAAGAGTTCGAATATTGATTGAGTTTGTTGAACTTTACCTAACAAAACTATGATATCAATCGCAAGATATGATGCTTTTTCGAGAAATTGTGAGAATATGTTGGAGACATCAAACATAACATGGATACCGTTGAATTTAAGTGATAAGCAACATTTATAGTTAATAGATTATACATGAAAAAAATATTAATCATTCCCATAGGTTGGTAGGAAGCAGTGAATAATTAGGAATGAAAAGCTAGAAACATTAGTTGATTTAACAAATAACTATAAAAAATATTGAAAAAAAGAAAATAAAAGCTTAGAGTGTATGCATGAGAGTGTTACATTAAATCATCAAACAGAAAGCAAGTAATCATTAATAATTAGTTGTGGATATTGAAATAGTTTACTAAGCTGAATACTATATACTGATGATTAATAATTGGAACTTAGCTTGAACATTGCATCATATTGATAAAAAATTATTTCATTAATTACAATGCTGAAATAAGGGGTCGTATATGGAAGTCTTTATTGTTTTTGTGAGATTTTTAATATACATTCTTTTTCATAATATAATACATATGTTTTTATTTTTAGCATAGATAGTCAAGCTAGTGGGTTTTCGTGTTTGTCATGTTTATTTTTCTTGAAATGTACGGTGTCAGTGTTCTTATGTCGTCATTGAACACTTCAATTCAATGTACAATATTCCAACCAATGATATTTGTATTGAGATTTTAAAATTATCATTCATTTATAAGTTAGAAAAAATTCTAAAGTACTTATTAAAATATGAAAATATAAGTATCAAACTACTCAAAATACATACAGGAGACTTAGAGGGCTAGCTAACCGTGATACAAATGTACTATGCTTTTCAGATTTTAACTTCCTGTATGTTTTGTATTAGTTAAAGACAACAAATGTGTCTAGTTTAATTGGTTATAATTCTTGTCTTTGATGAGAGAGACCGTGGTTCAAATCCTAGCATTGATATATTTTTATATGAAAGAAATAGTGATTGTATAGACGAAAATATCATTCCTACTTTCACTCTCGTTGCAGGAAATTTGAAATGGAGCAAATCAAACTTTATAACAACGGTGTATAGAATTGGGGATCTTTAAGTATCTAGCATTATCATCATTCAAACACTAGAAGGTTGTACTTCCCCTCTAATGCATGCCTAATGATGATGCCTACTACAGGAGATTAGCTTTCTTGTCTCTCGTGATAGTAGTATAATCAACACACATAGTAACATTCATAATAGATTCATAGACATAGAACAATCAAAACATCATATGATAAAGAACATCAATAATCACAGACAATATATTATTAAAGCATGGATTCAGTAAAGCATCAAAAGCAACAAGCATCGATGAACCAAACCATAGAACGAAATGAGCATCTCATTGAGTCATTGAAAGCAATGCATAAACATGATATAATTCACAACATTAAACCGATCGACTAGCACTCCAAAGAGAAGTAGAACAACATCACTATTGATACATGCATCGATGGTGAATGCTCCTCCTTTGAATTCTAGCAGCAATTCTCTTTTCTACAATTTGCTACTCGTGCCTCTAGAGCAGAGTGTTGGTAAAAATGTGTTGCGTTCATAAGCTCTATAATAGCCTCCTATTTATTGTAGTTACATAAGGGGGGGGGGGGTCTAGTCTTTTTCCTCCTAAAATCTGTCAAATCCTTCCTTGTACGACTAAAACTCGAATGTCTTCGACTTAGAGACAAAGTAGCTTCTGATTTTTAGCTTGGGATGGGTTGCTTGTGGGTCAAGTGGCTCCTCCTCTAATTTGTAGAGCGTCCACTAGTAAGAAAATATCTCGTGGGTCTTGGTAAAAGTCAGGCCTGTTGCACTACATATCTGCTTATTTTGGTTATACAGTGAGCATCCGATGTCCAAATTCATCTTTGTTTGAGTGCATGAGCTTGTATTCTTATCCTCCTTATGATCCATTAGGTTCCTTGGTGATCCATATTCGTATTAATTGGTATATAACCTTGAAAAAACACAAAACAACACCATAAAGGCATCAAATAGCATGGTCCATGAAACCGTACCGGAGACCGTACCGGAAAAGTCAGCGATAGGGTATTTTATGACAAAACCGTAGTTCAACCGTTAGTACCGTTAAATACCGCCTATCGGTTTACCCTCTGATACTGGTATTTTGTGGTTGAACCGTCGGTACGATACGGTTTAATGGACCATGTCAAATAGTACTAAACTACTCTCAAGGTATATCTTACACTCATTAATCAAATAGTTGTGAATTTCATATGAAATATAATCAAAATTACTAGAGATGCATTGATAGAAGGGAGAATGTATCAAATATGAGAGTGAACACTATAAATTGACGGGTCGTTTGTTTCATGGATTTGAAAAATGAGGGTTTTGGTAAAACCTGGGTTTTGGAAAACCATGGATATATGATGGATTTGGTGGCATTATGGATTTGAACAAGTCTATTGTTTGCTTGATGGATTTGATGATGGACTTTGTTTGATTAGATTTGTGGATATTAAATACAAATTACCTAGTTACCCTTATTTAATTATATTTCTATATTATAATCCAAATCTTTCATTTAAAACTAATCCAAAACATAGAAAGAAATTTTAAACTCTTTACCACTTTGTGGATTAATAATTCAACTACAAATATAGAAATGTATTACAATTTGGCACTAATTAACAAGTCATCTAATAATGTACGCAATATTATGTATCAATTGCAGCCAATTGCTCGCTTTATTGCTACAACTCATCATCTTCTTGCTAACTCACCGATGTGGAATCCGACAAGACAATTAATCAAATAATAATGTACAAGATGAGCATAAAGTGTTTCTAGGTGAATCTAACAAATCACATATACATTCATATTTAAATAAAATATGATATTACAAAATGAAATGATAAATTCTCATATTTATAAAATACGAAATTATAAAAGTTTACAGTTGCATGACCATTGAATTAAAGTAGGACAAATTTGTAATTAAGAAATAATTAAGGTTAGAAAGGTAATTTACCATCATGGATTTTAATCCATCACCCAAATCCCACCTCAAGAGGTGGAACTTCCAAGTCCGTGGAGTCCACGGATTTGGAACCCCAAAAGAGGTGGGCCCCACAAATTCCATATCCCTAATTCCCTAAAGCAAACGATGGATTTTGGTTCAAGTCCATGATGGATATATTTCCATGACCAAATCCATCACCAAAACCCTCAAGCAAACGACCCCTGAGTGTCATCAGGATTCATGCTGACAAGGAGCGTGACAAGGAGCATGATTTACCAAAACAGCCAAGTCAAGATCTTGTAAACCTTACTTGTCCTCTATAGATTACCGATGTTTTATGCTCCGTTTTGTGGATTTATTGTTTTTGGAAACTTTACATTGTAGTCGAAAGTGGTGTGGCTGAATGAATAATGCTATAACTTATTTGAAATGCTCTATTATAGATATCATGAGGTTGATAAATCATTTTGATCTCCTTCTCATTAAACCGTCACCTAACCTTCATGACCAACTCTTCAGGGATGGAGCCAAGAATGGAGTGTTGGGGGGGAGGGGGGCGAAATTTAGTGCATGAAAAAAAAATACAATCACTAAAAAAAGGCATAATTTTGATCTATCACCTACAAAATTGAATTTTCAACTTCGAAAAGATTGTTTTTAAAATTTTAACTTAAAACCTAAATTCCAATATACGTGCATAATTTGAATGATCTTAATTTAAGTAAATAACAAAGGCACAAAATGATAGCAACCCAACTTCCACTATAACGTTATAATAATATTAACATAATATCATATTGAGATGTGATTATTTCTACTCTCTGATTGACTATACTTAGTAAATGAAGGAGAATATGCGATTTGATAAATTAGGGTTGAGATCTGGGTCCCGTTAAAGAATTGGAACAATGGTCGAATGAACTACTAACACGAATTGTAAAGTTGATTGAATCCTCGGTCTGGTCCGATAAACCACAATTCGAACCAAATAAAGACACCAGAACATCAGTTGGCGGAGAGCGGGCTTGCTGAACATGTGGGCTGAGTATTTTGGTTCGGTTTCTCGGTGCGTTTATTCGGAAATCAATTCGGTAGATCATTGTTCCTGAATTAGACATTTTTGCCTTCCAACTTCCAAACACTTCTGCGATTGGACACTAATCTTGGTTTGAACCAGGAATCGGTTAAACCGAACTGAATTACCACCCCAACCAATAGGGCAAAAACTGAAAAAAACGTGACGTTCCTATCACTTTGATTTTTTAATAATAAAAAGAATTAAGGCGCCCTTTCTTCTTCTAATAGTTTCCACTCTCCCTCCGTTGTTGACGACGGGGAGACCATTCGGTTAGTGCTCTCCCGTTTCCCTGAAAATGGAAGTAATCCTAAAAGAAAATTAAAGAAAGTGATTCTTGGTGTAGCCATGGAGGAAGTTTGATTACTCACGACTCCCGCATTTCATACTAAGTTAGGTTCCCCGCTGATTTTCTTTCACGCAGTAGAGCGGCCTAAAATTTCGACGCGATTTGCAGGTACTCCGCTCGCCGAAGGAACAATGACGGTGGTTCCGGACGGCCTCTGCTCTGTCGCCGAAGTGGATAACCTCGATAAGTTGCTAGACAAGCCGCCGAAGCTGCGGGTGAACATTGACCGGCAGCGATCTTGCGACGAGAGGTCACTGAGCAGCGAGCTCACCAACGGCCACGCGGATGCAGTGCACTCGCCGCCGGGAACGGCGCGAATGTCCGGCCTCGATGCTCCGGGGACACAGTTCGCCGCCGGAATCGATTCGCATCCTTACGTGGTGGAAGCGTGGGCCGCGCTGCGGCATTCTGTGGTCTTCTTCAGGGGACAGCCGGTCGGGACGATTGCTGCTTCGGACAACACCGAGGAGAATCTAAACTACGATCAGGTAATGTGCATTTTTTTTCCTCCGCCATTGTTGCTGTTGAATTTGAGTAGGAATCGCGTTTTTAGGCTCCATGGATGAATCTGTGTAGCGAGAAATTAGTCCATCAGCCAGATTCATGTGGAACAATCGGAACTTCTTTTCAACCTAGGGCTGAATCTAGTTTTCTTTGTTTAGGTGTTCGTGCGAGATTTCATACCTAGCGGGCTGGCATTTCTTATGCATAAAGAGCCAGAGGTAGTCAAGAACTTCATTCTGAAGACCCTACGCCTTCAGTCCTGGGAGAAAAAGATCGATAGGTTCCATCTTGGAGAAGGAGTTATGCCTGCCAGTTTCAAGGTGCTACATGATCCAGTAAGGAACTACGAGACTCTGATGGCTGATTTTGGCGAGAGTGCAATTGGTAGGGTTGCTCCTGTTGATTCTGGGTTCTGGTGGATCATACTGCTAAGGGCATACACCAAATCTACTGGGGATACTTCATTGGCTGAACTACCAGAATGCCAAAAGGGAATGCGGCTTATTCTGAGTTTATGCCTTTCAGAGGGGTTTGACACATTCCCTACTCTTCTTTGTGCTGATGGGTGCTGCATGATTGATCGGAGAATGGTGAGTTCTTGTAAACAATGCTGTTTTATTTGAATGGGTAGCTACTTCTAGTCCTAATAGCTTCTGATTTTCTTCTTCGCAGGGTGTTTATGGGTATCCAATTGAGATTCAAGCGCTTTTCTTCATGGCATTAAGATGTGCTTTGGTGTTGCTGAAACAAGATGAGGAAGGGAAGGAGTTCATGGAAAGAATTGTCAAACGCCTTCACGCCTTGAGCTATCACATGAGGAGTTATTTTTGGCTTGACCTCAAGCAACTCAACGACATATATCGGTACAAAACCGAGGAGTACTCCCATACTGCAGTCAATAAGTTCAATGTGATGCCTGACTCGCTACCAGAATGGATATTCGATTTTATGCCCAGTCGTGGTGGTTACTTCATTGGAAATGTCAGCCCCGCAAGGATGGACTTCCGTTGGTTTTGCTTGGGAAATTGTGTGGCCATTCTGTCATCCCTCGCCACCCCTGAACAGTCCACGGCAATCATGGATCTAATAGAAGCGCGATGGGAGGAGTTGGTTGGCGAAATGCCCCTCAAAGTATGTTATCCTGCCATAGAAAGCCATGAATGGAAGATTGTAACAGGCTGTGATCCAAAAAACACAAGATGGAGCTACCACAATGGAGGATCCTGGCCAGGTAAGCATTTATTTCTTGCTTTTCCTTTCAGGAACAAGGTAGAGTGATAGTAATTGAGTACTGAAAGTATAATAACGACATTCAGCATTCATTGCCACTGAGTTTTGCTTGAACTGAGTGCTGACAATGAGTTTCTTGGTTTCCAAGTAATGTAATGTACTTTGAATTCACACTGTAGTACATGGTAATCTACTACACTGAGGATTTTGTGTCCGTAATAGTTAGCTTCAGATAGTACATGTAGGCTTAAGAAGGGGTTTCCACAATTCCCTTGTTGATTTACACTGACCAATCTGTCAATTGGCCACATTAAGAACTGGTCATCCAGAATTCATCTGTAACTATTTTGGTGCTTATTATGACTTTTGCTCTGGGGCACTCCTTCTCCTGCAGTGCTTCTGTGGCTGCTCACGGCTGCATGCATCAAGACAGGGCGTCCACACATTGCAAGGCGCGCAGTGGAACTTGCTGAGTCGAGACTGATAAAGGACAGCTGGCCGGAGTACTACGATGGGAAGCTTGGGAGATACGTCGGGAAGCAGGCTCGTAAGCACCAAACATGGTCCGTGGCAGGGTACCTGGTGGCAAAGTTGATGTTGGAAGACCCTTCTTACCTGGGTATGGTGGCACTTGAGGAGGACAGACATGTGAAGCCTGTGTTGAAGAGATCAAACTCTTGGACTTGCTGAAGCCATCCGTTGGTTATGATCCATCCTTTAGCGTCGACCGAAGATGATCGCGTAGTGATGCAAATCTATAGAGATGAACCATTCTGTTGAGTCATTTTCACATTTGTAAGTAGCAGTAACGTTCCAAGTTCCAACTGTCTGATTCCATTGAGCAAATCTATAGTGTATGTTCCTTCCAGGGCTATATTCTGTTGTTCAAAATGCAGTAGTTGTCCGTACTATGGTGGAACTGTTAGTCTTTCCCAAGAGCCCACACGAGTTGGGCCTTTCGGGCCCAAAATATGGCACGGGCTGTACAAAAGAAGCCCGTCTCAGACCGGAAAGAACGGGAACCAAACAAGCGTGTCCCTCCTTGCTAAAAAGATTTTTTTCGATGACGGGGAAAACCATTTCGGCCATCGGGATCCAGTTTTCGTGTCCTAGTTCGAAGACGGAGGAGCTACTTCGAGTGAGCGAAGCGGAAATTGACTGAGTCGTGTTATCGGAGAGATGGGCGGAGGAGGCGAGCACGGGCACGGAGCTGAAGGCGCTCATGGCGATTTCAGGGGGAAGGTGTGGAGCATGACCGGTGGCCCTTATTGCCGCCCAAAGCACTGGCGCCGCAACACTGCCATCGCCATGGTCGGCGTCTTCCTCGTCTGCATTCCCATCGCCATGAAATCTGCGGAGCTTGAGGTCTGTCCCTCGTTCTTTCATCGGAGTAGCCGATACTGTTGTTGGTGAATTTGTAGGAAACGGGATGGAGGTATGAGTTTAGCAGTGTTGAATGTCCTTTTTGGATCTCTTGGTCTAGGATCATGGACGGAACCCTAATTTCGAGCAAGATTTTTGCCTTTAGTGTTGGTTTGATCAGTCGTCGGATGAAATCGACGATGCGGATTGGAGAAATTGCCTTTGTCCCTTCACATTTGCTGATTGTAGGTTTCACATGGCTGAGAGTATAGGATGCTTCTGTCTCCTAAATCACTCCTTTCGCAATTTGATATTGTCAAAACTTTCTGGGTGAAAGAGCTAAGTCACATTGCTAAGCTTGGGGGTTAGATTTTATTTGTCCTTCCTGTCTATTTGGTTCTCCATGGCATTACTGATGGGATGGTGTTACCTTACCCTTTTGCTGCGCAGCACTCTATTCTAGCTACCTGGTAAAGTTGCTGTTTTGGCATCTAAAACTGGTTTGATATAGCGTCGTAGGGATTTGGGAACTAAGGGTGGGCGCTTTCAATGCAACCCTCCAAAGCAGCTGTTGTAGGGAAATTATGAGGGAGATAGGAGCTTCATTTAGGGATTGTTTAGAATGAATGATGCCACACATGGAGATTTTGAAAAAAGGTCGAGCAACAGGAAGCTAGTCCTTTTACAAAAAGGAATACTCCATTGAACTTACAGTGGCTATGCGATAGCTGCTTTTCTTTAGTTTGAATTAGGCTTGGAAATCAAACATCTTTCTTTTGTTTGGTGCGATAGACCGGTGGTGGAATGCTTCTCCTTTTCTTGGTCTGTTATCTTCCTTACAGAAATTTGTATTATTGGCACTTCTCCTTGTTTTCTTCTCATGTTGCCTTTCCTAGATGCTTGGCCTTGATTGATTGCCACTCTTCTTGAAGGCAAATTATGCTATAAGTCAATGCTGATAGACCAATCTCATTAACTTTATATCTACTATCTCCTCTAATCTAGTTTAAGTTAGGAAGTTGGGCGTAGGGCAACTAACTCCTACCTCAAAATTTATGTCAGAAGTCTGTTTAATAATGACTGTAAAGAGTGGCTGTCTACTATCTCATCTAATCTAGTTTAAGTTAGGAAGTTAGGTGTACATAAACGAGGGCAACTAACTCCCACCCCCAAAACTTGTGGCAGAAGTCTCTTTAATAACGACAAGAACGAGAGCTGGGTGTCGTATTATGACGGTTACTAACTAGGGATCATCGGCCATGGGAATCCGCATCTGCAGATTTCATGACTGTGGTTCTGATGACTGAGAATATGATGATACTCTGATTAACAATTTCGCTTTCTTGTTTGCAGCAACGGCCTCATCTTCCTGTTCGTCCGATCCCCTCGCAACTTTGGTGCAAGAACTTCGGGACTAAAGATTATAACAAAGTTGAATGAAATGGGGAGTCTCCCATTAGGTCTGATCTGGCAGCATTGGGAAACAAAACCTATTTCTTGTATCTGAAGTTTGCAGCCATTACTGAGTGTTATCTTGGATGGTTAAATGTTGCAATAAATGAAGGTTTAAGGACTGGGGTTGTCTATCTTTATATGAACCATTGAGGATTAGTTGCATTTTAATGTGATAAAGAAATTTTATTGTGAAATGAACACAAGTTAATTCAGATATTAAATACAGATATTAAACACAGATATTAAACGCGTTATACGGGTTTTATACGTGTTTAGTACATGATCAATCAAATGAACGAGAAAAAACGAAACATCTTGACAATACTACGGATACGAAAGTTTTAAACGGATAAAGTACGTACAGGTACATATACGTGTATTAAACGGAATATTTACTAACTATAATGAGATAAATTATCATAATTATCGCATAGTTCTTTTCCTCGATTTTAGAAATTCATCCTCTCGGAATGAATTATCTAGATCATAATAATTCCTATGTAGCTTAAATTATATTAAAATAAAATACAAAGTCTATTTTCATATCAAATCATAAATAGATATGCAATACTTCTAAAACACCATTTTAATTCATGGCTTTGAGAGATGGGCATATCTTATCCTCAAAGTTTATAGAGGCACAAAATTACAATTCAAAAAAAGAAAACACCGAAATTTATAAGTAATAAATTGCACATTCTACTCGGAAGAGAAGAACAACAAAGAAAAGAAAGCCCAAAAAAAATCTTCTACAGGGAGCAAAGGAAATAGAAGAGTAATTTGCTCCCCTAAAAACCATAAAAAAGAGTAAAGACCATATTTTTTCTCTCCTCCTCTCTCGATTATATCTCGCCGAACCCTTTCAATTCGCAGTAGCCCTCCCTCCCTCCTCCATTCCCGTCGCTTCCGCCGGAAAATCGAGAGGAAAACCCAGGAAAGGCGAAGGAAAAGGGGAAGAAAAGAAGAAGAAAACCCACATCTGCTTTGATTTGATTTCTTACCATGAGGCCGCAGAAAAGGCCGATCCACATGCTGACGACATGGGTCCGGCGGCAGCCACCCAAAGTCAAGGCCTTTCTCGCCGTCGTAGCTGGGATGGCGGCTCTAGTCCTCCTCCGCTTCATCGTCCACGACCACGACAACCTCTTCGTCGCGGCGGAGGCCGTCCATTCCATTGGCATCTCTGTTCTTATTTACAAGCTCATGAAGGAGAAGACTTGTGCAGGTAAAGATTGGGGGTCCTTCTCGAGGTTCTTGCTCGATTCGTTTATCGGGAATCGAATGGTGCCGAACAGGGATTTGTTTCCTTTTGGCTGGCATGTTGTTTGTTTATCGATCTCTGTAGCTCCTGGTCTCTGAGAGCAATTGTTCATCTTTTTACATATCATGGAGACTAGTTATCCTTGTTTGCTTATCCTTTTCAAGCAAGGGCATTAGTTTTCTATGAATCGAAGTAGATTTCATTTTGTTGGCGATCTTATAGAATTTGGGAATTGGGAATTAGGGCACGAAGTCTCCTTATCGCTACTCGGTAGTCTCCACCATATAGGTTGATGGTGATATGCTCTTTCTTATTTGAGCTATTTGGATTAAGAATTGGCGCTCAGCTCTTGATGTAGGTATTGCTTTGTCAAGGATGTAGATTGTAGGCTTTAGATGGGATGAAGAACAAAAATTATAAACTGATAGTTATTCTCTGTCCATCAGCTAATTGTTGTTGTGCATTAGATTGTGGTCTATCATAACAAGGAATGGGTTATGAGGATTTTTCATGCGTGGTTGCCTAAAATTGCGAAGAAATCCACTCGTTTCATCGTCTATTGCTCATTTCAGTATGGTTTGTTGATATAATTTTTCTTTAACTATGCTTTGAATGCTTTTGCAGGGCTTTCACTAAAGTCACAAGAACTGACGGCTATATTCTTAGCGTTTAGGCTGTACTGTAGCTTTGTCATGGAGTATGACATACATACCTTACTAGATTTGGCTACACTGGCGACCACTCTGTGGGTTATCTATATGATCCGCTTCAAGCTGAAGTCTAGCTATATGGAGGACAAGGACAACTTTGCGCTCTATTATGTGGTAAGTCCGCCTATTGATCATAGATACCCTTTCCTTCCAAGTCATATGCCCTGTTTCTTTCCAGTTAATATGTTGCTTTAATTGCATGAAAATTCAATTGCTTTAGTAAGTTAGACAGAATTCTGCTTGTTAGCTATAAATTCAATTGTAGAGATGGGACTTATTGCTGGAAGCAAGATTCCTCGTCCCTCGATGGTAAAATAGGAACATAATTAAAAAAATTCTTGCGATTACACTACTATCGTTTGGTCAGTATATATGGTTACTAAATTTGAATGATGGATCTTCCAGTTGTTCCTTCTCGTTGCTCACTCGTCAATGTGCACTCACTTTCATCTTGTTTTGTGACTTGGAACAGCTGGTGCCTTGTCTTGCGTTAGCTGTGTTCATTCATCCAACAACCTCGCATAATCTGTTCAACAGGATTTTCTGGGCTTTCTGTGTATACCTGGAGTCTGTTTCTGTGCTTCCTCAGCTGCGAGTGATGCAGAACACCAAGGTTCAGTTTGATGGATTGTAGATTTTCCTTTCAGGTGTTGTGGGGGTGGAAAACTTATTCGCTATTTTTGTTTCTTCTCTCAGATTGTTGAACCATTCACTGCTCATTATGTCTTTGCACTTGGAATTGCAAGGTTTCTGAGCTGTGCTCACTGGGTTCTCCAGGTATAACTAAGACTTCAAGCCCATCCTTTTTGCTCTGATTTGATCTTTTTTCGACCTTAAATAGTGCCACCACTTATGTCAGTCAATTAACAGAAATGTTCTTGTTTCACCTTTACTTTTGAAGTTGAATATGCCAGCATCTAGTGGACCTGGACATATCGAATTATTGATGCATTATCACCACTTACTTTCAACAGGTTTTGGATAGTCGTGGACACTTGCTGGTAGCCTTGGGATATGGATTGTGGCCATCTATGGTTCTTATCTCAGAAATCGTGCAGACTTTCATTCTTGCTGATTTCTGTTACTACTACGTGAAAAGGTTTGTTTGGCATAAATCTGAGTGTGCTTGTGTTTGTTTGTTCAAAATAGTTACACATATGAACGTTCGTTTGTTCTTAGTATATGATTTTTTGTGTTTCCTCCCTTTTCAGTGTGTTCGGTGGCCAGCTGGTTCTACGCCTTCCCTCCGGTGTTGTATAAGCAGAGAATGTTCGTCGCTGCGGTTGATGCTTGCCTTCACAATTAACTTATGCATGCCATCGCTGCAAGTCTGCAACCTCTCTTCTGTTTCCCACACGGGTTTTTCGTTATTACGACGTCTCGAACTTGAAGTAGAGTGGGGGATTTTTGTAAATTAACACTGCCAAAAACTTAGTTGGCTAACTGTATTGAACATAATTTTCATAGCTGAAATTAACTTTATTGCGTCAAAGACAGTGTCTTTTGTAGTTGAATGCATATTGACAGTAAACCAGTTACTTATCATGAACAAGAATTGCAGGTCATTCTGTGTTATTGCCTTTGATTGAACTGCGGAATAAAGACAGTAAGAAAAGCAGCATGAAAGGTTTCAGATTGATACAGAGACTTCAACGCTGAAGAATTTAACATTCATCAGATTGTGAGGTTCCTTGCTAGGATCCCTTCAAAGGTGATCCCCGGACCGAAAGCAAGAATCAAACCCCATTCACAGTCTTCTTTGTTTTCCTCCTCCTCCTTGATCTTCAACCCTTCCTCCACCATATACTCCAGCACATAAACAATGGTATTACTGCTAGCATTTCCATAATCCATCAGTGCTCTTCTGCTCGCATTCAGTTTCTCCGGCATCAAATCAAGCCTCTTCTCCACCCGGTTCAGGATCGCCGGTCCACCAGGGTGAACAGCCCAGAACAGTTTGTTATAATCCTTCTCAGACATCCCCACAACTCCCATCAACTTATGACAGAACCCTTCAATGTTATCCTCTATAATCTGAGGAAGCTCCCTCGCAAGCTTGAAACTGATCCCCTCTTCAGTCAATCTACCATCAATGGTCTTCTCTGTATCAGGCAAGAAGTTCTGAATCGCCGTGTGAAGCTCATACAGAGGCGGACACTCGGCCCCAGGAATGGGATCCGTGCCAACGATCATCGCTCCAGCGCCATCACCAAACAATGCCACTCCAACCAAATCATACGGCCTGCTCGCGCTAGGCGGCTTGAACCCAATGATGGTGGTTTCAGAAGTAGCAAGAAGAACCCGACTCCCCGGGTTGTTCTCAGCGATATCCTTTGCGACTCTGAGCCCTGCTACGCCTCCTGAGCAGCCCATGAAGTAGAGCATTACTCTGTGCGTATCAGGGCTCAGCCCCAGACCTTTGGCCAGGTGGAGATCACCACCTGGCAGCCTGGCCTCGCTCGAGGAGACGTAGACCAGGTGTGTTATGTCAGAGACCGACTTCCCCCACTTCCTGATGCAGGATTCCGACGCTTCGATTGCCATTCGAGTCACAGCGTCGTTGCAGATGTCCAGCCTTTGCTTGACTGTGGGCTGACCTTCGGTGGCGAGTTCAGGGTACTTGTTGAGTATCTCTTCCGACATTACTACGTACCTAGTTTTCACAGTCGTCGTCTTGCCTGCAATTTAGCCAACAAAACCATTTACATTCAACATGAGGATCAGACTGCAGGTGAAAAAGATACTGGGAACAGGAAGGGTAGTTGGTGGGTTACATAGTCGAGTTAGCTTCTCCTTGAGCTCCGGATCATCGCAGTTGGTGTTCCTGAAGTAGCCGTCGACGAGGAACTCTTGCATGACAAGCTGGTGAGGGAATGCCTTGCCGAGAGCCAGGATTGTAGCTTTGCCAGGGCTGGCTTTTCTCGTTGTGCTGCCATTTACCTTAGCATCCATAGCTACACCTTTCACTCGTTTCTGAAAGTTCTGTGCTTGAAACGAAGGATTTGGTTTATATAGGACTGGGCTTGCATATGCTTAAAGCATCATGGAATTTGATTTACATGGAAGGGTATGGAAAGCTTGCAACTTGCTGGCTGTTATATAAAACCAGTGGAAGAGAAGTAGGGCATTCATGCGGGTTATGTTTGAAAGCTGTGGGTGGAGATTAGGTACTTCTTGTGTGAAAGGTTATATTTTTCTAAGTAAACTGTTCTCAACAACAGGAGGTCTAAGTTATTGGCATCAGTAACAAACATGACCTAACAATGAGCATACATCAAAACCCAGTATAATTGCAAGCGTAGAAAGCTTAACGACACTCGACCTTGAATGATCTTCTGTGAGACATCAAAGTTTCAAAGTTCACAAAGACACTTCCCATTGATGTAATCAACTACTTGGGTGACTGACTCATCAAGTGCAACAGTTACTGCTGCTAGATTCTGCAGGAATTCCTCGGTAGTCGGCTTGTTGCCATCGACAATGTCAGTCACGGCTTTGATGAATATCGTAGGGACTTGCAACATCTCGGCTACATAGGCAACAGCTGCACCCTGGAAAACCCAACGTATTGGTTGATATTACATATTTTGTCAGTGAATGAGGGACAAGTAGAGGAAAGATCAGCGGACAGACATTGTAGTTATTGCTTATTATTACCTCCATATCTTTCACTGCAGCATCGTTTGCAGTGATTGATGCCTCGTCCTGAGGCGACATGTCCAGAGAATCTCCGGTGGAAAGTTTACCAATCTGACAGATGCAATATAAGTAGTCTTAGGAACTCCAGTTTAGGTAAGCAAATCACCTTGATTGACCAGAATTATAAAATAACTGAAATTTAGAAGGAATGAGACATCGTTTCTGGAAATTGGTGACCTTTAAGTTAAGGTCTTTTACTATATTGGGCGTCGAACAGGGCTTCCTTGAACCTAGTCCATATAGATCAAAAACCTACAGTGCAAAGTACAGCACAAACAATGTCCACAATAAGTGTTCCAACTTAGTTGGTTACACCAGTCTTACTTACATATGCATAGAATTTAATCAGAAGGGTTGAGAACACTTACAGGAATGGGAATTCTCCGGTCATGAAAAGCAACACCAGATATCAGATATACATCCCCAACACCAGCACCTTTTGCCTAGAAACCGCTTACAATCAGCACGAGGCAAAATACAGAATTCACTATTTTATTTAGCAAAATGAACTCTTTACGAAATGCAATAAGTGTTCTTATCGCGTTTTTTCATTTAACTGTTCTTTCCCCATTAAGTGAGGATGCATGTTATCAACAGGCAGTTCCAGGAAAACTGGTACCTCTTCCAAATACGATCGACAGGCTTTACTATTTAAATGAGAAATACAGGGACAAGGAGACATGCATGCATACCTTGAAGCCGCCTGCTGTGCCCGCATTAATGATTAAGTCAGGATTTAGAGCTTGAACTGCAGCATAGGCCACAAGAGCTGCAGAAACTGTGCCGACACAATCAACACCTGCAAAGAAAGAGCGACTCGTTTATTCAGTTCCGAAGTCCAACGCTTGGAAATCAACCCACATTACTATGAAGGGTGCTTGAATGATTATTAAATGCTGAATTTCTGTAACTCACCAAGGGTGGAATCTTTTCCAGGCCATACTAAATTGATTTGCAGATCCTTGTATGTACCATAGTACCTGACCCAGGGAGCACCTTTTGGAAACCTGCATATTGTAAGCACACATCCTTCACAATTACTCTTTGTATACATTCATTTGGGAGAAGAATGCAGATGCCAAGCTGTTTAATCCACAGATCAGGACAAAAAGTGCCATCTTGCTTGCAAGTCACATTAGGAAGGTGAACAGGCAAACACAGCCACCAGTAAACAATTTTTACCAAGGTCGTCAATCACTCTCCATGAGATGGAGCACCAATGGGTTCTCAACTGAACATTCAAGCCCACTCTCCACAGTCATAATTCGGTTCAATGAACTCTTGCCATAAGAAACCAACTCAAATTCAAGCTTGAAACAAAACCCACTTACATCCAATCACAAAAAGATAACCACTTTAACAATCAGCAGAGCAAGAGTCACTTAAACAAGCTACAAAGATTGAAAGAATGAGAAAGGAATAAAAAAAAGACGTACACAGAATCAAGGTCCTCCTTGAGCTGGAACTTGTTGACTAAAGGCGTCGCTTCAGTTTGCATAGCTGCAGTTCTCAATCAAAACCGACCACCAAAGTGCACAACGATCATAAACAGAGCCAATTGAAAAGGCAAGATAACTAGACAGACTGAAAAACCAAAAGGGTACCGATGATTATAAGGATGGAAGAAATAGGACGCTGTTGTTGCTGGTCAACTGGAGCAGCGACGGCTTCCCCTGCTGCAGCGTCTGATCCGCCGCCGTGTGGAGGTGCCATGGTAAAGTCGGGCGGTCCGGCGAGTTGGGTTACGGCGTAATGTTTTGGGTGCAGGAAAAAGCAGTGGTCGAGTGCTTAATTTCCCAGGAAAATCAAGAGACTGCTGCCAAGAGGAAGAGAAGAATCGTGATTATAATTATTTGTGTTGTATTAGTTAATCAATTGATTATCCATCTCTCATTGACTCATAGTAGCTTACACGCATGCTTCATGGCAGAGAGTGTTTGGTAAATTATCCCATTTGTCACTCTACTTTATAATTTGAGGCAAAATATCTAGCCATGACAATTGACAATAGTCCTGTTTTTGCAACCCGACTATTTGGCTTCAAAGTGTGGTTGCGGTTCTGCGGTTTAACCAAAACTGTAACTGAATTATATGGTTAATGGTTAATCGATAACACCAAAATGAAAGGCTAGAATGATTTTAGGTCTAGTTTTGAGTAATTTTTCAGTGTAATTGTAAATCGAACCTCAAAACAACAAATTGCAAATATTAAAGAATCCGAAACCCTAGTGCCCCCGTTCTTAAGTAACCCTAACCAAAAAGAATGATCAATGGGTTATTCGATTGAATGTGGTTAATTGTAACATTCAATTTTCAGGTAACCGCAAATCGCAAAGATTTTGATATGGTTGCTGCCATGACACCAATTGGAGGAAGTTGGATTGGTCACGGCTGCTTCCTAGTCCTCGTTGGACGGATGTGAAGGTAATTTTATAAAAGATTGTCACTGCGTCCATCCAACGACTGCAAAGTGCCAATGCCATATCCATTGATGCCAAGTGTCTTTGAATTTCAACAATTGAAACAAAACAAGCCAAAATACACCGTTTTTAATAAAATCTCACCATTATCACAATCGTGATGTGCCGAACTTTCAAGAAATATTTACAAAGAAGATTTGTCCTTCTTGGAGCAACTAATGTACAAAATTCAACCCGAACGAGATTCATCAATGCACACGAGGCATGATCATCGAATGTAAGTCACTTGAAAAGGGGTGAAGATACGTCTATACAAATCAACCGGTTAACACAAACTTATCGAGCACGAAACACAAACAACATCGTGAAAACAAAAACTGCCAGTTTTGTTCAGTCCAAGTTCTGATCTATTGCTTTAGTCGATTTCCATTCCAGCAGATCACAGTCTGGTGGGAAATTGACCAGACTCAATAGCATTCCCACCACCACGATCTTCTCCTTCGGCAACCGGCTCTCCATTCCATAAGTAAGAAAGACAAATGTCCATTCCATAAGCTCCAACTGCTAAACCCCAAACAAGAAAACAGAGCAGCTGGCAGCTCTTAGGGAAAACAGAGTGTCCATCTTTGAACGTTTAATCAAAATTGCGAGTTTTTTCTATCAGTGTTCGTCCGGGCCACGCCACCCTTCTTTGTTCCATATCCAATGATGCTCCATGAATTGTATATTGGTTCTGCTTTCATGAGTTAAAACTCTTTGCTCTGTTCTGTCAGCGTTTTGTCTCTGTTCTACTTCTACCAACCAAACACCGTGTCACGATTTGTCTCCCATTAGTCGGCAACAGAAAACAAACTGACACTGATTCTTTTGTAGCCTTCTACATAGGGTTTTCGCCCACCTAGATTTAAAGATTACAGCAATTTCTTTGGGACAAATCCAAGTGTTAGGAGGAGGGAGCTAATGGCCGAGAAGTTATAATTCCTCTTAACCAAGGCAGTCAAATCGTGATTCAATGTAGAAACATTTTGGTGAGCTAAAGCGTAAGAAAAAGTAAGCTTTAAAGCATAGATTTTGACTACAATTGTAAGTTAAAAGCTCGATTCTACGTAGAAGCATTCTGATTTTCTAGAAGTGTAAAAGTATAAACTTTGAAGTGTCAAAGTGCGATTTTGAATGCATTGCTCTTGAACAACATGTACCTCACCTTTCTAATGAAATTGGTAGCGAAACTAGATCTCTAAGTAAGCGGAGACCAGATTATATACTTCAAAAAATTTAAATCGTAGGCAAAAGGTCGATACATTCTCTAACTACTATATTAACCAAATCCATTACGGAAGAACCAATGGACAAATCATGACATTTCCAAAATTTCATTCATATTGTGTATACATCTAAATGCAAATTAAAATCAATGTACAGAATGTGGCACATCACTCCCTCCCTCAAATCTCTTATGAAACAAAAAAAAATATATGGATGTCACACCGTTAATCTAATTTTCTCTATCGTCACTAAAGAGAAACGAAAAGAAAGACACCGCCGGCGGTTTTATTTGATCAATCTTGGAGTGGAGCGAGCCATCTCTAGCTATAGTCTTAGTTCTAACCAAATCGCCACCAACAAGATGAGAAAGAAGAGATAACGGCGTCGATGGCGGGGAGAGGATCGGATTCTGAATCCACCGTTTGGCAGCATTGGGAATGCATCAGGGAGCGGCATTTGACATTCCTCGCCGCCGAAGTAAACCCTCCTCGGCAGCGCCCATCCATTCATCAACGTGAACTCATCCAAATCCTTCTCCAAGATGATGTCCGTCGTCACCGACCCAAATCCGCCGCCGGCGGCGGCGGCTGCAGCTTCCGTTAGCTCGCTGTTGTAGTACGGCAAACCCCAAAACAGAGCAACCTCGTCTGCCCACTCCCACAAAATCAACTTTCAGAATGTATATTAGGGAATAAAGCAATTTGATTTGGAGCATTACCTTCGATTCCGACGGTCGGGAGGGTGGTGGCGTTGAAGCTGTAAGCGATCGCCTTCTTCGAAAAACCGGGGTGCTGGACTACCAAATTCCAGTCGGAGTAATTCTTCCGGAGATTGTAGTTGGAGATTGTGAGCTTCACTCTCCAGAACCGCATGTAATTGTTCTTCACGTGCCAGTGAATTCGAACAGGGCACATGTGATCCGTACACTGCAACTTGTTGTCGTCCACGCCATTACCGCCCAACGAAGAAGAAGAGCTCTGGCTGGTGAAAGTACAGAAGGGTTTTAGGCTGAGCTATCTCTCTTGATCATGGTTTCTGAAAACAGGGGAAGTTTACACTTACTGCATTTTTTTTACCTTGAACAAGAAACTCCATCGGAGGCGGAGTCCCTGCATCCGCAGCTGCATTTCGGGCAATCCGTGATCTGCGGACTGTAGAATGTTGACAGCGAGACGCAGCATACGGGCGCTCTGTTCGCTAGGAAGCTCGAGTAAGTGCACACTGATTTCATCGTTCCTGAAAAAGGAAAGAAACAGAGCATTTCAGGGTGTCTGTAAAACAGAGGTGAAAAGAAGAAATAAAAATTGAAACTTTGATTCGGAAATCTTACTGAAAGCTCTGATCTTTCTTCTCCCGCCGTAGTCGAGAAACACGGTGGATTCCGAATCCTGAACCGGGCCACAGGTGTAGCCAAGCCCTGGAGCAAACAGAGTGAGATTGGCAGGTGGATAACTAGTATTGGCTGGGAGATTCCCAACTGTCATCTCAAATGCTGAGAATGACAATGAAGGATCAATAGCCCAGGCCGACATCACTCCACCGCGGCAGCACCCCTCAACGGTTCTCCCTCCGTCGTCTGAGGCTGCGCCGGGCCATAGGTCGGCCATGATTGGGTTCTGCTTGCAGCAGTGCGGCTTCAGGGAAGCGAAGTTCTTGCAGTCCCCTGAATCTGTAGCGTATGCGCCTGACATTTTCAGGATGATCTCTCCTTTCGCCCATCCCCAACCAATCTGCCACCCTGGCTTCTCCACGTGGCGGTACTGGTAGAAGTTCCTGATCGTCACCCTTGCCGCATAGCCTCCATTTTGCGGGTAATCGAGGACGTCAAAGGTGACTGTGATGTTGCCGTTAGGATCCAGAGGGTCAAAGCAATCTGCAAGAAACAACAGAGATTTCGTCATAAAAAAATGCAAAAAGATGGAAATAGAGATAGAGATGGTAAAGGGTTTAATGCCTGATAGAATGCAGAAAGCCATTAGAATCATCAGCTTCAGCGCGAAAGACCTTACAGAAACCAGCAACTGTTTCATTCTTCTTCTTAGAGGAAATCAGGAGGATTTAGAAAACAGAGGAAAGAGGGGGAAAGGAGAACACAATTCTCTCCTCTCTCTCTCTCCTTCTGTTTTCTCTAGGCAGAGTAGAGTTCCCAATGGGATTGGAATCAGTAAGAATATTATTGATGTGGGTTTAGTTCTAAGCTTATAATCATTGAAAGAATCAAAAGCTGTAGGTTGCAGTTTGCAAAAGTCCACACTCTTGGTCAGAAACTAATATTATTGGATATCCTACACAATATTAATGTGGTGGAAGAACAGCAAACACTTGTGAGGCGCTTCTCCTGTGTTGTCCGTTTGCTATCAAAGACGGCGATCTTTCTTATAGCTTTCTTACCCTTCTCTGTAATTGACGATTATCCAATAGACCAATACTAATATTTGGTTCTCACAAACAGATATATAGCATTTGAAGAATGTTCCAACCACCCTAAAGCTGTGACAAGTGATCTATTACACTAGATAATCCGCGACAAAGTTTAACTGTTCGTAGAAGAGATTAATTCGTACCTGTCAAGCGTAAGCTGAAAAAGGCTTCACATTTCGATCTCTGTTTCAGTTACATTCTTGCCAATGGCTGTAGATTCATTGGGTTCAACGGACACCTCCAATGGATCTCGAACACTCACTAGCCTTGAGCATCTTGTTCGCTATCGAACTGATCGATAGGTAGGATGAATCGTCAACAAAGCTGGACTCAAATCGACCTTGGCTGAAACTCCCATACATGGGATGGCCCGCTATGAACCCCAATGTGGGTCTGGCAATAAGCAGCAGCAGCTTCAGCCAGTGGATGTGGTCTTCAACTTAAATCGAAATGGCGCCATGAGAAACTCCTTGTCAGCAGAACAACAAGGTGCATTCTTCAGCGCAAACGATCTGGTTCAAGGCCAGACCTTCATCAGCGCTGCAATCCGCGAGAGTGCCAGACCAATCATAAAAAACTCAGTAGCAGTTTGAGAAACTTCCTTTAGATGACCAAACCAGGCCATACTTTCATCCATCCCCATAAACGCCCAAATGTTGGTCAGGTCATCGTCAGCTGCCATTGCAGGATAGCCAAACTCAACGAAGCTTTCAGTGAATTACAGGCATATTATGATCTAACTATGATTGACATCTAAAATCCAGTACATCTGTGAATCAAATCCATCCAAATAGAACACCAACCGATATGACAATCTCAAAATCTGTGACGCCAGCACATGGGCTACACCGGAAGATTCCATCCCGGGGTACAAATGCAAACATCGAATGCAGAATCAGTAAACTTAGAAGCTAAACTTAATGCTATCAAGGGTCAACTGATCTTTTCGAGCAGCTTGCTTTCCAGAGGATTGATGTTTGTATAAATGGGAAACCCTAGCAGAAAATCGGCAGAATCAAGGTTACACGGTAAGAACCTGCAGGAATCGGGAAGACTTCGAGAACAGGGTACGCTGGGGTTGGGATGAACCCGGCGAGGTGTTTGGGCCCGGCTGTTGTGAGGGGAGGCCATTTGTGGCATGGGCACTGGATATTTTGGGCTGGGCCGGGTATTGCGTGTGTGGGCTTTTCTATTTACACGAGGATCATTCCCAAGGAAAAGCTTTATGGGTAGAGAGAAGCTTGAAAACGATCAACAACAACAATGGCTTGTCATTAGAGGGCACAATCTACTATGAATAAGGTTTTAAGCATAATCTCATTGTTCTTGGTGTCATACAAGTGTTTAAATTTGAAGATGATGATGACAAGGCTTGTAAAAGTGATGGAGTGCCTCACTAAAAAATTTAATATGTTACTTTTACTATTAACAATTGAAATTATACATCGACTAAGCGACAACGTTAAATTTTTTTATCGATTTTAACTGTTACGAGTAAATTGTGATCGAAGAGAATTCGTGGGAAATAGTATTGGACTCAATAAACCTAGAAGACGCACCTGAATTTAAAGACACAAAATAATGTTTGATGAATGTCAATGAATGTGTCCCTACCAAGGTTGTCAACCCGCGGGTTGACCCGGACCCGGTTGAGCTAGTGGGTTAAGGGTTAATGGGTCACCCGTTTTAGCCCGATTTAGCCCGGAAATATGAAAAGCGTCACTATATTGTACTTATCCTGATAAATTATATCAAATCTCATCTAACATATGAGTTATAACATATAATATTACACCAAAATAACATGTCGTACTTAGATTCAACATATAGTGAAAATTCACACACACTTATATAATATTAATATTCAAATGTTCAACTTAGGATTCCAAAGATTAAGTTAGACGAAAAGAAAAATCGGAAAATAGGCGCATTTCGCAAAACAAAGAAAAAAATGACACAATTTGACCTCCAACACGATACCTTGTAGCGGTCGACCCGGTGGGTGAGTGCGGCCCGTTTTTCTCACCGGGTCGGGGTCAAAGTGGGTCGACCCGCGGGTTGACAACCTTGGTCCCTACCATTCTAGATATTTGTAAGAATTGTTTGCTTTAAACATGGGATAATTTAAAAAAATATATATATAGATGGAAGAATCACATATCTTAAATTCTTGTACCAGAAGAGTTGACTGAAACTGATACTTTTCAATTAGTATATATATCACATTCACATGGGCAGAAACTCATAAATTAAGCCTAAAACAACAACCTCAAATTAAGCGCATTTGTAGACGTGCATGTCTCTATACATGTAGAAAAATATCCACACCATAAGGCTCGAAATTGTTCAAAGGTTAAGGAAAATAAAATATTAAGCTTCAGATTGAGTTTATTTAACAATTAGTTCACATTCACAATCATATACCAGAATTTTTAAAGTTATTTTACGTTTCAATTGTATTCCAGCAATCTGTCAAAGTTTATCAGCACTATATTCCACTGAAAGAGGTAAAAAAAAAATGGGTCCAAGATGGAATTTTGAAACATACGTATACTTATACTGATTCGGATTCTGAGATTCCAAATACATCACTACATACAAAAAATCAATAAGATAAGATAAACTCTGAAGAATGAATAAGTTGTACATCTAAAAATATTAGGTGCATAAGAAAGAAAATCGACAATATAATACTCCTCGATACGAGAATCACGAACAAAAGATAGCGTAGATAATTATAAGGCAACAAAGAAAGAGAAGATTGGCGGAATTTTGTGCCTAGGTAGTTGTTCACACAATGGAATCAAATCAATGACATGGGGATCATGTGGCTGCAAAAGATCTATTAAACTAACCTACAAAACAAATCCATTGTTAGCTAATCATATCTCACATTTATTTCCACAATACATAATAAAAACAACACTCATTTCCCATTTTGCTCCTCGTTTCCAGGAGCTCGTCGCCATTAATGTCTATATAAGCTAAAGCACCAACAGTAATGGAAGCTCATCCCCTAAAAGACCAAACCCCAGTCGAGTGCAGAAAGCCAAAAAAAAGAGTTGCAGAAAACATGGCTGGTAGTATCGATGAAGAAAGCCAGTGCTGCTGCAACAACAACAACAATGGAGTCCTGCCATTTTCCTCCACACCAATGCAAGTCTCCTTTTACTTCACTTAACTTGCTTTTTTTTCCATTTTTGCCTTCTTCTCTCTAGAATCAATCTAAACGAGTTCTCTCTGCCGTGTAATTTGCAGGCCGCTACTGAAATCAGAGAAAGAGGAGAAGAAGCAGCTTGATCAAGCCATGTCACTCCAGTCCTTTCTTGGGCTGCAAGATCTCTTCTCGCAAAATGTACGAAATTGTGGTTTGGTTAACTTGAATTGTTTTGAGAGTTTAGATGGACGGTTATAATAGAATGCACGTATTCGTTAAAATAACTATATACGCAATTGGATTAGCTACGTGCTATAATATCCTTTTTAGTGATCACATAACACGTTGTTCCTTCCTAGTGATGGCAATGGGGCGGGGCGGGTACCTCAATTTCCATGCCCCGTCCCACGCTACTACGGGGCGGGGCGGGTAAAACTCGTGCGGGTACGGGGCGGGGCGGGTCGATCCAGTCTTACATGTTATTCGAAAAAACAAGTAAATTTTACTTTTTACGATAAAACGAAGGGTAAAACACTTTAAGAATGAAAAATAGTGATAATAGAATGGGTAATTGAGTCTAACAAGTTGAAAGAGCGACCCTAACTAGTTGAAGAAAAGTCAAAATAGGAGAAATATGTATAGAAATGGTAAGAAATTGAGATAAAATGAGTCTAGAACGGAGCGGGGCAGGACGGGTCGAAAGTAGATACCCATGCCCCGCCCCATCCCGAATCAGATCGGGTAATACCCACGAAGCGGGTTGAAATTGTCATCCCTATTCCTTCCGTCTATAACCAACATTTTTTTTTAACTGATTTAGATTTGGAGGGCAGCGGTGGCAGAGCTCATCGGAACGGCGGCGTTTGTCTTCTGCATCGACGTCATCGTGATTTCATCTCTTGAATCACAAGCCACCATGCCGAACCTCGTCCTCGCCTGCCTCATCGCCGTCATCGTCCCGATCCTCGTCATCGCCACGTTCCCGATCTCCGGCGGCCACGTCAACCCGCTCGTCACGTTCTGCGCCTTCCTATTGGGCCTGGTCTCGCTCTCCAAGGCCCTGATCTACATTCTGGCCCAATGCCTGGGGGCCATTCTGGGCGCTCTGGCCCTCAAGGCCGTGGTCAGCAGCGCGATCGAGAGCAAATTCTCGCTGGGTGGGTGCACGGTCACTGTCGTCGCGCCTGGGCCCAATGGGCCGATTATCACTGGGCTTGGGACTGGCCAGGCCCTCTGGCTGGAGATCATTTGTGGGTTTGTTTTCTTGTTTGCTTCGGTGTGGATGGCTTTCGACGGGCGGCAGGTTAGGGCTTTGGGCCGGGTGACGGTGTGTGTGATTATTGGGATCGTTTTGGGGGTGCTGGTTTTCGCTTCGACGACGGTGACGGCGGCGAGAGGGTACGGCGGGGCTGGGTTTAATCCGGCGAGGTGTTTGGGCCCGGCGGTTGTGAGAGGTGGGCATTTATGGGATGGGCATTGGGTGTTTTGGGTTGGGCCGGGGGTTGCTTCGGTGGCGTTTGTTTTGTACGTCAAGGTCATTCCCCGGGAGCATTTCCATGAAATAGAGCGAGTGAGCAAGTGAGGGAAAGACAGAGAGACAAGCAAATCGAGGTTGAAAATTTGTTTACTTTAAAATTAATGTATTTTTTCTTATGGTAAGTCACAAATGGAAAGTGAGAGAATCTTGTTTATATTTTATATATGTAAGATGTATTTTGGAAATTATTGTTGGATTCCTTTCATTTGTGAAATAATTTCTACAGGTGAAAAATACAGGTAGGGATGGCAAATTACCCATCCATGGGTAATTATACCCAAACCCAAGTAGACTCATTGATAATGGGTTGGGTATGGGTGAAGTGCATATGGATTTGGGGGTTTATAGATGGGTTTGGGTAAGGTATGAATATTGCTTCCATAATCTAAATGGGTATGGGTTGGATATGGATATCCATTTACTTGAGGGTGTTTTAACTACACATGCAAAAATTGGCCCTATTTGTAAAACTTGAAACGTTTAGGTACCAAAATATAAGACCAAAAAAATTTAGGTACCAACCCAAATTCATTTGATATAAACTCAACTCAACCCAAAGTAAATGGGTATGGGTACAAACCCATTAAACTCTACCCATATCCATCTATTTGGATTTCATACCCAATTGGGTTGGATAGTAAGAAACCCATGGGTATGGGCAAAGTTGTCATCCCTAAATACAGGCGTGATTAGGAGTGGCCAACGATTCGGTTTGCACTTGACACAGAGAATTGTACCGAATTGATATTTGGGCTGAATCGGATCAGATCGAATATATTTCGATTCGATTTTGATCTTATGAATTATTTTTAAGTATGAAAAAAAATATCGAAATTGAATTAGGACAAGACCAAATCGAACTAAATGAACCAACCGTGCTTTTTGGTCCGGTAATGGTCCTCGTTTTTTTCTTTACTCTTTGTCTTGTCCTATCTCAATTTGATCTAGTTCTGGAGTGAATCGATCGATACCCACCCTTGGAGGTGATACATTAGAGAGATTTTCAAAATACTTCCTACTTTCTAAAATATTTGAATTGGATGAACTATTTTTCATTGCACTCTCGTCGAAATGTCGTGATAAAATTCGATTGCGTTTATTCAAATTTCATGTATCGAAGTCTTGCTTTTCAATCAATTGTCAGATAAGAAATTTGTTGGTTATCGCATTTATTATCAAACTCATCACGACCATAAATTTGAACCACCTTCTCCAATAATCACGATGATGAATCGCTCAAATGGCCGGTTGTGGTTTTTGCTCATTTCACCCCCATAACTTTGGCCTTCATAAATGTTGAATGGGAGAAGTCATTGTGAGAGTAGTACTATTAATTGTGTATTATATAAAGTCCGTATTGAAATTGTTTGATATCAAATCTAATAATTATTAACTCAAATTATGTCTGCTAATGATACTTGGTGAATGGGACGTGTCACTTCATTCGTAGACATATTAAGCCATAGGTGAAGAAATTTGACTTATTGCCAGAATAGAGTGGGCCTGCTCTCTCCCTTGGGCCCAATGAAGCAATCATCATTTACTTTATCTGTCGGGCCAACAATCAGCCCCCTCCTCTGGCCCGCGCTGTAAAGTTGTGAGCTATGAACTTGTATTTTATCACTAATTGATCTCATGTTTATATAAGATGTTGGTATAATATAATTTAGTTCATAGTTTTTAACTAATTCATATTATTTAGTAACTAAACATTATATAATACGATAATTTTCCTATCACATTATAAATGTGACATACTCAAAGTCTTAAACCATAATATATTATAGATTATATAATCTAACAAACATATGAATTATTAAGGAGTCATGTCATAAGTTATAGGTATTGATTCGCTCATAAGTAACTAGTCGAATTGGCTCGCTAATTATATTATCGAGCCGGCTCATTAGTTGAACTCAACGAGCCCTGAATCGAGCTACCTCACCAGCTTCATGACCCGAACAAGGATGGGCTCGTGCTTAATTCTTTTATTAACGAGACGAGTTATGAATGTGCTTTTTTCGAGTCGAGCGTCGCTCATGAACAGGTTGACTAGTAATTGCACTCAACATCAAAATGTAAACGGAGAAACCGATTACGGGGTCGTTTGGTAAGCACGTAATGTAGAATTCATGTATTTGAAGAACTCATGTATATTGAAGGTTGAGTTGTGAGAACTTGTGTAATATAAAAATGCATTGTTTGGCTTGCATGAGTTCATAGTAGAACTCACATAATTTGGCATGAAATTTCAAATACTTTGGGTTTCATGGTCACATGAATTCTAGAATTACACGGTGCACCAATATCATGATATCTGCTAAAAAATGAAACAAGAAAAACAGTGAAATCTCACATATCATGTAATCTTGAAATATGTGGGCCAATTTAACCGGACCGGACCATATAGTCACCCCTAGAGGATGACACCATTAATTGTATTTTTTACAAGTTTTATATTAATACTGTGTGATGTACGAAATCAACTCGTACTACTCAATATGGTTGGTAAACAAAGGTCGACTTTTTTAGCATTGTACAGAATAGAAAACTGTGGCCTCCACAGGTGTGCCAACTTACTTATAAAGAGCTTTTTGAATGGAATTCGTGCCCGAGGCACCCACCTCCCCTGCCTTCCCTGCCCACTCAGCTCAGGGGATCCCAGTCTCATACGAATCCACCGCCAAGTAATCATTCTTTGGTGATTCACTGTGATGAGTCGTTCATTAGCGACTCCTAGCCGACGACATATGGTGTTATGGTTGTTAACCACCATGAACAAGTGTGTGATGGGCTAGCTGAGGATCTTTTTGTTCTATCCCGATTGAAGCAGAAACTAAAGCCCTTCTTGAAGGAGTGAAATTAGCTCAAGAATATGGATCCGAGTGTACGGTCCAGTCCGACTGTCAGGTGCTAGCGAAAGCCTTGGAGTACGATCGCTCTCGTTGGCCATGGAAATGTGCAGCATGGATCGGTTCGATTATCGCAATCCTTAGGACAAGCCCTCTCATCAAAATCAAAGAAGTGCCCCGAGCACTAAATGTCATAGTTGATTGGGTGGCACGATCAAAAGCTAGAGCAACGCTTCCTGATGATTGGATTAATATTCTTAACCTCATTTCTGATCTTCTTTAAAAGTTGTAACCAAGTTACTCGTCTTTCAGTTGATTTAGTGGATTTTGTAATCACAACTTGCAGTAGATAGAGAAGTATATAGTGCTAGTCTGCCAGAACATGCTACAGTACAATAAATCAATAATACAATCATTCATATTCAGAACCAATCTTCAACCAAGTCTTTCGATTCTAGCCCAAAAGTCAAATATACAAGAAAACCCACACATTTCCAATCGGATAAAACAGTACATAACTTTTATGTCAATGATTGGCATTGAAGCACTCTATTAATAAGAGTTGTTTTTGGTTTCATTTACAAAAAGACTCATCCTCTTTCTTGATTATGTATGATCCTTTGAGACTGAGATCGAGTTAGTGGGTCAGCTCAAATCAGTCAACACATTTATTTTTTTGAAAATTACATTTGATATTTTTTATTTTACAATTTCGTAAATTTTATGAACAGGTAAAAAAACATTTGATGTTAAAATTAGTTTTAGTACATTTATATATTTTTTTATCTTGCTTTATAGTGTCTAAACTTTACAGACATATATGATGTGTTGGTATGGAAAATTTTCATATCACTAATTAAAATAGCTTGCAGTGGCAAAAAGTGACTCGACACTAAGTCGATCCGATCGTAAACAGATCCTGTAGAAAAATTTACCCAACCCAACTCAACCCAACCCAACCCTTAGGATCCGGTCAAACCGGGCAGAGTAATTATCCAGTGTCATGCTTACATCCTCCCACCAAACCTTTCTATTCTTGCCAAAAATCAAGCACACCCATTAATTTCCTGTCGGAATAAACAGTTTTTTTTTTAATATACTTTTAAGTCAACATTTTATTTTGTCTAATTTCTCCCCCTCTTTCCTAGTTGTGGTTTTGGTCAATGATTGGCATTGGTTGTGTTGACAAATGGGTAGTCTCCTAAGTGCCGCCATTTGTGTCTTCTCAATTGTTTAATTCGGGTGCGATCACGGGTTAGGCCTATAATAAAAATATATTAATGAGTGTGAGATGCATTTGTATCTTCTCACACCATCATAATTCTACAATTACCAATCAATTGAAGAAAAAAAGCAGAGCTTATGACTACCTGTTCATCGGCCAAACCAAATAGATTCACAGTAAGACAAACTTTAAAATGGCACTTGGTCAGTCAATTCATGGGGTAATTTAATCTAAATGCTATTTGCTCGTAAGGGTATTAGGTCGACAAAAATGAACATATATACACTCTTGTTCTTGGATTTGGTTGGTTTCAGATTGAGTTCAATTTGGATAAACTTATTTAGCCCGGATCCAAATGGGTTTATTATGTGTTGGAAACTGATCAGGAACAGTTAGGGTTATCGAATCTGGTTGAGTCGCGGACTAGGTCGCTCTCTTTAAGACGTTCGCGGCACTGTCTCGTTATTCCCACAATAGACTATCAGCCGGTCGGTCGCCTCCAGGATAAAACAATCATTCTTATTTTATTGCTCATCGGTTTTGTGCGAAAACCGGAGCTCTATGAAATCACTCTCTCTCATTTTTCTGCTCTTCTGAGGTGTATTTAGAGGGTCCAGGGGTCTGCTATTTATAGGAGCAGAAAAACTATAATATTTTCTCTTTCTTTGGGAATAAGTCACATTTTAATTAGGAAGATAATTATTCCCATAATTAAAATATATTATATTAAGATAATTAATACTAATCATCTCCATAATATTCTTGTTATTAATTATCCTTCATATTTTCGTATATAGAAAGAATACTTGATAATTAATTAAATATAGCTTTCAAAGCTATTCATTCCCAACATTATGAACTAGATGATTGTACATGTAAAAAGACAATATCGACTATATCACTAACTGTCATCAACCCAATCCACACAATCAATGATGGTATTTCACCCTTTGTCCAATACTGCTTGTTCCAGGGTAAAGAAAAATTAAAAAATCGGATCATAATCGAGTATCCATTTTGTTTTGGGTACCCATCACAATGGATCTAATTTAGACCCAAACTAAAAGATTGAATGTGAGTATACTCAAAAGTGATGTTTACCCAAAATATGACTTGACGTATAGTAAACTGAATTTGGCGAATATCAAATTGTAGGTCTTTTTTAGCCGTTCTCTACACGATTGTATTTCCTTCTACTTGTTACCCCCACTCATCGATCTCTCCGATATAAACACGAGCTTATATCTGTACTAGTCGGTAATCTCCTTTGTTCCTCACTAACGCCTTCTTAATTATTCAAGTTGCGTGGGTGGGATGAGGCGCATGAAAATACAAATGAAAGTGAGTGTGACATATTCGTCACATCATCATAATTGTACAATTGCAACCAACTTATCAAAAAGGCATAAACACGAACTTATGTCTACGTTGTTGTAGGGCCAAACTACAAATAAATTGGAAAGCTGGACGTTCCATCTACTCATTTCCCCACACTACTCGTCTCAAATTTATATATATTCACCAAATCTCATCATCGTCAACTACAACCAACTCCAAGCTCCTCTATCTCAATAATCAACCAAGGTTTTGCCGGTGCTTCACCCAATACAATCCTCGCCGGCCGGTCATCATGGCCACCGTCAACGATCATCACCTTACAGCTTCACCAAGCTCCAAATCCACCACGAAGAAAACCTTTCTCGGTCTCGACATTGGCGCTCACGAGTTTTACTCAGCTGAGGTAAGAAACACCGACTCAACAAATTCAATTTTCCCACCGAATTAGTGACGAAATCATAAATCTAAATCAGTGCATGACTTGAACAATAATAATTGAAAGAGAGGATTAAATCCGTGCCGACTATTGTATTTCTTAAATTTGTTACGAATTTTACTATGTAATTTTATCTATATTTTCAATCTGGGCTGATTTCTACTCGGGTTCCAATCTTTTTTTTTTCCATTTTTTGTAACGACAGATGTGGAAGGCTTTAGCGACGGAGCTCGTGGGCTCCACGCTCATCCTCCTGTCCCTCGCCACCGCCGCCGTCGGCTGCTCGGAGTCGCAGCACTCCGATCCGAAGCTCACCATCCCTCTCTTCGTCTTCGCCATAGCCTTCCTCTTCCTCTACGTCACAATCCCGATCTCCGGCGGCTTCCTCAACCCGACTTTCGCCACCATCGCCGCGCTCAAAGGCGTCGTGACCCTCACGCGCGGCCTCTGCTGCGTGGTCGCCGAGTGTCTGGGTGCTCTGTTGACTTCCGTCCTCCTTCGTTTGACCATGGCCCACCCGCTGGCCCACAAGTACTCGCTGGCCGGGTGCGTGATGAACGACGCCGTTTCGAACTCGGGCGTTGGGCAGGGAACGGCGTTTGTGGTTGAGTTCACGACGACGTTTCTTGTTCTCTTCACGGCCGTGACGGTGGCGTTCGACCGGGTTCGGGCCAAGGAAATCGGGTTGGCGGGTGTGACGGCTGTCATCGCGACGGCGTATGCTCTGGCGTCTTTCGTGGGTATTACAGTGACCGGTCGGGCTGGGTACGGCGGAGCGGGCCTGAATCCGGCCCGGTGTATGGCTGCTGCTGTTGTGTACGGAGGCCCGTTGTGGGATGGGCTCTGGGTTTTCTGGGCTGGGCCGATTCTGGCTTGTTTTGTTTACTGTGCTTTCAGTCTGACCTTCGCCCAAGAAAGAATGGTTGTCACGAAGGAAGTTGAAGAGCCATGTGTGTAACGATTTCGATTTGGTATTTGGTTCAATGAATAGGTGTAATGATTTAGTATGTACTGGATTATATAGGATCAAATCGAATTAAATATAATTAGCTTTCAACCCGGCTATTGGTTGGGATACTTTATTGATTATATCAAATAATAATCACAGTTATATTCAAAATTGTTTTGTGTTTTCAAATTTTTATACTTTTGTATAAGTTATTCATGAATATTGTGTTTTCTCGCATATGATCTCAATACAGTTTTATGAAAGGTTGATCTAGTGTTACTAGAGCAAACCCTATTTCGCTGGACATTTCCCATCTCATCTATTGCTTGTTGTTAAATCTCTTCATACACCCCCTCTCGTGGCTAGCTAAATTTTCGCTTCTCGATTCAATTTCTGCTGCATCAGAGAGACAATCTGTCTTCAAATCCATTTAGCCTCAACCAACCTCACACCCCATGCAACAGCATTTGCTAAGGTATACCTGACTCGGATTTACTTCAAATTCAATTACAAGCAAATGGTTGATGATTTTGCACAAATTCATATATCTCGATATTTATCGTATCATAACTAACGATGGGAAATCTTTCTTTTAGTATCGTATTATAATGAACGAGCGCAGGAATATAACGAACCTAGAGTTTTCCATCCATTAAAGAGTGAAGAAACTGCACCAAAATTTTATTGAATACTCCATTAATCAAAACTTTCACACATGCATCGAATCAGCAAGAACTGGAAAGGCTGTTGGGAATGAGAATGGTCGGACTGTGCCAAGCGTAAGAGAACTTGACAGAGGCCTTGGGAGCAATCGGGTTTCCGCCATTGACAAGGCACTTGTCGCCGTTCTGCTTGAACAGAGCCGGGTTTACTGGCAGAGTGCTGGCGAATCCTTTGCAGGAAACGACCAGGTTGCTGATGGGGCACGCACAGTTGTTGATCACTTCCACGTTCCACTGCACCTCGCCTTCTCGTGTACTCCCGCTCCTCGTCGTCCCAATCGTCACGCCGTTCAGATCACAGACGCACAGCCCTGCAACGACGAAGGAACAGAACCCAATTTTCATGTGTGTGGTAAAGACTAAAGACTCTGTTTATGGAGGCAGGGGACGAATCTGGAACAGAGTTTTATTTAAAACATAACATGGAATTCATGTACCTTTAGTGGCAAGGACGAGAACGACGACCAGATTAGCTAAAAGATAATTGGTGATTGCCGCCATGTTGATCAATCGGTTGCTCTTTCGAGAGTGGAAATATGTTTTTGAAAGTTGAACTTGAAAGCTCTAAAGGTGAGGTGTTGTGACACTTTCATTTTCCTCCCAATTTATAGATGTGAATAGGGATGGTAAGTTTCTGTAAGAAGGGTTGAACCTCTCCTCATTTGGGTTTTGGTGATCCTGTTTGAGAACATTGAATTCTGATTTGGGAATGTCGATTTAGTGCATTGTACATACATGAAAGCAGAGAAGGAAATTTGGGTACCTTATGGCATTCTTCTTAGTATATGGATGATACCGTTCATGGAGCCACAAAATGGTAAGGGTAGATAAGTCTGTACTATGATTCTGATAAGATCATTTTCCAAAAGAGCAGATTTGGAACATCGCTTTGCTACGAGAGCAGAACACGAAGCCATATTCCAAAAAAAGGGTCCATCTTTACAGGGAGGGGAAAGCCATTCCATATATAGAATGATTAGCGCAAGCTATTAGTGTCTAGTACACCAACCAAAAGAACACATTACAGCAGCAAGTAGTGAAGAAGTAGAACTGTCTGTTTTGGTCATTGATCCAGTCGAGAGTAACATCAGAAACAGTTCTTCTATCTTCTCCTTTGCCTTCCGCGTATTTTATTATTAGTATCAGTCTATCGTTCTCTTCTGACACAGTAAAAAGTGTTGAGAGAGGTACTAGAACTAGGAAGATGGCTGCAGAAGTGTAGAGGCAGAGGCAATTGGTTCATGGACAACGGAGTTTGAAGCCACTGAGATTGGATTCCCTTCCAATTGCAACATTATGCTGCCCAACATTTCAGCCACTGTCTTCCTGAACTCGTCCTCCTTCAGCTGCTTCCCGTCGTCAGCATTCACCATCTTGAGTGCTTCATTCAACACCTGATCCATCTGCGGGCACCGAAACTACGTGAGTATGTTACACCAACTTCTGCAGCGGAACTGCGGAAGCGAGCTTGAAAGAAGAAGTTACCTCTTCAATTGCACCAATTGGTGGTAGACCAGCAGATGGAGAAACTGAATCAAGTGCCATCCGCAAGTACTCTTTGGATATCTTCCCAGTCCGATCCCTTGGCACATTTTCTAGTGTTGAGTTCAGCATCTGCAACAAGTAATTAAACGCGAAGATGGGTATGCTGCAGAACTACGTTAAGAGTAAGGTGATGTATGGAAAAAAGAAATTGGTAAGCTAAAGAGTACTTTGTCTAGTTCAAACTTGTTGGACAGAAGTCTCCTAATCCCACTTCCATCAAAAGTGTTCTCGGTATGTGCGACGATGACAGGATGCTCTTTCAGACGTTGAGCCACACATTCAGCTGCTTTCTTGAATGCAGCTAAGAATGTCTCTTGAGCGGCAGCAGGCTTGTTCAGTTCTTGGTCAGCAAGTAATTGCAGTGATGGCTCCAGTATGTTGCTTAACACCTGTCATGTTGACATGTCATGCCATTCTCTTATACGGATGATGATCATGATAACGAGTAGAACGGTGGGATTAATGGTTCTACCAGACTTACCCAAGAATCAGAGCAGGGAGGTATCCCATGATCGACTGTAAGTTTCTCAAAGGCTTTGACTATGCAATCATGGAGTGGATAAGCGTCAGGTGATTCCAACTCTGAGAAGATAGAAAGCATCTCTGGTTCATAGCCTGGTCCATTGATGAACTCCAACAGGTCTTCTCCATCGATACGGAGTATGACCACAGGGTCTCTCTTCAAACCTGCAGCCATGCCTATCAGAATATCTGAAAGCACCTCTTTAAACTTGGTCTTGCTCACTTTCTCTTGCTTGCCATGGGTGAACTCATTTAGAACCTACAGGGCCAAGAAGACAGGGAATATTGGAGCGATCTAACGGAGGAAGAAACCCAGACAGAACCTTGTCCAATAAAGGTATGCAAAACTGCAAATTTAATGGAAAAAGCTTACATCTTTGCAACAATCATGGATCCTAATCGCCCTAGAAATAAAAAGGGGCACTCTTCTAGACTTGTACTCATATAAACATGTACCTTTTACAGAAACTTTAGCAGCTCAGGACCTCAAAGTATTATCAGCTTGAACTGCTGGCACGAATAGAAGTGGGATATTGAGTGTCGACAAAGGAACAAACAGACAATTATCTTTATCTCCCAAAAATCAAATGGCACATCCAAATTCGTAAGACATTCAAACGAGAGAGACCTGCCACGAAGTTTAGGGACTCCTAAAATTCCAAAACCACGTTAGCACTTCGGTGGTCCTTGTTCTATCTTAACCTTGTAACTTACAGTGTCCATGGAAAAAGGCACGATCTTTTACATGTTAGGTACCGAAACTTTATCACTTTGCCACCATTCCAAGCAACTTCTTCGAAAACAAGGTATATTTGTAGTGTCAGGTCTCCCTACTGAGCCTTCATGAAAACAGGTAGGCCAGTGGATCCCTTCGTCGCCATCACCAGAAATGATGGCAATTGACTTTCTAGGTACATAATGAAGGGGAAAGAGCAACAATTTATCTACAACTTTCGGCCTTAGATTCCACCTTACAGGTAAAGATGGAAAGCCACAAAGAAAAGGAGGTATGGCCAAGATAAAAGTCGTATAGGTGGGGGGAAAAGATAAACCCAAGTCCAGATTTTTTTAAACAAACACACCGACCATGTTTGAATAAATGGAGTTGGGCAGGCTGGGAGTTTCTGGAGGTATCCGGAAGAGGGAATAGATCCAGCATGAAACTGCCAACCCACAAGGCCACAACTTTAAACATGGAAAGCTTAGGTAATGACGATTGTATGAGAAATCAACACAAAACAGCTAACTTGATTGGATGGATTTGTAGTTGTTTAATCACTTTATACAGCTGGGAATAAGATAATCAGACGTAATCAAAAGCGGTAAAAGTCAAAATCACACGTAAAATCTCCTAACTTATCTCAAACAGCACAGTGGGTTGAAGCCAATTACGGTGGAATTCTTTATTCCTCAACTGCGACCCACTCCCCGAACTTCTGGGTATACGACGGGGTGGTACCACTCCGCCACTCGACACACTCAAACGAAGCACGCACTAAGTATCCAAGCAATCAAGTATTGGTGTTTGATAGCTTCAAAAACCAACCAGGGCTTCTCACAAGCATATCATCAAACAGTTGGTCGACAAAACAATAACATTACTACTTTGCTCAAAACAGGACAACCCAGAAAGGGAAGAGCAGAAAACAAGCAGACCCAGAAGGGGGGGAAATGGAATGTGGACTGACCTCGGAGTAGATGAGATCAGAGTCAGGGGAAGAGCCTTGAGCAGGCAAGCCAAGCGCAGCGCCAATATCAGCGACGGCAGGGTGGAGCTCTTTGACGGAGAGATGGCCGTCTCTGTCTCTATCCAGTTCAGAGAACTTATGATCGACGAAGCTGCTAAACACTTTCTCGTTCCCAACCAACTCCATTATATCCGAACCGTCCAGCACCTGCCCATGGTTATGATTAAGACTGTGATGAGATTGAGCGGCCCCTGCAGTAGCAGTGCTGAAACCTGTGTCCATAATAAATCGTTTCTTCTTTCCCCCCTTTTTTTTAGCTTTTTATCTGAAACCCACTCCGCTTCTTGTTTTTCCTTGTGATGGGTTTCTTTGCCTTTCTTGGAATATGGATGGGTACTGCTTGCTTTTTGCGGCAATGGCGAGCTCGTGAGTCACACGGGGGGAAAAGCAGAGGAAGAAGAAAAAGGGACCTGGCTATCTATTTTTTGGCTTGATGTTTTTATCAGTGGCTGCTGTGCTATTGGTGGCTACTTCGGCTGGTTGGGGTTGCTGGGTGGAGGATGAGGATTGAGGAAGGAAGGAGACAATCTTAAATATGCGGGCGAGGGAAAAAGGGAGGAGTGGCAGAGTGGAGACAGAGGAACGAGTTTGTGAGAGGTGAGAGAGGCAGAGAGCAAAGGAGAGGTGGAGATTGGGAGAGTGAGACACGTCTGCTGTCATTTTCAAAGCACGTTTACCTGCCTCCCTCCTTGTTCTTTTTCTGATCAATCTACTGGAAAGATCGATCCAAAAATGATATCCATGGCGTGGCGTCGGCTCGTGAAAATTGTCTCCGGCCGGTCACATTGGTCGGCTCACTCTGCAAAAAGATAATTTAGAACGGTTGAAGTTGAGATACAAAGCTGTTCGTTTTAAATGGGCTTTCTTATTTTGTCATAAACCTTGGTTTATCATTAAGTTAACGTGTTCAAGTTTTTACAATCCCCAATATTAATAGTTGTCTTTCAAACACATGGTATAGTGGCCATGTGCAAACTTCAAGCCCATGAATCAGCTTTCGTTTGAGGGTGCGTGTAAGGAAGTGGTTAAGTTCCATACATTGACCTGTATAAGATCCAGCATAACCTTCTCCTAACAACTCGAGTTATTGGAACCAACTGGTTTATGACATATTTTTTTGTGTATTATTAAGTGATCATGTCTTACTCATTTGGACAAATTTGGATGGCTCATATCCGATCTAGAGTCGAAGTTCGGGTCCGTACAAAATGTTACTAGGTTTATAAGCGTACATAAAATGCGGTAGATGATTGATATATGATGGAATTTAAGAGGGTGTGAAATCCATGATGAGCATGTGATTCGTTGGGAGCGTACGCCCATCAATGTCGAGAAGACTGAGAATATGGTGTTAAATTTCAATATCGACAATTCAATTGTTGGGCTGATAAGAGTTTTTATGTGTGAGTTGACATGATTTGACCGACCCGTTATTGAGTTTTCCACCACATTCTCATTCGTCCCTTGAATGGATTAATGCTAGAAACTCTAACAGATAATGTGCAAGCACAACACGGTTCGATCGCACTCCAAATTTCAACGGTTAGATTGATACACTTGCACCATTCAACTCTTACAAATACAACAGTTGAAATTGAATCACGTCAGCTCTGCGGTTGAGATAAGTTGATCTCAAGCAGTCATTCTATAGAATACTGTTGGGGGTATATGGATGGGGGAAAACTTACAGCACGTCAAAGAGCTAGGTGCGTGTGACAAGCCCAAAGGGAGTCCAAGAGAGGGCCCAAAGAGGAGTTGGGTCCATTTAAAGAGGCCCAAGGGCAGTCTAGGGATGATCAGCTAGACGAAGTCAGAGGTCCGACCAGTCATGTCCGAGAAGGCGCATTGGTTGGGGCGCCTAAGGAAACAGGGATGAGGATTGATCGCTCATTAGGCGCCTGGCACATGTCATCATGGAGAACAGCGAGGCCAGGCGCCTAGGGCAAGGCAACGATATGGTGATGACGTGGAAGTCCGTACGGTAAGATAAACGATGAACAGTTATAAATAGTGTGGTTGGTAAGCATTTACTCAATTCGGCTTCTCTCACTAAACTTTTAGGGAAATTATTTCTCTCTCTAAAGAAGAAACTGACTTGATCGTTGGAGGACTAACGGGCCACGAGGCCCACCTCTGTGTGTAGGTAATTTCACGTAGGCAAGGCGAACGAAGTAAAGAAGGAAGATCGAGGGGGCTCCAACAAATACTAAACAACTTTTATACAATTTTATTGGCTAAGTTCTCTTTTTTTCCCTTCATGTGATGATGTTAAATAAAATGCAGGATGAGAGTACTAACTACTCACTGGTGGATCCAGGGGGTGGCCACCCCAGGCCCCGGCCCAGCCCTCCTCTGGATCCGTAGTTACTATAGTCCTTATGAAATTTTTGATTTTAGACATTCAATCCAGTGTTATTCTATGATAAGATTGGGTTTAACTAGAAAAATTATCAAGTTGAACATATTCAAATCACTATTCTAAATTTAGCCCCAAAGATTATGCGTCTTAAAAAACAATGAAATCTAAAATTCTAAAAAGTTAAAAACGTAAAAGACTAAAAGAAATATGAGGTTTGTTCCCTTACAAATTTACTAAAGCAGCTGGTGTGCAGAGATGGACACACAATGTAAATTGATTAGTCGATTGATTTATCTAGTGTTGATGCTGCTCGTTTCAACAACTACTACGAAGAGAACCTTTTTAACAATGAAATATGTGAGAACTGATTTGCTCAACAAAATGAGCAATGAATTCCTCGCCGATTGCTCAAGTATTTTATTTGAAACATTGTATACTATTGGTATGGATGTAGACTTCATTATTGATGCATTCCCTAAATTAAAATACAGTTGTGTACAATTTACATTGCAAAAAACTATGATCATTATATTTTTTGTACGATTCTAATTTTCTAATGAAATGCGGCCCAGTGCTCTTCTGTGTTCTGGATCCGCCGCTGTAACTAGTAAGAGTAAAGAAACATTGGACCACTAATCCAAGCTCCAACTCCAACTCTCTTAGAAAACAACCAATCAAGTAACTAACATCCTTAATCTTTCCATACAAAAAGCTCTCAACATCCTTAATCACCAAATTAGACGATTCCACTTGTCATCATTTTTGTATGTTGATTCCCTACTACTACTACTACTACCAAAAGAACCCATGATCGGTTGAAGAAGAGAATATTAAATGTTATCAAGAACCCATGTTTCGTTTCATAATTAAGTAAATTCCAATTAACAAGTGTAATTAGCACCGACCAGTTTGGTACCAATATCATTATGTTTGCGCTCCGACCAATCAATGCCTTGGTTTCTACACAACGATTAAATCATTTGACCACCGCCTCCATCTCCCCGCGGTTCGTCTCTCACAATGACGTCAGCCATTGCCTCACCCCGCCTGTACATTTATGAGTATCCGATTTCCGAACTAAAATTATGATATTTTGCGAGGACACGTTTCAGCATCTGGTTGGACGGAAGTAATCCTTAGAATGGGCCAAAAGGTGGCACCCCGGCCCGAATGAGCTGATAGCGAATATAGAGGTCCAATGCAGTTCTTAAGATAAAGTGATTAATAATACAAAGGGCCCACCTGCTAATCGCTATCAGAAGCCCACATGGCTCATCAGAGGCCCAACCCAACGGATCGTCGTTGCTAAAAGGAGCGGAATGGCATTATAGGGATGACAATGTTTCGAGTCCAGGTCGGATAATGCATATCACAAAAAGTATGCAAGAATGAAGAGTCGATGCTTTCATCAAATATATGCCTTTATTGCAGATCGTTTAGAAGCTCAACAAGAGCTAGATGACCATGAACCATTTTTTGGTTATAAAAGACCAACAGAAGAAGAAAAAAGAAAAAAAACGCAAATAACAAATAACTTAAACATATAGAGCTGCTGAATTATGTAAAATGGGATTTTCTAGCACTGTATAGTGTTCTATTTGTTCATCCCAAGCTTTTCCTTGGCGACATCAGCAGCTCCCTGTGCCTTGGCTTGCATTTGTGAACCAGCCTACCAATGCATTAAAAAAAAAGGATTAAGCAAAATTCATTTTTGATATCTTACAAATGCGTTTTACTCAAGTTGAGAAAGTATGCAAAAAATGATTTGAATGAATAACATTATATATTCTATTTTTTTACCTCCTGAACGGATTCTTTGGCAGACTGTGCAGCATTGCTGGCCTTGTCCATCATGCCGCTGGCTTTCTCCTAACAAAATCGGAATACAAGAAAATGCAGAGTTTTTGTTTAACGATTTGGCTATTAACATATCTAGAAAGTCATTTTTATTGTCGTAAGATTTGTTGTTGCCTTAACAAATTACATAACACATAGTAGTAGACAAACGAGAAATCAAAACGGCTAACCTGAGCTTCGGCCTTGGCCTGGCCGGCTTGGTAGCTAGCGCTCTGGGAATTGTCCATATTGTGACTTTGGGCAACTAAGACGGAAAAGAAAATTGTTAACGAGGAGAAATTGATCTCTAGAGTGATTTTGCTCAGATGATGGAAGAAGTTGCGACTCAATGTCAAATTTATATATGCGTTACGCGTTGCTGGTGAGATACTAGTTTGTGGCAAATCAATTGGGTTTGAAGGTTTCAAACTTTCAAGAGGCCTAAATTGAGGAAGTTGCTATTGTTATACCGGATGTATATGGATGATTTTCATTGTGTATTGACTATCGAACGATTAAAAAGGTGTCTCTTTCCAATTCAGTCTATATTAAGCTATATCCTCCCAAGTAAAAAAAAAAAAACGTCAATTTTACAATCAAAGATTGCAACAGGTAATAGTTTGAAGATACAACAAAAATAGAAAGACAAATACTCATCACATTGCGGTTCAAAATATGTATTTTTTACGATGACCCGAAACCAAATCAATACTAGCCAGATTCTAGGGTCGCGCCTACATTGCTTCAATTTGTGTTTAAGCATGTGAACATTATTTTGTCCAAAGCAAATGTTGAGCCACCCTAACACATAATGTACAATAGTAGCAAAGCTCGATAACTTCATTTTATATAAGGGTGCAATTAGTTAGAATCAAAAGTTTAAAGACTTCTCTGTTATTTGAGGCACATATAAGACCTAAACGGTAATAAACCATTTTTTTTTAATTAGCAGCCTTTATTATATTTTTCTCCGATAGGATGAACGGTTGAGATTCGTGGGAAATTCGACGCTGGCGATTCGTGGTGCCGAAACAACGCCACGTCAGCAAAACGATATCCAGTTTGTGGGGAGTTAGTTAAAACCGGAGGCAAGCGCCTCGTTCGTTCCACTCGCTTCCGGCTTTCACTGTGTCACCATTCTTCTTCTTCTCCTTCGGTCCTTCTCCCGCCCTCTCTTTCGAATTGCCGCCATGGAGTTCGGAGTCTCTGCCGCTTCGCAATCCCTAACTCTGCTCTCCGGCACGCAATTGCCGTCCGCGCTCTTGTCGACGAACTCAATCCGGAGAGAGTTCCTCGGTTGCGGCCACAACCTCCGTCCTCCCGGCGGACTGCTCCGCTCCAGGGAGGCAAAATGTCGGAAGGTAAGGATTCGGAAAGGACGGCCGCCTCGTCGATTTGTGGTGGCGACGAACTCGGTGATGCTCGTGGTGGCCGTCACCACGGTGTCCGCCGTTTCCGTTTTCTACTTGAATCGGTACTTGAAGACGAAGAAGGCGCAGGGGAAAGAGAGCTCCGATGAGGTGAAATGCTCAATTTTCTTAACTTCGAAACTTCCGATTCCGTTCTGTTTCTCCGTATTCGAGATTTTTTAAGTCGAATTTGGAAAGTAGAATGCTAGTGATTTTAGTCTGTCTAATTCGCGAATCAACGCTCTGCAGCTATGAGCAGCGCTAAACGAATTTGACGGATTAAGGAGAGGGGAAGTGCTAGATGATACTTAGGCTAAGCGAGGCTGGGGGAATTAGCTATTCTTTGCAGGAATTTAAGTTCAGTCTAATGTGAAACTGAATCTTCGATCATTTTCAAAATGCAGGCGTTGGCTTCCTTGAACTCAGTAGTGACTCATCTGAGCTCGAGCATCATGAGCCACATTCATGGTAATCGGTCTTTACGACTCGGTGATGCTCAGAATGGGGTTACTCAAGCTCAAAGTAAGGAATTCACGATGAAGGAAGATGAGAAAGTCTCTATTTCGGTAACCACAGATAGGCATGTACAGCTTCAGGAGATGCATTATGGTTCTGGATTGGCTGAAACTTTGGAGTCTCCTGCTGTGGTTTTCGCTTCCTCTAATGCTTTAGATTATTCGGATTCAAAAGAATCCGAAACTGCTGTTCTGTCTCCTTCAGCTTCTGTGACGGCTGCTTTGCCTCTTGTATTTGATGGGGAAACGTCTGAATTCATGCCAGAGAGGGCAAGAGAGGAAGGCGAGGCATCTGCGCACGCAAGTGCCAATGGACAAGTTCAGTGGGCGCATAACGGTTCTGAGATAACTGAAATGAATGAACCTTGCTCTGCTGATTTTCTGGCCTCTACTGTTGTTAACAATGTGGCTTACAAAGATTCGGTGGTGAGCCTGCCTGAAGCTGGTGATATGCGGTCAATTATTTTTGTGAAAGAAACTGTGGATTTCCCATTGGAAAAGAATGGTCACATTCCACAACTGAGGACTGAGTCAGCTGATGAAGTGGCGAGCGCAGAGTCTAGCTCTACTTCGGTAACTAGGGATGATGAATCAGGCCAAATGTTTGACATTAATAGATTTTCTGGCTCCATGCAAGAATCTATGAGGGAAGGTCTTCACACATTTTTTCAATCAAAGGAATCGGCGGTCAAATCTGCTGAAAACAAAGTTGGTTTTAAATCAATGTATTCTAGTTCCTCACTACAGAGTAGAACCCTTTTTTCTTCTTTGAAAGTGAATTCTGCACGGAAAGGGGCAGAATTATCAACACAGACGTCCCTTCAGACCCCAGGTTTCCATATAATGCATGTAGTTTTTTCTTGGTTTGAGCTGATTTAACTTCCTCTGTACACCAAGAATTCAGAAGTTTAACTTGTATTTGTATTCTACAGAAAACTTAAACGGAAAAGTACATCAGGCAAATGATGAAGGGGGTCCTGTTGAAAAAAGTACGAGAACAGGAAGCATCAAAGCAAACAAGAAGGGAAGTGGACGTCTAAAACATGAAAACAATGGGAAGCCATCAAAGCTCCCAAGTCCTAACGGGTTTCATGCGAATGAGAGCAACAAGCCACCAGAACAATTCAATGCGTACAATTACTTGCTGAAGGATGGGAGGTGAATGTTACTGAGCGATCCACACAACTCTATATTGAGATTGGCTTTGGTGATACATGTTATCATTCTTGGTATCATGTTCATTCAACATTTTTCTCCTAACAAATATAGGTTATTTTCGCGGGCTCTTTCAGGTTAGTCGAGTGTGTAGAGTTTCTGGAAGACATGGAAAGTAAGGGTTTCCTAGACATGAACAAGGTTGCTTCTTACCTGGGTCATTGTTCACTAACATTGTTTTACAATTCGAGTTCTGGTCTCAGTAACCTATTAAAATCTCTGGTTTTAGGTCTACCATGCTAGGTTTTTTGACACGTGCAAACGTCAAAAGGCTGTTAAGGAAGCTTTCCGTTTCTGCAAGCTAATTCCAAATCCAACATTAAGTACGTTTAACATGCTCATGTCTGTGTGTACAAGCTCACAAGACTCTGATGGTGAGTCAATTATACTGTCTCATCTTAGTTTCATGTCGTCTGCCATAGCCTATACTAAATATGCTGTGATTTGTGGAAATTGTTTGTTCCATTAGCGGCATTTCAAGTTTTAAGACTCGCGGAGGGTGCTCGATTGAAACCTGATTGCAAACTTTATACTACTTTGATATCAACCTGTGCGAAATGTGGAAAAGTTGATGCAATGTTTGAGGTACTGTAACTTCTCCGCTTTTTTACATAGCCAATAGAAACAATGTTACTATCTCTTGGGTTTCTGTATATCTGATTCATCACGGCACCCGCCTCGTGTTTTGTTTGTACACTACCCTCTCATTCCTTAATTTTGGGCGGAATTTCTTTGTTAGCTTTCTACTTCTCTGAGTTTGTGTATTTGATATTCACTTTTCAATTTTCATAGAAGTCAAGGTTGAAGACCTCTCCATGCTATCCCCTTAAGTTTTATGCTAGTGGCTACCTGCCCTTCTCTATTTACAATGGAAATATTGCTCTCTTGAAACCCTCAACTGTGATGACTTCACTAAAGATTGCAGACATCTTCTGGAAAACTGCAAACTCATTTTCTCGCCTCAAACTTTTCGTTTTACGGAGAGTTGTGTCAATCTGAATTCAGTTGTTCAGCTACCTTAGATATTTTGTTGGTGGAACTAGAGTTCAGGAATCTGTAGGCTTGAGCTTTCTGTAAGACAAAGGACATGCCATGTTTTCTTTTGCAATGTGAACTCTTTAAAGTGCATTATTTCCAAGAAATAAATATTTCCATTCAGGCTTACATCTAACCTGTTGGCATCTTGTTGTGGATTACGATTGAAATTGTCCAGGTCTTTCATGAAATGGTGAATGCTGGAGTTGAACCTAACCTCCATACATATGGGGCGCTAATTGATGGGTGTGCCAGAGCTGGACAAGTGGCTAAGGCATTTGGTGCTTATGGCATAATGAGGTCAAAGGTATTACTAGAAACATTCTCTTTCGTTTTTCAAATTTCAATTAGTTATGAATCAAAGGTATTACTAGTTCATGTTGGTGTCTTTACTTCTTTCAATTGGATCTCGTTTTTTTAATTTTTTTACTTACCCTCCTCTACTGAGGTTGTGGTTATGGATGTGCTTGTTACCATCTCAAATGTATCTTTACGCTGATAAGATGTTTTATGCAGTAGAATTTGAAGCCAGATCGAGTTGTCTTCAATGCACTTATCACTGCATGTGGTCAATCAGGAGCGGTGGATCGTGCCTTTGATGTATTATCAGAAATGAAGGCTGAGATACAGCCAATTGATCCTGACCATGTAACTGTTGGTGCATTAATAAAGGCATGTGCAAATGCTGGTCAGGTGTGTATACTTGCTCATTGTTGAAAGAACACATATATATCTTGTTTTCTTAAAAATAATGACATGCAGATGTGACAATGATTTTGGTTTAGGTTGATCGGGCAAAGGAAGTATACAACATGCTTGATGAGTATAAAATCATGGGCACTCCAGAAGTTTATACAATCGCAATTAACTGCTGTAGTGAGAATGGTGATTGGGACTTTGCTCATCGCGTGTGTGAAGACATGTTAAGAAAAGGCATCCTCCCTGATGAGGTACTACTTAAGTTCACATGTTGGTTGAGCCTGAAGAATCAGGGAAATGTTATTAATAATGGTTTAGTATAAATAAGGATGGAAAGTCAATGATGCCTTCTGGAGCTTGTTGAAATCCACCTGGTTAATAGATGAAAAAGCTATGTAGATTTCCACATGCAAGCCGAATGTTATAGGGTTTCTTTCTTATGGTTCTCTCTATTCTTGCAGATGTTTCTAAGTGCATTGGTTGATGTGGCTGGGCATGCGGGAAAAGTCGATTTAGCATTTGAAATCCTGCAGGAGGCAAGAAAGCAAGGATCGAAACTTGGAGTTTTGCCCTATAGCTCTTTGATGGGAGCTTGTAGCAATGTATGTATCTTGTTACAATGCCTTGCTTTATGGTTGACGAGTATGCTTCTAATGATCCATTTTTGAATTTAGTGGGTCTTTGAATATAAATTCCCCCAGGATGTTATAGAAACTTAAAGATATATATTTCATGCCTATTTCTCGCATACAAGTAGTTTTGCATGCAGAGAAAGAAGCTACAGAAATGGGGACAACAGCAAAGCAATCAATTTGCATTAAGTTCTGCTGCTGCCATCCTATATAACACAAATTCCAAATATTAATTGGAACTTGCTAATGCTGTTGGTTCTGTTCTACTCTCTGTTTCAGGCCAAAAACTGGCGCAGAGCACTGCGCCTATATGACGATATGAAGGCATTCAAACTGAAGCCAACAGTTCCAACCATGAACGCTTTGATCACTGCCTTATGTAAGTCTGAGTAAAATGCTTCTCAATGATAATTTTGTGGCCTCGTTCTATAGTTATGACTTGTGGGTTTGATAAACACTATAATTTGAGTTCATATGTACCCTTCTTGTTAATACTATCATTATTACTTTGTACAAGAATTTGACACCTCGAGTCTTACGGATGTCCGAAGACTACATGGCAAGTATACTAACAAAAAATATAACATTCAATGCTAATAATTCTCAAGTATATTTGCTATTGGATACTCAGTTTAAAAGTACAAATCATACCAAATTTTAAGAGAAAAATGGCGGTCGGAGTAAGAAAGAATGTCAACAATTCATGATGGAAAGCGTTGTTCGATGAGAATGAATTAGATAGGAAACTGGAAGTCCGACCAAAACCTGATCAATTTGTCATATGCGACGTGGATAGCAGGACTGTGCAGCATTGGAAATCACATATTTGACGTCAAGTTCTACTTGATATTATTGCCCATCCATTTGAACCAAATTCAGGATCAAAAGCCATAGACAAACTCATAGCATTGATAGTTGGGTGGGATCATGATTTTAACTGCTTTGCTTTTCTGCAGGTGATGGAGGCGAACTGCAAAAGGCTATAGAGGTGCTGACAGAAATGAAGAGCTTTGGCCTGAAGCCAAACAGCATTACATACTGTGTTCTCTTGGTGGCGAGTGAGAGGTAGTATGCTAGCTGCAGCGTAAAGTTCTATGTACATATCTTATATTTGGCTAATTTGTATGGTCGAGGTATTTTGTTTCGTAAAAATATGGCTCGGAGTTTATCAAAACTTATTATTAGTGTTTATTTTATTGACAGAAACGATGATCTTGAGGCTGGCTTGATGCTTCTTTCTGCGGCAAAAAGAGATCATGTTACACCCACCCTCCTCATGTACAAATGCATAATTGGTAAGCTTGAGGGAACTACTATCTTCGTTTTCCATGTGTCGGCAGCAGTACATCATTGAACCTGAACATTTGCTCTCATTCTTGATCATTATCTATACTTTGTTCAAGGCCTGTGTGTGCGTAGATACGAGAAGTCTTGCATCCTTGGTGAGCCAATCCTGTCCAACACAAGACAACCACAAATAGTAAATCAATGGTATTTCATCTTCTTCTCCTTCAGCCAATCAGTTGAATATACTCTTCTCCTACTCCGTCTTGGGGTTTTGTTTTATAGTTTCTACGGACACATTATATTTGGTTACAATATCACACTCTTGAATATTATCCTCTATGAAGAATTTCCCCTATTATTTCCAAACACCTGCCATTTCTTGTTCAGGACGACACATGCCTTAAGGGTATACCGTGAAATGATTATTGCTGGTGAGCAACCAACCATGGACGTTGTTTCACAAATTCTCGGATGCTTGCGCTTCCCTAGTAATCCTTCGGTGAAGGACAGACTTGTAGAAAATGTGGACATAACTGCCGACGACTCAACAAAACATTCTTCTAACCTATGTTCATTGGTCGATGGATATGGAGAGTACGATCCCCGTGCCTTTTCAATTATAGAGGTCAGAAAGCAGCTGATTGGAAGTTTTCTGAGTGCATTACTTTCTTATAAATTACAGTAGTCGGATCTATGCGTCTTGACTTGATTGCCATCTACAGGAAGCTGCTTCTTTTGGAATTGTTCCGTGTTTATCTTTCAAAGAAAGTCCAGTTATGGTCGACGCCAAAAAGATGGATACTCGTATTGCTGAGGTGAGCTATTTCGTGCATTTCGCCATATTCAAAAGATAGGACGCTAGTTGGGCTTGCATATTGATTCTGAACAGTGAATCAGAAGGTAGCCTGGGCAAGTTTTTATAGAACCAAAACGCTGCTTTGGAGTCGTCATAGAGTCTTGAGACTTGAGATATATATCATCTTGTATAACATCGCTTTGGGTGTACTATTATACAGTCACTTTTCACAACTTAGTGCAACATATGTGGTTACAGGTATACCTATTGGCTGTTTTCAGAGGTCTGAAGCACCGGCTTGCCGCTGGTAAGTGACTATTTGCTTGTTTTTTTTCTTTCTTTCAAGTATTGGAGTATAGCATTCCATAGCTCACGAAGTCTCAAGAACAAAACTGATGTATACTAAACGATAGTTTCTGTGAAGAATGAAGGTTAATTACTTGTGTGATATTTGAGCTTCTCCTCCTGGAAAGTACCATCTTTATTTTTCATCTACTGTTCTGACATAATTTTCAATAGCCAAACCTTTAGTAACCACTTTGTGCTGACTGGTGACAATGAAATCTAGTTTATTTACCTTTCCTTCATAATGTTGGTTCTCCAGGTGCCAAGTTGCCCAATGTTACCATTTTACTGCCTACGGAACAGGCAAAAATCTTGATTCCTGAACAGGAGAAGACAATAAAACTTGCTGGAAGGTATGGTCTATATTTCGCCGCCATTGCCAGACTGCAAGCTAGAATATGAATTTCTGAGGTTTTTTGTTGCTGTCAACGCAGGGTTGCTCAATCAGTTGCGTCGTTGCTGAGAAGGCTTGGAGTGCATTATCAAGGGAATGAATCTTACGGGAAGATCAGAATAAATGGGATCACTTTGAGACGATGGTTTCAACCAAAGCTTGCTTCTCCTGCTTTCACCGAGAAACCTAACGAGTTCCAACCCAATCTCACTGGACTTTCGTTCCAATCACGAATAGGAAAGGGAATCAGCCATCAGCAGCGCGATATTCGAACCGGCAATCTATCATTGGACTGAAATACAGTCCAGACGGCCCACTAGAACAGCTTGAATTTCTCATTTGGCAGCATCATTTTGACACCAGAGCTAGCTACTCCACCTTCTTCAAGAACCATCCCGGATTGGTCTTGTCGCCCATTTTCAGGCCAAATGGTTTTCGTCCGTCTTCCTACAAGAATGCTGGAGTTGTTCAAGTTCCCACGGCATCAGGCATTGCAATATCATCAGGCTAGTTTCAGTTGTCTTCATTTCCTGTATCTTATAGCTTCGAGAGCCTAGTTTAAGGCGGGGGAAAAAGAAAGAGAATCCGGAGCATATATAGCGCGATTTGTATAATATATAGTTCTTACATACACCTGTAGAACACCGGCAACTGAAATAGGTTGTCGATTTTGAAGAGATCTGTTCAGTGTCTGAGCAGGAAAAAAAGGGAAAAAGGAAAAAAAGAAGAAGAAGAAGCTCTGATAGCATTGTTGGACGAAAAATAAATCCGCTATCAGTTTGTTACAATCGAGACCACCTCCTGGTCATCTTACGATCCCCAGGAAGGCTCAAAAGAATGTAGTGTGTATGCATTCTAAGTATACTTGTGTACTGTATTATGTTTTCTGTGAGATTGATGATCTTTCAGGATGAAGTGACGACGGCGATGAAGTCGTGCTCATGACAGGGGATCGTCAGGGCACCTTGCGGCGGATTGTAGCCGAACTCTTCCTCAGCTAGTTGAAGCAGCTCCAGGAACAGAGGGTTGCTGAGAGATGAGATTGGAACTAGGAATCTCTTCCTCTCCTCTTGTCCAACATACACCGCAATGTGTCCTTTGGGAACGCTCCTTGTCTCGCTCTGCCTCACCTTGGCAGAAGACGAAGATCGTGATGATGATGACGACGAAGACGATGCTGAAGAAGAAGAATTCGAGGACTGTCTCTTCAGAATGTCAAGAATCCCCATTTCTCGCGCTGTTGATCTCGTTGTGTCGGCGGAGAACAAGAGGATATGAAGCTCTTCCTTCTGGTGTTAGGAAGGGAGTAGACTTTTTGAGTTGGGTTGGAGGGATGGTGATGTGGGAAAGCTGAAGGAGAAGGAGGAGAGTATTTATATGAAGACAGGGCGCAGTGGTTCATGGGAAGAAAGACTTGTGTAATATAATTCACTACCTGCAGAAGACTTATTCAAACGGGTGCATGCATGATAATTGATATGGGCATGGCCCCATCCACGATGAAAAAGGAATAACGATAATTTAATCATTATTACCATTGTTATTTTCCCCCCAAAAGAATGATATTAAAAAGGTGCAATTTGGTTCCAAGAAAGCAGGGGAGTGTGTCGTCGTACTGCTGCTCTAAGTCTGGAAAGTTGAAAAAGGGCAGAGCAACGGCCACCGTACACACGGCGGAGAGCAGAATTATTGGCGTCGGCGGGGGAAAACACGTTTTCTTAGTTGTGGGGAAGTTTTCTTTCAAGTTGGTAAGCGATGAATCATAACTGAAATGGGGGCATGGCTGGCAGAATGGTCAAGGGAAGCTTCGTCTACAGTAAGGAAGGGAATGTTTATATGGTACAGAGAGCCAGCGCCATATCTCTGTTTCGGTGACTTGTTAATTACTCCAGAGAGGAGAGAAAAAGAAATGAGAGAAAGAAAGAAAGAAGGTTCTTCTTCTGACTTTTGATGGGTTAGTAGAATTCTTCTGTTCTGGCTTTTGATCATAATCCACTTGGCTTTTTTCCCTTATCCCTGTTTTTGGGTTAGTTCAGTACACTCTTTCTCGTCCAGAATTTGATGAACTATGTTTGCTTACTTTGTTTGTACCATACAACTTTCACAAACAAGTTGGTTGGTCATTGATTTTTCGTCCAACGGAGTATAAAGAATTGTTACGATCATGCTTTGTTTTAGTATTTTTTTTTTTTTTTTGGATAGATAACCATTAACAAAGTGCGTTGTCGATGGCGCGTTTGCTAGCATGTGTCGTGTCACGTATCTAATAGAAAACTTTGTCGGATGAATCGTTTAATTTGGGCGCAATTCACCTCCCTCTTCTTCATTTTGGCATCAGTACATGGCTCAAAATAGTAGAGGACATGATACAACTTGGGAGCCGGGGAGGAAGAAAAGACTTGTGAAGTCTTAATTTACAAGTGAACAAGCCGGACGATCCATCTCTAAAGTTTGAGGACCATTTTGGTAAACTGACATATTACATGGGCTTACACACTAATTCTCCTGAAAATTCCTTAACCAACTTGCTTCACAAGTTTTCCCGCGAAAAAAAAAGAACCTAAAACCCTCTGTAACTAAAACCCACTCGATTCCTTCTCGCCTTCTTGAATTCGTGGTGTCAAGGAATTTCGATCAGTTCCACCAACTAACCATGGCCGCTGCTTCGATCTCAAAGTTGCGGTCCATCCTTCTCCGCTCGGTGAAATCCGCCGCCGCCTTCAACTCTGCCGTAGTCTCAGCTCGCTCCTTCTCCTCTTCTTCCGTCCCTCGCGCCCTCTTCCGCCCTCTCGCCGCCGCTCACTTCACGAATTCCTCCTCTCGTTGCTACGCCACGGAGACGGACTCGTCCTTGCCTGGCGACCCGAGCCCTAATTGGTGGAACAGGCTTCCGATTGGCTTCGATTCCGAGCATTGGCTCGTGGTGATGGAGGAGCCGGAGGGAAACCCTAGGAGGAATACGATCATTAACGACTACATTAAAACCCTAGCTCAGGTGGTCGGCAGGTAATTTGAACTCTGCAATTTCTTGTCAGAATTTCATGTATTTTAATTCGTTATAGAATTTGAATCTGATAGAAGTTCGTTTTTAATCATTGTTAAGGGAAGATCATATTTGATTATGTGTACCAAGTGTGATTTAGGGCTAGGGATTATAGTTTTGCGGGTAATGCGAACCTCCTCTATGTGTTTGTTACAGTGAGGAGGAGGCAAGGATGAAGATCTACTCGGTTTCGACCAGGCAGAATTTCGCATTTGGGGCACTCGTGTCTGAAGAGCTTTCTTACAAGCTGAGAGGTACACTACTCTGTCTAGGCTGAGAAGAAGATATGTGTAATGTTGTTTCATTTTTTTCGTTCGATGGGTCTTTTCTTTCATGGCAATTGATTGATGGTGATCTTGTTTGTACAGAGTTGCCCAGAGTCCGTTGGGTTCTCCCTGGCTCATATTTGGACTTGAGGAACAAAGACTATGGAGGTAAGAAGACATCTTCTTCCCCCTTACATCTTGGTGGGTCAGTAAATCTTCTATTTAGAGGTAGGGGGGTGATGTCTTATCGTGTCGTCACAAAAGTGAGATCCTTCGCATTTATCTACAATTCTAGGAGGCTCGTACCCCGGATTCAACGTTCTGCGCTCCTGCCTACTGCATGCGAATAGGCAGAAGGATCTTGGGGTGTGCTGCCTTGGAGACAGCATGTATAGGGATAGAGGGATGCTAGTTGAATCAGTTTTTATTGGTTGCTACTTAATTGCTAGACATACATTTGTACTTCCAGATGAGCTTCTTGTGCTATCTTGAGAATGTGTAATGATTTCCTTTGAAGCTGCTGCTGATGGCTGGATTGATTCTCAGTGCCTCTTTCAGCTTACTTCACATATGTTGGATTATTTTAACTCAACTGTAATTGATGTCAAATGCCGATTCCTATCTATATGGTTGGTTAGTTTGCTGTGCTGTTCTTTAAACTCCTCGTCTTCTGCTGCTGTTAATATTCAGGGGAAACATTCACTAATGTGAGGCAGAAGCGGCATAGGCAAGAAGCAGAAGAAGAAGAAGAAGAAGAAGACTGGGACTTGAAAAGTGAAAGTAAGACTGGTAGTACTTACAAGTGGGGAGGTTTGTTTCTGGATTGGCAATGGGAAGTAAGAGTAAGGCCAGTATCTACAAATTGATAGGGAACCCTAGGGAGTCAAAGCTTGCTAGAGATTACAGAGGTTTTGTTTTCTTATCGGCCATTCTGATTACTGTGATTACAAGATTTGTCGTAAGCACGTGTTCATGTTGTTGGATTGTGATTTTTTGTAAATAATTACAGCATTGTACAAACAAGGTTCTTCTGAGTTTTATGGATTGGATAATATAATTGTTTGACCCTCCAACTTCCTCAGCTTATTATTGGTTCAGTCTAAATGTAGCTATGAGCCCATAACCCTTTGTGATTGTCAATGCCAGCCATTACCAGCCACTCTCCCTTTTTGCACATCTATTTTTTATTTTTAATTTTATTTCAGTGGCTTGAGCTTTATTTCAATGATTGCTCTCCAAGGATTACAGCTAGCTTACACATGAACAGATGATGGGTTTTCTTTCAAGAACATATCCTGAAATTTATTGATGATCCATTTCAAGAATTTTCTAAATAAATTAATTCGATTCAAGCGGAATAGCTCTAGTGAGAAATTAAACTATCCGTATTTCTGATTCACGTCAAATTTACCACCATAATTACGTCAATTCAATAATCATTGTGATTTATCTTGATTTCGACTATACAATATTTTCTCGGTCAATTGAAAGATTAAGTACTTAATTGTACATTCGTCTAAATCGAAAATTCCAAAAACAGCTGAATTCATGAACGTATTAATGTTGACACATAAATCAAATCTCTTATCACATGGTCACTGGAGTTTAGTGCTGAGTAATTCGTCTTTTAGCCAAACCCTATAAAACAAAAGCAAATCCGATTCCCCTGGCAAACTCTTGTAGTTTATGTGAAAACAGAGCATCTTGGCTCTAGTGAAACCTGTCATTATTCTCCGATCCCAAATTAGTAGATAATCTTTCAGATGAATGAACGTTAATTATTAAGTATCATATTAATGGCTCTTAATTACTTCACGTTCTCCCTCGCTAATCTCTCATGATCTCAAACGCTAAGCAGTACTCAAAATTTGGACGGATTACAGTAAGGCCAAAGCATTACTGTATCGTCCTCGAAGAAACAAAGCAATAATGTATGCCAATAACATCACAATCGAATTGATTAATGCGATTAACTCATCATATTCATCCGAAAGTTCGTATCTTTAGGAACTTCATTAACTCATCACCATCTTATTACATATGTATAATCATCAATCAATGATAATCACTCTGTTTCCCTCTACACTAGCTTTACTTTGATCTACATGAATATGGAAACCAATCAAAATCTCTTGGTCTACATACCATACAGCTAGTTTTGTCTGTAAATTTTGTTTCTAATTACATCATAAAATGAATTGGGATCAAAATGCAGGGGAAGAGATGAGGTGGAGGAAAGAATCTTCATCGCAAGGCAGAGTCAGAGCTCCCATGGCGTGATGGAACCCGAACTCGGCCTCCGCCATGTCGAGCAGCTCCCCGAACATCGGATGGTTCAGGTACGAAATCGGCACCACGAACCTCTTCATTTGGAGATGATCATCGTCACCAGATAAGTAGACTGCAATGTGGCCTTTTGGCACTGCGGCGGCGGTGTGGTGATCGTTTGCTGCTAAGGGGAAGCTGTGCTGAGAGTAGTGCTGCTGCTGCTGATAACAATGGTGGTTATGGTTTTTCCTCTTCATGATCTTCTTGGCTCCGACCACCATTGATGAAGGCAACAAGCTCCGGATCCCCATTGTTGTTGTGTTTATGGGGTGGATTAGTAGAGAGGCTGTCGAGGAACTACTGGTTTTTTTTTTGTTTTTGCTTTTGGGTTTTGCAGTGGGCAGAGGAGTTGATGGAGGAAAGAGTTTCTTTCTTCAGTTGGTTGGAAATTTGGGTTTGGGGGAGAGGTATTTATAAATGAGAAGTTGGGGAAGGATTAAGGAATAGAAGAGTGAAGGTGGGAGGAATGTGCCAAGTTTTGGTTATTATAATTATTTGTGAGGTAATTACCCTTGTGGATACTTAATCTATACCAATTCACAATATGGTCCTTGCTCTTGTTTCGCAATCTAACAGGTCTTTGTTGGAATGACTTTTACTCTGGTGAATAACATGAGTCGAATACTTTCTCGAAGTGTTCTCCTCAAACTTTGGGGAACCCCTTACTCATCTCTCGGTCATATTCATTAAGTAGTCTTCTAAACGAGATTCACTTTGATAGACCATATATTTTTATGAATTGCATATGACACTTCTTAGAATTGTTATTGCTAACTATTATAGTTATGGGTACGGTGATAGAACTAGGGAACTCTGTTTTTCGTTATTTGATTGAGGCAGAAGCAAAAACAATCTTTGAAAACACTCCATACATCCTTTTAATCGAATCGTATTTCGTCTATTGTCTAACTTTGATCAAATTTCTTTAAATTGACCAAGTAGTGGTAATACTATGATTTTCTCTTATGTATAATGCTAATGATCGAACAATTTTTTTCCAATCTCGTGTCGTATATGTACAATTACTAACTAGATAGTACACATGAAATGAACTTCTATTTTATTAGGTTATGAATTCTCTTCTGAAAATAAGTCCAATCGAATTGTCCTTATCAAAGTTGGAATTTTTGTTTTGAATAAATTCATAACTCTGTATTTATTAGTGTTCAGGATTTGATAGGCACTAGACTTGTTGGTAGTTGTGATTAGGTTGATTTCTGTAACTATATATATAAGTATGTTTTTTTCATGGATGACTAAGTTGGTAAAATGAGCTCTTCGATTTGTCTGTAATGTTCAGTCTTGAATATTTTCGGTAGTTTGTTCCTTATTTGATTTCTCTTCCATCTGCTTGGTAACTTTGATTCGGCCTGAATCTCGAACTTGCTTGCAATTATTAGTATACGAAATTTGTAAAAACTTTAAAAAGTGTTGCTATAAATGTAATGGCTATACAGTGTATTTTATTGCCTTCTACAGGATTTGAAATACTAAACAAGTTTAGAAAATGTGGCTACAACTATGTATTTTTCAAAAAATTGACTATTATTGTCACAAAGTGCGAAATTATGGGCATACAAGTGTATTTTGCATTCTTTTTTTCCCGATTGGTTTTTTTTTCCTGACCAAGAGACATAGCTTTTCATTGACGAAAACACAATTTGAAAGGATTTTGTGGGAATAAATTTTACCTCCGGTGAACACTCTATTCCAACAGCTATGTCGTTTAACATGAGTCAAGTACTTTCTCGAAGTGTTCTCCTCTAACTCTGAGAATCCGTTACTCATCTCTCGTTCATATTCATTAAATAGTCTTGTAAAGGAGATTCACTGTGATATATCATATATTTTTATGAACTTCATATGACAGATTTTTAGGATTTTTATTGCTAACTCTTATAGCTATGTGTATGATGATATAGCCAGGGAACTCTATTTTTTCTTATTTGATTGAGGAAGAAGCAAGAACAATCTTTGAAGACACTCAATATGTCATTTTAATCGAATCGTGTATCACCTATGATTTTCTTTGATTGCCTAACTTTGATCAAATTTCTTGAAATTGATCAAGTAGTGATAATACTATGATTTTTTTCTTCTATATAATGCCAATAAGCGAACCATTTTTTTCAATCTCATGTAGAATATGTACAATCACTAATTATATAGCACACATGAAATGAACTATTATTTTACTAGGTTCTTAATTCTTTTATGAAAATAAGTCTCATCAAAATGTCCTTATCAAAGTTGAAAGTATATCTTATGGATTGTGTGTTGTGTATGGATGCATCATATGTTTTTTAACACGAAACTGTCATGCAAATAACCAAAAGGTTCAGATAAATCTTCTTTGTATATGCTCTACTCTCTCAACTTTCATTCATTCAATGATATGTATATAGATTATAGCTACATGTACACGATATGTATTTCTTTTCTTTTTATGGATTGAGCTATGCGGTTTTCTAATATATCTTTTTTCTTTGGAGGATCAACTTTCTTTTCCTTTGATCCATTATTGATTGATTGCTTTCAAGTTGTATTTTCAACAAAGTGTCGAGGGGGAAGGAACAATGTTAACTTATTTCATGTTTAAATAATTATTAACACTATGTTTTTTTTTTTTTTTGTCTTCATAGATGGTAAAAGTGAGGCGACAACATAGTTGTATCAACATATGGGAAGACATAAAAATTATTAAAAAAAATATGGGAAGAAAATGAAAAGAGAAAGTAAATGACTAATTGTGTGCGGTAAGTTTAATTAGTACTTATTTCTATTGTTGGCGATATGAGATGTTTTATTGAGTCTCACTGTCTCCTACTTCTAAGAAGGATGTTCTTGATGATAATTTTTTATGTGATCTCAACATTCTTATCAAAATTTGTTTATTCAGATAAATTTGTAGCTCCTTATTAATTTTATGTTTGCGTATCTAACTATGTACCTTGTTTATTCAGGTAGAGGCTTCTATGCCTATAAATATATACCTTGTCTTTCGTTTAATGTCATGAGAAGATTGGAACGCAATTGAGTTTATTGCTTTGTGTTTCTTAGGAGTAGTTGTAAGGTAATTTGGGGTTGATCTCGCCATCAAGGAGGTCCTCAATTCGAGAGTGTTCAAGCAACTTATCCAAAAGATTCGCGTGCGTGGATTTTCTGAGAAATCCACGTAACATGCAGCTTCGACATGGACGGGCTGCACTGGCAACTCCACAATAGGCTGAGGGTGTGCGATTGGGCCCTCTAGCATAGCATATTCAACGGATTCTTCTAGCTTGCAGCAAATCAAGCCAGAAGCAAGTAATTATGACGTAAATCCAATTAGACTCAGTTCGCGGGAGATACGCAGTAACCATATTCCTTACTTACGCCGCTTTACTTAGCAGGTTGCGATGTTTTAACTTTATAGTATGAATCTCATCATGTTTTATGTTTTTCGACTAACATATTGCACATATTTTTTTTATTGTGCAGTTACTCGATTACTAACTTTTGGAATGAGAATCTTAATTTTCTCATATTATAAATGATTTATTGGGAGTAGAGGGAGGAAGACGGTGCTACTTAGCTATATCAAAATAAACTAACAAACGCAACTAAGAAATTATATTTGCATTAAGAAACATGAATGAGGCACAAATTCGGGTGAATAATAAAAACTTTGAAGTGAGCAGAGAATTTGATGGGAGGAGAAAATTTCTTCGTGTACTTAGTTGGAAATATGGGTTTAGGGCAGAGGTATTTATAAATGAGAAGCTGGGGAAGGATTAAGGAATAAAAAGGGTGAAGGTGGGAGGAATGTGCCAATTTTATTAGTATAATTATTTGGGAGGTAATTACCCGTATGTGTACAGTGTACTTATTCTATACCAATTCACAATATGAACATTGCTTTTGTTTTTATGGACACACGAACAAACAACACTCTAGCTATGCACACTTTGTTCAATTCTCTCCACTCTTTCTTCCTATTCCTTCTCTCGATTCTTCTTCCACGAGTTGGGTTTCCCCCGATTTAGAGACATATAGATTTCAAATATAGATGCACGATTTGAAAGGCTTTGGGAGGAGTTGTTTTGTCTACGGTAACTATCAATGTTCTGACATTGTTTTGCTTGTTTAAACTGTTTAATATTTAGTCGTTGAAAATATTTTGTCTAGCTCAGGAAAATCCCTTACTCATCTCTCAGTTATGTTTAGATAATAGTCTTATAAAGAAGTTTCACTAGGAAGGATTGTATGTTAATGATTCGTTGTTGACCATTTTTAAGATTATTGTTGGTAACTCCTATAGTTGTGTGCATGACGTCATGACTTAGAAGCTCTTTTTTTGCCTGATTGAGGCAAAAACGAGAACAAATTGTTAAAGATTTTATTATTATTATCTAAGTTTAATCACCTTTCTGGAAATTAACTTGCGTAAATGGTAACTAGGTGAACTTTGGAACCAATTAATTATTTCCTGAAAATAAAACCGATTTGAATCTCAGTAAATTAATCTGTTAAATGTTGAATCCAATGAATTATCACAAAGCCTATATATATATTATATAAAGAATTATAACAAAGGAAAAGTTCCATGAAGCTATTGTCAGTTGTCACATGGCTGTATCATTGATTGGTTAGCTCAGCAAAACCGAGTACCGTTTTTCTTTCCTATAATAAATCAATAATTAGAAGAAATCTAATTATAATTTAAAAAACATAATGCATGTGCTTTTCTTGATCTTTTCCGAATGAATTATATTTCCTCGGTATTGCATTTATTCTTATCCACCTAACTTGGATTGGATATATACTTTTTTTTTGTAGAAATTGGATATATACTAATGATATACAAATATATATTTTCTTTTTTGTGGTTTTAATAATACAAAAATATACACAATGAACAAATAATAAAAGGGGGAAATATTAAAAGGATGGATGATGTCATGGATAGAAAAAAATATATTAAAATAAGCAATTAAGCGAAGGTTAGAAGATTATACAAATGGTTAAGTAGGAATGTCAACTAATTAGGAAATACATGATTCCTTGGTTGCCAAGATTGATCGATAGTTAATTAATTATTAGTTCACACATACCATTTTTATATCGAGAATATTATGTGTTCCATTTCAAACAAGAAAATGAGGATTTTGGATTTCCCCTAAATTCAATTTAGTAGGTTTTAGATTCCATCAGTACATTTGAACCAATGAAACATTTCTCCTATATATAAATTCATGCATGTAAGGGGGTGAGCAATTTATACGCCTCTGACCTTCGTTTAAAATTCGATGAATATTTATGGTTTCACAGATACAAAAATTTGAACCTAAGACCTCTTAATACACCTCAAAACTTCTAAACTAACAATGCATCATATCAATTAGTTTCGAATCACTTTATCTTATCACCCTCCTAAAATTTATGAGTACTAATTCATCTCATTTCCATTATAGCACATATCTATCCATTATGCTCATTAAGAATCGGCATGATCATGTGCACCTGTACTCAACGCTCCTTTCCGCCATTCGCAGTAAACTAAGCCAAGATTGGTTGGTGAGCATCACTCATACATACCGGAAAGGGAATAGAGTCACGGACTGGCTCTCGAAGCACAGTCTCGTCTATCCCTACGGAATGCATGAGCTTGCAAACCCGCATTCTCTTGGAGGACAACATGGACATTACTTTTGAGCGTGGCATTGTAGACTCTATATATATAATTCGATCTTTATATATATCCATGTATGGAACCAATACAAAATCTTTTGGTCTACATATGATACACATAAGCTTCATTATTCTCTTAATTACACCATGATCTATTCTAATCCCTCAATAACTACTGATGTAGAGAACGAATCAAAACAGGGGAAGATATGAGGTGAAGAAACGAATCCTCGTCACAGGGTAGAGTCAGAGCTCCCATTGGGTGATTGAACCCAAACTCTGCTTCCGCCATATCCAGCAACTCCCCAAACATCGGATGGTTCACATACGAAATCGGCACCACAAATCTCTTCATCGCCGCCGTCTCCTCCTCCTCCTCCTCCTTTCTTCTGCTCTGCTGCTGATGATCATCACCGCCCAATAAGTAAACTGCAATGTGCCCTTTCGGCACCGCGGCGCGGCGACGATGATGATCCTCTGCTTTGGCTGCAGCAGGGGATTGGAAGCTGTGTTGGCAGTGGCGATTCTGTTGTTGGTTGCGGCGTTTCCCCTTCATAATTATCTTCCTGGCTCCGACCATCACGGAGGAAGACAACAAGCTGCGGATTCCCATTGTTAAATATGAGTTGGGTTTTGTTGCTCTGTTTTTTTCTCTCTTGAAAACAGAGGAAGTTTGTTCAGATGGAGTTTTTGAGATTGGTGTTGTAGAGAAGGATCTAATATCTATAAATAGATAGGGAGCTCAGGGGGAAGAGCAAGTGGGTGCAGGTTGATGGTGGGAAATGGGATGATGTATTTCTTTGTACTTTTTGGGATTGGTTAATTATTCTTGGGGTCCTTGTTTTATGTACTAATGTCACATTTGGACCCTTATGAGTTGTTTTCACTTTTCATGTTTAGCCTGATGTTAAGTGCTAAGCTAACCTATCACTTGCTACTTTTTAGCTTTAGGCTTTTGCAGTTTAGTTATCTTATCTGTATGTGATGATTTGATGTTATTTGGGTGCAGATGAACTTTGGTGAGAAGGTGCTCAATGCTTAAATGGATCATGAAATAGGTTTAAAAAGGTGTTATCGAAATATGTTTTGTGAGATTCGTCAATTTTTTTTAGTTGATGGAGAAGTTGATATGGTGTAGAGCGTAGGGGAAAGAACTAATACGGAAGTTAAAAAAGTTTGGTGTGAGAATAGGTAATTGAGTCCATTTGTTGTGTGGGTGTTGATACTTTCCTTATTCTGGTTGATTTCTCACGAGTTACTTATCGATATTTTTTTTAATATGATTGATTTCTCATGAGTTACTTATACTTCCCCACAAGAATTATCATTGTTAATGTGCTAATCATCAATAATATAACGTAAACTCTTTCTCTAAGGCATGTTGCGTGTGAAACATTTCGATGTACTCTTTTAAAATGATAGATACAGGTAATGATGCACGAGATTTGTCATAATAATGCTCCTATTTGGCTTCGTTTTCCTCTCTCATGGGAGACCTCTACTATAACCCTCGTATATGTACTTCTCTGTTGCATTACTATTGAAAAAAATTCATTATTATAACTAATACAGTCAAAATCGCACATTGAAGGTTAAAAGTTTGTGTTTTTACGTCTCTAAGTTATCAAAATACTTCTACATATAATCACACTTTTTTTCCTTACTAATATAAAAATTGCGCTTTAAAATTTAGAAGCTTACGCTATCATGTTTCTATCACCAAAACATTATACATAAAATCGCGCTTTTAACTACCTTGATTATTACTTTTGCTATATTTCGCATCCATCTGGGATGACTATGGTGAGATTCCTATAAGAGATCTATTAAGACATTAAATCATTGTATTATATTATTATTAGGATATAAAATGAAATCAAAATGGTTTTTTAATTATGAAATATAGCCCAACTTTCTTAGTAAATTAATCATAATTCATGAGTAATGTGAACCAATTAATTAGTAATTTAATTATAGCTCTGTGATTTTTCTCTCATCACATGGGGATATATGATTTGATCGATTAGCTCAGCAAAACCGAGTACCGATCATAGTCCTTTTTTTGTGTATAAAAAAAATCTATATTTAGCTACATGGTTGCATGTGCTTTTCAGCCCTTTCTCCGCCTCGGTACCATATTTGTATTTGATTCTGAGCCAGCTATCTTGGAAATAAAATATTATAAAATTACAGAATATAAATCCATTATGATAATAATAATAAATAAATGACTGAATTTCGAGAAAATGGCAAGCAAAACGACTAATATTAAATAAATAAAGCCACTTAGACATTGGCTATGAGTCCTACTATATATCTTCATGGTTCAAGGAGTTGATGATGATTTGTCAAATGGATCCTCAACTACATACAAAATGACTAATATTAAGAACCGATCGCATTATTCCTTTCTGAAGAGTACGAAGTATCTATTTTCGCGAGTTTCAAATAAAACTCACAAGTCTTTTTAACAAACTTTCGATCCGCCTGTTTTAACGGAACGAATAAATGTTTCGTCGGTCTAGCCCGATCTTCAACCACCCTTAACATTAACAAAAGAAGCAGTGATACACACTTTTTTATTCAAAAGCGAAGGAAAAAAGCTACTCGACCAAAACAAGAGAAGAATGAATTATTACTCTAATAAGCTCGTATTTTTAACTCAACAACAACATCGTGATTTTTGGTGAAAGATGGGGAAACCGTATTGTGTAACTCAACTAAAAATATGTTTTTTTTGTGTGTGTGTGTGATGTTGGTAGCTTAGTATTTTATATGACATAATAATAATGGTGGATATTTTGATAATATCCTCCATAATTTGCTCATATATAAACATGGGAATGGGAAAACTTTGACATCATCCAAGAACTTTTGGAATTTAACTCTGCAAAAACAGTGGGCGCATGCAGCCTGGTAATGGTATTTTCGGAGCAGTATCATATGATGAAAGCATGCACATTGCAATTGCATCCACTTTCACTTTGATATATCTTCTCCATAATTTCTGAACCCGTTTGTTTATCCTCAGCTCGTTTGTTCTTCCTGTTGATGACATCAATGATTCCAAATCGATGGCTGTATAACAATTGGGGTTCAATGACCTGCCATATTTATTGGGTATTGCATATGTGTGCTGTATGTTATTATCAATAAATCATTTCAATGACTTGCCATTGTGGTGTTTGCACATTTGAGTCGGCGAGATATCGATTGGACGCTTGGATTCGGTCATCCTCGCCCGATACATATGGTGATATGTGAAGAAAGATTGTACAGAGGCCGTACGTACGTTTTTAAGGACCCACAAATGAGTTTGCTATGTTACGTCCAGAGATAGATTCATCGGTGGTAAGAGGATGGAAGGCTATCGTTGCATGCCTACGCGTTTGGTTGGCCGACTATATATAAGGTGCAATTTATCTCATTTGTGAGTAAATGACTTTCAATGCTGAAGAATTTTACTAAATTATTTTGAAGATCTGAGCTTTTTTTTTCTTCGTACGTGGTTATTTCGAAGGTTTCATACAGCAGGTCGCTCAACTCCAACCAAACACATGTAAACTGTTCACTCTAGACACTTTAACTTCTATAATTTTTCCCTATCAGAAACTCATCTTCCACAATATTTAAATAAATGTCCAAACAAAGTTATCAGATCCGCACTCTTCTTATTATTCGTGCTCCTTAATTACAATATATACGATAAATGCTCTATAAATTACAAATGTTTTTCATATAAGGCTCACCATGTGTTTCATATAAGATTTGCTTATTGGATTCATAATTGCAACTATCTTTTTTTATCGATTATTTCTACTATCTTTGCTTTTTATTGGAAACGTTCATAATTCTAATCACCACAACCATATTTGCTCAATAATCAAATTTTATTCCTCTTATGATCTAATCAAAAACTGAAATTTGTCTTAACTTACTTATTCTGTCAATTGTGAATCACATTCACATGATGGGTTCAAAAACTACAAACTGTTCTGACCAAATGAGAGAATCAATAATGCCATTTTGCTCCTCCCAAAAAAACTTGACTTTTAGTCTTTAGATAGAATAATAAAATACATAGTTTAAGTTAAAACTTAATTATATATTATTTTTATTTAATCCTGTAAGCAATCAGTTGTAGGCTAGTATTGGTATTAGGGATGATAACTCAAATTATTCCAATCCCTCTTAAATGGGTATTATCCGTCCCATGAGTAAAGTGAAACGAGGAGTAATTCTTATTCATATTTAGCTCGTTTCGTAGTAATTATATCTGAATTTTTATTAATATTTACTTATATGGATACTATTTTTGAATTATACCATTAGATCCACAAGGAAATGAAATGGAGAAGCTTGAAACTTTTATACAAAAGGTGGATGAATACTTGATTAGAACAAAACTTACTAACTATGTCCTAGCTAAGCCACATATGGAAAAAATGTGGAGGGCTTCCATAATCCTCATCATCTTTCACAAGAGGAACTAAACTAAACTAACTAATCAATGTAAATGGGATGCCAAAAGATCAATGAAGGCATCCTCTCTACAAGGGATGGTGAGGCCACCCATTGGATGATCAAACCCAAACTCTTCCTCTGCTTTCCTAAGCAAGTCTTGGAATGTAGGATGGCTCAAATACGAAATCGGCACCACGAATCTCTTCATCATCATCTCCACTTCCCCTACGTAAACCGCAACGTGCCCCTTTGGTACACCGAGACCTCGATTTTGACTGTGTTGATGGTCGCTGCAGTGGTGATGGTGAATCAGAGACTTCCCTTTCATCTTGTGCTTCACATTGAGCACCGTTGACGCGAATCGACCGATACCCATGTCGAATTTTGGGATAAAGTTTATGTCTTTGTGGGTCTGGATTGAAGTATGCTCTGTTTTGGCAACTGGGTATTGTTTGAATCTGCTGCTGAATGTTCTGAGAGGGTATGCTTGAGGACTATTTATAAGGGTTTGTGAGGTGGAGAAGGGAGTGGAGTGCCATACTTTGCCAGTTACCAATGGAGAAAAGGGCAAGTGGAAGCTGCAAGGTCAGCAAATGGGCTTCTGTTGAGGGGCCCAATAAGTCCATAACCATATCAATTGGGGTTCACATGGCTCTGCTCATTGGTGGGGGAAAAGAGAAGGTCATTAGTTTTTTGCTTCCCTATTCGCTGTGAAAACAGGCGGCCGTACATTGGTTATTGCAATGCGCACCACCTGTTTGATAATATTCCTCACAGAGATCTGGAAGTTGTGAGAGGCTAACATGTTGGTCTCTTTCTGGAAGCTCTTTTCTTTGAAGAAAGAACGACCGGCATAGTAAGTAGTAACTGCAGTCTGTCATTTCTTCCCAGAAATTGAACTGAACGAGGTTCCAGATTTGTATGGAATACCAAAACGGGTCCAATTTTGGTTAGGTGCAGGTGACGATATTGATTGATTATTCTAGAAATGACATCTATGATCTAACACAGTAACACCTATAATCAATCGATATCGTTGATAGTTTTCGTCATCCATTGAGCAATATCTCTGTCTTCAGGAAGCACTCCAATAAAGAGAAACCTGAAGAGGAAGCTCCCCCTTTCTAGAATGACAAGGACTTTTTTCTTGGAAGTTTCCATTGATCGTGTGACTGAGTTTCGCGCAATCGCAACAGCAATAGTTTGGTCAATCTACTCTCGTGGGCGGAGCATACCAAAGCTTTTTTGGATTTGAACCAGCTATGCATTAACGTCTAATATAATAACATAACACCCCGGGTCCAACTTAGTGCAAATACCTACTAGGAACAGTAATGAGGGCAGGTCGGGGTAGGTATCCTGATTCCTGATACTCATATCCACCCAATGACAGGTTAGGTATGTTGTCTTGAGCTGCGGGTTGAGACATGTCGACCTAAACGAGTATGCATTTAAAGAAAAACATCAATATTTCATTAAAACATCAAGAAACAAACTCTGACATGATAAATATAATCAAATTGTTCGAGAAATCGAAATTCTCATATATTTACACCTTTATTATGACGTAACAAAAGTAAAATTCTAAGTAATTTAAGTAAAATTATGTACAATTTCGATAAAAAGAGTAAAAAATATGGTGTACCATGACATATCAAGTCGAAAAAGTACTCATTCTCTTCCTGCTCCACCTACGAAATAGACATGATCCATTTAAAACAAATAAGATAGAACGAATGAGATCAACCCAATATCCACCTTCTAACACAGTAGTCGAGGAGTCAAGTTGTGAAACTTGGACTTTCTTACGTCAAAGGTTAAACAAACAAAAACTACTTGGGGGGTTTGGGTTGTGTCAGTACATCAGATGGAGAAATCAAGAAAAACGGTTTGGTTTTGTGTCAGAAGGCTATACTTTCTTTCTATTTATCCTTTCTAAATAGATTGCTGTTCTTGGGGATTGGGATATCTTCATAAAGGAAATGATATTCTTAGGGTTCCAACTTCCCAATAAGTTAATCAATCATTGAGGAGGAGAGCATAGTTTTGATGGCCAAACAAATTGCTCCACTTGAAGGCCTTCTCAAGATCTCTTTTCATGTGGTGAGCATGTGCTCTGTTTTACTATGTTTAGTACTTGAAGCTGCTTTTTGTTGGGTGTGTGTGCAGAGTTCTCTTCAAGATAACACCCAAATTTATCATTTGGTGTCAGGACAATGTACATGTTGTAGCTTCCTCGTAGTTTAATTCGTTTGAAAAGACGACGTGAAAAAAATATTTGAGTTTCGAATTTTGTATAATCTTTCATCCAACTTGAATGTATATGTGTGAAACAGAGGACGTGACAACATTCATAATGGAATTTTATCATACGTTGGACAAACCGAAACAAAAGAATATAACTTGGAATGGTTGCCACAAAAGTAATCTTCCCACCAAATAAGCTCAAATGAAATTTAAGATAAATAAATCCAAAATACCCCCATTTCCACTATGCAAATGTTGGGTCGTGTTTTTTTGTGTTTTTTAAAGAGGGTTTAACCTATTTTCGTCGAAACTATCACAACTCGAGCGACATAGAAGTATTTCATCCCCCCCTCCCTCAAATATCTTCTTCTTTCCAAAGACAACTATCGACAAATGAGAGCCCTCGTTTATTTACAAGATGATCGACAACTCCAAACCGTAAACTCCAATAAGACCGATATCGTCATTCTCGAATTACCAATAGGCAAGTTATTTATTCCCATCATTCACTAATTTACACATCACATTGAGCACTTGCACTTTCTTGTGCCCACAAAACTGAAGAGACAACAAAACTTGCTTGAAGAATGTCCATCTCTTAGAAACTCATCACACACTTAAAAAAAATGGAATACACTACTTTTCCTGATCATTCTTTTTCTTCCCAGGAACATATACTGCCCCAAAAGACAAATGAATGAACTCAGCAGTTCAATGCTGAAATTAAATTAATGAAGTACTCTTCACTGCAAGGAATGGTCAGACCACCCATTGGGTGGTCGAACCCGAACTCCTCCTCGGCTCGATTCAACAAGATTTGAAACAGAGGATGGTTCAGATACGTCACAGGGATGATGAATCTCTTCCTGTACCCTTCTTCTCCAACGTAAACTGCAACGTGCCCCTTTGGCACATTGTTGCACGTCGCCGCCATGACGCTCGCTAGTCGCGCCGATAAGGTTCGCTGCAGCTTCTGCTTGGCATGGTGAGCGAATCCTTGTAATTGAATCCCCATGTTTGGGAAAACAGAGTAAAACAGAGGAGTGGCAGGGTAGGGTTTGGTTTGGTTTTTTTTTTCTGGTTTTGGTTAAGTGGAATACTATATAATTTGTGCAGCTAGCAATGGCCACATTTATATAGCAACGACTTGAAGCTGGTGGGTTTTTGAACTTTGAAGAAATCCATGGCTGACAAGAGCTAATTATGGAAGCTATAGGAGAGGAATAATAAGAGACACACCAGGTGAAGGGCTTGGTGGTGATGGTACACATGGGTCTGCTATTGTGTCTAGCTGAATGCTATGGCCTACTGCTTTTTGTTTGTAATAAGCTAAAAACTAACATGGAAGGGAGTATATTTAGAAAAGAGGATAGTTAATTTGTTAAGGAATTTAGGATGGTTCTTGGAGATTGAACCACAATCGAGAGTCGAGCCGATGAGAAATGAGGTTTGAGAGGGTAATTCTTAGGACGGACTTTGTTGTTACATTTCACATTTCAGTTAATGCAGTGTGTTGATCAACATGCACTTCCGGATCATATCTGCGTTACAACGATCCATTAAATGTTAGATTTTGATCGGAGAACTCGACTTACCCACGTCTATCGAGGGAACAAGTTTCTAGTAGATCATTTGTCATGCGATGCAACATCTATGTTATGATTATCCATATGTTTGGCTAGACTATTAGGTAATGCAGACCAGGGTGGCCGTTTGCAGCCTGTTATATCAAAAGAAGATAGGAAAAAAGAAGACCAATTTATGGCATTAGAAATCAAACGGTTTGTGGGTTGCCTGTTGTTTTAAGACAATTTGTTTGTGCAGGTATTTCGTCTGCTTGCCATATTGACTGAATCATTGAACATAGACTTGTTGGTATTAAATGGGGGGAGAAAAATGGTTTTCCTTTTCCCCTCTCGAGCCAACTATCCATCCTTTCGTGGGCTATTTTTGAGCACTGGTTTTCTAAGTCCCCACCATTTCTTTGTCCAGAAGCTGTTAAAAACAGCTGGAAAAAACCCTGAACCACTCATCATATCTCAGGCCAGTGACTCTGTGGCAGGGAATGAATGCTGCAGAATGTAAGAAAGAGTTGCTGATTTCTCAAGAAAGGTTTCATCTTTTCGGATTTTGGGAACATTCAGTTGAGATTATGGGTTACTGAAGTTGGTGGTTATGAAATTAGTGCACTTTGGATTGATTAATCAATTGAGTTTAAGGTGCTGACTTTGTGCATGGAAGGTGCTCGACCGCATTAATGGCTGCCCTCTGAGAAATATACGTGTGGCCTGATCCTTATCAGGTTGAATGCACGTAGGAGGTGAGGCCAGTCAGTCCCAAGATACAGTTGACTTTCTATATACACTCTCTTAAGGTTCACTAATTATTGGTTTGTGAAGGTTTAACAATTGGCTTATTATTGTATAAAACAAGGGAAGAAGGTTAGCTAAGAAGAAGTGCCATTTCCTGCTGTTTGAATCAGAAAATCATCAAAGAATGTGAGATTAATGCTTGTGAAAGCTAAAATCTATGGAAGAAGGTGGATCCATTGTCCAGAACTTAATGAAGACAGCAGAGGCATGCATTAGAAATGGAATGGCTTAGGGGACTAAGTTCATGGAATTGCAGGGTCATTTTCCTGGGTACAATTGTGCAAAGGACTAAGTTCATGGAATTGCAGGTCATTTTCCAAAACAGACTGGTAAGTTTTTGAAGCTTTCCACATGATATGCATAGCATAGGCTTGCTGTGCAATTTTGGAGCATGAATTCAGGTGCAGATCCCCATGGTAGGACAAAATAAGGCCATGGTCCCCCTCCTAAACCTTCACAACTTCATTTCAGCTGCAAAATTTCCCCTTCTGCAAAAAAAATGGGTATCTGCATTTGCCTGAAAAAGACCACTTTCCTAACCTCCCCTGTTTTGCAAAAGAAGTTGTAAGCTGTACCTGTCAAGAACCAGTTGATCCCAATAACTCGAGTTGTTGGGAGAGGTTCAATCGTGGATCATATACCACAACACTAACACGCCCCCTCAAACGAAAGCCACTCACAAGGGCTTGAAATTTGCACAGGTCTGAAGACAAGAATACCATGTGTTTAACATATGGGGTCACCAAGAATCGAACACAAGACCTCTCGGTCACAAAAGGCTCTGATACCATGTCAAGAACTAGTTGATCCCAATAACTCGAATTGTTGGGAGAGGTTCAATCGTGAATCATATACCACAACACTAACAGTACCAACTTATCCATTAGAAAAAGGGTTTGGTGCATTACCATGAAAAGAAGAAAAAAAACATGTGGGTTGGTTCAGTTTTGATGTTCCCACTTAACCCTTCATTTGTTCAAACCCCACTCTAGACTCTACTCTAGATTATATATTGTGGGTTGTATCAATGTATTATACACACCAAATCTGCATAAATACTTCTTTCTTGTGGGTCAAATACAACATTACCAAAAGAAATCAAGTACCACATATACATACTTGAACACTGGTTTTTTCCATTTTTTAATATCCGTACATGGTCTGCTTGCTTTGCTGTTCATTGTATGAGCAGATAGAGTCATAAGACACAATTGGTAGCTAGGACCCCAAAGGCACTGAAAGAGGAGGGTAGGCCATGGAGAAGCTAAAAGAGAGGCTTCTGATTTTGTTTATCATATGGTTTAGTTTGGAGACATATAGTGTTAGTGATGCATGTTCTCATGTCCAGGAAAAGAAAGCATACCAACTACTGGTGCATGCTTATAGAAGTTAGAACTATGAATAGTACTAAATGTCAAGAACCAGTTGATCTCAATAACTCGAGTTGTTGGGAGATGTTCAATCGTGGATCATATATCATTCACTAACACATCCCCTCAAACGAAAGCCACTCACCTCATAAGGGGCTTTCGTTTGCACAGGTCTGAATACACGATATCATGTGCTTCACAAACGGGGGTCACGGGGATTCGAACACAAGACCTTTCGATCGCATAAGGCTCTGATACCATGTCAAGAACCAGTTGATCCCAATGACTCGAGTTGTTGGGAGAGGTTCAATCGTGGATCATATACCATTCACTAACACCAAAGCCCAATTGTCTATGATTAGAGGTTGATGTGTTACCATTCAACCCATCAATTCTTCAAAAACATAGACCCAATTCGGGTGTGGTGCTCACAAAGCGCTCGTAGCTGCTGAATGATTACGGTGGCAGTACTTTTATTTTGCACTCGAATCCGACCGTTCACAACTTGTATGAAATTGCTATAAACCCACACCCTGAACTTGGAACATATGTCTTCCCCCAGCTTCTTATCCATTTTGGAGAGGATATTCTCTGTTGGGATTGGATTGAGCAGAACATGCAATGTGGTGACAAAAAGCAGGTCAATTACTAGCTAAAGGGAATTTAATGAAATGGACTACACTAGGATTTGTGACAGAGAAGCAATATTGGATGAACCCATAATTCCCAAAGCATGGTTTGGTAGCTTAAAGCAGTGGGCCTTACCAAAATTGACTTGTTCTAGTGATTGGCCATCAACTTACTTCAAAGTCCAAAGTCCAAACTATGATCATCAGTCCATACAGCAAGAAAAAAAAGTTGTTTCTCTTTTGACCCAAACATTTACAGAGGTTTGTTAATATTAAGGGTGATCATATATAGTATTTTGGCTAAGAAAATAGGTGATCAGTGATCACACCATCAAGGGATTGATCTAGTGGTAATGTCACTTGTATTGAATTTGTTTGAAGGTTTCAGTTTCTAATCTCTAGGATAACTTTGTCAAAGTTAATATTAAAAATTAAGAATTATCTACGAGAGAAATTAAAAATTAAGACGTACACGTGGTTTCTTGCCATTATTCATCACATTATAAAGAAGTATACGACCATATGAACCAACAACGCTTGAATAGTACTATAATACGACGCGTATCGCGATATCCACGCTCGTAAATCGTAACATAACAAACCACGTGTTTACGAGCCCAGCCATCCGTACACTACATTTTCTTCGCGGGGTTGTAGCGCATGCTGCAATCGGAGGAAGACATTATCCCGAAAAGGTCGAAATCGCAGCCCGCATCCAGCAGCGAATCCTTGGCGTCTTCGAGGCACTCGCTGCAGTCGGAGGCGTCGAGTTCGAGGCTGCAGCCGGCGTAGCCGTAAACGACGTCGTTCGAACCCGCCGTGGGAGGAAACGCGGTGGAGTAGTCGTACCCTTTGACCGTAGGTGTCACGTTGGCCAGCTCCTCGAGCACGTGCTGTTTGTGCGCCTCGTAATCGTGCGAAGCACCGGCGCCGAAGCACGATGTCTCTTTGCTCTGATGAGCGCCGGTGACCGCAGGTTCTACTCCGCCGGCCGCCGGCGCTGTGATGACGTGCATCAGTGCTACTAAGGTGACAAGTTTTTGGACCGTGTTCTTCATTGTTGTTGTGTTGATATATGTTTTATTACTATGGCTTTCTTGATTAGGGTTTTTATTTTTATTTTTATACTAGACTAGAGAAAAGTATATGTGCAATTTCAAGAGGTCGTTTCTATCTATATATCCATCCATGTCTTCGCATTTGGCATATTTTCCACGGCGGCATAATTAGGGGACGACGCCGCTTTTGGTTTTGATTGCGTGATTTACAATGACGGTGTCTATTAGCGTTTGTTCGAATATAGTTGCTAGCTTTTTTTTTTCTTTCTCAAAAAATATACTACAACGCATTATTTTCTTCTTAGATTTGTTCGTATAGTGGTTATTAGATCAATTTATGAAGCAAGTAGCTAGCGAAATTTAGGGCTTTGTTATATTAAGGGTTCGTTTGAGAACAAGATTTTGATCATGGATTTATTGAATTCATAGATTTAGCAAAATGTTATGTTTTTTTGCTATTATTTGTATCATGGATTGTAGCTACAGAGATTTTAAATCTCTAAAATCTATAGATATCAAATCTCTCATAATTAGAGAGATTTTACATCTTGATTTAGAGATTTTCTCTCTCCTACTATACCTCTTCTTTTTTTGTTCATTTATCCCACTAAATATCCTTACCAATAAATTCTCAATATTTTTCGAGCAATCTAATTATTTTGGTTAAGGATAAACAAGTCGTGTAATAAAAAATAAAATTTCCTTTTTCATTGGATGCTAACAATCGTAATTACCAAACAATGAGCATTTTCAAATCTTTTTTAAACAATCCACAGAGTTAAAATTTTTAGATTGTCTAGAATCTATAGATTTAAACTCCAATTCTCCAAACTTGCAAAGGAACGGTGATTTGGAGAAAAAACGGTGGTAACAGTTTTCAGATAAACAGTCGATCTAATGACACACTTATCCAGTTATCTTTAATGCAACGAACCGCGTCATTACAAAAGAGAAAATTAAAGCTTTGACCGCTGCAATAGAACGATCCTCCCGCACACTTTTTTTGTTGTGCCTAGGAGCGAACACAATGACGGGATATCATAAGAATGTTATACGTAATTCTCATAGTGCTTCGAGTGTATATTTGTTTTTGAAGTCTAAGTTGTTCAAAAGATCGCGAAATCAGCTCAGGATTTTGTTGCTATATATAGTTCGCGATATTTGACGAGATGCAAGACGAGGTAGTTGTCACTGGCGGATCCAGGGGGTGGCCACCCCAGGTCCCGGCCCAGCCCTCATCTGGATCCTTAGTTACTATAGTCCTTATGAAATTTTTGATTTTATACATTCGACCCAGTGGTATTCTATGACAAGATTGGATTTAACTAGAAAAATTATCAAGTTGAACATATTCAAATCACTATTCTAAATTTACCCTAGAAATTTTAGCCCCAAAGATCATGCGTCTAAAAAAAAACAATGAAACCTAAAATTCTATAAAGTTTAAAACGTAAAAGACTAAAAGAAATATGAGGTTTGTTCCCTTACAAATTTACTAAAGTAGCTGGTGTGCAGGGATGGACACACAATGCAAATTGATTAGTCGATTGATTTATCTAGTGTTGATGCTGCTCGTTTCAACAGCTACTACGAAGAGAACCTTTTTAACAATGAAACATGTGAGAACTGATTTGCTCAACAAAATGAGCAATGAATTTCTCGCCGATTGCTCAAGTATTTTATTTGAAACAATGTATTCTATTGATATGGATGTAGACGTCATTATTGATGCATTCCCTAAATTAAAATACATTCGTGTACACTATAATTTACATTGAAAAAAACTATAATCATTATATTTTTTTACGGTTCTAATTTTCTAATAAAATGCGGCCCAAAACTCTTCTGTGTTCTGGATCCGCCGCTGGTAGTTGTTTGGTATGAAGCATAGCAGGCAATCGAGGGTTGGATCACTCCAGAAATTATTCATCTTTTTCCCCTTCTTTTTTCTCAGTAGGTGTGATGTATTTTTACAGACTCGATAGACCAATTTTTGAAATGCGTATCATATTCAGATAAATCGATAATGCGTTATCAGTGTTATAAGCCCATGCTAGACTCCTCTGAAATCATGAAACTTGGACCAAACCAATCCTCCATTAATATATGGTAGAGTTTTGTGTACTTTTCTCCATTTCAAATTTCCTGCAACGAGAGTGAAAGTATGAAACTTGGAATATATGGTAGAGTTTTGTGTACTTTTCTCCATTTCAAATTTCCTGCAACGAGAGTGAAAGTAGGAAGGTCATTTTTGTCTTTACACATTTACTATTTATTTCATATAAAAATAGAAATATCAAGATTTGAACCCGGGTCTCTTCAAACAAAGATAACAATCACAACCAGTTACACTAAACAAATTTATTCCATCCTTTTTTATACAAAAAATTAACAAAGTTAATCTCTGAAAATCAGAGGACTTTTTCATCATTATTAGCTAGCTCACTAAGTCTACCGTATGTATTTTTATCGAGCTTGATACTTCTATTTTCATAGTAGAGTTTCATGTAATTTTCTCAATTTTAAATTCCTGCTCTCTCCTTAATTTTTGCTAAAGGTAAATGGGTAATTGGCTAACATGGAAGAAACTAATTATGTAACTACGTGTTGCATCCTTGCATTTTTCAATTTAAATTTAAATTTTGTGTTTTTTTATCTTTGTTCTTTTCTCTTTCTAACTTCCTCCGAAATTTCATCCATCGTGCAATAGTTTGCGCCTTTCACTTCCCAGTACAAGACTGTCATTGAAAATCAATCTTCAGGTATCTCTTGGCACTACGGTTTTATTGTTGGGGATTTTAAACTGGGCGAGTAGAAGATTTCAACTCTGATATCAATTCATGGCGAATAGAATGGAGTTCATCAATAACTGAAGTTGTAGGAGGATTAGAAATTGAATTTTTGGTTGAATATATGCCTCTTGAGATAGAAATTTGGTTGTACAACGGAGAGTGGTGGCTATTGGATCTTTAGGTTTATGGTTTTTGCAACTGTCACAACCTATTTCTATCTTAAAACGAGGAATCATTGATTGATTGTTTGAAATAGGTCGCTTCTTTATTCAACCTACTAGAACTAATAGATAAGAAGTGTCTAATTTTGCGCCTTATTACTTTGATCGAGACTATTCGTATATTGGAGATAACCCTGATTTTTTCGTTTGCTCTCAAGTTGTGATGGTCCCCTCTTAGCTGAGTTTTTAGTATGTAGATGACTTGAATCAACAACTCTCCATTTCTTTTTGATTAGTGACATATTGTTTCTAAAAGGAGAGCATTGAACCCTTTATATAGGATTGTGAGGTTTAAGATTTAGTTTCAAACTATCTATGGGTTGTGTGAGAATTTCAGTGAGCTTCTATACTCTATATTTCTTGACTGTAAAAAAAAACTAACCAATAGCATTTTAACAGGGACTTAATTAGCATTATGAAAAAGGGGTCAATGATACATTTTTGTATTCTTAAATGATTATGATATTTCTCCGAATGTTCGACCTATATATTATTTCTTTATGTATCATCTCGATCGAATGATTATCAATAAGATTAAACGGGTTAATAGACTTAAAAGTAACATAAAAATACAAATAACCAAATATGAGCATTCCGACTAAAGGGCCGGGTTATAAGCTAGTGAAAAGTATGACAATTTCATGAGTTGGGTTGTGAAATTACTGATTTGTTATTGATCACCCAACGCATTTTCTTTAAAATTACTGATTTCGAATTCCTTGGAACCATCCCCTTTAAATTTGTCCAAATTAGGGTCCTCTTCCCGTTCGTCCTCTCGTTTCTCCAATTCCTCCCTCGGCAAAGCCAAACTGAGCATATGGTACATAACACAGGCCATAAACGGGCCCACCCAGAAAACCCAATGGGCCTTCAACAACGAGCCCTTATAAACCATAGCCGCAGCCCAACATCTCGCCGGGTGCAGGCCCACTCCACCATACCCAGCCCGGCCCGTCACCGTCATCGAAACATAAACAACCAGCCCATAAGCCACCGCCACCACCGCGCACACCGTCGCCAATCCCAGCTCCCTTCGCCGCCGCTCCTCGAAAATCGGCATCGCCACATACAACAGCATAAAGGTACACGAGAATTCCAACGCCAGAGCCGTCCCGGCGCCGACCCCGGCCCCTCCGCCGCCGCCGTCGATTGCGCAGCCGCCCAATTGGTACTTAACCGCGGTGGCGCGGTCCATCGTCGCCCTGACGACGGCGAAGGCGATAAGGGCGCCGAGGCACTGGCCGACGACGTAGAAGAGTGCGCGGACGGCGGAGACGGCGCCCTTGAGTGCCGCGGCGAAGGTGAAGACCGGGTTCATGTGGCCGCCGGTGAGCGGCACGGTGGCGACGAGGAGGGGGAAGCCCGAGATGAAGATGAAGACCGGGACGAGGAGCTTCGGGTCGGTTTGACCCGATTCGAAGCAGGAGATGATTGTGGTTGTGAGGGCGAAGACTAGACACGCCGTTGCCACCATCTCCGTCACCGCCGCTCTCCACATCTGAAGAGTTTTAGGCAACAAATTTTGGTCAAAAGCTCTGATATAAGCTCTTGTTTGAGCTTCAATCCTACCCATAATTACTCTCAGCACATCCAACAAATGGTCGGGTATAGATTAATTATGAATTTCATATCATTTTTTTTACGCGTATTTTTGAACGAAAACTAATTTATATAACCTTAAAATTTTGCACAAATTTGAATATCAAATGTTTATAAGAAAGGGTAATCAAGATTCGAATAGAAAACCTCTATATACTAAACAGCGGCGGATCCAGGACATAATAGAGCACTGGGCCGCATTTCATTAGAACATAGATACCGTAAAAAATATCATAACTTTTTTTACAATATCAATTGCACACGTCGATCTTCTAATATAGCGAATTCATCAATAAGGGAATCTACATCCATACCAATACCATACTCTCTTTCAAATAAAATAGTTAACCAATCGACGAGAAATTTATCACTCATTTTGTATCGTAAATCATTTTCACCTGTGTCATTGTTAAAAAGCTTCTCTTCATTGTAGCTGTTGAAACGAGCAATATCAACACTAAACACATCAATCGACTAATCAATTTGTATTTTGTGTCCATCCTTATTTTCACCAATTGCTCTAGTAATTTTTCAAGAGAACAAACTCATATTTCTTTTAGTCTTATATGTTTTAGACTTTTAATATTTCAGGTATCATTGTTTGTTTTTCTTTAGACGAGAATCATTCGAGTTAGAATTTCCTAATAACACATAATCTTATTATAAAATAACACTAGGTCAAATGACTAAAATCGATAAACTCATTAGGACTATACTAGTTCCGGATCCAGAAGAGGGCTAGGTCGTGGCCCGGGGTGGCCACGTCCTGTATCCGCGACTGATACTAAATGACTTATGATATGGTATAAAAGTAGGTTGACCAAGTGATCGTCTACTTAGAATCTTCATGACCTATTACATTAACAATTGATTTAAGCGAAAAATAGGATATATCTATGCAAACTTTAAGTCCGTGAGTTTTTTCGTTTTAGAAACATAATGATATGAAATTCATAATTAACGTTGTTGAGAGAGAGATTCGTATGTATAATACTTAACCACTTACTTAATAGACGAGTTTGATGAAATAGGCGCCAGCTTACCGGAGGGGAAAAGAGCTCTTGGGCGCCAATGCGGCGCAGGAAGTCATGCTGCTGCAGGGGGGATTTGTTGCTTCGAATGGCTGCCATAGGTTGGAGCTCTAAATTAAACCTTCCATGGAATGGAAGTTTTAGCTGTATGTATTTATAGGCAAGCCAGTTCAGTTCGGTTGGTCGATTCGGTGTCCCGTCGAGGAAAACACCGATGCACGGTTGTCTTTTTCCACAGTGTGGATATCCAAACGGATAAATTCCGAATCCCTCGCAATCGAAAGGGGAAAGAGGGGTTGGATTGTTGCAGTACATGAAAGACCGGCGACGGATGCTCTGTCCGGCAACCGGCCGCCAGGTCACGGGGGCGCAACCTTGTTTTTATTGCCCCCTTCGTTTTCAACGAAGATTCCAAGACAAAAAGGGGAAATGCCGGAAATTCATGGAGGCGGTGCTACGGTGATGTGACGTGGGGATGACGTTTTTATACGTAAATAGAACACTAAAACAAGAATTCTCAAAGGAAATAGTGAAGAAAAATTAAAGAACGAAAGTTAAATATTTGGGTTTCAATTTAATTTTTTTATATTATTAAACGAATGATAGAGTACATATTTATTATAGGTATATAAAACCCCTCCTTTCTCCTACCCAGCACATGAAGCTTCTCCCGCAAGGATACTAGAGATACAAACTAAACGAATACCAGAAGATAATCTGAATTCTACTAAGACTAGTAAACAATAATAATATCATAAATAAATAATAATTAATTAATAGGACTACTAAAAAGTAAAAACATATGAGCCCGGAAATACCTAGATTATTACGAATGACACGTATCGTAACAATCCTTCTTCCCCTTTCAGTGCAACCTTGCCCTTAAGGTTGGTGGGACGACCACACTCTATTCAACGGGAATCAATGTAGAAGAATCTTCCTCATAGCGTATCATCGATGGTCAGTGAATGTCCTCTCTAATTTACTCTTATAAGAAGTATATGACAGAAGATTGGGTCCTGATTTGGATTTTCCTTTTTACGATATAACTCAATTGTGCATGAAATATCTCGACGGAATGAACCGTTTTAACGTTAAGAAATTATGTGATAGATTAATAACTAGGAGAGAATTAACCAAGTGTGTGTTATGTGAAAAGTGATCAAACCAAGTTTGCTTCATTCACAAGCTAGACCTCAAGTGTTTTTATATATGACTTCAAAAAAACAAGTGAATCCATCCACATACAGATTCACATAAAGCACCAAAGGCCTACCTTGATCCTTAGTTACCTGATCCACCGAGTTGCCTCTCCTAAACCAAAGGCGCATAAGTCATAACACAGAATGGCAAACAATTCCTAAAACATTTCTCCATTCATTAATAAAATGCAAACAAAATTTTACACTCGAGTCAATGCCACCGCTGCTCATTATCATATTCTGAAAGAGTCTCAACAGTAGAAGCCGTCCGATAATCTTAAACATTTAAAAAACTCTCCAAGTCCACAGGCACCTCCCTCTTCCCTGCAACAAAAGCGATTACAGCTTCACTAATCATGTTCCAGCATTTCGGCGGCCCACACGAGCGACGAAACCAGCCTTGATTGGAGCAACAGACCTTCCAGATCCACACTGCCATAACCAAAATCAGACCCTCAGTAAAAGGTTTAAGAATATTATAGAGCAAGGATTACAGAGTTGAGTCACAGTGAATATATCCAATCAATCAATTGAACTCTTATGCAAACAGCAGACAAGAGCGCCAAACCTTGTCTAGGCAATAATATGGAAACAACCAGAGAGGCCTCAGAATTACCCAATGATATATATCATATGCAAGTCAAGCAACACAGTGTGCGCTGATTGTATCATCATTGGCCTCGGCATATACTATACAGCAACTTAGAAGAGCAAAAAAAGTCTCTACCAAGGGTAGGCAACCCTACACGAGTTAACTGCACCGAACACCAAACTGCAGTTGAGCCAAATCGTTTCAGCAGTTTGCTGCGGTTTGCCAACCCCGACGAGTCGTAGATGGATGTACAGCCTCTCATCTTTACTAGCGAGATAGAAATATGCAGTTCGTAATCTATGTGAAACAGAAGCAATAAGCACAAACAGCATTCTTAAACTGCTAAAAGGACAAGCCATGCCCCACGGCCTAGTTCAGGTGGCATGATAGACACTGATCTTATGGGGGAAAATATTAACACAATTTGCACGGTTCTGTACTTTATCATACAACCCAAAACCACAGCATTACATGTACAATTTCAGAAAATCTGCAGGTTATTTTTTAAAAATAGCCAGTAGAACACACAAACAAGGCAAGCTCAGCATTATGGAATTGCACACAAATGAGAACATCCCCAGTTTGTTTATATTTTCAAAAACTAATTAATAAGCTACTGTAAAATCAATACATCTTACTATTTGATGGATAGATTCAAGATCCAAAAAAAGAAGAGACAAAAGGACAGGATGAAGTATTACCTTCTCACATCTGAGGAAGAATAGACGATTTTCCTTGGAAAGTATTGTGTCTGGACTTTTGCAACCAATGCAAATCACATACTCATCTGAACACGAGTATATTATTAGTTTCCAGACAAATTAATTTCCCAGACATAAGACAAGGATAATATGACATTCTGGTAAACAAACAGAAACAAGAGATATGCTTACTGATATATCGCCGCAAAATCCCTTCAAAATTTTTGGGAGCGAACCTTCCCTTCACAACCAACCTTTGCTGGCCATCGAGAGATCCACTTGTACCCAACTCCGCAAGCAAGAAAGCCATGACATGATCTGGTTGTCGATGCATACTACAAATAACAAGGGAAACGATATTCATAAAAAGAAACAGGAAAAACCGAAAGCGTAATTTAATACATAGGAAAGCCAGTGAAGAGATACATGAACATGAAGATGGAAAGATCATCTCATTTCATGTGATATAAAGACTTGACATTTAACAAAGGCAAGAGCAAACAAGATGTTGGACATTTGGTAGATCAGCAAGGCAAGTTTCTCAGAAACACAGCCAGTGGCCATTCTGCACCAGAGAGCAATGCAAACTACATGATGAGAGGATTGTACGTGTACTTACCTTTTGCAAAGGTCCATGAAATTCGCAAACACCGTTTTCTTTGTCCCTTCACGAAGAACCTGAGGAGGCCTCATCACAGTCCTCCGCCTATCTCCTGAAAGCTCTGGGTTGTTCTCACGGAGAATATTGAAAACCCTGCCGAGAAGCTGCCAAAAATACAGACAAAGTGAAGATACATCAAATGTCCATCAAGCAGACATTAAATCAATTTCATTATTTTGAACTATTTGATATACCTCTTCATACTCGTAATCACGATCACTTTTTTGCCAAGGATAAAGCTCCTGCTGCAGGGCAGATTCTTCAGCTTCATCATCTTCTGGCCCATGATCTATATGAGATAAAAAATAATTTCAAAAATTGCACTAACATGACAATACTGACAAGCATAACGACAGCTAAGAAAACAGCTTCTCACCATCAAGGTCATCTCCTCCCTCCCCAATTTCCTCACTCAAAGGCCTAGGTTCAACCTATTGTCAGATATAGGCATCAATGATCAGAACACGCTAAAAATACGTATTTAATTCACTAATAATGGCAAAACTTTAATGCAACACCACTGTCTATCAAAAGAAACTTACAGGTTTCTTCTTTTTCTTTTTCAAACCAGAAAATGAACTTTCAACCCCATCAGCCACTGCAATAATTGGGGAAAACATCAATTAAAAACATAAAACAAAATTTACACATTCAAAATACTCTAAGTAAGTAAATTACACTGCAGAACATAACTAGCAGAAGAAAAGTTCCAAACCTGAGAGAGATTCAGTTTTTTCAGCCAGCTTGTCCAGAGAATCATCACCACCATCTTGAATAACAACCTTCTTCTTCTTCTTCTTCTTGGTAGGATCAAAAGGGGCAAGCTGCAGCAAAGCAACATCAAAATATTATTACAGTCAGCACATCACCAACATGAGATACTTGCCAACATCATAGCCTAATATATGCTCAATAAATTGTCAACATTAACAACCGTCACATATCTCAATCCAGAATGTCAAGATAGACATTATAGCATGCAATCTGGGGATTGATCAGAAAAAGAAAAAAAAACAGGGCCTATATATAAGCACATGCAGGTTTTGGACAAAGAAGAAAAAGAACACCACTATTATTTCATCAGAAATGACAATTTCAAACATATGCAGTAAACTAAACCAGTGTACAAAATATCATTGTTTCAATCACAAAATGCTTCTTCTTGTTTCAGAAAGAGACTCTATCGAACAATCATCATTCTCCAACTATTTTAACACAAGGATAATAAAAAGGAACTTACTTCTGGAACCTCCTCCTTCAGCTCATTGTGTTCCTCGTCCGCCATGGTCACTGAAAATTGGTTCAAAGAAGCCATATGATTAATAAATCTTTTAACCAACCAGGAGACTAGCAAGCACCAGAAATTAAGAGAAGTGAACCAACAAAAGTCAGACACAATAATGAATAATCTACCTATACGGCAATAAAAACCTAGTGTTGAAAACTCGATTATCAATAAACATTGTATTCAGCTTCAGCTTCAAAACTCCTAAGGCCCCAAGAAAACAAAATGAGTTCAAGGAGGCATAATGCTGAAAAGCGAACGGAAATCGAAGTTTACGGCCTGGATTCACAGCAACGTTTTCAAATTAGCTAACTATCACCATTGTCACAATCACAATCTGGGCTGTTAACGGTGAGGGCGAAATCGCCTACGGCATACGAGCATTTGCCAACCAACAAAAAAAATTAGCCGATACAGATTGATGCAGGAACCGAACAGAGAATCAGAGCACGGAGAAGAGGATAAAACCCTAGTATGAGTTTTTAGATTAGACTGAACATTTGGCGAAGAGATGCTTACCAGTATGTTCAAAAAAAAAAAAAAAAAACGAAATCAGGGGATAGGAGCGTATCAATCGATGGAAAACGTAGAATCAGCTTACCTCTCCTTTTCCCCTTCTTGCAGTTGTTGTCGAGCACAGCGAAAGAGGAAGATCGAATTGGGATATCGATTAGGGTTTGCTCTGTGTATCGACTGGTTGCCGAAGAACCTGGGTACTGAACGCTTTAAAGCCTGAAAAATAAGAGGGTAAAGTGCCATTTCAGTCACTGTAGTATGCTTCGGTTGTGTTATGGTACTTCTATACTATTTTTCAGACTTGCCACATCAATCCGTTTTGGATATTTCGAGTTGTATTTTTTTTTATGGAATCTAGTTGCATATTTTTACTATAACCGATATGGAGGGGAAAAAATTACATGGAACTTATAATAATATATATTAGTTCATAATAATCATTTACAAGGCTAACATGCTATATATTATTATCTCTCTACTCGAAGTCAGCTCCGTAATTTTATAAATTTTATAAATCAACCAGTAATGCTAAAATGCTATAGCTCTCAACTCGAGCTCATCAATCGCCATCCACGCTTTCCTCTATTTCTTTTGGTTTAATACTAACACCTATAAGATCTTTATGTTGTAATATTGATTATAAGAGATTTATGTAATTGGTAAATTCATTAATCAAACCAAGGTGAAGTTATAATCCAGTCATTATCATGGAAATATATACCTATTTGGTAAATTTATTGTGCCACATAAGCAAGCTAAGTCACTTGCTTGATGTACAAGAAAAACCTCCGAAATTGGTATATCCCTTGGTTCCAAAAAACGAAGTTAACTTGCTTCAAAAGGAATACAATCACCAACGCCTCTTAAGATGACAAATCGATGCTCGATCCCATTACTATTCTTTCACAAGATCACGGCTTCAAGAACGTTCCCCTGTTAGTTTATTAGAGAAGATCATACAAAGAGTGAGCGAGAAACCTTCTACAATCAAATCACACATCAATAGCTGGCCATAATAGCCACCATTTTTCCCTTTAAATCATTCAATAACAACTGTCCTGGATTCGCCCAATGTACATGCTCATGAATTGAAAATTTGACCTTTGATCAAGTGGTCAAGAAGACCAATAACAAAGGGGGCACCAGAACACGAGGCGTGGAGCTCGCCATGGCATCACGAAGAAACTCCGTACGGGAGAACTGCAAGAGCCACCATTCTTCCTTCCTCGTTCAGTATGTTATAAGTAGAAGAGGCATTCCTCTGCGCCAAGAGAGTAAAGCATTGCATAAGAAAGAAAGGTTGCAGAACCGGAACAAACTGAAATGTCTCAGAGCATGGCATTTTAGAGTCACTTAGTAAAGCTATGAAAGCATTCAATTTGTTAAGCCACCTGTGATTTGACTGATTTAAGGAGATAATACATGTTGCTTAAGCGAATCTCTATCATCTTCCCTTGTTAAAATTAAGGCAATATAGCAATATCCACGTAGATACAAAGGGCAGTACCGAATCAACTGCTTCCAGCTTCATGCCTGTGGACCGGATGAAGCGCCTGAGTTCAGGATCCACCAGCTGAATGTATTTTCCGCACCCAAGAATCAAGATCTCTGAAACAAGCCCATCATGATAATTAAGGGAATGAAGAAACAATAGCATACATAAGAAATACCATCGTAGGTGCATGCATTCGGCCATCTAAAATAAGTGTGAATGACTTCTGGATTGTTGCAAGTTTTGACATGAACAAAGATGATATCCGAAGGTATGCTTGTTAATTTCCGTTTAGTAAGGTGACAATCCAACGTTTATCCAAACCCATGTAGTAAGGAGAAGATAAAAGCTTATTATCCTATGTGTGCATGAGTTCATCCCCTGGGATAGAATTTGAAACATAGGGCACTTGAATTGCCAGCACTAGCACAGGAAAGTGCATGACTTGGGGCGAGATGGACCAAGGGAAAAGTACACTTTGTGGAATGAAACTTGCCCAGATGATCTAACCTAGCATGCATTCTACAATGGTTCATCTTACAATACAGAAAGAGTGGTACCACAGTTTTGGTGAAAACTTGCCGCAAATATCCACACTACTGACAATTCTTTATCAGGTGCATAACTAACATAAAAAGTAATACACGACACACATCTATGCGTTGTAAAGTGGAGTTGAAATTCAAAGTATGTATGAAGCAACTGCACTCAACACAACTAATCACATAATAAGAAGCTAACTAGAGGTGATTTAGGAGTACTGCAAGCAAAACACATAAAACCAATTAAAACTGGGCCATGGAAGAAACTATTGAGTGTTAGAATGCAGTAAATGGAAGGGCATAAACTCGGAACCTGCTGGAGTTTCAAATAAGATCTAACCTGGTACAGGGCGTAAAATCTTGAAGATGGATAAACTGCAGTTTACAAGCATACAGCACAGATCCAATTTCAGATATAACAAACTAAACAATAGATCAATTAAGCAATTAAAATCACAAAAAGAACATTCTTATGTGCCACCTTGAGCTACATATACCAAAACAATCCAATATTGAATGATCTTTATCTGGATGAAGATGTCAAATACAGATAAACGCCTAGCAAAACTACACTGCTGATCAGGAAATGGATAGATTAAGAGATTCTGGAAATAACCTCTCTGGTGTAATTTGGGATAATGATTTGGGCGCCCACGACATGAGCAAGTTGCCAATGCAAAGCAAGCTACCTTCATAATGAACCCCATTCACCGTAAACCCAGTGTCCGTATAACTGGAAAAAAACGACGGTATGTCAGTGAAAAGAGATGATTCTACTAAGTAAAAGGAAGAAAATGTGAATTGTTAGCTACATTATTTACCGCTGGAACCGCAGTTGGTCTTCTGGGACATTGTCAATGAGATTGATCTGATCATAAAGAGAGAACGCCCGCCTGAGAGACGGCAGCGCCGTAGCTGGATTAGGCGCTGAGATTAGCGGTGAAGGCCTAGGGCATTCCTTCCGCAGACTTTGTATCAGCTTGGGTAAAGCGGTCACTGCTCTTTGCCTTACAGCCATTTCTCCAGTTCCCCGCAGCAACCAAAATCCCCAATTCCGATTCTATCACAACGATTCGAATTGCAAAATAAAAGCATCAAAATCAGAAACGAATATCATCCGGGCGCTATACCAATTCCCATTCTATCACGAAGCAATCATGGTAAAGGAAAGAGAGAAGGAGGGAAATTTTCTTACCGAATAATAAGCTTCGAAAGCAGATGAACCTTGAAACCGATTCGCCTCTGTGTTCCCTTCGGAATTTCAACTTCTCGCTTATGCTCTTTCTATGGATAGGTAGCCGGAATGGTCAACGACGGTGAAGGAGGCGGTGGATCGCCGGTCAGCGGTGGTAGTTGGTCCTTTGGCTCGGCGAGACAGCAAAATCTTTTCTTTCCCTCTCCGCTAGGGATGGCAATGGGTCGGGTTGGGTCGGGTTTTGCCAAAACCAAACCCATGGGTTTATCCGCGAAAAAAACCCGGGGTAAAACTCATTGGGTTTGAAAAACTCAAACCCAACCCAACCCGTTGGGTATCCGCGGGTTCATGGGTACCCACGGGTTTTTGTCGTAAAAAATTTACAATAACATGTTCCTATCAAAATTAAAGTCAAATATCAATCTCTCAATACAAATTATCCATATTTAAAACACTATTCTAGAAAATTCAAGCAAATCACAAATTAACTATATAAATTGTTCAACGCAATCTAGAAAACTCAAGAAAATTGAAGTAAATCATAAATTATCCATAAATAACATATTAATTGAAGGCTTCTTCCGTTCAATTAAGTTTCTTCACTCTCCACTCGATAACACAAACTTCATTCTACACAATTAGAAAGAAAAAATTAGACATGTCTCTACTAACATAAATAAGATTAGTTGTTTAAAATATTAATTATACCGAGAAAATTAATTATATGTGTGGGCGGGTACCCACGGATCGGGTTTACCTAAACCCAAACCCAAGCCGGTGAATAGTGAACGTGTTTAAACCCAAACCCAACCCAAAACCTGTCAACACTGATTTTACCCGCGTTGACCGGGTTGGGTCGGGTGGGTACTCGTGGGTTCGGGTTTGGTTGCCATTCCGCCTCTCGTAAACTGAAGCAAGTCGAAACCCCAAAAATCAAAACGCTGCCGTTTCCTCTGTTTTTGGATGAATTATTCGATAAGTCACTGAACTTAGTTAGTTTTATTCATTGACTCCCTTAAATGTTTATTTCCTCTATTCAACTCCTGACCTAATTCTTAAAATTTCTAAACCCCAAACCTGAAAGATTCCCGTTAGCTTGAACGGAGCAAAACCCTAATTTCTCCCCGGGAATCACTAGCGGAGGAATCGCAATGACAAATAGTTCGTCGCCCAAAAGGAACGAGCAAGATCAGCCTGAAACCAGTGGCCCTGTGCTCAAATCACTGAAAACCAAGCTTAGCAAGCCTGAAGACGCAGAAAAGAAGGTAACTTTTCCCCCCTGTTTGTTCTTCCTCTTCGAATTGATGCTGAAACTCGCCCGCTCCTTCGGAAGCACGAGTAAATTGTCATGTGGGTTTTACTACTGGCATCCCATTTGAATGGAGCTCGAAAGTAATTTGTATATCAATCGGTATTTACAGTGACTCATTTATAAATAGGCAGAAATGACAATGCTTTGCTCCCAGAGTTTCTTAGTTTTGTTTCCTCTACTTGTAGATTGTAGGCAAGAAGTTGAAAGATGTGGAGATCAGTGTTCCAATTGTTTATGGAAATATCGCATTCTGGCTTGGTAAAAAAGCAAATGAGTGAGTACTTTTTCTCGAGCCACGCTCAAATTAGCTGCTTAGTTTCCCGTTCTGTTTTCACGTATTGGAAAACTTCATTCTTCTATGAATTCTGAATCAGGTATCAATCTCACAAGTGGACAGTATATGTTCGAGGGGCTACTAATGAGGATACCAGTGGAGTGATAAAGAAGGTTGTTTTCCAGCTTCACTCTAGCTTCAACAATCCAACAAGAGTTGTCGAATCACCTCCTTTTGAGTTATCGGAGCAAGGATGGGGAGAATTTGAGATTGCTATTACACTTCACTTCCACAGTGATGTTTGCGAGAAGCCTTTAAGCTTGTGAGATCCTTTGTCCAATTCCTGTTGCTTTTCTGTTCTTTTGATATCTGAGTTACAGAACACATTTTGAATCTGGTTTATTTTTGTTATTTGATTTATCTGCCAATTGCAGTCTCTTTCTGTGGAGAAGCCTGTAGCATGTACTTTCTTAATTACTAGAACACATGAAGCAAGTTATAGATCGAGAAGTCCTCCACCGTGTTTACTGAATATTTATTATTTGTAGTGTTAAATTGTGCCTTAAGACTTCAGTTACTACTTAAACCAACTTGGTTTTGTGGTGGTATATCTTGCATTTCAATTATGTTCCAAATTGAGCTTAACATAGCTGAGACTCTGGGTTTTCTGAGGTGTTAGACTTATTTGCAGATATCATCAATTGAAGTTGTACCCAGAAGATGAGTCTACTTCCTTGTCAATCAAGAAGCCAGTTGTAGTAGAATCCTATGATGAGCTTGTTTTCCCTGAGCCTTCAGAGAGCTTTTTAGCTCGGGTGCAGAATCATCCTGCTGTGAGCGTGCCTAGATTGCCTGTTGGTTTTACTTTACCTACTCCTGGTATGTCTTTTGGCCAAGTTACTGCATTTTCAGTCAAACGCTTTTTTGTTCAATTACTTCAGTTTTATGTGTTTGTGGTGGAAGCTGAAGACCCAAGTGAAAGGAAGAGAGCTGACACTAAGGACCATCCGCTAACCCAATGGTTCACCAATTTTTCTGAAGCAGATGAGTTGTTACAACTTGCTGCAGCTCGCCAGCAGGTCAGATTTTTATCATTCAGCTTCATTCTCAATTGTTCCCTTGTGTGGACAATCATTACCATGATAGCATATCCAAGTTACTGTTGCATCCTTCCACAGAATTTCTTGCATCTGTTAACAATGCCCTTGTCAAATTCTCATTATCTTGTCCATCTTAACCACTTGTCTATGGATCTATCTGTATACCTTTCATTTTCACGTTACCACTATCAAGGTCATTTTGCCTTTGAGCATAGCACATTTCATACCTGCATGATAGCAGAGCAGCGTCATGTTAAAACATTGATCTGAAATGTTGCAATTCTGGTTACACAACATTTTACTATTGATGCCTGAATTCCTTCACATGCTTGGATTAACCTCCTCTCCTTTGCCGGTTGATCAGTTTTGAAGCTTAGTACCAAATTTCTGCATCCCAAGTTGGAATCATATTGATCCACGAGCTCCATGCATATATGCTACTGTTCTGTTCCTTATGTTGCCTTCATCTGTTCTAGTTTTGAACTGCATCATAAACTGCAAGAAATCATTTTACTCCAGGAAGTGCATCAGTTGCATGTATTGACAGTTACAGGTCCAATGTTGTAGGTGCAAACTCATATTGCAAAACTCAGACGACAGATAACCGTGATTGAAGGACAACAGCAACAGTTGAAACCTTCTTCCGACCAGTAATTTACCATATATGTGCAGAAATCCCAAATCATATTAGTTAATGTGCAATAGTACTCGAGCAATGAGTTAGAGATTTTTCGCATTTGTAGCAGAATAGTTGGACCAGTGAGCTAATATATTATGAGCTTTGTCATTTCACCAGTTACCTATTTTGTCCTCAAGTTCTTACCATCTCATCTCTGGTCCTGTGCCTGGATAAGTATAAATGTCATTGTGTACATTAAGAAAAAGCAGCAATGTGCAATGTATCATTTCATCATTAATAGAACGTAGTGAATTCGCTGCAGCTCCAGTAACTGCTTAGTTGTGTTCTGGCGTCATGTTTTGCAACATGGATCATTGACTTTGATGTTACACCTTGGACTTGGCACAATGAATTGAGATATCGATCAAGGATGAGGCTAGATATTGATTTTAGTTAATATGCGTGTTCCAGTTTACAAACATCCTCAGGCCTATTGAAAGGACAGACTTGTTGTTTTACAAGAGCTTAACCTTACAAAACCAAACTGCCAAGAATTCCTAATAATATCAGAGATACAGATGATGAGGAAAAAGATTACCCCTCTGCAATTTTTGGAGCATCTGGTTCATGCTCATGGTACAAAAATTGTAGTCCGAAGAGGTGGCGTAAGGCACATTTCCCCCTTAATATTATTGTTGTGCAGCGGTTGAGTATTGTCAGCTTGGCACAGATATTGTGTTTTAACCTTTTAACCTGCTTCATGTGCTTATGTCGAGGTGGTCCTAAGGGAGCTACATCACCACTAATGTAATTATACATTAGGGCCCTTCTGGAGTACTCATAACTAGTACTTGTGACGCTTTGGAATGGGTCCTGAAGGCATTGTCATGGTCATTTCAACACCGTTGTCACCCTTGTCCCCCCCTTTGGCTCAAACCAGGTATACTATAACAACCACTCTTTGATTCTCTCTTGTATTTGTTAGTATTATATACAAAAGGGCCCTTATTCATGTATATCTCTATACATCTATGTTGATTCCTCCTTTATGAAGCTAGCTAAACCGCTCTCTTTCTTGCTCCAGGCATTTTCTTGTGGATGTCCTAATCTCGTTATCAATGTTGTTCGATTGACATCATCTTAATTGTTTCTCATGGCATAATAATTGAAACCCACCTTAGAAGACTAATGACATGATTGGTAGAGCGGTGTTCTTAACTGGCAATTTGCAGCCTTGAATCCCTTTCTAGTGTTTCTTCTGACTAGCATCCTTACCTCCCATGTGAGTTCGTGGTTTACTTTTTCTCTCTTTACATTGTCATGTCATCACCGTCACAGTGGGTGGATTGTAGGAAGAATTTCTTGGTCACAGCTTATGTTAAATTACTAGCACACTATAACTCTATAAGGTTCTGGTTTTTCGGAAAGGAGATAAGGGGTTGAAGTAGAAATAACAGTACAGCAAGGTCATGCATTGATGATCTCTTCGCTTCTTCTCTCAGTGCAATGATTATGGGACCTCAATGTCTAGTATGAACTAAGTGGGCACTGGGCAGGACAACTGCAATGAAGGAGTGAAAGAGAAATCTAAAGAAAAATATCTCGACAGAGCTCCTCTCATTTTGAAACTGGAAGCCAGTTACAGGTTGGAAATAGGAAAATATGGGTAGTTGAGAATTTTTTTGCTATTTGAAGGTAGTTGAAACTGATATTACATGATTCTTACAAAGTTGTCCTTACAGTAGGGTTTGCAGGCAAAGGTAACATGGCCTTCATGTGCCCAAGGGTAAAAAATGGCAGGAGGGTCTCTTTCCAACTACAAGGAAACAAATACCTTAGCTTCCTCTGGACTCAGCAGCACAACTCATTCCTGTGAGTAATGGTGGGCCTTTCCAGTCGCCCCTGCTACATTCATTCGTTGTCTATTCCTGCAGTCCATCTGATTCACATAACGTGGGAAAGGGAGAGCCTTTCTTCCAGACAAGGACCATCAGGGTAATTGTTTCTTCGACACTGTTAATCGTACTCTTAGCTGTATAAGCAACGTGAACAGATTATTGACGTCGTTGTCGCGGTACTAGGAGTACATGCATCTCTCGAGTACCTGGGGTTACAACTCTGTCAATATACTTATTGTCCTTGCAGTACATGATTGGAAATGGCATGTTAATGTTTTGCCCCTCGGATGGTGAACCCCTTAAAACTTAGACGAGTCTACTTATGGATAACAGCATGGTTAAGCAATGGTGTGAATCTATTGCAGAAAAGCAATATATCCAGAGATAATGATGCAGGCATTGAGCATATATTTGTGGGCACACCAGTGAGGAAAAACAAAAAGAAAGGAGACAGAAACATATCAAAGCTTTAAATCTTTTGTTGTATTTGCAGATCGGCCTTCTCAGCCTCAGAACATGGAGGCCTGCAAGTCTGTTTCTGAGATGGAGCCACAGTGCTGGAGCTAGGAGAGCGAAAATGATATTTGATACCAGTGGTGCACCTTTTAACTAGTTTTTATATCAATCTGGAGAATTTTGTTGATGGTCGTATGCAGCTTTGGACCACATGGCAAGTCTTAGCCTGCAATTGTTGACACTAGATTTCTCTTGCATGTGGCAGCCAACATTGCTCTTCTGGATATAGTTATGATGCCTTATATGGTTGTGTGTTGTGTCTGTTTCATCCCATATCCATTTGTTTTCTCCATTGTAGAGTCCTGGTCTGGCTGCATAAGGTTCTATGATGAGCAGTCTTTGTAGCTGTTGATTCTTCTTTTGCTTCTTAGTTGCTTCCTCTCACATTATGGTGTGCTATAAATGCCTGGTATTAATATACAGTTAGCCGGAATCCAGTTGTCTGAAACTCATATATTATTCAATATGTATGTGACAGATACAACCAAGGAAAGAGGCTGACCTCATGGATTGATTGAAGGGCTCGCAGTCTTAGTTGTCAGACAAGGAGATTAGATTGAAGTACCAAAGTATATGGATAATGGATAACCTCTGTATTTAGGAGAATAGCTAAGGAGAATGTTGAAAGCAATTTGGGTCGACAAAGAGGTATGTAGACAGCTTAGCTTTGTATAATTGGTCTCATTTTCTGTCCTTTATGAAATTTGGAAAAGTGCTCAAGGATTAGGTTTACCAAGTGCTTGGTGATTAGTTGAACTGTTGGAGCTTTCAGGGTCTAGACTCGTGTTTCGGAAATTCTGACTCCAAATTCGTGTTTAATAGTAGCATCTAATTATAAAAACAAAAGAAATCCGCGTATCAATCTGGCCAAACTAATGGTTTGATGTCGCACCATGGAGTTGGGGGAAATGAAAGAAACTCGTGGTGGTTTATCTTAGTTTCTGATCCACACTCATTTTGTTTTGCGGGTGTTGGTTTAATACACAAGATAATAGGATGGAAAGAAGGAGGGCATTTCACCTCTTATAGGCATTCGGTTTTCCTCAAATTATATAATTCAACAAAAGGTCGGAGGAAGCAGAGCGTGTTGATGTTATTGGATCGTGTCTCCTCGTTCGTTTGCAATCTTCGGATCATATGGACTATACATTAGGTGAAAACACATGAGAGGACAATCCAACATGTAATCATAGCTGCAAGGACCCTTTCAAGTTTAAACATGATGACTAAATTTCAAACAACCAACCCTAAAACTCATTTTGAGGGAGGGTTAAGAATCTTAACTGGTTTCCCATTGGCTGATGGGAAAGGAAGGATAAAAAAGGATAGGGTAGATGGGATTTTGGGTGGCGACTGGGGGAGGCCATTCATTGCAACAACAAGGTCAAGGACCTGCATAAAGTATAACAGCAGTAAAAAAAAGAACCACATGGGATTGCTAAATAAGTGTAGAAACACTACTCTGTTATCGTATTATTACATTTTATATGTGGCAGATTGCAGAAAAGGACACACAGAAAACAGAGAGAATCACAAGCTGCAGCACTCAACCATATTAACAAACAAACAACCAAAAAACTGTGAGAAAAACAGTTTTGTACTGTCCAGTACCACACCTTTCATTGTTAAGTCCGTGATCTAGGCATAAGCTGACGAGGGAAAAGACAAAGTCGAGAAACAGAGAGATAAGAATAAGATAAATCGATAAATATGAGATGTAAACACTACGATAGCGTTTACATCTCACATTTGTTTAATCGTCCAACTCATGATAAGATTCATGGTTATGACGGGCGCAAAATGTGAAAATATATTAAAACATTACAAATTCGAACACATCTATTCAGTCGCCCAACTCATAATAAGATTCATGGTTGTGACGGACGCAATATGTGAAAAGAGAATGACTAACAATGGAGAAGACGTGTAAATATCTATCGATTAAGCAATCAAACCCGAACCGACGAAATGCATCCAGCTAACAGGTCACAAGGCCCTAAATATCTAGCGATTGATAATAACGGTGGAGTTGGGAAGCTAGTTGCAGCAAATGGACAAACCCTAAAAACGACCTGATGGTTTGATCGATCTCTTGAATCTCCTGAGCGATGTGTAGTTTTGATTTTTATAAGCTGGGGGAATTCCACAGTTTTTGAAATCGGGTCTGATACAATACCAGCTTTTTGCCCTTTTTTTTACCGTTTTATTTTTATACTTGAAACTGTCAAGTCTTGGAAAGGGGTGGTTAACTTTCTTTACATGGGCAGTCGGTCAAACTGTGTGAATTTGGTAGCCGTTGTTGACTCATGTTGCTGTTATTATATTGAGGATTCTTGTTGCGATAGAAGAAGAAAAATGTAGAGATGGAAACGGTTACTTTGTACTTTTCCTTACTCTTGGAATGACTGATTTGAAAATACTAAGGATTTTATCTCCTCAAAATGTCATACGAAATCCGATTACAAAGACGCATTAGGCGGTTGAGAAAATGTACGTAGTATGTAGCAGACTAGAAGTATATATATATATGTGCAAAATAATAAAATCGCAGTTTATTTTTATGAAACAATTTGTAATAAAACTGATGATTTCGTAGTAGTAGGGTATGAGTCAAATGAACTTTTCATTTTATCGCTTAGTATATACACTTGGATAGTCAATAATAAAAGCATGATATGTCTTGTTTGTTTGTTATAAACGTGATAACTCATACCATTAATCAACACACCCAAGATCTAGAAACAAAGTTCAAAAACAACACTCCATAAAAAAACCCACCACACACCCAAACATGAAAGTTACAAGAAGATAGCAATCCAACCCGACAATAAGGTGTTATCGTATCCTTTCTTAGCAATAATGTCATACCGATCTTTAACCGCACTTCACGACAGCCCGCCCCAACAAGCATCGAGCAAACTGCAGCCACCAGATGCTGCAAATTACTCAACTTAGGTACATTCCGCTTAACCCATGATATATGCTCCTCGTGCTTATAAGCTGTGTCACAATCAAATATCAGTTCTGTTATCACCGCGATCGTCCTACGACGATCCCAGTTGAATAGAAATTTACACTCTTGTTTCTTGATGAGAGAGAGAAGAGGAGGAGGGGGCCAGGTTGCCATTAGGAGGGGCAACATAGAAGTGTAAAAACCAGTGAGGATGGCTCCCCACAATGTCCCCTTTTTTTTGAACTCTCATTCCCTCTCTTTTTACCTCAATTATTCCCCTCTCTTTTTACCTCAATCTCAACACTCCTCCACACATTAATAAACATATACCCTTAATTAGGAGAAGTTGTAGAAAACCAACCCGTGGTGTGTCCTTCAATTGTACCCACACTCCCACATGTCCCACTCCCTATCTCATTTGGCTTTGTCCTTTGTTCCCTTCCTCTTCTCTTCCTCCATAAATACCCTTCTTCCCCATTGCACCCTAAACCAGAAAAAACCACACTCCTCTCCTCCATTCCTCACCTGAGAAAAGAAAGAAAGAAAGAAGGAAGAGAGAGTGTAAGAGTAGTGCATAACTAAACCAAAAAAAAAGGGAGGAAAATGGCAATTAGGAAACCTAACAAGTTGGCACAGGCAAAAGTGCTGAGGCAGATCCTGAAGAGATGCTCCAGCTTGGGGAAGAACAACAACAACAACAACAGTGATCACGACGATGAAGGTTTCCCTCCGCTCGATGTCCCCAAGGGACATTTCGCGGTGTACGTCGGGGAGAAGAGGAGTAGGTACATCGTCCCGATCTCGTTCCTGACCCACCCCGAGTTCCAGTTCCTCCTCAGACGAGCCGAGGAGGAGTTCGGTTTCGACCACGACATGGGTCTCACCATCCCTTGTGAGGAGGTCGTTTTTCGCGCCCTCACTTCCATGCTCCGGTGAGTAGCAGTGAGGTCTGCATCGGAGGAGGAAAGAACCAGTTCATCCCGATATCGGGTCGATTACACCAGTTGTGGGGATGCAACAACAAAAATGGGATCCATGACATGTGGAGAAGAGAATCAAAGATGGCCCAAAGATGAAGTGTTCATCTTTTTTTTCCAACATCTTGGTTCTCTCTCCATTGCTGTGAAGCCCTCATGCTACTGCTCTCTCTCTCTCTCTCATTTTCTTCCTTTTCCCCATTGTTTTAGATCTGGGTTTTTTTCTTTTGGTCCTTTTTTTTGGGTTAGAGGGTCTAATGACTGACCTAGGAAACTACCCATGTGACAAATTATTTTTTTAAGGCAATGGGGAGTCTCAAGTCTCAACTCTGTATAAAATGCAAACTTATGGTTTTCCCCACAGTGACACCCAAAAAAGATATGGTTCACTGTGGGAGAAGTTTCAACTTTGAAGCAATTGGAATGTGTGGATTATCTTTCATCTCTGCAGTTGTGTTATCATTCCACAAGTATGTCATGTCAAGGACCAGTTCGTCGTTCCTTATTCGAATCGTCGGAGATTCAAGAATTTCGACCTTGTACCCAATATGTTACAAATCATTTGGCAGTCTGATACTCACCAGATCTGTGCATGGCAATGAACTGTGAAGAAGAAGAAAGAAGAAAAGAATAATAGAAAAGAGGAAAATGTATATTTGAAGGCAGGCAAGATGATTAGATCAAAAGAGAACAGTAGAGTTCCAACATATGCATGTAGTTTGTTGTCAGAGAATGTGGGGTACTTGTGTTTCAAGATATATATAGAATCAATCGTACGGATCACAGATGTATATTTGTATGTTTCTCTGTTCTTCTCTTCTCCTTTTTTTTTGTTTTTTTGATTTGTTAGGACCATATATATAACCACATCCCCTAATGATATCATATCAATCTGATCCAACGGTCGAGATTAATTTGTGGACGGCGGGTAAAACGAGACTAAATAATATGTGTTACGATGGATATTAATCATACTCGTGAATCAGCTAACTGATCATATATCGTATTAGTCAATCATGTAAATTCGTGTTCTCTATACATTTTTGCATGTTTCGATTCTCCGTTCCATTATAATTAACAAGTGTTAATTGAGTAATAAAACAACTACATAACCTTCCAACACATGGGATGTTAATGGAGATTATGGAGATCAAGTGGGATAGGTATCTTAGAAAACATTGAAGCAACACTTGCATGTGAGAAAACCATAAAATTAAAAAAAAAAGTATAAATATTATTATATTGTATTATATAGGTATAATATTATATATGACTACTACTCACCCATTTTCACCGTGCGGTTATAAACTAACTGGTCTCAATATAACTTTGAGTTGTTCAGACTTTTGAGAGAATTCCACGCATGGATCTTACCCACCGCTCCACTAGTCCTCTCATACGAAAACCAACTCATGGGCTTGAAATTTGCACAAGTCCCCTATACCATATATTTTTAAGACAACGCAGTAACTATATTAAAGTGTCATAGCACTTGAAAACCTGGCATCAAGAACAAATCAACTCTGATACCATATCATAAACCAACCGACCATCCTCAATAACTCGACTTGTTGAGAGAGAAGTCGATGTACGTAATTTCGCTCACTTCCTTACCCACTGCTGTCATGTCTGATCATGGTTCAATCTTCTCCATCTCTACTCATTACTGTAACTCTGGCCACAGAAACCTTCTGCAGATTTCGAACACGTCTACGACCAATATCAAGCCTTATTACTTGTCAAGATCTTGCAGCTGCAGCTCTGCTACGTTCATCATCTCGTTTCCATGTGTGCATTTAAGTTTTTTGCGTTGGAGCCTATTATGTTTGTATGTACATATGGAAATGAATGCATCCGTTGAACTTTGCAAAGCTTCTTGAATCTTATCTCTTTTATCTACCTTTCTCTGCAACATCAGTTAAGAAGGGAACTGCAGGTGGTCCTTCCTCCATGTAAATGAAATCCCCTCTTGGTTCGAAGATGTACTTTGATTTCTCTACCTTCCCAGTTCGAGATGTGAGATAATGGGGAAACAAATATGTAATTGATTAAGTTATTTTACTTTCTCGCTTTCAACCCAATTTGCTTATAGATTCAGATTTTTGGAATGAGGAGACGGATTTTGAATCGTGTTGATTGAGAAGTTGAGAAGATTATATAGCCCCTCTTAACTTTCACTTGGTTCCGTCACTGCTTCTAACTCGATCTGGTTGATGTGTGTATTTGATTTCGGTTATACATTTTTTTCGAAGGAGGGAATTTCTTGAGTACCCAAGAACCAAGAGTTCCATTACAACTTGGAAGTACAAATTTTTAGATCTAATTTTGCTTATGTTTTTAAAGTTGAGGGGGTTCTAGCTAGCCCTTCCTATCTTCCACGGATCTTTGTCATTGCTAGAGTTGGCAAAAATAACCAAGAGATCGATTGCCCGCTTGAATCCAAACCGCGGTAACACGCGGGCAAAAGTCGAGATGACCGAATTAGTGTAAAATCCGATTACAAAATAATCGAATACGAGCAGGGTATGAATTTCATGCTATCCGTCCCGCGAAACCATACCCGTACCTGCCCATAAATAAATTTACTCCAAACTCAACGTTTGCTACCCGGTACCCACTAATCTGAACCCCCCAATATTCTAATTAATATAAAACAACTTAAATGTACGAATTTACATCTAATTTTTTTTTACCTACATTTTCCAAATTATGAGAGTTATTAACCCCTCCTATCTTCTACATAGTTTCGTCATTACTTCTTCTAGCCTTGGTTAATGTGTGTGCTTGAGTTCCATTACAAAGTTACAATTGAAATGTTAGCCAACTAGCTTAGGAAAAAGGAAAACAAAATGGAAGAGGCATTTGTATTTGTTAGTATAGTTCGAGAAGTAGGGGATTTTGAGAATAAATGAGATGAATGAGCCAAATTCTAGCACCGATCGAGTTGTCAACTTCGGAGCACCGAAAATGAACATATGGGCCAAAAGTGGGCGGTTGATGATAAAAGATTTTGCTTCAATAAAAACTTGGCCGGGTTTGGAGTGAAAATGAGAGGTCCTCGATGGAGAGTGCATTGGTGGGGATGTGAATGATGACAATGCCCGTCGGTAGCATGTGCCGAAAGGGAGAAGTTAGGACGATAACTCTTAAAACAAACGTTGTTAATATATAGTTGAATTGATCTGATTTATACGAGAAATAAAGATAATTTAATTTACCCTCTCGCGTATATGATGAGTATACTACTAGTATGTAGCGTCGTGAGGTTGGCCCAGAGACGGGTGAACCATGGTTTGGGAAATGGTTTGATGACCGAAGTTTTTCGATAGTGCAAAATGAAGTATTGAAGTTGTCTTTCGAAACTCTCGATCAGTGAACAAAATACAACGTTACACGTGAAAACATCTTAGATTGTCAAGATTAGTAAAGCAAAACTTTAGCTTTCTAGTTCAGGCGCTCTTAAGTTTGCTTAAGCAATTTTGCAAACCGATAAACAAATACGAAAATCAAGAAAGGCAGAAAAGCCCGAATAAGGATATGGAACAAGGCTTAGGCCGGGCCATCTGAATTGTTACATTGCATTTCGTGCTTTCGGCCCAATTCTCAATGGGCTCAGGAGCTGGGTTTGAGTTGGTCTTTTAGTTTTCGTAACTGTATGGGCCCAATAACCCATTCATTGAGTCAACAGGTTCTCCATGTGAACCTGATAGAGAGGTAAAAAAAAGGGTTTGAGCATAATACTCAAAATAAAGTGAGGATATTACACTTACTAGTGATGGACCTAATAATCATATTTTTGTATAATGGTTATATAACTTTTTTTTTTATTGTGGTTAGGTACTAATTACAAGATTAGAATTTGAGTTCTTCAAGTTCAAAACTAATGTTATTACTAAATCATGTATTTAAAATATTTCTTTAACAGAATCTATACTTATCAAATAAAAAATGAATTTATCTTTTTTTTACTTAAATTTTAGAACTCTTCAACTTAAATTTCAGTTACTTAAATTACTAAGATATTTTTCTTAAATTATTAAGATGATCCATTGATTGCTGAAGTTCTAGCTCTTCGGGAGGCTATTCTTTGGTGTCGGGATTCCGGGTTTGTGGAGGTGCGCTTTGAAGGAGATGCTAAGGTGATTATTGATAAGATCAACCAGTCGGATATTAGGATAGCCGAATTGGGGCACTTCTGGCAGAAATTGCAGGTGTTTTGGAGTCGCTGGGAGGTTTCTCTGTGCGGTTTGTAGGTCGGCGGAGTAATAGGATAGCCCACTTGGTTGCTAAAACGACCCTTCATTTGTACCCCGACTGCGAGTCGTTATTTTGATTTTCTAGCTTGGTTAAATTCCAGGATGTAACTATCTATATTTTTTTATCAATATATTGATTATCTTTTGTAATAAAAAAAAGGAAACAAACGCACCGGTTGATGAGTTGCAAAGTTGCTAATAGGAATGGCAATGGGGCAGGTCCTGGGCGGGTATCTCGATACCCATACCCGCCCCATGGCAGGTCGGCTCCAGGTCGGGTAATTTATTACGGGACGCGTATCGGGGCAGGTCGACCCAATGGGTATGTAATTTATGTCAAAAACATTAGAAATATTAGTTATTTTCATTAAAAAAACCAAGAAAGATGTTTTCACTTAATTACAACTTTATTATAGCTAAAATATAATGTAATAAGAGGAGAATACTAAGTAATTTGACTAAGATTACATGTAATTTAGTTAAGAACGAGTCAAAAATAGGACGGGTCGATGAGAGATACCCATGCCCGTCCCGTCCCGCCCCGCCTACAGTGCGGGTCTGACCCGCTCAAAACAGACCAAACAGGTCGTATAAATCAGATCATCTCGAAATTGCTTGCTAACCATGAAACCAACCACCATCAAATGATAGTGGAAAACAAACCAACAGACAAAATCTCGTAAGAATCTCCAAGTCCAGGGGCATTTCCGTACTCCAATCTTCTTTAAAACCCCTTCTCCTCCTCCCTCTAATCTCCTCCCACTTCCGCCGACTAATCCGGCTCTCTCTCTCCCAACCGTTAGTAAAACAAACAGATTATTCTCTCTCTCTCTCTCTCTCTTTTATCTAATTGGACCCAACCACAGCTTTATTCTTTTTCATCGGCCTTCTTTTTCTCATCTTCTTGGCGGAGGAGCGAAATTGCAATGCCGAAATCCAACAAAATCCGCCACATCGTAAGAATCAAGCAGATGCTTAAGCAATGGCGCAGGAAGGCCCGAGCCAACGCCTCCTCCTCCTCGAATTCATCACCGTCGAGAACCGCCGCCGCGGCTCCATCCGACGTCCCGGCGGGCCACGTCGCCGTCTGCGTCGGCGCGAGCTGCCGGAGATTCGTCGTCCGGGCGACGCACCTGAACCATCCGATCTTCAATCGCGTCCTGGCGCAGGCCGAGGAGGAGTTCGGTTTCGCCAACGCCGGCCCGCTGCGGATCCCCTGCGACGAATCGGAGTTCGAGGAGGTTCTGAAACTGGTGTCCAGATCTGATTCGATCAGGAGGTTTTTGCGTTTGGGGGAGATTCAGCGGTGCGCTCACTCCTGTCTCGTCGGGAGGAATAGTAACGGGGAGTTTGTCGGCGGTGAGTCGCGGCCTCTGCTCCGTGGTTGATGATCGATCGGCGGTGGTCGGATGGATTAGCTAGGGTGCTAACGAGCTGGCTCACTGAGTCGAGAATGGTGAACTCAGTGAGTGGGCGAGCTGAGTTTAGGGATGTTTTCTTCCCCTTTTTTTTTATACTGTTCAAAACAGTGTATTAGCTTGTTAGGTATCTTTCTCAATATTTTTTCAAGTTTGGGAAGTGAATTAGAAGGAGGAAAATCTGAAATTTGATTAAATTGTTATTATTGTTTAACAAAATTAGTAATGTAGTAATTCTTATTGCTTGCACTTGCACTATTATAATTAATTATTGTTTCTCCAATTGTTCAATTTTTTCCATCTAAGTTGTAACAAACAATACCTTTTATGACGGGAACTTACCTGATGTGTGTTGAGAGATTCTGATGCGAAATTAAACTCGAAAATACATCGTATCAATCTCATAGCTTATTAACTTAGCACGTTATGTGGATCTAAATAATACTTCTTCCAAATGTAAGCATAATGGTATAATTTCAGGATTGAAATGTTAAAAAGAGGAAGCTCTCTCTTGATATTATCCATATCCACAAATACTGCCTAAGGACGACGATGTGGATGATGGAATTTATGTCGAAGAAATGGTGTTGGATTCGCCGGTCGGTGCTAAACAAAAGACAGCGGTTGAGAATCGAGACTGATCAAAACATAAAAATCGCATTGGAAAATGATAGCCGATCGTAAAATACGAGAAGTAGTGAGCAAAATATTGGATACGACGAATTGCTATAGAGGCAGATGTCACCGTTACAAAATTAGTTACCGTCTCAACTTCGTTTCTACATAGAAGTAGAATTTCTAAGTATTATCTAGTGAAATATTGACCAAATTATCCAGCAGCGAGAGACTCTTGTCTTGTAAAATAGTGACAACCTAGCTAGAGACCAAGTTATTCCCATCGTATTCGTATGGTTAATCGTATGCATGCATTATATAACAAAACATTATCTAAGCCGTAAATTAACGAAGTTTGAGACATGATACTACACCATAGATCCTACCGATCAGTAAAATTTAAGCTACGCGCTTCTCTAAATCCTACAATATAAGATCAATTTAATTAGAAACTACGACCGAGATTCTAATTCGTCGCGAGACCTAGAGAAATATGACATAGAATTCACTCAATAAAGGTTCCAGTAGAGTAAAATGTCCCAAAATCCAGTTAATCTAATATCTTATAAATCATTTTCTAACTAATGGCACCCTAGATTTACTCTGTGTCATAGATTAAGCCACACTATTTATAATCTTAATTAATAACCTTCATTTGTTAATTGTTTTCTCATCCCAATATTCCAGTACTTCTTTGATACGAATCTTGATACTGTTTAATCTGAGGGGACATTGTTTGCTGCAACTGCAAGTCTCTCAGTCACCTTCTCTTGATCAGTTCTTACATGTTGATTAGTTCAGTTGAGTTCAGTTTCAATTTCCAGGTCCAATATATTCCCCTTCTACTTCAACCAACATTGATATCTCTTCACGATCTCTGCTTCAGATTCCAAATGTCGATCGTTTATGCTCCAAAACCTAATTAATTCTTTCTTTCAATCCCTAGTTTGATATCTTCAAAATTTGCTTCCCAGTTATGTATCCCACGTTATATAACATCCATGGGACAAAATATTCCCTTTTAATAATTAATTAGGGTATTCATCGTTCGAAAATTGTATTCTTGGTTTAACTCGTTTTGTGGGTAATCGCACCGGATCGCAAATTGTATTCTTGGTTTAACTCGTCATAGGCGGGGGCCGTGAGGACATGAACTTTTGACTATGTCACATGACACGTGTAAGTTTTTGTTTTAATTTTTTTCTTCTATTTATGCTTATGCAAGGGATCAAATAATTAGCGCCTTAACAATATCTTGCCACTACACAAAAACTTAGTTCTTGTAATACGTATTAAATATTTATATTCTTGATAGAAAAAAGACACATAGTTTCAAGTCCCGACTCCTGGCCCGTCTTCCCCTCCCCGCGTGCCTGCGATTGTTTCCCTTTGTTGGCTACCCCGCTGTTAGAATATGACTTGAATTTGATTTGGGTTTGTTTTGTGTTTTGAGCCTATTTTGTTTGGGTTTGTGTTTGGGCTTTGTTTGACATTTTCCTTGTATGTTTAGGAAAAGGTGTTTGGTTTTCTCTTTGGGATTAGGAGAAGAGTTCTATAAATACTCTTCACCACCATAATCTGTTGTAAGGTCAGTTAAGTTAGTTTGTTTGTTTTGTCCGTTTGGAATTTGGTTTGTAATCTGTACTCTCCTCAAATTAGTGAAATTTGTTCTCCCTTGCCCGTGGATTAGCTAGCACACATTGTGTTAGTGAACCACGTTAAATTTGTGTTCGTTCGTGTTGGTTTGAATTATCGATTGCCACGCTTCTGTTCTGACAAGTGGTATCAGAGCCTGGTTGCGGTTTTGGGAATTTGGCGCTGGACTGAAGTTTTGCTTTGTGGAGGTAGCTTTCAATTCTTCAGCTTGGTTCGGTGGAGGAATCGCTTTGAAGTTGACTTTGGGTAGTTGTGTTTTGGTCTCGATTTTTTTGGGAGAATTCTGTTTGTTGGCCTTGGTGGTGATCAGGGTTTTCGATCACCAAGGATGTTTGCTCAGGATTTAAAGATTGAGAAGACGGTTTGGAGTTGCAGGTTTGGAGTTGGAAGTAAATCTGATGTTGGTGTTATGGACGGAAATAACACCAAACTGGTTCTGCATGGCAAGTCCCAACATGAGTTGGACTTGCTGCATGTTTTGATTTGTTGATCGCCCTTAGGGGCATTTGGAGGCAGGGGAGGTTCTCATACATTTGGAGATTTGGAGGAGTTTGGTATGTTAGGCAATCTTGATTTCATCTGAGTTTGGCGATTTTGCATCGCGTTTGAGTTTGGCGGTTTCGATCGCATTTGGATACGTCTGGCGATATGTATCGCGTCTGGGTACATCTGACAACTTTGGTTGCGTTTGGTACATCTGGCAATTTTGGTTGCGTCTGATACATCTGGTATTTGACAGAGAATTCAAGTCAAGGTGGAGATTGTTAGAATATGACTTGAATTTGATTTGGGTTTGTTTTGTGTTTTGAGCCTATTTTGTTTGGGTTTGTGTTTGGGCTTTGTTTGACCTTTTCCTTGTATGTTTAGGAAAAGGTGTTTGGTTTTCTCTTTGGGATTAGGAGAAGAGTTCTATAAATACTCTTCACCACCATAATCTGTTGTAAGGTCAGTCAAGTTAGTTTGTTTGGTTTGTCTGTTTAGAATTTGGTTTGTAATCTGTACTCTCCTCAAATTAGTGAAATTTGTTCTCCCTTGCCCGTGGATTAGCTAGCACACATTGTGTTAGTGAACCACGTTAAATTTGTGTTCGTTCGTGTTGGTTTGGATTATCGATTGCCACGCTTCTGTTCTGACACCCGCCCCCGGACCATTTGAAGATCAACTTTGATGCTACCGTTCAAGACTCTGGTTGCTCGTCTGGCCTTGTGGTTCGTGGTTCGGACTGGCACGTGCAACTCGTCGTCGGTGTTCAGCATCAGGGTATTACTGACCCGTACATAGCAGAACTCCTTGCAGCTAGGGAGGCAATCTCGCTTGCAATTTCTAGAAGTTTGGCTCGTGTCATCTTTGAAGGAGATGCTGAAGTGGTCATCCAGCAGCTCAAGCTCGGTGTGGTGGAGGATTCGTCTGGTGGTCCGCTGCTTAGAGATTGCCGTTTTCTTCTTCAGTTTTTTCCTCATTGTATAGACTGTAGAGCTGTTCCGCGGACATCCAACTGGGCTGCTCATAGAGTGGCACGCAAAGCCCTGTTGTTGTCCCGGTTAGAATTAGTTTCTTTTGATTTTGTTGAGTGGCTAGCGGGATAGGAAGGGATTGTGGGTAGTGTAATTTCTAACTATTCTCTTGGCATTTCTCGGGAAAAAAAATCCCCATGCAAAATGATTTTGTTGGGCTAATGGAATTTTGAAAGTGTTAAGATGATATATATGACAAGATTTATTGTCGAGAATAGTCGTGGAATATACACATATGCAGCACTGCACTTGGCATGCCTCGTGCCTGCACTTTACAACGACGGTTGATTCATGCTTGTGGCTTCATTATTTATTTATGACAGTTAGAAAAGTGTCATTATATCATAATTAATGATATAAATTAAGAAGATATACATATAATAATAATGTATACTTTCTTAATACATTTTTTTCGCAGTAGTTGTTAAATAGTTGTTTTCAATTTCCTGCTAGTACTAACTCCACGATCCTCTTTGTCTCTTCAGTGTCTGTTAAGTACAGTTAGTTTGTGATTTAATTACTTTTTGATAACCCAAGATTTAGGGAATATTTGATGGGCCCTACAGGCTACAGCCCTCTTGTTGGCCTTTTAACCCCTATTTTCCTTCTTTGATCATCATTCTAATCCACCAATAAACTTTGATCAACATGTTGCTCAATCATTTTACCATTGTTTGTTATTTTCATCTCTAACCTACATCATTTCATTTGTGATTGTGAATTTGTGATAGTTAGATAATATTCTTTAATAATTATTTGTTAGACGATGATAAGATATACAATATCGAGATAATCCGTCAAATCCAATCCATTCCAATCCAATGGTTTACCATAGGGGATGGAAACCTTTGAGACACCAGGTAAATTGCTAATCTTTTGTAGACCTAAATAGTGAACATTAGATTCTCTATCTTCTACCAATTTTCACGAATCAATCAAAGCATACAAGCAAATGCAACAGGAAATGTCAAGCATGCGTGCATAAAGTTTCAGTATATTCTCAAACAGCTGATGAGGTTCCTGCTGATCTGGCAATCCGAGAATTCACCGTTCGTGTTTGCTAATCGGAGGGAGCATTGGTCACATTCAGTTGTGAGAAGAATTCCTTCACCTGGCTCTCCTTCAGTACCACCCCATGCTTCTGATCCTGCCTAAACACCATCTTTGTCAGCTCGTCGATTGCCACCGTCTCGGTTGGTGCATGAATATCCATGTACTCTTTAAGGTTATTAACAGTTCCATCTGAATAAAAATTCAAAGAAGTAGCACAGCAAGTTAGAGTCATCAATTTATGGACGATAAAGGGCATCTGAAAAGATATCAAAATGTTCCAATACATATAGTTAAGACCAAGCCAGCAATCCATACAAGTCAATTACCTTCTGCAGTTATGGGTTCATATGCAGGAGGTTGAGCATTCCAATTACCAGCAGAGTCTTTCATATGACTTCTATCAGAAGCAAATCCGCGGAGAAATACTGGAGCATGCACGACACGATAAAACCTGATAACAAAGTGATTATTAAATGAAGCGATTATAACTGTTTTATTACCATACCAAAAACAGGTGAGACTTGTTTCACATTGCACAATGTATTATATACTGTGAAACAATGAATTGGCTTGGTTGAGAGATGAGAAAATCAATGCACTACCAGTACATGGAAGAAGTTCAAAACTCCAAGTGATTAGGCTAATGGTAATATGAAAAGACAAATTCAACTTCCTCCTATAGGCACATACTGATCCACTTATCAAAGAAGATAAAATCTGTATCACGACTTACACACTACCTCAGAAAGTCAGAGAAGAGCTCAAAGGATGGCCTCGTTGTTTCGGACAGATAGGAATCGAGAGGTGAAGGAAACGGAAGAGAGGAATCCATATCCCATACCAAAGTTGAAGAAGTTTCATCATCATCACCATCTCTTTTCCTCTGCACATACATCGAATGGCACTTTCTATGTCAAAAAGGATATTGACCATAAGCCAAACTCTATTTTCACCCCTCAGCTAACTTGATCAACATATCTTCATAAATATTGTGTGTTAAGCGAGAATCCACCTGAATTAATATGACATGATAATCCCATAGCACAACCCCATCTGCTCGTGTACTCGCCTTCTGATTCCATAGCGGGATCTACAATGAATAACAAAGGCTTGAAAGATGCAGCAAAATGGCCATTGTCCCAAATCAGTAAACTAATTTCGTGAAGACATTGCTTAAGAACCCTACCGCCTTCTTTTCATTGGAGATGAACACAACAAAAAGATCAGACCCATCAGCATTTGCCTTCCCATTTTCGCAGAGTTTCTTGCACAGAAAATATATGTTCTCCTCACTGCAATAAACAGCACCACACCAAGAACACAATAGTTCAAGAGATCACCCTTTCCATAAAACCTTTCAGCATACTATCATCCAATGATCTCCCTAAACTTGAAGGAACTTCAAAACGATAATGAACAAAGTCTGCCCTTCACGAAACTAAGCTCTAGCAAGATGAAAATCACACACCATCCAATCCACATCCTAGCGAACTAATTAAACCCTAAACATAGTCAAATGCGATTGCTGTTTAAAAAATATCACAAGCTTGCGCAATATGATTGCTGGCAAGGCATTGAAGTAGATCGTCATCAGCAAATTCGTACTCCCATTACCAGTAGAACGGCGTGTGGATGAACTCTGAGATGGCCGCGCTGCTACTCGTCGCTTCCGAACTTTCAGCCGCCATTGTCGAAGTTTTCACGCTTTCTTTCCTCAACCAGACGATCGACTCGCTTTTCCCCCCTTTTCCTGCCGCGCTCGACAATTTACATATACACCAGTACGACCCTTTTGATTCTTTGGTTTTTCACCGTAAAACGACGCCGTTTATCCGTGTTGTCCGCTGAAACGACATTGCGTTTGGCGCCTTTGGGTTATAATTTACAAATAAAGGGGAAATGGAATAGCTTAAAACGACACCGTCGTCCAAGGGTTTCGCTTAAAACAAAAAGAAAATTGTCCAACAGCAGGGGCAATATATCGCGTTCAATTAACCTGGTTCTCCATTCATCTCCTTTCTGGAAAAAAGTCCAACGATTCCCGCCCCGGTCTCGGGTCCTCGGCGCTCCCATCCCCGATCAACGATTTCCAGTCTCCGATTCATTTCTGGTGCGTAGCCACTTCCTTCAAATCTCCTCCTCTCTCGTTGTCATTTTCATGCTTCGTCAGACTGTGTGCTTTCTGTAGGATTTAGGGATACGGATTGGGGATCGATTGAATCCGAACTCGGTATATAGGGTTTCGTCCTTTTACGTTTGTGCTTTCGTTGGTTGAGTGTGAGTGCGGTGTCTCTATACATTGAAATATGCAGACCTTTTCCTCGATTGCTGTTGCAAAGTGGAATTTTCTCGATTTTGGTGGAGATGTTTAACTGCTCGAATCCCTAACTTAATCGACTCTGATTTGTATTGGCTTGTTTGATCCATCGAAAAGGGAGATTGCGGATGTGTTTGGGGCAGGGACTAGGGAGTTACCGCTTATTCTTGATGTGTTCTTGATGGGCATCACTATCACATAACTGATCGATTAGGAATGTCGTCTTGACCTGTGATTCTTAGTATCTGTGTTTTGGAATACCGAAGTTTATGTCAACCTTCAATTCTAAAAATATGTCATGTTGAATGTTTGATCGTGGGAATACTTCGATTGAATGATATATTGCCTAAGATGGATGCATGCTTGGAGTATATCTTTTGAGTTTCCAAGGTGCCAAACAACCTTAGGTTACTGTCTTCTCGTTGCTATCGCTCGATTTATCGGCTTTTAGCTTAACCCTCATTTCTTTGTGTTTGCCCTTCTGGAGGCACTAGGATATTCTATATCGTTGTTGTCCCCACATTACGATATGGAGTGTGTTTTGCCAGTGGTAATGAGCTCAAGTTTATAACTTAGGCAGCTTGTTAGTGGTGTGGTGACGGTGGGTTTCTTGGAGCATCAGTTTTATCAGCCATTTCGAACACCTGTATTGTTAGAATTAACTGTTGGTATAATGGGTATGGGTTCAATAGCTGAGAGAGATTGACTATCTAAGTATATAAGTTTTTCGAAGGCTAACCTTCGTAATGGTTGATTTTCCCCCCTCCTTTGCAGTTGATCATGTCAGGCAAGTACGTAATTGGTGCTATAGCAGCATCATTCCCAATTGCTTATTTATGCGACACACTTGTATCTGATGTGAAGATATTTGGCGGTGAGGTCTAAGTTGCCTTTTTTTTTACCTAGTCACATTCGTTACTTAATTGCATTGCTCTCAATCGATGTTTCATCTCTTTTTTCAATCCCAGGCTCCACTCCGGGTACAGTCTCGAACAAGGAATGGTGGGAGGAAACTGACAAGAAATTTCAGGCATGGCCTCGCGTTGCCGGTCCACCAGTTGTGATGAACCCCATCAGTCGCCAGAACTTCATCGTTAAGTCCCGAGATTGAGTGCTTGTTGCCTCTCATGATATTTTTTTTTGAGTATATGAGTTGATGGGTTTGAAAATAACTTAGTTCAACTACATTATGTTTGGCCTTCAATACTCTCTATCATTATCAAGGCTGTGGCCTTGATGTCAAGATTTTTCCCCCCTGAAAAAAGGAATTTGGCTGTGAATTCTGTTTCTTGAATCATAATAAATCTTGATTTTTTTTTCACTCATTGAAGCTCTTTTGTTGTAAGCGTTCAATGGTTGTGTATTGTGATGCTCGCACTGATCTGATCATCAGTATGTGACATAACTGATGGAACTGACTGGGTACTAAAATGTCATAATGAAAAATTTTAGGTACCAAAATGTAATTTTCCAATGATATTTGGTATAAAAATTAATTTTTGGTACCAAGATGTAAAATATATAAAGTATAGGTACTAACTCATAATTTGTCATTTGGATCCATGGATCAATCCACGAATCCACCAATCCAATTCGTTTTGATTTGATCCAACATTGTGAAACGATGTATGGATTAGGAATAGGATCGACAATTAGGATTCATTTAAATCCAATCCAATCCACCAACCTATTAAAAATATCCACCTAATCCAATCCATTTAAATCCAATCTATTTTATCCAAATCCAATTAGGTGGATATTTTTAATAGGTTGGTGGATTGGATTGGATTTAAATGAATCCTAATTGTCGATCCTATTCCTAATCCATACATCGTTTCACAATGTTGGATCAAATCAAAACGAAAACTTTCTCCTTGAATAATCACTTCATTTGGGTGATCTCTTAGAGTATCTCCACCACCTTCTTCATCTTTGGCCTTTTCGCAGCGGTGCTGTCTGTGCTCAGTTTAGCATCGAGAATCTGCTCCGGAGATGACGGAGTCTCTCCTCTTCCTGGTGCACCATGAAGCCACTTTCACCAAATCCACCCCTTCACCAAACTCTTCCTCCACCAAAACTCAAAGGTACGACATACCTTGAGTATGAAAACGTTGGCTAGATCTCGAATTAACTAAACCCTAACTCTTGATGAGTGAACCCTAGGGATTAGTTATCTAAATCATAGAGCCTTACCCCTGAGATTGTACATGTAATTTATTGCATATATTTCGATGAATCATGACCGTACTTTTTCATTTCTAATTAACTTGATCTTAGTGTATGAGATTTATAGAATTAAGATCTAGATTTTAATCTTCAAGGGTTTATGAATAGTATCATGTCCCAAAATCCGGCCAATTCAAGGTCTAGATATCATTTTCTTACTCAAGGTATGCTATACCTTTTGCTCAAAGTACAATAGAATCACAACTAGTTAATCCAATATGATGATATAACATAGAATCACAACTAGTTAATCCATTACCCTAACCCATTCACCTTCAATTTTGAATCCAAATAAAAAAATCCCAAATTGTACACCTAAACCCTAACCCTAAATCCCCAAAGCCTAAATCATTCAAATTAAAGTTAATCTTGAATTATTTTTGAAAATATTCATGTGTTTTGTTATTCATCATACCAAAAGTGACGATTGACATCGTTTTCACATGAATCGCATGCTCGTAATGACGATTATGAGGCGAGTACATTGAATGCACCCAAAAAAGTGGATCCACTAAATATGCCACCATGATACATGGCATTTAAGAATAAGTGTCTTAGGAGACCCTTGATACTTCAATTGTAACTGCCTAACTGGTACATCGGCTTTGTTTGGATGGATCAATTGAAAAACAAGACAATTTGATTAATTTGACTCATTTTATAAAATCAGCCAATTAAAAAGAGTCAATTCGAATTACCTGCCTCCATTCTAAACAATTATAATTGCATCAAAACGAGTCAATTCAAAATTCCCCAAATAAAATTGCTCCATCCAGATTTTATGTTGTCAAACTTGATCTAAATATCTCAAAACAATACAATTTAGTCAAATTCCTTGGTTAGAATTCCTCAACCAACCAACCCATCCTTAATAGTCCAACGTGAACTTTGTTCAGCCCCATCGTACCGCCGTTATCCAATCCCCGTAGGCCGTAGCCGTCCTGCTCGCCGGCGGTTCAGCATACCTCGCCGCCAAGCGGTCGCTACAAATGTCAGATGGTGGCTAATAATCAAGCTAACGGCCTTATTTTGACAACTTTTCAAGCCCCGCAATCAAATTCTCCGTTTCTCAACCCCTGCGGCAAAAGCATGATTCAAAGTTGTTACGAAAGAGAAACAGATTGATTTAAAAATTAAAACACGTTCGAATGATGATGAATATACAGTGACCAGAAATGCATTGCCGAAGCAAACACACTTTTCCGCGGGAGAGTTTCGTCACTAAAAATATCATAACTTTTTTTTATCAACGTTGCCTGGCCATGGCTGTCATTAGGTTATTAGTAGTAGTGTCGTCATCCGTCTTTCTTCTTCTGGTTGCTGGGGCTGCCGCCGACGATGAGGCCGCATATTGCGACTCCACGAGCGGCGGCAGCGATGCTGCGACGGTGGCGAATCTCGTCAAAGATTTGAGAGAAAAGGTGCCGGATAATCCCCAACAGCGGTACTGCAGCGTGCTGACGTCGGCGTCGAGCGGACTGCAAGTGTTCGGGTACGGTCGCTGCTCGACACGCGACTGGGGTATGGCGGATCCCACGTCAGCATGCCGGGAGTGCTTGTCCGCCGCCGGCGATGTCCTGATGGGTAGTTGCGGAGGCAGTGCAGGCGGAGCCGGTGAAGCTTTGGGTCCGACGGCTATGTGTTATATCAAGACTGGAACCTCTAGCTGCGCCTCCATGATCTATTAGTCATTAACTAGCCCAGGTTGCATTTTGCAACCTGGCCGTGTTTGTGATATCGTATCGTACTAACTATCATGCAGTCTGTCGTGTACTAGTCGAATTGCAGTTTACGCGCCATGACTGTATTTCGATTTTATGAAATAATGATATGAGGTTCTACAACAGAATTTGTCCTCTGCACATACATATTTCTGCTCCTCTTTTCGTACATGATAAACAACAAACATAATGAATCAAACAGCCGCCGGAAAATTGGTGTAAGTTGAAACAAATGAATCAAAGAATGGATGAGATACACACAGACAGATTATTTTCAGAGTAAGCAAGCAAACTCATCTTGTGATAACTCGAGCTCGGGCGTTCGGGGGATTCCTCAACAACCAGCAGCTTTAAGGAAGTTATCGTAAGGGCTAGATGCCGGCAGGCGGAGAGTACTGTTGCCCTGATTTTGATACTCAGTTGCACATTGCAAAGCAAGAGGGGCAACTGGTGGTCTCTGTTGCACACTTGTTGAAGTTGTAGTGGAGGAAAGATTTTCGGAACTCACCAGCCTTAAGTGGAGACTCATCATCACATGAGACATCTTCTTTTGCTTCCCCAACAGGAGCTTCTCACAATGAAGGGCCATTTGCTCGTAAGGAACATCTGGTGCAGTTACAGACATTCGTCCCACTTGATTTGCTGTCTCTGTTGCCTGTTGGTTAACAACATATAAGAAAACTGCAATAAGAAGTTGTGCTTCCCATAGAAAGAAGGCCAACTGGCAGCTAAAACGACGGAGCTAATTTCCCATTTTAGATTCATCGATCCAATAAAATCAATCAGCTTCCTCTAGCAACAGAGCGTGATAAAGAAGCGCATACAGATTCTAGAAGTTCGTTCACGCTCAGCACATCATGGCTTTCCGAGGCCGGCTCCCTAAGATTGGCCTCACCTTCCTGTGATTCTATAAAATCTTCTTCAGTCTGAATAAAGAAGCAGATGCAAGCTTAAGATGTTAATTACCAGTACAAAGAAATTTGCTCTCCAAAATAGAACCAATGGTGCAACAGAATTGGGAAGAAACGTAATTACTAGGGTACCTCCAAAGGGTCGTCGTCCTTGGCATCAAGGTGATCAGTTTGTTGAGCACTATCTCTGGATGACGGTGCTGGAAGTGGACAAGTATCATCTATCGTGAACTCTTCGAGGAGTTGCTGCTTGACAAAAGACAATTCGGACTGCAAAAGACATCCCTTGTTATTTCGAAATACTCATGAATACAACAATATAATGAGATCAACAAGAGGACAAAAGTTGCACGCACTTCTGACAAATTTGATAAGCTCTTTGCAATCTCAGCAGCAAAGTATTCCTTGCTTTGTTCCCCGGTGATGCTTAAAGATGAAATTGCTTTTGAAGCCAAGTTACAGTCTTCCTTAGATCCATAACCAATTTTGGTGGTAGCAGTTTCACCACTTACAGCCTGTAGCTTGCGATCCTCAACTAGATGTAAGAACGGGTCCACCTGAATCGAGGGAGGGAGGTTAAAAAAATGATGATGGTACAACATAAGAGAAGAGGTGAAAAGGAAGGTATCAGCTTTGTGCGTGTGGGATGTGGCTACCAAAAAGGAAAATATTCCATCAGCAGTTATTGAACAACACAAACATATAACTTCAGTTTACTCAGTAACAGTAGACGTACCATTTTTTCTGTGAGTATCAATTTGGCAGACGATACAAGCGGAACAATCCCATAGGCCTTCGATGAAAATAGAATCATTGCAATTGCCAAGGTATAGAGTGACCTACGACGTGATATGGGAAGAGGCCCTGCAATTTAAATGAAAAATCAATTGCTCAGTCCTGGACTAGTTCACACATATATGTGTAACTGGAAAATATCAGCACATGCCCAACTTTAGAGCACACAACAGAAATTCAACCTTGTCAGGGTCTAACCCTAGGACAGAAGAAGATAACGGCCAGAGAACCTACCTTCATTGACAGCAATATTTCTCAAGGAAAAAGCAAGCTGAAAACTGCGTACCAAAACCTCATGACTTGAGTTCTGCAAGGGCACAAGGTGACACACATTCACAGAGTGCAAAAAGACTGTCCTTAACAGGAAAAGGGACAGAAAATGGAAATTTTTTACTTAATCGACCAAACCATGGAGTGCTAAGCAGACATGTAATCAAGGATGAAATGAGTGTCAAAAAGCCAAAACTTGCATCACTTCTTATCAATCAGTTACGAACACGCAAAGGGTTTTTAGGTCTTTATATGGAACTCCAAGACTAAGTCCAATGTGCAACTAGTAAACATTCTCCTGCAGAAAGCAAAAACATGGGGCAAAAGCAAGGTTTCTTTGCAAAAAAGATAGGTCAAAGGACATCCCATAAGAGAAGTTATTTTCATAGTCCAACCAATGACAAAAACTATGCTAGGGACAAAAACTCAATTTCTCCGATAGGGTGTCTATTAAGTTTACCTATGTTTCAGACAAGCAGAGCTATATTTTCCTCGTAACTTTGCTTTCAGCATGGAACTGTTTAATTATTGTGCATTAAACTCGGTCTTCGAATCTAAAACATATAACTAAGAACCGAAGCTTTGAGTCTTTGATAAGAAGTGATGCAAAACCAGGCCTTCCAACAGTTTCATAAGTCCATCATGTTTCTGCCAATGCTCTCTGGTTTTGGTTGCTTAGCATAGTCTTTAATGATAAACGAATATCGGGTTTACTCAATCACAATTCCATCACCCCAAACAATGGAACAGCTAGCTAAAAACAAAAATGATTAATGATGTTCAGCATCAATAAAGTACCTTGCCTCGGGAAAATAGCAGCACCAGACTAAACGTATTAGAGATTGCTTCAAAGTTTTCAGGCATATTTTCAGGAGAAATCGACTGAGCGCAAATTGATGACAGTAAGAGACTAATCTGGTGACTGCTGAGCCTCAAAATAGTAGCATCCTGCAGTTTTGATAGTCATGAAAAAATTCAGTACCAAAGAAGCTGAAACACAGAAATATGAAGTAGATCATATGAAAATATATTATCATGTCCTTGGAAATAATGTTTGAAGGATTACAGATTTAATCATTTTGAATATGTCTAACTAGGTTCTCACCCAATGCTTGGTCACTTGTATCAGAAACAGGAATGGATGCCTGAGCGGAACATAAACTTGTGCAACAAATATACAAAATAATTGAGTAACAACGTTGGCCATTGCATGAGGTTTTTAAAAGGTTAATCAGGAGCATTGTCTACAACAGGAACCGTCTGTTCCACCTCGGAAATAAGACACTAGAGTCAAATATTAATGAACAATGGAATCTATGAACGTACAAAAGCAAAGACATGATTAGATACTCCAACAGAACCACATTGGCGGGGGGAAAAATAAGCTGTTTCTGAACCCAGTCACCTTATTTAAATTGGGGATGGACTTTTCATCAGTCAATGAAGGGGCATCACTTGCAATATTTTTCACTTGATTGGCAGAGGACGACAATCTGTCAAGCATGCCATTCTGAAATTTCCCTGCAGAGCCAACATCTACTTTGAATCCATGAGAGGAGCTTTCTCTGCTTGAAGCTTTTTCCTTCCTTAGCCTCTCAAAAATAGCAGCCGAGGAAGAAAAGACAGAGACTGTTCTAGAGAGCGTCCTTTCAACTTCAGTTTGCCTCTTTAAATCAAGACCAGTTGAAACTGGCCGAGGGAAAACAGAAGAAGGAACTAGAACAACAGAAAATATGCGATGAGCTCCAACTCTGGTCTCATGGTCGGGATGGACCATGGCCAGAAGCAGCTGATGAAATAACGCTTCAGGGAACGTCTGCAACAAAGCCATGGGTCAAATGAAACAGAGAAAGTAGCATGCAAAGCTCATAAATGAGATATGACAGAGCTCATGTTACCTTGTTTTGATAATGCAAATTTGGCAATGAGGCAACTATTTGAGCAGTTCGATAAACAGAAGTAATTGTGGTCCTTGCAATAATTGTAACAGCTGAAAGATTCTCCAGGACCACAGCCATCATTTCAAGAATCGGAGCTGCATCTCCAACCTATTCACACCAATATTCAGTTATTCTCTACTCAATATCAAGGAATAAGGAAACCAGCAAGGGAAACAGTTGAAAGTGAACCAAATTTTTTTTATTGGACACGAGTGCCACCTTATTTGACAATTCCCCGAGGCATTTATCCACTGCCTTTCTCAAGTTTTTGTTCCAACTCCTAACGTCAGCCCCAAGGTTTGCATCATCAACAGAACAATGTAAGCTCTTCCTCAAATGCCTTATGACATCACTAACTGCACCAATAATTTCTATCGAAGGCTCAATCTTTGCTTGCTGTGCTAGCGAGGTGGTGACGTTCAATACGTCTAGCTGCATGTTCGGATCTTTCAGGATACTTTTGTGATCCAGGTGCTTAATCAACATGGACAGTAGAACATGTGAATTATACCCTAACGTCCCAAAGAGAATTGGAAAGAAAAAGAAGGGGAAAAAACAGTTCAGAGTCCATATAGTGGAAGCCATGAGAAAAGCAAAATGGAAACCATGAATAGGGTCCCAGTAATCAATTTAAAAAATTAAAAGCAACAGCTTGTGTACCTGACTTTTCCATCAGAATTTGCATGTAAATCAATACTTGAAAGGCAAGACCATGATCAACGGACCATTGGTCGCTACTGTCAAAATATCGGAACAAAGATTCCAAAATTCGCCGTATGTTTGTAGCCTCCTGCCCTAGCTTGGCCATGTTCTGCAAGCAAATCCTAGCCCAAAAGCAGGGGTTCCGGGCATCTTCTCTGTGCCACCAAAAGGACAATGTCTCAAAATTACTTAATGAGAACAATAGATAGTCCATAATAATCAACAATTAAGGGCTTTGGAATTACTCCGTCACGTTGAATTCTCCTTTTTCTTTAACAATTGTCCCCCACGATGGAACCCTGGTAAGCATCTCAGATGAAGTAGGCCCTGGGTTCTCATTTTTAGCCACTTCTTGCTCCCATTGATTCTGGTTACCTTGCTTCTCAGGAACATCCTCTGGCTTTCCATAATTTTCTAAAACAACTGAAACGATCTGCACAATCATGCAAAAGAAATGTCAAAACCGTAAAACATTTGACCTCCAAGCTCCAAAAACTACTAGATCAATGCATATCCAGTAAAAAAACCATTTCCATACGAATATATAACGTAATAGAGTCCCATTCTGGTGGATATGCCTAAATAAGCTATTGAACTTCTTCCCTTGGCCATCTCCTTTCTGTGTCCACTTTATGGGAACACAAAGGCACCAAATCTGAGCCGTACTCACACTTCACTCTGAGAAGCTATAATGGTATAGCATTTAAAACTTGAAGAATCCATCATCAGGAATATACCCACACAAAATTGAATGGTTGAAGGCAAACAAGCACTGCAATAGCATGGAGGACATTCGATATTGTACACAGGATTATGTAACTAAGCACAGAGTATAGAATTTTCCGGTGCTAAAATAATATGCAAAGCATATTATTGGAATTTAGTAAATCTGCTCATACTAACAGTTGAAGGCATAAGAAGAACTTACATTATCAAATTCTGTTGAAATACGTGAATGTTCGCCCATAAACCAGACCTACAAAGAGGAAGAATCAGCTCAGTACAGAATCATTTGCATTAAACCACAACTACAAGTGAAAGATTAAGCCATTGAGAACCATTTTTTTCAAGTAATATCCATGCCTAGATACATTGGTAATCTTGGAGGTTAAGCAATGGGATAAAAAGCAATCATAGATAAACGTTCACCTAATGTCTTCCTATAGAAAGGCAAGGAACATATATGGCGCTCACAAATGGAAAGGTATAACAAAAAAGTATGAGGAAATTAATTTTCGGTGTTCCTTCATATAATGTCTACTTTTTTCTACGAATGACCACTGTCTACTATGGAAAGCCAAGGAACTTTTAAGCCATTCGGCATTAGCACATCAAGTGATGACCACTGGGTCTTAGAACAATTAGCATATAAAGAAAAGAGATTGATCCAGAAATGTGTAGTAAATAGTCCTGGTTCATTTCCTAGAAATCTAAGAGTTGATGGATATTAAGTGAAAAGTGATGGGTTGGAAAATGGTTCAGGATTGTGTTACGGTTTTTGAAGGCACTACAGCCTCCAAATTAATGAAACAATATTTACCAACAAGGAAATGCATACCACCGAAGAAAGAGCCTGCAGACTAGCTGCCCGTAGACAAACTCCTCTTTCATCTTCTCCTACTTCTTGAGCTAACTGACAGAGTTGAGGTATCAAGCCTTCTAAATTAAATGCGTAAGTTCCATCCTTCTGAAAATTAATGTAATCAAATGAGTTCCATCCAGTATTAATAAAACCTGTAAGATACACAAGAAATTGCCATGAAGGAGTATAATCTCTGATTTCCCCCCTTAAAAAAGTAAATGTAGCCATTGATGCATGAAATCAGCATAACTTACCTGATTATTTACAAAGTCGAAAAGACTCTCGCATCCAGAAAGTTGCAAATCTTGTCTCCTTGTCTGATCAAGCAAGGTATGAATAATGCTCATTAAACTACTAGCAAACAAAGGCCTGTGTAGTGGTCACCAATAGCAAATAAGATCAGGAGTTAAAGGGGAATATAACAACAGACGTACACTGATTAATTCAAAGTGGAGCACCAAACATACACAGAATAAATATAAAAGAAAACTGCTCTCTGACATTTCCAAAATAAAACTGCTAAGGTGTTTTCTTCTATTATGTGAGAACTGTCTCTAGAGATTGGATATACAATAGCAATACAAAAATATTCAACTCTGGGAGTGTTCAAAAGTCAAAACTGAAACATGCTACCACTCACTGCACTGCATGGATTCATAAATCTCCAGGTGATGGTACACCTGGTATCAAATCCCAAAAATGCAAAATTTCTGGGCCAAATGTCAATTTTGTATACTCCCAGATGACCCTTGGACTATTCATTCTGGGGCAAAAATGACGTATAAGAGTTCCAATTAACTTCTCCTAAAAGAGGAGCACCACCGTGACAGCCATGCCGGAAAACTATAACATGATTATTGAGGAAAAGATCATAATTATCTCCATAAATAATAGGCAGGCAAAGTTCTTAAGAGAAAATGCTAGACCCACTTCAAGTCAGAAAAGTGTCTTAAAGAGACAGCACTGTGCTTTCCGGATCGAAAGTGGCATGAACCACCATAAATAAACTAATTACAGCAATGGCTAGAAATCAACAACTTAACAAATAGATCTTTAAGAAGCATGTCAAGCACACAAACAGTAAGCAAAGAAATGGAAGTAGGACAGACTCACATTTGTTCACTGCAAGTGATCAACAATTTCCGATAAATGCACATCACAATCTTCACAGACTGAAAGTTCTCATATCTCAGCTCCTTGTAACACCTTTGCTCAAGAGAGGTTGCAATCTGATCAACAAGCTTACAACTTTCATTAAAAGGGCAAACCATTATCCTTTATTCACATTTTTATCTGCAGAGCAGCTCAATGATCCAACTGATGAAAAATTAAAGAATCTTGCAGATCTGGAAGAGATGATTTTCATCAATAAATGTTACTAGAGTAAGTTGCCAGAAATACATAGGACCTCTTAGAACTCCTATATCAGTTCAAAATCAAATAAATTACAGTAAGAAAGGTGTTGATGTTTAAGCATTAAAAGTAAAGCAAGGAGATGAACGACAATAATATTGTGCCTAAAGAAGTAACCAATCTGCCGAGCAATACATAGTGTTTCATTTACCCATTGACCTATGATGAGGCCTTTGTTTTGCTTTCGTCAGGAGAGAATACATAATTTCAGGCTTTCAGGATGTAAGGAACTGGTGAAAGGAGTTCAATTATATATATTAGCATGCGAAAATTGCCGGTTCTGTGGTATTCTTATCATTATATTGTAAGTGATCCTTCTATAAATGAAGGACAAGCTTCAACTGGAGTATAAGCTCTGACTGACTGCAACCGTCCAATGTGATCGTCACACATTTTCCAATCTCAAAGTATGCTCGCACCAAAGCAAGGTGCTATCTATCCCCTGAGTGAAATAAAATAACTGCACCTTGGGGATACGCAAAGGATTTTTAGCCGCATATTCACAAAGCTTAGCAATCTTCCTATCATTTGGGCCTTCTTCCTGCCATGAAACATCCATCAATATCGTTGACAGATCTAAAAGCGACTATCTCGAAATGGTAAATCACTAAGCAAGAAGAGGGGCATCACTAAGCAGGCCCGAATCTCACTCTCATACAATTTTAACAGGGAAACATCAAGTCCCTCACCTGATTCTTGGGGAAAATGTCACGAATGAGCTTCTTGTACCTCTTGATAGGCTGTCTGGACCTTGTCCTCAAACCAGGGCAAAAGAAACAAATGCTACCGCACGCTGGTAATACTTGCCGCGATAAAACGCCAGAAACGGCACTCATGTTCAGAGAACTCTGCTCACAAACTCATCCCCCAACTATGACCACGAAACCTCTCTTTCCTTCCCTCCTAGAACCAAGTAGTTTCTTTTGGACTTCGGCACTAAGAAGGGAAAGGAAAGACCAGGCTCGTTTACAAACTGGGTTCCCTGATGGTCAACCTGTAGTAAAAAATATGATCACAACATTGGGAGATCAATGGATCAGTATACAATTTGACCTCACCAAATCCAGAGCTACACGAGCTACAAGAACTAACAAGGATTGTTCAAGAATCAAAACCCATTTCTCATTCAACCCAAGAGAGAAGGGTTTTTAGGGAAGGAACAAAATCAACCCTCCCCAAATCCCAAAATGTGAACTGAGAGCTAGACAGAGAAGAGAGAGTGGGTCGAAGAAAGTAATCGCAGGAAGGAAAGAACATAAATGAAGTGATTTACAGAATTCGAAAGCCGGGATCGGGAAATCGCCCGATTGGAGGAGAATTAAACGAGAGAATAATGGAGAATTGAGCACAGAATGATACCTAAGATCGGCGCTGTGCCATGCAAAAAGATCCACTGGAATTCCCGCATTTATTTCACCTGTTTTGCCCTTTCCCAAATCTAACCTGGCTAAACGAAAATCTAATGACATTGACAATAGCATAATTGAATTTGTATTTTGTAAGCATAATTTTCTTAGTTAATTATGGGGGATTATTATTGGCTTATTGTAAATTAAAATAATTAGGATTGTAAGTAGTAGTAGTGACGGAATATAATTAATTATCCTCTAATCCCGAATTCCAGCATAGTAATGCCAGAAAGGTGCTTTTTCGTTCTCTGACAAATGCCCTTCTGTAATCGTGCTGTGCTGTCCTTTTCTTTGGCTGGCTGTCTCCCGCCATTTTTGACAGTTATAATATACCATTTATGGAGGTTGATCTCTCTCTCTCTCTCTCTCTCAACACAACAAGATGGATAAAGAACAAAGCTTTAAGGATGCAATATCAGTAAAAATGGTGCAATCTTTCCCCTCCTTCAATCCATTTCCAGCAACTCACAGAACAACATTTCTGGTGTTCAAATAAGCGAGAAAGGAAGGAGCTTTACTGACCAAATTACAGTTCACATTTCCCAGCAATCACACCTCCTTTCCCAGCTCCAAAGAGTACCTGCAACAGAAACCTTCTAAGCTTTAGAGGTACCACCATGGTCCCTTTCCACATGATCCACAAGGTCGACAGGATCGCGGAAACCCTTACTACACTTTGGACACACATCTACAGGCAACTTCAAAACCCGGGACTGTTGATTCTTCTTCTTCTTTTCGTGCACGTTCTCTACGTGATCGACTAGGCTCATAACCGACGCGAACTTTGCACCACACTGGGGACACTCCTCGTCCATCCCTGCTCCTGCGCCACTGCTGCTGCCGCCGCCGCTTGGCCCGATGCCATCTTTTGCTGTCAGCCACACTTGGCTCAGTTCCCGGCCCAGTTTCGACACTCCAGCTTCAGCAGAGGCTCGGGCATTGGATGCTGCACTGAGGAAGTTTGAGGTCCAATTTGTTGAAGATACGGTTGTAGAAGGAGCTCGGTGGTTGGGTCTTGGCGGTTCTTCCTTTTTGCTCCTGCCGAGAAGGCTCATGAATTGGAAGCCTGCATCGGGTTTTCTGGGACCAGGGCAGGTGTGATCAGGGCCGAATCGATGCTTCAAGCAGTGGTCCTTTGTGCAATCCCTGCATTTGATTGTGTTTGAGAATGTCAGAAATTCTCGACAGCCTCGGACAGGGCATTTTCTCTTCTTCGTGACTTTGTCGTAGTTCGAAGGGTCGCATTCTGTGTTGACATGTGTCTCCCATGAGATGTTTGGGTCTTCGTCGCCGATTAGACGAACTCCCTTGGCACAAAGTGGGCAGACAACGACTGTGACGTCCTTCTTATCAGCCTTTGCACAGTTGTGCTTGAGGTAGCTTCGATGATCCAGACAGAATACCTATCATCCCATAAGTCAGTACATGATCAAGATAATGTACAAATTTCAGATCTTTTTGAACAACGCAACTTTCAAGACTACTTTCTCCCCGACTTAGCTAGAAAGCATAGGGAAACCAAATCTAGCTAAGGCAATGCATGCTTCAATTCAGCATCCGGAGTTCCAGACGTTGGAATGGACAAATTCATCTTCCTAATTGTTGCAAAGCTAGCCGAGCCATTAAAGGGTGGCTAGAACACCAAGCTATAACAATTCGACTAGTAAAGAAGTGTCATAAAGCTTTGGCTAGTTGGGGTTTGAACAGCAATAGGGTCAACGAAAAGAAGAAAGGGAAAAAATCAACGTGTGAAAGTTGCAATCTGGTACTATTAGCTTTTTCCAATGTAGCTGTTTTGGTTATCCCAAACAACATCTACAACCTCCACTGCAAAACGACCAGAAGAAAGCTCATCCAGAAATAGAGATTAAGATTAAAGATCCATAATTTAACCCATAATGTATAACTCAGTTCTTTGATTCAATACATCCCAAGGTAGAAACTGCAAAAGAAAGTAGAAACAGAAATACAAACTGTAATGAAAAGTACCCTTCCATTAGTAACCAGATATTTAAGATCTTTCCTTCCGAAAAGCACATCACAGTCATTAGCAAGACCAAGAAAATAAACGATTCTTAGCTTAGCATTCCAATCAACTCTCTAGTTAGTTCTCAGAAGATAATCATTCATTCATTCTTGCCAAACAAACAACTTCAGCTCTAAACTACCAAAAGCAAAGATCAAATTCAAAGACGAAACACAAATCCATCGGATGGATGGCCGTTCTAAGCAGCTGAATCCTGGGCAAGCATCAAGCACCCACCAACATCAACACCCACGATCCTTTCTTCCTAACAAGAACATTCAACCCACACACTTCAAACTAAAACCTCTAATAAATCACGATTCAAGCTTCTTGATACACAAATTCAGCAAGAGATCTTGTTTCCAACTATAATTGCATATCCACAGAAGCATTGGAACCAAAGATTGAAAAAATTTCAAGCCGAAGCAAAGAGAATGAAAGGATTATCGGACGGAAGCACCTGGCGGCAGCGATCACAAGTGAAAGGCAAGAAATCGAGCTGCTTGCATTCTTCCACAAAGCAGTGTTTACCGAGATCTGGGAACGCCGGCGTCCCCATAGTAAGCTTCCCCTTCCCGCCCCCCTCCTAACAAACGAGGAAATCGCTGACGCGAAGCTCCCTCTCTCCTTATCTATCTGCTTCCTCTTTAATTCTTCCCCAATTGAAAAGGTTAGCAGCGCCGGCGAGAATAATCGGAGAAGAAGGAAGGTAGGTAAGCGGTAATTTTCCGATTCCGCGTATCCAGAGAGAGACCGCAGAATCGGAAGCTTCGGTCAGAAGAAATGAAGGAGACGGCACGAGGAAGAGAGAAAGACTAGACGACTCGTTCGTCCCTTTGTCTTCCTTTCTTCTTTTGTTTTCAAAATAAAGTTACGCTTGGGCTTTCTGCATTAAATATCCAGTGAAGCTATAACTGGGCCTGAAGTTCTGGCCCAGTCCAACTTTTCCAAAAGCCCACCAAACTAAATTTAAAAGCCGGAAATTTTACAGTCACTGTCTCACTCCCATACCCTGTTTCTCATTTCATCACTCCGGCAGTCGGGAAAACTCTGTTTTCTTTGCTCAGGAAATGACGATGCGGTGGAGGATCATGTTGGAAGAAAGGCTGAACGGCGATTTGGCACCGGAAACCTCCGCCGCCGCGGCGGCAATGTCACAGCCTTCGGAAACTGCTGCAGGTGGGTATTATTCCCACAGGTCAATAGAAACGCTGGTGGTGGTGCTGGCGGTGATCACCATCGTCGCGGTGTTCGCCGGAATGGTGGCCCGGCTTTGCGGGGGAAGGCACTTGAGCAGCCGCGAGCATGATGTTGAAGGATGGGTCGAGAGGAAGTGCCGGAGCTGCATCGACGGCGGGGTTGCTGCCGTCCCTCCTCCGCCTCCACCTCCGCCGGCGGCGCCGGAGGAAGCAGCGAAACCGGCGGCAGGGGAAGAGGCAAAGAAGTGAGGAAACTGCAAGCTACTGCTACTAATTTTTGGGCTTTGGAGTCGATGTATATCAGCGAACTTGATTCTTTGTGTAATTTGCTAGGCAATTGGTTGCAGAGGTTGAATGTATAATATTTTATCTCAGAAACAGAAATCCGCCGGCGGCGACGAGCACAGCAACAACTTGACTCTCGTTGTGCGGTTCAGTTACTTCAAAATACTAACTCGGGTGTTCATCGACATTAGAAGATACTCTGTATTTAATTTTCCTCGATTATGTATGCATAGAGCAACACTGCGAAAATCCGTTCATCTGATTCTGAACAGCAAATCAGGGGAAAGGAGAAATGAAGAAATTAATGAAGGCAGTGACACCACCACCTCAATCCAGTTTTAATCATGATGATTTTGGTAAAGAACCTCACAAAAGGGCAGTCGACCGTTGCAGTTTTGGTAGATAAACATCTTTTCTTTTACAAACTGTTCCTAATAATAGTTTTCATGTTCAATATTCTATGGTAGATAACCCAGAAAAAGAAAAACGTTGAAAGAAAAGGGAAGCCAGCCAACAACAGTAGTCTCTGTTTACTATGAACGCAAACAGTGGTCTCTAGCTCTCTGCTCCTAGAAACAAACAAACAAACTGTGGTCTCTGTTTTTTTTTTTGGGAAACAGAGGTTGATTGTAGGTTTTGACCGTTGCCAAAATGCCAAATGATTCTGCTGCCTGAAGCTGCGTGCATGGGAACTAGGAATCTTACTGCTGTTTTGTTTTCATTCAGCAAACTGACCAGTCACAAGTTCTCATTAAAGATTGAAGTAAGCTCACCTAACTACCACAGTACTAATAGTGATTCATCCAAAACCAAGCAGAGGTTTATCAGATATTGTGATCTGTGACATAGAATCTAGAATTTCTGATTCATATAGATACTCCGCAAACAAACAACCAAATACGTTGCAGCAAGCCTCAGTTCACACCCAGAATAACTCGCATCAATAGTCCGTTCCTATATGAACAACCACCCGACGGAAGGGCTTGTATCGCGACCAAATGAGCAGCTCTATTCATATTACGTAAAATGTAGCAAGAAATATCAGAAAACTATTTGAGACACGAGACAGAATATCCTCCAATAGATCACCCTCAGTCACCTAGCTAAACCCTATTAAAGAGCGAGTTGAGCATCAGAATCGATAATAAGGCAGAACAAGGAAGGAGGGCCAAAGTCGGGTATCAAAACCATTTTCATTTCATGTCCAGTATTCAACATACAAGATTACAAAAAGCAGTAGCAGCTCTACCCTGCCCGAAGTCACTATCAAACAATTTAAAAGGACCGTCCTTTCCAAATTCCAACACATGTATAAATTACAACAGAGCAATGGCGCTGAATGTCCAAAGAACTAAAGAATCAGAACTTGAAAAGCAATAACTGACCAGCACAGGGTATCTTATCATATAAATACATCCAATCCTTATTGCATTCATCAACACAATTTGATATCTCCCCAGTTCTTCACATGGCTAAACAACAAACGCCCAGGGGAGGAAGGCAGGCATCCTCGTGATTCTTCTTCCAATCTGTGGCTACAGCTAGAATAACTGTTCTTTTCTTTTCACTCTAACTAGCAGTTGATTCCACACATCTCAACATCAGGCCCAGTGACCTTGGTAGTAAACGGGTCGATCCGGACCCACAGCAATGAGAATATGGAAGCAAGAAGGATGGACCACACGATAACAATGGTGGGGGTTCTATTCTGACGACCCATCAGACCTTTCAGGAACGGGTAGAGATGAATGATCACCCAGAAGGCAAAGAAGAGCTTACCAAAGAGAGGTCCCCATGACTGGTACCCACTGTTAATGGCGTAGGAGACTCCAGCAACCACTCCGACGAGGTTGATCACGAGTAAAGTGGTTGGTGGGATCAGTAGAGTCGTCCACTTGAACAAGTACAGCTCAGCAAAATCTCCATCCTCGTCGGATGCTTTGGACGTGACGGTGAAGTTGGTATCTATTCCAGCTAGGACTTTCAGTAGGCCTTGGAACACGGCAAACAGATGAGCTGACACTCCTCCAATAACCCAGAACTGCTCGTTCCTCCACCACTCATCGATCCCAACTCCGCTCCATCTCATTTCCAGAATACCCGTTGCGAAGATTGAAAGAAAGAGGGATATGAACCAGATACTGGCAATGTTACTGATCTGAAATCATAGCCACAAATCAAATATGAGTCAAACACACTGGGGACGTTTATGATATTAAAAGGAGAACGATGTATGCGTTTGCTTACCTGAGGAATAATGAACTTTCCGGTAAGGAGACAGACAGCTGGCAGTGTGCAGTAGGCTAGAAGAGGAATGGATGTGATAGGATAAATGGTGGTATTGACATAGGCAAATCTCTCGAGAAATTTAAGCCTTCCACCATAGCCATACCACATAGGGCAATGGCGACTGAAGAGAATTTCGACTGAACCCAAAGCCCATCGAAGCACTTGATTCAGACGATCAGATAGATTGATGGGGGCAGAACCTTTGAATGCAGGGCGCTCAGGCATGCAATAGATTGATTTCCAACCACGAGCATGCATCTTGAATCCTGTCAGGATATCCTCTGTGACTGAACCATAAATCCATCCGATCTGTTCATAAAGGAACACAAGCTTCAGTAGGAGAATTTTGTTCTGCAGTTACTGAACTCCTTCAAGTAAATTTGTTTCTAAAAAGCAAAATAAATTATATTTGTGTACCTCTTGTCCCCAGTCTGTCTTGTCTTCATACCCGCAACTAATCACATGGATAGCTTCTTTCAGGAGAGCCTCTGGTTCGGCAGATTCGGGAACACCACCATTTTCCATTAGTGTTGAAGCAACAAAAACTGCCGATTGGCCAAACCTCTTCTCTAGTGTCATTTGTGACATAAGCAGTGACTTCTCATCGTCAAATCCAGCACCTAAGAAAAGCAAACAACACAATAAATGGCATCAGATGTTTTAGAAGAACAAAGCATGCTACAATAAATGACTTATAACAGCACCAGATTCATCCTTAAGGAAAAACACAATAGCTTCTGATGATTTAGTTACCTTCAACCCCTTCCTCTATATCTTCTAGATTGAAGACTGGAACAGTAGGGTCAACATGCTTGCTCGAGTTTTTCTTTTCTTTTCGGCTTGATTTCTTCTTTCTGGAACCACCGAAGCAAGAAGATAAGAACCCTGGTTTACTATGCTTAGGCTTGAAGGGAGGCTCATAGCCATACAATGCTGTCCTGTTGAACACACACCCTGTGCCCACATACACAGGTCCTTGGATGCCATCCAATCCTCTCAAATTCATCTACAATCAAGGCATATGTTTTGTTAAATGACCTATAAGACCATAAAAATTAGTCAAGAACCAATTGCACGTAAACAACTGTCAACAGCATTCTGATCAATTGAATAGTTCACATACAACAGCTGGGCAGTATTTTACTGGGACTTACATCAAAGAACACAGTGTTTCTGTTGGCATATCGATCGTTCTTGTCAATACCATCAAACCTCTGTGGAAACTGGACATAACATACTGATTTCCCAAGATTAGGATCCATTAGAAAACACATAGCTTCTCTCAATGCCTTGCTGTTGTTTATGTAATGGTCACAATCAAGATTCAACAAGAACGGCCCATTAGTCAGAACTGCAGAAACACGCACCTGTAGAACAGAAAGATAGATCATTAGGCTAACCATTTCCAAAAATGAGATGGACAACAAAGATTAATCACTACCACTTACAAGAGCATTCATGGCACCAGCCTTTTTGTGATGCATAAAGCCAGGACGTTTTTCACGAGACACATATACTAGCCGTGGAAGTTCATTGCCATCACTGTCGAGCCCTCCGCTGTGGCCTAAGAAAACCTGCAGACGAAGGCGCAACAAGAAATGGTAAGGCGAGATCACCATTGATACATCCACTTGAACCTGATCTTGTTTACAGCGGTGGTTTGTGAAACCAACACTCTAATATTGATCAACAAGGACCATAAAAGGTCACATGTGGCTACCAAATTAAAGCTTCCTTCACTACACATAAAACATGTAGGAACTTATCATGATAAAGTACTTCGTTCTGATTAATACTATCGGCACCAGATGCACAAACCTGAATCATTCCTGGATGATCTCTGGTATTGTTACCAGGCCATGGGGTACCGTCTTGCATGAACCATCCTTCCTCCGGAACCTTTTGTGCCTTGGCCACAAGCCCATTGACACGAATCTTAAATTCTTCATATTCTCTCTGCAATTATACTATTTGCAATCAGAATTGAACTATGTAATGCCTGCATTACTTCCAGGATTCAGACAGTAAATACACTTCACCTTCATGGATCTTCGGTCTTTGACAAATGAAGGCTGAACCTTGTCTTTCAAATAGTCAATTTTCTGAGCAAAATACCACTCTGGAGCTCGTGGCTCAATGCTGTATTTCTTGGAGAAAGGAACCCACTTTCTAGCGAATTCAGCTGTTTCAGCTAAGGCTTCGAAAGTCAACATAGAAGCTCCATCATCTGAAACATAGCAAGAAACTTTGTCCACGGGATAGTCTACTGCAAGAATTGACAGCACCGTATTAGCTGTGACAAGTGGAGGTTCCTTCAAAGGATCCACTGTACTGACAAAGATGTCAACACAAGCTAATTGAGATGGTTCTCCTTCTTTTTCATATCTGCAGAGCATGCAAGACCTGGGTTAGAACAACTTCAGAGACCAGTTTAAATAAGGCAAAAGAAAGAGAAAACTTACCTAAGCGATAGCCTGTCAAGATATGTCTCTCTGTTCACAGGGAACCATTTGGGGAACTGATCCAATATCCATGATACTGCGAACCAGATCTCACAAATTACAGAAATCAACCACAAGGGAATGGCATCCCAGACTGGATTTGTTATACGGTAGTGAAAGAAGATGCAAAGGATGACAAGCCGCAGCACAATGACCATCCTGTAGGGGTTAACTTTGGACGAAGGAATTGGAACCTTCCTGGAAAGCGGTTGACGAGTTTCATCATTCCTGTTGCAGCAACGACAAACATGCTATAAGAGATAATCCAAATCGTCTTCCAACTTGACGTCATGAAACTAGGACTATGATACTCACAGTAAGGAATCATCCATAAGCACATCAGTGCTGGCATCAAAATCTACACCGCCTCTGCCTTCCGAAGGTGCATTACTAACACTTGGTGGAGCTGCACTTTTCTCTGGCTTCATCTTCCAACCATCAATTCTCTCTTTCCAGGCTACATTGCCGAACCCACCCGCGGCATATTCCCTCTGTCCGTCCCCCAGTCTGATGGTGGCTGCATACATCAGACTATGGTATCAAGATTCGATCCAACATAGACACACCATAACACAACACAAAACAAAATACAATAACAATTATGCTACCGCCAATACCTCTGCTGCCACTCTCAGGAGAAGCCATGGAGTAACGCCCAGGAGACGCAGCAGATAGTTCACCAGACATCTGAAACAACAAAAGAGAATGACAAAATCGATTCTTTCAGATTCAAACTCTTGAGATACATCAAACATATCCAACAGCAATGATCCAACTTCCCAAGACCATACCGAAGGTCTACTGGCTGCATAAGGGAAATAGTCTTTACGGCCCGAGCCAGACTCCCACCCCAGCATACGATCTATCTTGTGCTTCTCATCTTGAATCCCAACTGCGGGGTGAGTGGCTGACTTGCTCCCCAAATCCTTAAGCTCCCCATCATCCACCTGCTCCCCGTGAATCGGCGGGCTTCCTGAAGAAAAAAATCACATTGGATCGTTTTAACAATGAAATACTGCATCCACAATCGATAAAACAGCAAGCAGGAATGGTGTCTGAAGACTTGAAAAAGGTTCACCTCTGTGCCTAGTGTACTTGGTCTTGCACTGTGGGCAGGACTGAGTGCCGTCCTTCCGCTCGTACTCATAGCAAGGGCGGCAGACGGGGAAGGCACAAACTTGGCAAGCAACGAAGGAATCCCCATCCACTGTTTTCCCAATGCCATCGCTGCAGATCTGGCACACCTGCTGTTTCAGCCCCTTGGTCTGTTTCCACAAGCACCCATTATCAGTCCACCACCCAACATACACTCGAAGAGAAAGAACATCAAAACAGATCCCACACAGCAACAACAACAAAGCAGTCAATCCGCATCCACTCTAGAGTGCGGATTGGATCGGATAGAAGATGCATTGGAATTGAATAAGCTGAGTCAAAATCTAAGAACAGTTGAATTTCGATTTGCAATTCAGAGAGTAAGGGAGAACTGACCCCGCCGCCATGATCAGCTTCGAGCTCCATTTTCACAGAGCAAGCGGAAGGATGTGGAAGAAGAAGCGGAAGATGCTTCCTTGCTTTGCTTCCTTCTCTCTCGATTGGATCCAATCGATCTCAATTAAAAGGGAGACCAAATTGGCAATTTTCCCCCGCCGACACTCGACCGACAGATCCGCCAAAAAACACACTCACTGTACTCACCACTAGGGCTTCTTTATTCATTTTCCATTTTCAGTGGAAGATTTTTGCTCTTCCGGCCACGTGGCGGCGAATCATTCGGCGGTGCAAAGTGCGGTGGAACGGAGCGGGGCAATTTGGGTATTTACTGTAGGAGGGGAGCAGGTTGGTTTGTTCTTTTATCTAAGTTGACGCGGGAAAATGTGACTGCGATTACTCGCTAACAAATAACGAGCTGGCAGTGACAGTGGAGAGTTACGAACAAACAGACTGTTAAATTGTCATTTTCTAGTTTTCTTTTTGTATTATCTTGATCGCGTTATCAAGATTCGAACTACAAGTTATCGTCAAGATTCGAACTACAAGTCATCTGTCATATTTTTCATTTTTGGTTTGAGCCCCGCGCTACAAGTTATCTGTCATATTTTTCATTTATTTCCACGTCATCAAGTTAACGGTCAAACTTAATAGTTAACTGCCACGTAGGACAAATTTAACGAGGTGTAACGGTCGGTGACTAACGGTGAAACGATTCGCATAGTTAGTGGCGACTAAGAAACAAAAGTAATTCGAGTAGCAAACGTGAAAGATTTGTATAATTTGAGTGACCAAAACGTGTAATTTAGTCCTTTCTTATTACTCATCAAACATTTGTATGCAACACATGGGGGGATATTACAGCACAATACAATCAGCACAATTCTCAGTCAATGACAGATCAATGCCTGCAATTCTGGAAGGGGGAGGAAAAAATTGATTGCTCAAATTTTGATAAGCATATTTACACCCAATATATTAATAGAACAGAACAGTCCCTCTCTTTCATCCTTTTTTTTTTCACCCTTGTTCCTTGCCTTGAGGAACAAGAATCACATAACATTTACCGAAGGAAGACATATCCCACCCACCCTGACAGCAAGTCTAAAAAACACTTACAAATGAACAGAATGAATGCACAAACAAGATGAAAGAAAAGAATCCACAGGTTTTAGGCAATGATGATCGTTTCACCATCAAACCCCAGTCACCTGCAACGATCCATCCTTCATTAGTTTCATGCTCAAGTTGGTGAACCGTTCACGCGAGTACTGTCTCGACGCCTTCCTCCAATCTGTGCCGGCTTTCATCATGGCCGCAAACTCCTCGTAGCTTATTTTACCATCCTGCAAGTTTTGCACACACATAATGTAATGATTCAGCAACAAAGAATTGGCTGAGTTATGAGAAATGACTCAAACGGGTAAATTTGGGAGTAAGATTGGGCGTCTTAGATTTAGATAATTGGTGTAATGGGTGGGGAATAACTAGCATATGTACTTATGGTATCAAATGCAAAATGCAAGGGCATGCAAGACTGTCAGGCTCATCACCTTGTCTGTGTCAACATCTCGTATTATGGCGCTGATAACTTCTTCGCTGTTCGCATCGAGATCGTCTGCCAGAGCTTCTCGCAGCTCTTCAATTTCTATGTGCCCATTTTTGTTTCGATCGAAGAACTCGAAGGCTTTACGAAGGTGTTCATCGTTACCCATTTTTCTTAGGTGGACTGAAATGGTCACAAACTCTCCATAGTCCAGATATCCATCGCCATCAACATCACCCTGTGTATGAAAGAAGGGTTCATCAACCTCTAAACCGAAACATACAGTATGTTTTGTCATGAGAGAAAGATTCTACTTTTAAGAGGTTGATTGCACTGTGAACACATTACTTGGTCTCATAAAAAAAAAAAAAAACACATTACTTGGAGAAAGTAATAACCATGTCACTTACAGCTTCCATTAGAATCTGAATATCAGCCTCAGTGACCTGATGGCCAAGTTTCTGCAAGCCAATTCTTAGCTCATCGATATTAATCTTGCCATTGTTGCTGGTATCCATCACCTGGAAGCCCTCCTTGATACCGGCAGCTTCCTCTACGGACAAGTGCTCAGCTACAACCTGTTGACATTTAAAAACACAGAAAACCACCATAAGCATTATAATAACTTGTAAACATCGAGAAACCAATTCAAAGACATCAAAGCCCTAAAAGACTTTATCTCAGAAAGTTTGGGAGAGAGTACCCTCAGAGCTCTTTTCTTCAGCTTGTTCATTGCAGAGAACTGTTTGAGCCTTGCTTTTACAGCATCACCCAGAGACACATTGGGAGCTGTCTTTGCATTTTGCAGCCAAGCATGATCTAACATTAGAAGAAATATGTCCCAAATTAGATTTAAATACAAACAAAAGAAAGCTACAACTTACATAAGAAGCACAACTTTTTAGAACTGGACATTACCTAGCACTTCCTGGGCTGTGAGGCGGCTCTTGGGATCAGGGTTCAGCATCTTTCTCACAAGGTCTTTTGCGTTATCAGAAACTTTGGGCCATGGATCCTTCTTAAAATTTAGATTTGATCGAATGATTGCTTGTGCGACTCCTTGTTCAGTTTCTGCAAGAGGGGGCAACACCATTTTTAGCATATGAGTTGTATTGTCCAGTGAAAAAACTTCATCTCCCAATGCTAAACTACTTAATTGTTGCAACCTGATCATATGAGGAGATTTTTCCTGTATGATAGTCCTATTTGTGTTTATCTCATGTATATATGATGAAACAAATGTAAGAGTGAAACCTTCTTCCAATGTACCACAAAGTTACTAACCTGCCCAAAAGGGTGGGACTCCACAAAGTAAAATGTAAAGTATTACACCAGCACTCCAAACATCTATTTCAGGACCGTAATTCCTTTTCAACACTTCAGGAGCCATGTAATATGGACTTCCCACGATTTCATTAAATCTCTCACCTGGAAGAAAAAAAGAAGAAAAAATTGGCTTCAGCAAATGAAACAACTGAAAGTGCAGAGCAGGAAGCAGCATATTTTGACCAAAGCATTACCAGGCTTAAAAAACACTGATAGCCCAAAATCAATGGCCTTCAAAGGTGCAGTTTCCTTTTTGTTTGCAAACAAAAAGTTCTCGGGTTTTAGGTCTCTATGCATCACCCCCTGTTTATGACACATCTGCCAAGGAAAGGAAAACAATAAAGACATGAAATAATAGAATTCGAGCAGAATTGGAGAAAGTATCCCTAAGAGACTCACAACTTAGAAAACAGTACAAAGTTCATTCAGATGCACTAAAACACCGTCAACAGTGGCGACGCTAGGACTCAGAGCGAGGAGGGGCCGAAAATGACAAACTACAACAGTTTCCAACAATTGAATCCAGATGTTGGAGGATCCTACCACTTTCTGATGTTTTATCAAGATATGAATACACAAAGCTTATTTACATTTCCTTATTCTTACTCAACTATAAGTTCAAATTAAGGTATACTTTCACAGATTTTCAGTTCCTTCTGATTGAAATTACAGCTCAAAGAAACAAAGCTATATATCACTTAAGTATCCACAGAGAAAGCACCACATTGTAAGCTTTCATGTTGACGAATGATGGTCCTTCATAATTGACACCAGAAAGTATCGCATTGACTGTTTATTTATGAAGTAAACTAATTAAGCACGGAATCAGAGTTCTCAGGAACAATAATCCGAGGCAAATTGGCAAATGCAAGACAAAAAAATTCTTTGTTTACCTGAACGACCTCGACAATGGTTTTTGTGACTGCAGCTGCAGCTCTTTCCGTGTAATGACCTCTGGCAACGATTCTGTCAAACAATTCTCCACCTTCACACAGCTCCATAACCAAATGCACTGCAGTATCATCCTCGTACGTATCTTTTAAGGTGACAAAGTTGGGATGCACAGGCAAGTGCTTCATGATCTCCACTTCCCTTCTCACATCCTCTATATCCACAGCCGTCAGGAGCTTCTTCTTGGAGATTGATTTGCAGGCAAACTTTTCTCCATTTTCCTTGTCTGTACACAGGTATGTGATCCCAAACTCCCCCCTTCCCAGCTCTCCACCAAGCACATACTTCTGCTGAATGTCTTGACCTGTTGGTTCTTTTAATACGACCAGCTTATGGTGGACTCCATTTCCATAATTACCAGCAAATAGGCTCCTCTTCTTCTTGTTCGTCTTCTCTTTGGAGTAGCTTGTAAGCGGGATTACACAACAATTGCCCATCTATCCGATCTAACAAAAAACACAATCTGGATATAGACTTTTGGTCAAAAGGGCTTATGCGATTTGTCAAACAGAGACGAAGAAATGGGATGAAGGAAGACCAGAGTTTTATGGCCAGTAAAGTTTATCTTAATCTTGTTGATCAAGTTGTGATCTTTGGGATAAAGAATTCAGATTTGGCAAGCAGACCCAAGATCCAGATACAGACTTATCGGACAAGAAATAGAAGGAATATGCCTATCAAAATTCGATTTCTGATTCGAATTCCCAGGAAAGTTGAAAGCTTTGCAAGAAAATCAGATAAAAAAGGATGACTTGTGTAGAGAAGAAGACCAGAATTGGGATGATTCTGTGAGATTAATGAGGATTTTTATATTAAGAGGGGGAAAAAAGGAAGGGAAGGAAGGGAGGAAGGTTCAAAACGAAGGAAGTTGAAAGGGGATGAACAGACCGGAATTTTGACTATACAAGAAATCACGTTCCATTCATCCAGAAACTGATTTCAAATGAGAAAAATTCAATTCAACTCACATCAAACTAACAAAGTAGCGCAGGTCAAACCCCATTACCCTTTCCTTCCTTTTCCCCAGACCACCCTTCCTTCCCTTCCCTTCTTCCTCTTCTTCCTTTTTCCCTCAGAAATCAACTGTTTTCACCATGCTCCTTCCCCCCTCTGACTTTCTCTCCTGGAGGGAGAGAGACTACTGCTAATTCTCTTGTTTTCCCACAATGTTATGTGCAAAACTCAATTATTTTTTATTTCGATTTCGTTATGTGTTCCTATTTTTCTGTCTTTTTTTGGGTATATTTTGGAACGGACTCGTGCAATGTGCATCTTGAAAGAATAGGCCTCTTCACAAAATCCGCCCCCGCGTCTTTTCTGTATTTCCCCCCTGTTTCTCCCAATCAGCACTTTCCATCTGTTACACTTTATTTAGATGAATTATTAAAGATTTTCCCAATTTATAATTGAATCACTATCGAAAAATAGTAAGAAAGTGCATAAAAGAGCCCGACACTCAAATTCTGTTTGATGTTATTTTTACAATTATGTTTGATATTCCGTTGTTATTATCTTCCATTTGCATTACTATTGTTAACCTCCAGGGGGATTAATTAAACAATGAGTAATTTTCTGTTTTGGTGTTTTACTCATTGTCTAAGGTGATATTTATTTATAAATTTTATATATGTCTAGAACACAGCTAAATGGAGATCATACATGGAACGGAGAGCAATAAATTAAATTTACGTACCTATTAGAGACCGCGGCAGTGAAACCAGCTCCAGCTTCAGGTTGTCTGAGTAAGTGAGGAATGTTTGACCACTCTAGTTGAGCAACTTACACGCATAATAGAGCAGTAACCTTGGATGGTATCAGTAACCTCAAATTGCTACTCTCAGCAGCCTATGCACCATGCAGCAGGCTTATATACTACCGAAAAGCGAACCAACCAATAATCTCCACATGAACACCACCCATCCAGAAAATGGTGGAAACGTTTGGCATCTCATCAGACTATCCACCTCTGTGTCAGTATTGAAATGAACTTGGCAGCCGAGGTACACATCCTAAGATTTTTAATTACAATGATCGAAGCTCCTGAAGGCAATTTCATGATACCGTATGCTATAGCCAATTTCTCACTGTGATTGCGAAGGTATTCTTCCTTCTGCTAATCCTGGACATCGAGCCGAACAATCAAAATCTGGAACATGTCCCGATGGCTTGATCAATGCAATAAGCTCCTTTACCTTCTCAAGAATTTCTGGATGTTTTTTGTCATTTGAGACAAAGACATGAGTCACATTTTGTATCTCTATCCAGCTCGCCCCGGGCTCCTTCTTTATGTTTCTGTCATTCATCAACTTCCGGATCTTGGCAACTCCATCCCATCTCTTTTCCCTGGCATATGTATTAGAGAGCATTGTATATGAGCCCATGTCATGAGGGTCCATCTCGAGAATGGATTTGGCGACCTGCTCTTCTAAATTGTAATTCTTGTGAAGATGACAAGCATTGAGCAAAGTACGCCATGCAACAACATCCCATGTTACCATACTGGACATCATCATAAAATTCTTGGCCTCATCCAGTTTTCCAGTTTTTCCTAGAAGGCCAATCATGCAGGTGTAATGTTCTAATCCAGGCTCTATGCCCATCTGTCCCATTAGGTAGTTAAAGTAGTAGAAACCTTTGTCCACCAGACCTAAATGAGTACAGGCAGAGAGAACCCCGATGAAAGTAACATAGTTAGGATGGACTGCTTCAGCCAACATGTCCTCAAATGCTAGAAGGGCTTCCTTTCCAAGTCCATGATGCGAAAAGCCACATATCATTGCATTCCATGAGATGATGTTGCGACATTTCATGCCTGAAAATATACGACTTGCAGCTCCTATGTTTCCACTTTTGGTGTACATATTGATCAACCCATTTCCAACAATAGCATGATCATTAAAACCAGCCTTCATAGCACGTGCATGTAAAAGGTACCCGTGCCTCAATGTAGACAATCCAGCACTAGCATTCATGGATATAGCAAAAGTAAACTCGTTTGGCCGAACATCATCGAGTTCCATGGCAGGCAACAAATTCAATGCCTCCTCAAACAACTCATTCTGGGAATAGGCAGCCATGATGGATGTCCATAACACAACATTGCGATCTTGCAACCCATCAAAAACTCTCCTAGCATTCAAAGGGTTCCCACATTTGCCATACATGTTGATGAGGGCACTATTGACATACATATCACACTCAAGATTACTCGTAATCAACTTTCCATGGGCTTGCCTAGCCAATCTCAAATCTCTAAGACAAGCCAAAAGCGCAAAAACACTGACCCAAGTAGTACCGTCCCATTCGAAATCTTCATCAATCATCTTCCTCAAAATCTCCAAACCTTGCTCTGCATACCCATGTTCAACAAGTCCATTTAAAATCAACTGATAGGAATAAGTATAATTTCCTGGTACCGAATTCCATAGCCGAACTGCTTCATCAATGCGAAGGCAGTTGGAATACATGTCCACCAGACCGTCTCGGACGTAATCATGGAAAACCAATCCCAACTTCAACACATGAACATGGCATTGCATACCCACCTCAACTCTTCGACAGGCAGAACAGGATGAAACAACAGTAGCGAAAACGTACTCGTTCGGCCTAATCCGAGACTCGGACACCATGTGTTTAAACAACCCAATCACTTCTAGTGGCATCCCATACTGCAAATACCCAGCCATCAGTGCAGCCCAAGAGACAACGTTTCTTTCAGTCAAACCATCGAACAGGTTGCGAGCATCCCATAAATCGCCACATTTTGAGTAGAAATTAATCAACGAGTTGGCCTCCACAGAGTTCTTACCAACGGTGTGATTCATGACGACTAGATGGGCGTGGATCATTCTACCGGTTCTGGTGTTTTTGGTATCGGCGGAGAGCTTTAAGAGCCTAGTCAAATGAGCAAGGGTGAACGACATACCGTTTGTTTACAACGGAAAAGACAGAGTCGAACGCCTCACCGAAAGGAGAAAACGGAAAGGAGAAGAAGACCGAATCCGCGGCCGATGTGAAGACTATTAATTAAGCTGTCCTGCCTGCCTGACATTCTACACAGAACAAAGATGAACGACGGAGAGAGTACGGCAGAGATGAAGAGAAGAAATCAAAGTTGAAAGAACGACGAGCAGCACCGACAACCGGTCGAATTCATCAAACGCCGGACGCTCCCCGTCGGCAGCAACAATCATCGGGAAAAAGGAAACTGCTCTCCGCCGCACTTCCCTTCTCTTCTTCGCACACCCAAAGCGAAGAATATGATCATTCAGGCTGGCGGAACCGGGAAACGATGATTTTGATTTTCAGGGACGGTTCGGTAAATAATCATTCAGGCCCCTCTACTTTAATCTATTTTACAAATAAGTCAACAACTTTCTTATTTCACGAAATTTTGGCTTATGATATAAAATTTGGTTACGGGATGAACTGGGCTCAAGTCCATGGATCAGAATCCTAGGTTTGGGCTTTCCCGCAACATTCCAAAAGCCCAAACAAGAAAATGTAGTCGTCGGACGAAGCTCACTTCCTACTTCCTGGAAAAACACACAGAGGCTGGCCGCCGGCCGCCGGCGGCGGCTATATAAATTTATTTCCAGGAAATTTCAGCTATATAAATTTTCGAAGTCAATTATTTTAGCATATTCGTGGGAGTGGGTTTTAACAGTCCACGGGGCTGACTAGAGAGTGGAGGTCGAGGAACGAAGAAAGAAAGAAGCAAGAAATTTCCCACCAAAGTTGATGTTTTCTCTTGCGATGGCGACAGGCAAGACGAAATGACCCATTCCGCAAGCCAACTGCAGCTTCCTCTTCCCTTCCCCTTTCGCCATGTATATAAACAACAAACGAGGTCCATTCTTCCCTCCAATTCAACAAACAGCCATCAACTCAAACATAAACCAACTACTCTGTTTTCTCCTCTTCTCAAAACAGAGCAAAAAAGGAAGGAAGAAAGGGGGAACACTTTCCACAGAGGAGAGGTTTTCAAACAAAAGCTCCCTTCGTTCATATAATTAATTTCGTTCTTTTCCTTAAAAACGATGGCTTTCTTAGATTTCTATTACTTGATTACTCCCCAAGAAGGCATCGTCTCCACCAGCCAATCTTCTTCTCTAATTTCACTGTTCTATGATATCATTCTCTGTAAATTGATCTTCGATCGGGTTAGAAGCTTTCCCAAACTCCTCTCCAGATTCTCCTTTTTCATCCAATCCCAACTGAGACTTGGAGCTGGTGTAGAAGCAGTAGTATTACCAGAAGGAGAGGAGAAGAAGGAAGAGGCAGAGTTGGAGAAGAAACAGAGCCCGGCTCCTCTGGTTATTAGCAGAGAAGATGTGGAGGTAGTGATGGGAAAGCTTGGATTTTTTTGCGACCCAGAAGGCCAGCAGCTGAAACAATCGATGGGTGCTGACCAGCTTCTGGAGTTGTTCGACGAGAAGGAGCCGAGCTTGGAGGAAGTGAAAGAAGCTTTTGAGGTGTTCGATGTGAACAGAGATGGGTTCATTGATGAAATGGAGTTGCAGAGGGTCATGTTTCAGTTGGGATTGAAGGAAGGAGTTGAGTTGGAGAGCTGCAAGAAGATGATTGGAGCTTTTGATGTGAATGGGGATGGGAGGATTGATTTCTGTGAATTTGTCAAGTTTATGGATCACAGTTTTTGTTGAATCTCCCCAATTTTGGTACATGATATATTATACATTTCTTCTTTCTTTGATTCACTTTGCCAAAATTTTCAGTGTTCTTCTGACTTACAAGTTAACTTCAATGTTCTCAGTTATGTTATCATGCACAATTTCAGCTTCTGTAAAGTGATCAGAAGTCAAAACAACCAAATCGTTCGCATTCAATAACTAAACCAATATTTCGATTATCTCTAAGGAAACAGTCTCTTGTCTCACAGAGCCACTCTGTGAGACAAGAGATCCTTACCGGTAGAAGTTCCATACCCTAAAACGAATTCATAGTTTCGTCACTGTGGTTAATAAGGTGAGACCTTGAGCCTGCTGTAATGGCTGCGTGCTCTATGCGCGAGTGCATAGGGCTTCAGCCACAACTTCGGCTCATATTTGGTGTTGACATGGTGCAGCCAACCGTCCTATCGCGATATACAAAGCATCTTCGTTCATAAAGGACACTGTGCAATATGGACTCCACCTTCATTCGACGAGAAACTCTAGCACAATGATGCAGATTATTTTCATGAATATCTGAGTGCAAATGAGATGACATATGGTCCTGTTGGAAGCAATCAAAATTATGCAAGTCCAAACAAGTACAACAATGGATCTCTCAACATATCTGGTTATATATACAAATATACAACCATGTCCTCCTACCCAAGTGGAAGATTGATCTATGATGTCTATTCATTCCTAAACTGATGACCTGATTCCAAGGCCGTGAAAACGGCAATGAATGCATATGCAGTAAAAGAGAAGGACCAACACATCTTTCTAACTATACCGAGATGAGCTTTGCCGAAAATATACGAGGATCCGCAAAATCAACTTATCGTCTGAGATTGTATAAAAGGATCCAATGGCCTCAACTCTCACCTGCTGCCCTTCTTGGAGAACTTGGGGTTCTTGCACATGCGGATGCTCGCTGGCGTGACCTCCACCAGTTCGTCCTCTTGAATGTACTCAATGCAGTCGTCCAGACTGTAATCCAAGGGTGTGTCGAGAACAACTGCGTCCACCAGCAACAGTTAGAATGGAAAATGAACTCATGGGGATGAAAGGAGAAAGAAGTTCTAAAGAACGGTTTAATGGTATACCTGTTTGCTCTTTGTTTGAACGCACGTTCGTTGCAGCCTTCTTCTTGCAGACGTTGAGGGATAAGTCGCCAGATCGCTGGTGGATTCCGACGATTTGGCCTTTGTAGACGTCCACACCTGGACCAATGAACAACTGGCCCCTGTCCTGTGAACTAGCCATCGCGTAAGAAGTGGATGTTCCCTCCTCAAATGCTACCTGTAAAATCAAACATGCATTGGCAACCTATACTTAGACATGCCTGCACAATGGAATCAATTTATTCCATTATGGAGAGTTTGTTATCAAGAAAGGTTACGCATGGTAATTACCAATGAGCCTTGATCTCTCGTGCTAATGTCACCAGCCCAAGGGCCGTATCCATCGAATATGGTGTTGAGAACTGCTGTTCCGCGGGATGCAGTCAAAATTGCATTTCTCACACCAAGAAGGCCACGAGTGGGAATTTTGTATTTCAGAAATGTAGTACCCTCCGACCTAATCAAGCAAAATTTCCAACCAACATCAGCAAAGATAAGCGCAGAGCATTGCGGCCATCAGCCGGACATATCCAACTATGTATCTATTGAGAGAACTGGATAAACAGGCAGTCATAGCAGACTCTAAATTACGTGAACATAATAACAAAAGAACATTCCACATACCCAACTCCTTGCATGTCGAACATTTGCCCACGCCTTTTCCCCAAAAGCTCTACAACAGCGCCCATGTGCTCTTCAGGAACCTCAACGGTTGCAATCTGCAGTCAAATATGTAAGAAATAATTGGCAAAGGGAAACTTGGAGGACTGAATTTCAACAGTAACTACTAAAATTGGCTACTTGCTGGTTGGAGCAGGGTATGTTTAGAACGGAAAACAATTATAAACGATGCCTATAGATTCCTAGTTTTCCATTTCGGACGGAGAAAAAATAAACGAAAACACCAGTATAACCAAATGGTATTGTTACCTCAAATGGTTCAAATAATTTTTCATCCACTCTTTTGTTAATCACCTTAGGAGGCCCCACCATGAATTCATATCCTTCCCTTCGCCTGAAACAGGATCATCGCGAGAGCATTTAAGAATCTAAATGTTCTAGTGGAGATTAAACAGAAAGTGAAAGGGCTTATACATACATGTTCTCTATCAATATGGTGATGTGTAAAGTACCACGTCCACTGACTATAAAAGTATCCGAGGATTCGCCCTCTTCAACTTTCATGGCCAAATTTCGCTCAAGTTCACGGAAGAGTCTATCTCTTAAATTTCTGCTTGTCACATACTTCCCCTGACATTTAGGACCGAACCTTGGTAAGTTGCTTGGAAATTTGAAGAAAGATGCAGAAGGAACAATAAGACAAAGAAGCAGGAGAACCACCAAAATAAGAAAAAGAAATAAAGGAATGAAAATTAAGATCCAAATATTGATCACATGGAGGAAATACTTTGAACTCTTTCAGAAGTTAAAATATCAATGAATAAAGAATCATGGGCCACAAATTTTGTAAATTGCAGAGTTGTAAGCGAACCTCTCTACCAACGAATGGTGAAGTATTTATGGAGAAAGCCATCTTTACAGTTGGCTCTTCCACCTTGATAGAAGGTAATGGCTTCCCTGCTGCTTTATCGGCTATGGTCTCTCCAATCTGATCAAGAAAATTATATTGTCATACAAAATACTCTAGAAAACCAACACAGTCAATTACGTTTCCATGCTCTTATATAATAGAAGGGAGGTAGAAGCTGATCCTGAGACGAATCAAAATTGTTTGAAGCACGGACCATCGGTACAATTATGTTATTTGCTGTTGAAAGCAACAGCTTTTGACATGAATATATGGACCAAATCTAGCAGTCTGCTCATAGAGATACACCAGATTTACAACCACACGACAAATGTAAGAAAGAGCTTTTCCTTAATGTTAGAAAATGAGGATGAGGCAGGGGGTAGGAAGCTGGTCAATAAAAGCTTACCTGAATATCATCAATTCCACAGACAGCACAAATGTCACCAGCTTCAACACTTTCTACCGGAACCCTGAAGAACTTCTCATACACAAAAAGCTCACTAATCCTTGCAAATCTACATGTGTCTTCAGATGTGCATACCTAAAATAATCAAGCCACAGTACATAAGGTTCCCTGCCTTCATATTTGATTAAAAGAGATGAAGGTTAAAGACTAAAGGAAGACATAATTGTACATTTTCCTATTTATAATACCCATGGAAAAACAAAACTTAGACTGGAAGTAACTGCAAACAAGAACCATGTGGCAATCACATGCTGCTGCTTCAAGGCAGTGAGTAACCGAGAAAGGTAATCACACTGAGCTTTTATCAGACATTGGGTCCTTCTCTTTCTATCATGTCGATTGTTTTGATACGCTAAATATAATGGCAGGGGTCATATCCTCATAAAGAATTTTCCTCAAGGAAAAGAATCTAAGTTAAAAAATGAAGGAAGTACTCACCCTAACGTCCATCCCCCTCCGGAGGGACCCAGCGTGAACACGTCCAATAGCTATACGTCCCTTATGTTCATCATATTCAATATTCGTCGCCTATAAAATAGATGAAGACACAGTATATACACATATTAAGAAACATATTCAGGAAACAACAGAGAAACTTTTGATGAAATAAAACACAACCACCTTGATTTAGACATGAAATTTGGTACAACACCAGAAATGGAGGTGAAGCAGGTTATGTAGGTCCCAACACAGAACCAATAGGCTGCTATTCAAGAACACAGTAGGAACGATGATAAATAAAACAAACAACTTACAAGCATTTGCAGAGCACCATCTTTTTCTATACGGGGTCCGGGTATGCATCTGATTACAGACTCGAAAAGTGGTCCAAGATCCTCAGCCAAATCATCAGGAGACAATCCAGCCTTTCCTTGAATGCCACTGGCATAAATAGATTGGAAATCACACTGCAGAAGATCAAGAACAATGCAATTAGAGTTAAACTTTACATGCACCCTTGATTCCCATACCAACAAGCTAAAAAAACATCAACAACCCAGACTTCCGACTGGGAAGCCTTTTTTTATAACTCCTATTTACTATTCATGAAAAAATTATTTTTACTTTATTAATAGTTCAGTATTTTTGTTGTTCTCCCTGATGCTCTCAACAGAAACTGGGGGAAACCTAAATAAAAGGAAATTGCATATCTATCTAGGCTCTGCAAATGTGCACTTCTAAAACACAAAATCATGAAGGTGAATCATAGAGTACCTGCTCATCTGATGCATTCAGCTCAATGAAGAGCTCAAAGGTGGAGTTGATGACAAACTCTGGACGAGCTGAAGGTCTATCAATTTTGTTGACAACAACAACGACAGCATGGCCAAACTCCAGAGCCTTCTTCAAAACAAATCTGGTCTGCGGCATTGGGCCCTCAACAGAATCTACCTACAACACACAAAAAGGTAAATTTATTAGATAGGGCATTCCATATTAATCACTTCGGGCAAGAGCAAGCACAGATAGCCCATTGCAAGCAGTAATAAGAATCAACATCTGTGATTCAAAAAACCCAAAATCATAAGTTCGTGTAAATGCTCGAACAAACAATAAACGCGAACTGCTAGGAAAAATTCCTGCCAAACTCCAGTTACTAGCTGCAGCCTTTAATAGTTAAGAAGCTTGTGAAGTTAAGAAATATGTGAGCATTCAAAACATCCCACACCCCAAACCAAGAAAGAGTTAGTCCCTTCAGCAAGTTTAGTTCCTGCAAGGGTAAGTAGGTAGGGAAGGAAATAGTACCACTAGAAGGACTCCTTCAACCATATTCAGGATGCGCTCCACTTCACCACCGAAATCAGAATGGCCTGGAGTATCAATAATATTAATCTTGGTATCCTTGTAAGTAATAGACGTGTTCTTGCTCAGTATCGTAATCCCTCTTTCACGCTCCAAATCATTCGAGTCCATTATCCTTTCTTGCATAATTTGATTGTCACGAAACACCTGCGCATCAAAATTTAGCGTGGTTCCAGCAAGCATTGTCAAACATGCAAGTTCACATCACTATCTCTGCTTGCCCTAAACCTAAACAGGCATGCTTCATCCGCAAATTTGAAGAATCAGTCTCTACTAAAAATGAAATTAGTCAATGTTACCTTAGCTTGTTTCAACATGGAATCAACCAAAGTCGTCTTTCCATGATCGACATGAGCCACGATTGCGATGTTCCTTATATCGCTTCTTCTCATCAATTGACTCTTCTTCTCTGATACAATTCGGTAGTAAGTTTATATCCATACACTCGCATGATCAAATTCAGCAAATTACGGCAATTAGCACGGAAGAAGGAATTACCGGCGGAGGTTTCTGCCGGCGTGGTCTGAGAAACGGAACACTTAACCGTACTGATAATTGACTTCCGCTGCTGCCTCGAGAGAAACCTCAGGGACGGCGTAGCTTTGGCCGCAGTAGCAGCCCGAGACGATAAGCCGACGCCCAACCATTGCTTGGAAAGCTGAAGTGACGATGAAGAAGAAGACGGAGAAGCAGCAACGAGTTTCCCTTTGTAAATTGGAGCGTTGAAGATGGAGAAGGAAGAGCTATGGAACTTGGTGGCCAACTCCATTGCTCTCTTCTCTTCTCTCCAGTCGCTCGTTTCCTTCACTGGGAAAAGAAAAGAGGATTGGAAGAGAAATGGATTTGGCGATGAAAGTTAAAACTTAAAACCAACGGAAAACAAAAGAATTTGAGAGGTTGGTAGTATTCGACTTTCGTGGGCCGGGCTCAAATCCAACCACGTCATCCAAATAACGGGCCCCTAAAAAGCCCAAGTTTGCACTTCTCCATTAGAGCCCGTAGACGTCCTGTTGGATAATTATCCAAAATAATCATATTACTTTGACGTTTGACAAAAATGGTCATATTAATGTAGATTTCCCCAACCAAATTGCAAACTCTTAGAACAAAGGGCATGTCCTTGAAGTATGAATATATGAGAGCCAAATAATTTTACTCATGAGGAGACAAAAAGAACTCAAAACCACGATAAGGGAATTGGATTGATCAAATCACATGCTTTTTAACAACTTTCTTACTCGTTGTATAATTTATACTCGGACCCATAATGAAAAACTCAAACATAGGTTACAAGTTTGAATTTGTCATTCCATACAAAATTTCCTTTAATTTGCCATGTCTTTCTCGTAAAGATAAAAAAAAAATCACGCCTGACCAATTATTAGATGCGTGTTTCATCTTTTCAAGTCGGATGCAAGTATAATTTCTATGAATACGGTTGAGTGGTTCGAGGACTTGGGTGAAGCTTGACACGATTTCTAGTTTTTATTAATTTAACATTTCAAGTTGGACAAATTTTTGGATGAAAATAGATTTAAATGTGATCATTTGTTACGAATTTTCAAAGTTGTAGCATCATTTTGAAAAATAAATAAACGTTATGTGATCATTTTGTTCAAATACTGAAGTTATGTAACCGTTTTGGATAATTATCCATCCCATTGGTAGTATTGGTTTCATCGTACACCTCTGAGTAGGGCTGCAAATGAGCCGAGTCGAGTCGAGTTTTCCTCAGTTTGAGCTCGGCTCGTTAACAAATGAGTCGAGTTTGAGCTCGACTCGTTTATTAACGAGCCGAGTCGAGTAGAGTTGCGAGCTAGCTTGCTTAATAAAATCTTGACTCATGTTTGATATATTTGTTTTGTATGTAATACATGATACATGCGATTAATGCCAAGATGAAGAAAATAATAATAATAGTTAAGTGTTCAATATTAACTAATTTTATGTTATACTTTGTGGTATCAAATTATTTAGTTAATAAATTTTAATTTGTGAAAATTATGTTATTTTACAATATCGAAGCAATCTATGATACATAATTATTTTTTAAAATTAAATAAAACATATTTGCTCACATAATCTACGTGTTAAACTTCATATAGAGTGAGATATATAATTTAACAATCCTATGAATTATTAAAATCAAAGTCATATAGATCGATTCGCTCATAATTCGATAATCGAGTTGGCTCTCTAGCCACAATCTTGAGAGTTGAGATATCTCATGAGCTCTTAACGAGCCGGCTCATTAGTTGAGCTCAACAAGCCACCAAGTCAAGTTAGCTCGCGAGCTCCACGAGCTGCAAAAGGCTAAGCTCAAGCTCGGCTCATTTACATCCCTATCTCTAAGCATCACAACAATACTACAATAGTCGAGATTCGATTTGAGAATGACTACCCTACTTCCCGCCACACCATTCCAACGACCGTTCCCTCGTCCGTTCAAACCGTGTATACCGGTTCCCGCATCCTCTTCCGGTCCCAGAATGTCAAAACTACTACACCGCAGAAATCCAAACAGGGAATTACTCTCGGATGTGCCTTGTTTGATGGGTTGCCTTGCGACGAAGTCCCTATGTTGAGTGATTGGCCTCGCCTGCTCAGGCTCTCAGCCAGGTCCGGCGATTTCCTACTGGGTCTAGCGATTCACGCGTGCTTAGTGAAATCAGGGTTCGGGGATGACCCATTTAAGGGGAACAACGTTGTCGAGTTCTATTCGAAATTGGGCAGAATGGATTTGGCGAGGAAGGTGTTTGATGAAATGCTTGTGTAGAATACCATTACTTGGACGTCATTGATTAAGGGGTACTTCGATAATGAAGACCGAGCGGGCATGCTTGAAGCTGTGGTTGAAATGCATCAACTGGGAGAAAAATTTAACGAGCATACTTGCTCTGTGATTCTGCAGGCGTGTAGCTCACAAGGGGACCAGATATTGGGGGAACAAATTCAGGGTTTTGTTGTGAAATGTGGGTTTGAGGAGAATGTTTATGTGAGCACTTCTTTGATTTCGATGTACTCAAGAAGTGGGCAGTTGAGTGAAGCAGAGAAAATCTATAGTAGCATTCCGGGTAAAGATGTTCGGAGCTTCAACTTCATGATTTTGGAATATGGTAATGGGGGATGTGGTGAGAAGGCTATGGAGGTTTTCGTGGATCTGCTTTCTGCTGATTTTTCGCCGAGTGATTATACATTCACTAACACGATTAGCTTGTGCAACGAAACTCTAGGTTTTGAGGAAGGTAGGCAATTGCATGGTCTTGCAATTAAGTTCGGTTTTGTAGATGAAATGTCAGTTTAAAATGCAATCATTTCCATGTATGGAAAGAGTGGAATGGTTAAAGAGGTTGAAACAGTGTTTTCTGCTATGAGCCGCAGGAATTTGATTACTTGGACTGCACTTATCTCAAGCTACATAAGGAATGGTTTTTATCAACAAGCTTTTGGTGCTTTCTTTGTGTTCCTGGGACTTGGTGTCAACTGTGACTCTAACTTGTTTTCTACCATTCTAAATGGATGTTTGGAATGGCAGAACTTAGAATTGGGAGCTCAAGTTCATGGATTGGTTACAAAGCTTGGTTATCTCCATGATCCTGAGGTTGTAGCTGTTCTTGTAGAATTATATGGCAAATACGGGAACATGCAGTTGGCAAGAGTAATGGTAAGTTCAAATATGAGTACAACTTCATTCAATGCCTTTCTAACAGTGTGTATGGACAAGGGTGGAGCTGAATATGTAGATCCCTTGGTTTTGCTTAGCCAGTTAAGATCTGATGGAAATAAACCTGAGTCTGTCTCTTTATCACGCCTCTTCAGTTTATCTGCTACTCAACCTTCCTTAGTAAGCGGGAAAATACTCCATGCTTGTGCTGTCAAGACAGGTTATGAAAATGACGTTTTTGTGGCAAACTCTATCATTACAATGTATGCCAAATGTGGAAGCCTTGAAGATGCTCATCAGATCTTCAATGATATCAATTGCCATGATCTTGTGTCGTGGAATGCTTTGATCTCTGGTTATAGTCTTCATGGTAAAGGACAAAGGGCACTCCTTCTGTTTGAACAAATGAAGGCAAAAGGCTTCACTCCTGATGAGATCACATTATTGGCGATCCTCCAAGCCTGCAGCTACTCAGGTTTCTGGGAAGATGGTATATTCTTGTTCAGTTCAATGGAGTCGAAATATGGTATTCAGCCATCAGTTGAGCACTATTCTTGCATGGTTGATCTTTTGGGCCATGCTGGCTATCTATCAGAGGCCGTAGATATCATTAGCAAAAGCAGTTTTTCTCATTCGCCTCTGCTTTAGAGAACATTGGTCAATGTTTGCAAATTACATGGAGATTTGAATATTGGTAGGCTGGCTTCCAAAATTCTGCTTTATTTGTCTCCTGAAGAGGCTGGATCTTACATACTCGTCTCAAATATGTATGCTGGGAAAGGAATGTTACCTGAGGCAGCTAGGTTAAGAACCATTATGAATGAATTGAACTTACACAAGGAGGCTGGTGTTAGCTGGATTGAGATTGATAACAAATTTCATCACTTTGTTGCTAGTGGGAAAGATCATCCACAAGTCGAAGAAATCTATTTAAGATTGGATTTGTTAACAAATGAGATGAGATGGAACTCTGATGGTATCAATGATATCAGCTTACTTGGACTCCCTGCTGCCAAATATGACGAATACCAGTCACCCATCTTGCAACATTAAATATATGTGACTACTACCTGGCAGTGGCTCATTGCAATGAGACTAGTTTCGGAGTGATCGTCAAGTTTGCAAACTGCTTCAGTATGGGACAAGGATGGAATAGGCAATTGCCTAGTCTAGAATATCTGCATAGTTGGCACTTCCATGAGCATGTGCTACACCTAATGAGGTCTGCAGGAAGGTAAAATAATTAACACGTGACTTCAAAGTGGACAGGTACATCCTTAAATAAGATCTCTAAGACATGCTTATGTATTAATTACATGCCTCTTTAAGTATAAAGCATTTTTTTCCAATAGTTAATTGCCCAAAAGAAATTCTTGCTACTATTCAGATGTTTTAAAAAGCTCCTACTATGCTATATGCCCAGTGTTTTTGTAAGTGTGCTCAACAATGATGTGGCTTTTTCCTTTTTCATGACTGATGTAATCTGTGATTAATTTTGCAAGTATTTGTTGACATTTGTTGCTCTTTTGGGAAGGTGACCTTCATGTGGAGGGAGTTGTGCCTTACAATTTTAGGAGTAGGACAACACTTCCAGTTCCTTTTCAGGCTGCATATTACTTGGACAATATTTTTCTTTCACCAGGCAAGTGATCGCTCAAGTGATGAATTGAAGATCCTAGCGTTATGATCTCTGGTTTCCCTTCCGCATATGGAAAGACAGTGGAAGAGGCCTAGAGAGAACAGGTAGTCATAGAAGTCTCGGTGGTCCTCATAGTTCAACTAGCAGGTCGGTTTGGTAAATTCCAACTCATTAATGGATGGATTCTATTAAGATCCTAAAGATCATGCGAGTTAAGTGGTGTCATACTTTTGTCAATTTCAGTAACCATATCTATAATTTGGATCCATATCTAGGACATGCTGACATTTGCCTAGCTCACTAGCTGCTTTCTTACTCAAATTAGCCAATGTTAACACTGGAAAGTTGATCTACAGATTTTAGATCACCATGGAAACTTAGCTGAAGATCCAATATGGATCTGCCTTTTCTTAAATCTTTGTTTGTAGGATCAATGTCATTAGCGTCAGAAACTCTATATTTTATGCATTATGTTTATGTGATACCCTTCACTTTTTTCTTTCTTTTTGTGGCTTTGTTAAGGTTGAGACAAGGCGTTCAGTGAGCTGCTTGCGCTGTAAGTTCAGCATCATCAACTGTGTCGAGAAGATGAGACGTCAAAATGTTCAACAGCAGCGGGAATGAAGGATTTGTAGTATGTTGGCTAATGAATCATGTCATCAACTTAACAAGGTAATGAATGAAATATAATGTTGCTTGCCTTATTTGAAGATGAGGTCACTGAATTTTGCTACCATGCTGATGAGTAAGCGTCAGCACGGGCTAACACCATTGCATCACATGGTCATGTGATCTCAGTTATTGGATGTACGGCATGGTCATGTGCAATCCAACAACGTCAGCCAGCGATTACGAATACCAGTTGAGTTCACTGCATCTCCTGTTTGCTCTTTCCCTGTGTTCAACATCCTAGGCGACCTTTGCCACATTTTTACCAAACATTTTGTTTTCCCTCCCGCTTTATTAGTTTACCAATTGGAAGACACTGATTACGCAATTTGCGGTTCTGTTTTAGTGACTCGTAAAAGTGCTGTTCTTTTGTTTTTTTGGGGTCACTTTATATCACTCCTTCATTTTATGGTTGGATAGTATTATTATTAACAGTAAGTGCTCTTTCGAGTTGTAAAGATATGCACAGTTCCAACAGCTTTGCCCACTACAGACAGTTTCTAGCGATTAGTTCTTGCATTGATATCATTTGGTGGATGCAGCGTATCATTCTGCACTCATCCATAGCTTGAGAAATGAAAAGAAAAAGTTTTCTTCTTTTGCTCTGATAAGGTCCCCTAAGCCAAAACTTACATCATTATTTAACTTTAGCTTTTCCTGTAACCACATCTTTGTATGGCAGGTCGCGTTCACAAAAGGGACAGCATCATAGTCTACCTCCAAAATGAAGGGAGGAAACTACAATGCATTTTACGAAACTCAGGTAATCTCAGGAGTCCTCTTTCTTGTTTGGTTTTATGAAAAAAGAAGAATTAACTTATTCCCACTTAGGATTAGGAGGAAAAGGTTAGGAACATCACATTGGGATAATCGGGAAACCTCTATTATTAACAACCTTTTGGACTCCTTAATCAGACCTAACTTCTGCTGAAAGTGTTTGTTTAATGGGGTAGGCATTGCTGAGTTCTCAAATAAAAAATGTTGCATGATATGTGTCCATTTCTGCTCCTCAGGAAAAGACAATCAATATGTTCAAAAAGGAAAAGGGAAAGCATTGATAAATATGAGGTGAATGGAAAGGAAAAGACTGGATTGGTGGTGGGGTTAAAGATAAGATGGATCAGGGGTTTGAAAAAATATTAATAAGCTGTCTAATTTTGTTGAACACAAGAAAGCAAAAGAAGATAAAACTGACAAAGAAATTCTACCAAAAAGAATGGAAAGGAGAAGACAACAATAGAAGATGGCAGAGGGAAGAGGGAAGAGGAAATGTGGAGACACTGAATTGAATTGAATTTGTCTGTCACATAGTCTTCGGTTATGCCATTGAAATGACAGGATGAACTACCATGTCTAGTCTACAGAGTCTTCAATAATTCATGTATTCTAGATATGTCATTTCTGGAATAAGTTTGAGTAAAAATTTTAGGAAAAAAATAGTATACATGTCAAAGAAACTAATGAAGAAGATAAACGACTATAAGAGAAGAGTGGAGATGACAGAAAGTTTTCTCGTCATCTCTTGTTTAGTATAACGAAATGTTGTATTTATAGGTATATACTTTATATAACCCTAAATTTCTGTTACCAATGTACATGAATGTACAACAATGAGTAATATGAATTCAAATATAGGCTGAGAGCCGAGAGGTTACAAGTAACACTAATTTGTGTATCTAATGTAATCAATGATCATCCACGATCGATATTTGCTTAACAATACATGTTCCTATAAGAATAGCTACTTTCATTTGTTATAATTGAGGGAGTGAATGATTCAGAACAACAGATTTGCAGCTCAATTAACTTCACACTTATGTATTCATAGAGTGAATGATTCAGAAGTAAGAGTTGATGATGTACTCTACTGTTGAAATCCAGGCTGTGCATTTCCAAGGCCAAAAAGGAAGCAGCTTTCTTTAACAGCTTGAATGAGGATATTGCAGTCGGTGAAGACAAATGCTCGGCCACTAGAGGGAGGATGCCAAGGAATGTAATATCCACAGGCGATACTCAGATCAAACGTCGATCTACCAACAAACGAGTCTGGAATGTAAATATCCTCAGGTAATACTCGACCAAACGCTAATCTATCGATGAAAGTACATGTTTTGTTGGATAGTATATTTACAGAGTAGAAACATTACAACTGTACAGTACCAAAAACAACAACAGAAAAAAACCCTAAAAACACCTCAACACACACAACAAGAAGCAAAATATTTGCTATGTGGTTTTAGTCCTTCACTTGTCACTCCACTCCACTCCCAGCCATGACCATAATGGTGTCCTTATCTACGGTTGCTTGCCCTGCAATTCAAAACATTATACAGGACCAAACAACCCTCCCCACTTAACTTGGCTATCAAGTAACCTCCTTTTCTGGGTTTCTCTTTGAGCAGAGGGAGATATATCTATATATCATTATCTATATATCTCATCTATTTCAGAAGAAGGACCTCTTGGTTGGTGCTTTCCCAACTGCTCTCATCAGATTGGCCACCTCCAGGATTCTGGCAACTTTGGTTCCTCTCTTGGCTTCTGCAGATGCCCTCCTCTCCTCTGCTTTCCTGTGTGCTTTTGCCACCTTGTTCTGCATCTTCTCTAGTGCCCTAGCCCTCCTCTCCTCCAGCTTCCTCTGCACATTTCAATTTTCAAGCAATAATGGTAAGAAACTAAAATCTAGGAGTTGTGGTAAATGTGATGACGAGATCAGTTAATTAATTGGTTCACATTTGAGCATATACCCAGACAAACAAACTTCCAACAATGAGATTGCTGGTTCCAATTAGATATTTGTCCGTTGTTAAAAAATATTTACAGTAGATATCGTCCCAGGAGTCTTATAGAATACAACATTTGGTATGTGTGATTGTGTATGTCGCATCAGCTAAAAGCTGAGACAAAACAATCTCAACTCAACTATCTCAACAATCACAACTAAAAGTTGAGATATAACAATCACTCAAAATGAGTGATAGTTTCTGTCACATCACAGAAACAATCCATGTATTGTTTCTGCTAAAAAAACAAACAAAAAAACGACGCATTGGAAACAATACATGCATAATGGCAATCTCAACAAAACAATCGCAACTTCCTAACGACCCCTTAATTCATTTAGGTTGTGGTTACGATACAAAATTCAGGATTACAAAACTCATGTCTTGCTATCTTTTGTACAAATTATACTACCCAAAATATGATCGTAGGACAATGAACCCAGTCAATCTTTTATACCGATGTAGCGTATTCTCGGGACCAGATCATCAGACGGAAAATATTTAAAAAAATCTTTTGCAGTTTTGAGTTTTCTACATTATCTTTTCTCATTCATATTTCATCAAAGTGATTAGCATCTACTTTAATTTTGGTGAAAAGTTTTTCCTTTTTTGGTAAGAAAAAGTGTACACAAATACAAACAAAGATTAAACAAATATCTCGGTTTAGGTGTCCAACACGAATTGAATTCCTAACCCTAATCTGGAAAAAAAATATGCTTAATTTACTTATTAGTGGGAATGTGATGAGACTTCAATAAAGAATCTTGTCGTTTCCCTTTTTCTTTTTAATTTTTATCATTATGGGGGGAGCTGGTGATTAGAAAGTTGAAGACTCTAATTCATTAGTTTTGACGAGTGTGTATTATCAGAAGAAGAACAACAGATAATTACAAAAAAAAAATGTGGACAAGACATCATGAATTGATTATTAATTAAGCTGGGAATTTTGACATAATGAAACTTGATTAATTTTAGGTCTAACTAATTAAAACAAGTGGTTGTGAAATTGTTGTCGTGCATGACGACGTGTCCTTGGTAGAGTGGAACACTCATAACTGTATGATTGTGACTTCCACATACACGCATTTTGTAGAAATAGGAAGGCACCCAAAAAAAATATCAAGAACAACCTAATCCGACCACACAAGAATTCATCCTAAGAATGGCAATTTTGACCTGACCCGATTTACCCGACTTGTTTGACCTGATTTGGGGCGGGGCGGGAATGGGTACCTCTCATCAACCCGACCTGCCCTGACCCGCCCCATTCTCGACCCGTTCTGGTCTAAGTTACATGTAATCTTAGTCAAATTACTTAGGATTTTCCTCTTATTACATCATATTTTAGGTATAATAAAGGTGTAAATAAGTGAAAAACTCAATCTCTCCAATAATTTAACTACATTTTATCAAATTATGGTTTCTTTCTTGGTCTTTTAATTAAAATAACGAATAATTCTAAGGTTTTTCGCATAAATTATATACCCTAATGGGTCAACCTGCCCCGACTCGCGTCCCATGATAAATTACCCGACCCGGACCGGACCTGCCACGGGACGGGTATGGGTATCGAGATACCCGCCCCGGACCTGCCCCATTGTCATTCCTATTTCATCTAAACCAAACCCTAGCAACTAAGTGGCAAGGGTGAAAAAATATATTTCCTTAATACGAAGAGCGATCGACATAATTGTCTAACCAGATTATTTCCAGTCATGTTAAATTAAGGCAATGTTCGATTTTGTCCATCCTTCATAATTAACTCAAAACATATGAGATAGATAGAGTTGATTAAAGACTAAGCATTCATCTTCATCTATTGCCATCAATACATCCTTGCTTAGAAAACTAATTGTTTCCAAAATCACACAAATAACTAATTAACAAAAGGGAAAACCCCATTTTAGTAATTTTAGGACGATTTTTAGCGATCCAAATAACCAGTTCGATTTCACAATTGTTTAAGATGTAATGGTGCATTTAATCGATTTGCAAATTAGAAAGTAATTAATTATTTATTTACTTACCTCAATCTTCTTCATCCAGGCATTAGCCTTCTGCACTTTCTCGTTCTCCCACCCGCTAATAATCGCTTCGTCCCTCTTCAACCTGTTGTTCACCTTCGCAATCTCCTCGTTCTGCCACGCGCCGATCTTCGTCTCCACTTCCTCCTTCTTCACCCTCCCCACCGTCGACACTCCTCCCCCTCCGCCGCCCATCGCCGCCGCCGCCGACGACGACGCGGCGGACCCTCCCCTTCCCCACGGCGCCATCACCGGATTGTGATCGGCGACGATCGCCAGAGGGTTCGTCTCCACCACCACGTCGTCGTCGTCCTCTCCGATCCTCGCCAAGTAGTTGTTCACGTTGGCGGCGGCGGCGGTGGCGGTGACGTGTTCCGGCCCTCCTCCGGTGTCGGCGGCCGAGCCGGCGAGGACGAGGGCGTTGAACTCCCTGCTCATGGTGGTGAAGTTCTCGCTCGAGGCGGTGGTCCCCAGCTCGCCGCTGCTCATCAGCGACGAGGAGCGGCGGCTGAGCGGCGGCGGTGGCGGTGGCGGGGGGCGCGGCGGGGTCAGCGCGTAGATGTCACGTATCGTGACTTCGGTTTCGTGGTCGTCGGTTTCGTCGTCATCGTGGTGGTGGTCCGCATGGGCTCCTCTGCTAGCAGAGGAGAAGGAGGAGGAAGGTGTGCTGGCTATGGTTGCCGGAGGAGGAGCGGGGGAGGAGGAGGAGGTGGCGGCGGTGAGGCGGCTGTTGTTGGGACGGCGGTGAGAGCTTGAGAACATAGGGAGCAAGGCAGTGAGAGAGTTTTAAGAGTGTGGGAAGGGAGGAGGAAAAATTGATGAGTGTTTTTTTTTTATAATTTTAGAGGGTGGGAATAGTATGAGTAGCTAAAAGCATGAAAATGATTTGCACACAAAATATTGATGGGTTTTGTTAGAGAAAATTCAACAAATGCTTATCTATGGTTTATTGAGAAGAATCACAAATAATTTCTCCAAACATTTACATTCTTATATTATCGAAGATTTATGTTACAGTTATATCGTTGTTATGAACCGGTTGGTTGTAATAACTCGAGTTGTTGATAGAAGTTTGATTAAGGGTCATATACCATTACTAACACACCCCCTCAAATGAAAGTTGACTCAAAACATTCATTTGACTCAAAACGGATTTGAAATTTGCACAGGTTCGGATATCATGTGCTTAACAGAATAGAAATAGATGATGGTCATCGAGATTCGAACAGAAGACATCTCACTCAGAGAAGACTTTGATACGATGTCAAGAATCAGTTAATTTCAATAACTCGAGTTGTTGGGAGATGTTCGATTTTTGAATCATGTACCATTTATTTACATTTGTAATAACCACTAATAAATTTCATAAATTATTTACGTTCATAAGACTATATTGTTATAACTTCTATAAGTTATTCATATTATCAGTGTAGCATACTGCATACACAACAATGTCTTTTCGCTTTTTTCGGTACAAATCAGGTGGAAAATGAGCTGAGTTGTGATAAATGTAGCTCCTAATCCAACCAATCAATTTCCAAAGTGAGTAAAACGCGCAAGTTATTCAAAACCAATTAACACATAAGTTTATCCAACTTATCCTAATTGAACCGAATTAGACACCCAAAAAATTCGAATTCAATTATCATTTCTAAGTATGATTCAATTGCTAGGATGTTCCACTCTCTCAATATCCCATGAATACAAGATTTTTTTTGTTTTTTTGTTTGGTGAGTGGTAAAATCAAGAAGTACAATCATTTAATGATTCTACACCAATTATATTACGCTTGAACATTCACTATCAAGAAAAAGCAGTAGTTGTTAGATTGTATTGTGACTTCAATACAAAGTAATCTATTATTGATTGTTTTAATATATCTTCCGACCGGAATTTACGACCGTTAGATCAAGAGAGTTGTTGATATGATTTGAATCAGATAGTCTGTAATCTTATTCTTTTATCAAATTGGATTAGGGTTTAGACCATATGGAGAAGTACTATAAATATTTCTCACAATATTCCTTTGTAATGTGTATCTCCACGAAGTATAGTGAAACTGATTATTTCCTATTTATGAACTAGCTAACATACATTGTATTTGTATTAGTGAACTCGTAAAAACAATCCCGATGACAATTATAGTGAAACTGACTATTACTGCATGGAACGGAATTGAGACAGCTAGCTCGTGAACCAGAGACTTGAATTTGAGATGTCGGCCAGACTTAGCAGAAACTACATTAAAAAAAACTTAATGATCGATCCAGAGAGATTAATTAAGTAGCTACTCTCTCAGTCACTCTATAGTCGGTAATCCATTAAACGTGTATGCGTGACACCTGGCATCATAATTAGGAGTGTACGGGTCGGGTGGTTCGGGTTTAGCTATTTTAATCACTCGACCCATACACTACGGTTTGAGAAATATTAAACCCAAACCCACCCAAAAAAATTTAAACCCTACGGTTTGTTTCTAATTGGGTTGGGTCGGGTTGGCGATATTTTTAAGTAAAAACCCAACCCAACCCATAATATGTAATTATTTTACACCATAAAAATATTTTATAACTAATTAAAATTTCAAACGAATAAATCGAGGTGAAAGGTATCAAAATTCACAAATGTTGTTTGAATTTTAATAAAATGTGATTTACTCCAACATATGGCTAGTTTTTTTTTTCACAACATTTGTTGAAATATGCTAAAAAAAATATAAATGAACGCATCTATAATATGTTATTCTATTAAAATTGTACACAAGAAAAATGATCACGTGAATCATAACTATATTAAATTTATGTCTAAACTTAAAGCCAAAGAATGCATTAGATTAGTGTGACCATGAGAGAAAAAATGACGAAATATCTTAATTTTCTCATAAGTATGGCTATATACGACTTAAATATTTTTTTGGATACGAACTCATACCAATAGTTGGAGCACGGGTTGGGTTCTACGGGTTGTGCAATCCAAAATCCAAACCCAATCCAAAATAGGCGGATTGTACAAAATAAAACACTCACCCAACCCAAAACCTTTGTTTTAGCGATACATACGGGTGAGTTGGATCGGGTTGGACGGATGGATCGGTTTCCAGGTGTGTTTGTTCACCCCTAATCATAATTACCCGCTAAACTTTCATTTTGAAGGAGAAAGGCTCGATTTCCGCCACGCGTACGAGTAGCCTCAGCTATATTAACTTCTTATGTGAATTAACAACTTAAGTAAGTCAGAATGGTCGTTCCGCGGGAGAGTGGGTATGGGGTGTGGGCTATAGTAAGTTGTACTAGTTGGAAAAAATAAAAGTACATTATCAGGTAAATGTGTAGGTTTGGATTCAAAAGATAGCTGGTTTAAACGTTGATAACAGTTATTTCTGTGTTGTTTTTTTAATGACTATCGACAAAGTTGTGTGCGGACTATCAACAAAAGATCGCTAGTTTAAACGTTGATAACAGTTATTGCTTCCACCCATCATGAGGCTGTTGGGGGCAAGGAGTTATATGCATGTGGGATGGAGCTGTCCGGAGTGGTTCCCACTCGGCGGGAGGTCTGGTCCTCCTCACCCCGGATCGGGAGGTTCTGTTGGTGAAGGGGGTGCAGTTTCCATGGATTGAGGACCCCTTGATGGTGGAATTAGTCACACTGCGGGAAGCTGTTCTGTGGTGTCAGTCGTTCGGTTGGGCGGACATTACCTTTGAAGGGGATGCGAAGATTATCATTGATAAAATCAATCTCAGAGAGGCTCGGGATAGTCCCTTGGGTGCTGTGCTAGATGAGCTCATTCAGATTTTTGCCGGTAATCCTGGGTTTAGTGTTAGATTTGTAGGTCGGCGTAGCAATAGGGTAGCCCATTTGGTGGCTCGTAAAGCCCTCTCTTTGTTCCCGACTATGGGTCTTTCTTTTGATTTCCGGGCCTGGCTGGTGTCCAGGATATAACTATTTTTTCTTGATCAATATATGATTATCTTTTGTAAAAAAAATAAAAAAATATAACAGTTATTGCTTCCATGAATTCATCGAGTCGTCACAGAGATGGAAGTTCGACGGAATTTCATCTTAACAAAACACAAAGTACACCACATTTGAGCTACCATAAAAAGAGGTTTTACTAAGAAATTTTCTATCATTAACAACTCATAATCTTTTTTTTTTATACCCAGGAACCTCAGCACCACGTGCCACTTTGTAACAGCGGGTCCTACTAAATCTGGGGACCACCTGCATTTAATTTGACGCCAACGGGGCTTCGATCCCAGCAGTCTTGTACCTCCGGAAACACCAACGGGCCTCACTTCGATTCGAACCTGGGATCTACAACTCCCAATCCTTCACTGTTGCGGCAGCTTTACCATTAGGCTATCTTAGGGAACAAGATAATCATGAAAATCAATTCCAAATATCAACCAGAATATTTATTTATCAACAAGTCACTCTCAAGCAAAGCGGTACTTACGAAATAATCACCACCACGTGTTACCACAAAATTGGGTCTCTTCATAATTAAACTATCAATCGAGGTCCTTGGCCTTATACGTAATCTGGCATCCCTTTCATATTTCTTACTCCCATTACATCACAAACCAAACGATGCCTTAAAAAAATGGGAACCATTCCATCCCAATCCCTTTCCCTACCTTCTTAATCCTCTAACCTAATCGTATCATCGTCAAAACCAAAACGTCGACCCAAACGACAAAAATTAATTAAACAAATAATCATGATTCATAAAAAACAAAATCTACCATTGCGAACGCCATTATGCTTGAACGGCTGATTTGGTAGTCGATGACATCTCGTTGATTTCAACTCAAATTATCAACTTCGACAGAAGGGGAAAAATAATGATAAAAGCACGTTTCAATTTCCCAGAAACGAGACTACAATGCTGGGGAAGGGGATTATTGCAATTGCTTAACAAAACTTCAGAAGATATGATATCACCCATAAACAAGAACTTGCAACTCGGTTATCCGCTAACACCTTATTTCGTCACCATCAGACGCGAACCATAGAGAGTTCGAGATCTGTTGTGATCAGCCTTCCAGTGCTGATGCTCCAGAGATAATCTCAATCAGCTCGGTGGTGATGGACGCTTGACGAGTCCTGTCAAAACGACGACACAATATGCACCATTCGTTAGCGACGGAGCTTCAACATCCTAATATGGGTATAAAGCGAGCGGATGGCTTTCATACAAATCTTATTAACTTAACCCTGCCTGCAGTCTCTGAATTCTATTTGCTGGATTATCTGATGACTAATGTGAAGATATGCAGGAGGGAAAAAGAAAGGGACCTGTTATAGAATATAGTCAGGCGGTCAAGCATATCTCCAGCGTTTCTGCTTGAACTGTCCATGGCAGACATCCTTGCACCTTGCTCACTGCAAGCATTCTCTAGTACTGCATTAAACATTACCTGGAAGAAAAAGAAAAAAAAAGAACATGACGAGAAGTTCATCCAGTTATCTGACTCATGTACATTGAGAAGTAAAAATTTGGACAGGATTTGTTACAGTCATGTATACCCATGTTATGTGATAAGATCATGTCTTTTTTTATAGTGTATATATTCAGGGCATTTAACTTCAGGATGCAAAGGATCAGTCTTGGAAGCCAATATACGGTCACGAATACAGTGATTGAGACATAAACTTACACAAGAGAACTGGAACTCAGCAAGGTTCTGGAGAATTTCTCCCTTCGTTTCACCACCTTCAATCTCATAGGAATCTAGCGCACCAAGCGTTCCACCAGCCTCTGCCTCTCTCTCAACAACCTATGTCGGCAAATCATTTGGAATCTTATTAAGAATGGAGGCAAACAAGAGAAAGAAGGTACTGTAATCTTAAATCACCTCAGGAGACAAGACAGTCGACATTGTGGGAAGAAACGCGACAACAGACTGAAATTTGTTGAAGACAATCCTCAAAGCATCAAATTCTACATTCTTCAAGATATCGTCAGCTAACACGGCAACCTGAAAGGAAAAGCAACATTAGCTGAGTGCACAGCAAGAGCAGGACAAAAGAAAAGATCCCTCATCCTAACAAACTTCTAAGAGTTTGGACAGCAATGGACACTGGACATTTACTGCAACATATAACGGGGATAACATTGACTGACGTTCCTCCGAGCAACCCGCAATGAGGAAAATGGATAAAGAGCTAACAATATATCAATCTACTTCCTTAACTGGAAAATAGCAATGATGCATTGTTGACTTCAGCCAATATTACTAAATATCTAAATTCAAATAATTGATAGGCTATGGAGATCACGAAATTATGAAACAAAACCAACCTGGGTATAGTTCAAAGGATTCTTTTGCAACTCGGTGATGCATAACTCAATATCTTTCTTTGAATCACGCATCAGTTGAGCTTTCGCCTTTTCCCCCAAGATAACATACTTCACTTCCTTTTCCGGGCCTATAAATTATTCATAAGGTTTGAAGGAATATTACACTGATCATCAGTATAGAAGTAACATATAAACAAGTATTCTGCAATATATAGCCAGAGAAGGGTACCAGAAGTCAACTTGTGAATAGCTCTGCTTATCTTGACTGATGTAGAGTTAATTCCACCACAGAGACCTTTGTCAGAGGAAATAGTGACAATGACATTTTTCTTCACTTCAACCCCTGGTAAAAACATAAACATACATACAGCATGAAACGAGAGAAGAAATCGAGAAATAACTAAAGCATAATCCCAACATGTAAAATGAAGAAATATAGCACAACAATCGGCATGGAGTACTGCAGTAGATAACGGAAATTGCATAGTGTTTCAAAGAATGGGTGATTTCATTGCAACCATACCAGGAGTGTCACCAAGAAGAGCAGTAAAAGGCTGCCACAGGCCACGAGAATTTTCAGCCCTGGTTTGAATGGCTCGCAACTTCGATGCAGCAACCATCTTCATAGCCTTTGTAATTTTCTGAATGTTCCTGACACTCTTCATCCGATTTCTAACTGAAAAAGTAAAACAACAAAAAGTTAGTTGTCTCCTTTCGGGGCTTATCCAGCATACGGCTGCAGAGAAGTATGACAGTGATTCTCACCAATTTGAGTGGAGATTGAACGCACTCCCAGAGGCACTTGCTCCCTGAGAAAACAAAACACCAATTGATTTCCTTAGGCAATGACACATCATTGAAACAACTGATACTGAAATGATAACTTTACCATCAAGCTAGGGCCGAAGTGGTTCAGAAAGAAAACAGCCAGCAAACTTTCTTCCCATCACTCCAAATGTCTATTACTAGTATGCTTTATGATACAAAAAACATCAATTACACCCTCATAAACAAGATTTTACAGTCCCGCTCATTGTACCGTGTAGGGAAACGAAATTGGCATAGCTAACTACTCCGAATCACTCCACTTTCGGTAATCCCCCTTAATTCACCTGAACCGTGGTTCACATAAATTTTTCAGTATATGTAATCACAATAAAAATACAATCCCAGTAGTGAATTTCCCCATTCATTATGCCATACATTTTTTGGCCAAATCAATCCCATCACCGAATCGAGAAAACGAGTCCCGCCAAGTAAGTACCAATCCCACATAATTCATGACTTCATTGACATCGGGCAAAGAACACACACGCATCATCGTCAAAATCGGCAGAAAACTGAGAGTCAAGTATTCACACTATTAGGAATCCAAATCGATTCCATGGATTTCACACAGCTCTTTTTATTTCCCCGAAGCAATCAACTTTTGCAGACTCGAGTCCGCCAATCAGTGGGCAGGTGGTGCTGTTCAGGTATTCCCCCAAATTAAACCAAACAGAAGACCCAAATTCGAGACAGAATAGAAATAGCAGGAAATGGGACAAAGAGAGAAACACGAGATCGAACATACTCAGACACGATAGCGGATCGGATAGCGGACATTGGTTGGGGAGCGGTGAGAGAGCCGGCGAATCGCCTCCCTTCGCGTCGCAAAGCAGCCATCGCCATTGCAGCGTGGAGAATGTTTGATCAGGAAACCCTAGAGACAGAGGCAAACGATGGCGGTCTGATTCTGATACCCAGAAGCGTTCTCCTTAGATGATTCTCAGCTTGCCGGTGAGATAGAGCTAACCTTTGCGATTTTGGGAACGAGGGATTCGAGCAAGAAGTGGGTTTAGTGCCTAACGGGCACTAACGGGCCCAAAGCCCAATATATTTCGGGCCTCTATTTAATGGGCGGCCAACAAGGCTCGGAAAGCGATGGGCCCATATTTAATGCCGCGGCCACTACCGGCCGGAGCTCCAACGATGACGAGGAAGGAATTACCGACTGTTTGGGTTGAGGCAGTGAGACGAGATTTTAGGGTTTTGGGAATTAGGGATTCAGGGAAGATGAGAGAGTTAACGGCGGGCGATGAATTCAACATCGAAGAAGCTGATCTAGCCGTCTTTCCGCCCACCTGCGTTTGCACAAGCAGGCCGCCGGATATTGATTGTCGGGGATTTGATAAGCTGAGGAACATCGCCGGGAAATTTTAGACGGTGGTCGGGGATCCGCTTTGCCACCTGTTCAACTGTTCTTCCAAGTGTCCGTCATGCCACCAAATCGCGCCAACTCATCCGTCCAACCACCATGGCCCCTGCACAAAAGTTGACCTGCATGAAACAAGAAATGATCGGTTCTGCCACCTGTTCTTCCCGTTGCGACACGGGTGAAACATTGCGGATCTGTGGTAATAATTCAACTCCTCCGCATTGCTGTTACTTAACTGGGTTGCTCACTTTGCAAGTCAAGCTTGAGATGTGTCGCTCTCTGATGAGATGTGTTTGATGGTTGAATGTTGATTGAAACTGAACATCAGGGAATAGCCTATTGAGACAATTGAACTCTATTTCCCTGTTCTCCATCAGGTAACCTAGAAATCGTGCTGCAGCACTGCTTTCACACATCACATCAATCTTCGCCATATTCCAGGTCTTTCCCCATTTACCATCTTTTGTACTGTGTTCATACGTTGTTAGTTCTCCTGTCTTTTCAATTCATCTGTATGTTGATCTCTATCTTCCCCTAGCTGTCTTCCTAAGAAGCGGAAATTAGATGCCAAATCTTGCAGGCCGTTGGTATGAATTGCATGGTCGCCTCATTATTAGCTTATCACAGTGGCCTGACACTGTTAATCTGATACAAGGTTAATAATCTCTATCTTCAGAAGAAGAAGAAGTGTTCTTACAAGTGCTGGGAATGGAGCTTGGAGGTTCTCTTGCTGTCCCCAACGTTCAAGAGCTGGCTTGGAGCTCGAAGGACGTACCGGCTAGGTATGTACGTCCTGAACTCGAGCTCGATCGGGTTTCTAAAGACGAGTCTGTTCGAGTTCCAGTGATCGACATGAGCAAGCTGGTTGGTGGGTGTGATGATAAAGATGAATTGGCTAAGCTTCATTCGGCTTGTAGAGATTGGGGATTCTTTCAGGTATGGCTAATCAAGTGTTTTAATCTCCTTTTCTTTCTATAAATCAGTTTTTGGATGATGGATTTTGAAGAAGGATGTGGTTTAGATTTCACGGGTATGAACTATGAACTGGGTCGGATTCCATCATTAGGTTTTTGGGCTTGTGAGAGTCATGAAAAGTATGTTGGATAGATTGGGTGCAAGTTGAATACTTTGATGGTAATTTATGGCGTTATTGTGGTTTCCATGAATCATTTCCTTTGAAAATCTGCCATCCAAACAGATCAGATCCTAAACTTGACCGAAGGCATAATCGGTATCATGTAAAAATACAGGTGATCAATCACGGTGTTCCGGAGAAGGTGATTCTGAAAATGAAGGCAGATGTTCAGGAGTTCTTCAGTCAGCCTTTACAGGAGAAGATGGAATATGCACAGCTTCCTAATGACATCCAAGGATATGGTCAAGCGTTCGTGGTATCAGCAGAGCAAAAGCTGGATTGGGGTGACATGCTCTATATTCTTGCACAACCTCAAGATGTAAGAAACATGAGGTTTTGGCCAAGAGTTCCCTCTTCTTTCAGGTTAGATCCCTCAAATCACTCAGCCAAATGCATATATATTTCCTCACTCTTAATTTTGGCCGACTTGCTAAATTGACTAGTGGAAGTGTCTCATGACACAAAATTGACTAGTTGGTAACATTTTGGCTACACCCTGACCCGCACAAGCCATTTGCCATCTCTAGGCCAACCACTAACCAAAAGTTCTGGTTTGCCTTTTTACCGGCAGGGCAACTCTGATCCAGTATTCAATAGAGCTGGAAAAGCTGAAAGGTATCTTGCTGAGTTCCATGGCAAGGAAGCTGGGACTTGAGCCAGAAAAGCTGCTCACTTTGTTTGAAGAAGGTGTTCAAGGTGTAAGAATGAACTATTATCCACCATGTAAGCAAGCAAGCAAGGTTATCGGTATCTCCCCACATACCGACGTCGTTGGACTGACATTGTTGACTCAAGTGAATGAAGTACAAGGTTTGCAGATCAAGAAAGATGGGAAATGGATTCCTGTTGATCCCGTTCCAGGTGCCTTCATCGTTAATGTTGGCGACGTGATTGAGGTAATAGCAGAAATTGGATCCATTACAACAACTAAAGACTCTTTGTCATATATCGAAAATCAATTCTGTTAATGTCGAATTTGCATTGACAACAGATCATGAGCAATGGAGAATACAAGAGCATAGAGCATAGGGTAGTAGTGAACCCTGAAAAGGAGAGGCTTTCAATTGCAGCATTCCACAACTCAAACCGCAACGCTGTGATTGGACCCTTACCAGATATTCTCAGCAAGGAGCAGAAGAAGCGAGCACCAAAATACAAATCCATATCATACCAAGAATTTTTGAAACTTGGACAGAAAGCTACACTCGAGGGCAAAGAAAAAGGCCTCGCTCATCATTTGAAGATACAAACTGAAGCAGCGCAGTAAATCCAAGCGCCTCCATGGTCAAAAAGTAGCTGCAAAGTGTAAAATTAAGCCAAATGAAATTTTGTTGTTTCGGATTGCGTCAAGTCATATTCATAATTTCATATACAAGACCAAGAAGATACAGTTTTTGCTTAGCAAGTCAAAACTCTTAACAGAGTTCCGTCCCTATCTTTCTACAAAAATATATATACTGGGATGCATCAATTCATACCCAGCTTCTAAAGAGCATAAAACCCTTCCCTAGCATTTACACAATTCATCAACATCAAAGGAAGCCAGTAGAGGCAAACCATAGGTGCTTCTGCAAGCTGCCAGTGCTAAAATTTAGCTGCAACATCGACCTTGCACACATTCGATCACGGACTAGCTAAAACCCAGTTTTATCCTCACCTTTCTGGACAATCAAATGACTTCTTCCCTTAAGGAAAGGTCATGCCGTGCATCTTGCAAATGTCAATGAGACTCATGCTTTCGACTTTGGAATCACGGACAGGTTCCTTTGCTGCAAAAATATTCAGGAGACCCAATAATGCAGCCATCTCTGGAGATGATCTACTTGGTTCCTTAGCTCTTTTACCACTTCTACGCACAGAAGCATCTCCCTGGCTCATAGTCATGTGCTCTACAGTTTCCACCATGTTAGTTTCGGCAGCAGCATTTGAGTCCAAACCCTCACCAACGTACTCCAGCTTCCTCTTTGCAGCTGATCCTCGTTGTGCTGCTTCACTCTTTCCATCAGCCGTGCGTTCTATTGCTATTGCAGATGCTAACCGATTGCCAACCTGAACAGGTTTCGGTCCTTGTTTTCGTTCTTGCGTGGTAGACCCCATTTTCTCCAGAGATTTCAGAGATCTCTGTAGAACTGGAGCTGGCTCAATGCCCAAATTAGCTTGTGAAGTTTGCAGAGAGGTGCTTTTGCTGAAATTCCCCCCTTGTTTCTCACTCGCAGTTGCTAGTCCTTTCAATGGAGACCCCAATTTCTGCAAAGAAACTATCGATCTCTGTACAACTAGAGCCGGGTCGCTGCCCAAATGAGATTGCGGAGTCCGCAGCAATGGAGTTCTGCAACAACTACTACTACCCTCTCGCTTCTCGGATACCGACTGCAATAAGCCCAGGCATCTTGTTAGTCCCTTCCATTTCTTCTCACTCACGGAAATTCCAGAACCCCCAACTTTATCAGAATTTCTAGATACTGTGATAAGAGGTTTGCAAACACCACCATCACCGAAACCCAATTCCCCATCTAGCGCCCTAGGTTCTTCAGAATTGCAGAGAATTACCTTGTCCTGGCTTTCGATCCTCTCCGTCGACTCCGATTCGGGCTCAATGGAGAACAGTGGATACGTATCCCTGCTCAAGTCGACAGCTGCCGAATCCTCTTCCGAAGAACCGCCACCGATCACCACGGTATCTTTGTCGCTGTCGTCGTCATCTCCAGCTCCGCCGCTCGTCGCCTGAACGCCGCCGCCGGGACTGTCTTCGGGTTGATTCTCCTCGACGGGGGTCTCTGGCAGAGATTCCATCCTTATCGGCGTTGATTCGAGGCGGGGATCGGCAGAAGCGGCGTCTTGGCTGGAGTCGGAGAGGAATGGGATGGGAGAATCGGGTGGAGGCTCCAGCGCGAAACGAGAGCGGAGCAAGTACTCTTCTTGGGAAGACGATAACGAGCATAGCTCGGCTATGGACGCGAAAGGGTCGATCGCTGCCATTGGACGGAATTCTGGGAATGGGAGTGGAGCTGTGGCAAGGTTAGGGTTTTGGATTGAAGAAAGAGCTAATGCCCATGGGAGTGAAAATGCGGTGATAATTTCAACTTTCCCGCCCTTTTGTTAAATACACAACCCCAGTATCCAGAGAGTAGAATAGAGCTCAACTCAAGAGAATTTGGGGATTAGGGTAGGAGCTCAATTTTTTCTGAAAAAAGAAATCCGGGCCATTTTTCCTCTCCTTGATATTAAACCGTAAACAGAGACTTCTCAAATTACTCTTGATGTGTTTTTTTATAAGATACTGTGACAACCCCATTAGAGGTTGTGAGATTGACAACTCATTTTATAACCATAGGATTCATTCTCTCTTGTCTCTTTTTTTTTCTTTTTCAAATCAATGGTACAAATTGGGTTAAGGGTATTTTTGGACGAAAAAAATTGACCACACTAGATTATTACCCTTATTAATACCTAAAACCCTACATTCTCTCTTTCCCCCCTCTCTCTCTCACACCATCTTTCTTCTTCCTCCCATCTCTTCCCTCTCTCTCTCCATCAGCTGCCACCACCGTCGTCGCAGCCGTCTTGCCGACCCGCCCCCCCTCCGCCTCTCATCACTTCCGTCATCGCGTCCTCAGCCTCCCAGCACTGTCACGTCCCTCGCCTCGCAGCCATCGCGGCCTCCTCCTCCCACCACCACCGTCGTCGCAACCCTCCCGCCGCCCTCTGTCTCCCACCACCACCATCGCCACGAGGTCACCGCCTCTCCCCTGCCTCCCCCTTTCGTCATCCCTGATTTTTTTTTTCCAGATCTGTGATTTTTCATATTTCAGATCTGATTTTTTTGTGCTAGTCTCTAGTGGTACACTACCAGTGATAATGGTACTAGTACCGCTACCAGTGGTACTGGTACTGCTAATGGTACCGCTACAAGTGGTAATGGTACCGTACCACTAGCACTGGTAGCGTACAACTAGCACTAGTACATTTTTTAACGCACTAGTAGCGTACCACTAGCATTGGTATATTTATTACCAGTAGACTAATGGATTGGTATACTTTTTAACGCACTGGTACATTTTTCAGGTTGCCGGAGGGAGTCTGCTGGAGAGAATTCGCCGGAGAAAAAGTCTGTCCATCGAAGCGGAGTGGCCGCAGGAGAAAGGAAGAGAGAGAGAGATAGAGATATTAATGTATATGATTTAAATTTAAAAAAAATTGTATTTAATGTGGGTTTTTAATTCCCAATCAGATTAATACAAAAAAGATAATTAATATATTCCTTTTTTATACCCAAAATACCATTGGTTGTCAATTTGACAACCCCCTTAGGAGTTGTCACCGTATCCCATCCCTGTGTTTTTCGATCATTAGTTAAATTTGAAATCACAACTCATTACTTTACGTTAGAAAGTTGTTCTCGTAATTATGGAAGTTTCTGATGGCAAAAAATTAGAATCTCTTGATTAGCAGTGAGGGATAAGAGTACTTCTTTCTTTCATCAAGCTGTTAAAATTAGGAATTCTAAGAGGGCCATTAGGAAGTTAATCTCGGCAGAGAGTGAGGAATTAGTCCAGTCTAATCAGATTGTAGAGGAAGTGGTGGGTTATTACAAAAGGTTATTAGGCCAGTCAAACAAAGAGATTAATCGCACCAAAGAAGAAGTAGAGGTTCTAGTTCGAAATAAGATTCCTGCAACTAAATGTGCCATCTGAGTATCTGACCCAGGCTGTTACAGCTGAGGAAGTAAGAAGAGTGGTTTTCGATATGCACCCCCAAAAGACACCTGGCCTTGATGGCTTCTCCTCAAGTTTTTACAAGATAACATGGCACATTACTGGAGCTGATATTACTAGAGCAGTGTTGGATTCTTCACCTCAGGTACTCTTCCTAGTAAAGTGAATTCCACAGCTGTGTCCTTATGCCAAAAACTCCAAATGCTGATACTTTAAAGAATTTTCGTCATGTCTCCTGTGTAAACTTGTTAAACAAGATAGTGGCTAAAATTCTAGCAAAAAGAATAAAGGACTACCACTAGTTATTAGTAACACTCAATATGCTTTCATTAAGGGGATAAACATCATGAATAATATACTGTTAGCACAAGAACTGGTCAATGGGTATCATAGAGCTAAGTTGTCTTCTCGTTGTGCTATAAAAATAGACATCATGAAGGCTTTTCATTCTATGAATTGGTCGTACTTGTTTCTTATGGTGAATGCTATGGAGTTCCCTGAGAGCAATGTAGTCAAAATCGCGCTTTAAAACTTAAAAATTTATGATTTTAAGTTTCTAGGTCACTAAAACGCTTCTACACAAAAATTTAGTTTTTACAACTTACGTAGTTAAAAACTCCGCTTTAAAACTTAAAAACTTACGATTTTACGCTTCTAGATCACTAAAACATTTCTACGTAGAAACTCGCTTTTGACTACATTGCATGAGAGATTCATGAAATGGATTAAATGTTGCATCCAAACTGCTCATTACCGTGTTAATGTCAATGGAAGCTTGTGTGGGTTCTTTAGGGCTAGGAAGGGGGTAAGGCAGGGTGACCCTCTGTCACCCTACTTTTTCACCATGGCCATGGAAGGTTTGTCCTCAATGCTTTTGAAAGCTAGCTAGTCAGAGGTTATTCCTTACCATCCACCATGTAAAATGATTTCTTTAGATTATATTTGTTTTGCGAATGATATTTTGGTGTTTACTTTTGGGTCTGCTCAAGCTATTCTTCAAGTGAAGGCAGTTTTGCATCGGTTCAATAAGATTTCAGGGCTTCAGAGTAACCCATCCAAATGTGAGATTTATTTTGGTGGGGAATGAGTGCAATATAAGAACAATACCATGCTTTTGTCTGGTTTTCAGGAGGGTAGTTTGCCAGTAAGGTATTTAGGGCTACCACTGATAACTGGGATGATAGGGAAATTATCATCCAGGGAGGTTGATGTTTTGGTAGAAAATATCACAAAGAGAATAAGGTCATGGAGGGCAAATAAATTGACTTATGTAGGGAGATTGCAGCTCCTTGATTCTGTTCTGCTTGGGATTTGTTCAGTATTGGATGCAATTGTTTGTCTTGCCTAAGCAAGTCCTCAAGCGTGTGCAAAAAGTTTGTTCTCATTTCCTATGACATGATACTGATGAGGGGTGGGCTAAAGTAGCTTGGGAATCAGTAGCTTTTTCAAAAAGAGAAGGTGGTCTGGGAATAAAAGACCTGCAGGCTTGGAACCAAGCTTTAACAATTCGGATGCTCTTGCTCTTTTTGATGAATTCTGGGACGATCTGGGTGGCATGGATGCATGAATACAAATGTAGACAAGGATATTTGTGGTCAATGAGGGTACATATTAGTATCTCTTGGACATGGAGATGGCTACTCGAGTTAAGACCTCTTATCCAACCATGGTTAAGAAAGCAGGGGGATGAAATTTATTGGGGAACTGATCTAATGATGGTTTACTCTGTAAAGAAGGTATGGGAAACGCTGCGATGTCGAGCTCAAGAGGTCTCCTGGCATAGGCTTATCTGGTGCAACTCTCCATCAAGGTACAGTTTGATTGCTTGGATTCTTCACAAGAATGCCATTATTACGAGAGACAAGCTCCAGATTTGGGGTAAGATTAAAAATGCGTTGTGTCCATTATGTGGATTGGATATTGAGACAAGAAATCACTTATTTCTGCAGTGCACTTTCACTTGCCATGTTGCCTCTATTCTCCAATGCACTTTGCTTGCATATAGGGATTGGGATGCCATGGTTTGTGACTTTGTGTTGTTAGCAATGTTGTGCAAAGAACAGGGACAGACATTTGCATACCATGGTTTGGTACATCTTAATGACCGTTATATGGAAAGAACGATGTGTTGTGGTTCATGGTTTAGTTTGCAAGAGTCCGGATAAAGTTGCAGCTTTGTTGCAATCGGAACTGAGGTATATCACTGCTAGGAATACGATGTTGCAAACTGGTTTAGAGGAGTTATGATACCTTTAATTTCTCTTTACTTTAGTCTGATTTGTTTGATGTAAGTAGTAATATGAACACGACTGGTAGAAGGGGATGTACCATAAGATCCTTTGATCCTATCTCGTTGTATCGGTTACTTCTTTGATCAATAAAAGCATCATATTCAACAAAAAAGAAAGTTGTTCTCGTCGTCACTTATTTCTTTCGACCGACTATCTGCTCTATTACTCTTCATCATATGCCGACAGCTGATTGCCAGAGCCTAGCAACTATAAGCCTTAAACCTCCTCGTATAGAAACAACAAACATCATCATTCACAAATGATAGTGATTATTCAGGCAATATGTTTTATTCACGCATGTGGTTATTTATTTCCTAGATTTATCTCTTGGGTAAAAGAATGTGCCACAATAGTGTCATACTCGGTTCTTCTTAACGGCTCCCCATCTGAGTACTTCAGACCATCAAGAGGACTAAGTAAGGCGATCCACTATCCTCCCTTCCTTTTGCCATCTGTGCATAAAGATTGTCTAGTATGATAAGGAAAGCTATGTCCTTAAGATACCTGAAAGGAATCAGAATTCAAACCCTTTGCCCAGTAGTCTCTCATATCTTCTTCGTAGATGACTCATTCATATTCATAGTTGCTCCCCCAGAATATTGCACAACTCTCATGTCGCTTCTCCAAGCCTATGAGGAGTTGAGAGGTCAACGAGTAAACTTATATAAATCAGTCATCCTATTCAGTCAAAATACAGATCCTATCGAGACACATAGTATGGGTGCTCAGTTGGGAGTTGGCAGCATAGGAGAACAAGACTCATATTTAGTTCCCTAAGGAGGATAAGCTTATCAAGAGGTTACAAGGGGGGGGGGGGGGGGGGGGGGAACAATGTTCCCCGTCCGAAGTTGGGAAAGACGCCCTCATTAGGTCCTCAACCTCTATCATACCAGTCCTTGAAATGTCATGTTTCAAACTCCCCAAGAAAAATTGTAGACGTCTTAACGATTATGTGGCGAGATTTTGGTTGGGAACTGTAGAGAAGACAGATCATCCAATCCACTAGTTGTCCTGGAAAATCATAGCTCATAGTAAGGGTTGATACTTTACCCAATTCTCAATATTAGAAGCCTCAATTATGCTTTGAGTCTCAATCCATTGATATGATCATAAGGATTCCTCTACATCGCCTCCCACAACAAGATACTAGAGTGTGACACTACTCTGAGGATGGAAAATACACAGTCAAATTGGGCTAGCACCTAGCTCTGGTATCAACACTCGCTATTGATATGGCATCCCTGGAGCAAGGAGCTCCACGAGGTAAAAATCAAGCACACCAGGATGCAGAGCCCCAAAAAGCCAATAAAACATGCCTATCAGAGACACACATGACAAACTCAAACGAACAACCAAACTCTTCAACTAAAGCATCAAAGTTATTATTCGGGAAGTTTTCATGTGGGGATCCCATAGAGCGAGAGCCGAAGTGGAAGGGAGAGGTTGAGAGGGAGCAAAGAGGCAAAGGCATAGGATACTTCAAGAAACTTGGAAAGAAGACTCATGAGAACATGCATGTGATTGTGTGTATTCAAATTTCAAACCCCATTTTTTTCTTTTAGATTTTAAGATTTTGTATAACAGACAGAAATATTGGAGAATATATATTTGAGAATGTTTAGATAGCCTGACGCCATCATAAATTCAAATTAACAGTAGCCTATACGAGATATTCACTCGTTTGGAGGATGAGATTTCCATTTATGTATTTAACGAATACATGGAATCATAAGATTCAGTCGTTTTTTTTGCTCCAATTGAAGTTTGAATATTTGTATTTACTTTTTGGGCCCACTTATAATCACTCATTTTGAGTGATTTACCAATCTCTACAAGTATTTGAGTGATTGTTGGTGGGACCTACATAAAACAATGTATGCATTATTTAACACTTTGGCACTTCCAAACATTGTATTGTGCACAATACATGTATTCAACAAACACAACTCTAGAAATCACAACTTCCAAACAACCCTAATTGATTTTTTTTTTAATTAAAAGTGAGACTGTTACGATCAAAGAAAAATAATACACTAATTAATTCAATACATCAATTTGCACAATCGGCCTTAATTAGAAAAAATAGGTCTTTGGTAGACGAGAACTTTTCCAGATTGGAAAAGAAATACGAGAGGAGGAAAGAAGGATGAAGCTTCTGTAGGGCAAGAAAGTTAGAGCTGTGAGAGAAGAGTGAATGTGGGGCTTCTACTTCCGTCTTTGGTGAATTGAATGCTGACCCATTAAAACAGACGCCACTCACCACCGCCTTCTTCCCCCAACCTGCAACTGACGGCCGTCCCTGTTATTTTTTTCGTCCCACAAACAAATATTTAATAGAGGTAGAGAAAGCTGCTGGCTTCCTCCTTCCTCTCTGTTGTATCGTTGTCTTCAACAAGCTACCTCCTCCAGCTCCTTCATTCTCTCCTCCAAATCTGATATTTGATCAATCACCCCCTTTCTCCCCAGGAAGAGATATCACATTCCGCCTCCTGAATCCCAATCGCAGAATAACCCGAACCTGCTTTCCTTCTTCTTCTTCTTCATCTGTTTTTCGTTCAGATTTCTGTTTCGTGGTTCTGGGTTGAGATTTTCCCGGTTCCTCTTCTCACAGGTAAACTTCCCTTCCCTTGCCTGTCTGTTGCTCGCCCTTCTTCTTATTCTACCAAACGATCTCTTGATCCGCGGACATGGGTTTTCTGTAATGTTTTCTGCCTTCGAAGATTTCCGCTTTCATGTTCCCCCCTCCCAATGTTTGGTCCTGTGAACTTTCAGATGTTTCTGACAAACCGGAGGGATCTTTTTCTTCTTTTAATGCACAAGGATACTTAACTGCCATCTGGGTTTTGGATCTTTTGGTTGAAAGCTTCGTACTTTAGTTTCTGTGTTTGCCCAATTTCCCTCCATTGGCGTTTTCTCCAACATCTATCTGCATAGGTTTAGCTGCTGGTTCCTGTTCTTCGTTCTGTATTTTTTTTTTTTTTGGTCCCTTCATGAAGCTGTATTCAGGATTTTGAACCTTCTATTTTATTGTTTCTTTTCTTCTCATGTTTCTTCGCTTTTTTTTTTTTTTTTTTTTGCAGGTTGAATCTTGTGTTGGAGGCACTGTTTAACCATGGTGAGCTCTTATTACCCTTTGTTTCTCATTGGAAATTGTAATGAACAAGGAGGGAAATCTGTTCCATTTATTGAGTAATTCGATACTCAATGAATCTAAGCTAAATTTGAGCTACTGTGCCTTTGTTCTGATCAAGTGTTCTGTGTAATAGGGGGAGGCTCCAGCTTTCTACGCTGACAACCTGCAGAATGGGTTTGATATAAAAACAATCAAAGCCTGTGAAACTTCCATTAGCATCCAGGATAAAACAGTATGATATGATATACTGATTTGATTGTCCTCTAACAAACTCACACGTTATCTCTTGCCCTTTGAGATTTTGATCTGGCAATCATCTATTGCCAACTTGAATATTTTGGCAGTATGTCATTGGTAGTAGCGATGACGCCTTCGAGGTTCGGATCTGTGATCAAACTACGGGGAATTGGTGAGTTCACGAGGTTATCCTCGCCTGTGCTTGATTCAGGGTTACAGTAAAGGGTAAGGATGGCTTATCTCGTGGAAATGCTCTGTTACAGGGTCATTCCTACCATTCTCGGCACAAAACCAAAGCCAGGTAAAGGCTATTCAGCTGCGGCACTGAATGAAGATCGAATCGTGATGATTAAGAAGGGATCTTCCTCAGATGACTGCATTTGGTTTCTTGAGGTTTGCTCTTAAAACACTTGAACTTGAGATGTAGGTTTGTGAGATTGTTGTGTCCTTTTGCTCAGAGGAAAATGAACTCAATAGGGGAAAGAAACATGAGGACATTAGATTCAATGACCCTTGCCATTTCCAATTAGGTTGCTAGGACTTCCCATTTGCTTCTTGTGCTATTTCAGCTTGATCCCTTTCATCATGTGATGCAAACAAAGCTCAACTATTAGCAACGGGATTTTGTGTTTGGTTAGAATTTAAGATGACTTATGAATTTGGCAGGTGGACACTCCATATGTCAAGGAGCAGAAACAAATTCTTGGCGCTGAGGTTGTAGCCTGGAGTAAAGGTGTAAGAGGCAATGCAGAGGTACCAATTGTCATCAGTGGTCCTTCCGGAGTAGGAAAAGGAACGTTGATATCAAAGCTCATGGAGGAATTCCCATCCATGTTTGGATTCTCTGTGAGTCACACAACCCGAGCACCAAGGGGCATGGAACAGGATGGTGTACACTACCATTTCACTCAAAGAGCTGTAATGGAGAAGGATATCAAAGATGGAAAGTTTCTCGAGTTTGCCTCTGTCCATGGCAACCTTTACGGAACCAGCATTGAAGCCGTCGAAGTGGTGTCAGATTCTGGAAAGGTAAGCCATGCTTTTGTATGAATTGAAGTATTTTTCAAGCATGTTTGGATGATTTTGAAGTATGCACATGCCATATGCTTCAGTAGTCTGCAAACTCTAGTCGTTGACCTTTTAATTTTTTAGTTATGTGAGATCCAAGCAAAGCATGGTAATGCTTAAATCTTAATATGTTTCATTAGTTGCTGAAAATATTAGCATCCTCATGTAATTGATACACGTGGAGTTAGTAGCTTCTGTGCCTCTAAACTCCTTTTTTATTGCATTCCTTTTTATTTGTTTATTTTGTGTAAGCGTTGACTTTAAGGTTTGAACCCAGTATGTACAATGTTCTAAAGATTCGACCCTTTTTGTTTCATTTCAATTATTTGAGTATTTTCTTTTGGATGCAGCGATGCATCCTTGATATTGATGTTCAAGGAGCAAGATCTGTGAGGGCAAGCCCTCTGGATGCAGTCTTTGTCTTCATATGCCCCCCATCCATGGATGAGCTTGAGCATCGCCTTCGTGCAAGGTTAGTACATTATTAGCCAATCTGGACCTCTCTTTATATCATCAATTTTTGCAATGCACTTGATTTAATCGGTTGCAAGTACTATTTTGACAGAGCGACAGAGTCTGAGGAGCAGATCCTTAAGCGACTGCGCAATGCGAAGGCTGAGATCGAGCAAGGCCAATCCTCCGGCATCTTTGACCACATCCTCTATAATGACAACCTCGAAGAGTGTTACCAAAGCCTTAAAGTAACCATCTTTACCATCTAATATTTGCTCACTCGATTCTCCATATGCTGATTAAGTTTCTGGTTTTCTTCTAGAAAATTATTGGCTTGGATGGACCTGTGGTGGCTACCCAGAAAACAGGTAAGATAGATGACCACCGTAATCAGTTAAACTCGAGATTCTTCGTCTAACACGATAAACATAGCTTAACTAGTTCAATGTCTAATACAGCAGCGCCTCTAGGAATCAATCTCCCGGAAGAGCATTCAGTGTCGGTAATGGATAGCAAAATCATCATCAAGGGTGGAACTGCAGAACTAGAGAATGCCTCAAAGAACTTGTAAGTCCTTTATCTTTGGATTTCTTCTGGTCTTCTTGTAGGGTATAACCTCAGTTCAGGTGACCAACTTAGAGTGTTAATGTTGTCGGTGGCAGGATTGTGTTGGATGTGTCCTCTCTCAAGGGAGGAGCTCCAGGGCGGACGAGAGGACTAGAGTTGCACGCTGTCGACTCCTTCTCCGACGGCCTGACCTCGGATTGCTGACAAGAGAAGAGCCCCCGGAAACTAACTTGAATGCTGACATGCTGTTTATTTTCATCTACGTCATTTCTTTTTTATTTACTAAGTGGGAAATATAAGCAGCAGTGAGTCAGTGACAGAAAAGCTTCATTGATAGACTTCAAAACCTTCACATGATAACTTGCATATCTTGGTTCTTTATAGTTTGATGGCTTCCTTCCATAGTTTCATTCCATTCAGTCCTATTCTAACTTCCTTGCTCGCCGCGTTCTGTACAATAGCCCGAACTGCTAACTGGACAGTTGCTGAGGCATCAAAATAGCGCTTACGCTTGTTCGCATGATCAACAGCCCTCGATTGGCGAATCGAACTGCAACTAAGCAGAGGTAAACATGATGCTTATACAGTTGGAATAGCCAAATTCGTTACCTTTGTGGGGTTAGATGCAGAAGTGGGGCTGCTGAACGGTTGGTTTGGCCATTTATCTTTGAAACTTTCAAGAGGCGCTTTTCCCCCTTATTCAATGGCGTCTTGTGTAGATATGGCCAGATTAGATTGGTGGTGGGTGGTGGGGAGGCGCATCTTTCTTATCAACTTTTAGCGGATTGCGCAAAAAAAGAGTCGGCAGATTCATCCTTTGCCTTTGTGTAATTGGTGGGTTTGTGAAACTGAATTGGCCCCATATCCAGCAACAGAATACTGATATATTTTTATAGACAAGTTGGTAGGGTCTGGAATTCAGCAAGATACAGGTGGACTGATTCTTTTGTCTCACTGACTGCTGATTCTTTGTTGTCATCAAGTAGCCGTAGTTAGTAGCACACACACTTGCCCCACATTGAACGTAGGTGACTCTTATCTTCTGTTCTTCGTTATTGTCTTTATTTGATGCAACAAAATGATGGTTTCATCGAATTTTTTTGGTTCTCAATTTGGAAGGTGGTATGATTACATGGAATGAAATGGATGAGGATCAAGGAAGATTCGCCCTACAGACGATTTCACTTGATTATTACTACAGCAATCGAATAGATTCATGGCAAATTTCTGCTAGCAGCGACTTAACGGCCGATTGGAATTTCATCTTTAAAATAATTGCTCCAAGCACAACTTTCTCGGAAATCAAACTTGTTTGGGTTAATCATATCATTCACTGGAAATTGATGTTCCATCCCCATTACAGCGGAGAGAACGAAACACTGGACGAACTTGAAAAATATTTGAAGTTCGAAATCGGTAGCTCTGGCTGCTACTGCTGCTGCTGATGGTAAATCTAATGTGCATCTGAGTAGAAAAACGGATAGTATCAAAACGATCACGAAAGCTGCTAGTGTCGAACAATACGACTCAAACTAAAAATATAATCTCCGAGGATTGCTAAATTTATGGTCTTTTCTAGTGTTTTTTTTTTTTTTGGCTAGCGTTGCTCGGCAGTGCTATTACTGAATAGTGAATACCGTAACCTGCATCTACAGCCAAATGGGCAAAATCTCCAAATCACAAACCCGGGAACACCAAACCCTTCTCCTCAAAGCAACAACCACCATCAAGCGAAGGCACACCCTAATCGTCGGAAGCTGGTTCAAGTCCATCGGCAGCTCCTCCTCCATCGTCGACAGGCACCACGTTCCCGGCATTCTCAGCAGCTGGCAGAGCAGCCTCCACCAGTGGCAGCTGCTGCTCTGCTGCTTCAGGAACAGCCAATTTAGCATCTAGACCCGGAGATGCAACTGGCAGGATTGATTCAGAAGCTGCCACCACACCTTCAGCAGCTGGAACCTCCTTCACGTCAAACAACGACTCTCGCTGCCTCTCGCGCCTCACATATCTTTCACCACTCTGATCAGGGCTACGGCTGAAGCTACGACTGCGGCGGGGGCTCCTGCTGTAGCTACGGCTACGTCTTGGGCTGCGACTGCGGCTGTAGCTTCGACTCCTATCTCTGGACCGGCTTCTGCTTCTGCTCCGGCTCCAGCTTCGGCTTCTGCTACGGCTGCGGCTGGGGCTTCTACCCCTAGTACTCCGGTTGTTGCTCATCTCCCTCCTCCCATCAAATCTTCCTCCCCTGCCACTGCCACCACGACCGCCACGTCCACGGTTGTCCATGCTGTTGAAGCGATCGGGGGGTCCACGGTTGTCCATATTGTTGAAACGATCGGGGGGCCCACGATCGTTTCTGCCGCCCCAGCCAGAGGGGCTACCACCGAACCCTCCTCCTCGGCCTCTGTTTCCACGACCGGGAAACATGTCATTTCGTTGGCCACCAAAAGGACCACCATCCCTTCCACCACCACTACGACCTCCAAAGCCTTCATCCCTCATTCCACCACCTCGGCCACCAAACCCTCCATCCCTCATTGGTGGACCACCGCGCGGGCCAAAATCCCTCATCCCACCGCCACGACCACCATACCCACCACCATCCCTCATCCCACCACCTCCACGGCCTCCAGCATCCCAACGCCCTCCACCACCACCAGTTGGAGCAGGATCGAACCGGTTCATCCCACCTCTGTCTTTCGAGAAGCCAGGGCCACCACGTGAAGCGATGTCCCGCACTTCTGGGGGCACCTGCTGGTTGGCTCCCTCCAAGACTTTAATTAGATCAGGTGCGTGCTTCCAGTCTTGCTCGGAGAAGAAGGTGTAGGACACGCCAGTAGCACCTGCCCTTCCAGTTCTGCCAATTCGATGAACGTAGTCCTCGATTCCAGTAGGGAAATCATAGTTGATCACGACCCTGAAAAGTGAAGGTAAGAAATAGGATTTACAATCTCAAGTAGTTTGATTATTGATATTATGCAAGAAGCCAATTCCGAGCGAACTATCCATTGAAACATGCTCTCACCTAATGTCCTTGATGTCAAGACCACGGGCGGCAACATCAGTGGCAACCAAGACAGGAGACATACCACTCCTGAACTGGTTTAAAACCCAGTCTCTTTCTCCTTGGGACTTGTCTCCATGGATTGCATTGGCACCGAAATGGCGCCCAATACCTCGCGCAAGCTGGTCACACAATCTCTTAGTGGAACAGAAGATAATGACCTTTGATCCTCGCTCTTGTGCTCTCAGGATCTGGTCTAGGCGCCTATCTTTCTCCATGTGAGGGACTATCTCCACAATCTGCAGATTTACATAGCTTTGTTTAATGAACAAAATATGATCGGCACAAACTCCAAAATCAGGGGAGATGGGTGAATTACCTGTGTGATGGATTTGTTAGCAGCAAGTTCATCAACATTGCCAATGTTGACTTGAACAGGATTGACAAGAAGATCACCTGCTATTTTCCTCACCTCTTTTGGCCACGTTGCAGTGTACATAAGTGTTTGCCTTCTTGGGGGCATTTCACTCACAATCTTACGTACCTGAGGTTCGAAACCCATATCGAGCATTCTGTCTGCTTCATCAAGAACAAGGAGCGAAACTTGACGGAAGTCGATTTTTTTCATTTCAAGGATATCATTAAGTCGGCCAGGAGTTGCTACAACAATATCTGCTCCTCGATCTAGTTCATTCAGTTGAGGTCCCTTTGGTGCACCACCATACAAGCACTGTAAAATCAATTATTTTAAGTCATGCAATGTGCAGCTATCCGGAATTTCATAAAGGCTAAAAGGTCTATTTGGTCCTTCAACTTTTATATTCGGGATCATTATTCAACTTCAAACTGGTCTATCAAGTCCTTCAACTTACAACTTCGGGTTTTTGTAAGGACAATTTCAAATCTAAGACATTAATATTTTTCACGGAACATAGTTTGAATTTGATATACAGTGCATGCGCCAAAAAGGTCAAATTGCCTTCACAGGTAATTGACAGAGCATATAATTCGCCTTTTCAATGGTACCTCAGCTTTTCTACGCTGTTAAATAAGTAAAACAACAATTCTATTTTCTATCTAACTTATTCTTATAAACAGATACTAGCAAGTTAAAAGATTTAATTGCCCCGTAGAGAAAACTGTTAGAACTGAGGGGCATAGTAAAACCAAAGTGAAGTTGAAAGACTTTATAGACCCCAATGCAAGGGTTGAAGGACCTATTAGACCTTCAACCATAAATAAATTGTTCAACTTAAATGAAAACAGCAAGAGGAACCCACCGTGCAAGAGACCCTAGACGATCGCCCAAATTTGTTCACCTCCTCTTGAATTTGTGTGGCGAGCTCTCTGGTTGGCGCCAAAACCAACACGGTGGGACCATTCTGAGGATTGTTATGACGCTGTCTTAGAAGGACAAAGGCTGGGATCAAGTACCCCAGCGTTTTCCCAGAACCTGTCTTAGCAATGGCAACTATATCTCTACTCTGCAGTGCAATTGGCCATGTTTGTGCCTGGATTGGGGTAGGACACATGAAGCCAGCAGAATGTATCTGAGACAAAACAGATGTGCAGACATTAGACTCGGGAAAATTATACACATGCTCTATTGATACTGGAAAAACAAAAGTTTACTCAAACAAACAAGTAGTGATGGAAAATTTAAAAGAAAAACTCATTAAAAATCCATGGGAAAATTGTTGCTTACAGAAGCAACTTGAAGCAACTAAAGAGAGGCAGATAAAGACAAATGAGGAGCATTTCAGGTGTGAATTGGTCAAAGGCCAACCACCCTTCTGGAAGATGCACAACAAAGGCTCCAACTGTCCAGTTTTGCAGCCTCCAAAAATCAGAATAGGTTGTTGCATGTATTAGTTGGCAGAGCAGCGTACGACATATGCTCCTCCTCTGGAGCAGATATCGCACCTGCGACAAGTGAAAACTAATGAGATCAAGGAGTTCAGGCCGAAAATAGCTTTTACCAAAACACCGACTAAGAAATGCAAAAGAAGCTAAAGCTGCGTGGAACATAATATCTGAGAGTTGCATAACAACAGAATACAAGACCACAAGTAATTTAGCTTACGTCTCTCAATATCTCAGGAGGGAAACCAGTGTCATCAAATGTCATGAAAGGCGCGGGAACATTGTCACCCTGTGGAATTTAACAGAAAAAAGCAAAGAGTTGTTGATGACTAATATGGATCAAACATATCAATAAGCCCAAGGCAGTAACCAGTTAAGATTTTGCTGAAGTTGCTTCTTCAATCAGCAACAACTCAAAGAGATAGTAATATTTTGTATACAAGCCAGCGTACAGACCATTGCTGTGACTTCATGCTTTTGGCGATAAGCATCAGCAGGCGAGGAGTTTGTAATGTCTGCAGGTCCACTGAAAGGAGGCATCATCATTCCACCAGAAGGAAACTGTGCAGCACTATTTCCATGTTTATACAGGTTGTGCATTGTATGCTCAGGTGGACTAAATCCACTTGAATAAGCAGGTCCAGCACTTTGAAATGGAGCAACAGCCATTCTAGCATCCTGGAAAAATAGGCTACTTCAATCAACCAAATGCACCAGATAATTATAATGCTCATCAAGGTATAGATAGACATGTTTTCTCAGTGCATCACATACAATTCTTCATCATAGCTCAATGCTCGCTGACACAAACTAGTCTCTTCGCACATGGAAATAAGGAAGGACAAGAACTGATGTACAGTTTGATAATACCTGTTGATTCCTTGCCATAGGCATACCAGCACCGTTCGGCTGATGAGGACTCATCATAGTACCCTCCATTTTTGCATTCATATAGTAGTCATTGCCAGCCCTACCAGGGGCATTATTCTCGTAGCCCATCTTCAATCCTGCATGAGGCATGTTAGGTTGCTGATTGTGGGTTCCAGGAGGGCCCATGTGATTTTGCTGCCTTTGAGTTGGTGGTGGATAGGCTAAATCAGGTCCAGAAGGGCCAGCAAATTGCTGACCTCGATTGAATTGAGCACCTCCAGGGGGCATGGAGAGTGAATTATTTCCAACTGGCAAGTTTTGAGCCGACGATCCGCCAGTAGGAAGATACTGAGTAGTAGGATAGCCAGTCTGGCTAGCCTGTTGGTGTTGGTGGTCAGCTTCCTCTGTTCTTGGCAATGAGGATGTATGTTGGTTTGCATACTGCTGGGCAGGTTGAGGCATGCTTTGTTGATATGGCATGTACTGCATTTTCTGATAGCCAAATTGTCCTTGTGATTGTTGCATCTGTGAGCTCTGATGCTGTAGCATGTGCTGGCCTATCTGCTGGGGCATTTGCTGAGCAGCATGCTGCGGCATAGGTTGGCCTGATTGCTGTGACAACTGCTGGCCCGAAGGTTGAGGCATTTGCTGCCCCATATGCGATAACATTTGCTGACTGGGATGCTGCATCATTTGAGTACTTCCCTGCCCTTGTTGTTGCGCAACCTGCCCCGATTGTGCGCCATGATAGCTAGAAACTTGTTGTTGCGGAACGAGTTGTCCTTGCTGTTGTGTTGCTTGAGGATGTTGAGAATAGGCATTGATCTGCTGCCCTTGTGGTTGTTGCACTACTGGTTGCGTGGAGTGAGCCTGGTGATGCAATTGACCGACCTGTTGTCCCTGCTGCTGAGAAGGTTGTACAGCCTGCTGGGCACCGTGACCTGCCATCCCATTAAGTTGTGCTGAATGAGGCACTGGTATCTGAGCCAATTTAGGGGTTGAACCAGTTGGAGGCATGCCGGGTGGCAAAGGTGGAGGCAAAGAGGATGGCTTCTCATACTGTGTGACATTGGTCTCGGGATTCCAGTAGTACATTACATTAGTGCTTCTATCAATCACTCCCATCCATGGTTTAGGTAGAGTAGGGTCATCTGGAGCATACACAGGCCCAAGAGCTGAAGAGGATTCAGCAGTTGCCATACCTAAAATGAAGAAACAAATCCCACATCAAAATCTGGACATTTTAGCAGAACTTCTTAATCAATGCCCTCCTCATAAGTAGAGGATACAGGATGATGATATAGAAATCAACTCACAACCCAGAATAACAATCAAGAGGCTTTCAATAATAGCAGAAGCTACGCAAGAGCAAACAATGCACTGCAACTGATTGAACGAATCTCTCGGCTTTAAACCTGGGTAGGGATGGTAACTGTGCCCTAGGACAGTAAGAATCAGCTAACAGATTCAATAACATCTTAGGAACCCATTCGAAAAGGTATTAGGAACGTATCCTCGGCATTGAAAGGAAAAGCAAGCTTTTCATAGAGCAATCAAAACAAACCACAAATGAACCCTAACAAGAGAGAAGAAAGAGACGGGAGAATGACCAAACGCAGCAGAGCATCAGCTCGTCCAATTTACTTACGGTTTGCCGCCGTACAAAACCTCGCAGCTCAGAGATGAAGATGGACCACAAAAGGAACCTCTCGGGACCCTTCTTCGACTGTTGAAAAGAGAGTTTTCAGGAAGGACTTACTTCATGAAAGAGACGCAATCTCGAGGGAGAGAAATAGAACAGTGTGAACGTTTTCTTCTCGTTTAGGGTAAGATGAAGGGATATATCGCCGGTGAATGGTTCCACAAAACGGAGAGGGACTGCGGCGGCGCTTTTCCGGCTTCTAAGATTTGGGGAATTCGGCTTTCTCCGGCAGGCCAGTGATGGGAGTTTGTTTGTTGCAAAGAGCCCTCGCCAACCTTTCTAGATTGTTTTCGCTTTTTAATTGAGTTTCAACTTGGTCCTTCAATTTTAAGAGCTTCTCATTGAAGCCACTCAACTAATCTCTTTTCGCATTGAGTCCTTTGATTTAAAACTACTTATAATCTAATCATTTCGATCCACTTCCAACTACAAATAATACATCTATGAACCATTATTTATTCATAAAAGGTTCTCACTAAATTGGCAAAATAAATAGGGTTTTAGTAATCCATTATTAGAAATTTGTCGATCTTACATTTTACAGTCACGTATCATACAAGATATAGCGATCAAGGATAAGTTATAAAAGTTGTCGAAACTATTAAAGCCCAATGGTCATAACCATATTACATAAATTTTGCTACATAGATATTGCATATGAATTCATTTCGGGTGCATGGCATTCATAGACTAACTCGATAAGTAGGAATGACAATAGGCTGGTCGGGGTGGGTATTTCGAAACCCATCAAAATTGTCTATGAAATAAACTATGATATGATAAATGTAGTTAAAATTATTCAAGATGCCAAATTATCGCCTCTGTATTAATTTATGATAACAAAAAACCTGATGTAATAAAAGTAAAATTGTAATTTGATTTGTCAAAAAGGGTTGACACTGGGATGAGTCACTACAAATCAGCTCGAGGAAGATACTCATACTCTCTCGTCTCAATATCACGCGCCCAAAACAGATAAAACATACCAAGTAGGTCGGATTAAATCGAACTTGTCATCCCACCAAAAAGTGACCCGAAGATATATATCACTCATCCTCTCTTAACAACATTCACATAGTAACTGTGCTTATATGTCCTAATAGTAAAGAGGGAAAAGATGTGAAACCAATAAGAAGCAGATTCCCAACCCATGATATCTCACTGACTAAAAAAGTGGAACCCGCTTCTGCAACTCTCAAAAAGTTGCAGACAAACAACTTGATATTTCCTCAGATCTTACGAAATGCAAACAGGAAGAAGAGATCTAGTTCCTCCTCCAGGGGGGCGAAGAAGGCGACTGCAGGTGTAGAAACTCTTGAGCAGAACTTTGGAGGAGGTGGTTTCTTTGCCTTCATTGGAGCTGGTGGGCAAGACAGTGCCTCTGGGATCCTGAAACTCTTACCCTTGGGCGTAGAGCAGCCACCTTGATCATCATCGTCAGGAACCTCCACAGCTCCATGCCGATTGCATCGTCCTGCTCTCGTCTTCGATGATGGAGCCATTCGATCGATCGAGAACCTGACTGATTGATCTTGGTGGTGGACATGAACTGTGCTGGTTTATATATATGCATAGTACCAAGGTTTGAATGTAGAATGTGGAAGATTAGGATAGAATTTCAGCTAATTACCTGCTACAGTTGGCATTTTGCGGTATGAAGCAGGTAAGAGTTTCCCGCAAATGGAAAGCTTTGGAACCTGCAAGGAAGACAGTTTTGTGTAGAAGAAAGCAACAGGAACATTCCAAAATACATGCTCACCTTTAATACGTATGCATAGACTTTGAATAGCTACCTAAACAATACAAATACACAACAACTGCTACCACCAACAGGATTCTGTTGTTTAACACAACCCTTACCAAATCCTCATAAGATTTTTTGCTCCCTCTTTGGGTACCTTGCGCAATAAGTATTACGATGGTGGAGCTTAACTACATTGAACAAGGAACACCCAAAGCTACATTCTGATTGCTCTAACATGGTTAGTCCTACACTCCTACTGTCCATACTCAGAACGAGAAAGCTCGCAGCTGGACTATTGTTCTTCTTCTGCTGGCGAGGAAGTGAACAGAGAGAGGGGGTGGATCGACGGATAAGCCCCCCTTACTTCTATCACCTCATCCTCATCCATCAACGGTCTCATACGTTCATCCTCTTTAATGAATCAAACTGGATGATCAGTAATCTCTCTACCTTCTGTGCATCAATCTCGCCACCATCATCAACCATCATTCCCATGTTTCCCTGCTTCACAGTTCTCTCCACACTGTATAGTTGATTTTCCAGTACACCATCGTCCCATGCCCGAATCTGCTAACCATCGCCAAAAACAACATTTTCGCATTTTAGAATTCCGTGGGCTATAGACTACCTGCCTTCTGTTTGCAAGTAAGTAACAAACTGTCCTGGACACATTTCTACGTACCTCCACTCTACTACTTCTCCACTTAAGAACATTGAACTCACCAACAGTCCAACACCATCTTCATCTTCCACATATTTCTTCACAGAGCTGTTTTCCATGAAGTCGCAGCCCAGCATTCTGTGCTCCGATTGCAGTAGCCCCACCAAAACCATCAAGTTTTTGGTGGTTGTTTGGAAACGTCCCTGCTAAATGAACAGCCTAAAGGTTAAAAGCAGAGAAAGAGGGAAAACAATAAAGTTAGAACCTTTTAGGCCAATGGATGCTAGTTTCAGGGCATGCTATCACTTTCCACCAGGGTCGCGAAAATGACTTCAAGGGAACAAATTTTCCAACTTCAAACATCAGATTCTGACAAGGAAAGAGGAAAGGGGGAGAGAACTGAGGATTGAAAATGATACCCACAAAAGGCAGACAAATCCAAGTTGATGAGTGTGAAAACTGAGAACGGAGTACCCTGTTCGTGCTGTGTTTTCAATGGTTTTGTCAGAGATAAAACAGGGCAAGAACAGAGCAATCTGAAAAGAGTGCACAATGCTGGATTGCTGTTGAACAAGTAGGATCCACTGGATCAGATTGAAACTGTTATCCATCTTAGCAGAATTTTTGTAAGAGGCTTTAGGGAGTTTGTGCTAATCTCTACCATCAAATCACAAAACCAACGGCTATGATTTGTTTCCCAAGGTAGCAAAAGTACAGTTTTGTTCATTATGCATGAAAGGAGTTTATGCCAACAGTGGCCCAAAAAGCTTCTCATTTTTTCTTCTGATAAAACAGCTCTAAACATGGATCAGAAGCATAGTGTAAATCTCTATGGAAAAATAGAAACTAACTGCTAAGAGAATCATCAGCTAAATCCCGCACTCCCTAAAGCTTGTGGCATAAACTGGAGGTGATTTCCAGCTCACGGCATCTCTTAGAACACAGATTACGCAGCAGAAGCTTTCGAGTCGTGATTTCTGCTTTTGCGTCCCCAAACTGGTTCGATCTCGATAAGTTTGTGAGGGACAAGCCGCTTCTCTCGCTTTGTCAGCTTGCGGAAGTTGTTTACCTTCAGCTTGGCAATATGAGCCTCCTCTTCCGGGGTTGTCTCCCTAACCACAACCGTCAACCGGCACTCTGGTCTCACTTTGATTCCGTGCCTCCCTTTGGAATGATACGAGACTCTCTTTATGAAGCGTCCCTTCCCCAGGAATGCCTCAGCTGCAGCCGGTTGACGACAAGAAAAGCTACTGAATAATAGAGGCAAAGCACCCAAGTAAAAAGTAGGAAGTTTTTGTCCCATACTACTTACCAACGAGCAGACGGTCTGGATCCAGACCATGATTATGTGTTGCATTCGCCCGTGCTGAATGTATGACCTACAATACATTAGGCCAAACGATCTAGATATACATCAGTTCCATGATCATTGCTATCAGTGAAAGAGAAAGTGAAAATGACTATGGCAGTAGCAATTGGAGTTATGGATTTTCAATTAATGGGGGGTAGTATGGGATCGTTCGTAGGCGAGAAAATCACTCATAAAATATCACGAACAGAGTTCATGCTCCAGTTAGTTCAATCAGTTAACTTGTTCGCATGTTTATTTGTCCAGAACTACTTTTTCTTACTACAATCCACTAAATGATGCTACTCTGACCAGAATGATCAAATGCTAGTCAAAGAAATATATTAACACCATAATATTCTGATTCATACAGACATAAAATGCCAGTTTCCACAAGCTTATCTCCAAAATGTCTAGCACCACCATGAACCTGGTCATGGAATATTATGTCTCCTAACTATGCAGATTCCAAATAAGTAACAACAGACTGATTCACCAACCTGGTAAACAGTTTTCGAAGCCCTTTTCACGGTCACTTGCAACTGCAACAATGCATCTTCAACTCGCATGCCACGAACTAGCGCAGCAACCAAGTTGACCTTCTTGGGACTCTGCACAATCAACCAGCCCAAAATTAATTGATCAATTTGTCATAACAATCTCAAAAAACTATGACATCAATATACATATCTGAAAGCACCATCACCCATATTTGCAGGGATTAAAAGAACCAAGAGTTGAAGTCTGGTTAATATGATCTCTACTTCTACACTTGTGCACGCAAGACAGTAATGGAGAGAAATAAGCTTGAATGGTTCTGTGCGATAACTATTCAGTTCAATTACTACATTCTTCTCTCAAGAGGTTTACAAATACAGACACTTGCATTTACTTCGATTTCATGACACAGAGAGAGCTCCAGTATCCCAAAAGTCAATATGATGTACATCTATAGCAATAATACATGTTTAGCAAGACAAAATGCATGACTTGTGAACTGTCTCTTGCGCAATACATGGCTGCAAAATAACGATTAATGACAGGACCTCTCGGTATCTAATATTATAGTGATACTAACCCACACGTTTCAATACTGACATGTGCAACCTTAGTTGATGACAGTAGCTTTAAAGCGTCAAACTGCTGCTACATTGCTGAGGACTATTATTAACTAGTCAAATTAGCAAGCAAGACCTAGACAGCAAAAAAATGATAAAGAACCTTATCACAATGAATCAACTATTTCTTGAACAGGAATACCAAGATGACTGACCTAGTCACCTCATTCCTACTTGAAATCGAGGGAAATGTTCAGCAAGGAAAATATCGTAGAGATAAGGATGTATATCTGAAGCATATAAAGCAAGTCATCCACATATCTCACCTGCTTTATCCCCTTCAGCACAGCTTGAACTGTAGCAGGTTTGGAAACCGCCTTCTGGTCTTCGGCTTTCCCGCTATCCAAAGCTAGCACTGGAGTCAATGGGGAAGAAATAGGTTTCTCCTCTGAGGAATCAGCCAGCATTGTCCTTGAATAGGAAATTCCCTGAAACCATAAATGATACAACATTGACAAGGGATAACAGCATTTGATGAACAGGTTTGTGAAATAAAACTAGAGCTAGATGAGTCACGTCAACTGAAAAGTCTGGAATATGAACATTCAAGTGGACGCTGAAAGATACATATCGGTTCTACAGTTATATAGCCAAGCAGTGTGAAATATGTCATTTTCCCTTTTCGCTAGTCTCCAACATGCATGAGACGCTGATAGAACTTATATGGCTAAGTCGTGTTCATGTCATATCACAAATGGCGTACAATGTATAGTTCAAACTGAAATTAGTGATCCACAAAAAATCAACATTTATACATATGCAATCAAATTAACATCTAAACCAAAACTAACATATGAAGAATTCACTTTACTACCCAAGAGGCCAAGATGGCAGCATCAACAAAAGAAAAAGAATTTATGCTTTGGCTTTGTATATTGAATTGTGGATAGCAGGCGACTAAGTTTAGCTTATAGAACTCACCCAACGAAGGCAACATGTTCACGAACTTATATACTAAATTTTCCTATGTCAATTCTAGACTTTGACCTTTGTTCATCAATGTAGAAATAACAATACAAAGAACAAAGTTATAGTAAATACCGCATGTTGCAAATACTGATAAAGAGGGCGCAGAGAGGATGGTGATGGGTTCCGAAACGTCTCCCAGCAATTTGATTTGCCTGCAATTATTCAAAGTAACATTTTTATTGGTTTGAATATAAAAAATACGCACATACAAAAAGATAACTAAAGAGAGAGCTAACAAAATACGGCCGTCAACCAATTGCAAAAGATGGAGTACAGATGGTTAGCAAAGAGTTCCATATCGACTACTGACTAACCAGGCAAAACAGAGGACGCCCCACATGAAGATGAGAACTTGGCAAAGGTAGTTTGACTAGTAGGCACTACCCTTCTCCCAGCTTGACGATACAGTGTCTGTAAAATATGTCTTTGCCAACCCACCATAGCTCAGAAGCCTGAACCAACATGGTCAACAACAGTGGAGCCAAACCAATCAATATCGAATCATAATTAGGTTCAAACTAGTACAAACATCTCCTAAATGCTGGCCGCTGCTAAGTTTCACTATTGATTTTCGCCCAGAATCCCCTCTTCTGCTTCTCACTCTAATCTTAGCTTGGGAGATTCTCTCCAAACACAATTTGTCGTACTTTCAGTATGTGCTGTTGCATTTCAGAGTAGCCTATCGAAAAATTCAAGGGCCATTACCTGCGTACGAAGATGGAATGCTGTGAACAGAGGTGGTGACGGCGGACAAGATGCCGCGATTCGCAACAGAGTGTATACTCTCAAAAGATCCGAATCGGGCCACAAAGCAGGCCGACGAAGGTCCCTAGCAGCGGCGAGCGGCCGGACGTTGTCACGATCGTGATCGAGTGGGGGAAGTGGGAGGAAAGGTGAACAAGCTGAAGAAGAAGAAGAAGAGGGGAGTGTGAAGAAGAGAAGCGGAATATAGAGAACGGAGAAGAAGGGTTTCTGGTTTTTTTTTTTACAATCCTACTTCAAATTACTAATCAACGCCTGAAGTGTCACCAATAGACAACTAAGGACCAAACACAAGTGCAATCCAATACCTCAAAATAAAATCCACAAATCATCTCAATAACCTTCAAATGAAGCATATGATCGTATTGACTGGAATTCTTGAAAGAGATTATGGTTGTCGCTCACCCTCCGGTTAGCTACATCGACTTGATCGTGAAGTGTATCTCAACAACAGAGATGCAAGTTCTTTGGAATGAGGCTGAAGATTTTCACTTTGAGTAGAAATCTCACGCATAAGTGTTCCCTCTCACCTTATGTTTTTATACTTTGTATTGAGTATCTTACCCATTGCATTGTGAATGAGAATAGCGAAAAAAACGAAGAAAGCCTTTGAAATATCTATTGATATATCCCATGTCTCACTTATTCTTTATTTGTGACTTATGGATATTCGTGCAGGCTAATCCAAGTCATTCGAAGTGTATGATTGATTGCTTATAAAATTTCTATGAATTCTCAAAGGGTCCCCTAATCGGTAAGCATAAGTCGAGAGTTTTCTTTTATGTGGGTTGTCTCGTGGGACTCTGTTTGCAAGCCAAAAGTTCATAAAGGACTACGGTTGAGATTGGCTAGAAGGTTGAACTTGGTCTATATGATCAGGCTTTCTTGCAAATTTTAAATAACAACTCTTTTATGTGGGTGCAGTGCAAGTTCTCCAATGTAAGTAATTCAACCAATATAATTGAGTAATCACGTTCATAAGAAAAGTAACCATGCTAATCTCGAGAGGGCTATCCTCAAGGTAACACGACTCGTGAAGAAAGAAGCTACTTGGAGCATTAGGGACGGGACATCTACTGGCTTCTATAACACACCCTTTGATGGAGAATGAAGTAATTATGGAGGAATATTTACTTAAAGAAATCTCCGAAGGGAGAAGCAGTTTGCAATAGCAAATTGGGTTACATATTCAAGTCAATGGGACTAGGACAAGTTAGGACACCTAATGTCGACTGATGTTTGAATCTTATTGCAAGGGACGAAACTTCCAAATTGAAAATGTGAGAGGACAAGGCCATTTTGGGCATTGGAAGGGATGGAAGATTCATACTTAAATAAGACATACTAGCTCACATGCAATGAACTAGAAAGAGTGGAGGACCGAAAAGAACAATGGAGTATGGATATATAAAGGTTTGAGCAGAGTAAAACACCTCCTATGGAATTCACACGTTGTAGAACTCCTCGTAAATTACGGTGACTAACTAGAGCTATGACCAATGACAATTAGATCATTTTGTTGAGTCGCGTGTCAGGTGTGATAAGCGAACAATGTCAAATTGTTGTAACTGTAGCAGGTGAATGATATATGGTCGAGTTGGTTGTGTCAGGTGAAATTTACAATCATTTGAATTATAGTAAAATAAAAAAAAATTGGATGATCGAGTCCGATTGGCAAAATATTGAAGAACTCTATTGAATTATTAGGAGATATAGATAAATGTGGAGAACATGGACCAATCTACCAAAAAAAAGTATAGATAGTGGAGAAATCTGGATAAATCTTTGCGAATTTGAAAGAATTTGGATAGAACCTTGAAATAATTTTAAGAACCATAAAGAATCTGAGAGAGATTAGAGAGCCACATCGAAATTTGTAAAATCTTGAAGAGCAATAGATGGATCTTAGCACCATGAAAAAATTTGTGGATTTGTGGCCGACATTTTTTGAAGATTCCAAAAAATTTAGGAGTAACCTATGAATAAAATCTATGAAGAATCTAGATTATCTCGAGGAATATGGAGTAAGATTAGGGTTTAGAACCAAGTCCCCACCTTTCCACTTGTCAAGAAAAAAAAATTTGTTGAAGAAAAAAGACGTTAATTAGGGTGAAATTTGAATCGACCAAGGAATTTCCTTTTTTGTTTATTATTATTTGTTCATCGCATTTATTGTGCGACGGGGCCGGCGGGCAGGCCATTTTATCTAAACCCCAACTGAGTGATTGAGAAAGCCGAATTTAATTTTTTTCCCCGTTCCGAACTATTATCGTCCTTTTTCCCTTTTTATTTTAATTTTTCCATGCAACATAAAGCAACGAAAGAAAGAGAGAGAAATCCCCCTCTCTCTCTCTCTCTTCCTTTTATTATTATTTATTTTTCACCCTAATATCTCCTTTAATTTTCTACCATTATTCATTCTTCCTCGTCTCTCTCTCTCTCCCTCAAGTTCTTACCAAAAAGTTTTCTCTCACTATTTTCCCGAGAAACAAACGGGAAAATAACCCTTCTCTCTCGCAGATTTTCCGGGAAGGAAGCTGAGCTGACTCACTCCGAAGTCATCACCTTTGTCTAGATCTGTGACTGCGGAGAGAAGAGAGAGCGACGAGAGTCGCGGCGGCTGCCGGTTTATTGCTCCAACTGATAACCAATTTCCGGGGTAAACAAACAACTTTCTTTCTCCCCCTTTGTACTTCTTACAGCCCAGGCATGGAAAAGGAAAACCCCATTAAAGTGGGAGGAAAGATTTACACCCAGAAATGAAAGTCGCGTTTTTTGCTTGCTTTTTGTTTGTTGAGGGTTTCCGATGATCGCCGCCCACCTAACTTTTTTCGTCCGATGATATATGTATTGTTATCGCCGGGGAAATTAGATCTTTCACTTGCCGTTGATCTGTTGTTGTTCTTCTTTTGATTTTTGTCTTTTTCCTTCTTTTGTTGATTGGATGGTCTTCGCATTTGTTTTACTTTGTTTGGCTGCCGAGAAAACCGAGGAAAAAGAGGGGGAAAGTTGAGAACATGGAGATAATCGTCTTTCTCCTTTGTTTTGACCGTTCTTTGTATTGGTTTTATCGATTATATAATCCAGCTGAGGAAGAGAGTTCAGTGTTTTTGTTCAACCCAATTCCCTTTGGTGTCCGTTTGTTTGTTCGTTCTTGACTTCAATCATTCATGTTTAAGCAGAAATGAAGACTTCAGACTAGTTAAACCCAGATATGGTTTCTCATTTCTGTGCCGATTCTGATAAATTGTGCTCCTTTTTGGTATGCTGTGTAGCTGGAAGAAGCATTCACCAATGACACTATGTGCTGCGATTTGGGGCGGTTAGAGCCCGAGGAGTCTCCATCACCATCTCAATCTCCATCTCCACCAACATCACCATCTTTGATTACTCTTGAGGAAAGCAGTAGAGACACCACCATGAACAATCATCACCATCAGCTGACGATTTCGACCGAAGATGCTCTGGCCAGCTTGCTCGAGCTAGCAGCCAATGACGACGTTGAGAGCTTCAAGCTCTCGATCGAGCGAGACCCTTGTTGCGTGGACGAGATCGGACTGTGGTATTGTCGTCGAAAGGGGTCCAAACAGATGGTCAACGAGCAGAGAACCCCGTTGATGGTTGCAGCAACTTACGGCAGTGTTGGTGTGATGAAGCTGATTCTCGCCTTCTCTCAAGCCGACATCAACCAAGCCTGCGGCGTGGACAGCACCACCGCACTTCACTGTGCTGCTTCTGGTGGTGCCGCGAGTGCTGTCGATGCAGTCAAGCTCTTGTTATCAGCTGGCGCTGATCCTAATGTGGCAGATGGCAATGGCCTGTGTCCGGTTGATGTCATCGTTGTTCCACCAAGGCTGCAAGAGATTAAGCTGGCCCTGGAACAGCTGCTTTCCCCTGATCAAGGTTCGGTGGTCGAGAGGAGTAATCTGAGGGTTCTCACTGCCAACACCAATCACAGTAACTCCCCGCCTCTCTCCCCTTCCATGGAGAATAATGGTGCAGATTCTCCCATGAAGTACGCGAAGCTCGACGCGCCACCAGCTTTGTTCGAGAAGAAGGAATACCCTATCGACCCATCGTTACCGGATATCAAGAACAGCGTGTACTCAACCGACGAATTCAGGATGTATTCGTTCAAGGTCCGGCCATGCTCTCGTGCCTACTCTCACGACTGGACCGAGTGCCCTTTTGTCCACCCGGGCGAGAACGCTCGACGAAGGGACCCTAGAAAGTTCCATTACAGCTGCGTACCTTGCCCCGATTTCAGGAAAGGAGCGTGCCGACGTGGAGACATGTGCGAGTATGCTCATGGTGTGTTCGAATGCTGGCTTCATCCTGCTCAGTATCGCACCAGGCTGTGCAAAGATGGCACCAACTGTGCCAGGAGAGTCTGCTTCTTTGCTCACACCGTCGAAGAACTTCGACCTTTGTATGTTTCAACTGGCTCAGCTGTTCCTTCCCCTCGCTCAACCCCTGCTACCGGGATGGATTTCGCTGCTGCCATGAGCATGCTGCCGCCTGGCTCTCCTTCGTCGCCCTTCACTCCCCCAATGTCTCCGTCTGGTAACAATGGCATGTCAAATCCTTGGGGGTCACAACAGCAACAGCCGAATAACGTTCCTGCATTGCATCTGCCTGCGGGAAGTACCAATCTCCAGTCGAGCCGGCTGAGATCATCCCTTCACGCGAGGGATATCCCCAATGGAGGGGACTACAATGGCATGCTACCGGATTTCGACATGCAGATCTTCAACGAGCTATCTGCTCTCAACAATAACAACAACTCATTGAACCGATCTGGACGCATGAAGATTCTGACTCCATCAAACCTCGATGACCTCTTCTCCGCCGAGAACTCATCCTCCTCTCCTCGGTATGGCGATCAAGGGCTGGTCTTCTCCCCAACTCACAAGTCATCGCTGCTGAATCATCAGTTCCAGCAGCAGCAGAACATGTTGTCTCCCATCAACACCAACTTCTCCCCGAGGAGCGTCGTTGATCACCCTGGGGCAGCGCTGTTGCAGCAGATGTCGTCGCCACGCGAGCCCATCTCGCCTATGAGCGCTCGGATTTCCCTGCTAGCTCAGCGGGAGAAGCAGCAGCTGCGGAGTCTGAGCTCGAGGGAGCTGGGGTCGAACATTTCCTCCTCGCTCCTCGGTGGTGGTGGGGGGTCACCGGTGCATCTGTCGAGGTGGGGCTCGTCCAGCGGGAGGCCGGACTGGACTGCTAGCGCCGACGAACTGGGAAAGCTCCGGAGGTCGAACTCGTTCGAGCTCGAGAGTGGGGACGAGCCGGACCTGTCGTGGGTTCAGTCGCTGGTGAAGGAGTCTCCATCTGATATGAAAGAGAAGATGATGATGCCAATGCAGCAGGCTGGTGGCAGCAGCGTTCCTTCTTCAGGTGAGAGCAGTTCGAACTCGAACTTGCAGACGATCGAGTCGATTGACAACGCCATGGGAGCGTGGATTGAGCAGCTCCAGATTGATCAGCTTGTGGCTCAGCAGAACTGAGAGCTATCGAGCCACAGTTTTTGAGGGTGTAACGTAACAAGGAGTTGATCAAAGTGAGAGAGTGGTGACTTTGGACTAATGGGCTGGGTGATTTGGATTCTTTTTTGATTCTTTTCTATCCCGGTAAGCTCGTTCTCTGTTGTTTTTTTACTGTTTCGCTATTTTTAGCTTTTACTGTTTACAGCAGGAATTAGCAAAGGTTAAAAAGTTTTTACCCTTGGAGGGTGGGGGGAAAGACAAGAAAGAAAAGAAGGTTAACAAGAGGAACCAAAGGGGACGTGAGATAACAAGAACTATCGATGGACCCTTGCTCTAGAATGGATGTAACTTCTTATTATTCATATATTTTTGTCCTCTTCGGTTTTTTCTTCCCATTATAATGATCATTATATTATTTTCGATTTCTAGTTATTGTTTCTTTTCGTTGCTAGTTCTGGTACGTTGCTTCATTCAATCTGGTTAGTATGCCGATTGTGATGTGTGTCAGTGTAAACAAACACTAGGATCATTGATATATAGATAGCCGAATATTTTTTCTGCACCCTTCATTCAAATTTTTCTGCAATGAGAGTGAAAATAGGAAGAGTATTTTTGTCGTCAAAATGATCTATTTGTTTCTCAATTATTCTTAGAAAAAAATACGCATACTAAGATTTGATCCGTGGTCATTTTCAACTATGATAATTGATAAGAATCTTAACCAATCATACTAAATAGATTAGTTGTATCATTTTAAATAAAAAACTTACATGAAGCTAAAATTAAAAAATCACAGAACTTTTCAACGGTTAGCTAAGGTCGCTAAATCTTCGCTCAGTACTTATTGGTGTTTTGATACTTCGATTTTCATATTTAATTATTTTTATTATACTTTAATACTTAATTTTAATTTCTATTTATCTTTTAAATAGACGATAACTTTAAAATCATAGACCATATATCATGGGTCCAATATTACATATCGAATGTGTAAAAGCGATGTTGAAATCCTACATTAGTATTAGTTTATAGAACTACTATGAGACAATCATATTCATATCTTTCTGCAAACTATATGGGGACGGGTTCTTTGAACGTTTTTAGCTCGGTTAACTGTTAAGTTTTAAACATCTTCCTAATCCAACAACATGATGGATCCAACAATTATTAGAAGAGGTTGAGTTTAATAGATTGGTTTATTTCATCTTTTTATGTATTTAAATGAATTTGTAGAGCAAGTGCATGTCTACATATACACTCTACACAATATATATTATTGGCACGTTAAAATGGTACATGAGTATCTCAGCGGGTGCCGAAGGCCCAGTTGGTTGTCTACTTAGGCTGGGTAAAAGTCGAGTTTGTCTATCTTAGTGGGAAATCCAACCGATTTAACCAACTGATTCGAGCACCTGCCACTTCAAAATGATGTTGTTTTCAACAATTCGTATACGTAGCTACACTATGAAACATCACAGACCATGTTCGACTATCTCATCGTCTCTTCTTCTTACTTTAGATTTGAGAGCCTACAATACACAACCCAACCATCTCAAAATCTATCATAACCCCACAATAGCAAATTTCATTTTTCTCCAGCTGCACAGCCATAGAGCTAGTCGACCTCATCTCATACAAATACGACGCAAAAATTATTAAGAAACTTGCATTTGAGTTGAAACTTTAGGTGACTAACAAAGGTCAAATTCCTTATTTTAATTATTATTTAATACTCAATTAAATTCCTATATATCTTATAAATAGAGGATAACTTTAAAACCGCGGCCCAAATATCAGTGGTTCGAATATTCCATATCAAATTGCAGTGTTGAATATGTAAAAGTGATGTAAAATTCTTAAATTAGTATTAATTTTTAGACCTACTATTACATAATCGTATTCATACCTTTGTGTAAACTATGTGGGACTGGTTCTTTGAACATTTTAGTTCGGCTAACCGTCAAATTTTAAACATTTTCCTATTCTGACATGATTGGATCCAACAATCATTAGGAGTTTAATAAGTTGGTTCGTTTCACCTTTTTCAATGTGCTAATGAATTTGTAGGGAAAGACGTGTCTTTATATACACTCTACACAATATATAATACTAAAATGAGAAAATTGTTGTTTCATTTCAAATTTCCTACAACGAAATGAAAGTAGGAATTATATTTTTGCTTCATAATTATTTTATAGAAACTACAAACTTCCAAAATCCAGAAATTGTTGCTCAAACTAAAAATCAGAGCATCGAAAATCAATGTTCGCAAATTTTATTTCGTATATCACTTATTTGAGAGATTTTTCTCTCTATAAACAAAGTAAAACGAAACAAGTTATAGCCAAAATCAATAGCTTTGGCTCGAAGACGATGACATGCTTCTTCGTGGGAGAAAGAAATACATGCGGTAGCGTCAGAGATCTGGAGAGCAAAGACGAAAAGGATACACTAAGAGTTCGTGAATGCGTACTATGAAATAGATCATCAAATCACGGGCTTGGGGCTGAATAAAATGATAGAATGTTAGTTAGATAGTCGATGTCGATGATATAGAATTCGCCAATTTGGTACATCTACAGGAGATCTCCAGAGTCAGCTTAGGAAACAAAGAATCAAAGGGGAAGAAAAAGATATAGACTCTTTTATTAACAACTAATTGAGTGCATGGGGGCGGATAAACGATGCGTTCATTTCTCTTTTCCTTTTTAAAAAAATAAAACAAAATAGCATCGTAAACTTTTTTGGGTTTCTATTCACCTTTTGAAGTTTGTTCTTTTTCGGGTCTAATAAGATTATTTAAAGCTATTATTCTACTAAAATGATTTTATTTTTTTCCACTGCATTGATGTAATATTTTGACCAAAACATGTTAGTAAGTTAAATGATATATTAATTAAAATAATATAATATTCACACTCTTTCGGGCACTCAAATTATAATTCTTGAAGAGTATACACTCTTACGCTCCCATTCTAGCTCCTGCTCTAGCTCCCGCTCCGCGAATTGGTAAGATAAATCTGTCAAGTCAATTATGTTAACAAAGAGATGACTGGAAGAACTCGCCTTCCATCACATATTGTCTTCCCTCGCAAACACCCCCATGCTCAATTTCCACTTGGTCGTTACTCATTAATTCCACTTCTGACACACATTGGCACCATAGGAGTGCGACCTTTATCGCGTGACGAATACATATTGTTGGCGTGCATTTTAGGAGCTCGAAGGAGGATAGCAGAAAATAGTAGATAGAGAAACAAATGTAGATAGTCCGGTCGAGGAATAATATTATTCATATGTAGATGGGATTTTATATAATTTGTAAATATATATAATAATTTTTTCATATATCTGGGCAAAAATGGACTAAAACAATTAGATCATTAACCCTCAACCCACTTAATCAACTGGGCCAACGGGACCAGGTTGACAACCTTTGATACTTGAAATCCATATATTCTAAAAAATTTGGGTTCCAATTTTTATGATTGAGTCAAATCGATCAATAATTGTGGACTTTTCAGAGAGTCGTTGAAATTCAAAAGTCGGTCTTCAAAGTTCTTTCGTGACGGACAAGTTTTTGCGTTTAATTATTGTTAGGTCGAAGGAAAAGAAAGCGTGACAGATGGAGGATGAGATTGTGGCTATTAATTATTGGGAGTTGCATATGGAGAAGATAAGCCATAAAAGGGATTAAATTTAATTTAATAATACGTATGTACTATATATTACAATGACATGTTTGATGTGAAAAATAAAAGGGACAGATTTAAGAAAAATAGATAATGGAGTCACAATTTATGCTATTAACTCCACATAAAAAGTCAAAGATTATATTGATATAGTAGAATTTAAGGTTTTATAATGTTGAATTTTCGTAACTTTTGTACGTGCATTAGTATCTTAAACTTAACAACATCGACTTATTATTTAATCAACCCCATACACTAAATTCTAATAATTTATACAATAAGCATTATGTTTTCGTATTCTTCCATATTTGAGATTTCTAAGCATAATCTTTTCGTTATTCTCTTGGTTTTTTTATATACCTTCAATTCCTACCATTCTAAATGGCATATATTTGTTTCAACTCCAACTTCATATCCGATAATAAAAAGTTCACAAATTTCTTCTAAGATATGAAAAAAATATACAACAGTAAATGAGGAGGACTTGATAAAAAAAAGTACATATTACCTCATTATCGGTAATGTCATAATCAGCAAATACCATAAAGATTACTATGAAATAATGAATTAACTATTTTAGAAACCTCAACTTATTTAAAAACATGAAGATATTTATCAAAATAAAATAAAATTCATCCGACCAACGAATCGGGCTAATATTTTAAATATAATTATAAATTAACCAATATTAATGATAAAGCGAAACTCATTCGGCCAAGGGCCGAGTAAAAGCTGGTTAGTTAGAGATAGATACTAGATTCTGATGACTGGTTAGTGACTAGTGAGTGGCTTTCTGTTCTTGGACAATGGACATTATTCGGAGTTTGGTGGGCTTTTTCCTGGTGTTCGACCCTTTGGAATGGAGCAAACATTTGTCAAATTAAAACTCTCCATGGTTCCATACTTCCATAGATTAGACAAAATAAAGTTTTGGATAAAATTAGGGTTTAATAAAACCATGATTTTACCATGGAATTGATTTGGTAAAGGTTACATAGCCTGGCGATGAAATTCTTAGTAGGAGCTCGTTCCGGGAAGTGGCAGATCTCGTGTTCGATCCCATCGATACCCGCTATGATGTTTCCGGAGCCATTTAATGTAGATACTCATGGAGGGCCTGAAGGGCTCAAACAGGTGAACCCCCAGGTTTGGTCTCGCTCCGCCATCGCTCAAACGATGTGTGCGTGGGGATGTTTCTAGGTAATAAAAAAAAATTCATGGAATTGATTCATATTGAAGTTTGAGTACCCTCGTTACACTCCTGAGGTTGTCCTACATAAAGATTATGAAATATGTCTCATTTTATCTGTTCTACATCCGAAGATCAAGTTAGAATAAGAAAGTGTGAGATTAAATTTAGGGATATTTAAATAATCGGTCGAATCATGATTAATGAGATAATAATTTGAGTCAGGTTTATTAACAGGTCGATTCCCTGGTGACCTTGTGACTAATGTGCTAGTGTAGACTATAGATGTTGGTCTAACATTGACATTTAAGTCTTGTGCTCAAGGATTGAGTCACAGTCTTTCACCTCAAAACTCCAACCAACAACCTTCCAGAGTTGGAGCGTAGAGTGAAATATTCCTTCGTCGCTTGAAACTTGGAGCGACAATCATTTACAATTGGAGCTGCGAGTGACACTTGCATCTCACGCTTGAAAGGTTTAAGGATAGTTTGTTGAATCGTGTCCTCAACTATCTAGAGCCGTTATTACAAAAATAAAAACTATCTAGAGCCGAATACCATTTTGAAGATAAATTTTACATGGAGATATTGAGCGACATAGACTATTATATCTCATAGACACCTTACACATAAGTTCCTACACCAAGGAGTGTGACTTAGACTTCATATGGTCACGTTTGTCTAGCCTCAGCGGTTCATCACTAAAGTATTTTGAATTGATACGTTGTTGAGATCCTTACTGTCAATGATGATGATCAACCGTCATATTTTCAAGGTGATTACTAAAGGTGATGTTTAGGTCGTCATTCACCAGCTTCAACAAATTGTGCCTTAAGGCTATTCGGGTGGGTCAATTCTTCGTGATTTTCTTCCGTTGCTTTTTTCTTCTCTGCTGTCTTAGATTTTAGGACAGTTAAAACAAACTACAAACGAGATTGTCCATATAAAGGTGTGAAACCGTAGAGTTAACTTCTTTCCACTTAATAGCTTTTCGATTAAGGATGTAGGGGGAGCGGTTTGGGCTTTTTTTTAGTTTTGACTAATTTCTCGTCGTTTCTATGGGGGGAAAGTGTGATTAGAGTTCAGGGTTGGTAGGTCTTAGATTATTTCACTCGCCTCTTTGGATTTCAATGGTGTTGCTCAGTTCACTCAGCAACACTTCAATGTGAAGAACCTCGACCGCTCTCCCGCTGACAAGAATCTGATTCCCGATTTTACACCGTATATGATATCTATCAATCCATCCGTGGAGCTTCCGATGGCGCAACGATTGTATGACACTTCGCAATGAATTGGGTATCTTAACACCATCGTTTTCATTTAACCAAAACAAAAAAAGGTAACAGCTTGAACTCTAAATTCTCCTCCTTTTCTTCTCCGTCCTTCGTCTCAAGGAAGCCAGATTCAACCCTGAAACTCTTTGGCTCGCTCTGGCACCCGACACGACCTGGCATCTCCTTTTCTCCACCAGGTACTTCCCTGTAACCTCCATTTCGTTCTCAAAACCCCACATTTCTTGTATAGTGTCTTAAGAGCATATTTGTACTGAACTAAACTTGAATGGATTAGATAAGAATGTGAAGAATTGGGAATGATCTTGTTCTTTCTGTTATCATTGCTAGTGATCCGATTCCCGATTTTACACCGTATATGATATCTATCAATCCATCCGTGGAGCTTCCGATGGCGCAACGATTGTATGACACTTCGCACTGAATTGGGTATCTTAACACCATCGTTTTCGTTTAACCAAAACAAAAAAGGTAACAACTTGAACTCTAAATTCTCCTCATTTTCTTCTCCGTCCTTCGTCTCAAGGAAGCCAGATTAAACCCTGAAACTCTTTGCCTCGCTCTGGCACCCGACACGACCTGGCATCTCCCTTTCTCCACCAGGTACTTCCCTGTAACCTCCATTTCGTTCTCAAAACCCCACATTTCTTGTATAGTGTCTTAAGAGCATATTTGTACTGAACTAAACTTGAATGGATTAGATAAGAATGTGAAGAATTGGGAGTGATCTTGTTCTTTCTGTTATCATTGATAGTGCTTTAGTTGGGGGAAGGGTTGTAGGAATGTGGTACAAAGCATTAACTTTATTGATTGATTATCTTTGTATTGGGTCGTCATGCCCTTGTTCTAGTAGCCGTTAGGGTTTCAGATTACCGACTATGGAGATTAATGTTGATTGTAAATTTGTAATGTCATTGGGCTATAAACCAACTTAGAGGTCTTTTTGGGTGTAGTTTTCAGGAAAGGCATATCAGTCTCCATTGAGCTTCACTTGGATTGATCTTTATCCAGTGGTTAGTCTGTTTGTAATGCCTTAGGGTATCAACTAGTTTGTCTTAAATGATCTACATGTACATGTAGTTCAACTCTACAATGTTCTTGAGTGCTCCGGAAAAGGTTAAGATGCAGCGAGAATACGTTGAATGTATCTTCTAATGGCTCTTAATGATATGTGGGCAGTGTGAGAATGGAGGATGTTGGAACTGGAAGTAATGCAAATGACTGTTTCGACTTCGAGCTTGATGCGAAGGACGTATGGCCCACAATCTTCGAGTAGTTATTGATCGATTTGATGATTGAAGAAGTTGGGAAGGGAAATATGAGAACTACTACTTTCACGAGATAGGGATGGCTCACCATTAAGAAGGTGCTGAAGGATAAGTTCAACAAAGAATACACCGACGTGCAACTGAAGAACAAACATAACCAACTTAGACAAAGGCAAAGGAATTTCAATACTTTAGTCAATGAGGCTGGAGTTGATTACAACATGAAAACATGACAAGTTGTTGCTTCCCATGAAGTTTGGGATAAGATGACCAATGTCATAAATAATAGTTCTTTACATTTGTTCACTTACCTAGAGATTTTGACTGGTCCTTGATAAATAGTAAATACAGGTTCATAAAATTCCTGTGAGATTCAGGAAGCGAGGATGTCCAGAGTTCCCCAAACTGTGCACTATATTCGGAGATACTAGAGCTTTAGAAGTGTCTGCGACAGTTGTTGTTGCTAATGCTACTGCTCCACAAAATTTGTTTCAAATGATAATCGGACGAGTAACAATCAAAACAAGGGCATCAATGTCGAAGTTATATCACACGAAAGCGAAAGAGGAGATCATGGAAATGGCTCATCATCACATAACACTAAAGCCGACTATATAATGAAGTGTGTGAAAATTATGGATGATTTGGGGATCGAAGGAAGCGCATTTGGGAGGGAATTGCAGACATTACATGACTCTCCATTGTATAGGGAGATTTTCCTACGCATGTCAAATAAGAGGAGGAATGAGTGGGTAATTTCCCTAAAGTAGTTAGTGTTATGAAAATGTTTGGTGTTCTTGTGGTGTTGTGTTGTTATCGTGCCATGATATAAAGCTTATGTGGGTGCTTTTGGATTGCAGTAAACTTTATGGAAGTAACGTGTAAATCAAGTTTCTTTCCCAATGTTTTATTTTCTTCTTTACAAGGCCAGGAGCAAGCATATTTGCTCACAAGCATTGTCCAGCAAGAGAAAACTTCTGGTGACCTATAATTGGCGTAGAAATCGATACTAAGTCAAGACCAAAATAACATTATTGTTCTCGATCACGTCCAATCAATCGTCCTAAAAATGAATGCAAATCAAATGATCCATAATTTTCCTACCTTCATACGGCATAGTCCATGGTCCCCATGCCACCAGACCAATAATAGGATGCCGACCACCTAGATTCTTACCTTGGCCAAACTAAATTAGGTTTCTTGGGACAAGAAGGCAACAAAAGTAATATTAGAGCCAATTTACTATGACAGTGAAAGCCGTCAAAAGAGACAGGATTGTACGGTTCAAGGCGGTTGCTTGGTTGGTGGAGTTCTACCCAACTGATTGGCCACTATTATCTGTCCATCTTATTCCATCTCTTTTGAATCCATTTGCACTTGTTTGCATGTCTTCTGCCGCAAAGTTTGCATAGCTCAGCTGGTTAGAGCATTGTGTTTAAAACACTTATAAGAACATAAATGTCATTGTATTTGTTCAACATTCTCATCCTCAAATTCCCAAGCCATCATTTTCCACGAGTTTCAAAGAAGGAAAGGAAGACAGAATGACCCATCGTCATGATGAAATAGAGGATTATTACAGCTCAATCCAGAAGTACTTCTTGGAAGAGCCACCACAAGTCGATGATTATAATCATGATGAACAGGTGTACGACAGCCATAGATTAAAGTGTTTGATCCAATCTCTGGAAGCGGAGATTAACTACGGCCATGATCATGATCACGATCTTCAGCAGCAGCTGCTGCAGGAACAACAACCGTTGGATCATGTTGTGGAAGGGAGTGAAGTAGGGTCGTATTATGGTGATCATGAGTTCATCATTAGCTGGAATAATCATATTGAGATAGGGTTCAATGATTCATTCTTCCTTGAAAGATACAATGCTGATAATATGAGGATAAAAAGGGATTAATCTTGCTTGCTTTCTTAAACCACACAACTTGAGGGGATCTTTGATGCTTGTTTACTAGGAAGAATCTTTGCTTGGTTTGTTTATATCAGTATAAACACCATCAGTAATAATTTTCACGATTGATTTTAGGTTCACATATATTGATATAAACTTGAACAAATACTTTATGCAAGGGATTCGAAATTGAGATCTTTCACGACAAGAGAGGCTTAGTGGAGATTTCAGAAATATTTGAACAAGTCAAGCAATTTGAAGAAGGAAAGAGTCATTCAATAAATAGGACCCATTCAACTTAGTTCAATTAGTTAACAAAGAAATTACAGATGTTTGCTTAGTCAAGCAAACAATTGAGTATCTTTACAGTTAAAGTTCACCATATCCCCATCCTCCTATAGAGCACAAAACGTGCCGGAAAACAGTAAAAATAATTGAACATATAGTGCCAAAACTGAACAAAAAGAATTCTTAGTTAACTTCCTGTACCTACTATCTTCTGCAATATGTACAGTAATCGAATTCCATTGAGCGGGTCCGTTTTGTCTTTAGTACTTTGTGTTTTTAACCCCAGATCATGAAGATAATGATGAAACTGGAGAAATTTGCTCTTCATGTAAATGCATTCGTCCTCAGAAACCTCCAAGGTCCAACACCAGCTCCTATCCTGTAAAGGTAGAGAGACATATATGTGCATAATGTCTTGAGCATAAAGGGAAGAAATGCAGTGTCTAGATTAAAGGGGAGAGCTTTATTCTAATTGCTTACCTCAAATAGCCGGCCAACGTACGCAAAGTCATGAATGTGGTCAAAGCAACCCAGATGCCGATAAATCCTAGGCTCGCAGACAGTGTAAAGAGGCAAAAGATGCTTATGAATGACACGAAGATCTGAAAATTCCACAAGTGAATAACAACTTCTAATCAGGGGTTACACTAAATTTTTGGCTTTACATTTCTTATTTCATCAAGTATGAGTACCATTGAGTATGCAGAAAATGCAAAATCAGATGCTCCAAAGTTCACTCCATCGAAGACAAATGCTAAGACGTTGAATGGTTGAGATAGGGCAACAAACTGACAGCCAATGGAGAACAAGAAAACCAAGGCCAAATTAGTTCATAAAGCTTTTAGGATTGGAGAAGAGCCAAAGGCAATGCAAGCAATTGGTTGAAGTGTGGAGCAACATATTACCGGGACACAGAGTCTAATAAGTTGCAAGACATTCTCGTCTTTGGTAAATAATATTCCACCAAAATACAACCCAGGATAGAGGATGATGGCGAGTGCTACCCCTAGAACAACACCATGCTGCAGAAACCCATTCCAATAGTCAAACAAAATGAGAGCAAGTATGGACCATTAATGCAAAGAAAATTGCAGAACATATTACTTGTAACACACGAGCAGAAGTGTCCACTGTCTTGTCAAAGTCTTCTTTTGCAAAAGCACTTGCAATGATTGCCTGAAGCAAGCCAAGCACCCATAAGTATCACTCATATGGACTAATTTCTAGATATAGGACATATGATTACGAGAGTGTGACATAATTAAAGTAGAGATTCGAAAGGCCAATTCGGAGGTTGAAATGCTTGATCCTGACACAGATATATATCTATATCTAACCTGCCCAGCCACAGCGAGTCCATCAGCAAGCAAGGAGGTCGCCAACCAAATCTGCAAGCAAACCTGAAATGCTGCCATTGCAGTTGGTCCATTGGCAGTGGCCAAAGAAGCTGCTAGGGTGACAACAATGGTTGATGCTATCACTCTCATCAGCAACAAGAATCCTTCACAGAAGCAACATATCTCAGCTGATTTCACAATGTTCAAAAAGTTGCAATACCGGTAGAATGATATATAGATGGACAACTTACCACTTTTGAGAAAGCGACCGAGTTGCAGATCGCTGATTGTTGGAGGCAATATATCAACTTGTTGAACTAATTTCCACAGAAGGAGTAGCGACATCACGTACCTAAAATGCCCAATAGGTTAACCGTACATATTCGCCAAATCAATTGTTTTAAAGAAATCCATTAGAACAAAAGTGGATAAGTGAAATGCAGAGCGCTTATTCACTGTAACACAACTTACTGAGAAATAACATGTGCAATGGCAGCACCACTGACATTCCATCGGAATACAAAGATGAATATGGGGTCTAGGATAATGTTTGTGACATCTCCCACAACTACAGAAGTTGCAAATGAAAACAATAAACTAGTAAGCTTTCAAACAAGTGAAATTGAGGGGAGGTGATCGTTATTTACGGTAGGCAATGAACAAATTCAACAAGCAAATAATTCTCTCATGGGAAGCTTGAACCATTTTGAAAAACTGACAAACGTTAAACAAACATATCCAGTACACCTGTAGCGAAGAGAGGTGTTCTTGTGTCCTTGATTCCCCGGAAAACCCCTTGCATAGCCAAAGTTAAAAGAACTGCAGGAGCACCGAGTGACCTCAAGACTAAGTATCTTTGTGCAGGCATTAGCATAGGAGAATCCTGTATTGAAAAGAAAGTAAAATTGACATCCCTCAGCAAGTCAGCATCAAAGATGGATAAATTTCACTCCCTAAGTTGCAGATTACTGGGATCACTTACCTTATGCACACCCATGCGCTTGAGCACAGGTTCAGCAAAGAAAATGAGGCACATAGTTTGGACCAAACCAAGTACACAACTAACAACCATCGCTGACGTAGCAGATGGGATGTTTCTTTTTTGAAACCCTTCTTTTTTCCAGTAAGCGTTTGAAGATGGTGTATTTTGCTGTGATTCACCTGTGTGATTAAAAAAGCATAGAAGACAATTATGTCACAACTGGCAAGACTTGGGAAAAAGCTACGCAAAGAAAAAGTAAGTGATTCTGGAGATTAAAAATGTAACCATATCCATTTGACAAAAACAACAAAGCACAAACAGGATGAAAATGAAATACCATTTTTGGGTAACAAGTCATCTGTTTCTTTGTTAAAAGTAGGTGAGGCATCTAGTAGTTCTACACTCTCCTGTTCTTCGGAACTCAATGGTCCAATGGCATCTTCCTCGGCAACCAGAGAAGTTGTGACGCTAACGATTGGAAATATTGCAATCTTCGACACTTGATTGAACACTGCTATCGCAATTCCAACCGCTGCTAGCTCAACAGGACCTAAGAGAAAATACAACGAAGAGTCAAACAAACCTCCAAAGCTCGCCAACCAACCAAAACCAGCTACATGGCGAAAATAGCAGAACATCACAAACCTAAATGGCCAATGAAAGCAGTGTCGACTAGAGACGCAATGGGATCTGCTGCCAAAGCAAGTGCAGCTGGAATTGCGATTTCCAAGATTTCTAACCCCAACTCATCGTTTGAGAAAGTTCTCCTGGAGAAAAGAGATTGAATTGACATCTTAGTGATTAACATTTTGGCCTTTTGGGGAGCGTTTCTTTCCATTTTGCATATCAAATTATCATATAGACAATAAGCCCTGGTTGTTGCGAGGTAAAGATACCCACACAGAAGCTCACAAAAATAGGAACATTCGTTTGTACAAACCCACGCTAGCAGGCTAAGCATCACATTTCACCAAATTCATCGAAAATGGAAGGGCACAAAAAAAAATCTATAATCAAAAGAGAGTGATTACCTTGCTCGGTGGAAGAATATAAAGGAAGGCATCTGGGCTAAGTTTCTACACAAACAACAAAAAGAATCCCTTTGCCGATCAAAAATTCAAAACGGGGAAAATTCCATCTGCTTAAGGGCGACCCAACAACAAGTAGAGTCAATACCGTGAATGGGTATGGTAGAAATCTCCCAACACGCCACAACCAGTACCGAACCCTAACGATGGCGGTGGAAAACTGAGGAGGAGATCAAGAGCAAGAATGGAAATGGAGGGAATCCAGATCCAATCAATTTAATTAAAAATGGTGGTCAAGGGAAGCGTGGAGGTGAAGGAGGAATGTGGATGTACCTTCGTCAGGTACCTCCAAAATCAGGATAATACGGTTTCAGATGGTTTGTAAAAGCGACATAAATTTATAGGGGATGAAGCCAGAGATGATGACGATAATGGAGAAGAAGAAGATCTGCAACAACGACGTCGATGACCCATTATTTCTTTTTTGGACCTTTCTTGTTGCAACCAAAATTCTGTCGAACCAGAAAAAATATAGAATTATGGAAATAATTAACAACGACGATGATCCATTTGCCTCCCCGTTTCTCCCGCCTTTTCTATTTAGGCATACTAGTTTGTTACCCCGCCTTTGGCCGAGATTTTTTTACTTCTTATTTCACAAATAGTTTTTACTAAAATTTCATAAATAGTTATCAGAATTGGAAGTAATATTCTTTAATATCATTAATGAGAAAACTCGATAATATTTTTTATTTTTTTAAGAGTGATATAGACTTATTTTTACTATTATGTATTATCAAATATATACGAACCTGAGACCTTCAGTTTGAAGACCAACAATATAATTGTTGGACCAAGTTTTTGTTTGCCTTTATTTAAGCATTTTTCTAGCTTGGATTTTTGTACATTGTATGTCATCAATATTTGAAGAAATTATTATGTGCAATAATCAACTTTTATGATTTATTTTGTACATTAATTTCAACATTTGCTTATGGTATCCCTCGTAAGCATCCTGTACCGAATCAATTATTAGTATTTAAAATAACTCGAAAGTCCATAATTTCTCCATCATAAGCGACGTCTCTTAGTCGATTTTTTCGGATTAGACATTTCCCTTAATACAATTTTCATATTTTAACATGATAGTTCGGCAGAAGATTCTAAACAATGATATTTGCCAATAACCCGGTGCAAATCTATGTGGTAAAACATAAGAAACCATCATTCCACTTTTACATCTCATTCGCCTATTGTAATATGACAAATTCCCTTTCTAGGAACCCGCGAGAATATACACTTAAATTACATGTGTTAGTTTGTCATATAATTAAAGAATTGGAACAATCTCAACTCGTGCATTGGGTTCTCGTTATAAATAAATCGAGAGAATTTTACCATGATTAAATACCATAGTGTGCCTTGCATACGCTTAATATGTTGGTTCTTAGCTCTTTATAGGTGTTATATATACATATTTTCTTGTTTTGAAGTAGAAAAGGTGGGAAATAAATGAATAAGTTTATTTCTTGAAAGAAAGGAATATGCTACAAAAAAAAAACGAATATAATTTTTGTAAAACGAACTGGAATTTTGAAGAAAATGGAAATTATGTTCTAAAATTTATTGTCCAATGAAATGAAGAAATCACTTTTACCAAGTAAATTGGAATCAAAATTTTTCCGTACAGGAGAAAAGGAGAAGGGAAAGACGTTGTACAATACTCAATAGAGAAATAAGAAAGAGAAAGCAAAGAGAATAAATGAGAAGTTTTTTGTTTTTGTGGGGAACAAAGGGGAAGTTAAAAAAAAGGAAGTTTATTTACCAGTTACTATTTTATAGTGCCCTGTTCCATTGAGACAAATAAAAACCTTATTTGAAGGAAAGAGAAACTAAGCGATAAAATCAGTGCTAATGTGGATATATAATTTGTTATGAATTTTGAAATTGAATTGCTATTCGTCGCCCTAATATCTAAATTTTATCGCCCTAAAACACACTAAGTTGACACATTTATCCTTAGCCCTAATTTCTAACTGAACACTAAACAAACAATCCCTAAATCTCATGATCTCACTCCAAACCCGACCCCCGCCCCTACATCTGGGCAGAAAAATTTGACACTCACCCCTACAACATAGACGAAGTAGCTGTAGCTCTGGCGTCGAGCGAGCTCTAGTGCCTCAGCTCCGCCATGACCCGCTTCGGAATGAAAGACGCCAACTCTTTGCTTCAGCTCCGCCATGAACCACCTAACTTTCTGCTGCTACTACTTCCCCTGTCGTCCGCCGGAGAGACAAGAAGAAGAAGAATCGGGAAATCAAGGGAATTTTCCCCGGCCGTCGTCTCTTTGCTTCCTTCCAGATTTCTGTTTCAGTTCTCTCTCGCTGAGTCTGGATCAAAGTCCTTGTGAAGTTCTTGTGTGTTAACCCAACCCAGCTAGACAGATCGAGTTGTCGCAGAATAAATGAAATAAGGGCCAATTCCATGATTATGGATACAGTGATTCATAAAAATTATGGATATAGTGAGGTGATTTGGTCATTTCTTATTGTCGCAGACTCGCAGAAGAACAATTGTAATCAGTATATGGTACTAGTTTTGATTTTGGATTTATCCGTAGAATTGATTTGTTAGTTCATCATTTGGTTTTGGGTTTATGCGTTTAAAAATACAAATAAATGAATTGAGGGCATTAGAGTAAAATTAATAAAGTTAGGGCGACGAATAAGGATTTTTAGGGCGATGAATAACAATCCCCATTTTGAAATGGAGAAGGCTTTTTTGAGAAACTCTTTATTATATTCTTTAGATGGTGGGGAATATAACCACCACCACGAAACGGTTATATTCCATGTAACATCTCAAATCTCGACCTTTTGTGACCATTTGAGTCTATCTTTGTACGATTTTACTTTTAGGTTATATCATGATGACATACATACATATATATATATATATATATATAAATAAGAAGTTACTCATTCAAGTACTGTTTCAATTTAAAAAATGTGTTTTGTCGGTTAAAGTTGGACTGTTCGTTTTTGAACCATATATATCTCTCGTGTTTTGTCGATATAAGATTTGTCTAAGCACTACTCCACATTGAGCATGTTTTAATTCAAAGTTCTTACATGAACTCATTTTCACTAAAAAATGTATTTTGTCAGTTAAGGTTGGATTGTTCCTTTTGAACCAAACATCTCTATCGTGTTTTATCAATGTGAGATTTGTCTAAGGTGTTACATACCTACGCCTTTCGTTGAGATTTGCTCCACGATCGTTCAAGAGGGACGCAATAGACTCTAATCCAATTGAAACATCTCGACTCTATTCTTACCAATATATTGTCCTCTTTGAGCTACCTTGTATGGTTTTACTTTTGGGATGCATCATGATGACTTCCCAAGAGGTTATCTATCTATGTACTGCTCCACCATAAGCACATTTAACTTGGAAGTTCTCACAATAACTCATCCATTTCACCCAAAAAAATGTATTCTGATTTAAGGTTGAATTGTTCCTTGTAAACATGAATCTCTCTCGTACTTTCTCAATATTGAATTTAAATAAAATGTTACGGTTACAATTCACTAAAATCTTGGTATCATGATGGAGCTAGGTGCTTTTTACAAAATTAAATAATATAACACCAATCATTTAGCTTTAGAAGGAAAGTGTCGAATGTTGTACAACACAAAATTAAATAATATAACACCAATTAGCGCTCTCTAAAATCGTTTCGGCTTGATTTTGCTACAGCTCATTTTAAGTTGTCAAGAGCATCAGTTACCATAGATGGAAAAGTGTCGAATGTTGTACAACAATACTGTGTATCTCTCCCCTGGGCAACTTGTTTACCTATCGAATCTGGACTCAAACTTTTGTTTCGAGTATCTAATCCATCTAATTAAAAGTGTTCATAGTCATTGAGATTTGACAGATATTTTGTAGCTTCATATAGTCTTCCCATTTTGATGGTTAATGTTTCCAGTCTATAACATAACTGAGAATATGTAATTGAGAAATAGATAACATCTTGTGGTTCTCGTATTAAATGAAATTTTTTTATCAACCATAAAAAAAATAAATTTCCCCAATTTTAGGGCTATCTTGGGAACCCACGGTCTTGGATTTAAATAACATCAAACATATGAAAACAAGTTCTTAATGCACACGAAATCATAAGCTGCCACGGAATCATTCCTACCGTGACAAGTTTCTCTGTGTTTCTTGATGCACACGAAATCATAAGCTGCCACGGAAAATCGATATATAAATGGTGAATCACAAGAATGCGAACTTCGGTGTGGAACAATAAAAGTTCAAGGATTATAACAGCGAAAACTGGAAAATTCGAGGACAAAAAGTATCAATAACTAGTTCTTGTGATTTTTTTCTTAAAAATTTCAGTGATAAAAAAAAATGCCAGGAATAGCTTCCCCTTCCACTCCACCTCCACAACAATCGGCGGGATAACGGACTTCCTGCCTTCACCCATCCATCACTATTTTCTAACTGTCAACAATACTTCCTCTGTTCCCTTCCTTTTCTTCTTCCCCTTCTCCTTCTATTATTAGCCTCCTGAAATCTGCAATCAGAGCGCATCTCAGTTTCTGGATTTCAGAAGAAGGTCAGGGAAACCATAGCCGGGGAGGAGAAGGGGTAAAAGAGCAGAAGAGGCGAAAAAAAAAACCCACCGGATTTTGATTTTCGCTTCGCCGGTGTGCAGTGGCGTGCGCTCTGGCGAACAGAAAACAAAATTTCATCGCTAATAACTGAACTATATTCTTCGGCAGATTTCAGGTAATTTACATCGCCTCACCGATATCTTTAATCTTTGCCTTTTCCTTGTTGGGAACCCTAAAAACAAAAACAAAAAAAAACCCAATCGGTTACTGATCGAACTCTTCCTCTGGTTTTAGTGTCCAAAGGGAACGTAAAACTCTATTGGGTCTCTCAATTCAAAGAGATGGATAGGTGGGTCTCGCTGATTGGAAATCTAACGACGAGCAGAGTCGCCAAACACAATGGTGCGCTTATTGATCTCTTTCGCGGGATTCATGGGTGTAGTAATTAATGGTGTTTTATGTTTACAGAATTGTGTGTTTGATTTTCATTTTTGTTTATAGCAGGGGAAGGAGGTTTCGTTTAATTGGGAAGCTGCTATCTTTCCCCTTTGCTCAAACAAGGGTTGGCGTCACTTCTGCAAAATTCCATTCCAACTCCCAAGTATTTTTGTGATTTGGGAGGGGTTTGTGGATGATTTTTGACAAAGAAAGAAATTTTTGCAATTGTTTTTTTGTTTTTGCGATTATTGTTTTTTTCTGGCTGAATCTTTATACTTAACGAAGAATAACAATGGAGTCGAGTGATGGGTTTGTATCAAAAGAACAACTGGAGCTTGCGAAATCTGCTCTGGAAAGTGCAGATCCTTCATCTGTTTCTTATATGGATGGACATCCTAAGAAAGGTAATATTTACTAACTGCTTATCATTTATGAATAGGGTTACAGGTTACTAACTGCACCATTTGTTTCTCGATCCACAATTTTAACTGTCCAGAACGGTATGATAGGTTTTCTATTGTTAATGGTTTGATGAGGCTGGAAATCCAGTCTGCATGGATCAATGAATGAATCATACTTAAGTTTCTGGGTGTTTGTTTCGGTTTTTTTACACACTTCCCCAGGTGCTTCTGGAGGGAAAGGAACATTGGATGGGTTACATGATCCTACAGAGGATGCATCATTGTACAATAATGATCCAAACTATGATAGCACAGAGGTACTATGCACTTAAAGAATCATATTACTAGAAAGAAAAGATGTGGAAAAGGAGGCGAATGTAATCATCATGATGGCATTGGATGCTTAATATTGCAGGAACAAGATGGAGATCAAATAATAAAAGGAACCCCAATAAAACTAGACGGCTACAAAAGGAAAGCTACTGTTATAGTGGAAGAATACTTTGCAACTGACGATGTTGTATCAACAGCAAACGAACTGAGGGAACTAAAGTTGCCCAGTTATAGTTATTACTTTGTCAAGAAACTAGTGTCCATGGCAATGGACCGACATGATAAAGAAAAAGAAATGACTGCTGTTCTTTTATCCGCTCTCTATGCAGAGGTCATCGACCCTTCCCAAGTTTATAAAGGTTTCAGAAAATTGGTGGAATCTGCAGATGACTTGATTGTAGACATACCCGAAGCAGTCGATGTTCTTGCCTTGTTCATAGCCAGAGCTGTGGTCGATGACATACTCCCCCCTGTATTCTTGAAAAAGCAACTCGCTTCTTTACCTGCAGATTCTAAAGGGATCGATGTGTTGAGGAGAGCTGAAAAGGGTTATTTAGCAGCTCCGCTCCACTCTGAGATTATTGAGAGAAGATGGGAAAGCAACATGAATAAAACGGTTGATGATGTGAAGGTAAAAATAAACAACTTGTTGGTAGAGTATATAGCAAGTGGTGATACGAAGGAGGCTTGCAGATGCATCAAGGAACTGAAAGTTCCCTTCTTTCACCATGAGATAGTCAAACGAGCCCTTGTTATGGCCATGGAGAGACGGGCAGTCGAAAGCCGGTTGCTAGATTTGCTCAAGAAAACAGCTGAAGAAGGTCTGATCAATTCCAGTCAGGTCACAAAGGGGTTTAGCAGGATGATAGATGTTGTTGATGATTTGTCGCTTGACATTCCAGATGCAAGAGGGATTCTGAAATCCTTGATATCTAATGCCGCATCAGAAGGCTGGTTGTCCGCCTCTTCTTTGAAATCACTCTCACCACCATCTCCAAAAGAATCTGTGGAAGGTGCTGCAAAGAAATTCAAGATGAAGGCACAATCCATCATTCAAGAGTATTTCTTGTCAAGTGATGTAGCAGAGGTGAGTGATTGTATTGAATTTGAGAACAGTTCTTGCTCGCCTGACCTAAATGCCATGTTCATCAAAAGGCTAGTGACTCTAGCAATGGATAGAAAGAATCGGGAGAAAGAAATGGCTTCTGTGTTACTATCTTCTTTATGTTTCCCTACAGATGATGTTGTGCATGGATTTGTTATGCTTATAGAATCTGCAGACGACACTGTTTTAGATAACCCAATTGTAGTCGAGGATCTTGGAATGTTTTTAGCTAGGGCTGTGGTGGATGAAGTCATAGCCCCACAACAGCTGGAGGAAATCGGTAGTCAATTCCTTGGCACGGAGTCTACAGGGAACAAAGTCCTCCAAATGGCCAAGTCCTTGCTAAAGGCTAGGCTTGCTGGAGAGAGGATCTTGAGGTGCTGGGGTGGTGGAGGAAGCAGCAGCAAGAATGGATGTGCGGTTGAGGATGTTAAGGACAAGATTGGCAAGTTGCTGGAAGAGTTTGAATCTGGTGGGGACATAAGGGAAGCTTGCCGTTGCATTAAAGAACTCGGGATGCCCTTTTTCCACCATGAAGTGGTGAAGAAAGCACTGGTGAAAATCATGGAGAGCAAGAGTGAGAAGCTGTGGGGTTTGCTTAACGAGGGGTTTCGTTCTGGACTCATAACGTCGTATCAAATGACGAAGGGTTTCGGGAGAGTTGCGGAGTCTATGGAGGATTTGAGATTGGATGTTCCTGATGCTGAGAAACAATTCGAGTACTATATCGAGAAAGCTAAACTCACAGGGTGGCTGGATTCATCATTTGGAATTGGTCCTACTACCAAATCAAGTTTTGTTAAGGAGAATGGCATAAATGTATGATTAACAGGTAACGAATTTCGTACTTTTTGTTGAATCTGGCAATCCATATGTTGAATGGCGTAGGCCTCAACACAAGCAGGCATCATCAGTCTAAGATCAATCTGATTGCGTGATTTGATGGGGGTCGGCTGTACTGATGCTTATCTTATCCACATCCTGATTTGCTTCTGATTCTTTTTGTGTTTGCAGGTTTTTGGTTTCGCGGTTGGGTTTTGTCAATGAAGGTTCCATAATCCATCAAATTGCTACGAAGAGAACTAGCTGGATTTTGTTTGCTTGGTTTGTCTTTCAGTTTCAGAGTTCTTTTTTGGTCTTATGTGACACCATCTAGGATTTAGCACACCTTTTACATTACTTCAAGGAAAAAGAGTACTTTATGGAAGAGAACATTACCAGATGGAACTAGAACCATCTCTATGTTGCTAACATTTATACAATAGACTGAGAGATAGGTACGTAGTTTTCCATTTCTTTTAGTTCAAAATTTTTTGGGGGTTCAGTCGTGTATTTGTTTGGAATAACTTCACCATTGTGTGAGAGTTGTAGTATGTTAAATCTCTTTTTGCCCAACTCTCTTGTTTTATACTGTTATGCCATGAAATGATAGTGCCACATTTCACCTTATGTACCTTGAGCAACAAGATTATGCTTACCCATGTCAATACAGGTGATAGGCTTCTCAATGGAGGTCACAAATGCGTTACTCGATGATAACGTGGTTCGTAGATTGTTGAAGATCAATAGTATTCTTGGGTATGGTTTTGGAAGTTAGTTTTGTCTAAAACTTGGGTGCCAAATTACAAAACAACAGCATTAAATTAGTTTGTCAATGAAGAAAACATGCATACAACAATGCAATCGTATGAATTGACTCTATTATTAAGGTATTAATTGGATTGTTTGTGAATTATTAGGTTGGGTTGTTATTTCCCGCTGGTAAAGAAGAAAAAGTGACGGAAGAAATAGTAACCCTTACTTTCACTCGTCACCAATAGTCACCACAAGAGCATTTCCCGTCTTCGAAGCGATGAAACCGGTTATTATCCCTGACAATGATCACTCTCCCACTGCACTTCGACATAAACTTGATTGCAGTATGGCAATCACCACACACTCGAAGGTTCTTCATGATCCGAAGCGGCCTATCATTGTGCGGGAAAACAATGAGCGCGAATGCAATCGCTATCCTTTCACTGTGATACCGAATCGTCTGCTGCTTCTCTTCACCACCCACTTCACGCAACACGAAGCTCGTATCGGCAACATAACCAGCCTTCTCCATGGCCTCGCCCAACTCCTCTAGCTTCTCATATATCTCCTTACTCCTCGCGTGCCCTCTATCCCCTGCGGCAAAAGTGTGCACTTTGTTCCCTTCCTCCACCCAACTCAACCCTGTTTCCTTCTTCACGCCTTGGTCCCTGAGCATCTTCCGAGCTCTAGCTGCATCCTCGTATCGACCAGCAGCTGCGTACGAATTCGACAGTATCACGTGTAGCCCTGGGCTGACGTTCCCCAGCTGGAAGACTCGATCGGCTGCATATGCTGCCAGCTCGGTATTGTGATGAATTCGACATCCTGTCATGAATGCTCCCCACACGGATTCCGTGGGCTCGATGGGCATTCGGTTTATCATCGAGAGTGCTTCCTGCAGTTTACCTGCCCTGCTGAGCAAATCCACCATGGATGAGTAATGCTGAGCACCTGGCTCGATCCCATATCTCGTCTTCATGAGGTCGAAGTAGAATTCCCCCTCTTTGACGAGCCCCGAGTGGCTGCAAGCATAGAGCAAACTCAAGAAGGTGATGAAGTTTGGTTTTACCGTTCCTCCACTGGTTTGCAACTTGTCGAATAAAGCGAAGACTTGGTTTGTATGCGCGTGCTGTGCGCAAGCAATGAGCATGGCGTTCCACATGCCGAGGTTTCTCAAGGGCACCTCGTGGAAGACTGTGTAAGCTTCTTCAATGACTCCACACCTTGAATACATGGAGACAAGAGAGCTGCCCACAAAGCTGGAGGAATTGAAGCTCGTTTTGAAGCACATCCCGTGTATCTGTTTACCGAGTTCCAGCAGAGTGGAATCTCCACAGACCCTGATGACGCTCGAGAATGTGAAATCGTTGACGTCCATACCCGCGTACAAAGCTTGTTTGAAGAGCTTTAATGCTTCATTGTCTTCCCCGAGTTGCGCATACCCATAAATCATACCACTCCAGGAAACTACGTTTCGATCAGGCATTTCATCGAACAGTTGCCTTGCATCCACTATCCCTCCACATTTACAGTACATATCAACCAGGGAGCTCGCCACGAACACATCAATTTCATACCCAGTCTTAATAACGTGACAGTGCACGGATTTACCCACATCAGAACGTCCCATGATCGCGCAAGCCTTGGTGGCACTAGGGTAGATATGATCATCCGGACGCGCACCATCCCCAAGCATTCGACGAAAGTACTCAATGGCGAGACCCGGTAACTCATTCTGGGCCAACGAAGATATGACGGAGCTCCAGGTAGTGGCAGACCTCTGCTGGGTTTCCTCGAAGACCAGGGTGGATAACAGCGGCAGCTCGTTCTTGGAGTAGAAATTGATTAGGTAGTGAGACACGAGAGGAATCGTTCCCAAGCCCGATTTTGCGATGTGGGCATGGAGCTGAAGGCCCGTGGGAAGATTCCGTGACCGGGTTTGAGATAAGAGCAGCTCGCAGATGTACCTGTACTTTCCTTCGAAGGAGAAATGGTTGATCGGCGGCTGTATTTTCTGGTTCTGGTAAAAGTAAGTAGATTGATCTGAATTAGGACTTGGAATTGGAAGAGGCTGCCTTAGACCACTTTCGGAAGGTTGAATCAATACATTCTGAAGGAGATTTGCGAGAACCTTCGGGTGTTTCAGCGGTCTCTCGGGAACTTGGTGAAGAAGCATTTAGTTACAGAGAAGCACCAAAAAAAGCTTCGAGCTTTCTCCTAGAGCGAATGGAAGGGCGGCGCTGAAAGGAAAGAGACGGCCTAATAAAAGGGCGGGAAAATAAAACGACGGCGTTTTAGCTCCCGTAGTAAACGGCAATTTTCTCTCTTTCGTCCCTTCATCGAGTCTAGACTTTTAGACTTAGTCCACAGCGTGGAGCCCTAAATCAAATCATCATTTTTGCCTCAGAGCTTCAGCAATGGAGGTGGAAGAAGAGAGACGGCTGTTATGGAAATCGGAGTTGCAACCGGAATCCATGCTTTCAGTGACAGTAGGGAGAGCGATGTCTACGCTGCTTGCTGCTCGCTGCAGGAAGCTACGCGACTCCATTTCCACCCTGTCTCTCGAAACTCTGAAGAAGCCTTCTTCGCTCGGTACTTGGTTTAAGCTCTCGTTTTCCTTGATTACGTTGGATTTTTGTTTGTGCGATCTCGGAATCTTTTTAATTCGAGTTCTGTTGCTGTCTTGGTGATGAAGGTTCCTTGGAGGAGCAGCTCGTGTTTCTGCATACTTACGTTAAAGATGCAGCTGAAAAGGATGAGAAACTGGATGACGTTCTAATTCCCATCATTCAGCATGTAATCTCTAATACATCACGAATTTGTTGCTTTGCTCCATTCGCCGAGTTCAATATCCTGTGTGTATTCATTACTAGCATAGTTTCAGTCGTGACCTACATCCTCTACAAACTTGAGTTGAAGTGGCTGTGAAGTTATTTTTGTTCCATGTTCTTGAGGTCTGCATTAGCTGAATCGTTCTCTGTTGTTGTTGCTAGTCCTTGGCTAACAAAGACTTGAAACGTGGCGGCCAAGCTCTGGTACTTATCAACTGGCTGTTTCAAGATGAGTTTGTATTCCAAGCTGTTGCGAAGAATATGGTAGACGTTATCAAGGCTAAAGATGACCGTTTCATTTGTCTTGGTTGGTGTGTACTTGTGCGCAGTCTTGTGGAGTATGAGAATTTTATGGATCAGTATTCGTTGTATGGTAAAATATCTGATTCCTTGTTCGTCCTTCTACATCCAAAACGTTGAATTTTGTTAATTAGTTGCGTCAAATCCATGTGTGTGACATGTCACCTACTCTTGCCATTTCTCCAGGAATCAGGGATAACTACCAACCTCTGCTGGACATACTTTGCTTATGTCTACCACATTTATCAAAAATAGTAACTGCAGGGAGGTATGCTTTTCTGATCTTGTATCCTAATGATACTTTTTTCTGACATGCTTCTGGATAAGCTACACTGGTGTAGTTGTATTGAGCATGGAGATTTGAGAATAAACAAAATACTAATTCTTCTTTCTTTTATCTTCTTTTTCAAAAATTTCGACATGAAGCATTCTTCGAGATGGTTTCGAGCTGCCAACTCGCCTATCAGTGTCTGCTGCGGATTGTATTTTAGCTATCAGCAAAGCATTGACCATAAAGGCTAAGGTTTCAAGCACGAAGTCACAATTGTTGACAATGAATGCATCTTCTCAGTCTATGACTCCTCAATCCACTGACACTGCTGTGAAGAAAGTGAAACTGGCATCTAAATCTTCAGAAGGTTCGATGACCGAGATGTCATATTTGCTCTGGGATCAAATGGACATTCTCATTTTGCTATTGCAGAAACTTCTTGCTGTACGCTCTCTACTTCATTGGTTCTTGTCTGTCACATTTCGTACATTTACTGGTTTATTGGGATCCAAGGATATATGTTTTTTCCTCAAAGAGCCAGTTTCCATGGTCAAGAAGACTGCAATAGGAAGTTCTGAATTGGATTTAATGCTATGCTTACTGATTATCACTAGCAGTGCACTTAGTCTACTGCATACAGTTCGTGAAGACTCTAGTGTGTTGATGTTCCTGTCACCCTTTGCAGTGGAGCAGAAAAAGCAGAGTGTTACATGCAAAGGGAGTGGAGTTAGTGCTTAAATGGATGCAGGAAATAAAACAACGTTACCGTGACATCCGAAATGAGGCAGGTCCTACTCTCAGGCATACTCTTCATTTTTAACTTTTGTCATAGCTTCTGATTTGTGTGGATCTTGATAAGTGTGATTGCATCTTGAACATACATCCAGACGCTCTTAAGAGTGGGACATTGCTATTATCATCTTGTTGGAAGCACTTTGGTGGTCTATTGTACTTGGAAGATCATAATTTTTATCAGAAGTGTGATGAGTTGTTGGAACAGTACTCATCTGGAATCCAGGTTAGTTGTGTAATTATCGTTCCCCCCTGTATGTATGCAATGACATGTCCCTGCTAGGAAAAGAGAATTTCCCCACTCTCTATAATCACAGTTGGAAGTCAAGCATGCCTTTTGATTGTACAAAGGTGATGATAAATAGAATTTGGCAAAAGTAAAATATTCGCATAGGTGGGTTCAAGACGCATATGTTCAAATCAATTAGCCTATACACAGAAATATACAGGGAGAAGTTTCAAAATCATCATATGATCAAACATATGCTGTAATTGTTAAGAAAAAACCCTGCTTTCTGCTAATTCTCTAAAACAGTGGTACTTCCGCATAATTTGCTGTAGAACTAGGGTATTCTGCCTTTTTCATATAGAAAGATATGTGGTTGATAAAAGATGCAACCACAGACCACAAGTTTGATACACTTTTTAGTTGTATAACTGCAACTATTAAGTTTGTTTCTGATACTTACTGCACATCTTTGTTGGGGTTTATGCTTCTTAGTCCTTACTGTCTTTACTACCTACAAGTGATTGATATTCTTTTCAATGATTTAAAAACAACATTAATGCAGTACTATATGGAAAACCAAGCTGAGGATCATGGAGAGAAGACAACTAGTGGCTTAGAAACTAGGAAGTTTTTCATCACTTGTCTATGTCTTCTCTTGGGGCGTTTAGATGGCAAGAGATTTGAAAGCTCAATGTCAGAACACTGGGTAAAGATATCACGTATCCTCATATCACAGGTAATTATGCTTTGAATTAGCAGAGGAACATATCATATCCCACTTGTACTTATTCATAGTGGTTATAGTCTGTTGAACTGATATCAGAAATTTTAGAGTAGATGGCCCCGTCTGGGTAGAGCCTCTCAGTATTTACTGGATATTGAATAAATGAGTAGTTTCTTACTCAAGTGTTATTACACTCTTATTTGTCCCCATTAAGTCCACTTTAATTATGGAATTCAGTATTTAATAGCTTTGAGCACCACCGCACAATCGCTAGCTTATTAGCTTCCCCTTTCCATGGGTAGAGCCACTCATTATATATTGCATATTGGATTGTCAGTTTATTGCTTAGATTTTAGGTGTTTGCTTCTTACATCTCTGAATAAGATTAGTTACTGATCCATTCATGTGGTGTTAAGAATGTCCATGTTGAGTAAAATGACATCTTGTGCACAAACTTATACCTCCCTTTTATTTTCTTGCTATTTCCCCTCGTGGTTGAAAAGCTTCACTGCACAGATGAAGATGTGGTCTCTGGAGCTGTTTGCATACTGAAGGCAGCAATATTCAAGAATGACTGTTCGTCTGGGAATGCTCTTGATAATAAACAGATGAATATGATGTTTCCACAGCTACTGAACCTTCTTGATGAACGGGATAGCACAGCTAAAGCCATTGTTATGCTCATAGCTGAATACTGTTCCATGTATTTCTTTTATTCTATTTCCATATGAAAGTCCACGTCCTCTGCTCTTTGTTCTGCTGCTATAATTTATTTGAATTTATGAAATGGATGACCAGGAGCACTGGAGGTCATTGTCTTGAACAGATTCTACAGCGTCTTGCTTCTGAAAATGCTAAGCAGAGGAGGAATGCCATTGACGTCATTTCAGAACTGATACACTTACTATCAAATTCAATAGACAAGCTTCCTTCTGTGGCATGGTATGTTGCAGTATAGGTTGTTTTATCAGCTTTACTTTCCTTCTCAAAGCATCAGTTTGTTCTACCTATAATCTTTTGTTATGATTCCAGGCAAGATATAGCCAACAGCTTGCTCGAGCGCCTTAGTGATGAAGAAACAGTAATACGTGAACAAGCATCCAATTTGCTTGCCAGAATAGGTTAGCCCTGACACAATTCTAATATATGTTGCTTTCATTGATTTGTTAGATGCACCTTGATCTGAACAAATGCTTGCTGCTGGACTTCCTCTTTGATTTTATCAGATCCATCAGTTTCCCTGCCTGCATTAGTTGGCCTCCTTTACTCATCAGATGATAGAGTGAAAAGATCAGCTGCTACCACTTTCGTAGCTGTGCTCAATTATCATGGCCAGGAACCTGGTGTCATATGTATGCTACTTGACTGCCTTAGGTATAGTTCTCTTCTTCATCCATGGAAATATATCATGTAAACTTCCTTACTTTCTTGAAGTTCTGGGGATCCGTATCACTTATCTCTGGTACTTTCTTTGTTACAGTAACCTAAACCAGAGTCGAGATCTTCCAAATGCTACTGGTGATGTTTGGAAAGGTGCATCTCTAACTTGCCTAGTGGTTTATTCAATGTTGAAATATCAAGCTTTTTAGTGTCGAACATGGATTTTAGACCGGAGCCAAGATTTTTCACCTCCTTGTAACAGTTACTTCCAGCTGGCATACGCCTTCATTTTTCATATTCTAATTTTTGTTAAATGATATTGTAGAGTCAAACAGGGATGCTGATCCAGTACTCAAGCTAATACCAGAGTGGTCTAAAACTGTAAGAAAATATTGCGTTTGATCAATCAATGTTTGCTGCAAACCTGCTCTTTCCTTTCAGTTATTTGCTTTCCTGAGTGTATTCATTCCTTTCTCTAAAGGAGCATTGGTTTATAAATGCATGTGTACGTAAAAAAGAACTAACTTCCTATTGTACTGGAACTCCACAGGTCCAAGATTGGAAACCCTTTGTGGCAGCATTAACAGAAAAGATGTTTGCTGATCCCGGCAATGCAACTATTGTCCGCTTTATGAGTTGTCTAAGCGACCGCTTAGCAGAAGTTGCAGATGTGGTCCTTTATAGTGTCTTATTGCAAATGCAAAGACAGGAGTAAGTCTATCCTCAATTGCCGACACTCTTCGAGCTTTTTGGTCCCGACTGTCATTTGGACCTGTGCAAGTACATAATTGTTCTATCTAACTGCCAGTAGAACAAGCGTGATGTTAGAATTCCAGCTCTTGAAATGTGTTATGTTTTAAATGGATGGAGGATAATTCTAATATGGACTACATCCACCTTGCACACCTTTCCTCCCACCCTGGCCTCCCCTATGCAAACACACAAGATGCAACGAATCTTGAAATGGACAATCGTTACAGGAACGTTAAAAATGTGACTGAAGTAGCAGAAAACAGTTAACACCTCAAAACATTGCATTTCATGATGGTTGGCTGGATCTGTGAACTCCGGTCCTTGGCCTTAGTCCTGATAAAAAAGTCAAGTTTGTTTTATTGTGTAAATCTGAGCATGATTTCTTGTTAATTTTCCCTATTCATAGGGTTGATGAAAGTTTAGTCTCTCAACGGGAACGTGGATCATATACAAATCAGGACTCCGTGAAGCAACAGTCCTTGTTTGACCGCCTTTGTCCATTACTCATTATTCGGATGCTTCCATTAAAAGTTTTTGATGACCTTAATCTCTCTGTGATGTATGGTCAACTTCTCAACCAATGGGTAATTCTTGGTATGTCACTGTATGTCGTTAAACTTCTTCCTCAGTTTCAGCTCAATTACTATCTTTCTATGATAAACTTCAGCTGAAGTTGCTCCTGATAATTTTGTATCTTTTGATGCTTTCCTTTTTTATGCAACTATCTTGATGGTGTTGCTGGAATTTTCAGGATGTGGTGATATCAAAGCCGACCAAGAATGTATATCTGCATTTCTTGTCAAGAGGTTAGGCCATCAGTGTCTATCTTCATAAGCATGTGAACGTGAATAAAACTAACTTGGCATTCTATTAACTCTGTTTCTGTTTTCAGGGCATTGAATGAGTCCGAATTTGAAGATGTTCGAAAACTGGCAGCTGAACTTTGTGGCCGAATTCATCCTCAGGTATGTATTGAGTGCACCCATGAATTTACCATTAGTTATTTTGCACAGTGTTCTGGAGGGGGGCTTGAAGTTCTCTGAAAATTTTACTTTATCCAATTTTCTTTTTTCATTAAAATGTTCCTGATTATTTAGGTGCTCTTGCCTGCTGTTACTTCAGTATTGGAACATGCAACAGTGCTTCATGACACATTGAAGATCAAGGCTTGTCTGTTCTCACTTTGCACTTCTCTTGTGGTAATTATTTTGATCTTTCATGTGATTCACTTCTTCAGGGATACTACTGTCAAATGCTATCCTCATATGTTATCGACTAACTCAACTGCATGTTACGACACTGATAGGTTAGAGGTGGAGAATCTTTTCCCCATTCTGCTCTCCTCAAAATTAGACAAGTCCTTGAAAAGATACTAAGGTGGCCTCCTTTGGATAACAATGAAGGTATGAAAGAAGGCCAGGCTCTCAATTATCCGACAAGTCAATTTGCATTCTGTTTTAAAATTTAAATCATGCACTTTGTTTCAGTTTCCAAAGCACAACGTGGATGCATCGACTGCTTGGCACTAATCATTTGTGCTGAGCTGGAAGGTCCTGGGTCAGACATAGAATCTCGTCGACGAAAATTTTCTGGTTGATTGCTTGTTCTAGACATTTTGAATGTTTGATATAGGTGATCGTCGTGAATGTTTAATGCTTGAACTGTACCATACAGGAAAAGCCGACACAGAAACCTCCATTTTCAATTACGTGATCCATCAGCTGATAACAAATGAGGAAGAAGTCGAAAATTCTGCATACGAGGCTAACATCTCTCGTTCATTCCGCATTTGCATGGCCAACGTCCTCATAAGTGCTTGTCATAAAGTCTCCGACTCTAACAAGGAGTCTCTGGCTCAAAAAGCGCTTCTGCATCTCATCCCTTCTGTCAAGGTAGCCCTTTCTATAAGGCCTCGTTTCTTTCTTCTTCCTTGTTTCTTACTTTCCATTTAGTTAGCAGTGTTTCTCCAGCTGACGACGTTTTCCTCCTAACAACGCAGGGAATAAGGTACCCAGAGATAAGATCTGCTTGCGTGCAGGTTCTGTTTTCAGCTGTTTACCATCTCAAGTCTGCAGTTCTTCCATATTCAGCCGATCTGCTTAAACTATCTCTTGAGCTGCTTCAAGATGGATCAGAGAAGGTATATTGGATCCATGTTTGTTTAAGGTAATCTATGTTGCTTATCAATTATCATGAACACATATTCTCATCAAGCTTGTGGCTGGTTTGTGGAAACAGGAAAGACTTGGAGGCGCGAAACTGATGGCGTCCCTTATGGCGAGCGAAGACGAGATTCTGGAGACGATATCAGTTGGCCTGATAGAAGCAAGATCTGTTCTCTCAAATGTATCCAGATCCGATCTTTCGCTTGAAATTCGCCAGATATGCAAGCAGCTGCTGGCTTGTATAACAACTTAAACATACTGACAATCGGTTTGTGGAATTAAGACTCCCTCCCTACTAAGTATATTACCAATTTTAATTTCCATCTAATTTTAAGGGTAGCCCGTTCTAGCATTTGAAGGCAAAGAAAGGAATTGAAGCAAAGCTCGTCACTTTCATGGAGTTGGTTGCTTGGCATTAAAGCAAAAGTTAAGGCGGCAAGTGATAGTACAAACTACGGAACAAAGGGCGCCTTTTTGGCCGCTCAAGTGCGCACCTTTTGGCCCGTCGCTTACGGCGACAAATGGCCATCACAGGTTATTTATTAGGCTGATAAGTTGGATAAACTTTCGGTTGATGCCAATCGTTGGATCGAATACGATACTATTGTTTGATAAAATTGCCGCGTCACATCAACTCTTTCATTAATATGGTGTGAAATCGACGAAATAGTATAAACTTGTACTTTACTTCTGTGAAACTGCTTTTTTTATTTATTCCAAGGTGCATAAGTTCATGTTGAGGTTCCATTTGTAGTGGACTACTTGGATACTCAATCTTGACTTTACTAACAAGTCTGAAGAAGATGAAGAAGACAGACAAGTTATTTAAATTTTTAGAGAAATTAAAATACATTATCTAACTCAAAGCCTATCATATTAACATTATACTTATATATCAATAAATAACAATCATGAATGTGTAGTTTCAAAATATTTGTAGTTTCCAAAATATAGGTTCAAAACTCCAATCTAAAAATACTTACATTAATAAGTTTCTCCATATAGTTGATAAATAATTAGTGAGTTTCAAAACATTTGTAGAATGATAATTTATAATCAACAATTAATTACTAACTTGTATAGATACCTAATCCGAAAGCTCAAAGTGTAACAAAGAAGAAATTTCCTTATCTCCTCCTAATTGCTAAACCCAAAGGGGAAAAAGCTTTTGTTTATCCACAAGCAAAAACGAAAAAGAAACAACAAAAAAAGGTACCGTCGTCTCATCAATACATCAGACAAATAAATTCGCCCTCTCTCATCATCATTTCTTCCGCGAATCAAAGCCAAGAAAGAAGAAAACCTTCACGAGAAACCCCTCCGCCGCCCAGATTACGACACGAATCCATCTTCTTCGCCGGAAAGAGCTGGACCCCGACGGTTGCAGGTCGTCGGATTCTAGCGGGAAACTCTAAATGTTGCAGCTCTTCTTCGCGGTGGCGTTCTCGGCGGTGCCGTTGACGCTCTACATCCCGCCGATCCGCTCCCTCAACCTGTTCGTGGAGACGATCGAGGATTTGCTCCGTCAGATGGCCGTCCATACTGTCCGGACGTATCCTCGGATACGCTTCGGCTTCTCTCGCATCCTCAACAACCTCCTCCATCTCGCCAGGTAAATCAATTCGTAAAACCCCTCTCCGCCGCCCGCCGCCGGCCAGCACCAGATCGAAATGTCCGTTGTTGTGTTATCTCTGACTAGAGGCCGCTCGTCCTTCGCCTTTGGATCGTTGTTGAAAATTTTGATTCCATAGAAACTACTGGCTGCTGCCTGCTGTTGTTTGTTTGTTTGTTCGTTGTAAATACTCTTGTGTAGCTAGCTGATGATAGATAGAGATCGAATCGGCTGAGAAGTTCTTTAGCAGATTTTCGTTTACTCCTCTGAATTAGGTTTTGACCGATTAGGTTGATAGATTCTCTTCGTGTGCTGGATTTGGCTGTAATATTGTTTTTTTTTTTTTTTGAGGTTTCTGTATTATCTCTGATTGAGCAATAAATTTATAAAAAATTGAAATATCTTAATTCTTCAGATTCTCGTTTGAAATTTCTTCCGTCTAGTGTTTTCTGTTTTTTCTGAAACAAGCTGATCAATCCGATTCATATTTGATCCGTCTAACAATTTAAATCGTCAGGTCGGGCCTGCGGCTCGATTAGTGGTGGAAATCGGTTTGGTTTGTAGTGGATTAGTTAAGATAAGCATTATGCAGTGTTCGGTTATGGTGGGGTTAGGCCGGCTGGAGTCAGATAATTATGGGTCTGGGGCTGGTTAGTGGTTGAATTAACATTGCTTCATGTATAAATGAATACAAAAGGGGATTCCTTTCCAGGTCCAAAACCCCACCTTAACCAATTAGGATCAGGTCGACCTTACCATTTAAATAACCCAGTATTTGATCATACTATCATTCATTCATGATAATCCAAAGACTACATCTTTTACTTGGAAAGCCAAGATTCACATAGGCAGGCATATGGTTATGGGGAAGTGACGGGATCGGAGAGCTCACCGATGGACAAATCGAAGCCGCGATTCTAAAGTTCGCGATACTCCCAACACAAGGTATTGTGGGTATGTCGAAGAAGGTTAAGATCCATACATGGACCATGATGGACCTCTCCCAACTCCGTAACCCAGGTGGTAGAGGAAGGAGGAGGAATGAGAACAGAGAGAATTGACAGTTGCAGCTGTAAGTAACTAATGCAGCTGACTGTCATAAAGAATAAGAGCCTGTACAAAAAGTCTCAAAAACAGATATTGAAAACAGGTGAAAACAACATTTTGTTGTTTCCGAAAACAGCAGGAAGTTGCCACTTTCTGTTTTCATAGTTGGAAACGAATAGAAAACAGAATGAAAAGTAAACAAAGTTTTCTCGTTTCGGTTGCCAAATTTATAACATGAAAACAGGAAACGAAAAATGGAAGTGAACGTGGCCTAAATGATCAAGATGTAACTCACCATCCATAAACCCTAAACGACAGTAAAGCCCTAAACATAGGGACTAGGTTTAGGGTCACATCATAGTTCATTGTTCATACCAGTAGGAGCTGATCTGTTTCGCAAGCATCTCAGCATTATCAAATGATTCCCTCCACAAGCAAGAAACAAATCAAGTGAATGGAGGTACATGAAAGGACATTTATCTCAACAAGAAGCAGCCTTGGTCAGCCAGCCCCATGATTGGCCACGTCTCGAAGCACATTCCCGTCGTGTTGTTTTCACCATTGACATCAGGTAGCACCCCAGCTTTCATTATATGGATTCCACCATAGACATGGATCAACTGCATCAACTAGGAAGATCCAGAATAATGGGCATCTCTCCTGCTTTTTCTGCCACACTTCAACAGCTTCCTTTTCGATTTACTTCCTCTCCGAGGTTTACCTCGCTCCTCCAGGATACCTCGAACAGAGGCTCCTCCAGACAAAAAGAGAGCTAACATCTCCTCAATTGCAACAAGTTTCCAAGCTGTCTCTTATTGGTGGCATCTTGGAAAAATCCGACATCAGGAATCTGCCAACTTAGGCCACTATAAGGACTGGCAGAGATGTTCCTAAACACTGGAAGAAGTACTTGTGGAATCTATATCCATTTCTCTCAAGTGCTCTCCATGTATGTTATCCTCTGAATATTTCCTCCTTGTGAATTCTGCACAATTTTCTCTGTTGTTCGAGTAACTTGACCTGAGGGCTCGAACATAGCCATTTTTTCGGACAAGTTCCGAATCCCATCGTGGTCCTTCGCTAACTCCATCAGCACCTTGATCCTCTTAAAAGAAACATGACTCGGCTTCTGTCCCTTCTCTACCATCTCCATGAAACATTTCTCAGCTTCCACCAACTTCCCCATATCACAAAGCAAATCAAACAGCACATCAGATACCAAAGTATAAGACCCGAAACTCTTGTCCACCATATCACCCCACAGCTGCAGCGCCAAGTCAACCCTCTCGTGCCTCCTACACAACCTGATCAGGAACATACATGACTGTGTGTTGGGCAAGCAACAAGCATCCGTCATTCGCAGATACAAGTTCCACGAACTGCGCAGATCGTTCGACCAATAAAACACACGGAAGAACAAATTGTAAGTGGTGGAATTCGGATTCAGTTCCTTTGCCTCCATCTCATCCAACAAGTCATAAGCATCACCAAGCCTCTTGGCAATACAGTAGTTCCGGACAACAGCATTATAAGCTGCAACATCCGGGTAACAACCGTATTCCCTCATCTCCTTCAGCACATCTCTGGCTTTATCCGGCTGACCGATCAACCCTAACCCTCCAATAATGCTGGTATACGTTATAACATCCGGCGATATATCTTCATTCCTCATCTTTTCAATCATATCATATGCCTTCTTCATCTCTCTTCCCTTACAGTACACATCAATCAAACAATTATAGGAAACCACATCAGGTTTCACCCCCATCTCCTCCATTTCCCAGAAGAACGACTCCGCTTCCTCTGCAGACTTCCAACCGGACAAAAGTATGTTGAAGGTCTGCAAATTCGGCTTGAACTCGGTCTTCAACCTGTGATAGACATTCCTAGCATCAGTCATGCTCTTCTCCTGACACAGAGTTCTCAGCAGGGCATTGAAACAGGTGGTATCAAACTCAGGAACCAACTTCCTAAACTTCCTAAACGACTCCACCGTCATCCTGACCGAACACAGCTTGGCGATTCGACCCAACACCACCTGCACAGTCCGTGGAGATATCAAGTTCCTATCCTTCTTCTTAATCTCTACCAAAACATCCCAAATGTGATCGAATTTGCGGCTCCTACCGAGAATGTAAAGCATGGTGTCCAGAGAAAACGGAGAGTGATAAAACCCTCTTCTGTCCCCCGTTACCTTGAAGAACTCGAGGGCGCGCAGAGGGTTTCCATGGCTAAACCGGAACTTCTTCAGAACCTTGTCGATTACATCGTTGGAGAGGAATACCCCGGCCGATTTCAAAGATTGCCCAAGGTCATCGGGCGAAGCTACACTCGTAATGACGCGGTAAACGGTCTCTACATCGTCGAAATCTTCCTGATTCGACGAGCCAGCGGCGGCGCGGGAGAAGCGGGCGAGAAGAATAGGGCAACTCGCGGCGGCTCGATGATTTTGTTGCGGAAAGGGAAGGAGGAATCTATGTGAAGCGTACCTTGAATTTGTTGCAAAGGAGAGTGGAGGCTTTATTATCATTTCAGGGGTTTGTCTCGTCGGCTTTTGATCATGCTGTTGCAAGCAGCCGCCGGAAAACAGACGGAAGCAGGAGAATGAAGACGGGATGCGGCGTTCAAAGGTTGCTGCTGCTCGCTTTCCTCTGTTTGGAGGGAGCAGTCAGGCAGAGATTTGTAGCAGAAAGGGTAGGGTAGCGGTTAATGAACAATATGGTACCCGTATTCCGCTAGGTAGGGCAAACTAGTCACTACATTTTAATTTATGACAATTAAGTTAACGAGGTGTACGAGAACCGTTAGATTAGTATTCGTCGTCACTTCCTCCTTGTTTCGTCACGTTTTTTGCAATTTGTTCATGAGGTACGAGAACCGTTAGAACAGTATTCATTATCACTTCCTTCTAGTTTCGTCACGTTTTTTGCAATTTGTTCACTAATATGACATTCCAATAAGTATGAAATCGACATATTGATTGCCACGTTAGTGAAATTGTCGACTACGATGAGGTCACAAGATCTGTTTATGTGAATTAATTGAATAATCACTCGAATTTAATATATTTGAGACAATAAAATTATCGGGCAATTGAATCATCAATGTTAGGTTAAAGCAATATACAAATGATTTCAACTACATTTGAAACTTAAAATTTTGATAGAGGTGTGTTTAAGTAAACTATATATGAAGCGACAAATTCATTTCAGTAATATAGTTTAATTATTCCAACTTTACTATCACTCTATATATTTATAGAGAATACATTAGGTAAGTAACTAATCGAAGATTATTCATATCGTAATTAATTACGAACCATCTATTGACTATTGAGGTAATAAAATGTAGTATAATTTATTTTTTGGACATTCAAAATAGTATAATGACTGCTTTTGTAATTTTATTAGATCGGGGGCTTCTCTTTTTTTTCTTTTCTTTCTGGCGCTCTCTTCCTTCTCGGACAGTCTTCTTCACTCGGTCGCTCTTCTTCTTTGGTTCTACTTCTTCCACCCCTCTCTGGCTGCAATTTCTCAGAACTTCAAATTCTTCCATCTTTGAGTTGATTTCGAATCCATCCAATTTTCTTCCGACCCAATTCCCGGCGAGTGCTTAGGCTTTCCTTTCCCTTTTCCCTCATTTGCGTCGTCTTATGATCGTCTACTTTACACCGATTCCACCGTCAGTGTTGCGGCGTAAAAATGTGAATGGAAAGAGTGAAAAGTGACGGAATCAGAACCGGCTGTTTCCTCAAAGCCCTAATTCCTCCCTTGGTCGTGTAAAGCACATAGCTGGGTTAGAAGAATTTGTGAAGTTGCCGAGTTTTCTGACATGTCTGACCCGCCTGTCGACGGTGACAGCCTCGTATGGTTATGGCTGATTGAGTACCTAGCAAGCTTCCCAGAGACACACTCTTTAGTTCTCCTTCGTACGTTATTTTGGGGAGTTTCTTTCTCTTGCTGTTATTGTTACTTGGGTTTTGGAACGGGAAAGAAGTTTGTTGAATGGTTTTGTTTCTTTTTCCAGAATTGATAGAGCAAGCGTCAGCTTTCCCCACTGATTTCGCCAAAAGCGCGAGGGAAAAGGTTGCTCTAAGGCGCTTTGAGGCTTTGTATGCTATGACAAATGGGGTTCCATCTTCTTCAGAGCCCAAGGTGACAATCGATCAGTCAAACAGCTGTGAAGATATGATCCGAACAATATTGCAGGAGGTAATCACTCTGTAATTCTGTTTGGAAACCATGTTTTCCCCCTTCCCTTTGTAGTATACTTACATGTGTGAAGCTATGGTGAGTTGCTGGACGTTGTATTATCTAAGTTGGAAATGAACTGAGAGTGTGTTCTTTTTTTTAGATGAAGGAACTGAGAGTGTGTTCTTGTTTCTCCTTGATCAGCTTCCGTTGTCAGATATGAGAAAGGGTGGGGCAGAGCTGTTGAAATGGGATATTCAGCCTTTCATTATGCACAAGAATGCTTCCATGCCTAAATGTGCTTTAGAGCAGGTATAATCTGTAAGGTTGTTTGGTTTTGATGAACTCCTTGTTTGGGAGAAAAATGCAATGTTTACAAATATTGTTCTTTTTTCATCTTCTGAGCAGATAAAAGAGATGATTGTAGAAGGTTCCGACTCATTTTCTGCTTTATTGGCTAAATGTAGTGGATTGCCTAGGAATTGTAATGTCCAGGAGGAAAATGGGCATCCATCCGAAGAAGGTACACAAAGAGATACTGGTAGATGTGGTCACAAGAGAGTTAATGATGACTCAAAGAAGAGCAATTTTCTGAGCTCGCAAGGTCTGCTGAGTAAGGAGTTTATGGCTGCAGCTGATTTTTCAGGTCAAATCTCTGTTTCAAATGTAGCAGAAATGGCCAGTTGTTGTGTTGTGGTAAAGATGGTTGCCCTTTGGTTTTTCATGAGAGCTGCTTGGGTTGTACACCAAGTGCTGCTAATGGAGGACAATTCTGCTGCCCCTTTTGTGTGTATTCTCTTGCCATTTCAGACTACAAGAAAGCTAAGGAAAGGGCATCTGTGACGTGGAAGCAACTAAGTGCATTTCTTCATGAAGTTCCAGAGAATTTATCAATTGAAAATTCTAAGAGATCATCTGAAGATGGGACGAGGAACCTGCGGAAGAGAAAAGGCAATCAAACGAATAATGGAAAAGATGTCAATGAAGGCAATGATAACCAATTTCAGAATGGAAAAGGTAGTGTACAAGTCGAGGCTGTGCCTGCCCATTGTGTCAGCAATCACCCTACTAGTGAACAGGATCCAGGGGCTGTTCTTTCTGTTTCAAGAAGTACTTCAGAGAGTGAAATCAACGGAAGAACTCAATCGTGCCCATCAGTAAGAGTACCGGAAAGACACCAGGACCTTGATCTTCTTGGGCCCCCATGCTTAGGTAATAATCCATCGCGTGAAAAGAAAGATGTAGTCTCGGGAGAACCGGGGCTAGCTAAAAGAGTGACTAAGAAGGACGTTCCAGAAAAGATACTAGAGCACAAACCTGTGATGCCTATTCGTGCTGTCCCAATGGGTGGAAGAGCTTCTACCAATGAAAATGATAAAGCTATGAGCCCTAACCACTCTTTGATTTTGAAAAAGAGAAAAAGGTAAGAGTAAGTTAGTAGTTTGAAAATTCTGAGTGATTGCCATACTTTGATCCTGAATAGTGGTTGATTTTGTTTTTAATATTGGTAGTAACCTTGATAGCATCTTGTCACATTCTAGATTTTCTTCGACTTGAAAACAGGTTGTTGAATTCATTCCTTTTACGTTTTCATCTTTCAACATCTTACCTGTGTGAGTAGTGCATTGTTCATGCGGTGATCATTATCAATCAATCTATACGTCATCGTCTGAGCAGGAAGGATCAAATTTCTTCACCGAGGCGACGGAAAGTTCAATGGACAGAAGCAGAAGAAACGAAGCTCAAGGTTATCATTTTGTCAAAGTTCATGAGACTTGTCCTGTTCTTTCACCTACGCGTCATTTTTCTTGTTTAGCTTTCTCTTTTAGCATGATTGATGTTGTTCTCGCTGTATTTCTGCAGGAAGGGGTAGAGAAATTCTCCAACAATGGAAATCTTTCATGGAAGTCCATATTGGAGTACGGGAGGGCTGTTTTTGGTGATACTCGCAATCCCGAGGACCTTAGGAGTAAATGGAAGAAGATGTGTAAAAGATAGTAAGAGTTATCACTTATCAGCCAGCCTGGTAAGTTTCAACTCAGTTTTTCCTCATTTTTTCTTCTTCTTCTTTTCATTCTTCTGCATATATGCTTATTTATTGATGCTTTCTGATAGTTGGTAATTCCCCGTGGTAGATCTCATCTTGATGTAGAGAATCTGAGCCCGGAAGCAGGTGTGTTGCTCTTTATTTGATGAAGGATTAGCTTTTTCCCTCGTGTTCGTTTCTGGTTGCTTGTCTTCTTTTTCTGCATGCAACATGGTGTAAATTCTTTCATCCTAAACTCCATTGCAGGTTGGACAACGACATGTTTGTGGTTTCTGCAGCTGGCAATACTTTTGTGGAGCTATGAGGTCGTCATATTTCCTTCTCGAACCAATAGTATGTACAAAATTTGCAGGGTTTTCTTTTGTGATCGATCTTCGTTGCTTAGTCAATAGAGATGGAGATGCCACAGAGAATTTTGATCGAAGTTCTCGCTTCAGATGATGGTCTGATGGCTTTTTGACCAATCATTTGGAAGCAGTAATTAGAATGTTGTCATTAGACTCATGATACGTTTTGAAGTCTTCTTTGTATGTATAGTTTGCTAACTGCAACAGAGACATGTATATGGTGTAACTCTGAATGCACGAATACCAGCATATGTATTTATTGAACTGAGATAATTGTGTTGAATAGTAAGCATTGGTGCATAATTGTCATCCAGCCTAGCTTGTTCTAACTTCTACGGCTGTTGTATCTTGACTCCAGTCTGTCCACCGACGGCCGGGATTGTGGATAAATGAATGAATTTGGAGAAATAGAGTCACAGAGATAGGGCGGCAAACGAGCCGAGTCGAGTTTTTGCTTAGCTTGAGCTTGGCTCGTTTATTAATTTTTTTAGCTCGAGCTCGGCTCGAGCTCGAATTTTGATAATCTAGTTCGAGCTTGTGCTCGACTCAATAGAGCTCGATAAATGCTCATTAACATAGCTTGTCAAGCCGAGTACAAGCTCGGCTGAAGATGAGCTTGATTTAAAATCATTATTGCTGGAAAAATGTGTAAACATAAGAATTTAAATGATAGAAAAAACACTAAAAACTATAAATAACATCTAAATCTCATACACATTTGTATTAACAACACAATTTTATATGTTTAAAAGGGTAATTCATCCTTCCACAAGCTCTAAACAAAGTAGCTCGCGAGTTTAGCTCAACAAACCACCGAATCAAGCTAGCTCGCGAGCTTATCAAGCTAAGCAAGGTCTAGCTCAAGCTTGGCTCGTTAACTAATGAGTTGGCTCGCGAGTCGGCTTGTTAAATAACGAGTCAAGTGTCGAACGAATTTTTTGCTATTCGAACCCCGAGTTGCTCGAGAGCGGCTTGACTCATTTGCAGCCCTACATAGAGAATCCAAATTTTAGAGAAGTATGGGCTTAAAATGTTTCCCGAGGCCCGCGGTCACTACATCTTGTAGTATATAAAGAGCGAGCCTTGCTCAAAAACCCTAACGACCTTACAAGATAAAGCACATCCTCAAACCCCATCGCCACCATCCCCGCTTTCCTACATAACGAACATTCCTCTTCCACCGGAGGCCGACTTTCTATGGCCGCTTTCCTCCGACACAGCGCCGACGACCTTTTCCTCCGCCAAACCACTATTACCTCCATTATTGCGACTACCATCACCATTTATTGAGATTGAAATCTCTTGTGTCTCCAAGGGCTGATATTATCGTAAACAAGTGAAATCTTGATCGAACGAGCGAATCTGTTTTTTGGGCATTTAAGTTCTGTTAGAGATCTATCTCGTCTCTAGAAAAGATGGCTGCTTTGAAAGGCTGCAGCTCGCTCAATCTTTCCCGACCCACCACTCTCTCCGCCGATAGCTACAAGAGGTTTGTTGATGGCGATGCTTCTTGAACTAGTTATTCATTAATTAACTCTATCTGTGTTGGTTTGCTGTCTTTTCCTTTATTAATTTGAAGGGTTTTTTTGTCCTGAATGGGTTCGCTTTTTCATACTCAATATTCGGTTATGGGATCACTTGTTGCTTACTCGGTTTTTTCTTCTTCTTTTTTCTGGCTCTCAGGAGGAGTTGCCGATGGAGACCTCCACAGGCTGCTGTGATACCCAACTTTCATCTTCCAATGCGTAGCTTTGAAGTTAAAAACAGGTGAACTTGTAATGGATTGTCTGATATGTATGTTCATAGATTCAATGGTCGACTCTTTCTTGGTTCTGCTTTACCGATTTGTTCACCAGTTACTTAAGATTGTTTGGTCTCCAAATCCATTTAAAGAGGGGTGCTAGTGTTTTTGCTTTGGCATTGTAATTTGGATAATTCCAGGTAAATGGGAACATGCCCACTTTCATTAGCAGAAATGGGTTCCCTGCTCGCATACGTGTCTTGTTTTCTTTGTTTTCAAGCGTGCATTTTGACTCTATCATTGCCATTTTGGCACACGAGATTAGTTATACTTTCTTCCAGTGATGTGGTTTTGAGGCTGTTTTTTTTCCTCAATATTATGTGGATGAATCAGAAGTGGATGCGGAACTTTATGTTGCCTGTTGTGATGATATCTTGTTCTGAATTCCTGTGTGCTGAATTCCTGTGTTCTGAATTCCTGTGTTCTCAGGACATTGGCTGAAGACATTAAGGCTCTTAGATTGATCACGGCCATCAAGACCCCATATCTTCCTGATGGTCGATTTGATCTCGAAGCATATGATGCATTAGTGAATATGCAGATTGGTGATGGCGTTGAAGGCGTGATTGTTGGCGGCACGACTGGTGAAGGTCAATTGATGAGCTGGGATGAGCACATAATGCTGATTGGTCATACAGTCAATTGTTTCGGCAGTTCAATCAAGGTGATTGGCAACACCGGGAGTAACTCTACAAGAGAAGCAATCCATGCAACTGAGCAAGGCTTCGCAGTTGGGATGCATGCTGCTCTTCACATTAATCCTTACTATGGCAAGACTTCTGTGGAGGGCATGGTCTCGCACTTTGAGCACGTGTTACCAATGGGTCCGACAATCATTTACAACGTGCCATCCAGGACCGGCCAGGACATTCCGCCTGGGGTGATTCACACGCTAGCGCAAAGTCCTAATCTTGCCGGGGTGAAGGAATGTGTTGGCCATGCAAGGGTTGTGCAGTATACTGAGAATGGGGTCGTGGTGTGGAGCGGGAATGATGACGAGTGCCATGATTCGAGGTGGGATCATGGTGCTACTGGAGTGATCTCTGTTGCTAGCAACCTGGTTCCTGGTTTGATGCATCTGCTCATGTTTGGAGGGAAGAACCCTTCCCTGAATTCAAAGCTGTTGCCTTTGATTGATTGGTTGTTCAAGGAACCTAACCCCATTGGATTGAACACTGCTCTTGCACAGCTCGGGGTTGTGAGGCCGGTTTTCAGACTGCCGTATGTGCCCCTCCCTCGCCCTAAGCGGGTCGAGTTTGTGAATTTGGTGAAGGAGATTGGGCGGGAGCATTTTGTTGGGGAGAAAGATGTTCAAGTTCTTGATGATGATGAGTTCATATTGATTGGTCGTTATTAGTGGGATTTTGTCTGTCTTTCTAATATGTAGTTGCAGCTTGAATTGTACTTTGGTAGCGAGATAAGTGTAGGGTGTTATCAGGTTCTGTTTAATGTTTTACCTTGTATGATATCATAATGTTGAGAAGCTTCTGTCCGTGCACGTGATTTGCAGCTTCTCGATCTGAAGGTTGTTTGGTGTTTTGCAGAGAGATGGAAAATGCTGTGAGATCTCTGGTGCTTTCTTTTCTCTGTTTTCATGTTTCTCTTTTGCATTATCAATAAGATTTGCATAACAGATCAATAAGATTTTATGAGAAGTGAACCAAAAAAAGCTGGATCTCATCAATGGCAAGTTCCATGGAGCTCTTATATGAGTCGATTTTTTAGTTGAAAAATGTATTAGGGTAGAAACACAACGAGAGAAAATGTCAAAATAATCTAATTTTCTAGCAAATAAGCTTGTATACGACATAAATATTATTTAGATACGAACACTCAGAACAATAGTTGCACACATGGTTTGAACCTGTTATCTACGGGTTGCAAAAACTCGTATCCGATCCTAAAAATACGTATTCGCAAAAAGAAACTCTCACACGGTCTTATTTTAATTTTAATAATAAATATGAATAAATTATGTTGGGTTATGATTATTTTTTTGTTCATGGTTGATCTCATACATGATGAGACTTGTGACAACCCTTGTGTGTTTTGTACTTTGTTGTTGGGTTCTTAGTTTATTAGTCAATAAATATCGTCATTAACAAAAATAAAATTAAAAAAACAGCATGATTAAGTATTAATAAAATAAGAAATGTTCGATTATGATAGTGGCTAAACGCCTAAACCTGAAAGAGAAAAAAGAAAATGCATAGAAACTGGACAGACACCGAAGCAAATGCAATCGCCACCCGTCGCGCGCTTCGGCATATCTAACTGCAAAATCTATCTCTGCGGATTTCTTTAACGAAAATCATATTTTACTTCCCTCTCTCCCTCCTTCCGCCATTTTTGCTTGCTCACGCCTCTTCAGCTACTACTCGTTTATCCACTGCCGCGATTTCCGTCAGCCGTCGTCGCTCAACTATCCGGTAAACTCTCCTCTTCGTTCCTTCTTCCCCGATTCCTCTTCGCTCTTTCCTCCTTGGTTATCTTTGCGGCGTCTCGTTCTGCTTCGTTCGATATTCTTGCAATGCTGAATGCTCCGTTTGGTTTGTCGGCACCTGTGCTTTTGATTTTCCAATCCGAATTTTAACCCGACGATTTTTCTTAGTCTTGTTCTATCGTCTTCCGGTCGAGCTCTGGGATTCCATTTCTGTCGTCAGTTGGCCAGAATCTCCTTCTTTCACTCCGATTCCGTTGATTTTATACGTCCGGTTTGGATTCGTCGCCAAATACTGTGCGAGTTTTTTTGTTGTTGTTGTTGTTGTTGTTCTGGTCTTGTGATGAACGATTCGGCAGAATGATATTGCATTTCTGGTGAAGCAGCAGCAAGTTCATGGAATTTTTTCGCAGCTACCTTTACTCGTCTGACATCATTTAGTGTAGATTTTGTTTTGTTCATCAGACTCCAGACGTTTGTGGCCATGGACCTTCCCCGGTTTTGTTGTTGTTGTTGTTATTGTTATTGCTACTGAATTTGGCAGCTGGTGGTGAAAGGAAGCCGCCATGGGGTGTGACAAAGGGCAGCTCAGGGTTGCGGGAAGGTTTCCCGAAGTTGGGGCGATCTTCATGTGTAATCGTGCTACGAAGAAGGAATGTTTTCGACGCAAACTCTTTGGCCTTCCATCGGGGAAGGCCGATTTCGTAGCGCATGTGAAGGCTGGAATGATTTTGTTTCTGTTCGAGTATGAGAGGAGAGAGCTCCATGGTGTGTTCCGGGCGTGCTCTGATGGGGCAATTGATATTGTGCCACATGCGTATGGTGATTCCGGGATGCAGTTCTCTGCACAGGTACGCATTGGTTGTGTATCATCGTCTCCTTGACTGATTTTCATTCATGTGTAATGTTATACGAGAATGTGGGAATCAGTGAATCAATCAAGAAGGTGATGTTGAACTCCAACGTTAATGGTCGTCCAGCTAGTTTCATTCAACTGCTACTTCCTGTGTTTATTTCGATCCTTTTCTCTAGGTAAGGTTCACTACTATTTTGAGGTGTAGTCCACTTTCGGAGGATGAATTTTCTGGAGCAATCTGAGAAAATTACTTCTCCCCAAAGAAGTTCAACTTTGGACTGAGTGAAAGACAGGTGCGCACCGTCTCTGTAGCTAAAGAATATTTTCCATCTATAGATGCACTCAGTAACCAAAATCTTTTTTGTGATTTCTGTTGTAGGTCGAAAAGCTTCTTCAACTCTTCAGCTCAAGGAAGATACAGCGGCAGCTTCATCACAGACAATCTCCACAAAACGATGTTAGAAGATCATCACCTGCAAATTATGTGAGTTCTCATCCTGAAGGAGCAATCGATGGTGGCTACAGAAGCCTTGGTAGGGAAAGATACGAGCAAAATGCTGTTTCTGGTTCTGGATCATTCCGCTCCCCCGAATATTCGGAAAACACAACCAATTTTATTAGAAGAGCAGTGGATGATGCAAGCATTACTATAGGAAATAGTCGTAGATTGAATGATAGGTCTCAAGTGCCGGTTACCCCAACAGAAGACGTAGGGGACCTAATTGTCAGCAATAATGTAGCATTAGAAAGACCAGTTCATCGGGATAACTGGCAGTCAACTTTGGGGGATTCGAGAAATAAAATCAATGCAGATTTTGTCCATGGGCTGGATGGTGGAAGCCGGTATTCTGAACACATTTTAGCTACAGATAGGAGAAGAGGTTCCAGAACAGCCGGTTATCATCCACCTCTCTCAAGTGAGCGGCAACCTAGTGTGTCTCAGTATCCTAGTCCACCTGTGCATGGCAGCAATTCCACTAATGAAACAAATTACTTGGTTGGGGATGATCGCCAACATATTTCTACAGACAGAAGAACAGATTTCAGAGCTCCTGGTTATGACCCACCTGTCTCTTATGAGCAGCAACCTGGTGTTCCTCAGTATCCTAGTCCACCTGTGCATGGCAGCAATTCCATTTATGAAACAAATTACTTTGTTGGGGATGATCTCCGACATATATCTGCAGATAGAAGAATGGGTTCCAGAGCTCCTGGTTATGACCCGCCTGTCCCTAGTGAGCAGCAACCTGGTGTGCCTCACTATCCTAATCCTCCCGAGTATGATCTCCAATATATTCCTATGGATAGAAGAACAGTTTCCATAGCTCCTGGTTACGACCCACCTCGCTCAAGTGAGCAGCAACACGGTGTGTCTCAGTATCCTAATCCACCTGTTTATGGCAGGAATTCCTTTCTTGAAACAAATTCATTGGTTGGCGATGATCTCCAACGTACTTCTTCTATCATGCATCACTCATCAACAGAGCCAAGTTACTCACATTTAATGTCCTATTCACACTTAGATGGTCCTCACCCAGCACCATCCAGCAGACCAGGAACTGGTAATATTAGCACACAACCTTACAACCCAGAGGCTCCCAGTTTTGACACTAACCACGCATCCCCCTTTCTAAGAGTCTCAAGTTCATCTCTTGATGAATCCCTTCCTGCACTCAACAGAGCCGTCTCTTTTCCATCTTATGAGAATGAGCTACCTCGACCGTACAGGCAGGTTAGAGATGACAGCATGTTGCTCCCACGGTATGCTCAATCTAATTTGTCCAATGACAGCAATGAAGCCTCCTGCAGGTCTAACATGCTTTACCGTTCAAGTTTTTCAAGGGAGTCCTTTCCAAGGCCATCCCTCCCTCCTCTACAACTGCCATCTGAACGTCAACGTGGCCGTACTACTACAATTGACGACCGTTCCTTATTGGCTCCTCGAATCAATACTCCTTCAGTTTCAGGCCGTAGCCACTTGGTGACTACTTCACTGGAAGGTAATATTCCACAGTCTAGAAGGGCTCATGATGCAGTTCCTTGGAGTGGCAACAGCATTCCAAATTCGGAGCAAACTCAAGACAGTAGAAGAACAGATTACGGTGCTTATTCTCCAGTTGATCTGTATAGTGGTCAGGATTCTGAAAGGAGGAATTCAGATCAACAAAATCGTAGAAAGCGTTCTGTGTTTGACCGCATGGTTTTTCCTACTACACAAGAAAGGGAACAAGAAGATAGTGCTACCAACTCTGTTGGAGATGATGATGATGACGACAATCAAGATGATTTTTCTGTGAGTGAAATCATGACTTCATTGAGGCAGAGTAGCTATCGATGGCTGAATGAGAAGACACCAGCCAAGTTTTTGAATGAGATACGCAATAGTGGTTTCCAGTATCAAGTAGGAAATAAGAAAATACAAATAATGACTCCAGAAACCAAGTCAGCTGATGATCACTTGGCAGTAGGAGTGCCAGTAGAGGATTATGGTGATGCTCTCACTACCAACGAAGAAAGCCCTCCTTTTGTGGATTTCAAACGTCGTAGTAGTACAATGCGTAAAGCTCATCAGGTTGATGCCGCAAAACCTACTGGCAATGACAATGTGTTGAGTGCTGAAAACAAGCCGTCCAAGAGGAGGAAGTTAATCAGGCCTAAATTTGGTGATGAGACATAGCTGCATTGACGATGTCATGGTGATAAAAGCTTGGATGAAGGCCAGCATTATCCATCATCTAAAAATTGTTGAGCTGTCTGTTGTCACACCCAGCGGCTGTTTGTCAAGTTAACTGCTTTCAGCAGTGGAGTTCCCTGTTCATAAGCACAATTTCATGAATTTTTGTCGATCTCCGACTTTTCTTCAAGAATGTGAACTGAAGCTAGATATAGGACTTGATGTTTGCTGATTGAGATATTAGCAGGTAATTGCTCTGACATTGCCTTGTTGGTGGGGCTTTTTGATTCACTGCTGAACTCTCAGTGCCCTCATGGATGAAGCTTTTTTGCTGGGATAAGTCAGGAGACCTTGGAAGGCGGACAGAGTTCTTTTGTACCAATGACTTGTTCACCTTTTCCTTCTCCAACCTTTTCCTTTTTGTGTACATATCTCTCGATGGGTGGTTAATGTACAAACTTGCGGATTTTCTTTTCTGATCAATCCTCGTAGCTTAGGTTAGTAGAGAAACTATAGGTATGCTTTTTTGCAATAGGGACATGTAACTGTTTCAACGCATGAATACTATCAACATAGTGAAGTAATGCAAAGCCTTTTGGTGACAGAACAATCCTTGCTCTCTTTTTCACTCGCAAATTTTTTGTCACCTTTGAATTAGTGTCTCTAACAATACAAGATGTGGCTTTTAGAAGCAAGTTTGTAGTGCTGTACAGGTATCCAAATGCTCGGTGAGTTATCTCAGACAACAATGGCAATGGCTCCAAATAATGGCCTCCTGTTAGAAGGTACATACTTCTTATTTTCACCTGTCTATTATGTTTTCTTCATATATATCATGAGTAATTTTCAGTACAGTCTGTTGCTTTAAGAATCTGGTGAATATACCAACCCTGTTGCATGGCACAAATCCCGTAATTGCAGCTGTTGGATGTACGGAGTGGCGTCCTATCTCCGACGCTCGAATACAATGGTAAACATCACAGGCTGTCCGATCTGTGATTCAGCATAAAAATCATTCTTGCATGTTTCGTCGATCCTTCTTTCTATTTGAGAGTGTCTTGCTAGTTGTAAAATAAATGCTACAGAAACCTTCTTTCTTTTCACTTCATTTATTGTCATGGCATGCCAATATCATATTGAGTGTTTAGTGTTTAGCCAGAGAGACGAGAGAAGGGGAGCGGCATGGGATAAAGGTGAAGAAGGGAGTCTCGAGAATCAGGTCTATGAATGAGAGAAGAATGGAAATGGCAGGCGGCCACTGCACTACTCTGCATGTGAATTTTAGCACGTGAATATAGTAAAAATGCTAGGCTGGTGGGGATAAACAAAACGGTAATTAATTGATTTTTATGAACCTGCCACCATTTTCTTCCAACTCTAAGCTTCTCTGCGTGCAGAATGTGAGAGAGAATCCAATGGGCGGGAAGGCAAATCTCAGGAAGACTGCTGTTGATTCTTGCCGATTTCATCAATTCCCTCCAATATACATCTAAGTTGGCAGACTCCACTCTCGAACGGTCGCATGGTGAGAATTGGGTTGATTAAAATTTTGATTTGTTTTCCTTTTGACTGAACGTGACAGCATTTAAACAACAGGAGCTGGAGCTCCCTTTCCCTTATTCTCCCTATTTTAGCACACACTTGTTTTCACTCTTACCATCACTCTCACACTCACTTCCAAGTTCCCACCATCACTCATGGAAAACAACTGCAGGAAGTCACCGTCGTCACCGTTGAAGCCGTGGAAGAAGGGTCCGACGAGAGGCAAAGGCGGTCCGCAGAACGCCATGTGCGAGTACCGAGGAGTTCGACAGAGGACGTGGGGGAAGTGGGTGGCCGAGATCAGGGAGCCCAAGAAGAGAGCTCGAATCTGGTTGGGCTCTTTCGCCACTGCCGAAGAAGCCGCCATGGCGTACGACGAGGCTGCGAGGAGGCTGTATGGACCTGAGGCGTATCTCAACTTGCCTCACCTCCAGCCTCCTTACATCAACCCGGCTGCTGCTGCTGCCGGTTTCAGCAGTCCTTTTGGCGGGAGGTCGAACCGGTTCAGATGGGTTTCTTCCAGGAACTCGGTTTCGTTGTTCCCGCCACGTGGACTGCTCAACTTGCACGCCCAGCCCAGCGTCCACGTCATCCACCAGAGGCTCCTGGAGCTGCAGAAGAAGAAGAGCAATGCTGCTGCTGCTGCTGCTGCTTCCTGCTGCAGCAGCAGTAGCTCTTCTTCCCATCAAGTTGAAGCTGCTCCTGCGATTACTCAAAACCCGACATTCGAGAAAGAAGCAGCGGTGGTGGAGGACCAGGGAACAATGGAGATGGTTGAGATTGAAAAAGAGAGAGAGAAGCCACAGATTGATCTAAACGAGTTTCTCCAGCAATTGGGGATTCTGAAAGATGAGAGTCTGAATGTGCCTACAAACAAGGATGAGTTCAGCTGTTACCATGGAGAACTCGCCACATCATCGTCGTCGTTTGAGGAAGACAAGGGATTTAGTTACTGGGATTCCTTCATGTATGATTTGCAAGGGGTGACAGATCAACATCGTCGTCAGGATATCGCGGCGGCGGCGGCTGGCAGTAGAATGCAGGTCCAGCAGCAGGATGTGGAAGATGATCAGCTATTCTCAACTCCCATATGGAACTTCTAGCTATGTTGCATTGGGCTAGGCTCTTCTTCTTTACCATCTTTTGTCCCTAGGCAATGGCTTTATCTTCGTTTTGTTCGATTGTTGTACTGAGAGTGAGGCTTCAGGATTATGAATGAATAATAACCTAATTTGTGTTTGGGGCTAGAAGTGAGAGATTTAGATAGAGGGGAATTCTGACGGATCAGTTAAAATTAATTAACTCGTTTTGAGGTAATTACAATTGTCTAGGGTGGGACAATCGGGCAGACAATTTGAATGGACTCGTTTTGCAAAATGAGAAAATTGACCAAATTGTCTTGTTTTACAATACAAATTAAATTTGTATCATAATGTTAAATTAAATTATTGTTAAGTGTGTTTATTGTGATTTGGTGTTAATGATTAATTTTGTAAGACGATTTGGTTTCTTGCTACTATAATTGTAGATTGAATTTGTAAAATTTTGTATTGTAGTTTGCCTATGGTCGACTTGACATAAAAATTTCTGAATCATGTCAATCACAATACGAGGAAAAATGCACGAAATGTAACTGGGTCAGCCCAAACATGATCCATCGTCCGAGGTAATTTATATTGTAATTTGCTTGTGGTGACTTGACATAAAAATTTATGGATCGTGTCAATCACAACACGAGAAAAGATACACGAAATGTAACTGTATCAGCCCAAACATGATCCATCGTCCAGGACCACCTCCTAAATTTAAAAATATCACACAAATGATTATTAATTAAGGAGGTGACTATATTGATTTCTTATAATTATTAAAGAATCAACACAATCAACTCTCTAATTAATTAAACCATCCTTGTATCCATTTATACTGATCTCCAACCGGAATGATAAAAAGCTACGAACATCCAAGTTGCAACAATGTGGTACACCAACGATCCTTGCGCAACTCTGACCTCACGCTAATGTGGGTAGGGATGGCAATGGGTCGGGTTGGGTCGGGTTTTGTCAAACCCAAACCCATGGGTTTATCCGCCAAAAAAATCCGGGGTAAAACTCGTTGGGTTTGAAAAACTCAAACCCAACCTAGCCCGTTGGGTATCCGCGGATTCATGGGTACCCGTGGGTTTTTGTGGTAAAAATTTACAATAACAAGTTTCTTTCAAAATAAAAGTTTAACGCTCATACAAATTAAACATACAAAAAACACCAATCTAGAGCATACAAGCAAAGCGCAAATGATCAATACAAATTATTCAAAATTAAAGATAAACATATATAAACAATAAGATTAATTGAAAACTTCTTCCTCTTCAACTAAGTTTCTTCACTCTCCACTTCATAATATCAACTTCATTCTAAACAATTAGAAAGAACAAATTATACATGTCTCCACAAACATATATAATATTAGTTGTTTAAGAAATATATATTATTTAGGATATTAAATATACCGGGAAAGTAATTATATGTGTGCGGGCGGGTACCCATAGGGCGGGTTTACCTAAACCCAAATCCAACCCGACCCGATGAATAATGTAACGGGTTTAAACCCGAACCCGGCTCAAAACCCGTCAACACGAATTTTACCCGCGTTGACCGGGTTGGGTCGGATGGGTACCCGTGGGTTCGGGTTTTGTTGCCATCCCTAAATGTGGGTTAGAATGGTTTGATCATTATTTGAGATGGAGGAACCGACTCCCTGGTCAGACCAATCAGCAATGGTAGCCCTTTACCCATAATCTGAACCCACGTTACTCGTATACTACGGCCGGAAAAGAAGAAAAGAACTCATATCAGTAGTCCTCACTTGCAGAAGTTTTGGGGGGAATTCGCGGCGATGGAGAGAGGGAAAAAGGCGGCGGCGATGGGGAAGAAAGGTTTCTCATCTTCCCCAGCAATGCCACCCATGTCTCTAGACCAGTTCGTCTCCACCATGGCCCCTCTGATTGATATGGAAAAGGTTTCTCTACTTCTCCCTTCACATTTCATTCATCTTCCTTTCTAACCCCACTCATTTTCCTTTCTGGTTTCAGGAAGCCGAAATATCAGCCTCCGTAAGCTCCGGCGCCACCAGGAACTTGGAGACTGCTCAAAAGCGCGGCTCTGCAATTTTCAATCTGAAATGCGTCGATGCCCAGGTAATGATTTCCTCGGCTGATGAAGGCACAAGCAAGGTGGAAGGGTTTTGATCAGTAAAGTTGATTCCTTTTTTTGTTTTTGCTTCCGTTATTGTGAAAGAAAGACTGGGCTGATGGGGAAATCGCTGCTCGAGTTCCAATCAACCAAAGGAGATGTTCTTCCTGCTCATAAGGTGAGTGAGTGAGTGGTATCAACAAAGAACTGGCTGGTATTTCTGTCTCGTTCAAATCCATGAATTCATCACTCACTGCCGAACTCTTGTTTTCAGTTTGGCATCCATGATGTTGTTATTCTGAAGCCAAACAAGGCTGATTCGGGGTCTGCTGGTCTCGGGCAAGGTGTGGTGTACCGATTGAAGGTAAAAGTTTTGGTCTTCAAAACATAGTGGGGAGTACTGAGAAGACTGTGAAGCATGTTTTGGCTGTTATTGATTGGTTTTGTGACTCCTGCCAGTGAATTTGCTTCCATACTGAACAGGACACCTCTATCACTGTTGCTTTTGATGATATGCCCGAGGATGGCTTGAATAGTTCGCTCCGACTCGAGAAAGTTGCTAATGAGGTAGCATTTCTTCTTTTCCATTTCTCCCTTTTTGTACCTCATCCTATTTTGACTCGTTATGCTGTGCGAGGAGAATTATTTTTTCTTTCTAGTAGGATTCCTAGAAACTGCAGCCATGTTAATTGAGAATGATAATTTGGGAGGCTTCGATCCTCCTCAATTAGAAAACTGCAATTACTGAAGAAACCTCAGTGTTTGCTTAATTATGCAGATAACTTATCGTAGGATGAAGGACGCATTGATACAATTGAGTAAAGGTGTGCACAAGGGCCCTGCTTCAGATTTAGTCCCAGTTCTTTTTGGTGAGAGACAACCTACTGTGGCAAAGAAGGATGTTACATTCACTGCATTTAACTCCAACCTCGATCACTCACAGGTAGATTGAGCATTAGAGTACTTATCAACTGTTTATTTTTACGGTCAATTGTGCACCCTTGTGATCTCTATGTTTCCCATTCTTCAGTGACTGTTGATTGTTACCATATGCTTTAAGATGAGGATGGAAAGACAAGTTTTTGGTTTTCTAGTTCAAGAAGAGGTGTAGGCATTTGATTTGTTTTCCCCCATGACATCCATCTGGTGCATGTAATAAACACAGCCTTCGAGTCTCAGGTTCGATGGTAGCCAGAGACAGAGACAAGCTTAAGTGTATTTTCAGTTCCCTGTTATTCTTATTAGCTCCCCATCTGATCGAATTTCAGGCTTTATAAGTCCGAGACATGCACGATCCTGATGTTTTCTCTTACGTATGATTTGTGAACTAAACTTCTTTGCTTTGATTTGGTCTCCACAATTGGTCTGACTTTTTTGGTTGTTTGGTTTTATCCTCTCTGGCACTGTCAAGAAAGATGCAGTTTCAAGAGCTCTATCATCGAAAAATGTGTTTTTATTGCACGGGCCTCCTGGAACGGGGAAAACGACCACTGTCGTGGAGATAATTTTACAAGAAGTGAAACGTGGATCAAAGATTCTTGCATGTGCTGCTTCCAACATTGCTGTTGATAACATTGTTGAGCGACTTGTTCCTCACAGGTATAGTTACGTCTTATCACTATAAAAATTATCATCTTCTTTTGAATCAGATTCGACTTAGGTGTATAGTGTACTTAGTCAGAGGACACACTCAGGAGTTCCTTCTGCTAGTATACCTGTGTTCATGTTTTTGCCATTATGGTTTTTGCTCTTCTGCCAGAGTGAAGTTGGTGAGATTGGGACATCCAGCACGTTTACTACCTCAAGTACTAGATAGTGCCCTTGATGCACAGGTAAGGTATTCGGGGGCAAATTTGTAGATTTGTGCAACTGTTAATTCTTTCATATGTTAAAAACCATGTTCACCTAGATCAGGGCTGTGAATGGTTCCTATGTTAACTTCCTCTGGAGTTTGATTGTATTGGCTTTGTCTTATACAACTTAACTTTTATAGCTTGGTGTTGCAAGCATTTACAGATGGTTTATAATATGCATGATATCACTTACTGGCTATGCTATTTGGAAATACTTTCTAAAGCTTCCTGATTCAGTAAAAATGTCTTCTTGTTGTATGTGATTCGCAATTTGGTTTATCTAATTCCAGTTTCTTCTCTTTATGAGATTATTCTATTCCTATTTATGATACATCATTAGGGTTAATTGCTGCATTCTGTCTAAGTTAATTTTCTCCATGACAGGTATTACGTGGAGACAACAGCAGTTTGGCTAATGACATCCGGAAGGAAATGAAGGTATGATGCTGGATTAGTATTTGAAGTGACAACAGATGTCATTGTCATAAACGATTAACTTTCTCTTATGCATGCTATAGGATTTGAAGAACTTTTGAGCCTGACAGGAAATAGAGATTTGTATAAATGGATTGGGATTGGATAGATTTGATAGTGACATTATAAGATTATATCAGGACCATTATATAACTCAAATGACAATACTATCCACCAGAGTAGAAACAGAGTATATTGTAAAATATAATGATTTTATCATTACATTGTAAATGTGAATTCCTTATAATTGTAGGTGCTTTGGCTTTGAGTGAAGCTTTGTTGAATAATTGCATTTATCAGCGCTTTCTCCTTTCTTGATGATCTGCGACTAACTCTTAACTATTTGTCCAGGCATTAAATGGGAAGCTATTGAAGACCAAAGACAAAAACACTAGAAGAGAGATCCAAAAGGAGCTCAGAACCCTCACTAAAGAAGAGCGTAAAAGGCAGCAGCTGGCTGTTATGGATGTCATCAAAACTGCTGATGTGGTGTTAACTACTCTGACTGGTGCTGCTACTCGCAAGCTGGACTCTACATCATTCGATTTGGTCATTATTGATGAAGCTGCCCAGGCACTTGAGATTGCTTGCTGGATGCCTTTGTTGAAGGTAAAACAAATAACCAGCTGTTTCTAGCTTATCACTCAAATGACATCTTTTCCAGCTGAGTCACCTTAATGATGTCTCGAAAATGGTAATTATCAGTTTGAAAGTAGCAATTGCTTATGCAGCCGAATCTTATTCAGCAGTAGGCTTGTATAAGATATGTTATTATGTACCTGACATTAAAGCTTTTACAACTTTGTGAATGGCAATGTTCTTGTCAGGGTTCAAGATGCATACTTGCTGGTGACCACCTTCAGCTACCTCCGACCATCCAAAGTGTTGAAGCAGAGAAGAAAGGCTTAGGAAGAACCCTATTTGAGCGTCTAGCAGATCTCTATGGCGATGAAGTTACATCTATGCTTACTGTGCAGTATCGCATGCATGAGCTCATTATGAACTGGTCCTCTAAGGAGCTATATGACAGCAAGGTAAGAGAGTAAATTCTGAATTGCCTTCGATGGGTGCAAGTAAATGAGCTATAACACTTTTCAATTATGGCCATAAATCATCCAGATTGAAGCCCATCCAAGTGTTGCAGCACATGCATTATATGATCTTGAGGGTGCAAACAAGTCAACTTCAACAGAAGCCACACTTCTTCTTGTGGACATTGCAGGGTATATATAACAACTCCCCGCCCCAACAAATTATCATGAATTGCATCTCTAATTTTGTAGTTCCTTCTTCTCAGTTGTGACATGGAAGAAAAGAAAGACGAAGAAGATAGCACACTGAATGAAGGTGAAGCTAAAGTTGCTATCGCTCATGCTAAGAGACTAGTAAGCAGTGGAGTTCAGGCCTCTGATATTGGAATCATTACACCGTATGCCGCACAGGTGGAAGTTCGTCCCTTAACATTCAGAGTGCTCTACACTGCTTCTCTTGGATGGAGATTTTATCCCGTTCTTCACCTCCTATTTCAGGTAGTTCTGTTAAAAATACTCAGAGGCAATGAAGACAAGCTGAAGGAAGTGGAGATTTCAACTGTTGACGGTTTTCAAGGCAGGGAGAAGGAAGCCATCATTATATCCATGGTTCGATCGAATTCCAAGAGTGAGGTAATCTTTTGAATTTTGATTATCTACTGTCAATCTATCAATTTGGCTCCCTGATTTTATGTGGCAAAGATGGTCATTTGTCAAAAATACGTTTATGGTTAGAGAACCTTAATGATCTTCACAAAGCATATTTCAGGTTGGGTTTCTCAGTGATCGTAGACGGATGAACGTAGCAGTGACGCGGGCAAGAAGGCAATGCTGCCTTGTTTGTGATACCGAAACAGTCAGTAGCGATGGGTTTCTGAAGCGATTGGTTGAGTATTTTGAGGAGCACGGTGAGTATCTCAGTGCCTCTGAGTACGTCGATGAATAAGCACAAGATCCCAGAGAAGAACCAGCCACCTTTTTCTTGGCTGTATACTTTAGTTACGAACTTACGAAAGGGTTCTTCATCCTTGAAACCCATCAGCAGCGGTAGTAGTCTCTATTCGATTCACGTGAGGTCTTCTTTTTTCCTGTTGGAGGAGGGATTATGTATGGAGGTTGAGCTTTACAAAACTCACGAACATGAAGTTTCATTAACAGATCAGATTCGTCTTTGTACGATTACATTCCCATGAGGATCATACTCACACAAGAGGTAGGTATTACCATTGGCACACTTGACCCTAGCACAACTCACTCGCCTAGTACTCCACACCAACTGCGTATAGTGCAAGCAATCTCGATTCAGCATACAAGTATCACGCTCGTAGTCATAGTACGCTTCATGATCAGCCTAGTCTTTGATTGCATGATGGCAGTCCTTCCTCCTCTGGTTGGCAGACCATTTAGCATTGTCAGCCACGATGGTGGTCCACGCCAGTTGTAGGAGGCAGTTCCTTGACCTCATCGTGCCATTAGCTGCAACCATCTAGTTCGAGAAGACCTCACGCATTTCTCGCTTATGGATCGTTGGTTCTGATGATGAAAGAGAAGCAAAGATGGAGAAGATTGGGAAGGCGGCTAGGATGGCGAAGGAGAGCATGTTGAGATTGAAGGAGCCATTGTGGTACAAGGTATGGAGGTGGGTGAGTTCGTTATAACGAGGCGCAAAACTGACAAGTTCTTGATCTCTTACGGTTACAAAGGCAGTTTGCCTGGCTTATCCACCATGCTTATACTTGTGACAAGATCTTCTAACAACTAAACTACGAATTATGCAGGAAGGAAGAAAGGAATTACGGAACAAGCGGCTTACATCAACTTTCAATTGGCAGAACAGAATCTACCAACACCAACATCAAGTTTGTCAATTACCTAACCCACCAATCCTTCACCCTCCCAAAAAAATGCCCCAATCATTTGACAAGGTCCTAATTCAAGAAAGCCCTAATGTGCGTAGCTCACTTGTAGATGAGAGCATCACGTCCTGGGCCAATGCCAATGTAATGAATTGGTATTCCGACGAGTTCTTCTATCCTTTCGACGTATCTCTGAGCAGCTTTAGGAAGATCTGAGTAGCTTCTAGCAGAAGAAATATCGGTCTGCCATCCTGGTAGTACCTCATACTCGACCTGACAACAAGAGATAATTAGCAAGAAAGATATTCAAATCGTCTCTCCTATATTTCTTTTAATGGCTACTAGTAGGAAAGTACAAACCTTGAGCTGTTCAAGCAAGCGAAGATCTGCAGGAAAGGACTTAACTGGTGTACCATCAGGTAGCTTATAAGAAACCCCCAGTTGAATTTCAGCAAGGTCAGACAAAACATCCAATTTAGTTAGGTTCAAGGAAGAAAAGCCATTAATCTGGCAGCAAAACTTCAGTGCGACTATATCCAGCCAACCACAACGACGAGGACGGCCAGTTGTTGTTCCGAATTCTTGGCCAGCAAACCTAAGGAGATCGCCTCCTTGACCCAATATCTCTGTAGGGAAAGGACCAGAACCAACCCTCGTGGTGTAAGCTTTCACCTGCAATCATAATTATTGTTGCCAGGCAGTGGATGAGCATTACTATGAAAGAATATCACATCAACACAGGTTTCCTAAAGCAAAAATTTCTAAAAAATTCAGAAGAAAGTCACATATTTTCTAGCAAAAGCTAAAACAAACATAACCTTTATCCACTTACCACGCCGATAAGATCACCAAGAACCCTTGGAGCAATACCAAGACCAGAACAGATCCCACCTGCTGATGGACTAGAGGACGTCACAAACGGGTAAGTTCCAAAGTCAATATCCAGCATGGTAGCTTGACCACCTTCCACCAAAACCTTCTTCTTCTGGCTGATGAACTCATTCATAACACACACAGTATCAGCAATGTAAGGCTCCAATCTCTCAGCAAACCTCTTATACTTCTCAACCTCCTCCCTGAGCATTTCTGGACCATAGTTAAACCCTTGGAATCTCGAAGCAGCATCCGACAATAAAAGATCAAGCTTCTGAGGGAAAGTATCCATGTGCCTCAGGTCACTTACCCTGATGCCATTGCGGATGACCTTGCTCGAGTAGCAAGGTCCAATCCCTCTTCTGGTCGTCCCAATGAACGACTTAGCAAGTTCGGCCTCCCTCAGCCCATCAACCTCTTGATGGAAATCGAATAAGAGGTGAGCTCGATCAGAGACCAATATCCTTCCCTTGCAGGACACCCCATTTGCCTCCAAACCATCAATTTCCTTAAACAGACCAGGCAAATGCACCACTACCCCATTCCCAATAACACAGAGTGTATCCTCGTTTAGAATCCCCGAGGGAACCAGGTGAAGGGCGAATTTCTTCCCCTCAGAATTATAGATTGTATGTCCAGCATTAGCTCCACCCTGGAATTCAAAAGGCAAGAGAAGGCATAACTAAAGGCAACTACAATCTCTCGATTGCACACATTCGTGATTCCTGAATCAGAATCCCAAATTCTCAAACCTAATCCAGCTTTCCACAGCTAAGCGCAAGAAACGCGAAACTGAACAGAGAAATGCAAGCTTCAACCCCTAGACAGTCGTCACTACTCACTACGCTAACATTTCATGCAAACAAGTAAAAATCGCAAACGCGAAGAAAATAGCATCTGGTCAAACCTGGCAGCGGGCAACGACGTCGAAATGCTGAGCCAAGATGTCGACGAGCTTGCCTTTACCTTCGTCCCCCCACTGGCACCCCAGCACGCCGGCGACTTGACTCAGCGATCCGATTCGAGCGGCCGAGTCGCTGGAATCGGAATCGACGACGCTGAGCGAGGGGGAGGACTTGAGTGCGGAGCAGAGGACGGCGCTGCGCCGAGGAGAAGCAGAGGAGAGAGGGATGCGCTGGTGGTGGTGGCGGCGGCGGAGCGAGTTCCAAGCGGGAGAAGCGAGAGGATTAAATTCCACAGCGAAGGAAGAAGAGATGACGTCCATGGCGGATGAAGAAGCAGGCGGCGATGGTGGTTGTAGGAGAGAAAGCAGTGGGCGGCCGGTTTAGAAGACGGCGGCGGTGGAGAGGGTTTTGATTTTTGTTTGGTTCGTTTGGAGTGACGGGCGGGTGATGGGAGAATTCTGTTGAAACACAATATATAAGGATCAATTTGTGTAAATCCATCAGTACGCTGACGTATTTATTAAAGCAACACAATACAAGGAGTATAAATGTAATTAGCCGAATAATAATAAATGCACACGGCCATTTGCGTGTTCTTTTCCTTTCTCCACATTCAATAAACAAATTTGCAGGGGAAGAGAAACGACGGAAATTCCAGAGCAGCAGCAATGGCAGAGAATCACCACGGAGCCGCATCTCTGTAGCAGAGCAGCAGCGGGCGGGATACCTTTTCTCTGCTCTCTGCTTCGTTTTCCCCCCTTTCTTCCTCACAGCTATACTTCTTCGCCAGAACTCTCTTCTCCTTATCGCCATTATATAGCTGTTCAGTGGGCAGCCATTATCTCCCACCATTCACCAGGACGCAATCCTCCGCCATATCCTTCCCTCCGAATCTTGCCTCTCATTAATCAAATTCATTACCGTTCCTCGTGTCCTCGAATCACTCGAAAACCCCCCTCACCGAATCCGTGCATTTATTCCACCTCCTTTTCTAGTCAGTTATCTTCTCGCTCTCTGGTGGTCTCTCTCAGCTTTGCTGGGTCGTGCGGCGTGTTGCTGTAGTTTCTCTTCTCGGGGAGGGAGAGGCCATGGCGATTGCAGCAGCTGTTGTCGTCCCGTTGGGGGTTCTCTTCTTCTTTTCCGGTCTCGTCGTCAATCTCATTCAGGTAACGCACTCCCCCATACTTCTCTGATTCCATCAAGTCGCCTTCCTGGGGCGAGAGTTTGATACTGTTTTGGGTTGATTGAGAGTGAAGTGGTGGGTGATCAGTTCCGAATTGATTCTTGCTAGGTTTTTTCTTACCTTTTTTTTGGTTGGCTCGGATTTGGAATCTAGCCATGTCGCTTCTTTTTCTCTATCTCCTTCCCCTCTTTTTTAGTTTTTTTCCTTCATATCTGCGGAAATGTAAACGGGAATGGTGTTTGTTTCTTCAGGCAGCTTGCTTCGTTCTCATTCGGCCGCTATCAAAAAGTACGTACAGAATCATTAACAGAGCGGTTGCCGAGTTACTATGGCTGGAGCTTGTCTGGATCGTTGATTGGTGGGCAGGGGTTAAGGTCTGCACTTGCCTTCTTTACTGCCCCCAAAATATTAAAACTCAGCTTCGGATTTTGCTTGCTTTTATATCTTCTTGAATTGAGCATTCATTTTGGAACACTTGAACTATTATCTACTGGTGGCATTGCGTTGCTATTGATGGCTACTGCTGCTCTGACCTGCAACTTCCTTGGATAAGTGGATTTTCTGACCCACCTTCCTTAGCCTGGCCTTCAATAGATTATCGTAATCTGATGTAGTCAATGCCCAATAAGTTGCTAAAAGCATCAGAACATTGGTCTGGATATGAACCTTATATACATGCGATTGCCAAATAGGTAAGCAAGGGATGTCTACAAAGGCTGGAACAGCAGCTACCTGTACTGTGTTTTTCCTTGTATTTGCAAATTCCTAGCAGGCTGCTTACATTGTTTCTTCGGTGTAGTATTTTGATCCCCTTGCGCAACCCTGCCCTTTGGGTGCTCTTTCTGTTATTCAAGCCTCTCTAGAAAGCATCAATGCGTAAAGGAAAATGATAACAAGTGTCGGCATGATTGTGGTTGGGTGTATTTTAGCTTTGGTCTGTAAGCAAGGGAAAGACTGAATGCATTTATGCTGTTATTTCTGCAGATTGAATTGTACACTGATAGTGACACATTTCGTCAAATGGGTGAGTCGGAATCTCTTATTAGTCTGTTGTTGTTAGCACCTGTCTCTTTTGTTTTGTTCATCTTAGAGGTATTTGTTATTCAAATATATGCAAACTGCAAAGTGGTCTTATCACACCTTTGCTGGTTATGTGGTACTTTTCAGGTAAAGAACATGCACTTGTCTTATGCAACCATAGAAGTGACATTGATTGGCTTGTTGGATGGGTTTTGGCGCAGGTGAAGCCTTATAGCTTATTAACGTAGATGAAATTGGGTAGCTGAATTCAGAAAGTTCTGCTCTGGATTTGTTACTATGTTCTGCCTCATCTTAATGCAATATCTTGTTATTCCTGATTATAGCGGTCGGGATGCCTTGGCAGTGCCTTAGCTTTTATGAAGAAGTCATCTAAACTCCTTCCGGTATGATTCAGGATTTAAAACTTGCATGTTCTGTTAGATATTGTTATTTAGTAAATAAGAACTCAGTCTGAATTCTTTGTCACTGGGAGATTTGGTAAGAACTGAAGTGCGATCTTCAACTTGTGAATTCGGAGACACATGAGCTCTGTAAGGGAAAAGAACATAACATGTGCAGAAAATTTTTACCATTTTATGTCCCTTTTCAAACCAGAGAGAAACAGAACATTCTTTAACATGGGAGAAACTCTATTTCTGGTGAGGAGATTAATAATTTCATGTTTACACATCTGACATAGATAATTGTTTAATGAGTATGATTGTATGAACAAGTTTAGAGTGTGCCTTTTATTTGTTGCCCAAGTTTTTGTCGTATTTTCAATTTGACCCCCTTTCCTGTCAGTAGAATGCAACCTGTTATTTTATTTTTGAATTTATGTTGCAATTCTTTATAGTTCTTGCCAGCACATATTCCCTCTCTGTTAGTGCTTTTATGTTAGATACTTGCATTTTCCTGTGTACTGACTGCTATATTTATGTTATCAGGTCATAGGTTGGTCCATGTGGTTCTCTGAGTATCTATTTCTGGAACGAAACTGGGCAAAGGATGAAAAGATAATAAAGGTATGCCTTCAATGCTCACAGATATAAATAGTGATATGTAATGTACTGTTATTTGCTTGCCTACACAAAAAAAAAGCTCTACTATTTACTGACCCCTGAACAAATACATCTGTATCTCATTTCTCTGCTACATCTCAATTTATGTGCAGCTTAATCATGTTCTGATTGTTGTGTCATTCTACCTGCAGTCAGGTGTCCAGCAGCTACATGACTTTCCTCGGCCCTTTTGGCTCGCTCTTTTTGTTGAAGGAACTCGTTTTACACAGGCAAAACTCTTAGCTGCACAGGAGTATGCGGCATCAGCTGGGTTGCCTGTCCCCAGAAATGTCTTGATTCCTCGTACTAAGGTCATACTCACAGTCCTTTCTTTTGCTTTTCTAATGAAAAGGTTTTCAGCAAAACTTGAATTGGCATACATGCAGTTGGAAATGTTTGCTTGAATTATGGCATGAGGCAAGTATGAACTGATGGCTGAAATTCTGACTTGCTTTGCCTGCCAGAAATTCGGGAAACGATAATGGTGAAAGAAATTATAGAATCTTAATTTTTCAATATCTGGCTTGGCTGTTTATTTGATTTGGAGGGAGAGTTAAATCAAAGGCAATTCTTTGATAAAGAGAGTGGAGTTTGCCAGTCTTTTAGATTGGGTTCCTTCATGGAAACCATTTATAGACGTGGTCTTGAGGCTGGAGGAAAACCATGTAAACAGTTTCCTGGTTGTGTATTGACTAGAGTTACATTTTCTGCTTCACAATGACACCCTTAATATGAACTTCTGAATCTAGAAGGTTTTGGGGGAAGAGATAAGAAGTGCCGTGCCCCATATATCTAGCTTGCATTTTTCATTCTCCAACTTCAGAGTCGTGAATGGTTAATGGAGTTCTATTTTTCACATCACATTTTACTTGTACTGTGATGGGTGCAAATGAAAGCACATGAGATATAATGATGTTTCTATTCTTCTCTGTGATTTGAGGTTAGAGATGTACTTAATTTATGTTGCTTGCAGGGCTTTGTTTGTGCAGTAAGCAATATGCGCACTTTCGTGCCAGCCATCTATGATGTAACTGTGGCTATCCCAAAAAGCTCACCTCCACCAACTTTGACCAGACTGTTCAAGGGCCAGTCATCGGTGGTAAGTAAGCGCAAGTCTTTTTGTTGGGTCATGATTACTTTTTTTGGACTTTTGGTACATGTTCCGGAGTAGTTGTTTAGATGCAACTGACTTTTTGGTCATAACTCTAAGTTGGTGATGCAAACGTTAATTCATTCATAATCTGAAAGGCAGAAAGCTGTATATGAAACTTCTGTCGCACACACTTTTTAATTGATGGCTTAATTTGGGTATTGAAAAGTGAAATGAGCTTGACATCATCTGTAAATGAAAGAACCATTGGTAATCTTTAACTACGAATTCATGGATGTTGAGGCTTAGGATGTAAATAACTTAATGTTTATCTTTTTCCCTTGAGATTTGCTGTTAAAAGCTGTGGAACTGATTGACTATTGACTTAACCTAGTAGAGAAAATCTATGAAACTGAAAGTTTTCACTTGTTTATCGTGAATTAGCATGATGGTCGAATACATTAACAAAAATATGCTTTTATCTGCTTTGTGTCAGGTTCATTGCCATCTCAAGCGGCACTCCATGAAGGACCTGCCTGATACAGACGATGCTGTTGCACAATGGTGCAGGGATTTGTTCGTGGCCAAGGTGTGTGTAGCAATCAAATTGTGTTGTTGATTTTCTGATATAGCACTATTGAAAGCATTCTTAGTTGAAAGTCAATTTTACCTTGGTGAGAAAAAGTTGTGCTCGAGAGCCAAAGGTTTCATAAGTTACTTTAATGATCGATGACCTTATGGATATGGTCCTTTGGCACCTAAAGAACCAACCCATTAATCTGGAGGAGAGGGATATCGGGGGTAGTGGCCAATGGGGAGAATATTTGCTCTATGTACATTAAAAGTATCCATGTTCTGATATCACCTGTAACTACTGTATCAATCTGGTTATTCTTATTATTGCTTTTAACTTTGCATTACACCAGGATGCACTGCTAGACAAGCACGATGCTGATGGTAAATTCACAGACCAAGGATTAGTAAATATGGGCCGACCTATCAAGTCTCTTGTGGTGAGACGCTGAATACTCTATTTAAAAGGATTCTTCGCACTATTCTTCTTCTTCTTCTTCTTCTTCTTCTTCTTCTTCTTCTTCCTCCTGTGTCCGGGATCAAAAGGGTGGGTTCTACTGATGAGTCATCATTGTTTTGTCTCCCTGCCCTACTTCCCTCACATGTGTTTTCATCATGCGTGTGTGTGTGTGTGCGTCAGGTTGTCACTTCATGGGCATCTTTACTTGTCTTTGTAACCTTGAAGTTCCGTCAATGGGCCTCCCTTCTATCCTCCTGGAAGGGTATTGCACTAGCTGCAGGTTGTCTGGTCGTCGTCACAGCATTGATGCAGGTCTTGATTCGATTCTCTCAATCCGAGCGTTCTACCCCTGCCAGAGTTGCTCCAACAACGAGGCCCATAAATCAAGCGGGGGGAGAGCTTTCATCAGATGCTGCTGCAGAACGTGAACAACACTGAACTCAGACAATCTTTTATTCGCCCCTGGACTTTACTGTGTTATCGCTCTAAATTAGCGTATGTTCCGAGTTTCCCCCCTCTGAGAAGTGTGGATCGTTTTGTTGTGTTGCTGTGTTAGTTAGTTAGTTAGCAACATATACAATAGAACCTAAAGAAGAAGAAGAAAACTCAAAAACTATACCGTTTGGATGGATGATTGGGCAGTGGAATAGGGCAAATTTATGTAGATTGTATCTCTTAGATTTTGAAGTCCAGAATGTATGTATCAGTGCTCAAAGTAGGCAAACATCATTTCTGCTCTTATTGGGTATCACTTTCCCTTTAGCTGCTGCACTTGCATTTGTAAGCTTCATTTGTAAGCGGATTCTTGAATTGGCCTGCGTGTATTACTATGCACGAGCATCTATGTATTCACTTGTGAAGCAAGGCAACCGATTTACATGATGAGCTTCAACATGACATCGGGAAAGTGGGTCAAACCATGTCACGTAAAGTAACGTGATTGTGGTGGCTCAATACCTTAGGATTGGATGAGTTATCCAGTCAAGGTTGAAGTTCACTGCGATGACAAGGTCATGAGCTACTTCCTCTCCTGCATAACGAACTCAATCCTAGTCGCATGATTTTCTCACGGAGGCTCGAGTTTTGTTCTTGCTCCCTTGTTACTCGTCGAGTTAAGAGAGCAGCCCATTTTGTGGCCCAAAACGCTCTCTCATCGGAAGTTCGGCGATTAGTCGACTTCCGTCCGTGGATTTGTTATGTACTTTGAATATGTTTTGGACTTCTGTCTGGTTTTGACTATGTTAAAAAAAAATGAAAAAACGAAACGGAAGAAGTCGGACACAGAGGATTTTGGTTCAGATGCCAGAAAAAAGCAAAAGATGATGAAGATTACGCCCACGGGGAGGGTTTGGACAATGAAAGTGAAAACGAAAGCGAAATTCGAACCGATGTTGATGTTGCTGAGTCTGGAAGTGCTAACGAAATGGTTGACAATGGAAATTCAGGAAGTGCAGTTCGCCTTTCCAAAAGTGAATCGCGAGCTGTAATCGACTCTCCAGCAAAAGTAGGAGACAGGAAAAGAAGGCAAACAGAAGAAATTCAGGAGAGCATCCGTCAGTAAAGATTTTGATTGAGCGACATTCGTGGCAGCGAAAGGAGACGATAATCAGGGAGATCAATCACGTCTTTGGCTCCTACGGTGTCTCCGTAAGTAACCGCCACTTATCCCTCATTGCCTGGGATGGTGGAAAAATTTTGCCCTGTTTTTTGGAGGAGAGGGAATTAGTTACAATCGTGATCTATATTCTGCGGCATTATATTCTTTCTTTTTTTCATAGATAGATTGTAAATCGGTAGGAGAGTATAAGAGGTTTCCACTGTCACAAAATAAAAAAAACTAGAGTACAAGAGGTTTCAAATGCGGCTGTCAATACTAATAACATGTTGCTTTTTGTCATGGAGTGGTCAGCTTGGTTAATTCTCTGAGAGCATCCGCATCATTGAAATTGTAAAAGTAATTGCGTTTGTGCTTTTTATGGCTAACTCAACTTTTTTTGTAATCCATGTCACTTTAATTTTAGTTACTTACATCAATTCAATTAACCTGCAATTGCATGTGAACCTAATTTATTTATTTTTTTTTATAAAATAAAAGGTGTATATGTTTATTATTTTATCCATAAAAAAGAAAGAAAACACCCAAGTAAGAAGAGAGAAAAACTGCAAATGGAATTGCATTATATGGTAGCTTGCATAAATGCAATTGTATTTCCATTCTTACATCACTTTGCAATTCAATGTGAAAGCTTGATGTGGATGTTCTATGAATTAAGCGAGAAAACGCGAAAAAAAATCATTAAAAGGATATAAGCTTCACTCTATGAAGGCCGAATCGCAAATGGACTGCTTAAGATGCCAACGACCACTATTAACTTGTTAAAATATATAGCCATTAAAGTCTAGCTTTGCACGTTTCAATAAAACATGTTTCGATGAATAATAAAGTTGTCGTTCCATCCACTTTCATCTCATAATCTGTTAACTAAGCCACATCAACATTTTTTTTTTTAAAAAAAATCACTAAACCAACTAACTAAACTCAATTGTTCTTATTCTTATTTCCCCTGTTGTTTAATACCTTTGGAAAAAATGAATATATTCTGCCAGCACTAGAACTTCCCCTTTTCCGCAAAATGCCATCTTTCTTCCATGTGCAACGGTTGCTGAACTCTCAACTTTTGTACCGATTGGTGGCGGGTCCAACCCAAAACAAACAGGTGAACGAGGGAAGTGCCAGCGCTAGTGAGATATTAGGCTGGAGCATTGACAATGCCGAAACTCAGGTCCATTCAATTCTTTACGCGACAAAAGTTGGTTTCTTTTGGCTGTTGGGTGGTGAAATTTGTCAACTTTACAGAAAGGAAATTGATGCTTCTGATTCTGCAGAGTGTAACGGAATTGCAACGATGGCTCAGCTCTGTTTGCAACAGTGGCCGGCGGTTCACAATAATTCTATAGCTGCATCACCATGGCCCTTACAATTCTTATGAAATTAAGTGCAGGAAACCGCCATTGATGGATGGTCAGAACTCAGAAGGTACAGGAAAAACCAGCATAAATATAAAGGTGAATATTATTATTATTATACAATGAATGGATATCTCATATATGATATGTAAAATAGATCAAATGAATCACGATACAAATCGCCTCCACCTGCCCAGAAAACCAACCGGCTAGTACAACAAACCAAACCCCAATCTGTAACTAAAAAAAAACCCCAAAACGAGATGGAGATATAACGAGAAGCAAAGGGGAAAGAAATTCCCTCTTTACATCTTCAACAGACCCATGAGCGAAACCACCACAGAGACGGCGACGAAAGCGCCGGAGGCGGGAACGGAGAATCCAGCGCCGGTCATCTGCGACGGCGATGGAGCAGGGGCCATTTCCTGGGCGGAGACGAGGGCCGCCATGGACGCGACCAAAAGGACCATGGAGAGGGCAGCTGCCAAGCTAAATTGGGCCATTGTTGTTTTTTGCTGGGCAAGAAAAAGGCTGAATCGAAGGCTAGGGTTTGCAAAGATTTAGATAGCTTGAGCGGCGGTGGTGGTGGGATGGAAGAGAAGAAGCAGAAGAAGTGAGGTTTATATAGAGGGTGAAGAAGCGGCGGGTGGGACCCACTTCCAACTATAAAAAAAACAATTTTTTTAAGTAGTTTCATTTTCTTAATTATGTAATTAATTAAATTAAATAGTGGGGTTAAGTTAACCGACCAATAATGCGATGGCACACTCTAATAAGACAGCCCAGCCCAGCCCAGCAAAGCAAAAGTCCAGCCCATACCGATGGAGGCCAGGTGGTGGGTGGAAAGGAGCTGTTGAACTACTGATTTGAGGAGATCATTCTTTGTATGATTACCGTGTAAAAGTTGGGGAATTCAATTGTGAAGCTGTAAAGCATCCATAGGTGTCAAAAGGGTTTAGTCAAAGTTAAGAACCTTCCTTCGTACTTGCTTCTTAAGGTTCCATTGTTGTCGACAAGGTAATATTAATATAGCCTTGTGTTTTGCTTTTGTGTATTGTCAAGCTGGTGACAATGTCAAACTTAGAGTTAATGTTTGGGGAAATCGTCAACAATCAGTTGCTCCCAATAACTCGAGCACGCCCCCTCAAACGAAAGCCAATTTATGGGCTTGAAGTTTGCACAGGCCCACCATGCCATGTGCTTGAAAGACAACGGTTAATATTGGGGGTCGTGGAGAATCGAACACATGACCTTTCGGCTCTAGGCTCTGATACCATATCAAGAACCAGTTGCTCCCAATAACTCGAGTTGTTGGGAGAAGGTTATACTGAATCATATACCACTCTCTAACAGGAATAAGATGCATGAGACGATTGTTTCTTCGGTTCATGGACATCAGCAATATGTATGTATATTTAGGCGAGGCAAGTCGTCGGCTTGGGTCTCTAAGTTACCGTATGGAGTTCGGATTTGAAAACCGTCCAGAGAATTTAAGAGAGTTGAGAAATGATTTCATTTTACAACGAGAAATTTGATTTGAAAAATCGATCATAAAATATTTTCGTCAATAGGAAATCTCGCACAAATGATAATTTTTCCTTAAACATGTAGACGGTTTTGTGTACCTTTTTCAGTTTTTTGTTTATTTTTTTAGTCTACACATAATATAATACACCGAACGGAAAAACGGGAGCCCCATTTCAAATTTCCTGCAACGAGAGTGAAAGTAGGAAGGACATTTTGGTCTTCACACTTACTTTTTTTAATTCATTAAAAAGACACATAGTGGGATTCGAACCATGACCATTTTAAGGAAAAATAAGGATCATAACCAATCACACTAAGTACATTTGTTGCATCTTTTTAAATTAAAAAGATATAATAGCATAGAGGAAAAAACCATTCCCCCATTTCAAAATTCCTGCTCCAGGAGCGTTTGTAGGAATGATAGAATAGGGAGTGTCAATTTTTTCCTCTTTCCACTGTGGAACGGGCCAACTTACCGTACACATGCGGATTTAAACGGGTTCAAGAGTGTCAATTTTTTCATTAAGCCCTTTTATTTCTCCGTGGTGATAAAATATATATGAAGAGGCAAAAACAATACTTCTTTTTATTGCTAAAAATAAAAATTTAACAATAAACTAATGCATGGTATCTAATGGGCTAACCGCTAACCATAAAATAAAAGAGTTGAATTGGTTTGACCTACACGGGATTTGGCCATCAAGTAAAACAAATGAACATCATTGGTTTGACATTCTAAAACAAGTTATTTTCTCTGGCATAATATATTATGCTATTATTTTATATCTTAGTGGCTAAAATATAATGTATTTTAAAGTTATTCAACGGTTCAACCTCGACCAACCCAATTAGTCCAATTTTTATCATTTCAAATATATATTATATAATTATTTGATATCATAATGATCAAATCATAGTGTATTTTATAGGGAATCGTTTGGTATTTGTTAGTAAAAAACTAAACAGAAAGATCTATTTGGTTATTTTAAACATTAAAACGATCCTAACATTTTCAGTTCCTTTTGAATTTCTATGGTTTTATTCCCGAATAAGTGATGTGCAAATGGCAGTCATCTCTTTTCCTTCACTATTTTTTATTTTCAAATAAAAAGTTTAAAAGTAAAGAATAATTAGAATTTGGCATGGGTCTGTCAAACAGGATGCATTTCAAGTTTTGGCCCCTTTTGATCAAGTCTAATTTATAATCACATGGTTCCCTGATACCCGATAAAAATCTCAATCCAAACCAGTTTGGCAGGTGAGTCCGTGTTTACCACCATTTTCTAGGGATACGACAACAACGGTTCCTATCCCAAATCGTGTTGTTAGTTCTTGATTTCCTTAGATTTTATCATAGCCTGAAAAAAACCAGAAAGCACAATGACGACAAGATGAAAGTTTTATAAACCAAATTAATCGGCCAACGGGCCGAGTAAAAGCTAGCAACTATTGTAAGATGCTCATTTCCCGAAAACCGACGGGATAGGCGATTTTTTATTCGATTTTATGGAATTCAGTTTCTATAAAACTTACTCCACCTCATCATATTACCAGAAACAATATTGTTTCACAAGGTAACATGTACTTGATTTTGGTTCATAAGGCCGATTTTTGATTTGTTGCATCATTAATGTCTCTTTCCTGCTAAAATTCACTATTTTTATCACGTGTTTCCCAAAAAAACTATACAACAATAAGTTATACACCCCATTACATTATCAAATTTCATACCTCACCTTCCTCTAGGGATGGAAACAAAACCCGAACCCACGGGTACCCACCCGACCCAAATCGGTCAACGCGGGTAAAATCCGTGTTGACGGGTTTTGGGCCGATTTTGGGTTTAAACCCATTCAATATTCATCGGGTTGGATTGGGTTTGGGTTTAGGTAAACCCGACCCATGGGTACCCGCCCACACCCATATAATTAATTTTCTCGATATATTTAATATTCTAAACAACTTATCTTATTTATGTTTGTGGAGACCTGTCTAATTTTTTCTTTCTAATTGTGTAGAATGAAGTTGATGTTATCGAGTGGAGAGTGAAGAAACTTAATTGAAAGGAAGAAGCTTTCAATTAATCATGTTATTTTATGGATAATTTGTTATTTGCTTGAATTTTCTAGAATGGTATTTTATATATGGATAATTTGTATTGAGAGATTGATATTTGACTTTAATTTTGATAGAAACTTGTTATTGTAAATTTTTTAAGACAAAAACCTGTGGGTACCCATGAACCCGCGGATACTCAGGGGGTTGAGTTGGGTTTGAGTTTTTCAAACCGAGTGGATTTTACCCCGAATTTTTTTCACGGATAAACCCATGAATTTGGATTTGAATTTGACAAAACCCGACCCAACCCGACCCATTGCCATCCTACCTTCCTCCGGCCAACTGGCCGGGGCCCACACTAGTATATAGAAAACGTGATAGTTTAAGCAATTAGATTTACGGTAGTTTTTCCTTTGTATGAATTGTTAGCTCTAATTTTAAACATCGAGTTTCTGTATGACTCATATCTACAAAATCTTGCATCTTACCACTAGAAATGACGGTAGATTCATATAAAAACTGGTTAAGATATATAATTTTGTAAGTTTGAGTTTTGTACTAGATCCTTTCCAATTTTTAATACATGGGTAATTTATTATGTTACATTCTGTTCTATTATAATAGTGATTCTATTATTTTATATTAAATAAATTATATTATACAATTTTCTAATTTGTGGATTTCTTAATGTTTAATTGTTGGGTGCAACTTATTGTCATGTACAGCGAGTGATGGGGTGCAATGTGTTAAGGTTCATGTATCAAGTTTTTCAAGGATGATGATGGACGGTGTTTTTTCTCCATCAAACTTTTTTCTCTCCTAAAATTAACTTCAAAATAGACTAACGGGTCGTTTGTATGCAGTATTTTGATGAGGTAATTTGGTCGAAATAACTCAGAATGAGGTATTTTAATCAAAATAACTCGTTTGGCAAAAATAAAGTAGAATGTGGTATTTTGTCCATGAGTCAATTGAAATACCTACCCACCCCCTAGTTATTTCAAATACCTCATCTCCCAACTTCTTTTTCCACTTCATCCCTTCTTTGAGTGGTGAAATACCACAATATTTGAATGTTTTATCCAAACAAGACAATTACACCAATTACCACATCTCAAAATGAAATACCACATGAAATGCCACATAGCAAAATAATGCATCATTTGGATTCGAAATACCATAGAACCAAATTGATGCATCCAAACAACCCGTAAACAAATGTCCTTATGTCGGTTAAGCTACATCTCATAAATTTATTATCGATACAACTGTTCGTATGTATTAAATTATCATCGCATAATTTGGGTTCTACATTATCTCAGCTGTCACAAGTTACACTAGAGATTTTACGCGTTTATTTCACGTTTCCAATGTCAATTGTCTTTTTCTTTTTTTCTTTTTTCGAATGAATCAATTGTTCTATTTAGCAATCAAATGAGTGATGTATCAAATTAGGAAACTAATAAGAACAGCTAAACTGAAGCCATCCAACGAATGAATCATCATATTCATATTAATATATAGGATCAACGAATTCGACAATAATGCGTCTCCCAACTGTTACATATCCATTATCCAATATGGACCCAAAACCAGAACATAGAAAAGAACAGGGGACAGAGGAAGAAAGAATGATAAATGAATCAATCAATGAAGAAAGCAGGGGAAAAGAGAAGAATCCCTCTCTACATCTTCAACAGACCCACAATCGACACGGCCAGAGAGCACACCACAACGGCGCCGGACACCGGAACGGAGAACCCAGCGCCGGTGACCAGCGACGGCGAGGGAGCAGGGGCCATTTCCTCCTGTCCGGAGACGATGGCGAACAGAGACGCCACCAGTAGGAACATGGAGAGGGCAGCTGCCTTCGAAAAGCTCACTTGGGCCATTTTTTGGTTTGAGAAAGAAAATGGAGGTTCGAAGGGGGTTTTTTAGCTGGAGATGAACAGCCGGGAGAGAAACGAGAGCAGAAGAGAAAAGGGCTCTGAGATTGTGGGTTGAAGATGAGAAGGGTTCGGGTTGGATTTATAAAGAGGGGTTTTGGAGTCGGATCCGGCCGTTGTGGGATTGGGACCCGACTCAAACGGTAACCTAAAATAAAAATAATTCATTCTTGTAATGAGTGAACCCATCAACGGGAATCATAAAAAGAAGTGGCAATAAAGGGTGGGTTGGATTTCGGGTTGGACCGAAATTCTACCCTTGGTAAACTGAAGGAGCGCTTAAAGAGCGCGCCTCAACCTTAATGAATTAATAAGTTGAGGAGTTTGGGTTCTAATGATGTCAAAATACAGTAGTCAGTGACTCAGGAAACCCCGTGGGTGTGTCGTAAACACGGGTACCCACTGGGAAGGAATGATCAAGAGAAGCCAGATAGTTTGGCAACATAGTTAGTCACCTGGGACCACATGAACTGGCTGCACCTGTCAGGGGACGGCTCAACCAGCGCGTCTTATCTCCGCAAATACAAGTGGAATGCAGATGGTATGGGTAGCTGCCTCGATGAGGGTGATTGTTGTTGTTGTTGTTCTCTTTCTAGCCCCCCGATTTCCACGTGAGTTTCGGACCTTGTGCAATTCCAGTCGATTCCACACGCCTAATCGAAATTCTAGTTGTGTTTTTTCTTTTTTTTTTGGTTCCATCCGGTGGTCATGGTGGTTCCGACATTTGGAAGGTGCCACAGAGGTATGTATATGGTGCGGTTGATTGAGCAAATCGTAAATCTGATCAGTATATGTGAACAAACTCAATCCACAAAAGCGCTAAAGTCTTCTGCAAGAAGTATCTCATTTTTGTTATTTCTTGTTGCATCGAGTGAAACCGAAATTCCTTTGTATGGTGTGAATAGATGACAACTTGTACTCCTTTAAATTTCCAACAATATTCCTTTTTAAATGTTTTGGTCTAATTACAAGGAAACTTCTTGCCAATTTTCTCACTTTCTTGTTTGTCAAATGTAGCCATGGTGGTTCATACATAAACAATCGTGCCTTATTTCCTCACCTCTAGAATTATGAATGAGTGTAGTTGTTAGGTCCATTTCTCCTTTTTGGGTAGAGACAGCAAATGATAGGGTGTAAGTAATGTGTATAAGATTCATGTATCAACTTTTGTAAAGGATGATTGATGATGATAGGCTGTATTTGTCACACATCCAGCCACACTTTGTATCACCTAAAATTATTGTATTATATTGCATAGTTTCATGGCCTTTTAGCTTAACAATAAAAATATACTAATATGTAAAGAAAATACAATAAATTATTAATTAAATAGACTAAAAAAGTACAAGAATGTTGAAGGGGTGACTTAACCTACTCTGAAAGATATCACCTCAAACCTTAACATCTTAATCAAATTGTTTTCTTCAAAAACTTGTATTCTCTAGTTTTCTTTTACGACTTTTCTAATTTGTCGAAATTATTAGTTTGTATATGTATAAAATATTATTTAAATCTCAGTTGGATGAACTTTGAATGTTTTTTAGTGTACAGTACAACATAAACATGTGTGAGGTAGAATTAAAAAAAAAACTATATTCTACAATGTAAAATAACCCTGCAATTTCACCCTAATGTCAACAAAAGCAACAACCTAACAAAGTTATTGTTTAAAAATCAGAGGGTACTTTCAAAACTATATTTATGGTAGTCAACAAGAAAACTCATACGTTAGCTTATTTTCCAAAACTACATTTATGATAGTCATCAATTTTATTCATCATAGCTTTTTTTGTTCCAAAAAGTCATATACATTGTTATGACATTCCAACTACTCAATGTTGTACAAAGATATCATTACATCTTAGAGTTAATATTTTCGTATGGCCTGAACTTTGACCAAAATAAATATCCTGGCCAATCTTATCGATCTATAACATCCTGGCCTGAACTATACACCAATATAAACAATTTGGCCAAACTTGATGTTTGACCGTTAACTTGGACGGTCAAACGCGTTGACTAACGGTCAACGCCCCACGTCACTGCCAAGTCAGAAGATCCGATAAATATTTATTTTTTTTCGTTGTTTATTTTTGGTTTAACTAAGGTATTAGATGATTTTTTTAATTTATAGTAATTTAAAATTAGGGAATGTGTGGAGATTGTGAATTATTTTAAATATTTTATGCTGACTTGGCAGTGACATGGCGCGTTGACTAACGGTCAACGCGTTTGATCGTCCAAGTTAACGGTCAAAAGTCGGATCTGGCCAAATTGTTTATTTTGGTGTATAGTTCGGGCCAGGATGTTATAGATCGAAAAGATTGGCCAGGATGTTTATTTTGATCAAAATGCAGGTCATACGAAAGTATTAACCCTACATCTTACTACAAGAACAACTATGGTATTGGTTCAGAGATTGAATCATTTGGTAAATATCCAACATTACATAATCCAAAAATTATTTGTCTATCGGTATGAGATACCATATTAATTAACATCATCGTATCGCTTAAATTGTTGGACTGACCTCCTAGTATAATTATCTAAGAATCAGTTGTTCCCCCATGATCCAAAATAACATTTATACATGACGATTGCAATATTGACGTATACAGAGTAAGTCCGACATGGCCGCTACAGTTATAACGTAAAATGTTTGAGCGCGTAAATTACAACAATGGTTTTACTCGTCAGAGTTCCATTTTTATAAATAAAGCGAAAATGCCTTAGAATGCCGTACTTCTCGCGATCAACATCCGTTAAGTACTTATTAATTTTCAATTATCGCAGCATAATGAGTGATGGTAACAAGTTAGGAAAGTAATGAAAACATCATCGTTGAAGTCATTAGTCATTACTTCATTACTATACACAATGAATAAATAGTCATATCATATCCATATTATTATAATACATGGGATTACTATTATACAATAATGTGTCTCGCAATCAAAACTCCCACAAAATCAAACCCACAACCAACCGATACAAACTCAACATGGATCGAAACCAAACCCAAAAAAAAAAAAAAAAAAAAGAGTAAAATTTGCAGATAAATGAATCAACGAAGAAGCAGGGGGAGAAGGGAAGAATCATCAATTCATCCTCTACTCTCTACAACTTCAACAAACCCATAAGAGTCACGGCCAAAGAGGCGGCAGCGACGGCGCCGGAGACAGGAACAGAGAACCCATCTCCGGTGACCAGCGGCGGCGACGGAGCAGGCGCCATTTCCTGGCTGGAGACAATGGCGAACAGAGACGCCACCAGCAGGATCATGGAGAGGGCAGCTGCCTTCGAGAAGCTCACTTGGGCCATTTTTTGGTTGAGAAGGAAAAATGTAACGAAGCTGAAGATTTGAAAGGAAGGGTTTTTAATTTCTGTGTGGAGAAGGGATTTGAGATTTGAGGGGTGGTGGGTTGGGAATTAGAAGGGTTAATGGTGGATTTATAAAGGGGTTTAGAGAGGTATGAATGTATAATTAGCTGTTGTTGTTGGGTCAATTTTTTGGTGGACAGCAAGTGATTGGGTGTAATGTGTGTATAAATAAAGGTGTTCATGTATCAACTTTTGTATATGATAGATTGATGATAGACTGTATTGGAACACATATACAACCAGCTAGGTACACCTTGTGATGTCCTAAATCATTGCACAGTTTTGTATTCGTTGTGAGATTATAATCGAACCAGATAGCGTGTGTAAAGAGATTACCTTAATATGATTAATTCAGGAAAAAAAAGAAAGAAAGATAGAAGAGATGATTTTGGTTTGATCAGGCTGAAAATACGTCAACGTAAGCAAATTGCTTTCTCGAGAGCTACATTCTCGCGTCCACTTTTTTACATAGCTCACTTGAGATTTGGAAAGTTCTTAAGCGTATACATGATGATGAAATTTTGTACAGATTTACTAGGAAAGACATGAATCGTGTGTTTAACAAATTTTTTTTTTTTTAATGTACGCATTATTACAAGGAAAGTCTGAGTTCAGCCCACTACAATTTCCATATTTATTATCTTAAACCTCAAAGTTTATTTCATGAACTTAATAGTCAACAAGAGAACTCATACATAGCTTATTTTTGAAAACTAAAAATTTCATGATTGTCAACATTATAAGTCATCATAGCTCAAATTTCATATTCATTGAATACAACGTTCCAACCACCCAAATGTTGTACAAGATATCATCACATTCAACCACATGGACACCTGTGGTACTGCTTCACAGACCTCCAGAAAAATGAACCGTCCACCATACATCCGGATCTCGAATCGACAACCCACCTTACACGAAATCCTGGCTCGACCAAAGTCATTAAACCATACTGAGTATTAGCAAACCCTTTCAACCCATGTTCGTAAGTGTCTCACAGGAGATCAATCAATCAGTCCTCTGATACATTTCCATGTGGCTAGTAACTAACTTTGTCCTTCGGTCTAAAGTCCATTGAAAACAGAGCAACAGAGATCCAGCCAAAAACCGAACAGGGCAAAGATGAACAGAGCCAGCCAGCTTAAATTATAATAAGTCAATATATTATCATACAATGAATGAATATCGAATACATGATATACAGATCAAACAGATCCGATATAATGGAGAACCCCAACTAACACAAGATTCAATATGGATCCGAACCCACAAAACCAAAACCCGGAACAAAAGAAAAAAGAGGCGAAGTGAGAAAACAGAGGAATCAAGAAACAGGGGAGAGGGAAGCACAGACAAATTCACAAGCTCGAAGAGACCAAAAAAAGGGTAAACTCTCTACATCTTCAACAAGCCCATCAGAGACACAGCCACGGAGACGGCAACGAAAGCGCCGGAAGCTGGGACGGAGAACCCAGCGCCGGTGACCAGCGACGGCGATGGAGCAGGGGCCATTTCCTGGGCGGAAACAATGGCGAACAGAGATGCGACCAACAAGACCATGGAGAGGGCAGCTGCTTTTGAGAAGCTTACTTGGGCCATTGCTGCTGGATTAAGAGAGGAAAATGAAGTAAATGAACTGAAGAACTGTGAGCTGGAGGAGCTTCTGAGATGTGAGAGAAGTAGTGATGCAGATTGCAGAGCTTGAGTTATAGCGGCGAGTTGGAGATGGGGAAGGGTTACCCCCCAATTTATAGATAGGATTTTCCATTAGTGGGAAACGGCTGTAATTGCGGCCAGTGGGACCATTATTGATACAAGAACTTTAATTACTATATTTCTTTCTTCTTTTCTCACCAACGGTAAGAAGACATTGTTGCAGCTATAAGTTAAAGTTTTCTTCTTTCAGCACCATTTTCTGCCGGATTGGGCGGAAAATTGACAAGTTGGGGTTTCAATGGGGGGAAATTCATCTGTGCAGAGGACTCAAATAATCAAATCCCTGTTACGACGAATCAAACCCATTTGTACGATATGAAAAATATCGTTGTATTCTAATTCACTAACAAAACTCGGTAGTTCAAACAGTATCAACACATTAGCGCTTTTTCGAATCCCTAAGAGAGCTGATTAAGGGGTATGGTTTACTTAATCCGACTCTGAATCCTATCGGTTATCGAAGTTAGGACGTCTTAACTCAAATCGCGGACTAAAACCGTAGACCGAATGGTGCAGTAAAAGAAAATTACAGACTTGGAGTGGAAGGGAAGGGAGAGAGAGGGTGGGCTGGCAACGTTTCACAGCTGTGAAGTGTGGGGTTTCTTCTTCGGTAATGTTAATTACAGGCTGTGGCACGTTGTTTGTTGAATGGGACTGGTGGGGTGGGTAAAGCTTTGTCGTCATCTTGTCCATCCAGCAAAGAGCTGCAAGTGGGAAGAAGACACGTTAGCGAAGATATGACATCGCAAAGACTGGAACAAAGTTCCTTCTGGAAATCATGGAGTTTGTCGGTCTACCAAACGTCCACATGATCACAATCATCATCAATGGCCCAAGCCCCATGTGAAGAAGCGCCTTCTTTGATGATCATCAGTGTGCCGTTGCTCTGTCACCATAATTGCAGCCATTGAGAGAGTGCGTAGTTGTCATCATCTCTATGAGAAGTATTATCGCATTCTGAGTTATTTTTAGCTCAAATAGGGCCAAGGGCATGTCATTCAGTAATTGGCCTTTTGAAGAGCTGACCACCACACTGTCAAAACTGGAATTTGTCTGCCACTTTGGAAAGAGATTCTTGGCGATATCATTAGGGATTTAGGGGGGTGTTTGTCTCACCTACTTCTCCACCAAGAAGCTGTGTGTTTGTCACTTATTAGTACTCGTTTGGTTTTGGTGATAGTTAAATCGATATATTGTTATCAATGCATGCATAATAATATACATGTATATAAGAAAATTGGTGTATTGTAGTTTACATTATTTGGTTTCTATGATAGTTATTGTAGTGTTTAAATTATTACTTTATGGGTGAAATGTCATTTGTACCATTTGTTTTTAGTATTAAAAAACAACACATATAAAAAGATATGGACATATTTGGTAGAAGAAAAAACATAACAATCCCAATCAAACAATCTCAACGATCTCAACCAAAACTTGAGATTTAACCATCCCACATTTTGAGTGATAGTTTGTGTCACATCAAGTAAACAATGCATGTATTGTTTGTGCAGAAAATTTAAAAAAACGATGTATTGTGAACATTGCATGCATTGTAACTATCTCAACCAAACTATCACAAAAACCAAACAACCCCTTAACCGCTGCTCATGTACAACTCTAAGGGGTCGTTTGAAAGTTGCGATAGTTTTGTTGAGATTGTCATTATGCATGTATCTACACATAATATAATATGCCGAAGGAAAAAACGGGAGCCCCATTTCAAATTTTCTGCAACGAGAGTGAATGTAGGAAGGACATTTTGGTCTTCACAATTACTTTTTTTATTCATTAAAAAGACACGTACTAGGATTCGAGCCATGGCCATTTTAAAGAAAAGCAAGGATCATAACCAATCACACTGTCGTTTGGATGGATCATTCTTAAAATGAGTCAATTTGGATCAAAAGACTCATTTTAGAAAATGAGTCATTTTGATGAGGAAATTTGCTCAAAATGTATCGTTTGGAACAGGCTGTGAGATGGGGAAATGTATACGAGTCATTTTGAGTAAATACCAATTTATCCTTGTCTTCTCCAAGTTTCTCATCTCTTGTTTTGCTGCAAGTTTTTCGTCATTTTATTGGTTTTCATTATGGATAGTTCATCATGCACAAAAATTACAATCGGAACCTCTCTTATTCACCAATTAACTCACATGCAATCAGTTTTTCCAGTGACCTAGAAAGGTTGAGCATCGGAGAAAGCCGAAACAGGTGAATTTTCACCGTCCTCTGCAAATTTCTCGACCCTATTTATGTCGAGCTTGTATCTTTCTGGGTTCGATTTTTTGTACAACAGCTATTCACACTAAGAGGTGGAATATGTATTAATAAGGCGAATCAGGCGCTCCACTTCAGAAGCCCAGAAACTCAGCTCAACGGCGTTGGAGAAACCCCTTTCCTCACCTCTGGTGGAGACGAGTCATCTCTTCACGGCGGCGGCGCGATTCGAGACTCGCCTGTCAACAAAAATATGTTGGAGACTCGCCTTCAAAGCCTGGATCGTGAGCAGAAAGGGAAGAGAAGACTGGCTATTTTGTGATTCGCCATTGTTGCTCGTCTACAGAGAAAGACAGGAAATAGAAAAAAGAGAAGATGGTTCCTTAAAAAAAAATGAGAACATGAAGGATCTCGTTGAATACTGAAGAAAAAGAAATCAGTGATGGGTAGTTGAAGAATCAATCAATAGATTTTTGGAATTGAGGTTTAATCACATAAGGAAAGAAGAAAATCTTCTCAGATCCGTGAGAGAGAGAGGGAGAGAGAGAGAGAGAAAGGGGGAAGAATGAAGGTTTCGTAATTGGTTCCAGGAGGGGGAGAGAGGGGAAAGAAAGAAAAATAAAAAAATGAAAAAGAAAAGGGTAGCTTTGGGAAAAGGAAACAAAAAAATGAGTCAATTCACAAAACCTCTCCCTACCCAGGTAATTGCAATTGACCAAAAATGAAGCAATCTACATTTCTCCATATAGAATTGGTTCATTTAATTTTTTGGTGGCCAAACGAGTCAATGTGGTGCAATTGCTTCATTTTGAGACAATTTAGCACAATTGACTCACCAGAAAGTTCCATCCAAACGACCCCTAAGTACATTCATTGTATCTTTTTAAATTAAAAACATATAATAGCAGGGAGGAAAAAACTCTTCCCTCATTTCAAATTCCCTGCTCCATGAGCGTTTGTAGGAAGGGTAGAATAGAGTGTCAATTTTTTTCTCTTTCCTCTGTGGAACTGGCCAACTTACCATACACATGCAGATTTAAACGGCTCCAGGATTGTCAATTTTTTTTTTCTTTAAGGCATTTTATTTCTCCGTGGTGATAAAATATATATGAAAAGGGAAAAAAATATTTCTTTTTATTGCTAAAAATAAAAATTTAACAATAAACTAATGCATCGTATTTAATTGGCTAACCGATAACCATAAAATAAAAGAGTTGAATAGGCCTGACCTACACGGGATTTGGCCATCAAGTAAAACCAATGAACATCATTGGTTTGACATTCTAAAACAAGCTATTTTCTCTGGCATAATATATATTATGCTATTATTTTATATCTTAGTGGCTAAAATATAATGTATTTTAAAGTTATTCAATGGTTCCACCTCGACCAACCCAATTAGTCTAATTTTAATCATTTCAAATAAATATTATATAATTATTTGATATCATAATGATCAAATTATAGTGTATTTTATAGGGAATCGTTTGGTATTTGTTAGTAAAAAACTAAACATAAAGATCTATTTGGTTATTTTAAACATTAAAATGATCCTAAACATTTTCAGTTCCATTTGAATTTCTATGGTTTTATTCCCAAATAAGTGATGTGCAAATGGCGAATTGCAGTCATCTCTTTTCTTTCACTATTTTTTATTTTCAAATAGAAATTTAAAAGTAAAGAATAATTAGAATTTGGCATGAGTCGCTCAAACCGGATGAATTTCAAGTTTTGGCCCGTTTTGATCAAGTCTAATTTATAATTACATGGTTCCCTGATACCAGATAAAAATCTCAATCCAAACTAGTTTGGCAAGTGAGTCCGTGTTTACCACCATTTTCTAGGGATACGACAACAGCGGTTCTTATCCAAAATCGTGTTTTAATGGACTTAGTCATCGTTGAAGAATAGTCTCAGGCCGAATCCATGATCGGTAGCCTTCAAAATCCAAAGAAAATGGCATTTCGACGCACACAAAATTACGAAAATGCCATCCGAAAATAAATTGGCCCAAATCGGTGTTTAATGGACTTATACCATGGAGAATAGAATCAATAGACTTCATTATCGGTGGAGAATAGCCTCGGCCTGATTTCATGATCTGTAGCCTCCGGAATCGAAAGAAAATGGCATTTCGGAAAAATCGCCCAAAATCTGTGATGGTAACCCTGTGCAATCTGCCAAAAATTGACCCGGAATAAATCCGCTCAAATCGGTGCTTAATGGACTTAGTCATCGTTGAAGAATAGTCTCAGGCTGAATCCGTGATCTGTAGCCTTCAAAATCCAAAGAAAATGGCATTTCAAATCCCACAAAATTACGAAAATGTCATCCGAAAATAAATTGGCCCAAATCGGTGCTTAATGGACTTATCATTCGTGGAGAATAGGATCAATAGACTTCATTATCGATGGAGAATAGCCTCGGCCTGATTTCGTGATCTGTAGCCTCCAGAATCGAAAGAAAATGGCATTTCGGAAAAATCGCCAAAAATCTGTGATGGTACCCCTATGCAATCTGCCAAAAATTGACCCGGAATTAATCCACCCAAATCGGTGCTTAATGGACTTAGTCATCGTTGAAGAATAGTCTCAGGGCGAATTCATGATCTGTATCCTTCAAAATCCAAAGAAAATGGCATTTCGATTCCCACAAAATTACGAAAATGCCATCCGAAAATAAATTGGCACAAATCAGTGTTTAATGGGCTTATCATCCGTGGAGAATAGGATCAATAGACTTCATTATCGGTGGAGAATAGCCTCGGCCTGATTTCGTGATCTGTAGTCTCCAGAATCGAAAGAAAATGACATTTCCGAAAAATCGCCCAAAATCTGTGATGGTACCCCTTTGCAATCTGCCAAAAATTGACGCGAAATAAATCCGCCCAAATCGGTGCTTAATGGACTTAGTCATCGTTGAAGAATAGTCTCAGGCCGAATCCGTGATCTGTAGCCTTCAAAATCCAAAGAAAATGGCATTTCGACGCACACAAAATTACGAAAATGCCATCCGAAAGTAAATTGGCACAAATTGGTGTTTAATAGACTTATCATTCGTGGAGAATAGGATCAATAGACTTTATTATCGGTGGAGAATAGCCTCGGCCTGATTTCATGATCTGTAGCCTCCAGAATCGAAAGAAAATGGCATTTCGGAAAAATCGCCCAAAATCTGTGATGGTACCACTTTGCAATCTGCCAAAAATTGACCCGGAATAAATCCGCCATAATTGGTGCTTAATGGACTTAGTCATCATTGAAGAATAGTCTCAGGCCGAATCCGTGATCTGTAGCCTTCAAAATCCAATGAAAATGGCATTTCGACGCCCACAAAATTACGAAAATGCCATTCGAAAATAAATTGGCCCAAATCGGTGTTTGATGGACTTATCATCCGTGGAGAATAGGATCAATAGACTTCATTATCGGTGGAGAATAGCCTCGGCCTGATTTCGTGATCTGTAGCATCCAGAATCGAAAGAAAATGGCATTTCGGAAAAATCGTCCAAAATCTGTGATGGTACCCCTTTTCAATTTGCCAAAAATTGACCCGGAATAAATCCGCCCAAATCGGTGCTTAATGTACTTAGTCATCGTTGAAGAATAGTCTCAGGCCGAATCCGTGATCTGTAGCCTTCAAAATCCAAAGAAAATGGCATTTCGACGGCCACAAAATTACGAAAATGCCATCCGAAAATAAAGTGGCCCAAATCCGTGTTTAATAGACTTATCATCCGTGGAGAATAGGATCAATAGACTTCATTATCGGTGGAGAATAGCCTCGGCCTGATTTCGTGATCTGTATCCTTCAGAATCAAAAGAAAATGGCATTTCGGAAAAATTGCCTAAAATCTGTAATGGTACCACTTTGCAATCTGCCAAAAATTGACCTGGAATAAATCCGCCCAAATCGGTGCTTAATGGACTTAGTCATCGTTGAAGAATAGTCTCAGGCTGAATCCATGATCTGTAGCCTTCAAAATCCAAAGAAAATGGCATTTCGACGACCACAACATTACGAAAATGTCATCCGAAAATAAATTGGCCCAAATTGGTGTTTAATGGACTTATCATCCGTTGAGAATAGGTTCAATAGACTTCATTATCGGTGGAGAATAGCCTCGGCCTAATTTCGTGATCTGTAGCCTCCAGAATCGAAGAAAATGGCATTTCGGAAAAACCCCCAAAATTTGTGATGGTACCACTTTGCAATCTGCCAAAAATTGACCCGGAATAAATCCGCCCAAATCGGAGCTTAATGGACTTATTCATCGTTGAAGAATAGTCTCAGGCCGAATCCGTGATCTGTACCCTTCAAAATCCAAAGAAAATGGCATTTCGACGCCCACAAAATTATGAAAATGTCATCCGAAAATAAATTGGCCCAAATCGGTGATTAATGGACTTATCATCCGTGGAGAAGAGGATCAATAGACTTCATTATCGGTGGAGAATAGCCTCGGCCTGATTTCGTGATTTGTAGCTTCCAGAATAGAAAGAAAATGGCATTTCGGAAAAATCGACCAAAATCTGTGATGGTACCCCCTTTGCAATCTTCAAAAATTGACCCGGAATAAATCCGCCAAAATCGGTGCTTAATGGACTTAATCATCGTTGAAGAATAGTCTCAGGCTGAATCCATGATCTGTAGCCTTCAAAATCCAAAGAAAATGGCATTTCGACGACCACAACATTACGAAAATGTCATCCGAAAATAAATTGGCCCAAATTGGTGTTTAATGGAGTTATCACCCGTGGAGAATAGGATCAATAGACTTCATTATCGGTGGGGAATAGCCTCGGCCTGATTTCGTGATCTGTAGCCTCCAGAATCGAAAGAAAATGGCATTTCGGAAAAATCGACAAAAATCTGTGATGGTACCCCTTTGCAATCTGCCAAAAATTGCCCCGGAATAAATCCGCCCAAATCGGTGCTAAATGGACTTAGTCATCGTTGAAGAATAGTCTCAGGCCGAACCGTGATCTATAGCCTTCAAAATCCAAAGAAAATGGCATTTCGACGCCCACAAAATTACGAAAATGCCATTCGAAAATAAATTGGCCCAAATCGGTGTTTGATGGACTTATCATCCGTGGAGAATAGGATCAATAGACTTCATTATCGGTGGAGAATAGCCTCGGCCAGATTTCGTGATCTGTAGCATCCAGAATCGAAAGAAAATGGCATTTCGGAAAAATCGACCAAAATCTGTGATGGTACCCCTTTGCAATCTAGAAAAATTGACCCGGAATAAATCCTCCAAATCGGTGCTTAATGGACTTAATCATCGTTGAAGAATAGTCTCAGGCTGAATCCGTGATCTGTAGCCTTCAAAATCCAAAGAAAATGGCATTTCGACGACCACAACATTACGAAAATGTCATCCGAAAATAAATTGGCCCAAATTGGTGTTTAATAGAGTTATCACCCGTGGAGAATAGGATCAATAGACTTCATTATCGGTGGGGAATAGCCTCGGCCTGATTTCGTGATCTGTAGCCTCCAGAATCGAAAGAAAATGGCATTTCGGATAAATCGACAAAAATCTGTGATGGTACCCCTTTGCAATCTGCCAAAAATTGACCCGGAATAAATCCGCCCAAATCGGTGCTAAGTGGACTTAGTCATCGTTGAAGAATAGTCTCAGGCCGAATACGTGATCTGTAGCCTTCAAAATCCAAAGAAAATGGCATTTCGACGCCCACAAAATTACGAAAATGCCATCCGAAAATAAATTGGCCCAAATCCGTGTTTAATAGACTTATCATCCGTGGAGAATAGGATAAATAGACTTCATTATCGGTGGAGAATAGCCTCGGCCTGATTTCGTGATCTGTATCCTCTAGAATCGAAAGAAAATGGCATTTTGGTAAAATCGCCCAAAATCTGTGATTGTACCCCTTTGCAATCTGCCAAAAATTGACCCGGAATAAATCCACCCAAATCAGTGCTTAATGGACTTAGTTATCATTGAAGAATAGTCTCAGGCCGAATCCGTGATCTGTAGCCTTCAAAATCCAAAGAAAATTGCATTTCGATGCACAGAAAATTACGAAATTGCCATCAGAAAAGAAATTGGCCCAAATCGGTGTTTGATGGACTTATCATCCGTGGAGAATAGGATCAATAGAGTTCATTATCGGTGGAGAATAGCCTCGGTCGGATTTCGTGATCAGTAACCTCCAGTATCGAAAGAAAATGGCATTTCGGAAAAATCGCCAAAAATCTGTGATGGTACCCCTTTGCAATCTGCCAAAAATTGGCCTGGAATAAATCCACCCAAATAGGTGCTTAATGGACTTAGTCATCGTTGAAGAATAGTCTCAGGCCGAACCGTGATCTATAGCCTTCAAAATCCAAAGAAAATGGCATTTCGACGCCCACAAAATTACGAAAATGCCATTCGAAAATAAATTGGCCCAAATCGGTGTTTGATGGACTTATCATCCGTGGAGAATAGGATCAATAGACTTCATTATCGGTGGAGAATAGCCTCGGCCAGATTTCGTGATCTGTAGCATCCAGAATCGAAAGAAAATGGCATTTCGAAAAAATCGCCCAAAATCTGTGATGGTACCCCTTTTAATTCTGCCAAAAATTGACCCGGAATAAATCCGCCCAAATCGGTGCTTAATGGACTTAGTCATCGTTGAAGAATAGTCTCAGGCCGAATCCGTGATCTGTCGCCTTCAAAATCCACTGAAAATGGCATTTCGACGCACACAAAATTACGAAAATGCCGTCCGAAAATAAATTGGACCAAATCTGTGTTTAATGGACTTATCATCCGTGGAGAATAGGATCAATAGACTTCATTATCGGTGGAGAATAGCATCGGCCTGATTTCGTGATCTGTAGCATCCAGAATCGAAAGAAAATGGCATTTCGAAAAAATCGCCCAAAATCTGTGATGGTACCCCTTTTCAATCTCTCAAAAATTGACCCGGAATAAATCCGACCAAATCGGTGCTTAATGGACTTAGTCATCGTTGAAGAATAGTCTCAGGCCGAATCCGTGATCTGTAGCCTTCAAAATCCAAAGAAATTGGCATTTCGGCGCCCACAACATTACGAAAATGTCATCCGAAAATAAATTGGCCCAAATCGGTGTTTAATAGACTTATCATCCCTGGACAATAGAATCAATAGACTTCTTTATCGGTGGAGAATAGCCTCTGCCTGATTTCGTTATCTGTAGCCTTCAGAATCGAAAGAAAATGACTTTTCAGAAAAATCGCACAAAATCTGTGATGGTACCACTTTGCAATCTGCCAAAAATTGACTCGGAATAAATCCGCTCAAATCGGTGCTTAATGTACTTAATCGTCGTTGAAGAATGGTCTCAGGCCGAATCCGTTATCTGTAGCCTTCAAAATCCAAAGAAAATGGCATTTCGACGCACACAAAATTACGAAAATGCCATCCGAAAATAAATTGGCACAAATAGGTGTTTAATGGACTTATAATACGTGGAGAATAGGATCAATAGACTTCATTATCGGTAGAGAATAGCCTCAGCCTTATTTCGTGATCTGTAGCCTCCAGAATCGAAAGAAAATGACATTTCGGAAAAATCGCCCAAAATCTGTGATGGTACCCCTTTGCAATCTGCCAAAAATTGACCCGGAATAAATCCGTCAAAATCGGTGCTTAATGGACTTAGTCATCGTTGAAGAATAGTGTCAGGCCGAATCCGTGATCTGTAGCCTACAAAATCAAAAGAAAATGGCATTTCGACGCCCACAAAATTACGAAAATGCCATTCGAAAATAAATTGGCCCAAATCAGTGTTTAATGGACTTATCATCCGTGGAGAATAGGATCAATAGACTTCATTATCTGTGGAGAATAGCCTCGGCCTAATTTCGTGATCTGTAGCCGCCAGTATCGAAAGAAAATGGCATTTCGGAAAAATCGACCAAAATATGTGATGGTACCCCTTTGAAATCTGCCAAAAATTGACCCGGAATAAATCCGCCCAAATCTGTGCTTAATGGACTTAGTCATCGTTGAAGAATAGTCTCAGGCCGAATCCGTGATCTGTAGCCTTCAAAATCCAAAGAAAATTGCATTTCGACACCCACAACATTACGAAAATGCCATCCGAAAATAAATTGGCCCAAATCGGTGTTTAATAGACTTATCATCCGTGGAGAATAGGATCAATAGACTTCATTATCGGTGGAGAATAGCCACCGCCTGATTTTGTGATCTGTAGCCTCCAGAATCGAAAAAAATGGCATTTCGGAAAAATAGGTCAAAATCTGTGGTGGTACCCCTTTGCAATATGCCAAAAATTGACCCAGAATAAATCCGCCCAAATCGGTGCTTAATGGAATTAGTCATCGTTGAAGAATACTCTCAGGCATAATCCGTGATCTGTAGCCTTCAAAATCCAAAGAAAATGATATTTCGACGCTCACAAAATTACGAAAATGCCATCCGCAAATAAATTGGTCCAAATCGGTGTTTAATGTACTTATCATCCATGGAGAATAGGATCAATAGACTTCATTATCGGTGGAGAATAGCCTCGGCCTTATTTCGTGATCTGTAGCCTCCAGAATCGAAAGAAAATGGCATTTCGAAAAAATCGCCCAAAATCTGGTGGTACCCCTTTGCAATCTGCCAAAAATTGACCCGGAAGAAATCCGCACAAATCGGTGCTTAATGGACTTAGTCATCGTTGAAGAATAGTCTAAGGCCGAATCCGTGATCTGTAGCCTTCAAAATACAAAGAAAATGGCATTTCGACGCCCACAAAATTACGAAATTGCCATCCGAAAATAAATTGGCCTAAATCGGTGTTTGATGGACTTATCATCCGTGGAGAATAGGATCAATAGACTTCATTATCGGTGGAGAATAGCCTCGACCTGATTTCGTGATTTATAGCCTCCAGAATAGAAAGAAAATGACATTTTGGAAAAATCGCCCAAAATCTGTGATTGTACCCCTTTGCAATCTGCCAAAAATTGACCCGGAATAAATCCACCCAAATCGGTGCTTAATGGACTTAGTCATCGTTGAAGAATAGTCTCATGCCGAATCTGTGATCTGTAGCCTTCAAAATCCAAAGAAAATGGCATTTCGATGCACACAAAATTACAAAAATGCCATCCGAAAAGAAATTGGCCCAAATCGGTGTTTGATGGCTTATCATCCGTGGAGAATAGTATCAATAGAGTTCATTATCGGTGGAGAATAGCCTCGGCCGGATTTCGTGATCAGTAACCTCCAGTATCGAAAGAAAATGGCATTTCGGAAAAATCGCCAAAAATCTGTGATGGTACCCCTTTGCAATCTGCCAAAAATTGGCCTGGAATAAATCCGCCCAAATAGGTGCTTAATGGACATAGTCATCGTTGAAGAATAGTCTCAGGCCGAACCGTGATCTATAGCCTTCAAAATCCAAAGAAAATGGCATTTCGTTGCCCACAAAATTACGAAAATGCCATTCGAAAATAAATTGGCCCAAATTGGTGTTTAATGGACTTATCATCCGTGGAGAATAGGATCAATAGACTTCATTATCGGTGGAGAATAGCCTCGGCCTGATTTAGTGATCTGTAGCCTCCAGAATCGAAAGAAAATGGCATTTCAGAAAAATCGCCCAAAATCTGTGATGGTACCCCTTTGCAATCTGCCAAAAATTGACCCGGAATAAATCCGCACAAATCGGTGCTTAATGGACTTAGTCATCGTTGAAGAATAGTCTCAGGCCGAATCCGTGATCTGTAGCCTTCTAAATCCAAAGAAAACGGCATTTCGACGCTCACAAAATTACGAAAATGCCATCCGAAAATAAATTGGCCCAAATCGGTGTTTAATGGACTTATCATCCGTGGAGAATAGGATCAATAGACTTCATTATCGGTGGAGAATAGCCTCGGCTTGATTTCGTGATCTGTAGCCTTCAGAATCGAAAGAAAATGGCATTTCGGAAAAATCGACCAAAATCTGTGATGGTACCCCTTTGCAATCTGCCAAAAATTGACCCGGAATAAATCCGCCCAAATCGGTGCTTAATGGACTTAGTCATCGTTGAAGAATAGTCTCAGGCCGAATCCGTGATCTGTAGTCTTCAAAATCCAAAGAAAATGGCATTTCGACCCCCACAAAATTACGAAAATGCCATCCGAAAATAAATTGGCCCAAATCGGTGTTTAATGGACTTATCATTCGTGGAGAATAGGATCAATAGACTTCATTATCGGTGGAGAATAGCCTCGGCCTGATTTCGTGATCTGTAGCATCCAGAATCGAAAGGAAATGGCATTTCGTAAAAATCGCCCAAAATATGTGATGGTACCCCTTTGCAATCTGCCAAAAATTGAATCGGAATAAAACCGCCCAAATCGGTGCTTAATGGACTTAGTCATCGTTGAAGAATAGTATCAGGCCGAATTTGTGATCTGTAGCCTTCAAAATCCAAAGAAAATGGCATTTCGACGCTCACAAAATTACGAAAATGCCATCAGAAAATAAATTGGCCTCAAATCGGTGTTTAATGGACTTATCATCCGTGAAGAATAGGATCAATAGACTTCATTATCGGTGGAGAATAGCATCGGCCTGAGTTCGTGATCTGTATCATCGTCTGACAAAAACCATAATGAACAATGACGACAAGATGAAAGTTTTATAAAGCAAATTAATTGGCTAACGGGGAGAGTAAAAGCTAGCAACGATTATGAGATGCTCATTTTCCGAAAACCGACGGGATAGGCGATTTTTTATTCGATTTTCTGGAATTCGGTTTCTATAAAACTTACTCCACCTCATCATATTACCAGAATCAATATTGTTTCACAAGTTAATATGTACTTGATTTTGGTTCATAAGGCCGATTTTTGATTCGTTGCATCATTCATGTCTCTTTCCTGCTAAAATTTACTATTTTTATCACGTGTTTCCAAAAAATCTATACAACAATAAGCTATAAACGCCATTACATTATCAAATTTCATACCTCAGCTTCCTCCGGCCAACTGGTCGGGGCCCACGCTAGTAAAATAAAAGAGTTGAATAGGCCTGACCTACACGGGATTTGGCCATCAAGTAAAACAAATGAACATCATTGGTTTGACATTCTAATACAATCTATTTTCTCTGGCATAATATATATTATGCTATTATTTTATATCTTAGTGGCTAAAATATAATGTATTTTAAAGTTATTGAATGGTTCCACCTCGACCAACCCAATTAGTCCAATTTTAATCATTTCAAATATATATTATATAATTATTTGATATCATAATGATCAAATTATAGTGTATTTTATAGGAAATCATTTGGTATTTGTTAGTAAAAATTTAAACATAAAGATCTTTTTGGTTATTTTAAACATTAAAACGATCCTAAACATTTTCAGTTTCTTTTGAATTTCAAATAAGTGATGTGCAAATGGCGAATTGCAGTCATCTCTTTTCTTTCACTATTTTTTATTTTCAAATAGAAAAGTTTAATAGTAAAGAATAATTAGAATTTGGCATGAGTCGGTCAAACCGGTTGAATTTCAAGTTCTGGCCCGTTTTGATCAAGTCTAATTTATAATTACATGGTTCCCTGATACCAGATAAAAATCTCAATCCAAACTAGTTTGGCAAGTGAGTCTGTGTTTACCACTATTTTCTAGGGATACGACAACAACGGTTCTTATCCCAAATCGTGTTGTTCGTTCTTGATTTCCTTAGATTTTATCATGGTTTGACAAAAACCATAAAGCACAATGATGACAAGATGAAAGTTTGATAAAGCAAATTAATTGGCCAACGGGCTGAGTAAAAGCTAGCAAAGATTGTGAGATGCTCATTTTCCGAAAACCGACGGGATAGGCGATTTTTTATTCGATTTTATGGAATTCGGTTTCTATAAAATTACTCCACCTCATCATATTACCAGAAACCATATTGTTTCACAAGGTAACATGTTCTTGATTTTGGTTCATAAGGCCGATTTTTGATTCGTTGCATCATTCATGTCTCTTTCCTGCTAAAATTTACTATTTTTATCACGTGTTTCAAAAAAATCTATACAACAATAAGCTATAAACCCCATTACATTATCAAATTTCATACATCACCTTCCTCCGGCCAACTGGCCGAGGCCCACGCTAGTTGTTTACAATGCATCGTTTTTTTTGTTTTTTTAGCAAAAAACAATACATGGATTGTTTCTGTGATGTGACAGAAACTATCACTCATTTTGAGTGATTGTTATATCTCAACTTTTAGTTGTGATTGTTGAGATAGTTGAGTTAAGATTGTTTTGTCTCAGCTTTTAGCTGATGCGACATACACAATCACACATACCAAACGTTGTATTCTACAATGCATCAAATTCGACAATACATGTATAATATTATACATGCATTCTCAACAATACATCTATTTAACAATCGCAACTTCCAAACCGCCCCTAAAAAAGTCTACAACTAAACGCCCATAGTTGCTTATACAGTTTGGGCTTATCTTGTGACGGGTCTCGGGGTCTGCTAGACAACAGATATCCAACATTGCATTTGCAGCAACCAAATGTGAAACAGCCAAAACCATGGCTGACAACCAAGAAGCTGTCAATTAAGCTCTTTGTAGAGACCTTGTAAAAAAAAAAGCTCTTTGTAGAGAAGACTAACAATTTTCGGCACAACCATTACACCAGGAGCTACATCATGGAAGCCAAGGTGGTTGAAAGTCTGGTTTTGCCTTCTAATGGTGTTTCTTCCTTCTCTTTTCTTCCTTCCTCCTCCTCTTATTATCTCTCGATGATGATGATGACGACGACTTCTCTTTGGACTTGTGCTTTCTTTCCGACTTGCCCTTCCTGTTGGCTTTCTTCCTCCGATCCTCATCGGATTCATCTTCCGAGGAATCACTTGGCCTCAAAGAAGAAGGCTTCTCAGGCCCCAAGATTACACGATGCACTCTGACTTCCCTCGTGGACAGATTCTCCATTGTGTCTTCTCCGGAAGGACGATAGGGACCTGTTTCGTCCATCCTTGAACCAACTGCACCTCGACCACGCTTCACCCTACAAATCAGTGCATAAGATGTCATCTCAAAAGGAATTTGAATTTCTAAAGCTGAAATTAAATCAAGTCATGTCAAGGTAGCAACAAACATGACAAAATGCAGCAGTAAAAACAGGGACAGGGAGCCTTTACAGCACCTGGAATGCAAGAATTCTTCAATTTCTTCATCCTTTAAACCCTCCTCTTTGATTGAGCTGCTGCCCCCATGTACCACATCACTTGATGAGCATGAGGGTCTTGCATCATTGCCTTGTAGAGAGAAGCTCTTACTTGCACTCCTATGGTATTCACCCATGTTCCTGTCCTTGGTAATTTCAACTTTCTTACCTCTGGACCTCTCACTAAGCCGTTTGTCCAATTCCTTCTCTTGCTGCCTAACTCGCCACATTTCACTTACTTCCACAGCTCGATTTGCTGGAAGCTAGCAAGTAACCAGAGTAGTATCAGTATTAATAAAATAAAAAATGGAAAATTATGTATTTTCTTGTAAATGAAGAAACACAAAAATGAGGGCAAGCAGTAATTAGTATCAGCTCGATTTGTGCTCAAGTCTCAGTAATAAGAGTAATAAGGGCAAGCAGTAATTAACAAAAATGTGTGTAATTCTCACCCTAAGAGAATACTTGGGGTCCCATTCTCAATCAACACGGACAACAATTTCCTTTATGTTCTGGTTGGGACCCCTGTACAAACACACAAGCATCTCAAGTATACTTCCAGCAAGAACAGATGATAGCAACACGTCATCAGTTAATCACGGAAAAAGGTCCAAGCTCAAATTACATGCCCTTATAATCAGTTCTCAGCAGGCAAAAGGGGGTTTGGCTGACTGGATGGAAGATACCAATATAACAGCAGGATGAACTAATTATACTTCTATCATCGTGCAGTGATTTCAACCAACCATGTAAGAAAACAAACTAAGAGAAATGAGAAAACACTATCAGAAAGAAGCTCTATCCTTTTAAGTTGCATACCAAGTCCTCTCAGACTTGGAAAGAGATCAACTTTCACAAAGAAAAAACTGAACCCGGCAACAAGCATTTAGGATGGTATAAAATTGCTCTATAATGCACCAAAGAGCATATAATGTCATAACAGATACGCGATTCACATGCCATCCATATCCAAAACACTTTATAGAAGTCGATTTAATTTCAAATGAAAACATGAAGAAGTGACTACTGAATATCTATTAAACTTGAACAATAAGTAGTACTGACCTTGCTGTACCCCAAGCACAGTTGCAGTAAGGAATCGTGAGTTCGGCCGAGCCCTGGCAGTAGGTTTATTATCAAGATAAGCACGAACACCTTCTTTTTCAGCTTGCCGCCTCAATTCTGCTGCTTCTCTCAGAAGCATTGCAGCTATTCTGTTCTCCGTTTCCAGATCCATCGCAGCCCCCAAAATGAAGTGGTCCACGATTCTCTAGTGAAAAAAAGTTCCCTACCTATAAAATAGATAACAACGCCAATTTTCAATTAGGGTTTATAATTCTAGACAATCGACTCCCCAGTTCAATCTAGATACAAACAACCAAGTTATCAATTGGGGTTTATGACTTATAGCAAACAAAAATTGCACCAATAAGTTATGATAGAGAGGAGGCCAGCTAATTTTCGAAGAAGAACAGTGGCCGGTCAACCTCCTCGCCGGCGCCGAGGACCAAAAAGGATTTTGAATCACAAACCAAATAAAAGAAGAAAAAACTTACCGTGAGGGAGATACAGGCGGCACCGAAGTGGGGAAGAGAGCGAACCGGCGGAGGGAAACTGAGTGTTGAAGCGTCGGCGCCGGCGGATGTTCTCTGGGGATGAGGCGGCGTTTGCTGGGAGCGAGAATCAGAATCAACTGAAGAGGAGGAAGAATTTTTTCGTTTTCCCTCGATTAAAATGGTATATTTTGATTTCCTTTCTGAATCGGGTAAAGTTACATTTAGACCCCTCATTATTTATAATTTTGTCAAATAGAGCCCCGTAATATGAAGTCTACTTAATCCAGCCCCTCAAACTATGCTTCAAAGAAACCCTTCCGTTCCGTCTAAACGTTTCTCAAACCCTACGTGGGACCGTCTTTATTTGCTGACTCAGCCGGTTCCCGCGCCATTTAAGATGAGTTTCGTCGTCTCCCTTCTTTTCTTCAGCCGATCACTTCGTTGCTTGCTGCTTTGATTTGAGTCCCATCTTCTCGCCGGAGAAAATTCGAGATCCAGCTCCGACCATTACGAATTCCTTCCCGGAGATGGCTGTAAAGAAGTTTCTACCCCGTTGATTGCTTCGGAGTCCACCATCGCTGGAATCAGGTAAATCGGTTAGTCTCTTGTTTCCGTTTTTGGGGAGAGCGTCTTCTCATATGGGTTCCTTAGGGCATCGCATTGTCTTCATGGTTGGAAGAATCTTCCGCGATCGAATGTAACTCCGAGCTTTCATGCCTGGGGTTTTTGGGAAGCCGTCGATTCTGTGCCCTATTTCTATTTCTCTGTTTCTGAATCCCTAAATTTGCTTTTGTTCCCCTTTATTGATACTTTTTTAGTCTGTCAAAATGATTGATTCATGCTTGAGATGTTGAGAAAACACTAAAAAACAAGATTAGGATCAATTCTCATGTTTCCTTTAGTTTTGGGTCATGTACAATTGATTGAAGGTGGGCATAATTTCATTTTCTTAGTAAGCTCTTTAAGTTGTTATTCTGAACAAAGTAGGTCAGGTTTTGCACTTTTGCTTGTGAGATGAAGGAGGAGGCAGAAATGGCAAGTAGCTCAATGGGATCCAAGAGAAGCCATGATGATGTAGTGGAAGAAGGCGAGGAGAAAACGATTGACAGATTGAGTGATCTTCCTGACCCCATTTTGCATCACATTCTGTCATTCCTGAGCACCAAGTGCGTAGTGCGAACCAGCATTGTGTCGAAGTGGTGGCGATTCTTGTGGAGAGATGTTCCTACCCTCAATTTCAGCAGGTCCCTCTGCAAGAGTGCAGCCTTGGCCGAATACGTTCGCAATCTTCTGTCTCTCCGCTCCAACTCCTTATCTGTCGTCAGCATCTCCTTCAACTTCGGAAGTTCTAAGGGGATACGACCGGATATGCATCTGTTTGACAGTGTCATGAAATATGCTGCTGCCTCTCGTGGTAGGAATGGTCATGGTGATCTTAACCATTTGTCCATTTCTCATGCCAACTGCGACCACAGATTCGGCATTTTGGCTGCCAGCAGCATGGCAGCGGCTCATCATCTGAAATCTCTCGAGACCCTCAAGTTGATTAAATCCGAACTCGATGGCAGCGAATTCGCAGTGGGATTCAGTTTCCTGACAACCCTTGAGCTGCGTGACTGCTACTGGCTTCACTCTGGCAGGGAGCAACTACCCGTTGATCCTTTTGCAGGTCTCCCTTGTTTGAACTACCTCAAACTCGTCCACTGCTTCGCCAAAAATCTCGTATTCAAGATAACGGGACCCGAGCTGTTGGACCTCCAAATCCAGAAAGAGTATCACAAGTCAGAGAAAACTGAAGTGTTTGCTCCCAAGCTGAAATCTTTCCGTTATTCGGGTTTCATAACCGAGCTGGTCGGGTTGTGTGTTCCTTCTCTGGACTGCGCGGACATATGCGTTTGGTGGGATCCCATCCAGGTTGAAGAGCTGCAGCTTCGTTATAAATATATGAAGCTGTTGAGTGAGTTGCATAATGCTAAATCTCTCAGCCTGCGCTTTGCCGACGTATGCTATGCTAAATCTCTCTCTCTCAGCCTGCGCTTTGCCGATGTATACGACGAGGTATGTCGTACTTCTTACATCAGTATTAGAATGTACATGTTTTTGTGTAACTTCTCCATGGCCAAACCAGCCAAAAACATGCCACCTTATATGTATGAAGCTTAATCGTCGTTTTTTTCGCGTGTAATTAGTTCGGGGTTCAGAAGAGCTGGGAAGAACACGAGTTTCCTCTTACCAGCATGAAGTCGTTAATGGAGCACATAGCATCTCCGTTCACCCGACTGATGGCTTTGAGAGTGCAGTACCCTCAAACTCCACCGAAGCCGCCTCGTGAAGTAATCAACTACTTTTTTGGACGCTCTCCTCGTGCGAAAGGGAAGTCTGTTCAGTTCGAGAAGAGACAACAAATGATGAAACAAACATGGTTCTGTAACGTGTAGTTTGTAGTTATAGCAGAAAGCAGTTGATGCGGTAGTAGACATTGTCGAGTTGCATGAAGTAGTAATAAATCGATCAAGCCACTATTTTGTCACAACCAAACATGGGATGACTGTTTTCTTCGGTTAGATTCATGGTTCTCTTGATCATCCCTCTGTTTCTCGTTGCTCTTGGACAACTCTGCTTCTACCATTTTCGCCTGTTGTTGACGTGAAAGAGCAATGTTATAATAAGTTTCGTCGGTTTGTTGCACTATTTACTTGGCTAGCTTGGACTCTTGTTGTATTTCTCTCTTCTCTTCAGACTTCATATCCTTGTTTGAGAAGAGAAAGCCAATGTTGGATCGGACATGGTATTCTGTCTAGTGAAATGGTGTGGCGAAGTTCATGCTGCAATAGGCGTTGTGAAATTGCTTGTTAGCTGCAATCAAGCAAGCCACTGGTTTTTCACTGTTTTTGTGAAACCCAAATATGAGTTTTTGACTGACATTTTTTTGTAAATCCACAAGACAGTTTTTGATGTCTCCGGTGACTTAACATCCAAACATATGGTATTTAAAGTTGGCCTAGTAATAATGTGGGACGGAAAATTGATCCATCCCCGAACTTTTCGGCCAACAATCAATGGACAAAAAAAAAGGTAGTATAGACAGGATAATGACGGTTAGTGGCCAATAACTTTGGTGAAATCGGATTATGATGTTTTGTTCTTCTCATATATGGTTCTTGAATTTACAGGTTCAGTACATATTGACCTTTTTTTTTTGGTAGGAGTACATATTGACCTTTAAATTAGACCGTTGAATTTTATGTTCGTTTTCTGTCCTAATTTTGCTTTTTCACTTTCTCAATGATGCTAGACAGCTAGAGCTCTTCCATCCGCAAAACTTCAGAGCTCCACATTTTCTACTATTCGTATGGAAGGACAGACTATATAGTAAAGAGATTGTACATAAGTTGCAATGACTCGACTACCTTCATAAAAAAAATCTAATCATAATCTCAAAAAAGTTGAGATGGTCCATTGAATCACTATTGAAAATGCTTGTTTTGTTTTTGCAAACAATGAATTATAACGGATCAAATGACTTCGAGTCACCCAACGTTTAATCGAAACATAAGTAACTTTAAAAAAAATTAATCAATTAATTTCAACAAATCCTCTAAAATAGAATTTCTCTCCTATCCATTATTTTCCAAATTTCATAATTTTAGGAGTAAAACTTTTTCAAACAAACAAAAGAAAAGGAAACCACCCGTAGTTAGCAAAAACCTTTAGCGTCCGAAACTCGAGCAAAATCCATTAACTTTGTAGTTCGCCATGAAAACTACCCAAGATTAGTTCCAAAGCTTCCCTATAAATTGTTCACAAACCCCATCGCCATCAACAGACCTGCTCGAATAAAAGCAAAAAAAGTAAAAAAAAAAAAAAAAAAAAAAGAATAAAACGAAACCCCAAAGAAACACAAAGCAGGTCCCGTATCCAGGCGCCGAAGCCAAGTCTTCTTCTCCGTCCAGCAGAGTTTTTTTTTCGCTTGAAAGAAACGTTTCGAATCTTTCAACCATGGCTATGAAGAAGATCTGCTGCGCCGTCGTTTTCGCCGCCGCCTCCCTCAGCACCGTCTTGGCCGCTGACGCAGCTGTCGCGGCGACAGTCGCTCCTTCCCCAGGCCCAACCGGCGCCGAGGCCGAGGCCGCGGCCGGTGCAGCTGGGCCTGCTGCTGGTGGACCTGCTGCTGCGGGTGGGCCTGCTGCCGGGCCCAGTAGTGCCGCAAGCTCGGCGTTGCCGGGCTTTGCGACTTTGGTTGGAGCTTCCCTCGTCTCTCTCGTTTCCTATTATTTCCAGTAAGCTATATAAAATTAAGAAGGACACGTGGGCATGAATAAAGATGAAAAAAATGAAATAATAAAAAAAATAGGAAAAAAAAAATACCCAAGACAATAGAAATTGGGAGAAATTAAAGGGGGGAAATGATGGAGATTGGAGAGCATAGTAATGTAATTTCTTGTATTTGTTTTTTTTTTAAATTCCCCCCTTTTCATTTGTTTCTTTTGCAATTAGTAACACACCATGATTGGTGGTATTATATTGAAATGAAAGGGTATTAATTAAATAACTTATTGCATAAACACATTTTCTTTGATACACTTTTCTCCTCTCCTCAATAATATTTTTTACAAATTTTTTTTATATAAATAATAGCTAAAACTAAAAGAAATTATAAATTTGATATTTAGGTTGGAGTAGATAAGCTCACAAATCATACAATACAAACACTCTTTGGTAAACCAGTCAGAACAAAACTCTACAATAACACCATCAAACATTAGAAGAAACCTAACAATAACACACCACCTTTGCATGTATACACATATATAACAAGTATTAGACACAGTTTCTTTTCTTCTTCATGAGGAGCCTTCTCCATACTTGTGCTGAGAAAGAAGGCTCTTAGTGAGCCAGATCGCGGTCTCCCTCGACGACACAGCTTCTTCTCCGAATGGCCTCAGCACGCCAGCAAGCTCGTCGACCTTGTCCTGTTTGAGCAGACGCGCGCACAGCTCGAGCAACGACTCGAGAGCATCTGCCCTTTGCTGGGTTGGAGTCCCCCACTCCCCCTTCTGATCGTTGATCGCTGCCAGCGTTCGTAGCAGCGAGATGTGGTTTGCTGTAGGTGGTAGTGGCCCTGCCTCGTGATTCGCTGCTTCGCCATCGCGATGATCATTGTTATTTCTAGTGTTCTCAGGATTTGATCCACTTTCATCTTTACCTGCTGGATGAAGATCGGAAAGAGTCCTTTCTTCTGCATTAACTCTGGGGGACGCTGGATTTTGATGCTCCGGCTGGTTTTCAGGTGGCGTTGGCTGTAACAGCATGGAAGGAGCTTCATGATTCTCAGCTGGCACCAACAATGTCTCCTCGGAAACAGGTTCTTCTCTGCAAGTTTCCTCTGTTGTGTCATTTGGCATTTCTAGTTGATCCTTCTCAGAAGCCTGTAGGTTGAAATCTTCTTCTCTTTCAGTCACAAGGTTGATCTCAACATCTCGTGGATCCTGCAAGCGCTCAGGTTCCTGCTGAGGGCTCGGTGAGGCGAATTCAGTTTCAGTGACATCCTTTTGATGAAGACCGCTTGAATCATCACTCTGCTTCTCTCCTCCGACATTGCAAACACTTATCTCCGAGTCGGTGGAACTGTCTTTTGGACCAGTGATTGTGTCAGATGTTTTGGAATTAGCTGTTTTCGTGTCCAGGTTATCATCTGCACTAGAAGTAGATGATGTTGCATTGCCATTTGATCTCTCGGGTGGGACGTGATCATTTTGTTCTACCATCTCTCTGCTGACCACAGGATTGCTGGGCCCTCCACCACTGAGTCGCCTAGTCAGCGATTTTCGTCTTGATTTCTCAGGAGAGTTGTTCAAAGGCAGTATTGGAAGAAAAACAGCTGATGCATTACGGCAACGGAAGAGATATGATTGGAGATGTGGTTGCCTCAGAAGTTCTGCAGCCTGGGAATGTAATATTGTTGTGTCAGATGCCATTGGCAAGTTCAGAATGAGCGATTTCAACTCCAAAATCAAGTTAAACTTACTGTTGGTCTGTGTTCTGGATTCTTCCTGAGCATACTTTTGATAATTTGTTTCCTATTGAGGCGAAAATTCAAATAGAAAGGAGTGCTAAGTTAGCATCAACCCTTCGACAATACAATACTCCATTGATAACATAGCAGATATAAACACTCACAGTGAAGAAGAGTGAACAATCGGAAGAGGAGATATCAGCGATCGGTTTATTTTGTTGATAAGTCCAGCCATATCCTGTTCAATGCATTAGTTGTTATCTACACTTTCCCCAAATTCAATTCAGGTTGACCATACTGGCGCCAAAAGGCAAAGATGATGATACTGGTACTTACAGGAGCCTTAAAAGCTGGTTGATGGGCTGCGATTTCGAACATACAACATCCTGGATACAACACACAAACGTCACTCAAATATGGTTGAAATATTCTACAGCTTTTCTTCTCTTTTTTTGTGAACACATCTACAGCTTTACCTAGTGACCAGATGTCGGATTTGTACCCGTAAGGTATGTCAGCTAGTAGTTCCGGACACATGTAGTTAGGGGTTCCAACAACCTAGCTCACAAAACAGAAGGCAGGCAGGGAACGCAGAACGACATGAATAACCTAGCTCCTCATAAGTAACTGGCTTCAGATCATGTTTGGAATAAAAAATGTCTAGTAAATTTGAATTGAGGGATAGCAGTGGTACCAAGGTGGTTTTCAATCAATTCAAAAAGTTAAGTCACTTGACTTCAACAAAGAAAAACGTAGCAAGATGATGAATCCATACCGAGGAAGCAAGTTCTTCTGTGTTCAGTAGTTTTGCCAGTCCAAAGTCACCTGTTCATTTTCCCAGCAACGCATGTACTTCAGAAGCAAGAAGGAAATGAAAAAACAACCTGATATGGGGTGAAAATCACATCTGGCTAACAATTCAATCTGTGCATTCTTACCAAGGCGGATGTCATTCTCCTTAGTGAGGAATATGTTGGAACACTGGAAAATTTCAAAGCACATATTAGCTAGCAATTCAATCAGACAAAAAGTCCCGAACAAATACAAAGAGAATCTGTGTACCTTCAGATCCCTGTGAATCACTCGATTCGAGTGCAAGTAGTCGACAGCTAGTAATAATTGAGTCAGCCATTTACATACTTTCTGAAAGAGGGAAGGAAGTACAGAGATGAGGAGCAGGTAAAAGTGAAGAACTTGACCAATGTAGAGATCCAGTTGCTTACATACCTCTTCTGGGAAGATAATTCCTCTAGCCTTTTTTATAAGTACAGCCCTGATTACACAGTTAGAATCACCAACGTGTTCATCAAATCTCATACACTTTCAAGTTAGTTTCCTAACTAATCATATACTAATGCTACAAACATGAACTTCTGAAAGTGTAGACGGATGATATCTAGCTTCGGGACAGACTCAAACATACAAGAGAACAAGTATTAATATCATAATACTATAAATGACATTTTCAAATGGCCCTCACTAGCATTTGACTATGAATATTAATATACTTACATGTCTCCTCCCTCACAGTATGAGGTCACTATGCACACACAATTCCCCTACATTAAGAGATTAACAAAGGTTTTTAAAAGTCTTCCCTTAAAAATACATGGAATCAAAAGATGGCAGCATCGAACATGGACCGAACAAGAAGTCAGGTGAGGCAACACACCTTGTCTACCCAAGAATCCTTGTACTCCACAATGTATGGATGTTTTAGCTTGGCAATGAGGTTCATCTGCAAGATAGATCAATTTGGTGACCATAACATATAGGAGAACAATGTCTCTAGTGCTTCCATCATTTCAACATCCATCGAATTCATTAGTTCAGCAAAGCATTGAGACAATGTGATGAAAGGAACAAACTTTCTCTTCTCATTTTTGTTTTGTGGGTCATATTCATTGATAAGCATAAGAAGAGCAGGAGAAAAGGAACCTCTTGATGAGCTGTGCGTTTGAACTTCTCGGTTTGATTAGCCAACCGAATCTTCTTCAGCACATACCTAACGAGAAACGCAACAGGAAATTATCAATGATTTGGAAGGTTGGGAATGAAAAAAAACTAACAATGATATGCTAAAAGACAGACAACCATGCCGACATCATTGGCAGCCACCAACCTTCCACTTTTGAAACCCATATGAGAAACCAAGAAGAAGCACACAAAAAGAAAAACCCCACCAAAACCACTAATTTCATTGATTGCACGATTGCTTACTGCCTTCACAAGTTGCAAGTGTGAACCAAGTTCGCAAATTCAGCCACAGATGAAAGAAACCAGAGAGAAAAAGGCAAAAATTTCAAGGGACAAGAAGTATGAGAGAGTGAGAATTAGGCGTGTTACTTCTTTTTCTCAGCTTTGTGGAGAACAAGAAAAGCAGAGCCAAAAGCTCCTCTTCCAATCTGCTCAATGACCTCATAATCTTCCAGCTTCGACTTGCCCTCACCATTCTCCGACTCCATCGCTGCGTTACAACGACCAACCCCAGAAAAACAAACATCAGCAAAACCTCATAGCTTCTCCATCTCAAACTGAGAAATGAAACCAAAAACAAAAGAACCGTTTCCTTTTCCTTTACATTTTTGGCGGGGAAGACGGTTTCCAGTTTACCTCCGAACTATGAGACAGCGAGAAAGAGGGAAATGAAAGCGCCTGATGAGAAAGGTCGAAACTTGGAAGCAAACCCAGAAAGGGAAATTGACTGGGAAACTGATGGTGCAAGTTGGGAGTCGAGTAAGCGAGAAAGAGCTTAGAGAGACAGGAAGGGTTTTTCCCCCTCTTTTGGTGGGCTATTTGTAGGGAGTAAAGCTACATTCCACAATGACGAGCTCACGGGACGGGAGAGAAAGAGGAGGACAAGTCAAGAGAATACAAATGAAAGCAGCAGCAGCAAATTAATACAGGAAGGGTTTTGATTCATCTGTGAGTGACAGACTTACCTAAATGTAAACACAGAGGAGGAAAAAAATACCGCACCCAGAAAACAGAGGTTCTGGAAAATGGAGAGAGAGGCAGAGAGCAGTTAGTAATAGTAGCAAAGACTGTAATTTGGTGGTTGAGTGGTCTTTATTTGGTCTTCACCTCATAAATTGGTGCAAGAAAGGGCGCAAAGTGACAGCAACGAACGATCACCAGTAATTAACGAAAGAAGAAAAAGGTTAAAGTGGTTGCTGGGAATTCTTTTTATTCTTCTGGCGAATGTTTCCTACCAATGTAGTTGCAATGTCATCATCCTCCCCACCATTTCAATTGTTGTAAAATTCAAACAAAAACTATCAAAGAAATTTCCTATTCTTGTTTTTTATTCACCTTCTCATCAATCCAAACTAGTTTGATACCAATCCGTTAATACGATGTTGTTGTTGGATCGCACCATTCACTAGTGCTTTATAGATAATCATGTCAACAATTAAGATAAGGATTTGTAGAGTATGATAGATTGATAATTACCATTGTAGGAGGATATTATTTGTAGTCGGATTAATACGTTGACAGGGTTGCTACTTATTCTTTCAATCAATTTTATCCACTACACGAATTTCTGAAAAGACCTTGTGAATTGTGATTAGTGAAATGGGACTGGAGGAGGACGACGTTCAAAGAAGGCAAGTCCCGAGGGCTCCACACTTCCACAATGTTTAATCGTTTTGTTCTGTTAATGGCAATTGTTGTTGATTTAATTATTATTGGTGTCTTAATTAAAAAACACTTTATTGTGAGACCAAAAAGCAGATTATCATCAAATCACACCTTCCCACCAGTATTATTAATAATAATGGTGGGTTTGGATACCTAAAAGAAAATTGATGATGGAGTTTGGATATGCTTTAGATGGGGCATAGTGATCACCAAATTCCTAATTTCTAATAATTAGGCACAAAGCTTCGAGGTGATGAATGATGACAATAATATTACAACCACCTATTATTAGGGATAAGGATCCAACCCGATAATCATAGGGTGTGTTTTCTTTGATGTCGAAAACGAACATTTTCTATATATACGAGATTGGTAGCCTCAAGGTTCGAACTAGTAATGAGCATAATGTTACCATTTCGAAGGCATCTGATATGGGAATTAACATGACCAAGCAATATCTGTATGAGTATGACAATCTGAATGGTTTAGCCAAACCTAAATCATCCTACATCATGGTCCTACTACTTTCTCCCAGCCTTCTTGGATGCCCTTCTGCTTTCAAGTTTCTTCCTTGTGGCTTCAAATTCTTCATCTGTTGGTTCCGAAGATGTGCCAGGGCCGCTACCCCCACCATATTTGGAGACCAGAGAAGAGAACATAGAGTCGAATCGATCTTTCCTCTGGCTTTGCCGCTGGGATATAACCGCGAGTAGATTGCTTTCTGACCCTTCTGTTGATGACCTTGTGAAGAAGTCATGAAACAAGTTGTAAATGTCAGTTTCATACAGCTATGGACACGAGCAAATAACCAAGTCAACAAAGTTCAATGGTGTTGAGACTCACTTCCCCCTTCTTCTCAAGGGACTTGTAGGCGGTTTCATTCGAGAGATCTTCTTTGCCCATTTTTCGTAGGCCTTCGTGGCTTTCAGCTCTCCTGTACGAAGCAAATTAGATTACTTAGTGTGCGATGCATCAACTGAATGTATTATCGAACTTATCCCATCACAATGTAACAAGACACTACTAGTAACTTCATTTGCCTAGCCGGTAATTGTTACCTGCAGATATCGCCTCATCCAGAATGTCTTTGAAACGGTGAGAATCAAGCTTAGGTTCAGAGCAGAGCATAGAACAGAAGAGCCTAGAATATGGAGAAAAAGGTTAAAGACCAAGTGTAGAAGCCTGAAGATGGATTAAGTCAGACTGAATGCTTATATACCTGTTCATATTACCCTTGCACTGCTTATAAAGGTCAATCAGATCATTTTTCTCTGAATCGGATCCTCTGTAATTTGCTTGAAACTCCTCAATATCAGCTTCAGTAACCTGACATTACATTTATTAAATCAGTTACGGAGACTGGATTTACAAAAGTGTGCAAAACTACGGCATAAAACTAAATGCACAGACTGTACTACCTTTTTGTACATAGCTCTGAAAAATTCCCTCAAGTTCTGGACAACATCCCCTGCAAGGTCCTGAAAACAAGAAAACCAGAAAAAGATTAGAAGCAGGCTCCCTCAAGACTTACTGCATCAACTAATTCACCTAGCTGTTAGTTCTAAGTACTTACTGCATCATCGACGCAACCAGTTTGGTCATAAAGTGTGCGTTTTTCCTCATCCCCAAGGATTGATATCACCTTTTGTAGTTGCTGAAACTTCTCTTTTGCTTCCTATCAGAAAGCAACATGGTATTACTATCAAACAAACACGATCGAATTCCCTTATCCCATGACAAAAGTAATATGCAGTGTTCCTCAGTTAAGTCACCTCATCACCAGGATTCTTATCTGGATGGAGTCTTAAAGCCAATTTATGGTATGCTTTCTTTATCTCTTGCTGGGATGCTGTCTTCTGCACACCAAGAACCTGCATCCAGCGCAGCATCATTTTGTAAAGCTAGCACCCAATCCCAACTCAATATACACAATCTACTAAATAGAGCAAATAAGAAGGGCTTGAACTCAACAATTTAATGGAACAGAATCATGAAGGTGGGACAATTGCTGAGAAGTAAGCAATAACCATGTAGTACATCCATAATAGCAATTGCCGGAAAACACAGTTGAAATATGGATAGCGTATTGCAGGACCTCATGCATTTACATCTCAGTATCCCCTGCAACTAAACCAACCATTCAGAATAAGTCTCCCAGCTTTGAACTGGGCACTATAAGCCAGTTTATATGGTTCAGCCTTGGCGAAATAATTGAATTCCACAGAGCTTCAGTTTCTTTTTCAGCACTAAGAGCTGCTAACACAGCAGCAGGTCCAAAACCCATTTGCATGTGTAACACATGTATCACTGTGAAGCTAATTTTGGGTCTCTCCCACTCTCCCACAACCAAATTCAGTACAAATGATAATGGTTAAGTGGTCAGTATCAAGCCTAAAACTTTCACCATCGCAACAGATTATAGATTCTCAGGCACAATACAACGCACGTCACTGTCTAAACTCTAACACCAACCCTAATTCATACAAAAACGAATCAGATGACGACTCGGCCAACTTGACCTTAGGTGGCAGCACAGTCTATCTATGGTGGGGGGAAAGGGAGAAATGGAAGTACCTCGTAGAGGCTCTGCTCGTCGCCGGAGGACTGATCGGCCATCTCCGTATCATCTTGATGCTCCTCCTCATCCTCCTCCTCCACCCGTTCTTCTTCCATTTCCACTTCCTCTTCTTCACGCGAAACCCTAGATTTCTTTCTCTTCCCCATCTTCAAAGCAGCTGCGCGGGTAGGATTAAAGCAGATACGAGACTGAAATGGGCGTAGTGAGCGTCTGAGCGAGAGACAGAGGAACGACTAGCAGAAGTAGAAGTTCAAATCCTTCAAACTTCAATTTGTTTCGTTTGTAGTGCTTAAGCCATGGGTTTCGCTTTCGCATCTTTCTCTTTGCTTGCGGTTCTTCTTTTCCCAGTTCCCGCCATACCGCTCCAGCTTTCCCGCCAGAGAAACCGATAAAAGCCCATTTGTGAAGAGCGAGCAAGTCCTGGGCGGATGGGCTCATCGTTACAGTCAGGCCCAGGATTGCAGATGACCGGGCCGGTCCACATTGTCCATCCAAGTTTTACTTTTTAACACAAACTAGCTTTATTATTGGCCGGATAAATTTCACGTCTTAATCAAATAATTCATCATATGCTTAACTATTTTAAATTTTTAAGTTACGTTCTTTACTAATTATTTTTATGAACATATTTATGGTCTCTTATTATATGTTTATGAGATCGTAAATAAGTAACTACTTATTTCAAAAACTAAGTAGTCAACATTTAATCAATAATTTTTTAATATTTAATTTAAACAATACACAATTTTAAGTTAGCATAATGATATTTGTCATAATTTTTATTATAGAGCTTTGTGATGACTACTACTATACAAAGAGAATTCATCCTAATGAATCCCTAAGAGAACAAACGAATGAATTCGATGATGTGAGGCCAATTTCTACTATTTTTTGTAGATCCTCGTCAATATTATATTGCTTATACATGTCGTAATGACCATCTTGAGTCTTAGACACAATATACCCTTCTCCTCTCAAGGGTTTGTGTCAATGCCATGGTTTTTTGGGTTTGAGCATAAGTGGTAGATAAGGGTGTATTGACAAACATGAGTAGATGACACCATTTTATGTCTAAAAGAAACTTGGCTTGAAGGATGCTCTAAGTTCACTTGCAATGCTTTGCAATATGTTTATTTGAAAATTTCAGAGTGGTTGAGAATGCTTTGATTGAAATTCATATCCTTACTGGATTTTGTAATTCTACAGATGGAGGAAGACTGAAATGTTTGTCTACTTAATTAGGTTTATGAAAATCTATACTGATTGATGTCTAGAATGTGAGGTTTAATCTATATTGATAAAGCAAGCTTCTTTTGAGAGTCAAATATTTTTACCCATATTAGTGTCATATTCATTGTCCATTGACATCTAAATGAACAAGAGATACTCTAGGTAATGTGACAACATATTTGAGCAACATATAGGGCATATAACAGAAATCGTAAGTGGGCAAGGATTGTCAATTGAATGGTTACTTTCTATGGGTAAATCACATTGACTTCTTTACATGTTATCTATCTCAATACTACTCTCCACAAAAATGTTTAACTTCAGAGTACGGATGTTGCCCATCGTACTAGTGCTGACGTATCATCACAAATGATTAAATGGCTGCTTACGTCACCTACGTAATTCATTTTTTCTTAATAACTTTCTGAAACATCATTCATCCACAAAAAAGGAAGTTTGCAAAGACAAAAAAGGAAGTTTGCAAAGGATGAAATAGCATTTACATACTTACGCAAATCGTAACTTTCTGTATTTTCACAATGGCAAGTTATATAATTAAATCGTGACACTTTTCTCGCCCCGCCCGGGGTGATTATGTAATATCACACTTTGTAAATTTAAGGTAACTAATCTAATACTTTTAAAAAAAAAAATAAAGTAACTTACTATCACCTCATCAACATTATACATAATCTTCCATAGATGATGTAGGATATTGGAATTCTTACCATGGTTAGGCTTGGACCTCTCTAAAACATTATCAATGATTTGCCAAATATCAACTTCACTAACAATGCTGTTTCCTCTGACTTCCAAATATCTGCACATCCATGATGCCTATAAATAGAGGTCTCATCTCTTGAACCAAAAGCACCAAGCAAACTTGCTGCAGTACAATCCCATTCTGAGCAATACAACCATCTCTATATATCTCTCTCTCTCTCAGGGAATACTTCCAACTCTCTGGTTTGCTACAGGCCTACAACACAAATTCCATTGCTTTCATAGACTAATAATTCCACTCACCCTTTATGATTTACTGTTCATTATATGCATATGCATCTGCTAATTCATGGTTATGTTTCATTGCTGATTCAATCAGGGTGCTTACCAAGGAAGGGATGGCTGCTGTGAATGAATCCATGGGCCTGATTGATGTCAACCAAGTCCCACCTCCATCAACCTTACTTGTTGCTGCCACCATCCCAACCGAGGCCCCGACTCTCCTCCAGCACACCTTTCAGGACCCTTTCGATGACAATTTACTCCGAATGAACCCAACTCAACAGAGATCCATCGTCCAGGGTATTGCTGCTGACAACAATACCATCGCCTCGAACAATCGAGGGAACAGCACAAGGTATGGCGATTCTGTAACGAAGCGTTTGTAAAATGTATACAGATCTTTGTCTCTGGTGATGAATGATCATTGGCAGGAGGAGGACTACGGCTAAGGCTAGGACTGCTGATGCAGAGAGCTCTAACGAAGCGATGCAACGCAAGATCCTTCGAAAGAGGCACAGGACTAAACACTGTGGCGAAGGCTCCCGGTTCAGGGGTGTTGTTGGCAGGTATCTTTTTTCTTTTTTTCCTTCATTCTATCAGCATCCAAGAGTCTTGTTTTGGGGAAAAGCATTGACCTTTTACCTTATTCTTCAACCCTTTCGATTTAGGTCCCTTTGGGGGTATGAGGCATTCCTGTGGGACAACTCTGATCCTACTAAGAAGCCTAAATCAGGTTACTTGAGATGCAAACAACGCAAATTTCTACCCATTCTAAAATTATGATGCCTCTTTTCTGCTGTTACTGACACCCAATTTCCCTGTGTTTTCTCATGTCATAACTCATATGACAAACTATGAAGTTTACATTGGAACATTTGATCATGAGAGAAAGGCTGCTAAGGCTCATGACTTGCTTGCTCTCAAGTTATGGGGAACATCTACAATCCTCAATTTCCCAGTTAGGGATTCTCAATTCCCTTTCCCCCTTTCATGAGAACTTGTAATCAGAACGAAATTCGCCGTTAGAGAGACTCAAGGACAGGTTTTGTAACCATCCTCTCCTTTTCTTTTCCAGGCGAAATTCTACCAGAATGAAGTGGAGGAAATGAACACCATGTCTGTAAGTGAATACATCATGGCAATTCGAAGGTAAATCGATAACGAAGATCCGAAAAATAGCTCCATCTTATCACCGATGCAAATCTTACATCTCCATATTGAAATTCGCAGAACGAGCAATGGCTTCGTGAGAGGCACCTCTCGGTTCCGTGGAGTCTTCAGGTCATTTTTTCGCTTCTGTCCTCTGTCTAAATAGGCTCATGGTGTTCTGCATTTCAGATTTTCCCTGATATTTTCCTTTTTTTCTTGTGTTTCCTTTCTTCCGCAGGAAGCCTTCTAAGGCGAACCCTAACGTGATCAGGTGGCAAGCGACACTCGGTAGAGACAAGAACTACCGTGGAATCTACCTCGGAACGTTCGAAACCGAGAGCCTAGCTGCGAGGGCGTATGATGTAGCAGCGATCAGGGTGAGAGGAGCAGATGCTGTCACCAATTTCAGCATTCGACGCTACAACGTGCCTAGTATTCTCCGTCGTCAAGAACTGTATCTTGGGAAGGGCACTTCCAGGAAGTTCCAGAACTACACAGTGGACGAAATCCTTCGAAGGCTGCGAACCGATGCAAACCAGACCGACTCCAATGAAGGTTTACTAGCGCGAGTGCGACGTCTCGTGCAACAGCTGAACATGACCCGAGGACCTGCTGTTGTGTTCCAAAATCATATCCCTCCTCAACCCGTTACCACTCCTGCTCCGCTTATGATGAGCGGGCTTGGTGGTTCGACAGGGCATCTGAACCAGAGCTTGAATCTGTGCAAGGTTGAGTCAGTGGAGAGGCCGGGAGAGAATTTTGGAGCTGCTGTGAACACTGCTGGGCTTGGAAATGCTCGCTTCGGAGGATCCCAAGTCGCCAGCTTCTCTTTTCCCCCGGCTGGTGGAATTCAGACTCCAATGTATGACAGGGGTTTCAATGGTCACAATGGAGCATTTCAACCTCCCCTCCAGCTTCTCCAACAATTCCCTGTGCACTTCACCACCCTGCGAATCCCGGGGGCCATGGTCCTGCCGAGCAGCAACCAGTCTCCTCATGGAGTTGCAGTTGCGAATCAAAGGATTCCTAACATTGGACCATCAGCTGCAAATGGAGAGAGGTGGCTCGATCTCTGAGTCGCAGAATCTTCAAATTGTGTCCTGCTCTTTGCTTCTTTTCCTGTTCTATGTTTACCCCGTAATCAGTTTTTGGTCTGTTAGAGTGTCAGTCTTATCTATGTCGTTGTAATAGTGCCTCTATCTCTCTGTTCCATTTCAATGGAACAAAGGGAGAAAGGTTATTTAGTTTGTGTATTGCTTCTTCACTTCCATTACACCAAATGGAACAAAGTGAAAGGCAAAAGTTTCGATTTTGGCATCAATAAAACATAAGCAAAGAGTCAGTCAGTTAATCAATTAATCATTCTTCCCTGCATCGATTCCAAACCCCGAACTAGTGCCTTGTAGTACAAGAAAGATGACACTTCTGCTACTCTGATTAATTTTCTTTTTGACAGAATTTTCAGCTTTCATTTCTTTTCTCATATTTACTTCGAGTTGCTAAAGACCCAAGAAATCACAGAGGCAAAAACAACAACGAGGCAAGTTGTTTCATTATCATACAGAGCCTGTGAAATCTACCAGTATATATCCAAATCTTTTGGCCATGTAAGCAATTTCAGCCTGACCAGACCTCGCGGAGCAGTTCGTACCTCGCATTCGTGACCTTCTGCTTGCAGTGCTTTCCGTTAATCCAACTCGAGGAGTATTGCGAGCTGTCGAGAATTGAGACAAGAGGAGAGTCCATCTCTTCCAGTTCGTCGTCGCTGGTGTATCCTTTCCTCTGTACAACTGAAGCATTCCTCGACAAGCGTGACTTCAAACCACCGCGGCCGCCATTTATATCACCTACCTCTGCAACTTTTTCTGATACCGCATCGCTTGAAGGTGGAGTGTAGACTACTGGTGCAGCTGAGTAAGGGAAGCTTCTCGGGGGTTGTCCTAAGAGCTTGCGCTCCACAAGGCTCTTCTCACCAGAAAACAAAGACATCCAACAAACGTAAGACCCAAAAAAACACACACACAAAATTCCAAGGTGGAAAAATTGAAAGCTATGTGTATACCCCGGCGTTCAAGGCCTCAAGTACAGCTCCAGGGACAGCATCAGGACAGAACTCGTCTGGTGTAAAATTACAGAGTATCCGCTTCACCAGTGGAAGATCAATTGACGGGCAAACCTAAACAAACAGGCCACATCATCTTTTCCCGCTAAGAAGTTTGCAATAGCCATCAAGCAAGGAAAGAAAGGGAAAGAAATACTGAAACAAGTCACCTCTTGTCTCACTGATCTGTCTATCAGCAAGTCTTTAGGAAGCATAAGTAGATCGCTCAAGTCATTGAGAAGATTGAAGCACTTCGGTTTGGCGTCTTGTCTATGGTCATCATCAACCTCGCTACTGGTTTCTTCGTCTTGCTTTGGGGTTTCCTCATCATCCATCGCCACTGTATCTACAAGCCATCTAAACCAATTTCCAACCTTGTACAGCACACACATGTTAACAAGTGAGCCAAAGTTCATTATTCAGAAACTGGTGTGAAATTAATTGGTTTAGAAGATGGGTGGATGAAAGAACTGTACAGAGTTCTTGAGTTGTGCTCCAGAGCCAAAGCTCAATTCCCCTGCTGGTATAGGCAGAACCCTTGAATCCAAAATAGGGTCTGATACTGGATCAGTTGGGATCTCATTGGCCGATTCTCTCAGAATAGCATTGAACATCGCTACGTCGAGCCGTGCCACACACTGCTCCATAACCTGGCAGCAAGAAACAATTCTCAATCAAACATCTATGGAAGGAGGTGAAAGAAATTACTCATTTACTTTAACTTGCAAGAAAAAAAAAAGAAACATTACGATTGCGTACCATTTTGGCCACAACTGGCAAACAGCCACACTCATGACCTCCTGCTCTAACCGGACAAATTCGTCGAAAAGCTTCTTCGAAAGCTTTCTTCCACAGGTTGATGGAAAAGTCGCCTTGCTGTTGGTCTCCCAATGCTGGGCCTAGTAACCGAGAACTGCTTTTGCTGGATAACAATTTCTTGCTTGGGGCTTGCATATGTGGAGCCAAGGCCTGAAAATTTAACACAACAAGGAAGTGCTTGTGAAATGACACATACAAATGAGCTGATGAAAAAACATCAATTTGAAAGTAGTTTGGACTAAATTTACCTGCCACCAAACAGACTCAACTATTCGAGAGAACACCCACGACTCAACTTTCTCCAGGGCAGCAATGAAGGTTCCAGTCTCCTGCCAATCCTCAACAAAGTGGGGATACCCATTACCTTGTTGACTACCACCTTTCCATTTCAGTGATGGACACTTCCCTTCACCTTTTTCCATACTCTCGTTGGACCTAGTGAACCTCGACATACTAGAGTTACCAGAACATCCAAATGCTTGGGAAATGATATTCCTCAGCACAATTGTGTTGGACAGCCAGAAAGACAACCTACAAAACATGGAGGAAAGATTAATTAGTCGCAATTCATCAAGACGGTTTCAGCAGAAATAGCCTGTTTATATATATACCTTGGAACATCAGTTCCGCATGATTTAGAGATCAGTACCAGTCCTGAAACTGTGTTTTTCGCAATTGTGGCTCGCTTATCCAGTGTCCAATGTTTGCCAGCATGAATGTAGAGTCTTGAAAGGCGACGAGCAGGTGTATGCACCTTATGAGCTGAGCTCCCATGTTCAGGTACAACAGAGTAAAGGGAGATTTCAAGTACAGCAACTTCTCTCAGTTCTTCTTCAAGTTTCTCAACTTTTGTTTCCATCTCTGCAATCCGTTGATTTTGGAGTGTGGCATCCTCCCCATGTTCACTATTTTCTTCAGCTTCAACTGTGTCATTGTCACTTGCAATACTCCGAGTAGTAGCGTTTGAGGCCTCCTCGAACACATCTGGCTCTTTACCATCATCAATGATCATATCTTCTACTCCTCCTTCAGAAGTTTCAGAAGGAGGTTTAGGGACAAGTTTAACCTCCTTAACATCAATCTTTTGGACAGAAGCATTTTTGCTGGTCACCGTAGATGGTTCTTTACTAGAGACTGCTGGCTTTCTGGGGGTGTTCGTTACTGATTTAGCTCTTAATTTACAAGCTTCAGTATCCCTTACTACTGATGTACGTTTCCTAGTTCCACCAACAGTTTTAGGAGCTCTAGAAACTGATTCTACCTTCTCATCATCACCTACGACTGAATCCCCACCGTGGGATGACACAGAATCTTTTATTGTCTCAGAATCTGACTCCTTTTGTTTCCCTAGCTTCTGATCTCTCTCAGTGTCATTAGAATGATCAGCTAAAACCTCACCCGTGTTCTCCTTTGACAGCAAGGTGCTGTCTTTTATTGCACTGTCCTCACACCTGTTCACATCATCCACATAATGTATAACCAGATTTTCATAAACTTCAGAGGCCTCTGAGCCCACATTCGAATCACTTACTACAGCTCTGGGGACAGGCTTAAAAGCATGCAAAACTTTAGATTCCCTTTCCTTAGGTCGGAAGCGGGCTTTAGTTTCAGTCATCCCAGGTCGCTTGGCCTCGTAAAAGTTTGGGGTTTTCTTCTTGTCCGTCTGCTTCATAGCTCAAGTTGTATTAGTGTCACCTTTTCTTCCAAATGACACAGCTAACTGATCCAGATGCAGCTGCTGCAAGAAAAAAGAAATGTTACAAACAACTGAACCCCAATTCAACAATGAAGGGAAGCAATAGTGTGCCAAACCAGAATCTGCTTATCCGACCTACTACAGTGAGTCGTGATCCCAATTTATCAATAACCAACATGCTTTTTTCAGCATTTTGTTTGGGCAATCAAACTATCTAGAGAGCAATAACAAAAAGAAGCAGTTGAAACTTGGTAACTGTCAGGGATGCCACCAACTGAACATATGAAACTTTTTTTCACTAAACTTGAGACATTGAATCGGAGGATGAAACTTGGAAAGCAAGACTTTTCCAAACACGCAGCAGTTCATCCTGTAAATAGTTCATATCTCACTCAGACTACTAATTACAAGCACAGAGTAGAATTGAAATGCAATTTCTACATCAGGAAAAGCTAAGAACCCTACAGCAGTCTAGAATTCCCGAATCGAAGCACTGATGATTCTTATACCGCAGCACCACAAATTCCATCGCTTCTGGAAGGGCATATCTTAGAATCCAGATCTGTTAAGGACACCGTCATGCACTCAAGAAACCGAGAAGAAACTAACAGATATTGTAACAAACACACTGAACTAAGATCCAGAGACTGAATTCTCCGGTAACTCAAGAACCAGAAGATTTAATCGGAACCGGTAAATAGTTAATGCGTCATAATTCTGTGCTGGAAAAGCAGCAAGAAGAAAGAAATTCCAAATCCAGAATCTTACAATATATTAAAACAGTTTGGAAAAACCCGGTTGCCACGTAAGCCTCGGAGCATTGCCCGCAAGTTTCGGTATTATTAGTTTTTTTCTTTTTTTCATGTTTTTGTTTTTGTTTTTTTGTTTTAGGTACCTTTTAAATTTACCCACCCACCGGAATCTTTTCCTCAAGAATAAAAAGTGGGCAAGTAAAGTACAGAAAAAAATAACTAAATAAAAGGGTAATATAATATTCACCCAGCAAAAGTGTAAAAAAAAACGTGCAAGTTCCTATTTTTGTACATTGAAATTTCATTATTTCATTAAGAATTTTCAAATTTGAAACTACAAATTTTCACAAAACAATATTTTATTACAAGTACTGTAAATCATATAGGTTGTACTTAAATAAATCAATTATATGATATTTGTGATGAAATCATGGCTCAACTATCGTTCAATGATTTCATATCGTTACAAACTACCAACCGATTTAGATTTTGGTATGTGACCTTTTAGGTCGGACTATCAGTACGGTACGGTTTTAGACAATGATTAACTGCCGAACTAGCATATATGCACCAGAAATTTGTAGCTTATATTATTCAAGATGATGGATTTGATTGTCTTCAATTATAAAAAATCAATTGCAGTATCTTAATTGGCGTTAGTTGAAACATATATTACAGTTTTTTTATTAAAAAATTATTGATTTTATAACATTGTATAAAGATAATAAATTTGAATATTTGTTAACAAATCCTTACATAAGAAGCTACATTGAAACTTGATAAACAACCAGTTCACTAAAACAATAAAACAAAAAATTATAGACATCCTCCCCAAAAGATTGGGTCGATATTAAAGAGTTTAACCATCATAAATTGACATGATAATTAAAGAATGAGAATTTTTAAGGTATGTTCACGATAGATTTAGTACATATACAATATTTTTGGATTAAGAGTTTAATATCATCGCTTGCAAACATGCATTCCTTATATTAAATATAAAATATCATATAAATGTCAGTTTAGAAATTAGTTTACCTAAATTAAACTTTGATAAACCTGTATTGAAATCATAAAAATGCAATATTCTCGAAGTAATATGCAGACACCTCCCGGCCATTGGCCGGGCTAAAACGCTAGTTCATGAAAAAAGAAAGTGACCGAGAAACCTCCATGAAACAAGGCTCTCCGCTGAAGGCCAAGCGAGCGGATTAACGAAAGCGAAAACTCACTCCAAAATCATTCTTCCTCTACACTACCACCACGAACGAAACTCGTCGCTGTCATACAAAACCGCGCAAAAAAAAACAAACAAACAAACAAACGGGGACCAGCGATCGCAACCGCACAAAACGACAACCGGAAAAGGCTGTTCAGCGCAAAAGGCAGAGAGAGAGAGAAAAGAGAGAAACTGACCGCCGCAGTTGGCAGAGGACCGCCTGGCTTAGGCTTGAAAAACGCAAATGTCGCTCGTTGATTGACAGCGGCGGAAGAAGGAAGGAGAATTCCGCAGTGCGCTTCGGGATCGGCGGCTTCCTCTCTGTCGGCCGACGGAAGGAAGCGGGGAAAGATCAGAGTGGTAGAAATGGAAATTGGGAGGGATTTTGTTTTGAATCGTGATATTTTATATTTGATCGGGGACGGTACGGACAGTGACCGGAATAAATGGGAGAATGTCGGTGGACGGCGGTGGGGTCCAGTCGCCGGCAATTGACGGTGACCGTGCTCTTTTTCACCCACTGAGCGACGGTCACCGAGTTACATCACCCAAAGCGTTACTTGCAAGTTTATTTTTCTTTTTTTTTACCGGTGCACCTAAAAACTGCCCCTTCCTTCCCAGTTAATAATAAAATCATCTAATACCCTCACAACAAGGTGACACCGGTCAAATTTGTGTGGTCTGAGATTTTTCGATGGTTAAAAAAATGCACGTCGTGGAATTTGTAAAAAAAAAAAAAAACACTACCACATTAATACAGTCACATCGTGAGAATCGTACGGTTAACCAGATTATCGCAAAAAAATCAGGTCCTCGTCTCTAAACTCGAGGGGTTAGGGATGATCTGGTTTTTAGCAGAGTGTCGTTGTTGAAAACTAGTGCCCAACAAATAAAGCAATAATTAAAGTATTATTGAACGGATAGATTAAATAGATAAGAATAATACAAATTGGGTGTTTATAATTGTGTTTTGTTTTAGAAAAAGTGAGAGCAAGTTGGTGTTTGAGGGTGACAACTGACAAATGCCAAGCCATGGGATGTGATGTGGTGGATAATACAACAATACAAACTTTTAGTGTCCCCTTTTCGTCTCTTCCATATCACGGTATCACCATTTCACCGTAACACAAGCGTGGACTTTTGGAATGTCATATGCAAATAAAATTGTAACTAAATTAATATCATAAAAATAAAAAATCACAATAAATAGTAATACAAAACAAACTTACGAAGTAACATTAATCGCAAAAACTCAAAAAAAAAGTAGGGTGCTAATGAGAAATTTGAAGAAGAATAAGGAAAGAGGTGAAGAGCTGAGGTTTCCAGAGCTGCTTTTTATAGGGAGAATGTACACTGAAAACCGCTGGAGGAGAGGCGGTTTTCACCTGACATGCAACCCCACGTCTGCAACCCCCTGCATGCCGACATGTCCGCTGTCGAGGGATGGAGACTACATGCAACCCCCCCCCCCCCACCCCCCACCCCCCCACCAAGCGGTACATGTGTCGTCAGCTCAAACCACCTGGTAAGGAAGCGGTTTTTTTTGCTGATAAAGAACCGTCATTTTAAAAAGCGATCTTCATCTTGGTCAATCATAGAACCACCCATAGAGGGTGTGGTTTGTGATGGAATACAAATTGCCTGTGTACCAAGCGTTTCATGAACAAACCGCCTTCCCATGCAGTGATTTTCATAAAATGGTGACATTTTGAAAAAATTTCGGAAAAGTGGTATTTTTGAAAAAAAATTAATGGTGATATTTCGTGGGAAAAAATCCACTTAGTGCGGCTAAAACTGGGTATGTGGGAATACTAGCGAAAACATATATGTAAGGGATTAAATAGTGTTTTTTTTTTTCGTGTGTTTGTGGAGATGATGTTAAGTTTTGTATGAGTATGTGGAATTAGGGGTGTTTGGATGGTTATAATAATAATAATTATCAAATCAACAAAAAATTTAGTAATCATGGAATAAAATATTATTATCAAACCGTCCAAACTAATACAACAATCAAATTAACCAAACTAAAGTTTAATCGATTTGATTAATTGGTTAACAAGATTAACCAATATAACATAACATTATCATTAAGTCATATTTTTTTTGTTAATGCATCAATGAATAATTTATATGATGAATGGCATTGAGTATTCAACTAATACAATTATCTTACAATCAATAGAAGTATTCACCTAACAAAAATACATGTCAATAGTATGGAGCTAATTGATTGTTGTGATTTTATGAATTGAAATGATCTCTTAGCAACTATCATAGGTTGAAAAAGACATTCATTTCAAGTTTTCATCTAATATATTGGGCGTTCATCTAATATAATTATTATAGTATGCACTCTACAAATACAAATACACCGTATAAGAACAATATTGAGCTTTATTATTGATGAGTCTAAAAAAAAGGAATGTTTGGCTGTTGAGTGGTTATGCCAAGTATTAAGTATTTGTATATAATGTGTATTAGATATATGGATAATTACTTAAATGATTAATTTGGTTTGATTGGTTAGGACTTAGGAGTGTCTGAAATCAAACCAAACCACCTAAACCAAACAAGCTAAATTTTTGAACCAAACCAAACCAATTATCCAAATTAACCAAACCAAATTAGTCAAATACTACCGGCTAAAACGGTTACCACGGTAACCACACCGTTTGAACACCCCTACTTGGAATGAGGACTTCTATTATTATGTTATAAAGTATTGGTGAATGGTTTAAGATATGATACTAAAGGTTGCCGGTTCTGGCCTCTATTCTTTTCACGATACAGGATGTTCATTTAAGTTGCCCGTTTGATATAAAGTAAAGTGATTTTGATTGTTAGTAAATGGTTTAAGATATGATACTAAATATATTTCAACAACTCTAGTTATTGAAATCAATTGGTTCTTGACACTGTATTAGAGCTTTCTATGACCTTCAACAATGACACCGTATTAGAGCATTCTATGGCCGTGACACCTTTTGTTCCACTTTCGACGACTGCATTTGTTTAACACATGGTACTCCAGACTTGTGCAAACATCAAGTTTCGTATGAATGAGTTCGGTTTGACAAAATAAAAGTAAAATAGGATGGAGGTGCAGGGAATCGAACCCTGTGCCTCTCGCATGCGAAGCGAGCGCTCTACCATATGAGCTACACCCCCAAGATGAACCACAATGCCCAAAACATCTATAAGTAGGCAGACGATAGCTCCTATAGATCAAAACTTGGAGATGCTGGCTGGATCTACCTTTTCTTAGAATCAATCCATTTGCCTTTATCAATCAAGAATTAGATCTGAATCACTGGTTTTAGATTATGCTCCACAGAAAGTCTGTTGATGTGTAACATGTGTTGCAGTATGCATTCACATAGAAAAGGTGGCTTGACCGGTTTTACCGCCGAAAGAAGAGGGCACGACGAAAAGAATTAGCCCATATAGAAGAGGGTAAATATTTGTCATTGTTAAAGGTGGGGTTTGGGCCATTTTTTGCCCTATCTTGCTTACAACAAGTTGGGTAATTTTGACCCTGATTCAATGAGAAAAATGGGTTGTACATTTACGTTGGTCCACTTTGATCCTGACTCGATGAGAAAATTAGGTTGTATATACTCGCCGGGTTGACCCGCTGTAAGGAATTGGATTGGAAGTCAAATGGCGTCGTTCTTCCTTTGGTTTGTGAAATACTCTTATTTTATGGTTTTTCTTTTCGTTTAATCCAATCTTTGGAATTCTATGTTGAACATTGATGTTATATAAGTGTGTGAATTTTCACTCTATTGTGGATCCAAGTACGACATGTTGTTTTTTTGTGTAATATTATATGTTATTACTCATATCTTAGATGTGATTTAATATAATTTATAAATATATGAACAATATAATGACTTTTACCAGGTGTCCGGACTAAAACGAACTAAAGCTGTCGGGCCATTAACCCTTAACCCACTTGTTCTACCGGGCCAACGGGCTAAACCGGGTTGACAACCTTGCTTACAAGACAAATGGTCACTATTTCATCTTCTATCAATCAACTTAATCTTCACCATAGCTAATCAAAATAATTAAAATTGCATATTCACATCGTGTTTAACTGTTTATGATAAACCGTCAGCAGAAAGTGAGTTGACAATAGGAGTGGCTATTGGTTTGGTTTCGGTTAGTCACTAACCGATATGACGATTAGTAGTTAACCAATAACCCAATTCTTTTACTGAAAATCAAACTAAGCCTTATTGATTAACCATTTCTTAACAATTCAGTTAGTTGTTAATTTGGCAGTTAACCACTAACACCAAAAGCCAAAAAAAAATAGAAAAAATGGAGAAACACTCATGTCCAACAGAAGAACAAGCATAATCTAATCCATAATAATGAAATTCTACTCCAACAATCAATGCTCAACCCAAAGAAATCACATCTTTGCTTTTATTTCACAAATCCCAGCAAAACTAATCCAACAGAAGAACAAGCATAATATAATCCATAATAATGAAATTCTACTCCAACAATGAATGCTCAACCCAAAGAAATCACATCTTTGCTTTTATTTCACAAATCCCAGCAAAACTAATCCACCATTCAACTCCTGTATTACTATCCTGAACTGCAGAGCGGATTAGGTTACTAGGTCTCAAGCTCACTCTTCTCTCCCTCAAGACTGGATTATTATCCTGAATATCATTTCAGATCTCATCTAAGTGTACTTGCTTGTAACTCTTTCGATTATGAATGAAATCATACCATTTAGTCAAAAAAAAAAAAATTCAACTCCTGTAGATTTCCCTTCTCTCTCCCTCTATTTTTTGCTTTAATTATAAAAACGGATAAGAGAAGTGAGCTCGAGCACCGAATTATCGTCGGTTGGTTGTATGCAATAGAGGATAGTCTGCAAAGGAAGGAGAGGCTGGGAGGAGTCGATCGTCGTATATGCCTCGTTGCTGCGATCTCATGTGAATCGTCGCCATCTGTTTGCAAATTATGAAGAAAATTTAGAATGAAGTAATTTATGTATTGGATAATATAAAAGAATCTGGAAAAGGTTTGGATAAAAAATAGACACGACCCTTTTATTTAAATACTACAATAACTATCACGGAAATCAAACAATATAAACTACAATACACCGATTTTCTTATATACATGTATATTATTATGCATGTATTGATGACAATGTATCAATTTACCAAGCTTCCCTTGGCTATTGTGGCTTGTGTGTTCGTCACATAACCGCGTGGTAGCTGGTTCAAAGCTTCGATACTCTCTTTCTCTCTCTCTCTCTCTCTCTCTTTGCCAACTGCAACTCAATCCAACCAAACAATGTATCAATTTAACTATCAACAAAACCAAATCACCCTTTAGTTTCCATTTTTGCACGGGAATTTCAATTCATTTGGTCTTTATTGATTGGCCTATTGAATAATTATCTTGTTTTTTTTTTGCCAAAAGATCGCTCGTATTATCGAGAAAACAGCCAAATACAAAGAGTCACATAGCTGAAAACAGCCAAGAAACAAAATTGAACCCCACTAAGGCACTAACGAGGGGGACAACGAAAGGGTTTTCTTGTCACCAAGTGGGCAACCCTGTTACACCCACGACCAACAAAAATAACCTTAAACTCATGGAACAAGCCCAGCAAATGACGTATATCCTCCAAAAGCGTACCGCCAAGGACATCTGCTACATCGCCCTCCCGGATCTTCCTCAGGATCTCTTGAGCACCATCTGCGAAAGTCATCGACTGCAACCCGCACCCCAAACACCAGCGAACTGTATCCCGTAAGGCCAGTAGTTCCACAAGAGCCAGCTCTGAAATCCCTTTTGTATAAAAACAGAATAATTATATTGTTTTGATTCACTTAATATCTACATTTATTAACCAACGTGTATTTTTTAGCTATGAAAATAATAAAAACGTGCTGCATAATAACTTTCTTGGTTCGTCCAACCAGGATATTGGAATCATTTTTCGTGAATATAACTTTCTCAATCTACTTCATGAACTTCTCAGTGATTCACTTAATATCTACAATTATTAACCAACGTGTATTTTTTAGCTATGAAAATAATAAAAACGAGCTGCATAATAACTTTCTTGGTTCGTCCAACCAGGATATTGGAATCATTTTTTGGTGAATATGACTTTCTCAATCTACTTCATGAACTTCTCAGGTTCCGATAATAAAAAAAATCTACTTCATGAGCTAAAAGAATTTTTTCTTTTTACCCCAAAGTGAAAATCTTAGCTTCCCTTTTCTTGGAAGCAACCCCTTTCCTTTTGGAACCACTTCGACGAATTAGATCTGAACCAACAGTTTTAGATTTAATTGCTTCCATTGCTTGTTCCAATTATGATCAAGGCTACCTTGAAACTTCTAAATTGCTAAGGTGAGGCTTGATTTGAATGATTCTGCACGTCCCATTAGGTATCATATGACTACAAATCAGTACAACAAAGAAAATTAATTAAAAACATGATTTCATGAAAAAGTTATATTTGTATATTAAATATAAAATATGTTGATAAAAATAATAATCTTTTCTAAGTAAAATACACATACATGTGTATAATCGATCGGTTCGGGTTGAATAGAGCGAAAACTATACACACCCGTTACCCGCAATATTCAGAGTCAAATTTTATCCGTGCCCACTGGAAATCTTTCGAGTTCGATTTACCCTACCCAATTAAGTCGGATTCAGGCAAACATCCACAATCCCGGAACAAATGAAAGAAGAAATTTGCAGAACCATACTGCACAGCCATACAAATCATTTGTCCCTAAACAAAGCCAAAGTACGGAGCACGCACGCACCCGACTCGTCAACATACAGCATTATCTGGATATTCCATAGCCGACGTAAATCCTCCCTAAGATTTTCAATCTAACAGTAACCTGACATGGTGGAAACTACTCATCAACCCTACAGAACAAACTCAGAAAATATCTCTGAACATGCTGTGCACTATAAACCCAATTATGTGCGCATTTCCGCCTCACAGCATATATAGTTATTACCTCATTCCCAAAACTGGGTTGCCTTTATCCAGTCACCACACAGATGTAGCTTCAATAACTAATCACTTCACCTCTGGGGTTGCCCTAATGGTACTGGATGCTAAATTATATCCAACCCTTGTTAGTTCCAAACTGCATGACCTGCTTAATAAATTCATAAGCCAGTAAGCAAATCCAAATTGTGCTAGTCTCCTTAGAAAGCCACAAAATGATTGCCAGGAGTAACAGAGAAACAAAGAGCACAGATACTGGCTTTACAGCGTCTAACTAACTTAACCAGTATGTATATACCACATTATAACCTAGCCGAATATTGAACTCAAAGGACTCTTGGTAGACATCAAAGTAGGAACATAGTAATTGCACTGAAATTTCTCACTTCAGATGCCAGGTGCCAAGAGTCACAGAAGAGCAAGAGATTAGAGCTTAATTGAGTCTAACTGACTAGATCGGTATGTTAGTACCACATAACAAACCAGCAGAACACTAAACTCAAAAGGATTCTGAGTAGAAATCAAAATGGTAAGTAGCTGTGCTAAAATTTCTCATCCAGAGGTATTATCATAAGAGCAGTCACCAGTGCAGTATACAAATGTTCAAGCCAACAGATAATTTGTTCTAAAGTTAACAAGTACTTAAAAATTTTAAGAGGCACCTCTACCAGTAAGTTAGCCAAAGAGATATACAAACAAGCTCCATGTCAACTTAAATCATAGCCCTGATTCATATCCATGACAAGGAAACTATCCGAAGCAGCAAGCATGATGAAGATATAAAAGCAAACATCTTAAGCTTGCTAGGTTTCACCTAAACAACAAACTGTAAGTCATAAACCAGCCTGAATTACCCCAGAACAGGATCAGCTTGTCGTTCTACTTAGACCTTATGCGACAAATGAAACACTTAACATCAAACACCATCCAAAAACAAGTAGGTCAGCGATCGGAAAGCAACCCAATTTCACCAATTGAAAGCCAAATCAAACCCAGATAACCAGATTCATCAGTGCATTTAGCAATGCCATTAGATGGGAAACATTCATAAGTAATAACGTCTCTTTCAAAACTTACAATGCCCCAAAACCCAGGTCCAAAAGTAAACAGCTAGAAGTGTAACACTCAAGCAAAAAACCTCCAGATTGAAATCCCCCAATTGTCATCAAAATCAAAGGTCCCAAATACTTTTATTACTCGGCTACACATTATCAACAACTAAAGAGCAGAAAACCAAACGAACCACTGTCTCGATCGCTCGCTGAGGGAAGATTCCACAGCCCACCAGGAAAATCCCCATTTCCCGTCTTCAATCGGAATCAGCGGAAGCCAATTTCTCCATCTCGAGGCGCTCGAGGGCCTTCTGGTGCGCCCAGGTCTCGATGGTGAGATCGGGCTTGGCGTTGAGCCCGACGCCGAGGATGACGATGGTGAGGAAGCTGGTGAGGTAGCAAGGGAGCTCCCAGTCCTCCCACTTGCGCGACTGTCCCGGCGGCGGCGGGGTCCGGTTGAACAGGTAACCCTTGGGCCGCTCCTCGTGCCCTGGGGTCGTCCATCCCGACGCGCCGCCGCTGCGGGTACGGAGCGAGCCGGAGAGACGCTGGCGGAGCATGCTCGCCGCCGTCGTGAAGGGCTGCAGCTTATGCATTCCGTCCCCTTTGCGTTTATTTGAGGTGGAGAGAGTGTGTGTGAGAGAGAATTTTCTGCGATCGGTTTTGCTCTTCGATTTTGTAGAAATGCTGGGCTGGGCGGAGCGATCTGTTTCCTCCGGCCGAGAAAAATGACGGACTTCTGAGATGGAAAACGCTGCCGTTTCGGACTGGAAGTTCCAGTGACTGAAACACTAAATTTGGCTAATGGGCCGGGTGGAGTCGGGTTCAAGGCCCAAGCAAGATACGATGGCGAGCTTACCCAGGGTCCATTCCTTATTTCAGTTTGGAAGGGGTGAAAATGTGGTAAAAAAAACATATATAGCACAATTGATGATGTTCCAGTTCTGGGTTGGTTTTGGTTTATGGCAGGTGAGGTGGAAGAGCAGCTCAAGTTACTAGCTGGACTACTTCCAGTCCCAGAATGGATTTCTGAGAAAACGGCTTTCAGTGCAGATTTGGTCTTCGACATCGATAAAACGGCGAGTCCTGAGGCCATGCGATGCGAGCACGCCTTGAACGAGTGTTGCAGGCAGCATCAGCATGCTTGTCAAGGAGTAGCTAGCTAGATAGTCTGTTTTGACTCATCAGACCAACAACAAACTGAGTAAGCTTCAATGAAACATGTTCCATTGAAAAATATAACTGGAAAATTTGTCCAACTTCAGTCTTAAATTCAAAAGGGAGAGATAGTACAGAGTATAATCCATCATGTTCCTACAATACATTTCTTATCTATATACGGCGCAAATCAAATCAAATCAAATCAAGCGACCCTACTATAATTTGATCCAATGACTTCTTCAAGTTAGTGAGTGCTGGTATAATCCTCCAATAATACATTCTATATATATAACAGACAACTAAACATTATCATCATCAACTTGTAGCGGCAAATAGCTTTGCAGCCACCAACCAAATTTCTCACCCTTCAATTGAGATTTGAGAGAGAGAGAGAGAGAGAGAGAGAAATCTTTGGGGGTCGGCCCCCCAAAGATGAATAATTAGAAAGACCACTCCCCAATAATTGAGAGAGGTCCCTCCTCTAATCACTTCCATGTCTGCTAACTGCTAATACTTGCTTCATATTTACATCTACAATAACTGCTGCTTCATAGCTCCATTTTCAATTGAGATTGACTGGAGTTTAGAGATGCTGCAACCCAATTAAAAAAGGGACAAAAGACAATGTATAAAGAAGAATCCTTTTTCAGTAGATGATACACTAGGAATTTGGTGGTGAAATCGTCGAGAGTCTCTAACCTGAATTTGCTGGGGAGACGTAACTCAAGAGGGAGTTTTCTGGAGTCATGAAGTTGTGGCCATCTTCTCTTCCCCAGCCTCCTGCATGAGGCTGGGGAACCACATCGAAGTTCCATAGCGGCTGGTGATATTGCTGCCTGATCCCATTTGGTTGCACTTCTGGCCACATTACCGGCATCATCATAGCTGGGAAGTTGCTATCCATTAGAGATCCACTCTGCAAGAAAATTTTTTGAAGTATTAGACAAAAAGTAAAACCAATTCCCTTGACAAGCATAAAGTATAATCACCAAAGGGCAGGAAACATGGACAAAAGGGCACAGATTGGGAGCGTAGTAATAATGCATGCAGGATCATTTCATAAGCCTTTTTTCTCTTTTTCTCTCTCCATGCCTACATGAAAATGCAACCATCCATATGATCTACACATTATGTTAAGAATACGTCCACTACTTAACAACCACAGAGCCAGCTATGCCTACAGTTCGGTGGATTGCAGAGACACAGAAAACCCAACACTCAGATGTGCTTCTCGTTAAAATAAAGCAACTGAAATGGTTGGAGCTGAACTTACATCTGCAGGCAACATATTGTCCAAATTGAAATCTAGTCTTGGGTTCACCGCTGCAAGTTTCATTGACAAGACCTGAGACAAGTACAAAAGTGCGTCGAAATATATTAAGGCAGAACCATTGTGTACAATCAGTGGAAACTGAGATCCTAAAATACACAGAATCTCAAAATGCGCAACAGCTCAGGATCCCGTAACTAAGACGCTGAACAAGTAATGAAAGATATGCAGTTCTGACCTCCACTTGCTGTTGCAAGGTCTGGACATGATTGATGATTTCATCCAGTACAAGTGCTGTACCAGAGATCTGCATACATAAAGTTTTTGTACAATTAGTTCGGGATTCGGAGAGTTCTTAGCAATTATCGAAGCATATTCCAAAACCAATTTTCAGGGAGCTCATAAAGCATCAATAAGAAGAGCAATCCATAGCTATCATACATTACATGTATGTTAACATCCCCCAAGACAACTTGAATGCTGCTGCAAATCTCAACCCATCAAAGACACATTAATAGACCAGTGAACCCTGTCTACTATAAAACAAACCATGCTCAGGAACTCCCAGAGTGACATTACCATAATAGCACATACTTTTGGACATTCAAAAACTGAACAACGGTTAACAAGAAAGACATAAAAGCAGGATAAAAAATGAAGGGAAAGTTAACTTTTCAGCAGGTGCAATCCACCATTGTTTATGTATTATCTCTTAAGATACCATTAATGAGAAGAAAAAAAAAATGAATATTATCATCAACCATCACACCATGGTTCAGGCCGTTCGGGTCCAGAAATTTTGTCATATGAATTTATCACAAGGAAAAGTCTCCATCTTTTCTTTCCCTTTCATTTTCCAGTATCTTAAAAATCTCAGAGACAGATGCCTAACTTACAAAAGGAAATTTGTACGGTGCACCTTTCCTAGAAGGCACACAATTCTCACGTCTGCCGGATGATGGGACCAAAAATTTGATCCATCACCAGTCACCACTACTAGAATATTAGTCCTTCGCTGAGGCATATCCAGCTAGCATCCTTTTTATCTTGAAACACAAATAATTCTCTACTCAGACGCCTAAATATTCAACTATACGAAAATGGGAGACAAAATCTGCAGTGCAATTCCAGTGGCTCATCACTGTATCATGAACACAAGGGCCTACTGTCTTCCTGGATTTTTCAAACGCTTGCTAAGATACAAGCTTCTGATCAATATCAAATGACGACACTAGCCCTGGAAAGGGACCTCTGGCTTCTGAAACACCTGTCTTGCAAAGAGGGGAAACACAGTGACGAGATGGAGAAATGACGAGACACCCCACTGGCCACCACCTCCATTGCCCCACGACTTTTCTTGCTACGAAAGGAAAGACCCACAACTTTATTGGGCAAAAAGGTGAGGCGACGAAACTAAATCACACTTCTTTAATCAAGCCCCTAATCTCAATCCAAATGATTGACTAATCACATTCAAAACGCTTCTTCCCCAAAATGATTATTCATTACTGTGATGATGATGTGCTTGCAACACAGAACATTCAGTAATGAGTAGTAGTAGTAGTACCTTGTTGCAGCCCGGGACCAGCTCTTGGAGCAGCTTCATCCTCGCATTAATCTTCTCTCTCCTCGCCTAATCAGGGTATTTAAGGAGCATTTGTAAGCAAAGCTAGTGTCGGATTAATTAAGCTTAACATGGATGTTAGTTGATTGATTAGTGATAATTACTCTCTCTGCCAAGCTGTGGCTATCGGTAGCTTGACCGCGGCGAGCTCGGACGTGAACGTACGGCAGCTGCTCGGAATCCTCGTTTGCAGCGCTTTTGCTCTTCTTCGAGGAAGCTTTTCCCTGCGGAGAGACCGTTTGGCGGGATTAGCAGACTGAAGGTTCCTCGGGAAAATTAAACAAAAGGGGAGAAATGGAGGGGGAAATCGGAACCCTAGAAATCCTAATTTTGAGTTTATTTTTCTTCTTCCTGTTGCTACCTTCTTCTCCCGCTCCTTCCTCTTGGAGCTCGGCCTCTGATTCTCGTCCTTGGCGGCGACCGTCGGGCAAGACGCGGCCTCGGCGGGCTCGGCCTTGACGACCTTCTGGAGATTCGCGCTGGAACTCGACGGCGCCGAGTTGGCCTCCGGCGAGGTAATCGCGTTGCTGCCGTTGTTCAACTCCTCCTCGGCGGCGAAGACGGAGAACTTGGCGGCGCGCTCAATCAAGGCGGCGTTGGTCGGGAAGGTGACCAATCCGGCATTGAAGTGCTGAGGCGGCGGGTGGCGGGAATCGGGTCGGGTCGACTGAGGGGAGCGGTGGTGGAGAAGCTCCACGGCCTGATTGGGCGGCAATTCGAGGAGAGCGGTGAAGGAGCTCGCGTTCTCCGTCGGGACGGAGATTAAGTGCCGGATGTCGTCGCCGAATTGGACGGAGTCGAGCGCCGTCTCGTCGGCGGTCGGGCCGGATCTAGCTCCGGGTCCTGATAGCGGCTCCATTACAATGAGTCAACTCTGTTTAAAAAAAATTACTAAAAGAGCCACCACTCCACTGGAGTTCAATTCGCAGTTCGGGCTCGCTAAACGGCTTTACGGCCCGCCGGCGGTGTTCGAGGGAGGTCGGAGTCGCCGGGCAGCGGCGACGGAGTTCTCGTCTCTGTTCTGTGGCTGTGGAGAAGATTTGGAGGAGGAAAATGAAGTGAAGGGAAAGCAACGTTTCAAGCTGGGAGGGAAGAAATCTCTTGGGCGGGTTAGAGAGAGAAAGTGGGAAAGGATGTGGATATGTAGAGAGAGAGAGAGAGAGAGAGAGGAAGACGGGGCTCCTTTTGGATGGTGCTGTTATATTAACGGTGCACTCGTTGACGTGAAGGGTAAGTGGAGACTGGAGAGAAGATAGCTTCATTGAATTATTTTTATCCTTTTCTCCCTCTTTGGAAACTAACGAAAAATGATTTTTCACGTGGGCTTGGGGGGTTTTCAAGCATTTGGGCCTAGTCCTCGTAAATTTCCCGGGCCATTCGTAATCATCCTCCAATAATATAGAGTAGAGTTTTGTCTACTTTTTTCTATTTTAAATTTCCTACAACAAGAGTAAAAATAGGAAGGATATTTTTGTCTTTACAATTAATTATTTATTTCATATAAAAAATATTAATATCAAGATTTGAACCGGAGTCTCTTCAAACAAAGACAACAATTGAAACCAGTTACAATGAACAAACTTTTTGTATCTTTTTTAATAGAAAACATACACAAAGTGAAACTCTGAAAATCGCGGATGTATTCATCATGATTAGCAAGCGCACTAAGTTTACGGTATGTATTTTTTATGGTGCTTGATTCTGCAATTTTCATAGCAAAATTTCATGTAGTTTCTCAATTCTAAAATTATTGCTCTCTCCTTATTTTTCGCTAAAGGTAAATTCGTAACTAGCCAACATGGAAGAAACTAATTCCATTACTGTCCTTGCATTTTTCAACTTATACTTAAATATGTACATTTTAATCATTGTTTTTATCTCTTTCTAACTTCCTCTGAAATTCCCATCTATCGTGCAATAGTTTGCGCCCATTTCACTTCACGGTACAAGACCGCCTTTAAAAATCAATCTTTCAGTCTCTTGACACTACAATTTCATTCTTGGGGATTTAAACTGGAAAAGTAAAGGATTTCAACTCCGATATCAATCCATGGCGAATAGAATTTAGTTTAACAAATGGAGGTATACAAGGAGGATTAAAAATTGATTTTTTTGTTGAAACAAACGCCTCTTGAGATTGAAGATAGAGTGGATAAATTTGGAAGCCGCGAAGCAAGACTATACCCTCTCTCTCTCTCTCTCTCTCTCTCTCTCTCTCTCTCTCTCGATTGGGCGCTTTCCATATGATTCTCCTCTCTCTCTTGTTTTGGATCCGCGTTCCCTAAAGCTTCCATGTGAAGTACTCCTCATTGTTTCTTATTTCTTTTGATAAGAGGGAGATCAGAAAGTGCATCAAGAGATGCCTTCGTTTCTTCCCATATAGAACAACCATAAACAGATCTGGTGAGCTCCACGAACACATACAAAAAGCCAGATCTGGGTTTCTGTAGAAACTAGAAGAACAGATATGGTGGGATCTTGATTTTCCCAGACACTCCCTCATTTTTCCTCCCCAAAACCAATCAAACAAAACTAGCGACAGATCTACCCTTCCTCTTCCGCGGCCGGATTCACGCTGGAAATTTCCAAACATCAACCGATACTCCGATAGTAGAGGGATTGACCGATGCCGGTAAGAGCCAGATCTGAGCATTTCACCAAAAGTTCACATTTTTTTTCTCGGAAGCCAACAAAACAAATTGATATATCTGCTTTTATCTTTTCCCGATCAGCTTCCCTCCGTTACCCCAGAGAATCAAAAAGTTCATTGCCATTCGCTGCCCCCTCATAGATCAAACCAATAGAATTATCTCACTCTCCCCTACCTGGCGCGCCAATTGTTTCAGCCAAGAAACAAGTAGGACGTCAGATCTGTGAAAGGGTGGGGACGACCCCCTACATCTACACTCCGACGATCAACATCAGTATGATGATAGAGAAATAGGAAGAGTTTAGGTAGAGAGATATTGTAGAGAGATAAGTGATATGTGGAAAATGAGTAGAAAAGAAGAGCCACCTTACTTAGAAGACCTAAGAGTATATTTATAGGTCAAGCCTTGTCACCTTACATTGGGCTTACATTGGGTCTTTGTGGTGTTTTGTGGGCTTAGGCCCATACGAGCTTGTGGATTAGCGTTGTTGTTCGAGTTGGGTTGTTGTGGCATATTTACGGGTCCAACAAAAAGCTTTTGTCATTCTAACGATAGTCATTAGTCAAATTCATAATATGATTATAATAATAATAAGTGATACTGGTCGCTTTGTGATGTATACATTACATATATTTATGGCATCATAATTACTCTGTTGACCTCTTGAATTTTCTTGTGTACATACCATTAAAATCTAGTTGCTCAATTGAGAAAACAAATAACTTACAGATCCAAACTTTTTGTTCATCCCATATCATCCGGTCCTTGGTCCTATGAAATTTAAAAGTACTGAAGAAAAATGGACGAAATTTACGTTTGAACGGACCAAATGGATCAAGCGAACCAAATGCATTATTGATTCAATACTTTATCCTAAAATATATTTCACTATTTGACCGCGATTCTCCTGAGTTTGGGCAGATCGAGTCCCGTGCCCACCCTTACCTGTAGTCCATGAAGCAACCCTGGAGCCCCAACTAGTACTCTTTTGAGCCCAATGAGGTACCTTAAATGGGCTCAAGTTGTTATTTATCAGACCATTTTACAGAAAGTACAAGGCCCAATTCGGAGCACACTCCACCCCTTCCCTCCACAAAACCCTAGGTATATACTACTGAATATTGGTCTACTGCGTTTCTCCATTGCTGCTCCCGATTGAAGCTCTCTTTCTGTCTCTTATTCTGCTTCTGCGAGAATCAACCTTCTTGAGCACTGTAAGTCGCAAGCAACGATGCAGCCGGCTCGTGCTCCCTTTAGATTATGTTTGCTAATTTTAAATCATATGATTTCTTGTGGTGGGTTCTTATCCTTGCTATGTTAATGGAGATACGCAGAGCGGCGGAAAATGGCGACCTGCGCAGCGATTAAGCCGACCAAGGCTGGATTGGATGAGCCACAAGAGCAGACTCACAAGATCAGGATCACACTTTCCTCCAAGAATGTGAAGAACCTCGAAAAAGGTTAGCTTGTGCATCTCGGCATTCAAGTTTTCTACTTCATTAGCTTCCCTTTGGTTTCGGTGTGCGGTTTTTGTTGGGTTTAGGGTAGATTGAGAGGTTGTAGCTTTGGTTTCTGAATCTTTGGTTGGTTCTGATTTACAGTTTGCGGGGACTTGATTCGTGGTGCAAAGGACAAGAAGTTGAGGGTTAAGGGACCAGTGAGAATGCCCACCAAGACTCTTCTGATTACTACCAGGAAGTCTCCTTGTGGAGAAGGTAAAATCATTGGACCATTTTTGGTTTCTTGCTACTGAATTTATATTCCTTTATAATGTGAATTTTAGTCAAGTCCTGATTTCCCTGTAGTACTGCTAGGATTATGTATCCATTACAATGAATAGCACAGATTGGCTCCCATATTATTTATTGGGACATGCTACTTATGGGTGTGAAGTAGTGAATTGATTGAGATGTAGAAATTCATATATCATGAAAAAGTAAATGCTAGGTGGCTCTGATGCCCTAAATTTGTTTAGCGGGCTAGACTTCAGTTCACTTCCCTAATGAAGCCGATTATGGGGGAGATGTTGCATTGCATCAGTGGTGACATGCTATTTTGTATCTCCACCTAGTGTTTGTTTTGATGAAATGTCTCTATGTTCCATATTTCCTTATAAGCTTCCAGTATCTCATTCAGTCCGGGAAAATCACTATAGGCTGGCCAACTAGTTTTGCTATGCGTTGTGTTTCTAACACTTGGAACTATGTTGAACTGGTTGGGTTAAAGATCTGCTTTTGAATTAGGTTGATGGTGTGATGAATTGGTGATTGTGAAGTGTTAATGGTGATGAATTGGCTCTTACAGTATGCATTGTACTCACTTTTTCAGGTACCAACACGTTCGACTGATTCGAGCTTCGTGTGCATAAGCGCATCATCGACCTCTTTAGCTCCCCAGAAGTGGTGAAACAGATCACCTCCATTACCATCGAGCCTGGTGTTGAGGTGGAAGTCACAATTGCTTACGCTTAGAAATGCTTTTTTCGGATTCTGTTTGTCATGGACTCCTTTTTGTTTGAGATATCAGTTTAGTAGAGAGGTGATATTTCTGTACTTCCCTTCCTGCCCAATATGTACATTGAGCGGTAAAACAGTGTCTGATTTGGTGAAACCAGTTACTTTTGGTAGACACTAGACGGAAAATTTATGACTTGAATGAAAATTTCGGAGGCTGTTTTTATTTCTGTCACTGATGTATAAGTCATTCCTATGACTACTCGACTTTACTTCTTCTAACCATAAAAAATAACTTCTTTAGTTTCTTGTAAAAGAATTCGCGCTCGACTCCATTCAATTTGTAGCTTGATCAAACCTAGATGATAAGATGAAGAAGTCCTTGAATTGGAATGTTCATTTCTATCAATTATCAACCCTAGGATGTCTCTAAAGGGTTGGGGTGTGAGCTTGTCTCCGCCATAATCAACTCAGGTCTATGCCCCCCTGCTGGACGTGAAACAAAGAGAATAAACTTGGTGACATCTGGCGTCGCTTGCTCTATGACGCATTTTGTCGAACACCTGCTCGGCCTCCTAAGCTATTTTCCTGTCGAGCCAATATCCCATGAGGTTTGCGATGGCCAGTGATGTTTAACTAAACCCCTATGGAGGTGCTGAGGTTCAAGATGGGGAAGAAGGCAAAAAATGGAGATTTACTGGGATTTACGGGTGGCCGGAACAGGAGAATCATCATCTTGCTTGGAACCTCATCAGAGATCTCCGAGATGTCGATAATGAAGCCTGGATTTGCGCGGGCGACTTCAATCAAATATGCTCCAATGTAGAGAAGGCAGGGGGAAGAGCGGTGTCCGAACAAAGGCTCATTGGTTTTAATAATGCTTTGGCGGATGGTGGACTTATTGATTTGGGCTTTATAGGATACCCATACACTTGGGAAAACCGAAGAAACGAGAAGGCCTTCATAGAAGAACGGCTGGATCGGGCCGTGGCAAATAAAAAATGGCTGGACTTATACCCGAAAGCCCTTGTGATGCATCTGGATGAGGTGGCTTCGGATCATCTACCGATCCTAATCGATGTAGAGGGAGAACGCGAGATTGACATCAAATGGGGGAGAAACTTTAGATTCGAATCTTTCTGGGCAAAGGAGGAGGAGAGTAGTGCGATTGTGAGCAAAGCTTGGGAACAAGCGGGAGTCGATAGCTTGGAAGAGAGCCTAAAGAAGTGTGAAAATGAACTGACGAAATGGAGTGCAGAGAAATTTGGTGAGATTCCAAAAAGAATCGCCCAGATTCATAGAGAAATCAAGGAGCTGAAGACTCGGAGGAGGAACCCAGATTGGAGATCGAAGAAAAGGGACCTGGAAGTTGAGCTACAGGATCTGCTGTACAAAAATGAACAGAGATGGAAACAGCGATCAAGAATGGAGTGGTTACGAGAGGGGGAAAAGAACACAAAAGCTTTTCATGCAAAGGCCACAGAGAGAAGAAGGAAAAACACTATAAGGAAGCTGAAAGATGAAGGAGGAAGACTGCACAGAGGTCAGGAAGAAGTAACAGAGTGTCTTACCACGTACTATGGAGACCTATTCGAGAGCAAAATTGATGGAGTCGGTTGGAGCGTTATTAATGCAGTTGAGAGAAAGGTCACAGAAGAGATGAATCAAAGGTTGATGAGACCATTCACGGCAGATGAGATTCAGACAGCTCTCTTCCAGATGGGAGCCACAAAAGCGCCAGGAGATGATGGTTTCCCACCCTTGTTCTTCCAGAAGAACTGGAATGTCCTGGCTCCAAAAGTCACGGCTGAATTGACAAATTTTCTCCAAGAAGGAAGCTTCCCAGAAAGCCTCAACAAGACTTTAATCGCCTTGATCCCTAAGGTAAAAAACCCTGTTTCCCCCAAAGACTATAGGCCAATTAGCCTTTGTACTGTGCTCTATAAGATATTTTCTAAAACTATTGCTAATCGGCTGAAAGGTATCCTGGATAACTTGATATGTGAATCCCAGAGTGCTTTCGTGCCGGGGAGGTCCATAGTTGACAACGTGATTGCAGCTTTTGAGTGCTTCTTTACCATGAAGAAGAAAACAAAAGGTGAAAAAGGCTACTTGGCTCTAAAACTCGATATGGCGAAAGCCTACGATCGAGTCGAGTGGGGCTTCCTTGAACGAATTATGAGGAAACTTGGCTTCGACGAGAAATGGATCAAACTGATTATGTCATGTGTTTCTTCTGTATCCTACGCAGTTCTGGTGAATGGTCACAAGTCTCACTTCTTCAAGCCGGGGAGAGGTTTGCGTCAGGGAGATCCGCTCTCCCCATGCCTCTTTCTTCTCTGCTCAGAGAGGTTGTCAGCAATTGTGAACAAGTATGAGAAAGAAGGAAAAATACATGGAATCAAAATCAGTAATAGAGCCCCTGTGATTTCACATTTACTCTTCGCCGATGATTGTGTCTTGTTTTCCAGGGCAAATATTAATGAAGCAAGGAGGTTGAAGGAGATTCTCAAGCTGTATGAATCCGAATCTGGACAACTGGTGAACTTCACCAAATCTGAAATTTATTACAGCAGCAACATAAAGGAGGACAAGAGAAGAGACCTGTGTGCTGATATGGGAATTAGAGAGGTGGATAAGCTTGCCAAGTATCTTGGTCTTCCTACGATGATAGGGAGGTCTAAGAAGGTTGTTTTCCAGCGTCTACAGGAAAGGTTTAGAAGCAAACTTACAAACTGGAAGAGTAGATACTTCAGTGATGCAGGGAAAGAGATTCTGATAAAGAGCATTGCCCAAGCCCAAGCTACTTATGCAATGTCGGTCTTTAGAATTCCTGAGGGGATAATTGAGGATCTCCATAAACTGATGGCAAATTACTGGTGGGGGCAGAAAAGATCCGAAAGAAGAATACACTGGAAGAGATGGGAGAAGCTATGTAAAAGGAAGGAAGAGGGAGGAATGGGATTCAGGGATCTAAGAATTTTCAACAAAGCGATGTTGGCAAAGTAGCTGTGGAATCTTCACACCAGACCTGATTCACTTGTTGCGAGACTCATAAAAGCAAAATACCATCCAAGAACGACAATTCTGGAAGCTAAAGTGGGTTGGCGTCCTAGCTATATCTGGAGAAGTTTGATGTGGGCTCAAGATCTTCTAAAAGCCGGGTGCAGATGGAGAATAGGATCAGGGGAGGAAGTCATAATTTGGGGAGACAGATGGGTTCCAAATCTGGAAAATTATGAAGTTTTCTCATACTGCACTTTCTTGGAATGGGATGCTAGGGTGTCCAGCCTAATTGATCAAGAGTTAAGAACGTGGAGACAGGACCTGTTGGAAATCATCTTTACTCCTGAAGAAAGACAAGCTATTTTGGCAATCCCACTTTCCTCTAATAGAGATAAGGATGTGCTGTGCTGGATGGATACAGAAAATGGTAAATATACTGTCAAGTCTGGGTATTTCTTTGAGCAAAAAAGAGAAGAGGAGGAGACTGGTAACGATATTAGTAACATAGAGGAATTCTGCTGGAAAAAGTTGTGGAAGGTGAGAATGCCAGGGAAACTAAAAACTTTCATATGGAAAGCTGCCCATGATATCTTACCTGTAGGTGCCAAGATAAGCAGGAAAGTCCGGAACTTGGGAGATGAATGTCTGAATTGTGGCCTCAAGGAAACGTTGAAACACTGTTTGGTTGATTGTAGCTGGAACAGCAGGATTTGGAGCAAAACACCACTCACTGAGATGTTTTACAAAGCTGAGGGCCTCACTTGCAAACAGTGGCTTGCCCAAATTATAAATTCCTACCCGGACAAGTGTTGAGGATTGAGGTTTTTGAGAATCCAAAGGATCTTGATTGTTATTCTCATTGATGATTTTACAGAGATTAATATACAAGATTTGGGAGATAAAATAGGCACACGTAGTAACAGCCACAACTCACCTCCCACAAGTATAGGCAACTAACAGAGACGTGGGAAGGAGGAATAAAGGAAATAAATAAACAAATGATCAACTATCTCTAATACGCCCCCGCAAGACGGACGTTGTGTCAACAACGCCGAGCTTGGATCGTAAAAGGAGGAAGCGGGTTGCCGGTAGCGGTTTGGTGAGAACATCGGCGAGTTGGTGAGCAGTGGGTATATACCGAACCAAGAGGCGACGATCCTGGACAAGCTGGCGAACAAAGTGATAGTCCAATGCCATATGCTTCATACGAGAGTGGAAGATTGGATTTGCGCAAAAATATGTAGCACCGAGATTGTCAGAGAATAGAGTAGGAGGAGCCGGGAGAGGATGGTGGAGCTCCGTTAATAAATTCTGGAGCCAAGTAAGCTCGGCACTGGCATGAGCAATTGCCCTGTACTCGGCTTCGGTGCTGGAACGGGCCACCGTCCTTTGCTTTTGGGACCGCCAGGAGATAAGTGTGGGACCGAGATAAATAAGATATGCTGAGGTGGAAGATCGATCATCCAAGTTGCCTGCCCAGTCAGAGTCGGCAAAGGCAGAGAGCGACAATGGGTGAGGCGTACGATGAATGACAAGACCATGGGTGATAGTGCCCGCAATGTACCACAGCAGACGTTTCACACTCTGCCAATGCGCAGTCGTCGGAGCATGCATGAATGTGAGAGCCGGTTGACAGAGAAGGCAATATCGGGGCGAGTGTAGACCAAATATTGAAGGGCACCAATAATCTGACGAAACCGAGTGGGATCTGTAGGCGCAGTCCCATCGTGAAGTGTGAGAGAGACGCTGGAGGCCATAGGTGTCGGGGTCGGGGCAGCTCCAAGCATATCAAAACGTTGGGGAAGATCTTTCATGTATTTATGCTGAGAGAGGAGATAGCCAGAAGCAGTGGGGATGACCTCGATCCCAAGGAAGTAATTCACATCGCCCAAGGTCTTCAAGGAGAAACGGCGTGCTAGAGCTTCACGAAAGATGGTGAGCAGCCGATTATCATTGCCAGTGAGCAAGAGATCATCAACGTAGATAAGAAAGTAGAGTAGTATGCCGTCCCGATGGTAGACAAATAAGGAGGAATCAGAGACAGTCTTGGTGAAGCCAAACTCGAGGAGAAAAGAGCTGAGTGCGGTATACCATGCTCGAGGAGCCTGACGGAGGCCATAAATCGCACGCTTGAGACGACAGACATGGTGAGGACGAGTGGGATCGACAAAGCCAGGAGGTTGTTGCATATAGACTTCATCCTCAAGTAGACCTTGGAGAAATGCATTATTGACATCAAAATGAGCAATAGACCAGTTATGAGACAAGGCCAGGGTGAATACCGTTCGAACCGTGACTGGTTTGACAACCGGACTAAATGTATCACCGAAATCCACACCGGGACGTTGATGAAATCCTTTGGCAACAAGACGGGTTTTGAACCGAGCAATAGCGCCTGTGGGAGCATGCTTAACTCGAAAGACCCAACGGTTGCCCAAGACGTTATAATGAGGGAGACGGGGAACTAAATCCCAGGTCTCGTTGTCATGGAGAGCTTTGTTCTCGGCATGGAGGGCGTCGGACCATTCTGGGAATTGCAAAGCCTCACGAACTGAGGCAGGCTCAAGTGGAGGCAGCAAGGAAGGTGCGGAGGAGCCTGCAGAAACATGGAAGAGGCGCTTGGGCCTGAAAATACCATGCTGGGCCCTAGTGGTCATGGGGTGAGACCGGGCCAGAGGAGGCGGCTGGGCGGGTTGAGTAGTCGGCGGCCCAGGCGGCGGGGTGACCGGTTCGGCGGACGGCCCAGCATCCGAGGAAGGCCCACTCGATGTGGAAGAGGAGCCCGCGTCGGTGAGTGCTGATGCAGAGGGGGTAGCGGGCCCAGATGGGCCTGGACTGGACAGAGGTAATGTGGGCCGAGCTGCAGGAAGAAAAGAAACAGGAGGGGATGCGTCGAGCAACCAAGCAGCGGGTGAACGAATGACAGTAGCCGAAGAAGTGGAATGGCCTGGAAAGGTGTCTTCCACAAAATGCTCATGTCTAGATAGAAAGAGACGATTAGTTGTGGAATCAAAACATTTATAAGCACTGCGTTGCGGACAATAGCCGAGAAAAATACAGGGACGTGAGCGAGGAGTGAGTTTATTGAGGGCATAAGGACGCAACCAGGGATAGCATAAGCACCCAAAAATGCGGAGTTTATGGTAGTTAGGTGTCTCATTAAACAAGAGAGTGTATGGAACATGACCACGCAGAGAAGAAGACGGCAGACGATTAATAAGATAAATCGCTGTGGAAAAAGCATAGGACCAAAAACTAGAGGGGAGATGAGCATGATGAAGGAGGGTGATACCAGTCTCAACTAGATGACGATGTTTGCGTTCAGCGAGCCCATTATGCTCCGGAGTATGCGGAGGAGTGAGCAATGACTGATCCCATGAGCAGCGAGAGAGGGACAAAGTTTGATGAACTCACCACCACCATCAGTGTAGATGCGACGAATGGTAGTGGCGAAAAAAATTTTCAACCATGGCACGAAAATCAAGAAACACATGAAGCACATCAGATTTTCTACGAAGAGGATAGTACCATGTGTATCGAGTGAAATGATCAATTATAATCAAGTAATAGAGAAAACCATCAATCGAGGAAACAGGAGCGGGGCCCCAAACATCAGTATATAAAAGATCAAAAGGCCGAGTACTGGTAAGAGAAGAAACACCAAATGGGAGTTTATGCGACTTATTAGAAAGACAAGCATCACAATGGCTAAAGGTAGCAGAGGAAACTGGGAGTGAATGAGCACGAAGCAGACTGCGCAGGGAGTGAGCGGACGGATGGCCAAGACGAGAATGCCAAGAATGGGTTGAAGTGAGAGTGGTGACGAGAGCCATACGAACAGGTTCTGATGGGGAAGGAAGCTCATACACATCACCTCTGTTTTCCCCTCTCAGCATCAGCGCCCCCGTGCGAAGATCCTTGACAACAAAATGAGTGGCAAAAAATTCCACGGACACTGGGTTAGTACGACATAATTGAGCCACAGAAACAAGATGTTTTTTGATAGCAGGAACATGTAAAACATCATTCAACGAAAGATAATAAGAGCCGGTAGGGATGTGAGAGGAGCCAATATGGCTTATCCGCAAACCTGAGCCATTGCCAACAATCAGTTCATCAGGGCCGATGTAGTCAGAATAAAGAGAGAGATTCCCGAGATCACCAGTCACATGGTGAGAAGCAGCCGAGTCCATAAGCCACTGAGATGAGGAAGAGGAGCCGCCAACATTGGTGAAATGGGCCTGAGCGTGGGCTGGCCTGTGTGGAGAGTGGGCTGGGCGATTGGGCGGAAATAGTTGGAAGCATTGGCGCACACTGTGGCCTGGCTTCTCACAAAATTGGCAAATGAGCCGAGGGCGGCGGGGACTGGGCCCAGAGACTTCACGCGGGGAGGATGGGCCGGCAAAGGTCGTTGCAGATGGGCCAGGCGGACGGGGCAGGAGGCCGGTGGGGTTTCGCGGAACAGAAACGCCGAGATGAGGATGAGACGCGCCGCGCTGGGAGCGGAACTGAGGAGAGCCGCCATGCCGTTGTCCCTGAGTGTAAAACGCTGTCGGGACAGTGGTGTGCCGCGCTTTAAGATCGGCTTCGTATTCCACTAAGGAATCCACCAAATCTTCAAGGGTGAGTCCTGGTCCACGCGCGCGAACAGCAGCAGCGAAGGATTGATAATCCTCGCCCAAGCCCCTGAGACAATAAACGACCAGATCGATATCTTTCACGGGTTCGCCGATGAGGGCGAGTTCAGCAGCGGTGGCTTTGAGGTCATTGACAAAGGTGAGGATATCACCATCTCCTTTGGCTGATTTTGCGAGCTTGCTCTTCAAATGGATGATGCGAGATTGAGCATTGCTCGCATATAATTTTTCAAGCGTAAGCCAGGCTTCGCGGGCAGTAGATGCAGCAGATACGAACGAATAAATGGACTCATCAATCGAACAGCGCAAAGCGTGAAGAATTAGCTTGTCTTGCCTGAACCAATTGTGATATGCAGGGTTGGGGGTGGTGACCATGTCCACCGTGACAGATTGGGACGAAGCAGCCATGGTTCCGTCGAGATAGCCTATTAGATCAAGGCCCATGAGAAGAGTCTCCAGTTGGGATCGCCATGAAGCAAAGTTCGTCGGGGTCAGCTTCAAGGGAAGCTGTGCAGCCGGATTGAAGGTAACGATTTGGGTTTCTGAAATTTTGGACCCTTTGTTTGAATCTGAAGATGTGGAATCACCTGCCATGATGATGATCTAAAAAACGAAGAACAGGGGAAAGGGGTTTGAGGCAGGGGGGGGAAGCCGAGATAGAGAAGAATAAACAGAAGTGAGAAAAAAAAAATATGGATCTAGCTGATCGTTGCTAGCTCTGATACCATGTTGAGGATTGAGGTTTTTGAGAATCCAAAGGATCTTGATTGTTATTCTCATTGATGATTTTACAGAGATTAATATACAAGATTTGGGAGATAAAATAGGCACACGTAGTAACAGCCACAACTCACCTCCCACAAGTATAGGCAACTAACAGAGACGTGGGAAGGAGGAATAAAGGAAATAAATAAACAAATGATCAACTATCTCTAATAACAAGGAGGTGGCTCAGCTGTGTTCTCTGTTATGGTTTTTTTGGAAGGACAGAAACAATTTCCTTTTCAATAAGAACTTCTTGGATGAGTGGCAGGTTTTTCCGCGAGCAGATGAATTTATCCACTGTTTTCTGGAAGTGCAGGGCAAAAACAAGCCATCTCCTAGAACAAGACTGAGGAGTGCTTGCAAGTGGAAGAAACCACCAATTGGAGTTTTCAAACTCAACACTGATGCAGGGATCAACAACGAAAAAAAGGTGGGATTGGGATGTATTCTCAGGGATTGGGAGGGCAAGGAAGTCTTCGCTGCCAGCAGAAGGCTCAATGTTAATTGGTCTCCAGATATTGCAGAAGGAATGGCTATTCTTTATGGGATCAGACTTGTGAAGGAGAAAGGAATTGGCCCGATTGTGGTTGAATCAGACTGTAAGAGGGTAATCGAGAAGCTGAAACAGGAGGAAATTTGCAGAACTGAACTTGGGACTATATGCTCGGATATTTTGAAGGAGTCGGAGGAGTTGGATATTAGGGAGTGGAGTTTTGCTTTTAGAGAGGCGAATAATGTTGCTCATATGTTAGCTCATCTTGTTTCTGAGTTCGAGGAAAATTGGTTTGAATGTAATGGTCTACCACTGATGGTAGCGGATGTTGTAGCCTTGGAGGCATCTGATTCTTGATTTCAATGAATTCTCTTTAATGGTTTCCTCAAAAAAAAAAACCCCTATGACAAAAAAATAAAATAAAATAAACCCGTTACAGCAATTATTAAGGAGAACGGGCTCACTTGCTCGGAGGTCCATACTTCGGGCCCAGTACAACAACAAGGCCCATAAACAAAACGAGATTTGAACCCCGTCTTAGCTTTGTGAGGATGGACAAGACGAAACGTTGTCGTTTCAAGCAAGCCCCAGCCACGAAGACGAGGTTGCAAGTTGCAACTATGATATTGTTAAAAATAAAAGATAAATGGCTATTTGTTAGCAACCAAAAACATAAGTCACCATTCATGTAATTAACCCGACCTTTTCCAGAACCACCTACTTCGCTAAAACAATTTCCCCGCCCTCTGGTACTGATAAACCCTATAAGCCACTTCCGTCACTTTTTGCTTCACCGTCCGTCGCCCAGCTCGCCTAAACCTTTCCCGCCGTCCCGTCGCCGGCTCGCCGTCCTCTATCCTATCTTCTCGTCGCCCCTTTCCCCTCACTCCCGTCGGGCAAATAGTCGCCGCTGTGTCCAAATCGCGAAGTCAAAGCAACGGCAAAAGCCCTCCTTCCCCGCAGTTCAACATCCAGCTCTCGACCAACAGGTAACGTTTCATTTCTCTTCATTTTAGGTTATGTAAGATAATTGTGCCCTTAGTGAAGGAACTTTATCATCGCCCTGTCCCCCTGGATAGTTGAGATGAAAGCCTCAGTGCTGATTGTGTAAAACGTTGTGGCAGATCTGAAACATGGATGATAATCTATACGACGAGTTCGGGAACTACATTGGACCTGAAATCGAGTCCGATCACGATAGCGACGAGGAAGAACAAGATGACGACCTTTCAGACAAGGCTCACGAGGAAGATGCTGCATCCGATGAGGAGGAGGGGGTTCATGCTTCCAATGGATGGCTTACAGCGTCTGGTGATGTTGATATGGAGAACCAGATTGTTCTTGCTGAGGACAAGAAGTACTACCCGACTGCGGAAGAGGTTTATGGTGAAGATGTGGAAACTCTGGTGATGGATGAGGACGAGCTTTCGCTGGAGCAGCCAATTATTAAACCTGTTAGGAACATCAAGTTTGAGGTTGGGGTTAAGGACTCGTCGACTTATGTGTCTAGCCAGTTTCTTGTTGGTCTGATGTCGAATCCAACACTTGTTCGTAATGTGGCTCTTGTGGGCCATGTGCATCATGGAAAGACGCTGTTCATGGATATGCTGGTTGAGCAGACCCATCATATATCGACTTTTGATACGAAGAGCGAGAAGCATATGAGATACACGGATACGAGGGTTGATGAGCAAGAAAGGAGAATCTCCATCAAGGCAGTCCCGATGTCGTTGGTTCTGGAGGATAGCAATTCTAAATCTTACCTTTGCAACGTAATGGACACTCCTGGTCATGTCAACTTCTCTGATGAGATGACTGCTGCACTCAGGCTTGCTGATGGTGTCGTGTTGGTTGTGGATGCTGCTGAGGGAGTGATGGTGAGTAGTCTGCATATGAATTCTTTCTTGCTTAGGAGTAGTCTTATCATCTTGTTATTGTGTATGCAGTAGTGAACAGCACTTTGTGATTTCTAATTGGCAGTGTGAGCTGAAGAATTGCTGTACTGTGTAGGTAAATACAGAGAGAGCGATACGCCATGCGATCCAGGACCGACTGCCGATTGTAGTCGTCATCAACAAGGTAATTTATCAAATGTATTGTCTTTTCCATGTCTTTTTCAAAGCGGCCTCTTCCACCTGTTTTACCGTGTTACTAATTTGACCTCTGTTTGAAAGGTGGACAGGCTGATAACAGAACTGAAGTTGCCTCCTAAGGATGCTTACCACAAGTTAAGGCATACCATAGAGGTCATCAACAACCATATCTCTGCTGTCTCTTCAACTGCAGGGAAGAGCACTGTTATTGATCCTACTGCTGGGAATGTTTGCTTTGCTAGTGCTACTGCTGGATGGTCATTCACTTTGCAATCATTTGCTCGACTCTATCTCAAACTCCATGGTATCCCATTCGACACCAGTAAGTTTGCAGCTCGCCTATGGGGGGATAAGTACTATCATCCACAGTCAAGGACTTTCCAGAAGACACCCCCTGAGGGTGGAGGAGATAGATCCTTCGTTCAGTTTATACTGGAACCTCTCTACAAACTATATAGCCAAGTGGTTGGAGAACACAAAAAGAGTGTGGAAACTACTCTTGCAGAGCTTGGTGTAACTCTTCCCAATGCTGCCTATAGATTGAATGTTAGGCCCTTGTTGAGGTTGGCTTGTAGCAGGGTTTTTGGCTCAGCTTCAGGTTTCACTGATATGTTGGTTCAACACATTCCTTCTGCTAAGGATGCAGCCAGTCGGAAGGTTGATCACACATACACAGGGCCAAAAGACTCTATGCTTTACAAGGCAATGAAAGAATGTGATCCCTCAGGCCCCTTGATGATCAATGTCACAAAATTGTACCCCAAGCCTGATTGCAGTTCCTTTGATGCTTTTGGTAGAGTCTATAGCGGTAAAATTATGACAGGGCAGTCTGTGAAAGTATTGGGGGAAGGTTATTCGCCAGAGGATGAGGAAGATATGACAGTGAAAGAAGTTACAAAACTGTGGGTGTATCAGGCACGGTATAGATTGCCTATAAGCATGGCTCCACCTGGCTCGTGGGTTCTTATTGAAGGTGTAGATGCATCCATCATGAAAACAGCTACACTGTGCAATGTTAATTATGATGATGAAGATGTGTTCATTTTCCGCCCACTACAGTTCAATACTCTTCCTGTAGTGAAGACTGCTACTGAGCCTTTGAATCCAAGTGAGTTGCCAAAAATGGTGGAGGGTCTTAGGAAGATCAGCAAAAGCTATCCTCTTGCCATAACTAAAGTTGAGGAGTCTGGGGAGCACACTATTCTTGGCACAGGAGAATTATATCTGGATTCAATTATGAAAGATCTTAGGGAGCTCTATTCTGAAGTAGAAGTCAAGGTATCTATTATTACTCTCCTTTTTACTGTGTTTTTCGTTTTTCCTTGTGTACAAGCATTTCCTGACTATGCTGCTAACGTGAAACTTCATTTGTAGGTAGCAGATCCTGTGGTGTCTTTCTGTGAAACTGTGGTAGAATCTTCTTCAATGAAGTGTTTTGCTGAAACACCCAACAAGAAAAACAAAATTACAATGGTAAATTTGCTGACCTCATTCTTTTGGCAATCGTTAACATCATATTTTGAATCCTATTTGTACCTTTTCTTCGCCAGATTGCCGAGCCCTTGGAGAAAGGTCTTGCAGAAAACATTGAAAACGGTGTTGTGAGCCTTGATTGGAACAGGAAAGCTATCGGTGAATTTTTTAAGGGGTATGATTGGGATGTGCTTGCTGCTCGATCTATCTGGGCATTTGGTCCTGATAAGCAGGTAAATGAAAGGCCTGATCCTCTTGCACGCTTTCATCTCCTTCCTCCAGATTGTATTTTGGATAGTCAGATTGTTTTGTCTTGTTCATAAAATTCATTAGTTGAACTCATAACAGATGGTTAGCTCATAATAGCCTCATACCCCTCTTTTTTCTGCAGGGACCTAACATTTTATTAGATGATACTCTTCCTACTGAAGTTGACAAGGGATTGCTTAGTGCTGTTAAGGATTCTATTGTTCAAGGGTAAACCAACATTGTTTCCTTTTCTCATTTATTTTTCTTGGAAATTGTTTGAGCTTCCCTGGTGTGAAGGGTTCAATGCTTTTGACAGGTTTCAGTGGGGTGCACGAGAAGGACCACTTTGTGATGAGCCAATCAGGAATGTAAAATTCAAAATCGTTGATGCGAGAATTGCACCTGAACCGTTGCATCGCGGGTCGGGTCAGATTATTCCCACAGCTAGGCGTGTGGCATATTCATCGTTTCTTATGGCAACTCCTAGGTTGATGGAACCTGTGTATTACTGCGAGGTAATTAATAGCTATCTGCTGCCACAGTGAATTTGTTACTTGCTAGTGAATGAGTATGCAGTGTTGGAATATTTTGGATGTTACTGCCAATCATAACTTTGTTGCAAATTTGTCTAACTTTCATTTTTTGGGTAGAAGTCTAGGTACCACATTGATTTCAATGTGTAAAATGCGGTTCTCAAACTGAATCTTTGGTTATGTGTTTTTCCATCAGATCCAGACACCAGTTGACTGTCTATCAGCAATCTATACCGTGTTGTCACGTAGACGTGGACATGTAACAGCAGATGTTCCTCAGCCTGGAACTCCCGCTTATATTGTTAAGGTTTGTCTCCTTGACATAATCTTACTGGAACAACCACTGGGGACACAAAACCCCTATTCATGGTCCCTTTTTCATTCCTCAAATCTTGACAGCTGCTCTAAGCTACTTCTCAAAGCAATGACAATCTGCCTGAGCCTTGTACTTCCAAGTGGACCATCAATTACATTTCTAGGATCAATTGATTGCATACTGAACACTATTGTTTTGATTTTGCCTGACATGGATTCGTATCAATGATTGAGTGTAACAGCTTGTAACTGACTTGGTGATATTGTTTAGCTCTTGCGTGATTTGAATCCATGATCTACGTATATGTTGGTTGGAGTGGATCGTGGCTCATGAGCTCAATTTAATCCTACACTCCCGAAATGTTTTGTTTATATTTTTGTTGATTTCATTTTCCTGTGTGGAAATTGGGGCTTTTTCAGGCGTTTTTACCGGTGATAGAGTCATTTGGGTTTGAGACGGACTTGAGGTACCACACTCAGGGACAAGCATTCTGCCTGAGTGTGTTTGATCATTGGGCTATAGTACCTGGGGATCCGCTGGACAAGAGCATAGTTCTAAGGCCACTTGAGCCCGCCCCAATCCAGCATCTTGCTCGTGAATTCATGGTCAAGACCAGACGTCGAAAGGTATATTTGACTTCTTCCCATCATTCTCTGACAATCGAGACGATTTAGTTCATGGATAGAGTGGAATTGTGATTGCAGCAATCTGAGCTTTTAAAAAAAAACAATCTTTACAGGGAATGAGCGAAGATGTGAGCATCAACAAGTTCTTCGACGAGGCTATGATGGTAGAGCTGGCTCAGCAAGCTGCTGACATTCACCAAATGATGTGATCGATGATTGCTCCGGAACGAGAAAAGAAGATGCAAATCCCAGCCCTGTAGTTGCTTGCTGTCTTGTGTCATAGCTTAGCTAGAAATGGTATCACAGTGTACCTCTCTATCCATCTTCGGTTCCTCTTTGTTGTAGTTAGTTGCTTCGGAACATGAAGAGCAAAATGAAGAGTATCTGTCTCCTTCAACCACAGTAGGCTCACCAACATGAGATCAAGAGTGTGTATAAATCTTGCCAACTGTATTGCTCCTGCCTCCTCCTAGTCCTCCTCTAGGTTTGAGAAGAGGATGCTGATTTTGGTAGTGTGTTAATTCGCGACTCAGATGCGAACATTGTACTGTAGTAAGCGGAGAACGAAATCAGAAATGGAGACCAACACTATGTAAGAAACTGAATCCACGTCTCTTAAACCGTACTTCTAGTCTGTTTGGGTTGTGTCGTGTGGTGTTGCTCGAACAGCCTGTTGGTTAAAATTGCGCGACATGTTCTATCTAGTGTGATTGTGTCTTGTATTCTGAATTATTATTATTGTGGTTGCTCTTCGTTTTAGACCGCCTTCTAAAATCACGATCAACTGTACTAAGATTCTGACATTGTCTGTATTTGATAAACAAATGTTTACATGAAGTTCTCCAAGCTTAAACCCGTTGTTGAGCTGAATGAGTCAACAATGTGTTCCATGGTCCGGTTGGAAGTGTTTGTTCATTAACCGGTTCGGACTGGCTTGAGTGACAGAGCTGCCATTTTGCGGTCCAACCGTCCTCTTCGATCCGGTTTAACAACACTGCGTGCGTATTATCAATTATGTATTAACACCCACGAGCGACGCACGTGATCTCAGAAGCAGAAAGAAAGCAGAGACAATAAATCCTCTTCGAGTTTATCGTCCTCTTCCTCTCAGCCCACAGCCGTCTGTAAAACGACTTTTCCTTGCCGGACAACCTCCTTTCCCGCCGTCTATTTCGCTGTCCGGCGAAGAGTCTCCCGACGACCGAAGTCCTCCCAAGTCGTTCCGCCGTAAGTTCTTTCCTCTTTTTTTTTTTTTTAATCCCCTTGCGAAATCCATAGATTGCAGATCCTTCACTATCAGTGTTTTTTATCTGGGAGACTATCTTTCTTCAGCTAAGTCCGATAATGGAGTTTGATGATCATGTGTCTCTCTGAAACTTTGGAATTATGCCATTGTTGTGTTAGAGTTAGATTTTTCTCTTGGGAAATTACATGGGTCTCATTTGAATAGTTGAATGGCACTGTGAGCATCCACATTTTAAGAGTTATATAATGTTATATGGCAATACCTGAATTATGATCTCCTCTGGCCAATTTAGTAGACCCAAGGAAGAGCTGGGGAAAATGCTATTGTCAACGTCCCTGCGTTTACTCTATCCCGCTATCTCATTTAGTTCACTACTTAAGCTCAAGTCTTCAACTCCAAGGTGTTTTCGCCTTCAAGAATCGATAGTTGGTTCAGGTTTGTGTGCATGTGTGTTATCTTTGGTTGGGAAGAAATCTGGAAAAAAAAGTTTGTATCTTTGAAGTTATAAGTATGTTGATCTTCAGAGGTTTAAAGATATACGTCAATCTCATCAATGCCGCAGTACTCTTTTGAGTTTTATAATTTGGAAATTCTGTTGGAGAAGATTATCATCGATTTTCATTTATCAAAACTAAAACTTATCTTTCCTCTCAGGTTCGGCTATGGATAGTTCAAGTTGCACGTTGGTGCTATGTGGAAAGTCGTCGGTGGAGAATGAAATTGCTGCATCTCTGAAGAAGAATGATACTATTAAGCTTTCTGAAAACACTGACCTGTCTGTGTTCTTGAAATCAGAAATTGATAACTTGTACAAACAGCAAGAGAAATCTTTCGATATGGAACTTTACATGAATTGTCTTTCGACACAGAGATTCGGAAGACTTTTAATTTGGTCACCCCTAATAACTTCCACTCATGATGTTGTTTCCAGGTAAGCATCATTAAATCTCCAAAACTCTTCTCTACATGTGCTTCTTGTGAGTGTCCACAAGATCCTCATATTTTATTCAAGCTTTTGGCAGCAATTTCAGTGAGCTTCCAATCGGCACAGTTTGTGTTGCTGACATACAGTATAAAGGACGGGGTAGGGGTTCATTTTTTTCTATTAGAGTTCCACCTGTTTATCGAAATGATTTGATTCTTCCCATCATTTTGCCAACAAAATTCTGTAGGTCGATCAAAGAATGTTTGGGAATCTCCTGTTGGTTGCTTACTGTTTTCATTCACGGTTCAGATGGACAATGGGCGAGCGGTTCCTTTGCTGCAGTATGTAGTTTCACTTGCCGTTACAGAGGCAATAAAGGAAGTTTGCGAGAAGAATGTAATTTATCTTTCATATGATGAAATTGTCTGCTCAAATTTTTGTCAAACATTTGGGTCATTCGTCTATGTGTTTGATTCTGGAGATAAAATAATGATGAGTCTTTGATCTTCCATTAGGAGATTTAAGTTTGACATGACTTATTCTAGAACCGCTTGTTTCAGGGCTTACCTTATATTAGCGCTCAAATTAAATGGCCAAATGATATTTACTTGAATGGCCTCAAAGTTGGAGGTATATTATGCACATCGACCTACAGATCGAAGAAGTTCAATATTAGTGCTGGTAAGGGCTTTCTTTGTCGACTACCATTGGTTTGTAGTGATATTCTTGTAGGACTGGTGGTAGTTCGTTCTTGGCAATGACAATGACAATGGCAGTGACAATGACGAAATGACATTACCTATTAACATCTCTGTTGTCAATGTTGCAGGTATTGGTTTGAATGTTGACAATGACAATCCGACTACGTGCTTGAATGCCTTCCTGAGAGAAATGTCCCCTGCAGCTTGCCGCTTAACCAGAGAGGAAATTGTGGCTTCATTTTTCAACAAATTCGAAAAGCTTTATGATATATTTATAAACCAAGGTGAATATCCTTTCAAAAATAAAAGAAAAAATCACAGTGAAGATGTTGCATGTTGGACTTGTCTGTTTACTTCGTTCTCTCAAAATTAATTAGGTGGGAAGTAAGCATAAGTGACTTCTTGTGGATGAAGTAATCATAGGTTATTTCCGGTTTCCACTTTTTTTATTATTTTTTTTATTTTTTAAGAATCGGAAGACTTTCATATAAAGCTTTTGTTGAGACTTTTTGTTAGAATGATTGAACTTTCCTGCAGTTCTCTAATATTTAGCTGAAGCCTTTCTTACTAATAGATAGAAGAAGCTTAGGACCACAAGAGTCCCAAAAGAATGGTACTAATTGATCACTTTGATCCACAGGATTTGGACCTCTCGAGGAACTCTACTATGGAACATGGCTGCATAGGTCAGTTTATTTCCAAAGCACAATTTTTCTTATGGCCTGAGCAAATTAGAGTTTTGGTACTTCAATTTTGAATTCATATAATCAAAGAAAAGAAAGAACCTCTAAAGTCCACCTACAAGGTTGTTGAAGAAGTCAGAAGCTACTACTTCTTTTCTGTTGATTGCATGCTTGTAAGTTTCAAAATTGATATGAATGGCTCTATTTATTTGTCAATTCACTGGCATTCCTTGAGCCTTTGTTTATTGAATACATTACACTGACAAGTACAAATTAGTATCTCTCCCATTGTTTTTGTTATTGTTTTTAGTGGGCAGAGAGTAATCATTCAAGAGAAAGATAAGGATCAAGTTATGGAGAGTATGGTAACTATACAGGTAGCATTAACTGAAACGCAATTTTCGAAAGGTTGCAGTATATTCAAGAATGTAGAACATGCATGATGAAACCTGATGTTCTTAAAAAACTTCATTTCATTCTGTCCACAGGGTTTGACGTCCTCAGGGTATTTGTTGGCTATGGGTGAAGACAATCAAATGTATGAGCTTCATCCTGATGGAAATAGGTAATGTGTAGGGCAGTTGCTCCTATTGCTTGCTCTATGAACTATATGAAAATCTATAATAGCCGCTGACCTGACCATTTTGCTACGGTGGGTGGCAGTTTTGACTTCTTCAAAGGATTAATCAGACGGAAACTTGAATGAAAGATGCATGCACTCGAGGAAAGTTGGATGTTTTGCTCTGCCAAATGACAAGCAGGTTCACCATGATATCTCGTTGCATACTTTGAACAGTTTTTGTAGCATGATAGGCAGCTTTTCAAACTAGACGCAGTCCTAGAATCCAAAGTTTTCCAAATTGAGACAAATTTTGCCCATTAGTTCGGTTTGAGGCTTTGTGGTTATGCTGCTGCAAATGTGAAAATATACATCTCTTCTCTTGAGGATGCATGTTTACTCAGGATCTTTGTATTGATCAAATCAATAGAAGGAGATCTTATGCACGATTAGCTCTAGTCCTGAAACTAACCTGAACATGCCCCGTAATACCAAGTTTTCTGTGATTTGACTGAATTAACGACAGCAAACACGATGTGTGAATGTTGCCACATCTGCATAACCTTCAGTGACTACCATATCATCGACACCATCTTCTCACCAGACTCTCTCAAACTTAAACAATTTCTCTTTTGTATCAGGAGAGCCTTTGAAAAAATAATGAACCACCTGGTAAGGTATACTTGGTTGTCGCCCGAAAAAGTAGTGAGATTGCACCTTCAAGTTCTGTAGTCTGGTAAAAGGAGACGATTCCAATTCCATCAAGGACTTCAGTCTTGTGAGAGGAAATTGGCACTGTTCTTCTGGAATGGTCCACCAGCTTTCCTGATAAGAACCATTTGATTAGAGTTATTGTATTAGTTTTTTTACTAACGGTAGTATTAGTAACTAATTACTCACCATGTCAAAACGTAGGACAAGAGACTTTGCATTATGCAAGCCACAAAACAAGTTCATACACTCGTGATTATGCCTCTCCGCCGTCTCATTGTCCAAGGGATGATCATGTTTCTGCTTTGTCCACCAAAGACGAATGCACGCGTTATCCAGCAAAGGAAGGTTCAACTCCGGTAGCTTCTCTGTGCTCTTCTTGTTACCAGCACGAAAATAGAACGATTTGAGCTTCGGAGCAGAAACTTCGACCAGTTCGAATGTGCTATAAACTAGATGTTGTGACACCAGTATATGAATTTCGAGGTCCAGCAGCTTGGGTCCCGATACTTTCAGTAAGCATCCCCATGTTGTGCAATTGATTACCTTGAGGTGGTACAGAGTAGGGAGATTCGCGAAAGGATCAATCAACTTCCCTGAAGCAGAAGAGAAGAAGGCACACTGTTGCAGTTCCAATGTCGTCAGCAATTTGAAGCCCGGACCATAACCAAGCAAACTGTTTTTCAGATTCGATTTGTGCAACTTGAGAGTTTCAAGAGATCCATGGAGATTGTGCTCCACCATTGCAGAAGCCATATCGCGGATATCAGCTGCGTGAGACGTTTTGCTGATAAAGACATGGCTAATACGACCCTGTGCAGCAGCTATGTATTGCATTACGCTTTCGAATATTTCTTTACCAGCTGACTGTCCACGAAGTGCCTCTCCCCCAAAGTCGAAGCTAATGCTGCTGACCGCGGTTGACTCGAATCGAAGAGACAGGAACTTGTCCACGTGTTTCTGGAAATCCGACTTATCTAGGAAACTGGAGTTCCTGCTGAAGTTGAGGACAGGGACATCCTTCCATAAGCATCTCCACCTTCTGGACAGAATGCTGGTTTGGACGGTGGACTCGGTGTCGAGGAAGGACAGAATGTGATGCAAAATGTTGTTTGGAAGATGACTCACTCTGTCTATTGCTCTAACACTAGAGTTAGCACGACTCGTTTTCGGGGTTTTCTTCGAGTACTTTGATGAAGCCATAGTAGGTATAGCCCTTCAAAAGAATATTGCTCGTTCTGTTGCATACAGAAAGCTATATATATGCATGCTTTTACCACCATGGTCCATTGGCTTGGAGAAATCAAGCGGCTACAACTGAGTTACTGAGTTTACAAGTGAAGCGTATCTGCATGTCTTTTATCACCTAGATACAGAGAATTGCAAGACTTGGAATAGGGAGCGCCACTGGCAATTGAAAGGACAAACTAATGTGTCCACTTACGGGCAGTGTTATACGAAAAGGCTCTTGTTTTCAATGCAATAATAACTTGGATATGTCTGCAGAATTTAGTATCGTCCAGGCATCGGTTAAGCCGTTACAAGTTACACTCGTTGGCGGATTCTGCTTGCCCATTCACTCGTGGGTACGCTATGAACGAGAATCCGAGGATGATTTGTGTTTTCTTAACAGAATTGTGATGGATTCTTGGAAATGAATTTGCTTGCAGAGTCTGCCATGATTGCTAAAATATAGAATGCTGCCTCAAACTTAATAACAACGTTCTTGGGAACGAAACCTTGACGATGCATGCACAGGCAGTTTCACTTTGGCACCCTTGTTGACTTAACTGGCTGACACAATATCATTCTTCTGTCCAAGGGCTGGTTGGATGAGCATAGTAGGTCGTCGGTCCGTGCATTCGCCGTTGTGGCAATGGCCTGAGGCAGGAGAAGTCCCAATTGTTGGGACTTGGGAGATGATGGCAGCTTGCGCAGACCTCGCACTGGTGACATGATTACATCACTACCTCCGTGCCTTTTGGGTCGGTCAGCCTCGGCCAATATCAAACTTGATGCTGCAATGTCTTCTCTAGGCCACACGGTTCGATGTGCAAGGCACAAGAACCTCTAGTTTGGCTGAGGTGCCCTCACAGTCTCCTGGCAATTTGAGATACTTGCCACCAACAATTGCCAATCGGAGTCGTTCGCCACTGTGGTGCATCACTGCACTGCATCTTGCTGCTCCCTCAGTAAAAGAGTGGATGAATGCTCTCCTACTGTCACTAATGGGGTCAAGCTGAAACTAACTTCCTGTAAAATTACATGACTATGCCACATTTAATCAACAAATGAAGTTATCTTCTGCTCGAGGGAACAGCCACTCAAGTTGAGAATTTACATATCTACTACTACCAAACAGTGCCCGATTCAAAAGGCTATTTACAAATATTTTCACCTCCATAATTAAAACAAATAAGAACACCAATATCCAAGATGTTTCTGACAGGCCAGTATACCCAGACTAACAGCAAAACGCCAGCCCTCCTTCCCCAAAATGACGTGAAAAAAGATTTAACTGAGTTGTCTAGCACAAGCAAGCACCTTCTGTGCCTGCTTTTTTACTTGAATCCCCATGAATACATGACTACTAAGTCCATCCATGGTCAAAAGAATATGGGCGTGTCCGTTAATACTGTACAACCGGCATTCTCTGTAAGAGAAATCTTTGAAGAAGAAAGCTAGCTGAAGCTCAGTTCCTGTCTATGACCTCTGCTGGCATATTTAGATCAAAGAATCCACTGACCTCCTTCCTCGTCCGCTTCCTCAAAGAGCACTCGCTGCTGTTGTCATTCGACGAACTCCCAGACCCTGATGGTCGGTCTCGTTTTAAAATTGTTGTCCCACCTGCAGTACACACCCACCCACATCAGCTCTTCTGACTCGATCCACACATTTGTCTCCCGGGTAATGCTAAGTCTCCTTTTTACCATCACGCTACATCATGCACAATAACATGCAGCTTCACAACATTTAATTTTCTACGGACACCACACGAACAACACATATAGTTAGTAGCAAGGATTAAGCAAGTTACAAAAAGTGCTGAAAAAGATGACAAATATACACAGACAGCTACCAGAAAGCAACACCGGCTTAATTGAGTTATGAATGAGAACATAGAAGCAATACAAACAGGGAGGGACATGCATTGCAAGGAAAGTAGGAACATTCTCTAAGAAAGAGTTGGAACTGAATATCAAGCAGGTAGAAACTTCAACCTTGAAAAGAGTATCGAGGACGCATAGTTGCCAATTGATATCTTTGAAACCTGATTTGGATTCGTTTTCATTTAACAGTCAAAGAGGTAAAAGTCCTTGGTAAGCCACTACAATCATGGAGAAAAGGGGGGTGAAAAAGAATATTGGCATCAAACTTATTCCTCTCAACAAATAGGCACCTAATCAGTTTAACTAATATTACCATAATCCAGCTAACGATGCAGTACTCAGCAGCCCTTTAAAAAAATTATAACTTGTTCATCCCTTTTAACTGGTTATTAGTATATTACAATTTTAACTATTGGCCATTTTGACCCATCACCATTGATAATAAAAACTTTATGTTGGAATACTTTCCATATACGACATTGATGCATGTTGAACCTGATTGAAGAAAAAGAAGTGAAAAAAGGTCAAAACTGCTATTCCGACATTGATGTGTATTGAATGTGCGTATAGTATTTGCATCAGAAGGATGGAAGTACCAAGTAGAATAAAACCAGCGAGGAACTACTTTGCTAGGGGGGAAATGACAGTTAAAGGTTAACCAGCTAGTTGAGAAGGATGGATTGGTGGCTAGTTTTCAAATTGTGCTATAATTAAAGTAATAATCAGCCAAAAATAATAAGATAATGTACTCATTTCAAGGTAAGAAAGACAAGTTTGGAACCAATACTCTTTTACCCCCCAGAATTTTTGGAACTCATGTCTGCTCAAATGTTTAACACGTTAATTTTGAACTCAAAATTACCACTTGATATGTCATCGAATGATAGGTAATTGCTAGCATCGCTGGCTTTATTGCTCCAACACGTGGAAAGTTCTGATGCTTTCTCAATGCCCTTTGACTTGTATGGGGCTATGTTATGAGTGCCCCGCTGAAGAGAACCCAACAAATCATTCTCAATGCACTCATACCTGCACAAAGAAATAAAAGCTTTAAATACCTGTAGTGACTAAAGAGTTCTTAGAACAAACATGTACATTTTACTTAATTAAGCGAGAGCTGACATACTCACATTTTTTTGCAGAGGTTATCTGTTACAACAGACAGATTAATGATCTGCATCCTTATCTCCGTTATTTTATCATCGCTGTACTGGTCAAAGGGCTCTTCGAGGAACTTGGAGAGTTTCTCAACATTTGCCTCAAGCTGTTGCTGCTGATCTTCAAATAGATTCTGTTTTATTTCTCTTTCCTCCTTTGTCATCTCATCGTCAAACAATTCGTCCCCAAACATATAATATGCAAAGGGGTACGAGTAAGAAAGGACCCGCCTTGATCTGAAGAGTCTATTTAGACCATTAATAACCCAGCTGAAGTCTCGTAATTCTGATTCCCTCTGCTCGGATTTCGACACCCTCCCTTTGATGGTCTCCTCGAGATTATTTTCAAGTTTAAATGAGTCAGTATGAGCTTTGTAACGATTGTGATAGTGCATATAGCGATAGAGATCCCGTTTAGCTCGCTCAGTTTTTTTCGCCGCATCCTCTTTATAACGACCACAACTGTGACCAGCTATTCTAGACCATGTATGGTCTCTCCCAGTAGCTCCACCACAGAGCCAGCTGCACAAAAAAAAGTAGGCAATATAACTATGTCAGCCACCTAAATTCAAAATGGACACGGAAGATAAAGTTAAAAAATCTTCCAGCAGCATTCTTTCACATCAATAAAGGCACAGCAGTTAGTTCGGTACTGAAGAAGCTTTTCTGCACTGCAGGTTAGTAGTATCACTAGTATGCCTGAAAATTTTCCATCTTCATGCATTCTTAAGATGAAAAAACAAAAATAAAAAAGGCAGGGCTGAGGAAATCGAATTCTCACCAAAATGCTTGGCCACAGACACAGGCCACAAGGTTGCAGCCACCATTTTTCTCAACTGGCTTGTGACACTTTGGACAAGGCTTGGTATGAACTGTGATCCAATTAACCGTTTCAGATTCATCTCGGCACTTCTTAGTCCAAAGCTCCCACATCTTACACGAACAAGGTGAGTGTGTTGATGACAAGCAACTGAAGCAAAACTGTAACCCACAGGAGCATTGTACCTCACAAACCTCATCTTCCTCAACTCTAATAGCATTCCCGCAGTGGGGAGCACTAGGGCACCATTTTACCATTTTATTATCCTCGATATATGACTCTAAAAGAAAACGCTCAAATTTCTCTGCCAAGTCAGGATGCCTTTTGCTGACCAGATTTCGTACAACAGCTTCATCACATATAGCATGGCATTTGTGTGCCATGCACCGGATACGCCTGCTCTGACCCTCGTTTATTTTCACAATGAAATGTCCGGTCCAACCTTCAAGGGAGAAAAATAGTAAACAGTAGGAAGAAGAAAGAATGTCTTACATTACATTAAAGGAAGCCATCATTTCCCTGAGAGCTCAATAGTAGCAATCTCGACAAAACCTTACGAAGTGGTTATTATAATATAATGCAAGTCTAGCTATCAAAACTTTGTAAATAAACTATAAAAAAAAACTCAGTTTGCATTCATAATTCGGAAGTAAGAAATGAATTGTGAGTCCCTTTCATCAGAGACTAGTATCTCAACCCATCCATCATGTTATGTTAAGATGATGCAAAACAAAGAGACAAGACAATGAATCAGTACTCACAATCGTTACGGAAGCAATGACTGCAGTCCATTCTAGTGGCATTATCAGCCATCCATCATGTTATGTTAAGATGATGCAAAACAAAGAGACAAGACAATGAATCAGTACTCACAATCGTTACAGAAGCAATGACTGCAGTCCATTCTCGTGGCATTATCAGCAGGCACGTCCTCCATGCATATTTCACAACTCACTGAAGAAGATGAACACCGACGAATGTTGCTATTTATATGATCATCCACCATGACACCTGCATTTGAATACAAGTACGCTTTCCCCTTTTCTACCATCACAGAAAGCAATTTCTCCACGTCCCAACGGTAGTAGATCAACAGAGTCCGGGCATGGTGTTCTCTAAGTGATAGCAACTCCATTACTCTCCTCAGGTCCTCCCCCTGAAATTCATGAAAAAACCCCAACTTTAACCGCTAGATAAGCGAAAGATGGAAGATTCCAAACATTTCACATGGGAGGAGGGGTGAGTTAAGAATTCCTTACCTGTGCAGCAAAGAGAGACTCTTTTGTAATCACCTGCACAAACCCAGAACAGAGTCAATCATACCCAGAGTTAGCAAACTACATTCAACAGTAGCAATCAAGCACGAGCTGACTCGAACAGTACAGTTACAGACCATAACTGCGAAACCCAAAAAAAGAACAAAGCTTCCAAATAAACCAAACCCGCGGAATTTCAACAGAATCGAAGTAACTCCCAATTGAAAAGAAAACAAAACCCTAACGACCACAAAAAGACTCAACGCGAACCTACCTTCGTTGTGGAATCCTTGCGCGCTGACACTAGGACATCGGAATCCTCATTCTCGATGCCATCCATTGACTCCTCCTGATCGTCGTCATCATAGTAACAGTACTCATCGTCGCTCCCGCCGTAATCCTCCATCGCGGAAACAGTGAATTGATTCAACTATAACGAAAAGAACACTGCTATTTATAATTGCCTGCTGGTGATTCCTATTGCGGAATCGAAATAGAATAGCGGCAACAAATTGACCGTTCAGCTGTATCAATCCCGATTCTGCGACGATCGGAGGCGGATCTCCGGTCGGATCGAGGTGGCCGGCGCCGGGAGAGAAAGGGGGCTTATGGAGGGGAGCTCGTTGCGAATTATTTCGTATTTGGTCGTTTCATTTTTTGTTGTTAGTTTAGGAAAAGGAGAGAGAGAGTCTTCCGTTTAGTTATAAACTCTCCCACGTCCGCAACACGAACGAACAAGGAAAGACGCAAGTGAAGGGAAAATATCAAATTAATACTCATACTCTTTACATTCTACATCGTTGGAACCCTTACTTTCAAAACCCAGTTAGGTCAGTCCTTTAGTGTGCAAGGCATGGTCATTTCAGTACACAATTTTTTTTTTTTGTCTTAGATAATTAGATATCTTTTTTGTGTAGTAGGTACAAGTGTTTGTTCACATGTCTTGAAGAAAACTCTTAACATGTAGGAGGGAGGGTGTTGTACATGTCATTCGATAGACAATTTCACAAATCGTGGGATAACGCAAGCGATGAGAGCGCATGACGACAATCACAAAGCACATAATCTCCTAAAGCATTCACATCAACCCCCGGTATGCAATTGTCGAATGATAGTGAGAGTACCCCCCTCAAAAATGACTTGATAAAGATCAAGTCAGGCAACAAACAATAAAAGTCTCACGATCTGCAGATAACTCAATAGATTTGGGCCGAAGATGTAGTCATGTTGCCGAGTTTTTTAAGGCTCGGTGTGTTTCAGAGTTGAGGGGAAAATAAAGAAGAGGAAAACTGGTGAACAAGTAGTTGATCTAGTGATACTATCCTTAGTTTTGAATTTGAGATTTGATATTCGAATTCTTTAAATAGCATCCAACACAAAATTACTTGTAAACTTATATCACCCTTGAAAAAACAAAAAAAAACAAAAATAAAAAGGAAAACCCTGCTCCTTCGGAATTGGAAGGACTGGATCCAAGACTCTATTTCTTGGGCCCATATGACTTGAACCGGTTTGGGCTATCATTATCACCACGGCCCAAACCCAATTTCCTAAGTCCTAACACAATCAGGATTTCCAAACCTCTGAAGGTTGTAATACAGACATGCTACATTGCAGCTCTAGCATTTCTCAGTCAAAAACTCACATCAATCCAATGTTTATGTTACCATTATTTGTTATATTTGTTAGATGCTATCATTTGTTTGAGCTGATTGTCTCGTCCTGTTTTTTGAAGGATAAATTCGTGACAAATTTTCTTATTTGTCACAAGCGTTATACAAGACAACTTTAATGGCTAACGTATGATGGTCTTTTGGAATTTCCAAAATCCATATTGATTCATAATACAAGTTAGGAGGGATATGTTACGGTTACCTTACTTTTTACAATAAAACACAATTTCCCTTGTTTGGCGCTCGTAATTACACCAATTATGTACTCACCAGAAGAGATTCTTCTGCTAATGATGTTGCTTCTCCTTAAAAAGGTTCAGTGTTCAGAAGCAACAAGGCAGGGGAAATCCTTTTCTTTAAATGCACAATCTTACCACATATGTACCGTTTGTTTGGTGGTCCTAACTCCTAAGTCCTAACAATAACGAACATTAGAAACCGTAACCCGATTCGTTGTTTGCTACGTAAATAGAAAAATGTTAACCCTTTCAACCTTGAAGGCCAACCAATGTCTGGTCAAGAAAACCACAATTCCAAATTCAAAGTATCAGCAGCCAGCCACGAAATATTAAACATATTTTTTGAAAGAAAAGGCATCCAACGGGAGATGGATATAAAGTATAAACTACACAACTACCAGTACGAAATTGCTATTTTTTGCTTCTGCTGCAAACAGACAAATCCGCGCTCTTTATAACGATTTCCGCCAGCCACACTTCTCGCCGGCCGTCTCCCCCATCATCTCCACAGTCTCTTGTCCGCTGCGCATCATTGTTGTAGCCATGGCTATCTCGCTCCAGTTCTCTCGGCTCTCACTCCGCGCCGACGGATTCATCACGGAGAATCGCCCAGCCGTTTTCAGCAGCCGGCGGCGCGGGAAGCCTGCTTCCGTCCGATGCTCCGGAGACGAATCGGGATCCTTGGCTGTGGATTCCGAATTCGACTCCAAGGCGTTCAGGCACAACTTGACCAGGAGCAAGAACTATAATCGGAGAGGGTTCGGGCACAAGGAGGAGACTCTCGAGCTCATGAGCCAAGAGTACACCAGTAAATCAGTCTCCCTCATATCTTGGTTTCATTCCGATTGCTGATTTTAGAACTTTCTCCGTTTGAAATTGAGCTATGTAGTGATCAATTTTGAGAAATGGAAAGGTGTGTAGATGGGTTCTGATTGTGGTATTGGGGGAAATATTTTCAGGCGACATCATCAAGACTCTGAAGGAGAACGGGAACGAGTATACATGGGGGAATGTTAATGTGAAGTTGGCTGAAGCGTATGGGTTTTGCTGGGGGGTTGAGCGGGCTGTCCAGATTGCCTATGAAGCTAGGAAGCAGTTCCCTGAGGAGAAGATCTGGCTCACCAATGAGATCATTCACAATCCAACTGTTAATAAGGTTTGGTTTGATTGTTGGAGTTTGGAATTCTTTGCTTCACGTTTATGGAGCTTGTTTGAGTTCACTGGACTGAACCTTTCGTTGCGTGTTTTGGTTCTGGTAGCGGTTGGAGGATATGCAGGTCGAGAACATTCCGATTGAGGGAGGGCTGAAACAGTTTGAAGTTGTGAACAAGGGGGATGTGGTGATTTTGCCTGCTTTTGGGGCTGCTGTTGATGAGATGTTGACCCTCAGCGACAAGAATGTGCAAATCGTCGATACGACTTGCCCTTGGGTGTCTAAGGTGCTTACATTTTCCCCCTGGAGGGACGATTTGGTCGTGTTTATCTGATTTCGTTTGCTTGTTTGGTTTTGTGTTCATACAACTGACGACGGGAAGTCTTTCTGCAGGTGTGGAACACTGTTGAGAAACATAAGAAGGGAGAGTATACTTCAATTATTCATGGTAAATATTCTCATGAGGAGACCGTAGCAACTGCCTCTTTCGCTGGAAAGTACATCATTGTGAAGAATATGACCGAGGTAGGCCTAGGAGTCTAAAGATGTTCACTTTTTTTAAGCTCCAATCAGCATACATTACCTCGAACCTACATATACTTGTTTGTTCCATGTTTTTTTTTCATTCTAAGAAATTCTAGACTTTGCACAGGCAATGTACGTATTTGACTATGTTCTTGGAGGAAAACTCGATGGATCTAGCTCAACCAAAGAGGAGTTTCTAGAGGTATGCCTTTATTTCTTGCCGAACTCGGTTACATATAGAGCTGATTGTGACAAAACTGAATTATGTCATATGCATGTCGTCTCATTATACTGTTTTGCTTGTTTGCAGAAATTTAAGTATGCTGTGTCTGAGGGATTTGATCCAGATAGAGATCTTGTCAAAGTTGGTGTTGCAAATCAAACTACAATGCTTAAGGGAGAAACTGAAGAAATTGGTAAAGACCAATGCAATTCATTCTGTTGTTAGAAAGAGTTGCATGTCCCTTTGTGTTTATGAATGTGGTTCCTTATCTATAATTTTCAACTGACAGGAAAATTGGCTGAGAGGACCATGATGCAGAAGTACGGAGTTGAAAATGTCAATGATCACTTCATAAGCTTCAACACTATTTGTGATGCTACTCAGGTAATATTTCAGATCAATAGATCAGACACTTCACCTACTGAGTAGAGCCTCTTTGCTTTCAGTTGCAAAGAGGGATAATATGTCTTTCCTAGTATTACATTGCTCCATATAAGGCTTAATTCCCTATCAACTGCACTAATGGATTGTTTGGAGTACGAAATGTTGTTGTTTGTACTTTGGAAATGTGCTTTTGGAGTGTGAATGGTTGATAGTGACAACCTCTCCTCCTCCAAGGGGATTGCAAAATAGGCATCGATCGAAGCAGTTTTACTTACAATCAATGACTAATTCTCAGCTCTGTGAGAATCTTCCTGGCGATCATGTAGTGTTGTAAGCTAAAATTGCCTGCAATTCTTTTGAAGGAGAGACAAGATGCTATGTTCAAATTGGTGGAGGAAAAGTTGGACCTTATTCTAGTTGTTGGCGGGTGGAACTCGAGCAACACATCGCATCTTCAAGAAATTGCTGAGCTCCGCGGGATCCCTTCATACTGGATCGACACTGAACAGAGAATAGGCCCAGGCAACAAGATAGCCTTCAAGTTAAACGTAAGTGCAGAAAACCATTCGTTGTAACCTCGTTCCTTCCTCGATGGAGTTCATTATTTCCCTACCCGACTTGTTATTGTTGTATCCATCAATTTGGATCACCACTTCCTTATCTCCTGTTTTGTTTTTATAATAGCATGGGGAATTGGTTGAGAAAGACAACTTTCTACCAGAAGGACCAATTACCATCGGCATAACCTCAGGTGCTTCCACCCCAGATAAGGTAACATTCCTTGCCTATGCTCCCTAAACATAGCTGAAAATGTTGTTTCCCCACTAGGCACTAATATCGGGATTATATGGTTTGTATCTATACAATCAGGTGGTAGAGGATGCTCTTAAGAAGGTTTTCGAGATCAAGCGCCAGGAAGTCCTGCAGATGGCGTAGATTTAGACGCTTCAGTGTAAATAGATTATCTGCATAATCAGAACACGAGTTGATTTCATTAGCAATTTGTTGTATCAGTTAGTAGCATAAAGGTTGGGAAGGGTTGTATGGTGTAACGTGAAACCACTCTGAGCTTACGATATTAAAATAATTGAAAGAATGATTGTGTCGTGGAAAATGTCCAGAAATTTGCGAGTCGAAGCCAAGGGGTTGGAGCTGCAGTGAACGATTTATGGTAATATTGAGAGTAAACACACTTTCTAAAATTCACTTTGGCCAATTTGTCGCCTGAACCTTGAACTGAGCAAACAGGGCATTCTCTCCAGGCAACTTTGTGTTCGAAGACCCGGTTCTTTCCTTCGACTGGAATGAATTTTACGCAGTAATTCATGCACGAGTTACAACCACAAGATGTAACTTCCTCCTAGCATATAAACATAAACCTAGAAAAGAGGAGTACACTAGGAACAGCTAACGTTTCTTAGAGTGAAGGGTCAATGGCCGACTGTTGAAATCAAACAAACTGCAAAATTTTGGGACTAATAACGAAGTGCTCGTGACTAATCAAACTAAGCTTCTTGTTGCTTGGGTACTCTTTTAAGCAACTTGTACATTCCAAACACATTCTTTTCCTGCCACAGGAATGGGACGAAGAACGAACGGTAAAATGGAGGAGACAGCTCCCTGTCCAGATATGGCAATGCTGCAATTGGCTGAAAATGATAAGGGAAAGAGCTATTGAGTATGTTTGAGAGAAAGGATGGGGAAGAAGAAGAAAAGGGGTCAAATTTGCAAATATGTTGGCATACCTCCCACTTCGACAAGTCACTACCACGAGAAGGATAGGGACGATTAAGCTGCAGCTCTACCAAGAAAGTGCAGGCATCGATATCATTGAGCTGCACAAATTTCGAAGTTGGTCATTCCGTCAGTGCGGTGATGAAAATGGAGTCAAAGGGTCTGAAGAGGAGGGAAGATGAATTTACATATTGCTGAGCCGATGCCTTGTTCTTATTGTTGAAATATGGAGGAGCTGCTGATGTGCCACCGAGGGATGAGTTGAATGGTAATGGAAGAAGACCTCGAAAGCCATCATCAATCCATCGGACTTCTCCCACATAATCAGGCACAAAAAATGATGAAGGGAAGCGATGCCATTCACTTCCAACACAGAGAACAGCTCCTGTAGTGCACAACAACAACAACCACGCGGAATAAGTCTTAGAGCAAAGAAGTCTACCTAGCCCATCCATGAAGGTGGAAATCGCTATACATGGAATAAAAAATACACCCCTAGATGAGAGTTTATGGAATTCAACCCTAATATTTGTCTATTTTTCCTTGTATCTCTCTATTCTTGATTCCCGAATGCCCTACACCTACAACAGTCATTTATCTGGCGTGGGTATTAAGTTCGTTTAACATTTAAAGTAACAATCCCATACTAAAATCTCACATCCAAACAACAAAATTCTGAAATCCACACCACAAATGTCATACTCCATCATATTTTGAATACATGGATTTGCCATAATCCTTGGTTTATTAGATCTTACAACCAAACAAACCCTAAGATTTGGCCTCCAATAAATTAAACGCTCAAGATCTACCTTTGCAAACTAAAAGCAAGTAAATAACTCCTGGGAGGAAAAAAAACACTTTTTGGTACCTGATCCTGCATCATGATAGTGATCTAAAATCTTGTAGACCTCCATCGGAGCAGCATACCCGTTAATCAAGGAAAATGTTCGAGCATGTGAAGCACATAGTATGAGACTAAGAACCAGTGGTCTAATAACTTTGGCTATCTGCAAAAAAAAAGGCAATAAAAAAATCCGGAAAGAAACTGTTAAAACAGGGCACCAGGGGTTGTCATATGGCCTCAAAGGTACAGAAGAACAGATGAGTACATACCACAACTATAATAGAATTGTCATTCGGATTGTGCTTATCTCTAACAAAATCAGGAAAGCTCTCGATAACACTTGAAGCAGCAACACAAACAAGAGGATAGACAGGATAGAGAAACCTGTAAGTAGCAGGTCCACCATATCTTAGTAATATTTATTGAGTTGTTCACTCATCTAGATCTTAACAATCAGGAAGCATATATGGAAGGAGAAGGGAAGCTCGGCAGCATCTTATTAAAAAAAAAACAAAGGCGAGATTGAAACTAACCTTTCTTCTTTGTGTGGCTGCAAAGACATAAAACCAAGCCATATATAAAGAGGTGAAACCACCACCAGTAGGTCGGGAGCATACTTTCTCCTTACAATTGGCAAGATAACCAGGAAGAGCAAAGAAAGAACCATAGAAATGTTGAAATTGTTAAATCCATTCCTTAGGTAAAAGAGTGGCCCTTCAGTCCCATACAGATGGCTCTCGCCACCTCCTGCAACATTGTACACCAAGATATTCAAAACAGACGATGTCCACCTCCCATAGTAGCGGTAGTCAACAAATACAGAAAGTACCTAGAGAAGGATTCAAACCTTTCAATTGTTTAGAACATGAATGGTAATAAGCTGAATTACCTCAAAACAACTAGTTACTAGTGTTTAGTTTCCAGAACTCAATAAAAAGGCCACAGACATTGACTTACAACGAGTGTGAGAGATGTGACTGCACCAGCAAAAAATGACAGCTTGAATCTCTTGGCCAAGGAAAAAAGCACAAGTGGCAGGAAAGCCAACATTGAAAAGGGCCAGCCAAGGAGTACACCAATAGCTGCCACAGCAACAGCCATGGCAGGCTTCTCAAGAAGAAACAATCCAGAGGAGAGACTCATGGCATACATTGAAAAAGAACTCGGCAGGAAACCTGGTAAGAAATGAGAACAATCACACATTGTAATTAGGAAACAGGACAATTAAATGTTAACCTGGTGGAATCAAACTGCTGAACCTAATAGTTCCCCCCAGAATGGCTGTCTAGACTAAGATTGAAAGTTGTCCGTTCACCACTAAATCAAAGCAACTTACTTGTGCTAGCAAAGAAACAACCACTGGTTAGGCAAAGCATGGCAAGTGCATAAGAAGCAAGACGCTTGCCATATCTCCGGGAAAGGGCCACTACTAGAGTGGCATCAGCTATAACAGAGATAACTCCAAGAAACAGTCTTACTGCATAGAACACTCTCACCTGGGAGACATATACATTACTGTTTCAGGCTTCAGACAAAAAATTACGAACAATATCCAATGGGTGCGAACCAATGTTCAACAGAACGGGAAAATACGCTTACTTTATCATCTCTAAACAGCCATGAAGCTGGTAGACCCACTAGTTCGTGGAAATTAATGTATAAGTACGATCTAAGAGCGAACTGCGAGCTGCAGCAGAACAAACAATACCCATTAGAGCACACACACTATCCAGATTTTGATGTGAAAATTGATCGATGACCCAGAACACAAAACAATCTAGAAAAGAAAAAGCCATTAGTGGGTAATGCGAGTAAGAGCTTTATTTTATTTGCCTGTATTCCCAAGTCTGGAAGCCGGACTTGTAGAGAAGAAAATGGAGAGGCTCCCAGTAGTTGAAAACCTCGTCGCAATCATGGATGATGTTGGATGTGGCGCTCATGTAGCGCAACAGTCCCAAAGCGAGTATGGGCATAAACCATCCAAGCGACTGCTCTTCATCGGCGAGAGAGGATCGCCCTGGTTTGTCGACCTTCGTGTACGGCTCCGATGGTGATTGGGCGGGCCGTGATGTCTCCGCCGACGGCAGCTCTGGACGCCTCTGCCGCGTCGATAGGGCCATTGGGGTTTGTACTGGACCACGGCGTTTTCTGTCAATGAGAGGAAATGGTGATGCTAATTCCTACTCTTCCTCTTTGTTCGCAAGCTCCGGCTTTCTGCAAATTAGGTGCGCGAGCCGCGACACTGATATGCATAGTTGTCAAACCGGTTTATACCGTTGTATCGGTTTGACAAGTGGAATGGTACGATCGGTAGTATAACCAGTTTGTGTCGGACTGCCAGTACATGCTAGTTTAAAAATCTATGAAAACAATTTATATCCAATGTATTTAATCATATATAAAATATATTTATGGACAATTTAATTACAATCCAACAAATATCATCAACTTTAACTATTAAATTCATAAAATGAAGAATAAATTAATTTTTTTATTAATTAAATTTATTAAAATGATGTCATTTTACTTGAAATGCGTAAGTCGATCATACCGGTCATACCAATGATATCTTGCCAATTTCATAACCGGTACAAGTTGAACCAGGTTCAACCGGATGGCATGCCACTATGCTGATATGATATTCCTTCCTTCCGGTCGAAGGCAGAGTCGTCTTTTTGGGTAAACTTAAAAAAAGCTATCCAAATTTGTGGTTAGCTATACAAACGATCCTTAAAACTTACATAGAACTCACTTATTGGTCACTGAACTTTCATCTTTAGCAAATCTTCATGTGGGGTGAGCTGAACTTGGACAGGAATTTTCACTCATAAAAAAAGGTTACTACTTTGATGCATGGTTGATTGGTCACGTGGAAATTATTCTAATCCAAGCTAAAATGTGGAGTCATGGATATACTTGAGATCTCTAAAAGTTATACTAAGTTAAGTACCGTTAGCACGAAAGTACAGTTAGATCTCTAGCTAATTGAAGCATCTCACACTTTAGGTTTTACGTCAATTATTTTATGTTCATCAATGGAACAAGTAGTCGTGTGGTATCTACACGTGTCGTAATGCACAAACACAATGGCGCTTTTTCTATAAAGACTATCAATATGCCATGGAGAGTGTCTATCGGGCTACATGAACATCAAATTTTATGGCGCTTTTTCTATAAATCGTCATATTATATTATATTCGAGCTTCCAAAGTACAACAAATATTCAGAAATTAAAAAAAAAAAAATCAAAGCTGTCACGGATACACATATATATGAAATTTATTTCCCGACAAAACGCCGAAAACCATTATTATTGTCCCATTAATTAAAGCACCAAATGATCAGTGAATTAAGCACTCTTCAAATTGTAGCCGCCATCCACCACGAGGTTCAACCCGCTCACAAACTTGGACTCCGCGCTCGCCAGGTACATTGCCGCCTCCGCGACGTCGTTTTCGTCCAGCATCGTCCCCTTCAAGCTCGCCCTCTGCGACCCGAGCTCCTGAACCGCCTTCCGGTCCATCCCCATCGCCTTCATCGCCATCGGGGTCGGAACCCCGTCGGGCGAAACCGAGTTGACCCGAATCCCGTACCCACCCAGCTCCACGGTCAGGTTCTTCATCAACCCGACCACCGCGTGCTTCGACGCCGTATAAGCGTGCGGCGCGTTCCCAAACGTCGTCGTGACGCTGCTCGCGGTGAAAATAATCACCCCGCTCCTTTCCGGGATCATCACGCGCGCCGCGTGCTTGGCGCAGTGGAACGCGCCGCGGACGTTGACCTCGAAGACTCTCATGAGATCCTGGCCGTCCGATGTTGAGATCTGCATCCCCGCGAGCTGGCCCATGATCCCGGCGTTGCTGAACATGATGTCAAGTTTCCCGTGGGTTGAGACGGCGGCGTTTACCGCGTTTTCGACGTCGGATTCTTTGCTGACGTCGCATTGGACGTAGGTGACTGGGTGAGGGGAGGTGGTGGTGATTTGCTCGGCGACGGAGTGGCCGAGGTCGGATTGGACGTCGGCGATGATGACCTTGGCGCCGTTGAGGGCGAAGAGCGCGGCCGCGGCGGCGCCGATGCCGCTGGCTCCGCCGGTGATCAGTGCGACCTTGCCTTGTAGCCTGTGAAACCAAAGTTAAATCAATTAAATTTTGTTAGATAGTTATAACTTAACGTGTGCACATTTTTTTTTTTCTGCAGATACGAAAAATGTACAAGACCTTTACAGGTAATGTCACAAAATATAAAGCAAAAAACGCGACAAATGATCGATCCAACGATGGTCTACCTGTTGGAAGCGGGTTGCTGCGAGGAAGACATGACTGATCTACGGAGATTGGAGCTCGATTGATCAACTTAGAAACTAGAAAAAAAAAATAGGTTTTCACTTGAGGATGATTGTTTGTTGGTTATAGAAGAAGGAACAGATCGGTGGCTTTTATAGGTGATCGGGTGTGGGAGGCGGCGGGTGTTTAATAAGGTTTATGAGTTGATTTTTTTACGTTATATGGATACGAATAATTTGAAAATTTGACCAACAAAATTAAATCAGCCATAGTAGTAAGTGAAAATGGCAATAAAAAAAAGCAGCCGCCGGATTCTATAAATCAAGGCCGGCGGCTGGCTAGCTAGCTAGTTGGTTTGTCAAGAACATGGCAGTTTGTTTGGACCAAAATTTCAACTTTGGCACCGAGCCTCTCTCCCATGGCGGCTACTGAAGTTCCCATGCAAGATGCGCCGTAGTCTTGTCGTAGTAACAAGATCGTGATATTACAATAGTGAGATGCTATCATGTCTTACTTGGGTAACATCACTATGGTAACATAATTAATATTATAGTGATAAAATCAAAACAAATGTGTGTTTTGAATCGTTATTTTATTCATCGGAATATAACAAAATTGTTGGGGATATAGCTCGGATCCAGTCGCGCGAATAAGATGGCCCAATGAACCACCCGCGAGTAAAGACACGACCGCGAATGACTGAAGCACTAGGCGGCGCCGTTTCGTCTCGACCAAGTCGGCGTCGTTTCGCTTTACCAAAGCCGGCGTCGTTTGGTACTGCCCAAGCCGTCGTCGTTTCGGTTAATCCGAACTGGGAAAGAGAGCCGAGAAGAACGGTGTCGTAGCCTTTGAAGGAAGGGTCACATCCTAGTCCTGGTCCTAGGAATAATTATGACCTAAAGCATGGCCTAAGCTTCTTACACACGTAATGGTTTTGTTGCATTAAATATCCACTCACTGTAATGTACTATAAAAGGAGCATTTACTACGGTAGGTGGAGGGGATGGGATTTTGGACTCTCTCACTAAATACAACCACTTATCTCTCTAGAAATCTGACTCTCTTAAACTTCTAGCCATTAACAGATTGGAGGTTCACCTTGCTTGCTCTTCTCTCCCCACTTTCCCGAGTCTCACTCTTAGGCTCAAACAAAAATAAATATAATTATGTAGAACATGATGAATGTGTTTTTCTTCTATGTAATTTTCTATTAATTTTTCAATTAAAATCTAAACCGAAAAAGATAATATCCGAATAATCAAACGAGCTTAGGAAAAAAATAAACTTTCAGCCTTTCACTGACCAAACAGGTTTGAAAAAGGATGCTCCAAAAAGTAACAAAAAGAAGAGAAAGATGGCTGAATCAGGCTCATCCCCAATATTCAATAGGTTGGATCTTACCAGATCTGTAATATTGTCTAAATTCAACGCCAATTGATGATGGACTTTGCAACTCAGAGTTTACCATGTAGCTAGTAATTCATGACCGGCGACTGCATCAATATCAGGAAGCCGCCGTAATAGAATAGAAGCTGATAGATTTTGTTTATATTGTTTGACCCAAGTGTTATGGCTTATGATCAGACAATCTATATACTACGTTTGGATGTACAAGGTAAATGATTCTTGTACATATGTGTCGATCAAAGTTTAATTTCATTAATCTGATCCTTTTAAAGAAGGGGGAATTCATATATAAATCAATGTTGACTGTACGCAAAGCGGGCAATATGATATTAATTGAGTAGTCAGTCAAATATCAAATAATGATTAGTGCAGTCTCGTCAAATCGAAAGATTCAGGTCCGCTTGGCAAAATGGCTCGCTCAGGAATATGTTTCGCAGTCCAACATGGTCCAAAAGAAGTTCACTTGGATCGTTGCGGAGTGCTAAATTGGGATGCTCTGAAATTTTCGCTAGCAAACTAGTCGTGCACATGCGTCCCCCGAATATAGGTTGTCGGTAATAGTTAACTGAGTGTACATGGAAAATGTTATTCTACAAATCACACGATTGAAGAAAATAGTATCTCCTTTTAAAATGTGGAGACACCAACCCTTTAAATTTTCATATACTATCAAAATGACCTATAAAATGCATTATCAAGGGCATGATTTCATTGGCTACTCATTTCATCATCGTTGGTTTTTTTCTCCACCAAATGATATCACTTTTAGTCTCATTACAGAAAATAATTCAATCCCCTAAAATCATATTATATTTTAACTTATAACGATGGATTGAATGAGTGAAGTTTTGTATTTTTGCTCAATATTTTCTCAAAGGAAGCAATGATCACCTAAGCAGGCTAGCTCAATGATAAAACTCAATTATCTTATTATTATATATATTTTGGTACAACCAGAGAAATGAGTTCATAGTATTTGCGATGTTGGGCCCAATCCAACTAAGCACTCCTCACCGCCAGCCCACCATCAACAAAAACATCAAGCCCGCTAACAAACTTCGCTTCATCACTCGCCAGGTAAACCGCCGCCTCCGCCACATCTCCGACTTCCAGAACCCCAAATTTCAGCGCCGCCTTCGCACCGAAAATCCCCTGCAGCGTCGCCTCGTCCAATCCGGACACCTCGACGGCCATCGGAGTCGCGATCCCGCCGGGAGAAATCGCGTTGACCCGAATCCCATACTTCCCCAGCTCCACGCTCAGGCTCTTCATCAGCCCCGTCACCGCGTTCTTCGACGCCGTGTACGGGTTCCCGGCGTCGCCGTACTTCGCCGTCACGCCGCTCGAGGTGAACAGAATCGCCCCCTTCTTCTCCGGGATCATCACCCTGGCGGCGTGCTTGGCGCAGAAGAAGGCCCCGAAAACGTTGACTCCCATCACTCTGTCGAGATCTCGGGAATCTTGCTCTGTTATCTTGAAGCCGTTAGGATTCCCCGTGACGGCGGCGTTGCTGTACATGATGTCCAGCCTCCCGTGGAGCGAAACGGCGCCGTCTACGGCGTCACGGACGTCGGATTCGTTGCTGACGTCGCATTGGAGGTAGGTGGCGGGGTGGGGAGAGGTGGAGCTGATTTCTTCAGCGACGGAGTGGCCCAATTCGGAATTGACGTCGGCGATTATGACTCTGGCGCCGTTTTTGGCGAAGAGTCTTGCGGCGGCTGCGCCGATTCCGCTGGCGCCGCCGGTTATCAGCGCGACCTTGCCTTGTAACCTGAATCAGAGAGAGAAAAGGTAGATGAATATCGGCTTGGCGAAATGGGGGGGAAAGGAAATGACGAGTTTGTTGAAATTAGGACAAAAATTGAGTTTGGTTAAGCTTTCTGTGATTTTCGAGTTCGGATTTGATTACCTTTGGGTAGCGGTTGGGGATGGAGAGGAAGATGTTTTCATGGTTTTGCTACGTGGGGAACAAAGACAAATTAATTGAAGATTATGTACAAAAATGGAAGTTTTAGTTTCTCTTCTCTAACAAGAAGGTGGCTTTTTCGAGAGAAGAGGGATGCACAAAAATAGAGCCTCCAAGTTTGAAACAAAAGATATATACTAGTGATTTGAAAAGTCGTAACGTTGAAAGTGAAGAGTCTGTAATGTGAAAATAGAGCATTTTGGAACACATTAGGTTGATGTGTAGTTCTGACCTTCGTAGATGGTTAGAAACTTAGGGCTTGTTTGCTTGTTGGATTTGAAAATGAGGGTTTTGAGTTTTCAAACCCTTTGGATTTATGATGGATTTGTTGCATTATAGATTTGGAAGAGTACATTGTTTGTGTAGTTTATTTTTGTCATAGATTCATGATGGATTTGTTCACATTTTGCCTTCCATTATCAAATCCCAAATGAAATGTGGGATGCACCTTTTGACTGACTTTAATGGTACCCGACACCCTATTCAAAGTTAAGTGGTATATCTATCACAATTCTCAAACTTAAGTGGTATTCAAGATATTTCTCAAATCTTAAGTGGATGAGTCAAAAATTACGATATAATTCTTTCTATTCGATTTCTATTAGGTGAAAATTTCCATTTTGTAAATGATATAACTTCATTACCGTACCATTGTTTTTTTTTTCCCTTTCTGCCAAGCATAAATTAAACATATAGGTAGAATAAGCACAAAAATTAAAGCTTTAATAAAAACGGATAACCCCAACACATCAAAACTCATTGCCCATGGATAAAGACAAACAGCTCCTCAAAATTTAATTATAAAACCATACTGAAAGTTGTAGACGATGATTAAGTAGTATTACTTTGAAGTTAGATCGTGGTTTACACGTTATTCAACCCTTTTAAATCGTGGTACGATACGATTAAGCAACCCTGTTCAAAATATGTATTCATATAGGTTGTTTTGTTGCAATGTATGTTTCAAACTAAACGAACGAATATGAATGTGAAGATATCCGTCCAACCTGTCAATATCATTCTAATCACTTGTGCGGTGACTTGTTAATTGAGAGAGAGAGAGTACTGACACAATTTAGTGCCCGTAGTTAAGGAATCTGGGAGTTTGTGAAGCAATTATTCAGTCACATCGGATCGCATTATACCAAATTGATATTTAAATCAAATCAAAAACATTTTGATTTGGCTATATCTTAAATATGAAAGAAAAGTGAACCGGACAGATTCAAATCTCAAATCGATCGATGCTCATTGCTCACCCTTTAGGCTTTAGGTCGAGGGGAAAGAGAAGTATGCATCTCATATAAGAGCGGCCCGGTCCGGTTAGTGAGGTTCATTCGGTTCTCTCTTTTCTTTTATCGGACAACTAACCAGTTCAAACCAAAAACCCCTAAAGCCCTAATCTGAAATCCCGTGATCTCTTCTTCCTTCGACTATCTTTCGATTGATTACAGCTCCTGCCTGCGATTCCCCTCTCCGACGACCGCCGCGGCTCTCCTCTCAGTCGAGCCTGCCTCCTCTCCAATACAAAGCTATCTCCTCGCTCGCTTTCTTCCCTTCTTCTTTCTTTCAAGGTAAATCTGCCGCTCTCACTTTTCTCTAATTCTCGCTCGCGATTTGTTTGGCAGAATGAAATGGGGTTTTTGTTTTCTACCTCGGTATAACTGGTTTGGGGTTCATCCGTCTCCTTCCTCATTCTGCCGCAAAAAGGGGTTTAGCTTCATTGTCACCAGGAGATGCTTCAGCTCACTCTCACTCATTCGCTGGTTTACTTTACAGGTCCGCCGGGAATAGCCCTCAGAAGAGATGGCTGCAAGTTTCGCTTCCAAGTTCTCTCGCGGTAAGATAACCCATTTTCCAGATTCCCTCTCCGATCTGAATGCTCCTTGTGTTTGGCGAATTGGTGCACCCTTGGAACACTCTGCTCTTGCTTCACTACGAATTTCCTTCCATTTGCAATGCCTATGTAGATTTAGTTAAGCAGTGGTTAATTGTAGACGTCCTTGCTAACGTGGTTGATGAAATCGCAGTGGGACGATCCCTGTTGGGAGGATTAGGAAACAACATCTCTTCTGCAGCAGCCAACTCATCACCTGAACTCACTTCTAGCAGCAATTCACTGTATCAGGTTAGCTAAAGTTTCCTCCTTTCCGTCACATTTCAAGTCCTCCCCGTAGATAGTTGTAACGTATTCTTTGTTACTCTCTCTTTCTGATGGGAGAACCCTTCGTCTTGGCTTTCTATTCTGCATCAGCAACATAGGACATTCATTCAAATGAGGACGGTTCTGAAAGTTGCAGACAACTCTGGTGCCAAAAAGGTGATGTGCATACAAGCACTGAAGGGGAGGAAAGGTGCAAGGTTGGGGGACACCATCGTGGCTTCAGTGAAAGAAGCGATGCCAAATGGTAAGGTGAAGAAAGGGAAGGTTGTTTATGGAGTGGTGGTGCGGGCTGCCATGCAGAAGGGGAGGTGTGATGGGAGTGAGGTCAAGTTTGACGACAATGCTGTGGTTTTGGTCGACAAGCAAGGTCAGCCTATTGGTACCAGAGTGTTTGGTCCTGTGCCCCACGAGCTCAGGCGGAAGAAGCACGTCAAGATCCTTACTCTAGCCGAGCATATTGCCTGAATGTTTGTTCTTTAGATGTTATAGATGCTTGATGTTTCGCTTCCCAGTATCAGAGAATGACTTTCTTTTTTTCAAGCTGTTCACGGCTGAGCAGAAACTTGCACTATGTTCACATAAAAGTGACTGGAAATCGAAAGCTTTCCGCTGTAACATTATAGAGAACAGGATCCTTGGAACAGTCTACTCCCCAGTCACAATGTCTAAGTGCTTGAGTAATTTGTTTAGGAAGAACTCAAAGGAGAAAAAACTGTTATGCTATGTATACCAAAATTGATTGTCCGCGTTTGTTGGCCTTCCTGTAGCTCTCATGGCGGTTGGACCATGTAAAACTTCTTTCATGAATTCATCTTCGTAAAAATGTATTGTTGATAACAAAGTTTTCGACTTGTACCAAGTCTGATAACATTTCGCGGATCAATTAGGCTACTTCTTGATGAAATAAACAACGAGACTGCGAAGAAAGCGGTATAAACGATCCTGGATTTCTCAATACTTAGTTGCAATTTAGAAGAATTGAATTAGACAAAGAGCATGCAACTCCAGGCTCTATACAATTTAGCAAGGAAAAAGCAATAGTAAATATCTGTGCGTGTAGTAATAACCACAATGATCATGAGATTTATTCCCGCCAAAAAAAAGAGCAACGTTAAGCAAAGTTTTTTCCCCTTCTTTCTTTGAGCTTGATGCAAAAATTAACTCCTGTCCTCCTTATCTTCAAAGGTGGTCGCAGATGGCCTTTGTGAAATCAGATGTCGTAGATTTGCCTCCGAGATCTGCTGTTCGGTACTTTCCTTCGGCTATAGTGTCGAGAACAGCGTTCTGAATCCGGTCTGCCTTATCGTGGAGTTCCAGATGCCGCAACATCGAGACGCCACTCAGGAGCAGTGCAGTAGGATTCGCGAGGTTCTGCCAAATTTACGAAGCGTCCAACGTGTCAGAACGACAGCCAGGCCAGCAGGAAATCAAGATTTCTAGACAAAAGAACCGAGCTAGAACACCAGTGGTTCATACATAACAACCAACTTTCGGGATGTAAATGAATTAGCAACGATATTTACACATACTATGAAATTGCTCTATGATCTCAAAGCACTTTGGTTAAGTTCCAATAATCATCTTAAGTTTTACTACATATAATGGGGAGGATAGATAATAATCAGCTAACCTTCCCAGCAATGTCAGGGGCGGAACCATGGACAGCCTCAGCAAGAGCTATTCCTCCCTCACCAATGTTGCAGCTGTAATTGAGGAAATTAGTAATGCTGTCAGGTCACATGGTTAACATTGACTTAGAGAATAAAGTATTAGGGAAAAACTGGAAAAGAACACTTCTAAAGGGTATAACCTTGGTGTCAACCCCAGACCACCAATTAAACCAGCGCAAAGATCGCTAATGATGTCACCATAGAGATTAGGCATAACTAGAACATCAAAAAGAGCTGGATTCTTCACAAGCTGCACACAACCGTAGAAACACGTATGAGCAGGGGTCTATGGCTTTTCTCTATCAAGAGTCTTACATTCCTCTTAGTGGTATAAAATATGAAAACTTCAATAATCACGAGACAGTTCTCCATGTCTTTCAATTAACTTGAAGCGAAAAAGATAGGCAGTGATTGTCTTCACATACCATCATGCAACAATTGTCAATGACAACCTCCTCGTATGTGATCTCAGGATACTTCTCAGCGACCTCACGGCAGCACTGCAAAGCCCATTACAACAGTGTTAAACAAGCTAACAAAAAAGAATAGCTCCGCAACATATAAGAAGGACCCAAAGTATCCATACCTTCAGGAAAAGACCATCAGTTTTCTGCATGATGTTAGCTTTATGAATTGCAGACACCCTCTCTCTACCGTGGGCCTTTGCATAATGGAAAGCATATTCAGCCACCCTCAAACTGGCCTGGCGAGTAATGATCTTGAGACTTTCAACCACACCTCTCACCACCTACCCACCAAAAATCACCATCATGTCAAAGTTTATGAATGCATATAATTGGCTAGGTGCATGTTGCCCAAAACCAGAAAGAAAGCTTACTTGGTGCTCAAGGCCACTGTATTCTCCTTCAGTGTTCTCACGAATGGTGATGAGATTCACATCATCATATAGGGTTTTGTAACCAGGAAGGCTGTAACAAGGCCTGACATTGGCATACAGGTTAAGTTCTTTCCTGAGAGTAAGGTTCAAAGAACGATGGCCCTTTCCAATTGGTGTAGCCATTGGCCCTTTCAGACCCACTCGGTTTCTTCTCACCGACTCCAAACTTTCCCATGTTAGAAAGCTCTGGGTTCTAGGATCAACCTCGGTCCCAACATAGTGTTCTTCCCATTCAATTGGTACCTCAGCTTCCCTGAAAATCTGTATGCAACAATACTCATCATATAGATATAAAAAAAAAAAACACAAAGCATTATAGCTACAAGCAAATGAGAGTAGAAATCCACAATAAGGCACATCAACACAACCATCCACCTCATTTTGACTTATTTTTAGGTTGAATGGTATGGAAGTAATTAACAAACAAATAACTGCTTCGAGAATTCTCTCATTGACAATCTATTTATATTAGTAATATTTCCAGTTTGATGTGCTAGAATTCAAGAACTCCTAGGAATTTTTTCAGGCTAACCAGCAGGGTGAAGAGTGATTCTCCGTTTGCCAAATACTTTTAACGAATTCGACTGACCATTCAGCTGGATGGGCACTCCAAACTTGTTTTCAGGTGAAAAGATAAATTAGAGAGGGCTTCTTTGGATCTCATGCTCTGTCCATAAGAATATTAGAACCAAAGGACAGGCAAACCATCATATTCTGATATAAATTCTACTTTGATAGTACTTTCTCAGCACGTCAGTGCTCCTGATGAAAGAAAACTAACCTCTTATTGAAAGGCACGAGCTTTATTTTCCCCATCCAGATGTTCATGGTGATACGTAAATTTTTCTGACTGAATGAGGTCCGAGTGAACTCAGCTAATTGAGGATTATTTCATACAGCATAGTTTTATAGATGGCTTTTCTACTGTTGTTGATGCTTCCTTTAGATTAGAACCTTCCCTTAAGGCTTCCTAGACAAGATATTCACAAGCTTGACCAGACAATGGATGGAACGCCATGTTCATTCATCACCGATCAAACAAACATAAGGAGGAAACGAAAGGAGAAAAAAAAAAAAAAGCCAAATGACGACTTTTCACCATATGCTTTCTCACGAAATCACGAAACAAGCAATAGCAATTTCAGGGCGAAGAAAGACGAGTGCATCCCACAAAACAGAGCCTCAAAGAAAATCCAACCACACTCATTTGGTCATCCCAGAGAAATCTAATTGAATCACAGCTAGGAATTTCGTACATATCAGCACTACATCACGGCGAGAACTGAAAGAAGGATGTCAATTGCGAGGGTAAAGAAGAAGAAGAAGGAGAGACCAGCGAGGAAGAGAAGGAGAAGGAAACCTGTTTCACGGCCTCCGCGATCTCGGGACCGATACCGTCGCCGGGGAAGAGAGTGGCCGTGATTGGAGCGGAAGAGAAAGCTCTAACGGCAGAGAAAGCGGACGGAGATGAGATGATCTGGTCGGGGCGGCTTGTTAGAGCTCGCCTCAGGAGCTGGAACGCCATGATCGCCGGAGAAGTCTGTGGTGTGTGTTCGAATTTTGCCCTTTCGAGTTCGACGAAAGACGGAGAGGAGGAGAAAAGCGTTCCACTGGAAAAGAAAAGAAATCAAAGCCAACGCGACTCTGTGACAATAATAAATTTATATATAAAAAAAAAAATTCGAATAGGTTCCGGTTAATCGGCCGAACCTTTCTTTTCCATTTTATGGTAACTAAACCAATAACCGGTTCAAATCAAAACCCTACCTAAAATCCTCAAGATCTCTTCCTTGCCCTCAACTTCCCTCATTGATCCCAGCTTGCTCGCCTGCGATTCCCTTCTCCGGCGGCCGCTTCTCCCCTCGTCTCAGTGGTGACTGACTCCTTCGCTGCGTCTGAGTGGCGGAAGCTCCGGTTGCGTGGCGGAGCAAAGATAGAAGAGCTTGTGGATCCCCGCGCCTCGCTATGGTAATTGTTTGGTTCAGTTCGATGTTCAGTGAAAAACTCATTCCTTTCTATCAAACTGTGTCATTTCATTGGAATGGCATTTGAAAGGGTAGTGGTTCGTAATGTTCAAATGCTTAGGGAAGTCAAACTGCTAGCATTTGATTGATTGAGTTTTGTATGAGCTAATCTCAGTTTTGCGACTGAATCATTCTTCGTGGGAGAAGTTTCACGTCTTTTTGAGTTCCGTTGGTGGAGGGATTAGCCTTCTGATTTAGTTGCTTGATTGAACTTTTAGTGCGACGGAACTTCTTGGCCTGGTTGAACTTGCACGCAAGCTGTTTGATGAATTGCCCATTTCAGTGTCAGGAACTCTTTCAGCATGAGTCTGAGTTGGTTCATAAGAGTATGGACGCAGTTGATGCTAACTCCGGTTCTAATATCTTCTTTCCTCCTACTCGCAGGTTATAATAGCCGGAGAAGTGCCACTGAATTGAACTGAGTTTTCTACCTCAAGGTAATTGGAGTGTGTTGTAAACACAAACACATGTTGAAACACGTGCTTGGCAAAGTCCTGGGCGGTGAAGTTCTGTCAAGTTCAACCAGAAAGCTTGGACCTTTCTCAAATGCAGCGATTGTGGGATTCCATACTGGACAGGTACTTCTTCTTTCCTTCAGCTGATCATCCCTTGGCTTATGCCAATTGCGGTAGAAGTCTGCAGTAAAGGAACGGCTTTTGGTTGATGAATTTGGGAGTTTGAGAAGTAGATGGATTTCAGGAAGTAATAGGTTGTTTTTGGTTATATACTTTTGCGATAGATTGTGATATGTAGATTCTGTATGGGTTTATTAAACAAATCCTTGAACTCATGAATTCTGGACACGATCAATCTCTGCAAGTCTGCAATACATCAGCCAAACACGACCTCGAAGCAAATTTATTAAACCAGAATTGTATGCGAATGACCAACTTTCTGCGTTGATTTATAACTGGAAATTTGTTTCACATGTTACCCACAGGCACACAATGCCCCAAGAAGCTTCTTTGGGGTAGAGGATTTTGTGGACGATGAAAACAGCAGGCCGTACACTTTCCAGAAGGGCAAAGTATCAAAGAACCCTAACAAGAACATATCTTTCAAGCAAAGGACGCAGGCATTCTTGGAGCCATTCACACTGGACGTGTTCATCTCGAAGCGGTTCGTGTCAGCGTCGCTCACTCACAGGGTGACGAGCAAGCAAGTTGCAGTGGCTGGGACGAACTCCAAGGACATCAAGGCCGTGCTGCAGTCGAGGTCGGACATTCCTGCCTGCCTGGCCATTGGCCGGATTCTGGCCGAGAGGGCAAGGGAAGCTGACGTTTACACTGCTGTTTACACTCCTAGGGAGAGGGACAAGTTTGAAGGGAAAATTAGAGCTGTGGTTCAGTCTCTTATTGATAATGGGATTGATGTTAAAGTTTATCTGGACTGATTGACTCGTCTTTTCTTTGTTTTCATTACGAATTTTGATGTCTGCAGTGGTTGGGTTGTAACTTGTAACCGATGATTCTTGTAAAAATCGTATTAGCGGTTGTAGCAGATAAGTTAGTGATGGAGTAGCTTGTTTCTAAATCGTGATTTAATCGTGTCACATCAATAAAATAGCCTACCAACTTGAGTTCGGCACATTCACTAGGTGTTTTTTCCTATCGGATCAATGGTATGGTACGGTTTTGTAACTAGTTGGCTTACCTATTGGTTCATCCGGTTAACAGGTCGAACCGGTCTTACCCTATTTTGGCAACTGAACTAACTAACCGTCCAAATCGAAACCCTAACCTAAATTCCCAAGAAGATCTCTATCCTTCCACTCTTGCCTTTCCTACTCTTTCTCCCTCTCCATCGGTCCCATCTGCTTGCCTTCGACTCTCCTCTCCGGCGGCCGCTCTCCCTCGCTGTCGTAAATCTCCCCTCGTCTCAATCAGTCGTGACTGCCTTCTTCACTGCGTCTCAGTTGCGGCGGCTTCAGTTGCGCGGCGGAGCACAGATAGAAGAGCTCGTGGATCCCCTCGCCGTCTCTGGTAATTTTTGGTTGAGTTCAATGTTTGTTGAATTTACATTAGTGAAAAGCTCGTTTCTTTGAATCAAATTATGTTATTTCATTTTGATGGCATTTGGAAGGGTAATGGCTCGTAATGTTCCAATGTAGCATCTAGCGATAGAGTTTAGTATAGGCGAAGCTGACCTTTTGGGACTGAATCATTCTGTATGAGATAAATGTGATGTCTTTGTGAGTTTTTGTATAGGGGGATTAGCCTTGTGATTGTTGGATCCTTCTATGACTATGCTAAGATGATTATGTCTTGCTTGCAGGTTACTTTTGAGCTTCTGTTGTGGTGCTGAGATTTCCATCCGCTCCATCCAGGGTACATTACTGCAGATATGCACGCCATTCACCGCGTAATATCTCGGCTATCCTCAACTACGCTATGCAATAGTACACCTGCATCGAGATTTCTAAAGGAAACAAGTGCTACCTCTGCATTGGGTACTGAAGCAAGCCAATACATTAGGGCTCTTGGCTTTTCTTCACAGTCGGGCAGTGGTGGTGGAAATGAAGGAACAAACGAATGGGAAAATAATGCAGCAGGTGGTTCGTCCTTCGGTTCGACCGGGTCTGATGATCTGGGATGGGACTCTGTTTCATCGTGGTCAACTGGATTGACCAAGGATCATTTTGATGGTGAGATGGTGGGTAAGATGGCAAGTCCTGCTGGCGAGGGAAACACAGCTTCTCAATCCTTGAAGATATCTGAGTTGCAGGATGTTGATGATAAGTTAAACGAACTCGATGATGCGAACAAAAAGGGGAAGGCTTATGTTAATGGATGGGTGGAGAGATTACGTGAGATTAGTGGGTTGCTGAAGCAAGTGGAGGAGCCTGGTGCTAGAGGATCTTACCTTAAGGATTCAGAGAAGACAGAGATGTACCGGTTGCACAAGGAGAACCCTGAAGTGTACACTGTTGAGAAGCTTTCCAAGGACTACAGAATCATGAGGCAGAGGGTGCATGCCATTCTCTGGCTCAAGGAAGAGGAGGAAGAGGAAAGAAAGCGTGGTCGCATCCTCGATGACTCAGTTGAACTTTTGCTTGATACCTGCCCAGAGTAAGTCACCAATTTCTGAGGTTTCATGTGGTCAAACAGCACTCTTAGATTTGCCAAGAACATATGACTAGTTTTCAACAGTGAGCATGAACATTCATCGTCAGTAGTTATATGACCAGCATTGTTGAATTGCTTCTAACACCATTTTGACCTGGTGCTTTCTTTTCTTCCATTGTCAGATTTTTCAATTCCCATGACCGGGAGTTTCATGTTGCATCTCTTCCTTACAAACCCGATTTCAAGGTGATGCCCGAGGGTTGGGATGGTACCACTCGGGATCCAGACGAAGTCCACTATGAGATATCCATGAAAGAGGATGAAATGCTGTACCAAGAGTTTGTCCAGAGGATGGAGTTCAACAAAATGAAAGTAAGTTCTGTAATGCTTTCCACCGTTATATTCTGTAAGACGAAAAAGCTCTTTCCATCTGTACTTGTTTAACCATTTGGTTTTTAATTTCTTAGCCATTTGGAATTAATAATTAATTCCTCTACTTGTCGTTCCTCTCCACTGTTATGCATAAAAGAATGGCCAACTCATCCCAATTCCCAAACTGAAAAAGTAGGAAAAGGACCTTGCTGTTAGCAAGGTAGCGACTTCCATGCTAATGGGACATGGATCTTCTGTGGTTTTATCGTTGTGTTTGTGGCCCCGCGAATATGATGTATATTATTTTATGGTAAAGATGTATAGGTATGGAGGATGTAGTTTCCTTCTTTAATGGATTTAGTTTTGGAACATTGAGTTCACAGCACATGAACTCGAATGCTCGTTTTGTAGCTATGAAGCCACTTGGTTACTTCTTGTGCAATTGTGATGTCCAGAATGTTTTGATTTCTTGTTATGTGGAAGAATTCTGCTTTCTTTTCATTGTCTTCAGCACGATATAATGACGATGATGATGATATTCCTCGTTACAGATTGCTGGGAAGGTGAAATGCCACAAGTATAGCCGGCGCCGCCCATCTGAAGGGTGGAACTTCACGGTAGAGAAAATGGGGGCCCAAGGAAAGCGTGGAGGGGGCGGTGGCTGGAAGTTCGTAAGCTTGCCAGATGGCTCGAGCCGACCTCTAAACGAGACGGAGAAAGTATATGTTAAGCGAGAGACTCCACGGCGGAGGCGCAAGATTTTCCCATGATTTGATGATCATCAGATCTTGTACGGCAAGGGTTATCGATTAGGAGTAGTCAGAAGAAGTCTCCAGTGATAGGAGATTGAGATAACCACTCTGTATAATAAGAATGAAGGGACAGCAGCTGGAATTGGGTACTTTTGTTTTTTCTCTTCTTGGCTGTACTGTTAAATAGGGTAAAATCTACCCTCTTGAACAACATCCAATCAAAATTCCTTCAGTTCTTGGTTTACAGTTGATATAAACACGAGCAAAATTTGTCAAACTGAGACTTGAGGAATATGCTCTATAGCTTTCTCTGCACAATTTTGAGGTCCTGTGTCATCCATCGCCATGAGCCATGTTTGCATGCATGTTTCCTAGCAATTTGAGGTCAGCCACTTATCCTTAGCTGGCGGGATGTGATCAACTTGGTCTGGCACCTGGATCAGTGAAGGAGGCTGCAGCAATAGTGTTGTTAGATTGCTTAGTGACCGACGATGACGATGGTGATGATTCGACTAGCTCTGGTACTTGATCGAGCAATCGGTTAATCTGCCCTTCGAACTCACCCTTCGCCCTGTTGCTTTTGCCTCCAATAACCAACGACGTTCCATCTTGAAAAGCCCATATCTTTTTGAATAGACAAACGGGAACAACAAAACAAGACAGCCAATGAATATTTGAAGTCAGGAAAGGAAATAAAGAGATCAAGAACATCATTAATTCATAGAGCCATCTACAGAAGCAGATCAAATGGTATAAGCTTCAGATAGTCTGCAAAAGCAGAATTCCAACCTGCGCATGTGATAAGATGCTGATGCATGTTGTGAGCATTAGAGCGCCGAATCCGGTGTACACTACTGGGACTCCAGGATCAGTCTGATTCAAAGTAGCAAGTGGGCAAAGTTTGGTTTTTCAAGCTATAGCTAGAAAATATTATCAATTCCACAAAGGCTCAAATAGCTCCAATCGAAGTCATACCTTCAGCTCCAGACCACTGCTTCCAATTGCATCTTCAATCATAATTTTCATGCCATCTATCTCAATCGGAAGCTTGGAGTTAGGTCGTCGAACTCCAACAAATTTCCCTTCTTGATCATACAATACAATGGACTGCAGATCACGAGCAAGCATTGATCTGAGAAAAAAGCAAATCAAGCAGTATAGCATTTACATTATCAAGTTAAGAAAGGAGCATATTAAAAGGAAAAGGAAACAAAACAGAAACAAACAGTTTGAAAAGGCATGCATACATTCCCTTGACATTAGGAGCATCAATACTCCCAACTGGTAAGATTGTTCCGTAGAGTTTCTTATCCCCATTTACTTTTAGAGGCGCCATTGGCAGATTAAAAGGCCCTTCCCCATCTTTGACTACTTGCAATGCCGAAATGCTCCAGTCAGTCTGGTAAATGGTAAACCCGCCATAACGTAGAGGATCATTCACACTGATTGTTTTCCTCATAACTTCCTTCCCATCAAGATTTAACAGAGATAGATCCGTATGAAACTGTGACACCTATGGAAAACAAAAATGCACATAATTTGAGTTACTGCTAACTATTAAGTACTAATAGTACTCTACAAAATCTTGATCCTCGAAAAACAGATATGGATGGCATCTACCTCTCCACTCTCATAATAGTCCATGGAGAACTTGTTGACGTGAACCTCGGTGCTGAAGGCTTCAGTAGGAAAGGAGAGAAATCCACTCGGTCCCAACACATCTCCCACAACAAAATTCAGCCCTTGTGGAACTGTTACTGATCCTCTGAAGCTTCCTGTGGCGCTAAGAGTTGCACCTGCCATTATCAGAAGCATGGCTAAGTGTACTCCGATAGGGGTGTAACGACCCACGAGGCCCTTGAAGGCATATAAACATGGCCCCTTCAGAAATACCTACATTGATGATCAATCAAACCCATGCTCAGTAAGAACCACTGGGCAACTGCGCTTTGACAGGTCTCTACTATACACAACAAGATCACTATTAGTCATTTATAGGGTGAAGAAGGGTACTATACCTCATATCCAGATCCCATCAGGATTACACCCAAATCTTGAACTGATCCCCTGGGCAATGTTTCAGAAAAGTCCTGCTTACGAACTGCCTCAGCCGAGTCCAAGAATTTCCATCTGCACATCCCGAATAATGAATTGAAGTAGCAGTCTCCAGTCAGTCAGTCAACAAACTTGCGCTGTGTTCCATTTCTTTATCAGCATGCCATCAACATTTCAGAACTACCAACTAACTGAACCTTCTTGCGACTTTAACGAGGGGAATCTGAGTTGTGTACGTGCAAGCCATTAGAGAAGCTCCGAGAAGCGCCAAAGTTGCCAGGAAAACAGGAGATGAGAACATGTGATCAAACCCAAGAGCGAGAACCCATCTCCAGGTAAAGAACCCAAACGCGGGACTGTCTTCTGGATACATCTGGAAATAGTACTCGGGAGTCTCACCTTGATCAATCACCGTACCTGCAGAAAAATCATCACCATTCCCATTATTGATGGCTATTCACAAGCTCAACACACTTCAGATGTGAACCAAAACTAGACCCAACATTGAATTCAGCAACAACTCTGAGTTGTTGGAAGCAATCTTTGTGAAATCGTATCGGAAATGAGAATCGCTCACCAACTATCCAAACACAATGGTTAAATCACGAGCTACTACACTGATTTAGCAAAGAGTGAAATTCAGACAGTACAAAATGTGGCAATTACCAACAGCCATAAGCGCGGCAATCACGAACATTTCTCCGATAGCCAGAGGCAAATTCGACAGCAGAGTCAAAACCTTCCTCGACAACTTCTTGACCGACCGCAGCACCGCACTGTTTCCACTCCTAGCCTTAACAGGCTCCTTCTTCCCATTGCCGGCGTTACTTTCCTCTTCCGACAACGGCGGGGCGGAATTCCATAGCTCAATCTTCTTAGAGGCGTTCTGCTTCTTAATTTCTCGAGAGGATTTTAGCTTGCAGTTTATTGAGGTTAGGGAAGGAAGGAGCGGGGTTCGGCAGTGATTGCGGAAGGTGTAGAGTTGTTGCGGCTTGAATTTGAAGGTGGAGTTGACGAAGTTGGGAGAAGGCTTAAGGAATTGAAATCTGGAGGGAGATCGGTGTACTGTTCCCGCCGGAGCCATTACAGCCTCCATTAATGGAGTTCTGAGGCTTTTTTTCTTCTCTGAGTCGATAAGAAGCACGAGACCAGAGTCAGAGTTTGCTGGTGCTGTTAATTAACAGCCGATTTTTCAAATTCCTTTTATCCGGAAAGTAAAGTATATGAATGAGCGCTAAAAATATCTGGGGTACGTGGACCATTCAGCAGTTGCCATGTTGGAAATAAGTTGTAAAATGAAAAAATAATGAAAATTGGGTGGTAGCGAAAAAAAAAACTTCAAATATCAAAATTGGAGATGCAGGGAATCGAACCCTGTGCCTCTCGCATGCGAAGCGAGCGCTCTACCATATGAGCTACATCCCCATCTTTGTTAATTCGTCTATTATAGCTCTATTTATATATATATTTGAGTCCCCGTCGGAGCGTTGAATCTAAACGTTCCAACTTCAAAGCACTTTGAACGCCCATTTGTTCGAGTTGGGAAGTTGCAGTCAGGTGGTATTCTAGAGGAGCATCGGATTTTTGGAAGAGGAGGCGGCGAGGTTGCCTGCTTTATTAAGTATAATAATGTGGAGAATAATTTGCGAAACAGGATCTCAATTGTTGCTGCTTAAACTACTAGTTCTGTGAGCTTTCTGAATACACTATTCTCTGCAACGGCAAGTTCTCAACGAGAAAGCATGCACAGAATGTTACATGAAGCGCCGAAAAGGCGATATGAACCAACAACTTCGAGAATCGGCTCGCGATAGTAATTTCTGGCCCTTGGAAGAAGCTCTGTTTCTCTAATTAGTGCACGAGTGGAAGTTGTTAACTCGTACAATGCCTAGCAAGCCAAGAACTGGGCTCTAAAGTGTCTAGCTGTCGCGACCAATCGAGGTACTTTTCCATCTGCTTAACCTAAATCATAGAAAAAAACAGGATCAAGAACAATCGCCGAGGATCAACAAAAGATGCTGGAGATTACTGCATTTACTGCTCTCACTTTCAAAGCAGCAGTTTACCTGGGAAACACAGGTTTCATGGCTGTTTCACAAGCATTTCGATGTCAGCTCCGGCTTCAGACACCTTGGCATCCTTGGAAGATTTTGCTGCTTTGGCAATCTTATCGACATCGAAGTCCAAAGCTATTCTTTTCACCAGACCATCAAGCATCTGTTTCACAGCGGTAGACCACCACTTATTAAAACAAAGATGCGGTGTACAGTAAAATTGAAAACCTAAGTGTGAGCAATTAACACATAAACAGAATAATGAACTACATACGAGGGATCCAATGGCGACAAGTGCCAGGAACTTTGAATCAACATCCAGATTTTCTTGTTCTGCTATCTGTAAAACTAAAACCAGTAGAAGACATTGTTAAAGGCCAAATCTTGATTCATTAAAAAGAATAAAAGATCGGTATGAACGCAATAGTTGCTTCCATACAACCTTTTCTTGTTTTCTCTTTTAATTCTTTTCCCAGGAGAGTTCTTGTTTGGAGATGTACTAACATTCGAGAATGCGTCAAGAATCTGCAAGGGTCAACTAAAGTTCAGATCAGCTCCACAAAAGCAAATATCCGAAACCATTGGCTTCTATATCCAAGATTACTCAAACATCACAAAATACATCACGGGAAAATCCACATTCAGAACACTTAGTAGGCCTAGCTAGTGGTTGGTGCTAAAAGCAACGAAAGAGCCCTACAAGATGGAACAATTTCCTTCACAGTTATTTTCTGAATGTTGTATCTAAGCAGCAGAAAATGAGAACAAGTCTTGCCTCATTCTGATGCTTTAGTAGCCAGCCATGCTGCCATGGTACAATGAATTTCTGATGAGATTAGTCACGAGACAGATACTGGTCAAAAGGTTTGGGGCAAGAGGATGACATCCTGTAATTCTCCTGAATGTTTCCATTAGCATATCTAGCAACAAACATAACTATTCTATCTGCACCTCAAAGTCAATGAATGATGCCCTGAAAGAACAGAGTAATTTTATAGACCTATTTCCAGCAATGCGACTAACTCTATCCTAGTTTTGTAGCATCCCAAGCATACACTCGAGCATTTTCGAGTTACTGGTTGCTTTTGGATGGACTTTTGCAGTTTCCGTAGTTTATTTGCAGGCTATTCAAACTGAGGGAAAGAGAATCATGCAAACAATATGAAAAATGAAGTGCTCAATATTGCAAATAAAAGAAATGAACAACAGGGACATATTACTGCACCATTGCCGTCTTTGAAATGCTTCCGAAGAACCTTAGCACCATCAGGATGTAGGACAGTCATCCTAAGAATATCAACCACTGAACAAAAAAAAAAAAAAAAAGAACAAGGGCAACATAAACACTTGACAAAAAATTAAACATGCATCCAGGTTAACAAGTTAAAATTCCTAGGATTTAAAAGTCATTGTTTGGATAGATGTGTATTTCAAATAAGATTTAAATTCTACTGTTTGGATATTTTATTGCAACTTTTAGGTATTTCAATTAACAAACTTATTTTTTTAATTTATTTTAATACCACTAATATGTACAGTGATCTCCTTAATCACTTCTGTAAGGTTAAGTTAAAATGGAAATTGGGGAATAGTTGTAGGAGACTCGTCTTGACTAGCCATTGTACATCTGTACAGAGGAAAATGGAAATTGGGGAATAGTTGCAGGAGAAAGAATATAAGAACAAATATGTATGTAAGGTTAAGTTAAAAGTTGGCATAGAATGGCAGCAATCTCTGCTGTGGATGGGGGGCAAAGTTCCCACCCAATTCAATGATGCAGAAAAGACATGTCTTGTGAGATTTGGTTGGGAAGGAAGAAGAGAAAACTGACCTCATGAATTGAAAGCAAGTCCAAATTGAAAACTCTTATGAACACATCTGAAATTGCAATCCCAGGACAGATAGACTTCATGGATTAAAAGAAGCAAAGCAACCATATGGAAACTACCAGCCAGCTACACTACTATACAAAGAAACCCTACCCTTCCCTTCCCTTCCATGTTCCTGCTGCTGGCATTGTTGCATCCACATCAAAACAGTACAGGCTGGGGCTCTCATCTTAAAGAGCTAAAATACAACCCCGGGCCTTGTATAATTTCTTTCTCCTTCTACTTAAATCTAACCATTAAAAGAAACCTGCGGTTCAACTATCCAACTCCCTCATTTCCTTGAACTATTTGATCCAATAATAAACGACCTAAAACCTTGTCCATCTGCGAATCCCATTGGCAATAAACACGAGATTTACCGGGCACAATACTTCCCTGTCGCTTCATTCCTACAGCAATAAGAACAAACAGGCATATCACTTCAGCAGGCCACTCAAACAAATGAACCCTGAAACATACTCTTCTAAGTTCCAATTCTTTAAAGACTTCAACCTAATGGCTCAGAGTTTAATTGCATTCAAGTTAGAAGCAAGCTTTTTTAAACATAAATAGCTACTACACTCGGTCAACTTAGCAGCAAAAAGGGGGAACTTAAGATAATATTACTGCTGCCTGATGCTGGTTTGATCATGAAGCTTTTCTAGACTACTATGGTGGGCCTAGCTATAGAACTCATGCAACTCCCTTCTCAAAATGATCAAACCAGCATAGACTGATGGATATGCAATCTAGCAAGAAGTAAAGGTGGGATATGTCCTGCAGACTACCAAATTGAAGCTGGCATAACTACTGCAAAGAAACGAGCTTTTCACTAATGTAAATTCAACAAACGTTGAACTCAACCAAAAATTACCAGAGGCGGCGAGGGGATCCACAACCACAAGCTCTTCTATCTGTGCTCCGCCGCGCAACCGAAGCAGCCGCAACTGAGACGTAGTGAAGGATGCCGTCACGACTGACTGAGACGAGGGGAGAGTTGCGACGGCGTGGGCGAGCGGCCGCCGGAGACGGGGAGTCGAAGGCAAGCAGATGAGACCAATGGAGAGGGAGAGAGAAAGAGTAGGAAAGGCAAGAGTGGAAGGATAGGAGTTTGAGTTAGGGTTTCGATTTGGACGATTAGATTGTTGAGGACTACAACTGTCATTTTTCCAGCAGCATACAGAACAGAAGGCTTAATTATTCAAAATAAAAAAATAAAAATACAGAAGGCTTAATACGGAAAGATTTTAAAACATTCCAAGCTTCGCGCGAATGTTTTATTTCTCTTCCTGTATTTTCTCCCCCTTTTCTTCTCCGCCGATCTCCCTCCCGGCCGCCGCCCAAATCTCCCCGTCGCCGTCTGGTTGGCAGCTCACATCATCGACCAACTGTCCTCCGTCGCTCTCAATTCAGGTAATTAACATCCTCCACTCTCTCAATTGGATTAGATTTAGTTCATGGGGGTTGAGCTTCTTTCTGACGGAATTTGGTGAACCAGTCGTCTGTTCCTCTCCTCCTTCTCCACTGGGAATTCACAGAACCATCTTTCTCAGCCTCCAAAACTGTTTTGCTGCTTCCTCGCTCTTCTTCTTACTTCTCTCCTTCATCTTCTTCTCGACTGAGCTGGTTTTCTTTTCTTCCATGGAAACAGAGTTTCCTGCTTCTTTCTTTCTTCCTTCCTTCCTTCTCCTTCTCCTCATCCTCTTCTTCGTTTTTCCAATCTCTAGCGCCTATAAATGGAGGCTGCTTCCGTTCTTCTTCTTACACCCAGAAAACAATATGGTATATTTCCCCATTAACGACGACACGGATGGTACTTCGAACGACGGAGACACAACGGCAGGGTTTTCCCTTTTTCTGTTTTTCTACGGCACCATACTGATGATCTTTCTGACGCTCTTCGTCTTCCTTTTGGTGAAGGACCATTGCGGTCCTTCACCCGACTCCAAGGTCTACCCGGTGGACACCGACGACGAGGAAGGCGCCGGAGGTCCAGCAGCCGGCGGAGTCTGAACCGAGGTTCCTGTTTGTTGTTCCCGAAAAGTGAGGATTTGAGTACCGAGAAGAAGTAATGGATGTTGGATTACATTGTATGTTCCTTTTAATTTGGGTACCAGCCTAACTATATATTCTGAATCTGTAAGTGAACGATGTAAGTTCCCAGTTTCATTAAATAAAAATCGACCGACTGGTTTCCCTCTTCCTTTGCAATTTCTTCAATCATGCTCCCAACAGACACTGTTACCTTGAACATGAAAACTAAAGAGTGGTGGATGGAGGGGCTTTTCTGCTGATGTTTTCATCTTCCATTTGGTCAAACCCCTAAGGTTTTAAGGTAATGTTTTTCTTCATTCTGGAAAGTAGGGCTGGGAAACGGTGCGGTCTGGTCCAGACCAGACCATATATACGGTCTACGGTCCAGACCGAGAGGCTAAAGTATAGACCACAGACCAGACCACGGACTATACGGTCTGGTCCAGACCACGCCTGTGCGGTCTGGTTCGGTCTGGTCTGGTCCAGATAGACCACACTCAACGAAAAACGAATAACTTGTTTAGTCAACCACACAAAAAATTGAACCAATAACCAAGAAAAATAATTGTTATTTGTCTTAAAACATTAATCCTAACATGCATGAATAATTTTGATTCTCTAAATCTTAGTACATAAAAAAGATACAAAGTAAAAGCATCCCAACTTGCACCATAATGTCATAAACATTAACATAATGTCGTATGGAGACACGATTATCTCTACTCTGTGGTTAAATGTGGTTATGAATGAAGGAGGGAATAGATTCACAAAATTAAGGTTGAGACTTGGGTGTCGTTGTGGGAGTTTGGAGAGTGGTTGAATGGGCTGTTAACACGTATTGACAAGTCAGTTGGGTCTACGGTTTGGTCCGGTAAACCGCGGTCTAGACCAGACCAGACCAGACCAAGAGATCAAATCATAAAATAATACAGACCATGGACCAGACCAGACCATACTTCATGGTCTACGGTCCGGACCAAACTGTGCGGTACGGTTTGGACCACGGTTTTTCTAACGGTCTGGTCTATTTTCCCAGCCCTACTGGAAAGATGGGTTCCTTCTATTGTTTACTCATTCATCTTGGTTCTAGAAAACAAGGTCACTAGTAATATGAAAGGAGGACAATGGAAAGCGAAAGATGGAGTCTTTTTTACTATTTAGTTTCTTCCCAAGTTGAAATTTAGTAGCTAAATTGGGTTTTATATGTGACACCTAGTGAGAACCAGCTTGTTTGGTTGATTCAATCCTCATGTGGTCGCTGTTTATGAACAACTTCATTCTATATGTCAAAACTTTAGGAGGGATCTGCAGTATTTCATTACTAATAATGGAGAACGAGTTGGGTCAATTCCAGGTTCTGGCAACCGAAATGACCTTACAGCTTTAAACTTCAGCTGCATTGTTGACTGAGCTTAGGAGACTGACGCTCATGTCCAAGGAGACACTGATTCCGGCGGTATGCTAAAGTTGTTACCCCACATCTCTGAACAAGAATCACATATCGACTTCAAAAAGTATTAATCTTCAACAAGTCATAGGCCTTTTATATTAGCTTTCCATTCTCCTTTGCTTTCTGAATTGTATGATTATACAGTCGATTGGCCACCTCATGCTTCCTTTCTTTTGTATGCAGTGCGTGTTTATTCCATACTATCCAGAGGTTGTTCTTTACGGCATGTCTCAGCTTCCGAAGAAGAACGAGGATATAATATCAAATAATGGAAGTTCAAGATGATAAGGTATGGGCAAGATCTGTGATGGAGGCGAATTCATCCATGACAAGAGCATATGTGCTTTGGGCCCTTGTTACACTTCTAAACCAAAATGCAGTAGTGGGAAGGATGAGAAGCTGTCAAGAAATGTTGCTGTATCAAGAAGTTACCAGCAACCAGAGTCACTAGTTTGTCCCATTGGCTTGGCTGAGACAACTCAATGATAGTCGTTATAGTTATATGCTTACGGATTAGTTGAGCAATTCATGATTTTGAGGCTAAACAATGTGATGAGTCTGGAGAATAGGTCACGGCTTGGTGGGAGCAACGAGCTCGAGTGTTTGGATGGAGCAGCAGTGGCACAGAACCGTGATTTTATTTTGCAGAGTTACTGATAGGTGAAATGATAAACAGAGATGTGTTATGTTGGGCCGGTTCCAATGTATAGAAACACACTGTAACGCCTCGGACTGAGTTCTACCTTTCTGTCTAGCTCTTTTGAAGACAACTCATGTCCTCTGTAACTCAGTAGAGTTTTTTAATATGATAAAACCACAAGCAAGTTCGCAAATCACACTTACAGCTTATAGTTTTAAGTTGCCAAATGATATGTATTCCATTCCCACTGCTAGAATCAGCAACAAGAGATCCTTCGTACTTCTCGTTTTTTTTCTGGTAATTGTCGTAATCTTTATTTAGCTCTTGCTTGTTAAACCAAGTCTTTCGAAAAACTACATCTGTCCAAAGACAGCACAGCAACTACAAAGTTTCACTCTAATTCTACTCAACTACACAACTAAGTTTCAACTAACATAGCCAAACTACATCCAACACTCTACTACCAGCTAACTTGGAATCAAACTCAAGTAGTTTACAGAATACACAGGGCTGCTTGTTAATACTAGACTGAAATTAGGGTTGCCATGACTGTAGTAAGCCACCTCTTGCTTGATCTGCATAAGTAGTTCAGTACTACTTCTTACTGCTGTAAATACTCGATTGCATCGATCTTCCCATACAAGTGCCACATACCAGCACCACAAACTAACTGTCAGCTTATGTCCTTCCTTGACTAATCTACAGAGTTCCTGAATCATATCCATCCACTGTTGAGGCCATATTACATCTGGAAATAGATCAGCTAGCACTATAGTTAAATAAGCACTTCTCGGCTTTTACTTCGCCATAGTTCCTCATTACCTGCAAGCCAACGAACTACGTTAATCAGCCAGGCATGAATCATCTTCTCGGCGACTTCTCCATTATGCCTTGCAACAAATTCACACAGTTACACTTGTACAATTATATCATGTATAAGAAGTAGGGGCATAATAGATGAACAAGTGAAAGAGAAGCTCACCAAACTTCTTCCTATGAAACATGCTGATCAAAAGGACTCTAAGGACCATTAACAAAACAACCCTAAGGGATTAACCTATACACTCAGTGCTCTGTACTTCGGGGCCAACCCCAATAGAAGACTAAAAATAAAAGTAAAAAATAAGACAACAAAAGATATCACCCAAGCAAATCACAAATAAACTGTTGAGACTGTGATTAGTATTTAGTACCACCAAAATCAACTCATGAAGCCTGAATATACAACTATCAACTAAATGACCCTTTGAGCTTCAATGCATGACAGCAAACCTGTTTTGATGAAGTACCAGGATATTAAACCAGTCAGAAACCTCTCAACCTTCTTGAACTTCAGGACTCATCCATTGTACAACAAGTGGAGTCTGAAGGATAAATTAAGCACCTAACACTTTATGGGTACCCTTTGACATTTGAAATTGAGAAGAAGCTAGTTATACTACTGGCAGTGATGAGAACGAGAGAGAGTGTAAACAGCTACCTTCTCACCATTTCTTCTCCAACTTGAGGTTTCTGGGATTCTATACAATATAGGAAATTCGAGCTCAAAACTTCCCTTTGCTGATGATGTTTCATATGCCTCCAACTACTGAGCTACAGCCTACAGGTAAGCAGGACACATGGGGCATAGAGGAGCAAGAACAATGCTTCGTCACAAAGCACAGGTGGACAACCTATTTCTTGCATTCACTGTAAAAAAGAACAAGGCAGAGAGATAAGCACAGGAACAAATACATCGACACCCAGCTGCTCGTTAAAACCAGAAACAAGGAAAAACACACACCCATCATCCCATTGCAGAATCCACGACATGCTATTTCGGACGCCATAGGAAACTAAACGACCCACGAGGGTGCATTTGGATAGCTGAATTTGAAATGCATGCATTTGAAATACCTAGGATTTAAAATTCATTATTTGGATAAATGTGTATTTCAACTACATGATTTCAAATACCAAGGATTTAAAATCTACTAGAAATAATACCCGCGGCTACGCCGCAGGACATGGTTAGCAGAGAGCATAATCAGTCAATTGGTCTTTACTTGACCTTTAAGTTCATTGATTTGGTCTTGCTTCTCCAATGTTTTAATCTTACTGTTATTAAGGTTGTTCCTTCATCTTCTGATCTAATCTCCTTAGCTGTGATTCAAATCCTGTGGTAGTAGGTAAATGCTCAGGAAAAAAGCTTGGTCTAAGCATAAGACTATGATTCGATGCGCGTATTAAAAAAAGCACATTGATTAATAATTTTGGTCAACAAAACACTATCATATTCTTAACAAAATAATGACTAACAACTAATGAATACCTTTGTAAACTACCTTCTTAGTGATAAACAATACAACACTGCCCTAACGAACATTGGATGATAAGCTGAGGAATGGAAATTCATAAGCACCGCAGATGAGTTTCATGGACAGGAAATTCAGTTCAAATGATGCATTAAACTTGATGGTGTGATTTAAGCAAAGTAACTTTAGGCTGCACACCACCTGTTACTACTAAACACTAAATAGCAAACCTATACAACATAGTTCTATAAATGTACTGTGAATCCCATCTGTTCTATTATTGAAGCTATACATTTATACAGATTGTGAACAAACCATGGTAGCTATTGTTATGGGAAGTGGGTAAAACAGAATGCTAAAACTAAGCAACTATCAGCTACAATGAAGCAACAATAGAGAGTGGTTGTTGACTATGTCAACGGTAGTCTCCTTATCAAGTTCTACAGAAGTAAATAATATTGAAAGTGTCCTTTGTATTAATGGTGATATAGAAGATTATTAAGAAGCTAAAAAGACTCAAGAGTTTCTAAATACTAAACTATACTCAGACTGCTAAGAGGTAGCAGCAAAACAGTGAAGGAAGAAAAACATCAAAAGAAATGCAAGATCAGCCTCCTACCCATGCTCTATAACTGCCGTTCATTCAAATTCCTGCATTCTTCACATTAAGAAGATCCACTCAACAGATCTCCATATATTACTGCACATGTCACTCCATTTCCACAACGAAATGCAGAATGATAGCAACAGCTTATCAAGAGAGGATATATGCATCATATGATCTGCAGTCCAATACTAAGTCTCTTGATCCTGGAAATATCTCCGAAACATCTGTTTTCTGCACTCTTACAAATCTGCTATTTTCCTTCTGAGGGCTGCATACGAAAACCCCTGCAGCTTCTGGTATTTGTCACTATATTGAACACTCCATACAGTCTTGGCCACCAAATGATACAATTCAAATCCGTTGAAATTCAATTGAAATGAATTTCAGTTGAGCCTCAAACTCGTCTCTCTGAAAGTGTTTGTCCTTGCAAGCGAATGAAGCAATTTAAGTAAAACTATAAATGCATTGTATAAAGCATCAATAAGTATCCTATTCAAGAAAAGTTCAAGATTTCGAGCAAGCAAATACAACAAAGCATGATCGATTTGTTTTAATTATTTTAGTTGCATTAGCTTTGTAGGAAGTGACTATCAGTAAGTTTTCCACATTGATAAGCCAGAGATAAAGTAAGGATTAGCAGTAGTAGCTAGTTTAGGCTACTTGATAGTAATATGGCCAAAGAACCACCCAACCTTAAAATTGTTCCACTACCACATGTAGCTATCTACTGCTCTGATCTAGATCCTTAAGCTTCAATTGAGTGTCCAAGGCAAAAGTCTTGACCTAAAGAATCAAACAGAAAGAAATAAGTAAGAAGCTATGTAGAATTCAAGGAAGTAAATCTGAATTGGATCATATATAGGGAAACAACAAAGAAATTAAAAGAAATACTATCCTTGGTCTTCCTCTTGAACTCCTGGACAAAATGGTTTACCAATCTGTTTGAAGAGTGAACATTGTACCAGAAGGTTATACAATTGAAAAAAGACCAAACAACAGTATTAATGAAGCTCCATCTAACTGAAGACAAAGAGAACTAAAGAAGGTGGAACGGAACAGTAATGGCCAACCAACAAATAAAAAGCAGCAGAAATCAAATTGCGAGATATATAGAGAGACCGACTTGTAAACTGCAGTAAGTAAGATCTTGTCCTCTGTGGTGGTTTTTGCCGCCGATGCCGTTGTTCCCAAGATGTCAGAAGAGATTCAGGGGCAAGAACAATAAGAATGAGAGAGATCTCTCACAATAAAACTGAAAAGACATAGGGACAGAGACAATGAACCTCCTACTAAAACTCCATTCGAAGCTGAGCCTCTGATCAGTCCTGTCCAAGACCAAAGGAAATCATGAAACTGCTAATTAAAAGAAAGGATACGAAAAATGGAAAAGTAAGAGCTGCATCATACGCACATTAGCGATGATAAGAACAAAGCTAATGCAGGACAGTGGGTATGTTCTTATCTTCCGCAGAAGCCAACGAAGGGCAAGTAAAGCACAACCAAAATATAGACTAATAGAGCGAGGGAAAAGCCACCGTTAGAAACACAAAGTGCAGTATGGGACAACCATGGAGAGGCAGTGCATGTTGCAGTTCAATTGACTTCCGGGCACATAGCACTGAACAGAGTCCACGCCAAATAGACAGGCTGAGGCTGGTGAATGCCACAATCACAGGTGCTGATAACGTGATTGATAGGGAGGCTTTCCTGGCAGCAGAAGGAACACACTTATCAGGCTGAAAGAGGAATCAGGCAGAACAAAGAAGGCGAGGGCGACCACAAAGGCAAGTGCGAAATACCTTTCATTTTCAATGACCACAACTTGCCGCTTGATGGAACGTTCTTGCTTCTGGAAATAGGTAACATGCGTTGCAGACACCAACCGCCCTACAACATCTACGGAAAAGATAATTTCTTCAGCAGGCATAGCGTGAACGTTTAGCAGGGCAGCGTCATGAATAGAATACATACCTACAACAGAGCCATGTCCTGCGGCGATGTTCTGGAGGTCCTCAAAGCAGCAAAACTCAAAGCTATCAGGACAGAAGGTCTGATCGTCTTCAGGAGAGTGGATGAAGGAAGTTTTGGATTTGAAATACAACAGGCGGTCATTAGAACACGCCAACCAAAGTCTCCTGGACTCACGCTGGACACACTGGCTTACAAACTAGACCTTGCCCACAGCAAGAACCTATTGCAATTGACCACACAGCTGCTTAGACGCAAGTCCCTGGATCAGAACACCCTAGGAAAAGAGGCAAAAAATGAGGAACCTAAAGCAAACGACAGACGCAGGTAGGAAAAAGAGGAATCAGGCAACCAACCAACTCATCCATCCAGAGTGTGGCGTATTCGGAGAATCCATTCGGCCGCGCCGGGTTCCCTGCCGATTTATGCGTGGTAGACCGGCGATCGGGGAAAGCGGCATGGCGAACGACGCGAAGACCAAAAGAACACGTTTCAATGCGGGATTTGCGGTAGGAAGTATGCACTTGCGTACGGAAGCTACTGTGTCAGTTAAAGCGGGGTATGTTTCCAATCCGACCCAAACGTCGTCTTTCCGTCCGCCGTTGCCAACCACTCTACGGAGAACACAAACCCACGCACTTTTTATCTATTAAAGAATTGTTTGGATATTTTGTTGCAACTTTATTACCACTCACAAAGGCAATACAGTGAATCAAAACTCCACTCATCTTGACTAGGCAATCACTGTCATGTTCAACCATATATCACTGAATTATTTTACTTCACAATTCAGTATCCACCTGAACTATGCCAGTCCTCATCAATAACTCTAAGAACTTGAGCCGAGACACTGATATAAGAAGAGTAAGAATCAGAAAGCAAGGAAGGGTCTAACAAGCTATATATAATCAAGGGTTTTGCTCCAGAATCTCCAACAAAATATCACAGGACTGAGGACACCACCATCACAGCAATAGCTATCATCCAACAAGGCCTAACTAACCCAAAACAGAAACACTATCTCTAACACGGAATAGTGCTGCAGCGGTTGAGATAGTTTAAAGGTTACAGAGAAAAGATGTAAGATGATGTAACATAATAAGGGAAAGAACCTTACATTGCAATAAGATAGCCAAGCACTCATATTCTCAGCTGTAACTATGATCATCTTCTTCTCTTCATCCCACAAGTTCAACATGCTTCGCTTTGAATATCAACTATCACTCCATAGCTTTTCATCCATGCTCGAATTCTGTTCTTGAATCTTTCGTCACACTGATTGCCAAATCAGTGTCTAGTTGATCCACAACTGCTTGGTATGCTTGCGTCTTCCAGTCTCCACCACCCTTATTTCCTTGAACTATTTGATCCAGCAACACCCAGCTTAGAATCTTGTCCATTGTCGAATCCCAAACACGAGATTTACCGGGTAAAATACTTCCCCGTCGATTCATTCCTACAACAATAATAACAAATAGACAGATCACTTCAGTAGGCCAATCAAACAATTGAACCCTGAAACATACTCTTATAAGTTCCAATTCTTTAAAGACTTCAACCTAAGGCTCAGAGTCTAATTGCATCAAGTTAGCAACAAGCTTTTTAAACATAACTAGGTAAACTAGCTACTACACTTGGATCAAGTTAGCAGCAAGCTTTTCAAACATTTCAGATCCACAATTTTAGCATCATATATTACAACAGATAGCAACAGAAAGACCATCCAAAAAATAAACTATCTTCAAATACATGCTTGAAAACAGTGAATTATGCTTGACAAACATCAATATCTTGCATATGATGAAGCTACAGATGTATATATCTTAAACATAAGCCAGTGCGTGGAACTTAAGATAAATTACTGCTCCGTGCTGCTGGTTTGATCATTAAGCCAGTGCGTGGAAAAAGGGGGGACCAACGGGATAAGAATAAGGCTAATTAATTATACTATACATACGCCTCCATTGGACCAAAACTGCAAAACACAAGAAGAATACCTGAGCTGAAAGACCCAAATGCAAACCTGCAGCAATCCAAGTCCAGTCAATCACAAGTTTCAACATCAGACATTCAGCTCTACACTTCCATCATCAGCAGACAAAACCAAAAACTACATATGTCTACAGCTTCTCCATCGTGGCTCTACAAGAACTACCAATTAGCATCACTACAAGGAATTCATTTACCTGCTACCCAATAACACAACAAGGATTACATTTACCTGCTACCCAATAACAAATTGCAAACCAGGCCACCAAACTTCGACAGGATGGGACCAAACCATTCTCATGGTGCATTTTCTACTGTTAATTTCCATCCTTGAAGTTCTCAATCCAAATTCGACTTTCTTTCCAATAATGGCTCGAATTCTCAAAGAAAGCTGGACCCGCGGTGGCACCCTCGAATTCTCAAAGGGGAATGGATTTGATCGATTGGCTGGGGAGCTAATCGGGTGTTCATTTGTAATTGAAGAACTTCAACGAAAACATCTAGTGGATCGTCGGAGATCGCGAATGGCGAGTCTCTGACCGTGGAGTAGTCAGTATTGGGATCCTTATTCTCCCAATACAAGAAAACCACGTAAAAATTCGTGTGTGGTCTCATCTCTTTTATTCTCTGCGATTTCAGTGTTCTTGTTTGTTCTTGGTGTCTAACAAAATGGCAGGGACTTTGTCGATCCATGGAAGAAGAAAACTAATATCCAACGCTTGTTAGTGAAACACAGCACTTTGGAATAGCAGCTGTCAAGCCGTCTTAATAAAACGCAGCATTTTCATTAAGTTTCTGCAGGCATTGCTAGGGGTGTTCAAATGGTTACCATGATAATAACCAAACCAAATAAGTCTAAAATCTATTAACCATGGAATACAATATCATAACTAAACCGTCCAAACTAATACAACAACCAAATTAACCAAACTAAAGTTTATTCGGTTTGGTTAATTGGTTAACCAAAATAACCAATATAACGCCACATTATCATTAAGTGAGAAAAATTTTCAGTTAGTGCATCAATTTGCAATTTATATAATGAACAACACATAACAATCCACATAATTATAGTTAATCCTTAACATAAATACATGTAACAAATACAATTATCTTACATTTGACTCTTGAGTGGTTATGCAAAGTATTAAGTATGTGTATATAATATATATAAGATATATGACAAATTACTTAACTGGTTAATTTGGTTTGATTGGTTAGGAGTGCCTGAAACCAAACCAGACCACCTAAACCAAACAAGCTAAATTTTTTAACCAAACCAAACCAATTATCGAAATTAACCAAACCAAATTAGCCAAATACTACTGGTTAAAATGGTTACCATGATAACCAAACCGTTTGAACACCCCTAGACATTGCGTTGGAGTCAAAACCAAAAGGAAAGGAGAAATCTCCTGGGCCAAGTCACAAAGCCCAATTGAGATTATCTCTCGTTCAGCCTACAAACATCAAGCCTAAAGTTACAGAATTCAGTTACGATCAAACCTTAATCTCTCTATCTTCTAAGGCTGGAAAAATAGACCAAGCCGTTAGAAAAATCGTGGTCCAAACCGTATCGTACAATTTGGTCCGGACTGTAGACCGTTAAGTATGGTCTGGTCTGGTCTATGGTCTGTATTATTTTATGTTTTGATCTCTTGGTCTGGTCTGGTCTAGACCGCGATTTACCGGACCAAACCGTGGATCCAACCCACTTGTCAATACGTGTTAACAGCCTATTCGGCCACTCTCCCAACTCCCACAACGACACCCAAGTCTCAACCTTAGTTTTGTGAATCTCGTCCCTCCTTCATTCACAACCACATTTAACCATAGAGAAGAGATAATCGTGTCTCCATATGACATTATGTTAATGTTTATGACGTTATGGTGCAAGTTGGGATGCTTTTACTTTGTATATTTGTTATGTACTAAGATTTAGGGTATTAAAATTTCATGCATGTTAGGATTAATATTTTAAGGCAAATAACAATTATTTTTCTTGGTTATTGGTTCAATTTTTTGTGTGGTTGACTAAACAAATTATTCATTTTTGGTTGGGTGTGGTCTATCTGGACCAGACGAGAACGAACCAGACCGCACAGGCGTGATCTGGACCGGACCGTATAGTCTTTGGTCTGGTCTGTGGTCTATACTTCAGCCTCTCGGTTTGGACCATAGACCGTATATATGGTCTGGTCTGGACCAGACCGCACCGTTTTCCAGCCCTACTATCTTCCCTCACTTGTTCTTGGCGATAGGTTGAGTGTTTTTTTTTTTTTTTTGCAGGTGGCGAACCAGGTGAATTAAGATATCAATTTGGAGGAAAAGTCTCGCGGCGAACCAAGGTTGACCGGCTGATGTGACATTTTTCGTTGACTACCACGTCATAATAGCTCTTCCACGTCAGCATATATTTGCCAACTCACCATCATCTAACAGTTGGCTATTATTTTGTATTTGAATAGTTTTGGCTAATATTTTGACAATCGTGAAAGGTGTGGCTAATATTTTGTGTTTACCCTGTTATCTAACTATGCATATACTTCTCCAACTATCATCATTCTCATCAACTGTAAAAAATTATTGTGCAACAAATTGGAAGAAAACGTCGATAGTAGCTGGAAAGCGCAAGGGAAGCCGAGGGATCGTTTGAAGCCTGGGTTCCAGATGGGTTGGACAAAGATGGATGAAATGATTATTGACCGCAAAAGCCAAGTTATGAAATGGAGGGAGTGGAGGTTGGAACAGTTCCGATGAAGAAGATATGCCAGGAAGTTGATGAGCAACAAGGAAATCAGGTGGAGGTAGCCATCCTAAAGTGGCTCCAACCCTGATAATTTATTGGTTGTAAAATTACTGTCCTAGTTTTGGTTATGCTATGCCAATGCCATGGTTGGCAGAAGCTAAGAGCAAAAGAAAAAATGGAAGAGTAAGAAAGAGGAGGGGTAATGGTAATAACTTTTACACGCTCTTATATCATAATAACGATTTAGGATTTATAAATTTGAAGAAGTAAAAACTATCTCATTCTTCCTTTTCATTATATATATCAGGAACTACAGCATAGGGTAAAAGATCCAGTTGTGTTTGTTATAGTGAAAACGATAAACAAAGTGGTGGTAAAAAAACAAAGTTGTTAGCATGTGATTTTTAGATGTTGTGGCTACTTCTAGTTCGAATCATGGAGACGATGAAAAGAAGAAGATCTTCTTTTTTAGCTAACCTTTTATTGTGTTTCCATACCAAAGGTACATAAAAAATGATATTCAATAATGACAGTCGATACGCATAGAACACCCTTGATTTTATGCAAATTATCCTAGTTAACAATTAAAAAAATAATGAAATACTATCCTAATATTTTATGCTCATACCAAACAATGAAACTCAAACTAGCTACCAAAGACCTAGAAAGCAAATTCTAAATGCCCACAACCCTCCCCTCTCTTTTCCTTCCATTGCTAATGCCACGGAAGACAAAAATCAAAAGCACGTGTGCCAGAGTCGAAAAAGCAAGGACCACTCTTCTTTATGGCCCATTGACAATAAGTACAACGCAAGATGTCCCTTTTAAAAACGTAGATGTCAAACCAATGAACCCCCTCCCCCCAATCAGCGCTGCAGTAAAACAGAGTGGTTCCAAAGATGTTCGGTCGAAAGTTCCATTTGATGCCTTCATGTGTTAGTAGCACAAAGACCCCAATATCGTCGTCTCTGGATTTGCAATGAAGTGTCAGTTTCCGCCCTCCCTCCACCTCATTCCTCACCACCACAGACGTTTTAGGATACCATGGAACCCATGAGTTCCTCGCCTCGATGAAAGAAGTTGTTTGTGTTAACAATAGGATGACAACAAATATGATGTAGTTTTGCCTCGACATTTTTTTCTTTGGTTGCTTGATGAACCCTAGACTTCGAATTTATATTATGATTATTATATCTATATATGTGGGGTAGATAACTACAAGCATTATTTATGGTAATACAAAACCCATTCAAATAACCATAAACTTCGGATAACACAAAATAGTATTAAGGTGCAATAAAATAGAGAAGAATTTTAGACTCAAGTTATCCCATCACTAACTAAATAAACTAAAAATGCGAAATTCATGCACATGGACATATATATTCTACCAACACATTGAGTTCAATTTCTTTTGTCACCTTGATAAGGAATAAGGATAACAAGTTTGAGTTCAATTTCTTTTGTCAAATAGTTCAAGTTCATGGAGCAAATATAGAATGCCACTATGTAAGTATCACAATGCTAAAGTGCAAATAGACCCACGAATATGATTTAAGCAATCAAAATAAATTCAACTATATTAAGATAACAAGCATATTAAGATTCAAGACAGTGTCATGAAGCCAAAAAAATATTGGTGAATAGGTATAACCAATTAAAAGTTTTGAGTTAATGATATTTAAATGGGTTAATACGTTACTTTGGCACGAACTATACCCAAACTTACTACTTTGGCCCGTGTTTTCTGAAATTGCTCCTCGGGTTTGAACTATGCACCATACTTCTTTGCTTGGCCCGACGTGGATTTTGACTGTCAAATTGAACGGTCAACACCATTAACCGTTAGAGCATCCACATCAAGTTTGCATTTTGAATTGCAAATTGATGTGGCAATGGAATTGCAATTGCATTTCCAATTGCATGGATATGAGTCTCAATTGCAATTATCATAGCTTTTATTTTATGCAATTCCATATGCAATTGTCATGTAAGCATTTTTTTTCTTTTGTTATTTTTGTTTATGGATAAAATAATAAACTTATAAACCTTTTTTTATAAAAAAAATATAATTTATGGGCACAAAAACAATTGCAAGTTAATTGCATTGATGTAGGTGAATGAAATTAAAGTGATGTGGATTGTAAAAAAGTTGAGTTGTCAATAAAGAATACAAATGCAATTGCATCGATGTGAATGCTCTTAGTCAAGTGTCAGTTCACTTGCCACCCTGAAACAAAAACTTTGGATTTTAAATTTATATAAATTGTTTCAATTTCTCATACCCCCTGCAAGATATTGCTCATCGAAGCTGGAGGTTCCCGAGTCCCTGTGAAAAGGTCGATTAAGGGAGAACTATCAAGTTGTGGGAAAACTCCAACAGTCATGGAAGATGCGTTAAATTCTTGGAGATTACTCCGATGGGTCGTGCTTTCTATGTCATCATTCCGCTCGACAAAAATTTCGCTGGCTGGAATGCCTTAATCCGCGCTATGGGTGAAACTAGAAAAATCTCTCATGCGGTACCTTGCATTTAGGAACAGTAGGAATGCTGAAGTTGTGCCTGAACGATCTTACGCGGATGGACACATATGTTTCATTGAGGCGGAAGAATTCGGAGTGAAGGAAAGGCTTAGATTTTTGGATCGTTGTATTTGTCTTAGAGTTCTTCGGAACCCAGAACAGGGGACTTCCCAATAATTGGAAATTAAGCTCAGATTTTAGGTTCTCTAAACGCTATGGTGATTATTGGATGCTAATTTGCCCAAATCACTCGGAAGCAATTTACCTCGACAAACTCTAGAGGTAGGATTGCTATCTTCTGGGAGTTGAGTAATTTTGATTATTTTTTTATGGTTAATCAAAATTGCATTTAAGTACTGGGAGTTGCAACTTGCAAACCTCCCTCTCAAGGATTACAACTGTGCTGGGAGTTGCTATCTTCTGTAAACGTGTGTTTCTTTCCCTCCAAATGTAGCTAATGCCCATTATCCAAAACACTCTCCCTACTGCAGCCCTGTCAGACTTCACCCCCCATTGCCTTTCAGCCCATTGCAGATGTGCACTCCGGTAAGAGAACCCAGGGAAAACACACACTTTATGTAATAACTGTCGAAGCACCTCCTGTCCAAATGAACACATCCCAGACAAATGGTCTCTGCTTTCATCACCACCTGGACACAAGACACAACAGGGGTTACAGACAACACCCCCACCAGCAAGCTGGTCTTTAGTCCTAAGACGCCCCAGCACAGCCAACCATAGTAGGACACAATGCTTAGGATAAATAGGCTTATCCCTCACAACGCTGCTCCATGTTACCGTTGGAGAGGCCTCTCTGATAGTAGACCAGACAAGCTTCATAGAGTATTTAGGGATCCTCTGTCCATCCCATGCTAAGGTATCACCTGCACCAGAAATATATGGATGAGCATAGCTCCTACACTTCAAAATTTTCTTCCAAACCCATGTGCTTACTGAGCTAGCTGGAAGAGTCCACAAGCTCCTCCCTTTGACCCTGTACCTGTTCATCCATGCCACCCATAATGACCCTGCCTCCGCTAGTAAATTCCACAAGTGACGAATCACACAAGCCTTGTTCCAATTTTTAAAATCCCTAATACCCAGACCTCCTTCCTTGCGTGGGAGAGCTAATTGAGACCATGCTACCAAAGCTTTCTTCCTCCTGACTCCATCCACACTCCACAGAAATTTATTGCAAGCAACCTCAATCATTTTAATCACCTTCATTGGAAGTAAGAACACAGACATCCAGTATTGGCAGACACTACTAATGACAGAGTCTATCAACTGAAGCTTGCCAGCATAGCTCAAGGTCCTAGCTTGCCAGCTGGTGATCCTTTTTGTGATTTTCTCAACAAGGCTTTGACAATCAATAGAGGTCAACTTACCTGAAAGCAATGGTACCCCCAAAAATCTGACAGGCAGTTCCCCAAGAGGGAAACCAGACTAATCAGAAAGTGCTTGCTTCTCTTTTTGTAGCAAACCAGCACAGAATAGTTGGCATTTCTGCATATTACACTTCAACCCAGACATTGAATAAAACTTCTCTAGGACGTTCTTTATACCCATCAAAGCTTGAGGAGACCCACTTGCGAAAACCAACAGATCATCTGCAAAACAAAGGTGGGTGATTTCCAGACTTTTACATCTAGGATGATATGGAACCTCATTTGATTCAACAGCTCTAGCCAACAAACATGAGAACACTTCCATCGCTATAGTAAACAGGTATGGGGACAAAGGATCCCCTTGCCTCAGACCCTTAGCAGCTGGGAAATACCCACATAAACCGCCATTGAAGGAAACACTAAGCATAGGAGTCACTACACATGCCCTAATCAGTTCAACAAACCCCAGAGACAGACCCATAGCACACAGTACCTTAAACAAGAACCCCCAATCAACTAAATCAAACGCTTTCATCAATCAAACTTGTTTGCACATCTAGGTGATAACCTGCCCCTACTATAATCCTTCACTAACTCAGTAGCCATTAGAATATTATCACTAATTAGTCTCCCCCTAATAAAAGCAGATTGACTGTTTCCAATAAGTTTAGGCAAGATCAATGACAATCGATTAGCAAGGATCTTAGAGATACCTTTGTATATGACATTGCAACAAGAAATAGGCCGAAAATCCTTCATCTTCTCAACCACTGGAAGTAATTTTGATTTTATTAATGCTTGGGAGAGCAATTTCTCGCTTGCAGTACAACTTCGTGAGGCTGGAAGTCGGGACAGTTTTGTAATTCTTGGTGTTTATGTCCCTGGGAGAAGGAGGACAAGCTAAACTTTATTCGAGAACTCCAGTTTGTTTGTCAGAATTGTGCGAATCCCCTTTGCATAATTGGGGATTTTAATTTGGTTCGTTCTGATGAAGATTTCATTGGGCAGCCTCGCGATGGGGAACTTATGATGGAGTTCAATGACTTAATTACTGCATTTGGACTTATTGATTTGCCTTTGAAGGGCTCTGCTTTCACCTGGAGTAAGGGGAGGGACTAGGGAGGTCAAGATCTTTCTCCCGTATTGATAGAGCCTTATTAAATCAGAGTTTTGACTCGAAGTTCTCCCCTGACTCCATCCTTGCACTGGATCGCGTAGAGTCAGATCATAACCCTTTACTTCTTATATGGGGTTTGGAGGAAAGGGTAAGACGACCATGGTGTTTTGAGAATATGTGACTCCTTGATGATGATTTTTTAGCTAAAGTCGTGGGGTGGTGGAATCTGCCGGTTGTAGGGTTTGGTCCTTTCTTCTTGGCAAGACAAAGGTTGAGAAACACCAAGTCTATGATCAAAGCATGGAATATTGAGCATTTTGGGAGGTTGGAGTCCAAAATTTCCGGGCTGCTGACAAGAATAAAGGAAATTAACAAGGCTGATGAGAGGGGTCATGCTATGGATTCTGACCTAATCGAACGAGGTCTGATGAAATGTGAACTTGAAAAGGTACTTCTGATGGAAGAAATATCATGGAGGCAAAAGTCGAGAGAATTTTGGTTGAAAGTTGGAGACAAAAATACTGTCTTCTTTCACCGAGTGGCCATGGCTAATCATAGAAGAAACAAGATACAAATTTAAAGATGAATGGCTCGATCATTTCTGAGAAAGTTGAGTTGCAGGCTGCAGGCTGCGTTCATTGATCATTATAAAGAAAGATTCAGAGAAACTGCAGATGTAAGACTGCTCCCGTTGGATTACAGAAGTGGGGTGATTGATTTAGAAGAGAATTACAGGACAAGCTCTCCCTTCATTGAAGCAGAATTATGGATGACGATAAAGAGCTGCAGAGGTGATCGAGCTCCAAGGCCGGATGGCTTCACCCTTGAGTTCTTCAAAAAAATTTGGAATATCGTGAGAAGGGATTTACTGAAGGCTTGTGATGAGTTCTACATTTCTGGTTTTGTGCCGGACTGCATTGCCCGTACTTTCCTTCCATTGGTTCCTAAGAGGGAGGCTGTAGAATTTGTTAACGATTATCGGCCAATTAGTCTGATTGGCAGCATTAACAAAATTGTCTCGAAGATGTTAATTGCTCGACTTCAACCACTAATGGATAAGGTTGTTTCTTTTCATCAATTTGATGGCGTGAGGGGCCGACAAATTCATGAAGCAAACTTAATCGCAAATGAATTGGTCGATAGTAGAAGGAAGAGTGGGAATTCTGGAATTTTGCTAAAATTAGATATTGATAAAGCCTTCGATTCGGCAAGTTGGAGCTGCCTCTTTAGTATTGTTAAATCCATGGGTTTCAACTCGAAGTGGGTGAAGTGGATCAAAGGTATTGTCTCAGCCTCTAAAGTTTCAGTGCTGGTCAATGGGGAGGCATCAGGATACTTTGGGATGTCTAGGAGCTTCAAGCAAGGAGACCCTTTATCGCCTTTCTTCTTCAACTTGGTAATGAATGTGTTATCTTTTATGCTTCAGAAGATCGCAGCTGCCGGTTACTTATCTGGATTTTGTATGAATGAGAAGCAAAGATTAGGGGAAGTCACACATCTCTTTTATGCAGATGATCCACTACTTTTTTGTGATGCAGAAGAAGATCAGATGATCAATGTGTTGGTTGCACTCATTTGGTTTCAGAGCGTTACTGGGTTAAAAATAAACTTAGACAAATCAAAGCTCATGTGGGTAATGTTGATAATGTGGAAAGACTTGCTAATATTCTTGGCTGTAAATGGGATGTCCTCCCCACAATCTACCTTGGTCTCCCACTGGGCGCCTCTCCTACATTTGCAAGTTTGTGGAATCGAGTCATTAATAAGGTGCAAATCAGATTAGAAGGGTGGAAAGGAAGGCTGTTATCTCTTGGGGAAAGAATTGTTTTGTGCATTGCAACTCTAGCTAGCCAACCAATCTATGTTGGGTCGTTGTTTAAGGCACCTAAGACCGTAATTCAGAAGCTGGAAAAATTGCAGCGTACATTTATTTGGGTAGAGTACCAAGAGAAGCGCAGGCTTCATCTTGTCGCGTGGGAACAATGCAAACTAACAAGAAAACTTGGAGTGTTGGGAATCCCAGATTTTGAAGTGCAAAACACAACTTTATTGTCTAAATGGTGGTGGAAATACATGACAGAAAAGGATTGTCGATGGAGAAGTCTGATAGAGATTAAGTACACTAATGAGACGTCTCAATGGATGACATCGGAGCCTCGTAATCCTATCGGCTACAGTGTTTGGTCACATATTTTTAAACAGAAGAACTTGTTCTGGAAGTTCGCGTGAATCATCCCGGGAAGTGGTGACTCTACTTCTTGTTGGTATGATCCGTGGCTTCTTGAGAAGGCTCTTGCGTTCGAATACCCGAGAGTGATGTTGTTACCTATGATCCTTCCCCGCTAGCATTATCTTTGACTATGTTGTTACCTTGAGTGATAATCTTACATGGGAAATACCTCTTCGCTTTTCTTTGAGAGGTGGGGATGAAAGAGAACGTGAGAGACTTTTGTTTCTTCTTAATAGTGTTTGTTTATCTGTTTTTGAGCTAGGTTCAGAAGCAATTTCATGGCTCCCTTGTCCCTCAACATGGTTCAGTGTTCATTCCATGTATAAAGAACTTTTGAAGAGTAGGTAAGATGATGGCCCGGAGTTTCCACATCGTATGATCTGGCAACATCATATTCCCCTCAAGGTCTGTGCATTTATTTGGATTGCTTTCCAGAAGAAAATTCTGACCCATGATGCCCTGAAAAGGAAGGGTTGGGCATATCCAAGCAGATGTGTTCTTTGTTGTAGTAGAGAAGAGGATCCAAATCACATTTTCCTTACTTGCACTTTTGTTAATGTTGTGTGGAGACTGATCCGACGCTATGTGCACATTGTTACCTTCCACTCGGATATCTTAATCCTCATCAGGGAATGGCAGGATTTCAATCCAAATGATGTTAAAGGATGGTGCTCGAAGACCCTGGTGCATGCTCTGTTCTGGACGGTTTGGAAAGAGAGAAATAGAAGGACCTTTGATGAGATTACCTCCAGTCCACAGGTTGTTGCTCTGAGAATCGGTTACTTGATCTCAAAGTGGCTAATGATTGCAGAGAAGGCGGATAGAAGAATAGTTGAAGAAATGTGAAGTTGTTTAGGGTTTTCAAGTTATAGATGCATAAGTAAAGTTATTGTATAAGAAGGTAAATCTTGAGTATTATCATCCATACTAAGGCTAAAACATATCATGCATCAATGACTCATCTATAGCATCACTTTATCCCTTCTATTAAGGCCATTCTCTACCTGTGTGTTGGCCTCTTGCAATAGAGATTTAACTAGTTAATGTGTGCTTTTGTTTCATGTCATTACGTAATTAATGAAGAACAAGAAATTAGGATATTATATTATTATGTATGGTCTTCTTGAGTCATAATCGATGGTTTATAGCATCAATGATCTAACAATCAAGCATTGATACTACTCGGGGTATAGATAGTTGAACATTTTTTCTATACTCATGTAGCATCAATGGGGTATCACTAGAGGGTAATTTATTAACAACCTAGAAGATACTAAGCACAATTCATAAAGTAGTATACTATAGAGTCATAGGCATCGATGATAAGAAGTATTGAACTAAATGAGCGTAAATTTCATACATAAGAATCAAAACATAAAGCATCCATGTATACATATAAGGCATAAAAAATCACAAGCATCAACATAAGCCGAATATAAACCATAGCATCAATATATACAAAGATAAAGGAGTTCAAATTCTTATACGGTCAATTTCAAACTACCTAAACAAAGAAGAGAATGAGGGTAGCACCATCGATGATGAAAGCATATCTCTAGCTGCATCCATGCTAAGCTGAGTGAGTGTTTACAGAAGATTAGTGAATTTGTGTATCCTAATGAACAAATGAGTCTAGACCTCTAACAGTAGAAATCGATTAAAACCCTCCTATTTGGGGGCCGAAGCATAACCTAAAAGTCTTCTATTTGGGCTTAGGCCTCTTGGTGGCGACTAGTTGGCGGTTAGAACCATTGTTGTTTTTCCTCCATGGGCTGACCTCCGTGTCCCATGGAAAACCTCTCCTAACGATTTGGTCGCGATCTGTATGGGTCTCCATGAGTGGCGGTTGGACCCGATGTTGGGCTGTCGCTGGTTTTTGCTTATGCTTGGCTTGAGTATCCCTCTATTGGACTTCTCTTGGGCTCTACTTGTGGTTACTAATGGAATTCTCCATCATTGGACCTCATCTTTTATCATGGGTAGGTTGGTGGGTCAATCTGTGCACCCCTACTAGCAACACCAAACTTATAGCCACCATAGGTGTATTAACACCACTATAGAAATATGATGTTTGTGATCTTGGGTTCCCAATACTCACTCCTGTGGGAAGCAAATGAATATGTGATTCGATTGGAGAAAAATCAAATTGAGAAGGGAAGCAAGACATGAGAAGGAAAGAATAAACAGGAGGATGGAAACAAAGAAAAAGAGCCAAGGAGCTTATTCTTAAAGAAGAATAATCAGTCAACAATGAAGATGGAGAATTTAGAGGATATGAATGAGTTTTGGAAGGTAGTAATAAAGAGGTTTGAGGCTAGAACATTGAGAAACTTTGACGAGAAGACGAAGACAATGAAACGAGGGTAGGAAGAGAAGATTGAGCGGCGTCCGTCTTAGTAACACTCAAGGTTACATCAAGACTGTGAGCAGGAGAAGGATATGAGGAATTATGAGAATCACAGAGAGAAGAAGGTTGAGGCACAAAATTATCCATAGAACATAAAGAAGAATAATTTTGGGACTTCGATGAACCTATTCACCACCGGCACAACCATGACAAGCTCACTCCAAATCAAAACAGGTCGATGATAAGACCAATCCTCAAACCATATATCAACCCTTCCCCCCCAAATTGACTGTGTCAGCCTTGACCTTATCATGATTATAGATTCCATACTCCAAAAACAACCCCTCATATTTTCTAATACATTCTCTAGGGTTCTCACCATTGAAGGAAGGAAATCCTAAAGACAACTGAGAATTGGAATTACCTTGGGTTGTGTTTATTTGAGGTTTAACATTGACTTGTTATGGGACACCACTCCTTGGCGGAAGGCATATTGGCATACCCCCCAACCCCACACTTCATCGAAAAGGTGGTGGGTGGATACCTTGAGAAAGGCTATGACCATTCAACGGCTTCCCCATGTCAGTAACAATGATTACAAGTCTCGTTTGACCCAGCTTCGTCAAACGAAATCGGACTTCGTTAAAGCCGCAAGTTGAGAACTAATTGTTATCCAACAACTATCATCTCTATCTCCACGGCAGAGATATGATCTCCGAGCTCCTGAAGTCGCAATTTCATCACTCTTGCTCGATTGGTAACAAAAACCAGACGTTCCTCCATTTGCACCATTCGAATTGTATTTGCCATGGGTGTCGACAAATGACTCCGATACTACCTTTTAACTCATGTGCTTGAATTGGTTCTCTTCTCTTTGAATTCAATTGGCAAGGAGGAAGATTGGTAGGGAAATGGAGAAATTACAGGACAATAGAGAAGAAGAACAAAGAAAGAAGAAGAAGAAGAATAGAGAATTTTAAAAGTGTTGTATTTTTATTTGTTACCCATTTTAATGACAATACAAGTCCTTTTGTTGTGCATGGTCAATTACAAAAGACCACTCGAACTCTAGTATTTTAACACCTCATCCCATCTGTTACAGAATTACTGACCCACTATTGGGCTATAGGAAATTCTTTATGTTTATTTCACGCTAGCTTCATTTTAATTTTGACTCGCTATATTCATAATTTTTATTACCAAAAAAAACTATTTATATGTAATTTTGAATATCTCAGGGGCCTAAGGGCCCCAAACACTATTGTAACTCCTCCACTGAGTCAACGACATATAAACATGACCACGCAACACTCAATTACCTCTCTCAACACAATTTAATAACTATTGCTTTTTACTTTGGGTTAATACCATTGGGAAACCCGAACTATTAACTTTGTGTCATTTGTGTCCTAAAGTATTCGATATGACATTTGTGTCCCAAACTATTTTTCCGTTAAAGTTGACTAGCGTTGACCGTTAGTTTTTAACAGAAAGTCTAGTCAGCGCTTATGTGGCATCTGACGTGGAACTTTTATTATTAATTTATAGTTATTTTTCATATAAGAAAAAAGAAAATAAAAAAAACAAAAACAGTAAACAAATTGATTTGGGATTCTCTCCAGCCAAATCCCAACTGCCTACCACCGCCTTTCACCATACAATTTCCGGCCACCGATTCTCCCCAGCCAAATCTCTATTACACTTGGGATTCGCTCAAACAGCTCGTCAAGATCGGGATGGCAGGTGCTTGTTGTTGGCGATTCCTCGACTCCCTCTGATTGGTCCTTGAAAGGTGTCGTATTCATCTCTATCGATTCGCCACCAAACCCGTCACCATTCCCCTCCATCGCCGGTTAATCGTCATCACCCCAGGCACCGATCCATTCCCCACCACCACCTGCGCTAGAAGGAGCGAGATTCAGCACCGGCCGCAGTGAGCAGCGGAGCTGAAGCCATATTGGTTCATGAATGTTTACCGACGTTGCCGCCTCCGCCCAAATCGCCGACGGATTCCAAGAGACGGCGAGCAGAGGGCGAGGCTTTTCTTCCTCCCTTGCATCCGTCGGCTTCTTCACAGGGCGTCCTGTCTGATTGGGTTGGGGGGTTCAGTTCATCAAAGGGGAAGAAAAAGAAGAACGGGTTCAGTTCGAAATCAGGCTAGATCCGGGAGAAAAACAAAACAAGAAAGCGAAAATGGAAGGGGCAAATTGACGGATGAAGAGATGAGGATATGTGGCTGAAAATAATTTTAATTGTTAAGATTTTTATTTTTTATTTTGTATTTTAATGGTTAATTTTAATTTGAAAATAACAACCTGATGTGGCAGCTGACGTGGCGCATATGTGGCTGCCACATATGTGCCATGTAATCAACAGTCAACATTTTATGGTTGACCGTTTGGTCAACCGTTATCTATAACGGTCAACAAAATTGTCAGGACGTAAATGACACACAACTATCATACGTTAGGACACAAATGTCATATCGAATACTTTAGGACATAAATGACACAAAATTAATAGTTCGGGTTTCCTAGTGGTATTAGCCCTTTTATTTTTGAATAATTCAATGAACTGCTAGTTTGGACTTGGTCCATTATTTTCTTTGGATGTTGTATAACAACATAATTAATTGACTCTATATTTAATTATTTGCACATAATGATCTTCATCACATTAACCTTTTTGTTTTAATAGATTTAAGCTCCTAATCTTCTTACAAGCCCTATATATAATTTCTTATCTTGTACAGCCCATCTGATTAGTACCCCATTGTGTGATTAACTGGAAAAAATTATAAGTGTCATCTTTTCAAGGTTGTCAACCCGGCCATCCGAGGGTCGACCCGAACCCGGTCAAGCTAGTGGGTCAAGGGTTAATGGGTCACCCGTTTTAGCCTTCTTTAGCTCGAGAATATGAAAAGAGTTATTATATTGTACTTATCTAAAACATCAAACAACACAATTCAACTTCTAAAACAATTCAACTTCTTCCTAACATCTAAAACATCAAACAAATGGAACCAAATTCATCTAGAACATCTAAAACAAAAACATCACAATTCTCGTTCGTTTCCATTTATTGGAACCAAGTCCCAAGTCCCAAAACCCAACAACCGTCGATCGGCAAGGAGAAGGGTGGAAGGCCGAGATGCCAACTAGAGATGAAAGGCCGAGCTTGAACTGTCAACTTTCCAAGCAGGGGCGACCGAGCTCGAGGAAGCCCAAATGTAGGACGCCAGACGGAGACAGAGGCGGTCGAGCTCGAGGCAGGGGAGACCGAGCGGTGGAAACCGAGGGAGATGGCAGCCGAGCTGTGTAGAAGAATCTCTCCGCCCTAGAGCGCGCCACCGACAAACCTTGGCCTACTGGCGATGGCGATCGAGCGACTGCGGGAGCGGGAGACAGTTGGGGGTTGCGGCAAACCTAAAATGGAGCAGGGTCGAGAACAAGTAGGGTTTTCATTTTCCAAACCCATGTTCAGCTTCTCCCAGCATAAACGGTGCCGCATAAGACAAAAACGGTGCTCAGGAGGAGCGACCCGCTGTGACGGGCTAACCGACCGGGTTTACCCGGTTTGACCGGGTACGAGCTGACTGTAAAAAGGGTTAATATGACCCGTTTTTTAGGACGGGTCCATGCCAACCCGGGTCAACCCGCGGGTTGACAACCTTACATCTTTTTTATATAGAAGCTTCTTGACCAACAAGTCGTTGTTGTCTACTTTGAAAGGTGTGGAAGTGAGTATAAATAGATGATAAAACTTTTCTACCTCCTTCATTATATAGTCAAGAATTCAGCAGTGAGAGTTTAGCATAGAAGGTTTTGGTACTTAGGTGCATTTTCCATTTGATGAACAAGAAAGAAGAGGTAAGCACATGACATTCTCACTAATGACCGACAACTTAATATTGGATCACTCACAAAACACTAATGATTCATGTATTTATGATTAGATGTATGTGACATTGCGATGCATCACTCTGATACTAGATTGTATATTTTCACTATTTCAATTTCATTGAGAACAATGAAGCTTATCAAAGCTCGAACGAGAAAAATGTTTGTCATTTATTTTAAAAAGGAAAGAAAGTAGCTACATTGTGCACACATTTGTTTACCTTATTTTCTTTCTTAGAAGACACTCTTTTAAAATGATGTAATAATTAAAGAAATATAATTAAGAGTCAAAGAGTGAAAGGGACAAACTTCAAGTACCAATCATGCAAGAAGGAAAGAAATTACCTAACCAAATTTCTAAAAATGGAAGATGTCGACCTCTCATTCAAGTATTTGTCTCCCTTCTTTGTAATTTATGTCTTCCCAAAGCAAGTACATCAATACAGTTGTGTCTTACAGGCTCATAAATTTCACTCCAAAGACGTTCAAATGCTTTATGAATTGTCTCGTACTCTATTCTTCCATTATTTAGTATATTTCTTCTCCAAATTTCGTCAAATTCATTTTCAATGACCTTCAACGCACTAAATCAACAAATCAAACATAGAACTGGAAAAAAATATAGACATATTGCCAAAAGACAAAACACAAGTTTTCTAAGAGGAAGTAGTTTGTGCTGAACACGTGACTCCTGGATATTGTGGCTACTTCTGGTTTGAATCATGGAGACAACGAAAAGAAAAAAAATCGTATTTTTATCTAATAATTTTAATGCTTCCCAACGTCCATAAGGCATGGATTGCTCTTCTTTATGATCCTTCAACAATAAGTGCAGTGCAAGTAATCCCTCTTTCAGGAGTAAATGTCAAACCAATGAACTTCATCTCCAATCAGTTGCAGTAAAGCAAAGTGGTTATAATGATGTTCGGTTGAAAGCTCCTTTTGATGTCGTCATGTGTTAAAAGCATAAAAACCCTAGTATCATTGTCTCTGGACGTACAATGAAGTTGCGGTTTCTCCCATCTTCCAACTCATTCCTCACCACCATAGTCGTTCTAGCATACTTTGGATCCCATGGCTCATCACCTCGATGAAAGAAGTTGTTTGTGTTAACAATAAGACAAAAACAAATGTGATGCATTTTTGCCCCTCATTTTTTTTGTTTCTTTAATTGCTTGATGAAATTTAGAAGCTTTGAATTTATAATATCATTATTATATCTACGTATGTAGGAATATATAACTACAAGCGTTATTTATGGTAACAAAAAACTCATTCAAATAATTGTAATAAACTTCGGAACGCAAAAATAGTTTTGAGGTGCAAAAAATAGAGAAGAATTTTAGAATCAAGTTATCCTATAACTAACTAACCAAACTGAAACTACCGAAATTCATGCACATGGACTCTTATATATATAACCTACATATACATTGTATAAACAATAGTTGAATATAATGAGTTCAAACATGGGGAGGAGGAGAGCAATTCTTATATTTAAGGTTATGTTCCTAGTGTGTATCGTAATCATGAATGACATCGTACAAGCTGATAGCACAGATGGCTTCTTTCCATCAAAGAAAATGGTGATGATCGGCAATGCGCTTGGGGGTAGTGTTCAGCTGAAGGCGCATTGTAAGTCGAAAGATGACGACCTTGGGGTTAGGGTGTTAGGACCTGGACAGGAATTCCATTTTAAGTTTTGGACAAGCTTTTTTACCACAACCGTATTTTATTGTTCCTTTGAATGGCCAGGTAGTGGTGGACTTCATTGGTATGATGTCTATGATGATGACAGGGATTTCTGGGGTGGCAAGAATTACAGATGGGTTATCAAACCCTTCGCAATTTGTAAGTTTAATGTGCCAACTAAGGAGTATGATAGGTGTATGACTTGGAAGGAGCATCATATGTGATAAAGAATGAGGGAGAAATTAAAACAATAAACTAGAAAAGATCACATTGTTCTTATATTTTGTTTAGGTTCCAAGTTTATTGTTCAATTTATTTTTTCAATTGGTTGGGCTCCAAGTTTATGATGTAGCAATCAAAATAAATTTACCTACAAAAGATAACAACCATATCAAGTTAGTGCCATGAAGCCTAAAAATATTAGAGAATAGGTAGAACTAATTAAATATTTTGAGTTAATGATATTGGAACGCATCCTCTCACAAATTAGAAAGATGTATGAGTTCTGAATAGAATCTTACGCCAAGGAGCACAATTACTCTAACATAATTTGCTATTTAGGGACACAGAGATCAATAACTATAATGTCAGCACATACACAAAGGCTTATTCATGTAACACATGCAAGAACTAAAAATCAGTGCGCAATTCATGCCTTTCAGTTTTTATGATCATAATTTTTTTCTTGATTTCAATTGTTCTCTGGACTTTTTATCAATATGAATCCTCACAAGAATCAACACGATACTTTGCAAATTTAGGCTGTGGCGTAGCCAGATTTGAACTTGACTGGGGTCCTAAGTGGTGGGTTATATAGAAACTAAGGTGAAGATACATGAGAAGCTCTTAATATGTTGAGTGAGATGATTTATTATGGGGTCCTAAGTCCAATTTACAGCAATTATCTAAGCATTTTTTACTCATAATTGTTCCCAAGTGGGGTCCTGGGACCCCATTCCCTTGACTGTGGCTCCGCCACTGAATTTAGGATCATTTTGTTCCAAATGATTCATCTTACTATATTTTTTTATCGATCGCCGATAAAGATAGCACACAACAAAAAGAATTACGTATTTAGCTTCTAACTAGTTATCCCTGTGTATAATAACATAACGTCCAAAGCCTCTAATGCCCCTATCAAGCAAGCAAAGAAATAGACAATATTGAGGCAAAAGTGCATCATATTTGTGGAAGTCCTAGTGTTAAACACGAGCAACTTCTCTCATCTGGGCAAGGAGTCGATGGGAAATGAGGTGGAAAGACGACGGACTTTGAGACTTCATTGCAGGTTCAGAAGCAATGCATTGAGTTTTTTCCCCTGAAAAGAGACAATGTATGAAGGTGTCAAATGGAACAAAAATTATCATGAATTTTGAAATTGAACCATTCCAAGTTCCCGGGAGGGTTTTTCCTTTTCGAGAAAAGTTTAAGAACTTGTAATCGAACCATTCCATGTATTGTATGTAGCTTGCAATGGCAATAGTAAATTATTTCGTATTAATCTATTAAAAAATTATGTTTCACAACCATTATTGACTTACAACATACAAATGACTGAGAATGAATTGTTCACTGGTCTCTTGGTAACAGATAACCATGCAAAATATAAAAGAATTTTAGACTTAGGTTATCCCATAGCTAACTAACCCCCTTAAAAATGCCGAAATTCATGGACGTGTATACAGTTGGATTATGGTTTTAATGATGTGGCGGGTTGGGTTTAGTGTTTTTCGGGTTAAATCCGACCGATTAGTAGATTTTGTTTGCCACATTAGCACTTAACTGACTTTATTAATGGAGTTGGACAGATAGTGAGCAAACATGATATCTTTTACTAAACTCAATTACCATTATTGATATTAATTTTTTCCCATTGACTAAACATGGCACATTTTAATAAAACCAGTGACCAAACTTGGAATTTATCTGTTTTGAATAAGAAATGAGTTTTTTTAATAGGATTCGGTGCACCTACACGCTACCTTGTTGGCCGCGATTTGCAAGAAGTTAGACCAAGACTGGCTGATTAGCATCACTCATATATATCGCGAAGGGAATTGAGTCGCGAACTGACTCTCGAAACACAGTCTCGTCTATCCCTACGACACATATGAGCTTGCTAACTTGCTGGCGGGTCTGGCTCCGTTTCTTAGAGATGATGTTATGAGGATTACTTTGAGAGATTGATTGTTGATTGCTCAATCCCCCCTCCCCTTTCGCAAATATATATATTTTTTTAAAGGAAAAGATAGTAAATTTCATTTCTGTCAATAAATTTCAAAATTATAATCTTATATGTACATATATTTAAATGATGTATAAAACGGTTCAAATAGGTCTAACTGATCAAATAATTAAACCTCAATTCCTTTACTTACCGACTCGACTTAAATCGACTATCTTATTGTTAACCCTTCCTCCCAGGCCACGGCCCCTCCTACCCGCCTAAAGTCCGTTTTCCAGTTCGACGACGTCTCCCCGTAAACATCGTCGTCGTCGTCTATCATCTCTCCCTCCATATATAACCGCAGAAAACACACCTTTTTTCCCTCTTTTTCTGTTTAACTTTTCTATATCAGCGAAAAACCAACCCGTGTTACTTGCAATCGAAAATTCCAGATTGCGAACCAGAGGACCCCTCTCGCATTTACTGCTCTGATCAGATCTGCCCCCACCAGCAGACTCCATTTCTCGTTGATTGAAATTATATTTACGCGAAGATGTCAACCGACAGCGACGACGAAGACGAGCTCCTTCAGATGGCGCTGAAGGAGCAATCCCACCGGGATCTCAATTACCAGCGCCCGTCGTCCTCCAATCAACGGAAGCCGGTCTCGAATTTCGTCCAGGCTCCCAAAACCGCCGGGTCCGCGAGGCCGGCGGCCCCGACTCATCGCCACCAGAAGAGCAGAGGTTCCACCCTGGACGACGACGATGACTCCGAAGTCGAAATGCTAAGCATATCGAGCGGTGACGAGGAAGTGAGCAAGGATCGGCCGCCGGCCAAAGGGAGAGCCGGCGGCGGTGGAGCGGGAAGGGGAGGGAAAGACGACGACGGGTGGGATGGCGGGGAGCCTGATTGCTGGAAGCGAGTGGACGAGGCCGAGGTAATGTGTATCTCTAGCTCGCTTTCCTGGATGCCTATGGTTTCTTTTCTGTTTGCGGACTGCTAGACTTCTACTGCCAATGGAGCTTTTTCTGTGAGAATTTAGAGTGTGAATGGGAATCAAAGCCTGTGTGTTATTGTCTAGTTTGTCGAGAGTTACGTGCTACTGGAGCATGATCATTTATCATTTAGCGTCCTTCTGCTACGGGGAGATTGATTGGTGAGCTAGGGAAGATTGAGCAGGGGCTCTACTTGGTGATGGAATTGAGGATTCTGTGAGGGAATCGTGGATTAGCATTTCTGTGATAGTGGGCGGGAGACTGTTGTGTTTGGTTCTAGTAAAATTCCAGGGATGTTCATGTATTCTATTGCTGTTGGAACCTTTTAGCTTTGGTGCTGGGAGTTCAGTGTCCCTTGCATTGCTTAAAGTATTGCTGTGGATGAAATGCTCATTTGACTAACTAAGCAGTAGGCTAGTCAATGTGTGATTGTCAGAGGAACTAATTATCAAATACCGCATGTCAAGATCATCGAGACTTTGCGAAATGAATCCTTTACAGATATTACAAGATGGCCTTTGAATACTGTTGCTTCACTAACTTCGGCACTAAGAGAGTAGAGGTTTAAACGTTACAAGCTCTGGCTGGTCAATGTGTGTCATTTCATCCTAGATGTATAGCTATAGCTATCATTCTTACAATATTTGGTGTTGGGAACTTCTATGGAAGTGGTGCATCGAAAGAATTGGTATGCATATCCAGCCTCATAGCAACTAAGACATTAGTGCTGGAAGAGTTGCTGACTGCCAACCAAATGAACTCTGTCTAAACAGTTACAACTATGTAGTTTCGTTAAATGTATTTTACCAGAGTGTTAAGACTCTTGCTGTATTTATTTCAAATTGTGGACAACCTCTTGACCTGTCCAAGTACCATCACATGCTATAGCGAGTAATTTGCTTCTTAACCTGGTTTAGTCCAATGTGGTGGTGTGCACATAATGTTGTCCTATGTTCTTTCTCAAACATAGTTATCAAATTGTCTGTTGTGAAGTTGAGACTTGTAAGTTGGTAGATTGACGTCCTTGACCTCTGATTTTTTGGTCTTGTGGATTATTTCTTAATGCTTTTCTTAATCCCCTTCCCCACACACAAAAAATGAAGAGAAACATAATTAGGTGCTTATCCAGGGATATGTTTTCAGTTTTCTTATTTGCTCCATCTCGGCTTTTTTTGGTTTCTGGTTTTCTTCATTTCTTGGGTAATATTTGCAATTTTTTGTGTGTACCAAAAACATATACTTACTTATAAGTCCTCCCAGCTTGCACGAAGGGTTCGTGACATGCGAGAGTCGAGAACAGCACCAGTAGCTCAAAAGTTCGATCCAAAGCCCATAGCAGCAATGACTAAGAAGGGGCTCAATTCTCTATTGTCATTGCCTCGTGGAATGGAGTGTATAGACCCATTGGGGTTGGGGTACGCTTTCATTTCTCTTCCCCTTTAAGTTGTGATCTTTTGACAAACAGCTCTATTTTTTATTGAATGATTTTCTGATGTCACTTGCTTATAATGTGTCCTTTCAATTGGATCCTTCTGGTAGTTTGAGCCGGGGTAATTCTTGTTATGTGTTAGGTTTAAGCTTGTTATTTGGTTCAGATTGCTTGACTATTTCTCAAGGTACTGCAGGTCTTCAATCTTTAGTTGCCGTGCTTTTGCTAACTTTGAATGATGACAGGATTATAGACAACAGAACATTAAGGTTGATCACCGATTCGTCAGTTAGCTCACCATCAAAAGCTGATAGAGATATAGATAGTGATCTTCGAGGTACCTCTCTCTTCCTCATCCATTGATTATGTTCTGTCCTTCCTCGAATCTGCATTTTACTGAACACTCTATATTACTTTCTTTTATAATTTTTCTTATCAATTATCCAGCTGCTGCATTAGCTTCCATTTTTAGCATTCTGTAGTCTTGTCTGCTTGGCCAGATTTCGGTCTTATATATTTGTGGATAAGGAAGAGAGGTTATGCCAGACGAAATTTCAATGAAATCTGTCATACTTCTAGGCAGATGTTAGCCTCGTTTTGGAAGTAATATACAGTTTTCCTAACTTAAATTTAACTTCTTTGCACATCGAGCATTCAAGATTTCTGTTATGTGATGATTGTTTTCACAGTTTAGTTGGCTATTTATTAAGTGATTGGGAATCTGTGTCTAGATGCGGAAAGATCTGTGAGATAAGAGGGGGAATGGCATGGCAGTCATGAAAATGTTACTAGCACGAGATGATAAAAAATATCTTTGTAGACAAAGTTTAGAGCATTGATCAAGCTGCATATTGTAATCATCAGTAGCACATCATTGGAACATTTGCTGGTCCGTCAGATCAATCTTTTTATTGATGCATTAAATGAGTTGTGACTTTAAGTAATAGGAACCGAGATTCTAAACCTGCAGAAAATGAGTTGAACATTGTGGAAATTGTGTGATGAATGTTCTGCATCTTTAAGTTGGAGTTGGTTCTTAAAGTGTGATTAACCACACCATTATCTGATTGGACTGGACTCTATTTCAGAGGTGGATTACTGGTGTAGCTTTGCTCAGTTGCAGGCCACAGGTTCTCCAGTCTGGATGTGCAATTGAAGCTTTTATTTTATCTTCTCCCATCTCTATAAACTTGACTATTGAATTAGAAAACTGGCAATTGCATTTGAAGTAAAAACCTCTATTCTATATTCTATATTTCTATCGTTGCTTTCCCATCCATTTTCTTGATTGAGGTTTGAGACAGCGTTAGGAATCAAGCTACCACCCTTCTTTTTATCCCATATTTCTTCTTTCCTTGTCTTAATCAATATTTAATTAATTAATACTACAGCAAAGGAAACAAAATGCATGCATAGTTTTTTTTTTTTGAATTGCATGCATGCATAGTTTTCTAAAATGCCTCTGTGTGGTATTTTATTGTTGTATATTGATGGTCTTATATTCACCCACTGTTGTGGTTACCTTATCAAGATTTTTGTGAATAAAAAAAAAATTGTGGAAGTTCTGCTGAGTTAGATTTCAAGAGTGGAATAGATTCTTATGAATTGTTATAATTAGTCTTCCAAATTATATTTTAGAATATTTAGGTTCAACTGTTTTTTTTCTTCTTAAAAACTGCAATTGTAAATCTAATGTGTGATTTCTTTTGAAATTTCACCTAGTTTCTTGGTTAGGTTTGGAAGTTATAATCTTAAATGTGATTTCTAAAACCGTACAATTTCTAACCTACGAATTAGGGTACTGATTTGACTCAAGTTTTTGAGCTTATATAGAATCTGGGTATAGAGAAACGTTGGATCTAAGACCAATGACAGCGACTGGCATCTCCCGGTGGTGCATATGCTCGCATAGTCGCATTCCATGAAAATTGGGCTGTAAAAGATGCTATTTAGTCTAGCGACTTCTTACTTTATGACATTGTTATTTTCCATGGCCACTGTTCTTTTTAACTATGAATTTTGTATAGTACCCCAATGATCTTTTCCACACGCTGAGCATCATAATGTCATTATATTTCAATTATCTGAAGTGTAAATATGAACATTTTAACCTCTTCATCTTCAGATTATGGTGTTTATTTGTATTAATTCTATCCTTTTCTACATATTGACAGAGAAATTGTTATATTTGTCTGATAAGTTTGATGCCAAGCTGTTCCTGTCACGGATACATCAACGCACCAGTGCAGCAGACTTGGAGGCTGGTGCCCTTGCTTTGAAGACTGATCTAAAAGGGCGGACCCAGCAGAGGAAACAACTGGTGAAAAACAATTTTGATTGTTTTGTCTCTTGCAAAACTACAATTGATGGTATGATGTAGAAGTAGACTTGTTTCGGTGTTATTATTAATTTTTGTAATGTAAAATGAGCTGTGTATTTCATTTGAAACTGAGTTTCTTTTGTTCATAAGTTATTTTCTTTTATTGTTTAATATGCTACTCAGTTCTCCTATATGCTATTTCAGCTTGCTGATGTGTGCATCAATGAATGATTTTATAGATATCGAATCAAAACTAAGACGGATAGAAGAAGACCCTGAAGGTTCTGGGACTAAACATCTGTACGATTGCATGCAAGGAGTCAATTCACTGGCAGTTCGTGCATTTGAACCTTTATTTGAAAGACAGGTCCTTAGATTTATTATGTCTTTTAACTAATTTTATATTCTTAATTTCATCTCAATCATGCCTCATGGATCACTCAACTTGTTTTTTTATCAATGAAGGCCCAAGCAGAGAAGATCAGGTCTGTCCAAGGAATGCTCCAGAGATTCAGAACACTATTTAACCTGCCTAGCATGATTCGCAGCAGCCTTAGCAAGGGTGAATATGATTTGGCAGTTAGAGAGTATAAGAAGGCGAAATCGGTTGCCCTCCCCTCTCATGTGTGTAAACTTTCTTCTTTATTTTCTTTCTATGTATTGTTGTTAAAGCATATTTAACTATCCAGATGGACGTGTCAGGAAAGATTCTCTTAATTATGGTCCTTGTTTTTTCTTTGCACGTGTATTTGTGGGTGGGCAATTGCTGTGATTTCCGAGGTCTTAGTTCACAGTCATCCAAAGATTTTATTTTATTGGTGTAGGATGGTCCAGTTGTTGATTAATCCCAGAACATCCAATGATATAAGATAAATTTCGTGGACTGCAGAATTCACATCAATACTGTGATCTTCTCTATTGATACCATAACCTTAATATCTCATTTGGTCTCTACGCCATTCAAGCCCATGTAGCCACCTCCAGTTTCTGGCTTCCAAAAGTGTTATTGTCTCTTACCATGTACTAGTCATGGTTGTTGTGTGTTGCGGTGCATTTCATTCACTTGTTTGCTGAGGAAGCTGAGATTTTTGTCGTGATGTTGGACTGGTACAATGACTGGTAATTCAATGACTTCCTTTGTGTTACTTGGAGATATTTTTCGAGCTTCACTAGTTTGCGTTAGACAGAATGAAGCTAGTGCTGGGTGAGTCAAATGCTAGCATACAATTAAAACTTCAAAGCCTGATATATACTTATAGTAATCGGTTCACTGAATTTTACTACCAACACTAAAATTTTGACATGCATCCTTGTAACTTGAATTTCAGGTGAAGATATTGAAACGTGTTCTTGAAGAAGTTGAAAAAGTGATGCATGAGTTCAAGGGAACACTTTACAAGTCCATGGAGGATCCACAGATAGAGTTAACAAATGTAAGATTACGGTTTTGATTTTCTACTATTTGTGGCAAGTCAGGGGAATTTGATGTAGAAGAATGAGAAACTCGTAAAATTCAATACCTCATCTAACAATACTGTACCGTGCACTAGCTATACCTGCTACATTAATTAAAATGTTTTTTCTTTATTCTTTGTTTACACATGCGATTAGATAGAAGTAAAGTGAAACCTAGTCTGCATTTTGCTTGCAAAATCTTCATTGAGCTTAACTTGTTCTTTTCTCTCTTTGGCTACTTAAATCATATGAATATCATGATTCGGTTTTGGGCATCTGATTAGAAGCATCATTTAACTTCAAAAGATGGTAACAAATGACAAGACGATTTGTTCGGAATTACTCCTCATTCGTGTATTTTTTCCCCCATCCGTTTTAGCTCGAGAACACAGTGAGGCTGCTGGTGGAGCTAGAACCTGAGTCTGATCCCGTGTGGCATTACCTATGTGTACAGGTTAGTAAAAACCAGAACAATTTTTCATGCTTTCGATCTGCTAAGCTGTATTCTTTTAATATTTTAACCATGTGGACTTCTATGCATGATATTAGGGTTCTATGTTTCATTTCAGTTACTAGTGAAGCCAACGTCCTATTTTATGTAATAAGTAGGTCAGTTGAAAACATGTGAGACATTAACTGCTGCTGCAGTAGTGGAATAGCGACAACTTCCCCTAATGACACTGTCTGACCTGGATCTAAAATATATCTTCATCTGCACGTGAGCAATCCAATAAGAGTGTGTCCATTTTGCAGAATAACAGAATTCGAGGTTTGCTTGAGAAATGCTCATTGGATCATGAAGCAAGGATGGATACATTGTACAATGAGATGAAACGAAGAGCTCTGTTGGATGCGAAGTGGAAACAAATTCAAAATGAAACTGTCAGTGCAACCTTTATGAATTTATATACCTGTTGATGGAAGTTGATACTGAAGAAAAGTGTGACTTTTTCCTTGTGGTTGTCAGTCAGATGTAGATCCAGTAGATCTGCAGTCGCTGGTTTTGCTTGGTGAAGAAGTTGATTCTCTGAGGGGAAAGTATATCCGCAGGTTAACGGCTGTAATCATCCATCACATACCAGCTTTCTGGAAAATAGCACTTTCTGTTTTCAGTGGGAAATTTGCGAAGGTATTCTCACCATAAACATGTATTATTTCATGACATTAACATGGAATTCTTTGCCACTTTGAAGTTAAAGAACAACACAAATCATTTAAAGATCCGTAGAACTTGATCATTTACCACTGCGTGCTAACAACACAAACTATATTTCGCTGATAGTTTGCCATGGACAGATTAGTTAATTACCAATTTATGGAATTATCTGAAATATTTTGGTTTGAAATGTCGGCTAAATAAAGTTAGTCCATTGTTTATCGAATGGAAAACCATATGCTTCTTCTTCAGTAGAATTTCAGTTGAGTATCAGTGTGTAAGCAATTTTTGTGAAGGGTTACTTAGTCATTTGTTGATCACTGATCTTTGGTTTCAGTCTTCCCAAGTTTCTGCTGAGTCGAATCTCAGTGCATCAAATAAGGCTGATGAAAAAGCTTTAGATGTTAGGTGCTCGACTCATTCTCTTGATGAGGTTGCTGGAATGATACGCAGTACTCTATCTGCATATGAAGCGAAGGTGATCTGCTCGTGCTTTTTACTGTATGCAATTCATATGCTTTTTACTGCCAACATTTATTAGAAGCATTGTTTCCTCTTCGCCAAAATGAAGAAGGATAGGTATGATTACAGTAGGTAGTCCTATAATTGCTAGTTGCTGGTGCAATATTTATTTCGTGATTGAGATTTTCTGAGTTTTGGACTTTGGTAGAACTTGAATAATTTCTCTTGACGTCATTGTGTACTATTAGTATGCCTTATTGGCTGCTTCTGTCTCTGGGTTGCACTCTTTCTGGGTCCAAACAGAGCCAAAGTCGTCCGATTTAGACTCAGCAAGCTCATGCTAAACATACTGCAAGTTAGAATGAAGATCAGATTTCTGCACCATTGAACATTAATTCCTTTATGCTGCTGCGGACTGTCATTTTTCAATCAAAAAAATTAAGGAAAGAAATAATCAACAGGCTTTTCTGCACATGGCAGAGTACTGCGGGGCTTGTCCAACTGTATAGTTATTGAGTTTCAACACGTTTATTTCTATAAATGTTATAAATGTTTGTATAGAGAACTTTAGGAGTCGTTATAATGTTTACTAACGAACACATTGATTGTACAGTATCTTGGTAACTTCTCCTTTTCTTTTTCTCAGATGATAACATCTTTGAAGTTGCAGCATTTTAGCTTCTTTTTTTCGTTCTGCCGTTAGGCAAATATCTTCTAAATTATTTTACTTTTGAAACAGGTTCATGGCGCATTTCGTGACCTTGAGGAATCAAATATTCTCTGTTCTTACATGAGCGATGCCATAAAAGAAATATCTAAAGCCTGCAAAGCTTTTGAAGTGAAAGAATCTGCTCCGCCTACCGCTGGTCTGTATTTCATGCTAAAATAACATGTATCCTTAGTCCTTACTTGTGACGGTTTGCCATTCTGTTGCAGCACTGGCCCTCAAAACTCTTCAGGCTGAGATTACAAAGATATACATACTACGGCTTTGCACCTGGATGCGGGCAACTACTGCAGAGATGTCAAAAGATGAAACATGGACTACTGTATCTATCCTTGAAAGGAATAAATCGCCTTACACAATCTCTTTCCTTCCTCTTGCATTTCGCTCAGCTGTAGCATCAGCAATGGATCAGATCAATCTGTAAGTCCCTTGATATGCAGGTACCAGATTAGGGCACTGGGTTAATTTCGAAACTGGATGAATATCATGGTTGGGAGTCTCAGTTTACTGTCCTTTTAGTTAGTGTGTAGCTTGTTTCACCTGTATCCGTTTCTATCATCTGTGAGCTTTTGCTCGAATCAATTTTCTTTCACCAGAGTCTATATCTGTATCAAGGTTATGCTACTTTCGTGGGGGGTTACAACCTGTGAGAACCAACTACCAGTGGAGAAGGGGTCTTCATTACTGTTATACTTATCCATTATATCTCAAATTTTCTACTTTTGCAGGTTAGTTCAATCTTTAAAGGGCGAGGCCGGGAAGTCGGAGGATATATTTGCACAAGTTCAGGAGATTCAATTATCCATTAGACTTGCCTTCTTCAACTGCTTTCTGGACTTTGCAGGTGCAGTATATGATATATCGTCTGTACAGATTTGAGGTATCTATAACATCCAGCCTGATAACTGGTACTCTGCTCATGCATCTTTTTCAGGTCATCTGGAACATATTGGAACTGAGCTATTACAGAATAAATCAAACTTACAGAATGGATATTCTCATGACGTGGAAGAGAAATTATCATCCAATTCCACAGGAGCTGTTAATGCCCATCAAAAGTTGCTGATTGTGTTGAGTAATATTGGATACTGCAAAGACGAACTGTCACACGAGCTTTTCAAGAAGTACAAGTGTGTATGGTTGCAATCTAGGTATACTAGACTCAAGTCCGTGACTATCACTTTTGAGGGCTAGGCGTAAATCTGCATAAAAGGAAACCATCATATTTCCACTGTTTGTGGTCATAAAACTGTCCTTGATAATTGATCTCTTCCATGCTATCCTACAAATTATTCATCATAGTCTGAACATCTTTCAAAAAAATAAATGAATTGAAATTGGTTGCCTAACTGAACTAGCTCAGTGATGCATAAGGAGCACATATTTGCTTCCAAGCGCCCAGCAGTGTGGCTGCTGTGCTGTTATTTCAATTTCCACTTGATTATGGCTAATCTTATTGGTTATCATTTTGCTTCAATCGTCTATTCAGGTTTGAGCATCACTCGCTACTTTTTCGTTTATTCTTGAAGTCTGGTTGCCATTACTCTACCTGCCTTATTTCACATTGCCCTTTTCTTTACAATTAGATTGGTTGCTATCGCTGTGCCTATGGTGACCGCCTGTAATCTTCTGTTTACCACAGAGAAAGTGATGAAGATGACATTGACATACAGGATCTCGTGACGTCTTTCTCTGGTCTTGAAGAGAAGGTCCTTGAACATTATACTTTTGCAAAGGTATACTACAGGTTATTCATTTGCTTTTTAGCTCAACCATACTGCACAATGCGCACACATGGAGCTTGAAGGCTTGTTCGTAAAGTCACGAGGTCACCCGTGTTGGCGGGGAACAAAAGATGGTCCAGTGACTGGTGTGTGCTGAATAGCGCTGGAAATTAGATAAACCGAGAGCTTCTTGCATGGAAAAACTTCATCGTTTAAACTGTTCATGGGGCTTATTACTTTGATTGGGACATAATAGTATTCCTTCTCCTTGTAGATTTTTTATTACTTTTACAAGCAGTAGCATCACTGTTAATTGGTAAAAACTTCCAAAGGTCAAGCTTAAACTTAAAATGACGATGAAAATCAAGTTGTTATCTACAAGTCAATTAGATATCAAAGTAGGATGCCTGGCTCTACTTTTTTATTTCGTTGTCTAAACTTCTCCATATTTTTATTGCAGGCAAATTTGATAAGGACATCAGCTATGAACTATTTGCTGAACACTGGGATCCAATGGGGAGCAGCTCCTGCTGTCAAAGTGAGCACTTGATGGCGTTCTTGTCTGTTGTTTTCAGTAAGTTGTTGCTATCGACTCCTTTAAGGATATTGGTAATATATGGCCGCCACCATCCTGCAGGGCGTTCGTGATGCAGCTGTGGAATTGTTGCACACTCTGGTCTCGGTGCATGCTGAGGTAAGTTTGATTCTGACAGATGACAAATATATAACATCAATTTTAAACGAAAATACATTTTGGTGCTCTCGTTCATTTCAGAGCAGTGGTTAAGATGGCTGGATGTTAACGAAAATAAATTTTGGTGCTCTCGTTCATTTCAGAGCAGTGGTTAAGATGGCTTGATGTTAATGAATTTATAGGATTAATCATCCTTGTGGGTTTCTAATGTGCATAGAGACCTGGCATTTGTTTATTTTGGTGCATTTGCAGGTGTTTGCTGGTGCAAAGCCCCTCTTGGACAGGACACTTGGCATTCTCGTGGAGGGTCTGATTGATACTTTTCTTAGCCTTTTTCACGAAAATGAAGATGGTGAATTTAGGTCGCTAGATGCGAATGGTTTTTGTCAGCTGATGATTGAGGTTAGCTCTCTTAACTTTCACCAAGCCCACAGTTTAGCTGTTGTAGGTAGGTTGTAGAGTCTTGTTCTGAAAATCCATGGGACGATTAACTGATTAAATGCTGTACGGGATCCTGATCGATTTTTCCTGGCATGTTTTGCAGCTCGAATATTTTGAGACCGTATTGAACCCATATTTCACACCTGCTGCAAGAGAGTCGCTGAAGTCCTTGCAAGGAGTGCTGTTGGAGAAAGCCACCGAGAATGTCTCTGAAGTTGCCGAGAATCCAGGCCACCAACGTCGGTCAACTCGTGGGAGCGAGGATGCAGCTTCGGACGACAGGCAGCAGGGCGGAATGACTGTATCTCCAGATGACCTGATCGTAAGAAAGAAAAACTCTTATTCATTTTCGGTTTCTGTGTAGCCTTTCACCTGTTGTTTCCCCCCCTTTTGTCTCTTGTATAGAGAATACTATAGTCCTCACTGTTGTGGTGTAATGTCGTCGACTTCAGGCTCTTGCTCAGCAATGCAGCGCAGAGTTGCTGCAAGACGAGCTGGAGAGAACTCGCATCAACACAGCATGCTTCATCGAGTCAGTTCCCTTGGACACGATGCCAGATAAAGACGCATTTGACTTGAGAGGGTCAGAGGATTCTCCGACCCAATACTACCAAGAGTCGGCGCCCAAGCCGTTAGTTCCAGCTCCTCCTGGATACTCAGTTCCAGCTCCTCCTGGATACTCCTCCAGAGGCAAGCGCCGATGATGATCTTGGAGACGACGCCTTGCTACTCGTTGTGCGCGGAGTTTTGTTTCTTGTTTTTGTGCATTGTGTAGCTTGTTGCATGTTAGCTCTGTAGATCCAGTAGAGCAAAGAAGAACGAAATATTTGATGTGGTCCTTTTAGGCCTTTCTATTCTGTTTTATTTTCTTAGAAAAGCTTTTTTTTTTAACTTTCAATACAAATGAGTATAGAAAAAGAAAGAAAGAGGACGCGGCTGAAAATTGGTTATTGGATTGTATCACATTCTTGCCTTCCTTGCCTTCTTTGTTACCCCATAATGAGCTCCCGGTGTTTCATAGTTGTTCTCAGTAGGGATGTATATTTCGACAGTTCTCGACGTGTTACCGCCTATAGGTACTTGCATCTTTCGATCTCGTAAGACACAGATCGAAATGGATCGACTCGACACCGACATCTTAGATCAAACGCCATAAGGAAATCGACAATTAAGAAGATACAGATATGCGCATCTAGTCACCCCTCGCGCAATCTTTTGCCACATCGAGCAAGTTCCATCGCTATATTCTCAGCAAATCGAATTACTATGTGAGCGACAAGACGATAACTTCCCATCGAATTCTCAAATCCGATGCTTAAAAGTAAATTACAACGTGATCGAAACACGACGTCAGTTCCATAATATGCTTGCCTGACAATCATCAATCGATCGCCAACCAAGACGTTGAGCAAGCACACGAGAAGAACATTACATGCAGATCCCCAAGTTGTGGAGAAACCAATACGACGCCGTCTCCTCCAACAAACAGGAAAAAAGGTTACACAGTCTGTAATAAGAGTGGGAAAAGGACCAAAGTCATCAGAACCCAGAAATGGCAAAGCGTAAAGAGACCACCGCTCTCAAGTCTCCTCCCTTCTTCTTCACAACACACATACACAGTACCAGAAACAGAAACGAAATTATCCATTTCCATTTCCCCATTATTTTCCCTTCTTCTGGTACATTGCTTCCCGCGTTTTCCATGCTCCTCCCCACTTCTGAGTAATCCCCTTCTATGGAGAATGCGTGCAAGCCAATACAATATACAAACCCTCTTCTTCCTATTTCTTTCCTGTATTTCCATGGCTCTCATCGCTTTCAATTCTCTTCAAGCTTCGTCTTCCTCCCCACACCTCTAGTTTCCCCCCCACCACCCTCCCCCTGTCTCCGCATTTATTGAAATCGATCGATTCCAGATCTCTGAATCTCCATTAGTGGGTTTGGTTCCCTTTTCATGGTCAGGCTTCGAGCCTTCCGAATCTGGTTTTCCTTTTCTCCAGGGACCCATCTCAATCCCCACACACACACATAGGTATATATAGTTCCGAGCTGTAAACTGATCCCTTCCCACCATCCAATCAATTCTCCAGATCTCTTAACAGCAATGGGGAACCAAACTAGCAAGAAGCCCAACAACCTCTCCACGGAGCTGAGCTCGTACGAGGCCGCCTGCGCCGCCGACGCCGACCTCCGGTCCTTCGACACCACGCTGCAGGCGCGGACCAGCCACGTCATCAACGCGCTCGCCGTCGGCGTCGAGGTCAGGGCCCTGTCGTTCGATTCGCTCAGGGAAGTGACGGAGTGCCTGCTGGAGATGAACCAGGAGGTCGTGAAGGTGATACTCGACTGCAAGAGGGATATATGGAAGAGCCAGGAGCTCTTCGAGCTCGTGGAGGAGTACTTCGACAACAGCCTCCACACCTTGGATTTCTGCGCCGCCCTCGAGAAGTCGCTGAAGCGAGCCAGGGATAACCAGCTTCTCCTCCTCGTCGCGCTCCAGCAGTTCGACGAAGAATCGTCATCGTCGAAATCGGAATCGGGAGAATCGGGATCCAAGGCTTCGTACAAGAGGACGCTGGAGGAGCTGAGGAATTTCAAGGAAGCAGGGGATCCTTTCACGGAGGAGTTCTATACCCGGTTTCAGAACGTCCACAAGCAGCAGATCCAGATGCTGGAGAAGCTGCAGAGCAAGAAGCGGAAGCTGGACAAGAAATTGAAGTCGATCCACTCGTGGAGGAAGCTGTCGAGCATCATCTTCGTCGCCAGCTTCGCGGCGGTGCTGATCTGTTCCGTCGTGGCGGCGGCGATGGCGGCTCCTCCCGTGGCCGCCGCGCTGGCGGCGGCGACGTCGATCCCGCTGGGGTCGATGGGGAAGTGGATCGACTCGCTGTGGCGGAACTACGAGAGCGCGGTGAAGGGGCAGAAGGAGCTCGTCGGGACAATGCAGGTCGGGAGCTACGTCGCGATCAAGGATCTGGAGACGATCCGCGTGATGGTGGACCGGCTGGAGGTGGAGATGGCGGCGGTGGAGAAGGCGGCGGAATTTGCTACTCAGGAGGACGGCGGCGACGCGGCGGTGAAGATTGGGATCGAGGAGATCAGGAAGAAGCTCGGCGGGTTCATGAGGAATGTGGAGGAGTTGGGGGTTCAGGCTGACGTGTGCAGCCGGGATATTCGACGGGCGAGGACCGTTGTTCTTCAGCGGATCATTAAGCAACCGAATTAAATTGATTAATCAGGAGATTAACGGGTTGATTATGGCAACTGTGTAGCTTTGTTAATAGTTTGTTATTATAGACCTGGTTGGGTGTTTCTTTCATTCTTTGACGACTTGACTTATTGTAGTAAGATGGTTTGAATTTAATTAATCATTGATTATTGAAAAAAACACGTTTCTGCCTCTTTTTCTGTTACAACTTTTCTATATCAGAGAACAACAAACAAAAACCGTGTTACTTGCAATTGAAAACACACGTTTCTGCCTCTTTTACTGCTCTTGAATTTCTCGAATAAGCGCATCCATCGACCATCCATCCTATAGAGGAAGTTTCATCTTCATATTCTCTGCAAATCAAATCACAATGCGGGCAACAAGACGATAAGTATGAATAACAGGAAGACAAAAATGAACATCAAGCTCTGAGGCACACCCACTTTCATCGAGTTCTCAAAATCCAGTGCTTAAAAGTAATTACAAGGTGATCGAAACATGACATCAGTTCGATAATACGCTGCCTGATAATCATCGGTTGATCACCAAGACGTTGAGCAAGTACACGAGAAACATTACAGTAAACGAGACCGCTTTTCTAAAAGTTGAAGTCCCCAACTGCAATTTGCAAATTCGTTCATTTCCAGCAGATCATCAAGTTGTCCTCAATGGTGGAGAAACCAATATGACGCCGTCTCCTCTAACAAACAGAAAAGGTATATTGCGCTTCGTGTGCTGTAATAAGAGGGGAAAAGGATAAGTCGGAGCCTAGAAATGGCAAGCGTAAGTGCAGATGCTATGCCTGACTGTCAATCAGTAGCTATCTATATTCGAGTAGTGTTTATCATCCATTAGACTGATCTAACACAGTTTTTTCAGTACGTCGCAGCCAAGGAATTGTGGGCTAGTGTTCAAACATGATTCTGCACACAGACTTGCACGACTGTAACGCACTTTAGACACAACATTGATGCCACTTGTGATGCTTCATGCTAATGCTTTGTGTTCACTTCACATCCCTATATCAAACTAAAATTTGCTGATCACTAGAGTAGTTAAACAAAGAAGGCATGCAGCGTTACCCTGAGAATCTGTTCGTAAGTCTCGTCATCGATCTCTACTGTGGTCACAACTTCTTCAACGTCCCCCAGAATCATATTCAAATGCTGGTCATAAGCCTGCAAAGCCAGAGACTAGTGCTTAATTTAATGTGGACCAATTGATAAATCGCAGTTCCCAAAGTGATGAACTCCATGATCCAGTGGGGGCAATTTATCAAGGAGAATCACTACACTGGGTCATGAAGTAACCGTTGCCAAATAGAACATCTGCAGCAAGTAAAAAGCAATTCTTTATCTGATTTGTCGCATCATTTAACTGTTTCCTCTAGGCTGCTCCTATGAACTACCTACAAGTTTGGATCTTGTAACAAGTTATCGCATTAAGATGAGTACCCTGGACATAGGATAAAGAAGAAACATGAACAATACTACAGCTAAAGAGTCACGATCTCAAACTATCCTAAACCCTAGAACAGCATCCAGTAAACCTCTAGCTTTAAGTATTACCATGTTGCCAGATAAATGAACAAATTCAGAAACGATTTCCACACATGGATTATCCCACTCCTCTCCTGTCTCTCCAAGAATCTTAGCACCCCTATTTGACCCATACATGCCTCTTTCACTCCATTACTATACCGAAGAAACCCCAGAAATTGCAGGCTCTGCTCACGAACCCTATCCAAAGTATATCTAGAAACGCAATTAAACCAGAGCTGGAAAATTCGCCGAAACCCTAGACACAACGATCTAGCAAGCGAGATAACTAAAGTCGATATTCGCAAACACGATAGGAAATCAGAGCACAGCCAGGGAGAGAAGAAACTCAAAAGTGTGAGCGCGGATCGAATGCGGCTCTCGCCGGAGAGTGTGGGGGTTACGCAAGCAACATCATGAGAAAGTAAAGAGGAGAGCACATACGTGAAGCTTGCCGCGGAGTTCCCGGTCGGACCGGAGCTTGACGTAGATGCGCTCGTCGAGACTAAGTCTGATGAGATCCAATGGCTCCTTCACTGCGCTCTCCTCTTCGGTGGACATGCTTCCTTTCTCTTCTTCAATTCCTTCCGGCGCTGTTTCTTCTAGGGCTGGCTGCGTGGCTGCGTGAGATACTGAGAAGTGTGAAGACTGAAGACTGAAGACTGAAGAGTGCGAGCTTCTGTGGAAGTAAAATTTGAATGGTAAGTAGTAACTAGTAAGTAAGACGGTCGTCGGTCTGACATTCTTTGTTCCTGGTTATAAATTTTCTTAAAATTATTTTATAGTCCTTAATTTATTTTTGTCATTCAAAAGAATCAAAATCCATAATTTTTTTTTTGAATTAAAAAATCCATAAATTTTAAAACAAACACAGAAGAAGAAGAAAAAAAAAAATTCTTAAAATGCTTTCTATCTCAAATAACAACATCAAATAAGAAAAAATTACTCTCCATCGGACTCTCTAACAACCTCCAACGATCTCATTGAAGATCGATCTCAATTATAGTGGTAATCACTAATGGATTGAAGCCTTACTAAAAACGTTGTGAATAGGGTGGATGACAATTACGACCTCTCCTATTTTTTCGGATCTGCATTTTTCATATTATAGTTCATTTTTTGGTTTTTTAATGAAAAAAATAATATTTCTAATGTTTTTCTTTTAAATTACACACACATATGGATAGACCTTACCCGATCCGCATTTCGTGATACGTTACCCAACCTACCACGAACGAGTATGGATATCAAGATACCCGCCCCGAATTACATCTTGCCATTCCTAATTGTGAGATGGGTTAAACACTCCACGTCTCCACCACACCGTACTGGAACAAGCTCCAACTAGAGATAAAAATGGGTACTTTTAGCTCTAGTTGTAGTTCTTAAAAAGTTATACGCAATAAATTTTTTTTTACGACGTTCGGATTGAGGAGCTAAAAATTATGGCCTTCCAAAGTTTGGCAAAATCGAAAAATTGCTCGTTCGGGGTAACAAACGACATTTTTTTAGATTAAGTCTTGTTGTAGATTGAAAGATCTTGAAAAGTTATATGGAATAAAAAAAGATTCGCTACAATCGGATAACCGAGCCCAAAGTTACGTTTGTTTGAAGTTTCATTGTTACGTTATGCATTCACCGCGGCCGTCCACCGCGGTGATGCATTCACTGCTTTGGTCTGCCGCGGTGAATGCATTCACTGCGGTTGACAATAGCGGTGATGCTCAAACATATGTATTTTGAGAATTTTTTTAAAAAACATATGTATTTTGGGATTTCATCCACATGTGCAACCCTCTTGTTAGCTGAAGCTACAAATGAATAGATCTCATTGAAAGAAACAGTAACATACAATCACTCAGCAACCATATACACACAAATGAAGATCACAAATGTTCAAAAAGTAGAAACTTTGATATCCAATCCTATCTACAAAAAGAATCAATCATAAGCATATTTGCTGGAGTTCCCACAGCCATCAATCATGGTGAAGGGCCAAATCTTTTGACCAGAGTGGCCATGTATCTTCCCTGATGTTCAGCAAGACCCAGTTCAGTTTCACTCGGCTCTCTGCTTCCATCTCCAGAGTATACCCCTGCGCCATATGGAGAACCTCCTCTGATGCCATCCATTCTGAACATTCCAGCTCCAAATGTGTATCCAACTGGAACATAGATCATCCCATGGTGGACTAGATGAGGTATTGCTGTCAATCTGCAGTAGTAGGAAACGTAAACCAGCACATCAGAAACAAATGAATTAGTATTAATCGACATATCAAATCGTTTCTCGAATCTCCCTCAATAACTCTATGATGAATTCGTTCCCAATTTGGTACCAGATCCTTACTTGGCGAGCGATTTCACGTTTAAGTTCCAATCCCGATAACCCTAGTATTAACCGTTGATTTAAGCATGGTATTTGACATTGAATGTGTAAGAAAATATGTTAACATTCATTGTTAGACCTTAATCAAAACCTAATATTCTCTAATCACTAATGGCAACATTTCTGAGCAACAATGAGAGGTGTGTGAGAGAGAACTAACGCAGTGGTCTCTTGGCCTCCCCCTTGAGTACCAGTACTAACAAAGAAGCCAGCAGGTTTCCCAGCCAGCTTTTGCTCCACCCACAGCTCATGAGTACTGTCAAAGAAGGCATTCATCTGAGCAGCCATGGAACCAAACCTGGTGGGGAACCCAAACAAGAACCCATCAGCATTCACCATCTCTTCCACGCACATCGACGGAACCTCATCGTTACCCTTGTGGGGAGCTCTCATTTGGTCCAAAGTCTCATTCGCCAGAGTCTCTGGAACCCTATACAACACTCCTTCAACCCCTTCAATTGAATCCACTCCTTGCTTCACTTTTCTCGCCAGTATCTCAACATGCCCGTACATTGAGTAGAAGATTATGTAAATCTTGAGCCGTCTCTTCTTGCTAACTAGTTCTCCATCATGGTTGCTGTCGCTGGTTTTTTGAGCAACAGTAAAGATTTGAGGACTTTGTTCTTCTTCTGCTGCTTCTTCTGGAATCAATGGAGCTGGAGAAGCTTGGGTGTTGTTGTCAGGTGGTACTCCAATGGGAGGCCTTGTCTTGCTGGGGAAACACCCGCCTCCTTTGCCCATCTCAGGGATCTCAACTGGGTATTTGTTGATCTAGAGGATTCCTGTGAAAAAATGTAAAGGGTCGAGCTTTGTTTGTGAAGCAGAGCTCTGCAGGATTGAGAAATGGAAGCAGGAGATTAGGAAAATGAGAAAAGGAAGTGACTTTGGAGGAGAAATTAGAAGAGAGAAGAGACAAGGAAGTTGGCTGCTCTCAACTTTACCTTTGTCAGTGAGTGTATCATTAGCTGTTTTGTTGTTGGGTGGGTGCTGCTGGCTGTATGCATTTTTCTTTGTGCAGAAAAATGTGAATATGTTCCCACGTCTAAGGGGGCGAGTGACAGCCAGACAGGGAATCGTGCCGTTTTCTCAATAATAATGGATTCATAATCGAATGTGGCCAATGAATGGATGCATTAATATATTGTTATTAAAAAATTCTCACCGCATTCATTCATTGTTAGAAAGTGTTCAATATTTGATACGATGATTCACAATCTTTATGACTGTGAGCACAACAATTCAATGATACGTAACCCTTTGAAATCTGTAAAAAATTGATTCGGAATAACTCCGCATAAATCGGAGCTTAATGGACTTAATCATCGTTGAAGAATAGCCTCAGATCGAATCTGTTATATGTAGCCTTCAAAATCCTAAGAAAATGGTCTTTCGTGGCCCAAAAAATTACGAAAATGTCATCCGAAAATACATTGGCCCAAATCAGTGCTTAATGGACTTATCATTCGTGGAGAATATGATCAATAAACTTCATTATCGGTGGAGAATAGCCTCGGCCTGTATCCGTGATCTGTAGCTTCCAGAATCGAAAGAAAATGAATCTTTGGAAAAATCGCCCCAAATCTGTGATGGTACCCCTTTGGAATCTGTCAAAAATTGACCCGATATAAATCCGTCCAAATCGGTGCTTAATGGACTTTATCATCGTTGAAGAATAGCCTCAGGTGGAATCCGTGATCTATAACCTTCAAAATCCTAAGAAAATGGCCTTTCGTCGCCCATAAATTTACGAAAATGTCATCCGAAAATAAATTGGCCCAAATCGGTGGTTAATGGACTTATCATCCGTGGAGAAAAGGATCGATAGACTTCATTATCAGTGGAGAATAACCTCGGTTTGATTCCTTGATCTATAGCCTCCAGATCAAAAGAAAATGACATTTTGGAAAAATCGCCCCAAATCTGTGATAGTACCCTTTTGGAATCTATAAAAAAAAATTGACCCGAAATAAATCCGCCCAAATCGATGCTTAATGGACTTAATCATCGTTGAAGAATAGCCTCAGGTCGAATTCGTGATATGTAGCCTTCAAAATCCTTATAAATGACCTTTCGTCGCCCAAAAAATTACGAAAATGTCATGCGAAAGTAAATTGGCCAAAATCGGTGCTTAATGGACTTATCATCCGTTGAGAATATGATCAATAGACTTCATTATCGGTGGAGAATAACCTCGACATGATTCCGTGATCTGTTGCCTCCATAATCGGAAGAAAATGGCATTTCAGAAAAATGGTCCTAAATTTGTGATGGTACCCCTTTGGAATCTGCCAAAAATTGACCCGGAATAAATCCACCCAAATCATTGCTTAATGGACTTAAGCATCGTGAAAAAATAGCCTCCGGTCGAATCCTTGATCTGTAGCCTTCAAAATCCTAAGAAAATGGCCTTTCGTCTCCCAACAAATTACGAAAAATGACATTAGAAAATACATTTGCCCAAATCGGAGCTTAATGGACTTCTCGTCCGTGGAGAATAGGATCAATAGACTTCATTATCGGAGGAGAAATTCTTCGGTAATATTCCGTGATCTGTAGCCTCCAGAATAGAAAGAAAATGGCATTTCGGAAAAAATGCCCCAAATCTGTGATGGTACCCCTTTGGAATCTGCCAAAAATTGACCCGAAATAAATTCGCCCAAATATGTGCTTAATGGACTTAATCATCGTTGAAGAATAGCCTCAGGACGAATCCGTGAGCAGCAGCCTTCAAAATCTAAAGAAAATGGCCTTTCGACACACAAAAAATTACAAAAATGCCATCCGAAAATAAATTGGCCCAAATCGGTGATTAATGGACTTATCATCTGTGGAGAATAGGATCGATAGACTTCATTATCGGTGTAGAATAGCCTCGGTCTGATTCTGTGATCTATAGCCTCCAGAATCGAAAGAAAATGACATTTCGAAAAATCGCCAAAAATTTGTGATGGTACCCCTTTGCAACCTTCCAAAAAATGAACCGGAATAAATCCGGCCAATTCGGTGCTTAATGGGCTTAATCATCGTTGAAGAATAGCCTCAGGTCGAATCCGTGATCTATAGCCTACATAATCCAAAGAAAATGGCATTTCGACGCCCACAATATTACGAAAATGCCATCAAATAAATCCGCCCAAATCGGTGCTTAATGGACTTATCATCCGTGGAGAATAGGATCAATAGACTTCATTATCGGTGGAGAATAGCCTCGGCCTGATTCCGTGATTTGTAGCCTCCAGAATAGAAAGAAAATGGCATTTCGGAAAAATAGTCCAAAATATGTGATGATACCCCCTTTGCAATATGCCAAAAATTGACCCGAATGAATTCGTCCAAATCGGTGCTTAATGGACTTAATCATCGTTGACGAATAGCCTCAGGCCAAATCCGTTATTTGCAGTCTTCAAAATCCAAAGAAAATGGCCTTTCGACGCACACAAAATTACGAAAAATTCCGTCCGAAAATAAATTGGTCTGAATCGGTGCTTAATGGACTTATCATCTGTGGAGAATAGGATCAATAGACTTCATTATCGTTGGAGAATAGCCTCGGCCTAATTCCGTGATCTATAGCCTCCAGAATCAAAAGAAAATGGCATTTCGGAAAATCGCCCAAAATCTGTGATGGTTTCGAATCTGCCAAAAATTAACCAGGAATAAATCTGCCCAAATCGGTGCTTAACGGAATTAATAATCATTGAAGAATAGCCTCAGGCAGAATCCGTGATCTGTAGCTTACAAAATCCAAAAAAAATGGCATTTCGACGCCCAAAAATTACGAAAATGCCATCAAAAAATAAATTGGCACAAGTCGGTGCTTAATGTACTTATCATACTAGGAGAATAGGATCAATAGACTTAATTATTGGTGGAGAAAAGCCTCGGCCCGATTCCGTGATCTGTAGCCTCCTGAACAGAAAGAAAATGACATTTCGGAAAAATCGCCCAAAATCTATATGGTACCCCTTTCAAATCTGCCAAAAATTGACCAGGAATAAATCCGCTCAAATCGATGCTTAATGGACTTAATCATCTTTGAAGAATAGACTGAGGCCGAATCCGTGATCTGTAGCCTTCAAAATCGAAAGAAAATGGCCTTCCGACGCCCACAAAATTACAAAAATGACATCCTAAAATAAATTGGCCCAATTCGCTGCATAATGGACTTATCATCCGTGGAGAATAGGATCAATAGACTTCATTATCGGTGGAGAATAGCCTCGGCTTGATTCCGTAATCTGTAGCCTCCAGAATCGAAAGAAAATAAATTTTCAAAAAAATCGCCCAAAATGTGTGATGGTACCCCTTTGTAATCTGCCAAATATTGACCAGGAATATATCCGTCCAAACCGGTGATTAATGGAGTTAATCATCGTTGAAGAATAGCCTCAGGCCAAAACAGTGATCTGTAGCCTTCAAAATTCAAAGAAAATGGCCTTTCGAAGCCCACAAAATTACGAAAATGCCATCAGAAAATAAATTGGCCCTAATCGGTGCTTAATGGACTTATCATCCAAGGGGAATAGGATCAATAGACTTCATTATCGGTGGAGAATAGCCTCGGCCTGATTCCGTGATCTGTAGCCTCTTGAATCGAAAGAAAATGACATTCCGGAAAATCGCCCATAATCTGTGATGGTACCCCTATGTTATTTGTCAAAAATTGACACGGAATAAATCCGGCCAATTCTATGCTTAATGGACTTAATCATCGTTGAAGAATAGCCTCAGGCCGAATCCGTATTCTGTAGCCTACAAAATCCAAAGAAAATGGTATTTCGACGCACACAAAATTACGAAAATGTCATCAAAAAATAAATCGACCCAAATCGGTGCTTAATGGACTGATCATCCGTGGAGAATAGGATCAATAGACTTCATTATCGGTGGAGAATAGCCTCGGCCAGAATCCGTGATCTGTAGCTTCTAGAATCGAAAGAAAATGACATTTCGGAAAAATCGCCCAAAATATGTGATGATACCCCCTTTGTAATCTGCCAAAAATTGACCCGGAATGAATCCGTCCAAATCAGTGCTAAATGGACTTAATCATCTTTGAAAAATAGCCTCAGGCCGAATCCGTTATCTGTAGCCTTCAAAATCCATAGAAAATGGCCTTTCGACGTCCACAAAATTACGAAAATGCCATCCAAAAATAAATCGGCTCAAATCGGTGATTAATGGACTTATCATCCATGGAGAATAGGATCAATAGACTTCATTATCGGTGGAGAATAGCCTTGGCCTGATTCCGTGATCTGTAGCCTGCAAAATCGAAAGAAAATTGCATTTAGGAAAAATCGCCCAAAATCTGTGATGGCCCTTTGCAATCTGCCAAAAATTGACCCGGAGTAAATCCGTGCAAATCGGTGCTTAATGGACTTAATCATCGTTGAAGAATAGCCTTATGTCGAATCCGTGATTAGTAGCCTTCAAAATAAAACGAAAATGGGCTTTCGATGCACAAAAATTACGAAAATGCCATCCGAAAATAAATTTGCCCAAATCGGTGCTTAAGGGACTTATCATCCGTGGAGAATAGGATAAATAGACTTCATTATCGGTGGAGAATAGTCTCGGCCTGATTCCGTTATTTATTGCCTCCAAAATCAAAAGAAAATGACTTTTCGGAAAAATCGCCCAAATCTGTGATGGTACCCCCTTTGCAATCTGTCAAAAATTGACCCGGAATGAATCCTTCCAAATCGGTGCTTAATGTTCTTAATCAACGTTGATAAATAGCCTCAGGCCGGATCCGTTATCTATAGCCTTCAAAATCCATAGAAAATGGCTTTTCGACACCCACAAAATTACGAAAATGCCATCGAAAAATAAATCGGTCCAAATCGGTGCTTAATGGACTTATCATCCGTGGAGAATAGGATCAATAGACTTCATTATCGGTGGAGTATAGTCTCGGCCTGATTCCGTGATCTGTAGCCTCCAGAATCGAAAGAAAATGATATTTCTGAAAAATCGCCCAAAATATGAGATGATATCCCCTTTGCAATCTGCCAAAAATTGACCAGAAATGAATCCGTCCAAATCGGTGCTTAATGGACTTAATCATCATTGAAGAATAGCTTTATGCCGAATCCGTTATCTGTAGCCTTCAAAATCCAAAGAAAATGGCCTTTCGACGCAAATTACGAAAATTGCATTTGAAAATAAATTGTCCCAAATCGGTGCTTAATGGATTATTATCCATGGAGAATAAGATCAATAGACTTCATTATCGGTGGAGAATAGTCTCGGCCTGATTCCGTGATATATTGCCACCAGAATCTAAAGCAAATGACATTTCGAAAAAATAGCACAAAATCTGTGGTGGTACCCCTTTGCAATCTGCCAAAAATTGACCAGGAATAAATCTGTCCAAATCGGTGCTTAATGGACTTTATCATCTTTGAAGAATAGCCTTAGGCCGAATCCATGATTTGTAGCCTTCAAAATCAAAAGAAAATGGCTTTTCGTCACCCGAAAAATTATGAAAATGCTATACGAAAATAAATTGTTCCAAATCATGGCTTAATGGACTTATCATCCGTGGAGAATTGGATCAATAGACTTCATTATCGGTAGAGAATAGTCTCGGCCTGATTCCATGATTTATTGCCTCCAGAATCGAAAGAAAATGACATTTCGGAAAAACCGCCCAAAATCTGTGATGGTACCCCTTTGCAATCTGCCAAAAATTGACCCGGAATGAATCCGTCCAAATCGGTGCTTAATGGACTTAATCATCGTTGAAAAATAGCCTCAGGCCGGATCCATTAACTGTAGCCTTCAAAATCCATAGAAAATGGCCTTTCGACGCCCACAAAATTAAGAAAATGTCATTGAAAAATAAATTAGCCAAATCGATGCTTAATGGACTTATCATCCGTGGAGAATAGGATCAATAGACTTCATTATTGGTGGAGAATATCCTCGGCCTGATTCCGTGATCTGTAGCCTGCAGAATCGAAAGAAAATGGCATTTCGGAAAAATCGCCCAAAATCTGTGATGGTACCCCTTTGCAATCTGCCAAAAATTGACCCAGAGTAAATCTGTGCAAATCAGTGCATAATGGACTTAATCATCGTTGAAGAATAGCTTTATGCCGAATCCGTGATTTGTATCCTTCAAAATCCAAAGAAAATGGCCTTTCGACGCACTCAAAATTACGAAAATGTCATCCGAAAATATATTGGCCCAAATCAGTGCTTAATGGACTTATCATCTTTGGAAAATAGGATCAAAAGACTTCATTACCAGTGTAGAATAGCCTCGGCATGATTCCTTGATTTTTAGCCTCCAGAATCGAAAGAAAATGGCATTTCGGAAAATCGCCCAAAATCTGTGATGGTACCCCCTTTGCAACTTACCAAAAAATTAACTGGAATAAATCCGCCCAAATCGGTGCTTAATGGAATTAATCATTGTTGAAGAATAGCCTCAGGCCGAATCCGTTATCTGCAGCCTTCAAAATCCAAAGAAAATGCCCTTTCGACGCACACAAATTTACGAAAATGTCATCTGAAAATATGTTGGCCCAATTCGGTGCTTAATGGACTTATCATCTGTGGAGAATATGATCAATAGACTTCATCATCGGTATAGAATAGCCTCGGCCTGATTCCGTGATCTATAGCCTCCAGAATTGAAAGAAAATTACATTTCGGAAAATCACCCAAAATCTGTGATGGTACCCCCTTTGCAACTTGCCAAAAAATTAGCCGAAATAAATCCGCCCAAATCGGTGCTTAATGGACTAATCGTCGTTGAAGAATAGGCTCAGGCCAAATCCGTGATCTGTAGCCTACAAAATCCAAAGAAAATGGCCTTTCGACGCCCACAAAATTACGAAAAAGCCATCCGAAAATATATTGGCCCAAATCGGTGCTTAATGTACTTATCATCTATGGAGAATAGGATCAATAGACTTCATCATCGGTGTAGAATAGCCTCGGCCTGATTCCGTGATCTGTAGCCTCCAGAATCAAAAGAAAATGGCATTTCGGAAAATCGCCCAAAATCTGTTATGGTACCCCCTTTGCAACCTGCCAAAAAATGAACCGGAATAAATCCGCCCAAATCGGTGCTTAATGGACTAATCATCGTTGAAGAATAGCCTCAGGCCAAATCCGTGATCTGTAGCCTACAAAATCCAAAGAAAATGGCCTTTCGACGCCCACAATATTACGAAAATGCCATCTGAAAAAAAATTGGCCCAAATCGGTGCTTAATGTGCTATCATCCGTGGAGAATAGGATTAATAGACTTCATTATCGGTGGAGAATAAGATTAATAAACTTCATTATTGGTGGAGAATAGTCCCGGCCTGATTTCGTGATATTTAGCCTCCACAATCGAAAGAAAATGGCATTTCGAAAAAATCGCCCAAAATCTGTGATGGTACCGCTTTGCAATCTGCCAAAAATTGACCTGGAGTAAATCCATCCAAATCGGTGCTTAATGGACTTAATCATCGTTGAAGAATAGCCTTAGGCCGAATCCGTGATTTGTAGCCTTCAAAATCCAAATAAAATGGCCTATCGACGCACTCAAATTACAAAAATGTCATCCGAAAATAAATTGGCACAAATCGGTGCTTAATGGACTTATCATCCGTGGAGAATACGATCAATAAACTTCAGTATAGGTTGAGAATAGTCCCGGCCTGATTCCGTGATCTATTGCCTCTCGAATCGAAAGAAATGACATTTCGAAAAATTCGCCCAAAATCTGTGATGGTACACCTTTCAATCTGCCAAAACTTTCCCCGGAATAAATCCGTCCAAATCGGTGCTTAATGGACTTAATCAGCGTTGAAGAATAGCCTCAGGCTGAATCTGTGATTTGTAGCCATCAAAACCCAAAGGAAATGGCCTTTCGACGCACACAAAATTACGAAAATGCCATCCGAAAATAAATTTGTCAAAATCATGGCTTAATGGACTTAATCATCCGTGGAGAATAGGATCAATAGACTTCATTAACGGTGGAGAATAGCCTCAGCCTGATTCCGTGATCTGTAGCCTCTAGAATCGAAAGAAATGGAATTTCGGAAAAGTTGCCCAAAATCTGTGATGGTACCCCTTTGGAAATTGCCAAAAATTGACCTGGAAAAAATCCGCCCAAATTGGTGCTAAATGGACTTAATCATCATTGAAGAATAGCCACAAGTAGAATCCGTGATCAGTAGCCTTCAAAATCCAAAGAAAATAGTCTTTCGACGCCGACAAAATTAAGAAAATGTCATCCGAAAATAAATTGGCCCAAATCGGTGCTTATTGGACTTAATCATCCGTGGACAATAGACTTCATTATCGGTGGAGAATAGCCTCGGCCTGATTCCGTGATCTGTAGCCTCCAGAATTGAAAGAAAATGGCATTTCGGAAAATCGCCCAAAATCTGTGATGGTACACCTTTGTCATTTGCCAAAAATTGACCCGGAATAAATCCGTCCAAATCGGCTCTTAATAGACTTAATCATCATTGAAGAATAGCCTTAGACCGAATATGTGATTTGTAGCCTTCAAAATCCAAAGAAAATGGTCTTTCGAAGCCAACAAAATTACGAAAATGCCATCCAAAAATAATTGGCACAAATCGGTGCTTAATGGACTTATCATCCATGGAGAATAGGATCAATAGACTTCATTATCGTTGGAGAATAGCCTCGGCCTGATTCCGTGATATGTAGCTTCTAGAATCGAAAAAAATGACATTTCGCAAAAATTGCCCAAAATCTATGATGGTACCCCTTTGCAATCTGTCAAAAATTGATCCGGAATAAATCCATCCAAATCTGTGCTTAATGGACTTAATAATCGTTGAAGAATAGTCTTAGTCCGAATCCGTGATTTGTAGCCTTCAAAATCCAAAGAAAATTCTCATTTCGATGCCCACAAAATTACGAAAATGCCATCCAAAAATAAATTGGTCCAAATCATCGCTTAATGGAATTAATCATCCATGGATAATAGGAACAATAGACTTAATCATCATTGAAGAATATCCTCAGGCCGAATCCGTGATTTGTAGCCTTCAAAATCCAAAGAAAATGGGCTTTCGGAAAAATCACCCAAAATATGTGATGATACCCCCTTTCCAGTCTGCCAAAAATTGTCCTGGAATAAATCCGTCCAAATGGGTGTTTAATGGACTTAGTCATCGTTGAAGAATAGCCTCAGAGCGAATCCGTGATTTGTAACCTTCAAAATCCAAAGAAAATTGCCTTTCGGAAAAATCACCCAAAATCTGTGATGGTACCCCTTTCCAATATGCCAAAAATTGACATGGAAAAAATCCGTCCAAATCAGTGCTTAATGGACTTATCATCCGTGAAGAATAGGATCAATAGACTTCATTATCGGTGGAGAATAGCCACGGCCTGATTTCGTGATCTATAGCCTCCATAATCGAAAGAAAATGGCATTTCGGAAAATTCGCCCAAAATCTGTGATAGTACACCTTTGCAAAATGCCAAAAATTGACCCGGAATATATCCGTCCTAATCGGTGCTTAATGGACTTAGTCATCATTGAAGAATAGCCTCAGGCCGAATCCGTGATTTATAGTCTTCAAAATCCAAAGAAAATGGCCTTTCGACGCCCACAAAATTATGAAAATGCCATCCAAAAATAAATTGGTCAAAATCATGGCTTAATGGACTTATCATCCGTGGAGAATAGGATTAATAGACTTCATTATCGGTGGAGAATAGTCACGGCCTGATTTCGTGATCTATAATCTCTAGAATCGAAAGAAAATGGTATTTCGGAAAAGTCGCCCAAAATCTGTGATGGTACCCCTTTGGAATCTGCCAAAAATTGACCCGGAACAAATCCGCCCAAATTGGTGCTTAATGGAATTAATCATCGTTGAAGAATAGCCACAGACCGAATCCGTGATCAGTAGCCTTCAAATCCCAAGAAAATAGTCTTTCGAAGCACACAAAATTACGAAAATGCCATCCGAAAATAAATTGGCCCAAATCGGTGCTTAATGGACTTAATCATCCGTGGAGAATAGGATCAATAGACTTCATTATCGGTGGAGAATAGCCTCGGCCTGATTCCGTGATCTGTAGCCTCTAGAATCGAAAGAAAATGGCATTTCGGAAAATTCGTCCAAAATCTGTGATGGTACCCCCTTTCGAATCTGCCAAAAATTGAACCGGAATAAATCGGTCAAAATCGGTGCTTAATAGACTTAATCATCGTTGTAGAATAGCCTTAGACCAAATCCGCGATTTGTAGCCTTCAAAATCCAAAGAAAATGGTCTTTCGACGCCCACAAAATTACGAAAATGCCATCCACAAATAAATCGGCCCAACTCGGTGCTTAATGGACTTATCATCCATGGACAATAGGATCATTAGACTCCATTATCGGTGGAGAATAGCCTCGGCCTTATTCTGTGATCTGTAGCCTCTAGAATCGAATGAAAATGGCATTTCGTAAAAATCACCCAAAATCTGTGATGGTACACCTTGGCAATCTGCCAAAAATTGACCCGGAATATATCCGTCCAAATTGGTGCTTAATGGACTTAATCATCGTTGAAGAATAGCCTCAGGCCGAATCCGTGATTTGTAGCCTTCAAAATCCAAAGAAAATGGACTTTTGGAAAAAATCGCCCAAAATCTATGATGGTAACCCTTTGCAATTTGCCAAAAATTGACCCGGAATAAATCCTTTCAAATTGGTGCTTAATGGACTTAATCATCGTTGAAGAATAGCCTCGGACCGAATCCCTGATCTGTAGTCTTCAAAATCCAAAGAAAATGGCCTTTTGACGCCCATAAAATTATGAAAATGCCATCCGAAAATAATTTGGCCCATATAAGTGCTTAATGAACTTATCATCCATGGAGAATAGGATCAAGTCTTTATTATCGGTGGTGAATAGCCTCGGCCTGTTTCTGCGATCTATAGCCTCCAAAATCGAAAGTAAATGACATTTCGGAAAATCGCCCAAAATCTGAGATGGTACCCCATTGCAACCTGCCAAAAAATGAACCGGAATAAATCCTTCCAAATTGGTGCTTAATGGACTAAATCATCGTTGAAGAATAGCCTCAGGCCAAATCCGTGATCTGTAGCCTACAAAATCCAAAGAAAATGGCCTTTCGACGCCCACAAAATTACGAAAATACCATCCGAAATTTTTTTGGGCCCAAATCGGTGCTTAATGGGCTTATCATCCGTGGAGAATAGGATTAATAGACTTCATTATCGGTGGAGAATAGCCACGGCCTGATTTCGTGATCTGTAGCCTCCAGAATCGAAAGTTTATGGCATTTCGGAAAAATCGCCCTAAATGTGTGATGGTACCCCGTTGCAATATGTCAAAAATTGACCCGGAACAAATGCGCCTAAATCGGTGCTTAATGGACTTAATCATCGTTGATGAATTGCCTCATGGCGAATTCATGATCTGTAACCTTCAAAATCCAAACAAAATTGCCTTTCGACGCCCACAAAATTATGAAAATGCTATCCAAAAACAAATTAGCCCAAATCGGTGCTTAATGGACTTATCATCCGTGGACAATAAGATCAATAGACTTCATTATCGGAGGAGAATAGCCTCGGCCTGATTCTGTGATCTGTAGCCTCTATAATCGAAAGAAAATGACATTTCGGAAAAATCACCCAAAATCTGTGATGGTACACCTTTGCAATCTGACAAAAATTGACCCGTAATAAATCCGTCCAAATCGGTGCTTAATGGAATTAATCATCGTTGAAGAATATCCTCACGCCGAATCCGTGATTTGTAGCCTACAAAATCCAAAGAAAATGGACTTTTGGAAAAAATCGCCCAAAATCTATGATGGTAACCCTTTGCAATCTGCCAAAAATTGACCCGTAATAAACCCGTCTAAATGGTGCTTAATGGACTTAATCATCTTTGAAGAATAGCCTCAGACCGAATCGTTGAATAAGCACATAAAATTACGAAAATGCCATCCGAAAATAAATTGGCCCAAATCGGTGCTTAATGGACTTAATCATCCGTGGAGAATAGGATCAATAGACTTCATTATCGGTGGAGAATAGCCTCGGCCTGATTTCGTGATCTGTAGACTCTAAAATCGAAAGAAAATGGCATTTCGGAAAAACCGCCCAAAATCTGTGATGGTAGACCTTTGCCATTTGCCAAAAATTGACCCAGAATAAATCCGTCCTAATCGGTGCTTAATGGACTTAATCATCGTTGAAGAATAGCCTCAGGCCGAATCCGTGATTTGTAGCCTTCAAAATCCAAAGAAAATGGCCTTTCGACGCCCACAAAATTACGAAAATGCCATCCAAAAAATAAATTGGTCAAAATCATGGCTTAATGGACTTATCATCCGTGGAGAATAGGATTAATAGACTTCATTATCGGTGGAGAATAGCCACGGTCTGATTTCGTGATCAATAATCTCTAGAATCGAAAGAAAATGGTATTTCGGAAAAGTCGCCCAAAATCTGTGATGGTACCCCTTTGGAATCTGCCAAAAATTGACCCGGAACAAATCCGCCCAAATTGGTGCTTAATGGACTTAATCATCGTCAAAGAATAGCCACAGGCCGAATCCGTGATCAGTAGCCTTCAAAATCCCAAGAAAATAGTCTTTCGAAGCACACAAAATTACGAAAATGCCATCCGAAAATAAATTGGCCCAAATCGGTGCTTAATGGACTTATCATCCGTGGAGAATAGGATCAATAGACTTCATTATCGGTGGAGAATAGCCACGGCCTGATTTCGTGATCTATAGCCTCCATAATCGAAAGAAAATTGCATTTCGGAAAATTCGCCCAAAATCTGTGATAGTACACCTTTGCAATATGCCAAAAATTGACCTGGAATATATCCGTCCTAATCGGTGCTTAATGGAGTTAGTCATCATTGAAGAATAGCCTCAGGCCGAATCCGTGATTTATAGTCTTCAAAATCCAAAGAAAATGGCCTTTCGACGCCCACAAAATTATGAAAATGCCATCCAAAAATAAATTGGTCAAAATCATGGCTTAATGGACTTATCAACCGTGGAGAATAGGATTAATAGACTTCATTATCGGTGGAGAATAGTCACGGCCTGATTTCGTGATCTATAATCTCTAGAATCGAAAGGAAATGGTATTTCGGAAAAGTCGCCCAAAATCTGTGATGGTACCCCTTTGGAATCTGCCAAAAATTGACCCGGAACAAATCCGCCCAAATTGGTGCTTAATGGACTTAATCATCGTTGAAGAATAGCCACAGACCGAATCCGTGATCAGTAGCCTTCAAAATCCCAAGAAAATAGTCTTTCGAAGCACACAAAATTACGAAAATGCCATCCGAAAATAAATTGGCCCAAATCGGTGCTTAATGGACTTAATCATCCGTGGAGAATAGGATCAATAGACTTCATTATCGGTGGAGAATAGCCTCGGCCTAATTCCGTGATCTGTAGCCTCTAAAATCGAAAGAAAATGGCATTTCGGAAAAACCGTCCAAAATCTGTGATGGTACAACTTTGCCATTTGCCAAAAATTGACCCGGAATAAGTCCGTCCAAATCGGTGCTTAATAGACTTAATAATCGTTGAAGAATAGCTTCAGATCGAATTCGTGATTTGTAGCCTTCAAAATCCAAAGAAAATGGTCTTTCGACGCCAACAAAATTACGAAAATGTCATCCAAAAATAAATTGGCCCAAATCGATGCTTAATAGACTTATCATTCGTGGAGCATAGGATCAATAGACTTCATTATCAGTGGAGAATAGCCTCGGCCTGATTCCGTGATCTGTAGCCTCAAGAATCGAAAGAAAATGGCCTTTCGGAAAAATCGTCCAAAATCTATGATGGTACACCTTTGCAATCTGCCAAAAATTGACCTGGAATAAATCCGTCCAAATGGGTGCTTAAAGGACTTATTCATCGTTGAAGAATAGCCTCAGGCCGAATCCGTGATTTGTAGCCTTCAATATCCAAAGAAAATGGCATTTCGGAAAAATCGCCCAAAATCTGTGATGGTGCCCCTTTGCAATCTGCGAAATATTGACCTGGAATAAATCCGTTCAAATCGTTGCTTAATGGACTTAATCATCGTTAACGAATATCCTTAGGCCGAATCCGTGATTTATAGCCTTCAAAATCCAAAGAAAATGGCCTTTCGACGCCAACCAATTTACGAAAGGGTCATCCAAAAATAAATTGGTCCAAATCATGGCTTATTGGACTTAATCATCCGTGGAGAATAGGATCAATAGACTTCATTATCGGTGGAGAATAGCCTCGGCCTGATTCCGTGATCTGTAGCCTTTAGAATCAACAGAAAATGGCATTTCGGATAAATCGCCTGAAATTTGTGATGGTACCCCTTTGGAATCTGCCAAAAATTAACCCGGAATAAATCCGCCCAAATCGGTACTTAATGGAATCAATCATTATTGGAGAATAACCTCAGGCCGATTCCGTGATCTGTAGCCTTCAATATCCAAAGAAAATGGCCTTTCGTCGCCCAAGAAATTACGAAAATGCCATCCGAAAATAAATTGGCCCAAAGCATGCTTAACGCACTTATCATCCTTGGTGAATAAGATCAATAGACTTCATTATCAGTGGAGAATAGCATCGGCCTGATTCCGTGATCTATAGCCTCCATAATCGAAAGAAAATGGCATTTCGGATAAATCGCCCGAAATCTGTGATGATACCCCTTTAGAAACTGCCAACAATTGAACCGGAGCCCAAATCGGTGCTTAATGGACTCAATCATCTTAGGAGAATAGCCACATGCCGAATCCGTGATTTGAAGCCTTCAATATCCAAAGAAAATTGCCTTTTGTCGCCCAAGAAATTATAAAAATGCCATCCGAAAATAAATTGGCCCAAATCGATGCTAACCGATTTATCATCCGTGGTGAATAGGATCAATAGACTTCATTATCGGTGGAGAATAGCGTCGGTCTGATTCCGTGATCTGTAGCCTCCAGAATAGAAAGAAAATGGCATTTCGGATAAATCGCCCGAAATCTGTGATGGTACCCCTTTGGAATCTGCCAAAAATAGACACGGAATAAATCCGCCCAAATCGGTGCTTAATGGACTCAATCATCGTTTGAGAATAGCCTCAGGCGTGATCTGTAGCCTTCAATATCCAAAGAAAATGGCCTTTCGTCGCCCAAGAAATTATGGGAAATGCCATCCGAAAATAAATTTGTCCAAATCGATGCTTAATGGACTTATCATCCGTGGAGAATACGATCAATAGACTTCATTATCGGTGGAGAATAGCCTTGGCCTGATTCCATGATCTGTAGCCTCCAGAATCTAAAGAAAATGGCTTTTCGGATAAATCGCCCGAAATCTGTGATGGTACCCCCTTTGGAATCTGCCAAAACAATTGCACGGAATAAATCTGCACAAATCGGTGCCTAATGGACTCAATCATCGTTGGAGAATAGCCTCAGGCCGAATCCGTGATCTGTAGACTTCAATAATCAAAGAAAATGGCCTATCGTCGCCCAAGAAATTACGAAAATGCCATCCGAAAATATATTGGCCCAAATCGATGCTTAATGGACTTATCATCCGTGGAGAATAGGATCAATAGACTTCATTATCGATGGAGAATAGCCTCGGCCTGATTCCGTGATCTGTAGCCTCCATAATCGAAAGAAAATGGCATTTCGGATAAATCGCCTGAAATCTGTGATGGTACCCCTTTGGAATCTGCCAATAGTTGACCCGGAATAAATCCTCCCAAATCGGTGCTTAATGGACTCAATCATCGTTGGAGAATAGCCTCAGGCCGAATCCGTTATCTTTAGCCTTCAATATCCAAAGAAAATGGCCTTTCGTCGCCCAAGAAATTACGAAAATGCCATCCGAAAATAAATTGGCCCAAATCGATGCTTAACGCACTTTTCATCCGTGGTGAATAGGATCAATAGACTTCATTATCGGTGGAGAATAGCCTCGGCCTGATTCCGTGATATGTAGCCTCCAGAATCGAAAGAAAATGGCATTTCGGATGAATCGCCCGAAATCTGTGATGGTACCCCTTTGGAATCTGCAAAAATTGACCCGGAATAAATCCGCCCAAATCAGTTCTTAATGGACTCAATCATCGTTGGAGAATAGCCTCGGGCTGAATACGTGATCTGTAGCCTTCAATATCTAAAGAAAATGGACTTTCGTCGCCCAAGAAATTACGAAAATGCCATCCAAAAATAAATTGGCCCAAATCGATGCTAACAGATTTATCATCCGTGGTGAATAGGATCAATAGACTTCATTATCGGTGGAGAATAGCCTCGGCCTGATTCCGTGATCTGTAGCCTCCAGAATAGAAAGAAAATGGCATTTAGGATAAATCGCCCGAAATCTGTGATGATACCCCTTTGGAATCTGCCAAAAATTGACCCGGAATAAATCCGCCCAAATCGGTGCTTAATGGACTCAATCATCATTGGAGAATAGCCTCAGGCCAAATCCGTGATCTGTAGGCTTCAATATCCAAAGAAAATGGCCTTTCGTCGACCAAGAAATTACGAAAATACCATCCGAAAATAAATTGGTCCAAATCGATGCTTAATGGACTTATCATCCGGGGAGAATACGATCAATAGACTTCATTATCGGTGGAGAATAGCCTCGGCCTGATTCCATGATCTGTAGCCTCCAGAATCGAAAGAAAATGACTTTTCGGATAAATCGCCCGAAATCTGTGATGGTACCCCTTTGGAATATGCCAAAAATTGACCCGGAATAAATCTGCCCAAATCGGTGCCTAATGGACTCAATCATCGTTGGAGAATAGCCTCAGGCCGAATCCGTAATCTGTAGACTTCAATATCCAAAGAAAATGGCCTATCGTCGCCCAAGAAATTACGAAAATGCCATCCGAAAATATATTGGCACAAATCGATGCTTAATGGACTTATCATCCGTGGAGAATAGGATCAATAGACTTCATTATCGGTGGAGAATAGCCTCGGCGTGATTCCGTGATCTGTAGCCTCCAGAATCGAAAGAAAATAGCATTTCGGATAAATCGCCTGAAATCTGTGATGGTACCCTTTTGGAATCTGCCAAAAGTTGACCCGGAATAAATCCTCCCAAATCGGTGCTTAATGGACTCAATCATTGTTGGAGAATAGCCTCAGACCGAATCCGTGATATGTAGCCTTCAATATCCAAAGAAAATACCCTTTCGTCGCCCAAGAAATTACGAAAATGCCATCCGAAAATAAATTGGTCCAAATTGATGCTTAAGGGATTTATCATCCGTGGAGAATACGATCAATAGACTTCATTATCGGTGGAGAATAGCCTCGGCCTGATTCCGTGATCTATAGCTTCCAGAATCGAAAGAAAATGGCATTTCGGGATAAATCGCCCAAAATCTGTGATGGTACCCCTTTGGAATCTGCCAAAAATTGACACGAATTAAATCTGCCCAAATCGGTGCGTAATGGACTCAATCATCGTTGGAGAATAGCCTCAGGCCGAATCCGTGATCTATAGACTTCAATATCCAAAGAAAATGGCCTTTCGTCGCCCTAGAAATTACGAAAATGCCATCCGAAAATAAAAATGTCCAAATCGATGCTTAATGGACTTATCATCCGTGGAGAATACGATCAATAGACATCATTATCGGTGGAGAATAGCCTCGGCCTGATTCCGTGATCTATAGCTTCCAGAATCAAAAGAAAATGGCTTTTCGGATAAATCGCCCGAAATCTGTGATGGTATCCCTTTGGAATCTGCCAAAAATTGACCCGGAATAAATCTGCCCAAATCGGTGCTTAATGGACTCAATCATCGTTGGAGAATAGGATCAATAGACTACATTATCGTTGGAGAATAGCCTTTGCCTGATTCCGTAATCTGTAGCCTCTAGAATCGAAAGAAAATGGCATTTCGGATAAATCGCCCGAAATCTTTGATGGAACCCCCTTTGGAATCTGCCAAAAATTTGATCCGGAATAAATTCGCCTAAATCAATGCTTAATGGATACAATCATCGTTGGAGAATAGCCTCAGGCCGAATCCGTGATCTGTAGCCTTCAATATCCAAAGAAAATGACCTTTCATCGCTCAAGAAATTACGAAAATGCCATCCGAAAATAAATTGGTCCAAATCGATGCTTAAGGGATTTATCATCCGTGGAGAATACGATCAATAGACTTCATTATCGGTGGAGAATAGCCTCGGCCTGATTCCGTGATCTATAGCTTCCAGAATCGAAAGAAAATGGCTTTTCTGGATAAATCGCCGTAAATCTGTGATGGTACCCCTTTGGAATCTGCCAAAAATTGACACGGAATTAATCTGCCCAAATCGGTGCTTAATGGACTCAATCATCGTTGGAGAATAGCCTCAGGCCGAATCCGTGATCTGTAGACTTCAACATCCAAAGAAAATGGCCTTTCGTCGCCCTAGAAATTACAAAAATGCCATCCGAAAATAAATTGGTCCAAATCGATGCTTAATGGACTTATCATCCGTGGAGAATACGATCAATAGACATCATTATCGGTGGAGAATAGCCTCGGCCTGATTCCGTGATATGTAGCCTCCAGAATCGAAAGAAAAGGCATTTCGGATGAATCGCCCGAAATCTGTGATGGTACCCCTTTGGAATCTGCCAAAAACTGACCCGGAATAAATCCGCCCAAATAAGTTCTTAATGGACTCAATCATCGTTGGAGAATAGGATCATTAGACTTTATTATCGGTGTAAAATAGCCTTTTCCTGATTCCGTAATCTGTAGCCTCTAGAATCGAAAGAAAATGGCATTTCGGATAAATCGCCCGAAATCTTTGATGGAACCCCCCTTTGGAATCTGGCAAAAATTGATCCGGAATAAATTCGCCTAAATCGATGATTAATGGATTCAATCATTGTTGGAGAATAGCCTCAGGCCGAATCCGTGATCTGTAGCCTTCAATATCCAAAGAAAATGGCCTTTCGTCGCCCAAGAAATTACGACAATGCCATTGGAAAATAAATTGGCCCAAATCGATGCTTAACGGACTTATCATCCGTGGAGAATAGGATCAATAGACTTCATTATCGGTGGAGAATAGCCTCGGCCTGATTCCGTGATCTGTAGCCTCTTGAATCGAGAAAATGGCATTTCGGATAAATCGCCTGAAATCTGTGATGGTACCCCCTTTGGAATCTGCCAAAAATTGATCCGGAATAAATTCGCATAAATCGATGCTTAATGGATTCAATCATCGTTGGAGAATAGCCTCAGGCCGAATCCTTGATCTGTAGCCTTCAATATCAAAAGAAAATGGCCTTTCGTCGCCCAAGAAATTACGACAATGGCATTCGAAAATAAATTGGCCCAAATCGATACTTAATTGACTTATCATCCGTGGAGAATAGGATCAATAGACTTCATTATCGGTGGAGAATAGCCTCGGCCTGATTCCGTGATCTGTAGCCTCTTGAATCGAAAGAAAATGGCATTTCGGATAAATCGCCCGAAATCTGTGATGGTACCCTTTTGGAATCTGCCAAAAATTGACCCGGAATAAATCCGCCCAAATCGGTGCTTAATGGACTCAATCATCGTTAGAGAATAGCCTCAGGCCGAATCCGTGATCTGTAGCATTCAATAACCATAGAAAATTGCCTTTCGTCGCCCAAGAAATTACGAAAATGCAATCCAAAAATAAATTGGCCCAAATCGATACTTAACGGACTTATCATCCGTGGAGAATAGGATCAATAGACTTCATTATCGGTGGAGAATAGCCTCGGCCTGATTCCGTGATCTGTAGACTCCAGAATCGAAAGAAAATGGCATTTCGGATAAATCGCCCAAAATCTGTGATGGTACCCCTTTGGAATCTGCCAAAAATTGACCCGGAATAAATCCGCCGAAATCGGTGCTTAATGGACTCAATCATCGTTGGAGAATAGTCTCAGACCGAATCCGTGATCTGTAGCCTTCAATATCCAAAGAAAATGGCCTTTCGTCGCCGAAGAAATAACGAAAATGCCATCCGAAAATAAATTGGCCCAAATCGATGCCTAACGGACTTATCATCCGTGGAGAATAGGATCAATAGACTTCATTATCGGTGGAGAATAGCCTCGGCCTGATTCCGTGATCTGTAGCCTCCAGAATCGAAAGAAAATGGCATTTCCAATAAATCGCCCGAAATCTGTCATGGTACCCCTTTGGAACCTGCAAAAAATTGACCCGGAAAAAATTCGGCCAATTCGGTGCTTAATGGACTCAATCATCATTGGATAATAGCCTCAGGGCGAATCCGTGATCTGTAGCCTTCAATATCCAAAGAAAATGGCTTTTCGTCGCCCAAGAAATTACGAAAATGCCATCTGAAAATAAATTGGCCCAAATCGATACTTAACGGACTAATCAACTGTGGAGAATAGGATCAATAGACTTCATTATCGGTGGAGAATAGCCTTGGCCTGATTCCGTGATCTGTAGCCTCTAGAATCGTAAGAAAATGGCATTTCGGATAAATCGCCCGAAATCTGTGATGGTACCCCTTTGGAATTTGCCAAAAATTGACCCGGAATAAATCCGCCCAAATCGATGCTTAATGGAATCAATCATCGTTGGAAAATAGCATCAGGCCGAATCCGTGATCTGTAGCCTTCAATATCAAAAGAAAATGGCCTTTCGTCGCCCAAGAAATTACGAAAATGCCATCCGAAAATAAATTGGCCCAAATCGATGCTTAACGAACTTATCATCCGTGGAGAATAGGTGACACGCTAAAACACAACACCTAACAATGGCCAAGTGTAACCAATGAAAGGGACTGCAGTATAGTGGCACAAGTAATAAATATCGAATCCACTGGTCTCTAGAGTTACTATTACTCAACTTCAGTTCATTATCTAGCAAACTAGATTAAGGATTGATTTATAAACTACTCTACTGACTACTCTACTAATTACAAGTTGGGAACTCACTTAGGTATGATTCCCCCTAGCTCCTCAATTAGGTCCAAGTTGCAATTACCTTAGGTTGATCTACTGTTGATTAAACTGCGGAAGATCCGACAGTAGCTTGGAATCTCTTCAGCTGACCAAGCCCTCTCAGTCCAACTACCCGACAGGCGACTAACTTCACCGGGATAGAAAGCTGAGGCTATGAACACAGAACTCCACTACTGGAATTGGATTCCAGTACAAAGCAGTGAATTGGTTGACTCTCGCACAACCAATTCACCACTATCAATCAAGGAAGCTCTCTTAACCTAATCAGATTCTATCTATCATAGGTTAAAGCAGAAATCAAGAGAATTTGATCAAGATTCAATTGACTCAATAAATCATACCTCAATCGATTATAAGCAAACAATATAGCATCCAAAACTTCATACAAGAAAGATCCTAACACATGGAACTAGGGTTCCTCAAAACCTAAGTGAAGGGAAGTTACTCCATAGAGAAGAGAGAGACTGTAGAAATCTGATCTAGATCTTCAATCTCCATCTCCAAGCTTGATTCCCGAGCTCCAATGGTGAAGAAATCCTCCAAAATAGCTCCAAGAATGTTCCCAAGTCGCTCTCTCTCTCTAGGGTTCGTCCCTTGGGTGTTTGGGAACCACAAACCCAGCTCTCCCCTTTCCTTTGACTGAAAATCGAGTTTTAAACAGAAATTCCCGATCACGCGGCCAGGCCACACGGCCGTGTGGCTTTCCCAGCTTCCCGTGTGAAGGCTCGGTGATTTCCACACGGCCACGACTCACACGGCCGTGTGGAATTCCAGGATGCCCGTGTGGCTTGCTCAGCCTCTGTTTAATGCTTTGTTTCTCCCACGTCCGGACTCCGAATCAGTCCCCGTTTGATCCCAGACGCTCGTAGTCTCGTCCTATTAGTTTTCATGACAAGCTTGCATGATTCTTTGTCCATAAAGTGAGGTAGAAATCCATTCTTCTTCAGGTCATGCCCGAGTTTCTTCTCCCGAATCGTCAATTGATCTCTGATTGATTTGAAACTTGCGCCTATGCTTCACTTTATGTGCTAGGACCTGAAATGTGACAAAGTAACACAACCTAGCATAAAATAGGACAAAGACGTAATAATTCAAGCTCAAACAATCAAGAAACAAAGGGGAAAACATGTGCAAATACCGAGTCATCAATAGGATCAATAGACTTCATTATCGGTGGAGAATAGCCTCGGCCTGATTGCATGATCTGTAGCCTCCAGAATCTAAAGAAAATGGCATTTCGGATAAATCGCTCAAAAGCTGTGATGGTACCCCTTTGGAATCTGCCAAAAATAGATCCGAAAGAAATCCGCCCAAATTGGTGCTTAATGGACTCAATCATCGTTGGAGAATAGCCTCAGGCCGAATCCGTGATCTGTAGACTTCAATATCCAAAGAAAATGGCCTTTCGTCGCCCAAGAAATTACTAAAATGCCATCCGAAAATAAGTTGGCCCAAATCGATGCTTAACGGACTTATCATCTGTGGAGAATAGGATCAATAGACTTCATTATCGGTGGAGAATAGGCTCGTCCTGATTCCGTGATATGTAGCCTCCAGAATCGAAAGAAAATGGCATTTCGGATAAATCGCCCAAATCTGTGATGGTACCCCTTTGGAATCTGCGAAAAATTGACCCGGAATAATTCCGCCCAAATCGGTTCTTAATGGACTCAATCATCGTTGGAGAATAGCCTCAGGCCGAATCCGTGATCTGTAGCCTTCAATATCCAAAGAAAATGGCCTTTCGTCGCCCAAGAAATTACGAAAATGCCATCAGAAAATAAATTGGCCCAAATCGATGCTTAACGGACTTATCATCCGTGTAGAATAGGACCAATAGACTTCATTATCGGTGGAGAATAGCCTAGGCCCGATTCCGTGATATGTAACCTCCAAAATCGAAAGAAAATGGCATTTCGGATAAATCGCCCGAAATCTGTGACGGTACCCCTTTGAAATCTGCCAAAAATTGACCCGGAATAAATCCGCCCAAATCGGTGTTTAATGGACTCAATCATCGTTGGAGAATAGCCTCAGGCCGAATCCGTGATCTGTAGCATTCAATATACGAAGAAAATGGCCTTTCGTCGCCCAAGAAATTACGAAAATGCCATCCAAAAATAAATTGGCCCAAATCGATGCTTAACGGACTTATCATCCGTGGTGAATAGGATCAATAGACTTCATTATCGGTGGAGAATATCCTCGGCCTGATTCCGTGATCTGTAGCCTCCAGAATCGAAAGAAAATAGCATTTCGGATAAGTCGCCCGAAATCTGTGATGGTACCCATTTGGAATCTGCCAAAAATTGACCCGGAAAAAATCCGCCCAAATCGGTGCTAAATGGACTCAATCATCGTTGGAGAATAGCCACAGGCCGAATCCGTGATCTGTAGCCTTCAATATCCAAAGAAAATGGCCCTCCGTGGCCCAAGAAATTATGAAAATGCCATACGTAAATAAATTGGCCCAAATCGATGCTTAATGGACTTATCATCCGTGGAGAATAGGATCAATAGACTTTATTATCGGTGGAGAATAGCCTCGGCCTGATTCCGTGATCTGTAGCCTTTAGAATCGAAAGAAAATGGCATTTCGGATAAATCGCCCGAAATCTGTGATGGTACCCCTTAGGAATCTGCGAAAAATTGACCCGGAATAAATCCGCCTAAATCGGTGCTTAATGGACTCAATCATCGTTGGAGAATAGCCTCAGGCCGAATCCGTGATCTGTAGCCTTCAATATCCAAAGAAAATGACCTTTCGTCGCCCAAGAAATTACGAAAATGCAATCCGAAAATAAATTGGCCCAAATCTATGCTAACAGATTTATCATTCGTGGTGAATAGGATCAATAGACATCATTATCGGTGGAGAATAGCCTCGGCCTTATTCCGTGATCTGTAGCCTCCATAATCGAAAGAAAATGGCATTTCGGATAAATCACCCAAAATCTGTGATGGTACCCCTTTGGAATCTGTCAAAAATTGACCCGGATTAAATCCGCCCAAATCGGTGCTTAATGGACTCAATCATCATTGGAGAATAGCCTCAGGCCGAATCCGTGATCTGTAGCCTTCAATATCCAAAGAAAATGGCCTTTCGTCGCCCAAGAAATTACGAAAATACCATCCGAAAATAAATGGGCCCAAATCGATTCTTACCGGACTTATCAACTGTGGAGAATAGGATCAATAGACTTCATTATCGGTGGAGAATAGCCTCGGCCTGATTCCGTGATCTGTAGCCTCCAGAATCGAACGAAAATGGCATTTTGGATAAATCGCCCGAAATCTGTGATGGTACCCCTTTGGAATCTGCCAAAAATTGACACTGAATAAATCTGTCCAATTCGGTGCTTAATGAACCCAATCATCGTTGGAGAATAGCCTCAGGCCGAATCCGTGATCTGTAGCCTTCAATATCCAAAGAAAATGGCCTTTCGTCGCCCAAGAAATTATGAAAATACCATCCAAAAATAAATTGGCCCAAATCGATTCTTAACGGACTTATCAACTGTGGAGAATAGGATCAATAGACTTCATTCTCTGTGGAGAATAGCCTCTGCCTGATTCCGTGATCTGTAGCCTCCAGAATCGAAAGAAAATGGCATTTCGGATAAATCGCCCGAAATCTGTGATGGTACCCATTTGGAATCTGCCAAAAATTGACCCGGAATAAATCCGCCCAAATCGGTGCTTAATGGACTCAATCATCATTGGAGAATAGCCTCAGGCCGAATCCGTGATCTGTAGCCTTCAATATCCAAAGAAAATGGCCTTTCGTCGCCCAAGAAATTACGAAAATACCATCCGAAAATAAATGGGCCCAAATCGATTCTTACCGGACTTATCAACTGTGGAGAATAGGATCAATAGACTTCATTATCGGTGGAGAATATCCTCGGCCTGATTCCGTGATCTGTAGCCTCCAGAATCGAAAGAAAATGGCATTTCGGATAAATCACCCAAAATCTGTGATGGTACCCCTTTGGAATCTGTCAAAAATTGACCCGGAATAAATCCGCCCAAATCGGTCCTTAATGGACTCAATCATCGTTGGAGAATAGCCTCAGGCCGAATCCGTGATCTGTAGCCTTCAATATCCAAAGAAAATGGCTTTTCGCTGCCCAAGAAATTACGAAAATACGAGCCGAAAATAAATTGGCCGAAATCGATGCTTAACGGACTTATCATCCGTGGAGAATAGGATCAATAAACTTCATTATCGGTGGAGAATAGCCTTGGCCTGATTCCGTGATCTGTAGCCTCCATAATCGAAAGAAACTGTCATTTTGGATAAATCGCCTGAAATCTGTGATGGTACCCTTTGGAATCTGCCAAAAATTAACCCGGAATAAATCCGCCCTAATCGGTGCTTAATACACTCAATCATCGTTGGAGAATAGCCTCAGGCCGAATCCATGATCTGTAGCCTTCAATATCCAAAGAAAATGGCCCTCCGTCGCCAAAGAAATTATGAAAATGCCATACGTAAATAAATTGGCCCAAATCGATGCTTAACGGACTTATCATCCGTGGAGAATAGGATCAATAGACTTTATTATCGGTGGAGAATAGCTCGGCCTGATTCCATGATCTGTAGCCTTTAGAATCGAAAGAAAATGGCATTTCGGATAAATCGCCCGAAATCTGGCATGGTACCCCTTAGGAATCTGCCAAAAATTGACCCGGAATAAATCCGCCCAAATCGGTGCTTAATGGACTCAATCATCATTGGAGAATAGCCTCAGGCCGAATCCGTGATCTGTAGCCTTCAATATTCAAAGAAAATGGCCTTTCGTCGCCCAAGAAATTACGAAAATGCAATCCGAAAATAAATTGGCCCAAATCTATGCTAACAGATTTATCATTCGTGGTGAATAGGATCAATAGACTTCATTATCGGTGGAGAATAGCCTCGGCCTTATTCCGTGATCTGTAGCCTCCAGAATCGAAAGAAAATGGCATTTCGGATAAATCACCCAAAATCTGTGATGGTACCCCTTTGGAATCTGTCAAAAATTGACCCGGAATAAATCCGCCCAAATCGGTGCTTAATGGACTCAATCATCGTTGGAGAATAGCCTCAGGGCGAATTCGTGATCTATAGCCTTCAATATCCAAAGAAAATGGCTTTTCGCCGCCCGAGAAATTACGAAAATACCAGCCAAAAATAAATTGGCCCAAATCGATGCTTAACGGACTTATCATCCGTGGAGAATAGGATCAATAGACTTTATTATCGGTGGAGAATAGCCTTGGCCTGATTCCGTGATCTGTAGCCTCCATAATCGAAAGAAAATGGCATTTTGGATAAATCGCCTGAAATCTGTGATGGTATCCCTTTGGAATCTGCCAAAAATTAACCCAGAATAAATCCGCCCAAATCGGTGCTTAATGGACTCAATCATCGTTGGAGAATAGCCTCATGCCGAATCCGTGATTTGTAGCCTTCAATATCCAAAGAAAATGGCCCTCCGTCGCCCAAGAAATTACGAAAATGCCATACGTAAATAAATTGGCCCAAATCGATGCTTAATGGACTTATCATTCGTGGAGAATAGGATCAATAGACTTCATTATCGGTGGAGAAACTTACGCCTATGCTTCACTTTATGTTCTAGTACCTGAAATGTGACAAAGTAACACAACCTAGCATAAAATAGGACAAAGATGCAATAATTCAAGCTCAAACAATCAAGAAACAAAGGGGAAAACATGTGCAAATACCGAGTCATCAAATCCCCCCACACTTAACTGTTTGCTTGTCCCCAAGCAAACCTAACTCAAACCAATGCAGATCTCCAGACCTCTATAGCAACAAACAACCCCGATCGTCGGTAGAGGATTTCCTAGATCATATAGCAGCTTACGAGGTCAACTGGTCTTCTAAGACGTCCCCTATCTCTCTCAATGCGAGTACTAGACTCAAGCCAGGAACATGAGAAGAAGTAGAAGTAAGACAGTCAGTTCATGGACAAAGGGACTCACACCATTCACAACAAAGGACTCGTTGTACCGGGGTGCTCTTTCACTTCATTTCACCGTTGGAACCCCTTTTTGCACTTTCATTCACATTTTTCTTGTTCTTTTTTTCCTTCTTTCACTAGCAGGGGTTCCAACTGCAGTCTTTTGCACGGTCGACCCTTATTAGTCGAGCAAGAGCAATTTTTGTACATCTAGCGCTCGCCAGAGTACTTCTTTTAACTCCTTTTCCTCAACTCGTGTGGAGGGTCAATGAAATCAAGGGGGGTCGGAAGCTCTATCCGTGCCCTTAAAAACACATCCTCAAGTAGGCAAACCGTTCAACGGGTGAAAATTTTACTTGTACTAGAGACAACTTAGCTTCACCTTGTAGGAGTACCCCACTAAGGATCACTAAAATCTCTTCCAAAACCCGATTTTGTGCAATGAACGGTGCCACACACGTTGGGCTTACCCCATGTTTAAGATTTCAATGATTTCGACATGGAGGACCAACTGCTTCCCATTTTCCATATGAGCACCCTGTTCGATACACGAGTCCATAACACAATCCAAATAGAGTCACCATTACCAATGAATTCAACGGTCTTAGCTCCACTAATTCACAAAATCAACTGGCACAACAGAGAGCTAGATAGGAAAAATCTTATACTTCAACATCCTCCATAGTGCTACACTACCTCCCTAGGTTGCACATTACTATAGAGACTGTCAATTCAAAGCATACGGAGGAGGCAATTTGCAAAGAAACACGTACTTGGAGCCCTCAAATTTAAAATAAAATTTGTACAGTGGACTATGCTCCAAGCACACAAACAACCAAACATTCACCCGCATACATAATCGAACATCCCCCCACACTTAAGCACGACATTGTCCTCAATGGAGGAAAGATAAGGAGGGTAGAACGAAGTTACCAAATCAAGGGTGAATGATTTGGACGGGGCAGGCGGTGCATTCCAGGAAGAGAGAGTAATCAGAACACAAACACCACACAAAATCTCACAAAGGTTGAGTTATTGACTCTAAAATCAAATAACAAAACTGACTCAACCGAGGAGAAATAGAGAAAGAAATTCAAACCGACTGGTTGGGTTGCCTCCCAACAAGCGCTTCTTTCACGTCGTGAGCCGGAGAATGGCTCCTAAGTTTCAGTCCATGCTAGAACCTCCTTGAAGTTGAGGTTCTCGTCGATGAGGTGGAGTCTCAAGTCACGAGCATGCGGTATGACAGGTGATGGAAGCTCGTGCACTTGATGTAGATAACGTCTCCACCCTCGAGACCTCTTCTTCCCTTCTCTCGTCTCATTGCCCCAAACTAGATATGACAGCATCGATTGACCACCATCGCGTCCACCAAGAGGGACCGATGTCGACGTGGCCTTGGCCTGGCAAAGAGACACTGCAAATGGGTCCTTGCTAAGCAGTTCCGCGAAGTTTGGTGGAGATATCACATGTAACTCATGGCCGGTGCAAGCCTCTTCCACCTTAACTCCGTCCTCAGCCTGGACGCCAATTGCTTCTTCAACCCCCCTTTCTTCTTCATGTGGTATCACCCCTGGGAAATGATCAAGAATTCCTCCTGCTTCACTTGCGTCATCCTCCACAACTTCTTTCTGCACCCTTTCTTGCTCTTCTTCTTCTAGCACAGATTGGAGAGCAAGTCGCCATGTAATTTCTTCAATGAGATCATCTTGCATCTCCTCTCTCAGGCCCAGCATGTTAGAGCAGAAATAAGGAAAGGTGTGATCTGCAACCAGAGGACTTTCCTGATCATGATTATCATGGGAGTGCTTTGTGATAACTTTTGTATGCTCCTCAACATCCCTGTAGCCTTTGTCATCCTCCACCTCTTCTAGTGTGGTAGCAGAAAGGTGATCTTGACCAAGATGTGAGCAAACTTGCTCCACCCACTCTGTTTGCTTCGCTGAGCGCTGAACAGTCTCCTCCATTTCATGGAGAAATAAGGGATCGGAAGGGGCAAGGGCTTTGATTTGAAGATCCATCTTGGAGCATGATCTCTCAGTGTCTCGAGCAAACTGCTCCACGAGAAGCCTTAATTGTTTGTTTGGATCTTCCAGTGAAGTGTAGCATGGCTCTGCAGAGTGGCCCGTGAAGGCTGTGGCAAACCCAAGATCTGATGGTCCTTCTTGTTGTGGGAGGAATTCTTCTTGATAAGGAGATTGTTCTTGAAATACCCAGGGGTCTGATTGTTCTTCGTAGTAGGGGGGTTGGTACTGAAACCCGACTCCATAGTCTTCTCCTCCTTGGTTACTCCAGGGAGTCTCGAGGTAATACCACTGGGATGGTGGTGGATACCCCCAATGGTTGGAGAAGCCATGAGGGTCAATGATTCAGATCTGCACCAACAAAAACAAAAAACACCCAAGTGAAAAGCAAGGGCGGAAAACAAAAGAAAAATGCTAAAGTAACAAACTTCCACCTTTCCAAATAATCTAGAAAGTCCCCGGCAACGGCGCCAAAAACTTGACACGCTAAAACACAACACCTAACAATGGCCAAGTGTAACCAATGAAAGGGACTGCAGTATAGTGGCACAAGTAATAAATATCGAATCCACGGGTCTCTAGAGTTACTATTACTCAACTTCAGTTCATTATCTAGCAAACTAGATTAAGGATTGATTTATAAACTACTCTACTGACTACTCTACTAATTACAAGTTGGGAACTCACTTAGGTATGATTCCCCTTAGCTCCTCAATTAGGTCCAAGTTGCAATTACCTTAGGTTGATCTACTGTTGATTAAACTGCGGAAGATCCGACAGTAGCTTGGAATCTCTTCAGCTGACCAAGCCCTCTCAGTCCAACTACCCGACAGGCGACTAACTTCACCGGGATAGAAAGCTGAGGCTATGAACACAGAAGTCAACTACTGGAATTGGATTCCAGTACAAAGCAGTGAATTGGTTGACTCTCGCACAACCAATTCACAACTATCAATCAAGGAAGCTCTCTTAACCTAATCAGATTCTATCTATCATAGGTTAAAGCAGAAATCAAGAGAATTTGATCAAGATTCAATTGACTCAATAAATCATGCCTCAATCGATTATAATAAAACAATATAGCATCCAAAACTTCATACAAGAAAGATCCTAACACATGGAACTAGGGTTCCTCAAAACCTAAGTGAAGGGAAGTTACTCCATAGAGAAGAGAGAGACTGTAGAAATCTGATCTAGATCTTCAATCTCCATCTCCAAGCTTGATTCCCGAGCTCCAATGGAGAAGAAATCCTCCAAAATAGCTCCAAGAATGTTCCCAAGTCGCTCTCTCTCTCTAGGGTTCGTCCCTTGGGTGTTTGGGAACCACAAACCCAGCTCTCCCCTTTCCTTTGACTGAAAATCGAGTTTTAAACAGAAATTCCCGATCACGCGGCCAGGCCACACGGCCGTGTGGCTTTCCCAGCTTCCCGTGTGAAGGCTCGGTGATTTCCACACGGCCACGACTCACACGGCCGTGTGGAATTCCAGGATGCCCGTGTCGCTTGCTCAGCCTCTGTTTAATGCTTTGTTTCTCCCACGTCCGGACTCCGAATCAGTCCCCGTTTGATCCCAGACGCTCGTAGTCTCGTCCTATTAGTTTTCATGACAATCTTGCATGATTCTTTGTCCATAAAGTGAGGTAGAAATCCATTCTTCTTCAGGTCATGCCCGAGTTTCTTCTCCCGATTCGTCAATTGATCTCTGATTGATTTGAAACTTGCGCCTATGCTTCACTTTATGTGCTAGGACCTGAAATGTGATAAAGTAACACAACCTAGCATAAAATAGGACAAAGACGTAATAATTCAAGCTCAAACAATCAAGAAACAAAGGGGAAAACATGTGCAAATACCGAGTCATCAATAGGATCAATAGACTTCATTATCGGTGGAGAATAGCCTCGGCCTGATTGCATGATCTGTAGCCTCCAGAATCTAAAGAAAATGGCATTTCGGATAAATCGCTCGAAAGCTGTGATGGTACCCCTTTGGAATCTGCCAAAAATAGATCCGAAAGAAATCCGCCCAAATCGGTACTTAATGTACTCAATCATCGTTGGAGAATAGCCTCAGGCCGAATCCGTGATCTGTAGACTTCAATATCCAAAGAAAATGGCCTTTCGTCGCCCAAGAAATTACAAAAATGCCATCCGAAAATAAATTGGACCAAATCGATGCTTAACGGACTTATCATCTATGGAGAATAGGATCAATAGACTTCATTATCGGTGGAGAATAGCCTCGTCCTGATTCCGTGATATGTAGCCTCCAGAATCGAAAGAAAATGGCATTTCGGATAAATCGCCCAAATCTGTGATGGTACCCCTTTGGAATCTGCGAAAAATTGACCCGGAATAATTCCGCCCAAATCGGTTCTTAATGCACTCAATCATCGTTGGAGAATAGCCTCAGGCCGAATCCATGATCTGTAGCCTTCAATATCCAAAGAAAATGGCCTTTCGTCGCCCAAGAAATTACGAAAATGCCATCCGAAAATAAATTGGCCCAAATCGATGCTTAACGGACTTATCATCCGTGTAGAATAGGATCAATAGACTTCATTATCGGTGGAGAATAGCCTAGGCCCGATTCCGTGATACGTAACCTCCAAAATCGAAAGAAAATGGCATTTCGGATAAATCGCCCGAAATCTGTGAAGGTACCCCTTTGAAATCTGCCAAAAATTGACCCGGAATAAATCCGCACAAATCGGTGTTTAATGGACTCAATCATCGTTGGAGAATAGCCTCAGGCCGAATCCGTGATCTGTAGCATTCAATATACGAAGAAAATGGCCTTTCGTCGCCCAAGAAATTACGAAAATGCCATCCAAAAATAAATTGGCCCAAATCGATGCTTAACGGACTTATCATCCGTGGAGAATAGGATCAATAGACTTCATTATCGGTGGAGAATATCCTCGGCCTGATTCCGTGATCTGTAGCATCCAGAATCGAAAGAAAATAGCATTTCGGAAAAATCGCCCGAAATCTGTGATGGTACCCATTTGGAATCTGCCAAAAATTGACCCGGAATAAATCCGCCCAAATCGGTGCTAAATGGACTCAATCATCGTTGGAGAATAGCCTCAGGCCGAATCCGTGATCTGTAGCCTTCAATATCCAAAGAAAATGGCCCTCCGTGGCCCAAGAAATTATGAAAATGCCATACGTAAATAAATTGGCCCAAATCGATGCTTAACGGACTTATCATCCGTGGAGAATAGGATCAATAGACTTTATTATCGGTGGAGAATAGCCTCGGCCTGATTCCGTGATCTGTAGCATCCAGAATCGAAAGAAAATAGCATTTCGGATAAATCGCCCGAAATCTGTGATGGTACCCCTTAGGAATCTGCCAAAAATTGACCCGGAATAAATCCGCCCAAATCGGTGCTTAATGGACTCAATCATCGTTGGAGAATAGCCTCAGGACGAATCCGTGATCTGTAGCCTTCAATATCCAAAGAAAATGGCCTTTCGTCGCCCAAGAAATTACGAAATACCATCCAAAAATAAATTGGCCCAAATCGATTCTTAACGGACTTATCAACGGTGGAGAATAGGATCAATAGACTTCATTATCTGTGGAGAATAGCCTCGGCCTGATTCCGTGATATGTAGCCTCCAGAATCGAAAGAAAATGGCATTTAGGATAAATCGCCCGAAATCTGTGATGGTACCCATTTGGAATCTGCCAAAAATTGACCCGGAATAAATCCGCCCAAATCGGTGCTAAATGGACTCAATCATCGTTAGAGAATAGCCTCAGGCCGAATCCGTGATCTGTAGCCTTCAATATCCAAAGAAAATGGCCCTCCGTCGCCCAAGAAATTACGAAAATGCCATACGTAAATAAATTGGCTAAAATCGATGCTTAACGGACTTATCATCCATGGAGAATAGGATCAATAGACTTCATTATCGGTGGAGAATAGCCTCGACTTGATTCCGGGATCTGTAGCCTTTAGAATCGAAAGAAAATGGCATTTCGGATAAATCGCCTGAAATCTGTGATGGTACCCCTTTGGAATCTGCCAAAAATTGACCCGGAATAAATCCTCCCAAATCGGTGCTTAATGGACTAAATCATCGTTGGAGAATAGCCCCAGGCCGAATCTGTGATCTGTAGCCTTCAATATCCAAAAAAATGGCCTTTCGTCGCCCAAGAAATTACGAAAATACCAGCCGAAAATAAATTGGCCCAAATCAATGCTTAACAGACTTATCATCCGTGGAGAATAGGATCAATAGACTTCATTATCGGTAGAGAATAGCCTCGACTTGATCCGTGATCTGTAGCCTTTAGAATCGAAAGAAAATGGCATTTCGGATAAATCGCCCGAAATCTGGGATGGTACCCCTTTGGAATCTGCCAAAAATTGACCCAGAACAAATCCGCCCAAATCTGTGCGTAATGGACTCAATCATCGTTGGAGAATACCGTAAGGCCGAATCCGTGATCTGTAGCCTTCAATATCCACAGAAAATGGCCTTTCGTAGCCCAAGAAATTACGAAAATCCCATCCGAAAATAAATTGGCCCAAATCGATGCTAACAGATTTATCATCCGTGGTGAATAGGATCAATAGACTTCATTATCGGTGGAGAATAGCCTCGGCCTGATTCCGTGATATGTAGCCTCCAGAATCAAAAGAAAATGGCATTTTGGATAAATCGCCCGAAATCTGTGATGGTACCGCTTTGGAATCTGCCAAAAATTGACCAGGAATAAATCCGCCCAAATTGGTACTTAATGGACTCAATCATCGTTGGAGAATAGCCTCAGGCCGAATCCGTGATCTGTATCCTTCAATATCCAAAGAAAATGGATTTTCGCCGCCCAAGAAATTACGAAAATACCAGCCGAAAATAAATTGGCCCAAATCGATGCTTAACGGACTTATCATCCGTGGAGAATAGGATCAATAGACTTCATTATCGGTGGAGAATAGCCTCGGCCTGATTCCGTGATCTGTAGCCTCCAGAATCGAAAGAAAATGGCATTTCGGATAAATTGCCCGAAATCTGTGATGGTATCCCTTTGGAATCTGCCAAAAATTGACCCGGAATAAATCTGTCAAAATCGGTGCTTAATGGACTCAATCATCGTTGGAGAATAGCCTCAGGCCGAATCCGTGATCTGTAGCCTTCAATATCCAAAGAAAATGGCCTTTCGTCGCCCAAGAAATTACGAAAATACCATCCAAAAATAAATTGGCCCAAATCGATTCTTAACGGACTTATCAACGGTGGAGAATAGGATCAATAGACTTCATTATCTGTGGAGAATAGCCTCGGCCTGATTCCGTGATCTGTAGCCTCCAGAATCGAAAGAAAATGGCATTTAGGATAAATCGCCCGAAATCTGTGATGGTACCCATTTGGAATCTGCCAAAAATTGACCCGGAATAAATCCGCCCAAATCGGTGCTTAATGGACTCAATCATCGTTGGAGAATAGCCTCAGGCCGAATCCGTGATCTGTAGCCTTCAATATCTAAAGAAAATGGCCCTCCGTCGCCCAAGAAATTACGAAAATGCCATACGTAAATAAATTGGCTAAAATCGATGCTTAACGGACTTATCATCCGTGGAGAATAGGATCAATAGACTTCATTATCGGTGGAGAATAGCCTCGACTTGATTCCGGGATCTGTAGCCTTTAGAATCGAAAGAAAATGGCATTTCGGATAAATCGCCCGAAATCTGTGATGGTACACCTTTGGAATCTGCCAAAAATTGACCCGGAATAAATCCTCCCAAATCGGTGCTTAATGGACTAAATCATCGTTGGAGAATACCGTAAGGCCGAATCCGTGATCTGTAGCCTTCAATATCCAAAGAAAATGGCCTTTCGTCGCCCAAGAAATTACGAAAATCCCATCCGAAAATAAATTGGCCCAAATCGATGCTAACAGATTTATCATCCGTGGTGAATAGGATCAATAGACTTCATTATCGGTGGAGAATAGCCTCGGCCTGATTCCGTGATCTGTAGCCTCCAGAATCAAAAGAAAATGGCATTTTGGATAAATCGCCCGAAATCTGTGATGGAACCGCTTTGGAATCTGCCAAAAATTGACCAGGAATAAATCCGCCCAAATCGGTACTTAATGGACTCAATCAGTGTTGGAGAATAGCCTCAGGCCGAATCCGTGATCTGTAGCCTCCAATATCCAAAGAAAATGGCCTTTCGTCGCCCAAGAAAATACGAAAATGCAATCCGAAAATAAATTGGTCCAAATCGATGCTTAATGGACTTATCATCCGTGGAGAATACGATCAATAGACATCATTATCGGTGGAGAATAGCCTCGGCTGATTCCATGATCTGTAGCCTCCATAATCGAATTAAAATGGATTTTCGGATAATTAGCCCGAAATCTATGATGGTACCTCTTTGGAATCTGCCAAAAATTGACCCGGAATAAATCTGCCCAAATCGGTGCTTAATGGACTCAATCATCGTTGAAGAATAGCCTCAGGCCGAATCCGTGATCTGTAGACTTCAATATCCAATGTAAATGGCCTTTCGTCGCCTAAGAAATTACGAAAAGGCCATCCGAAAATATATTGGCCCAAATCGATGCTTAACGGACTTATCATCCGTGGAGAATAGAATCAATAGACTTCATTATCGGTGTAGAATAGCCTTGGCATGATTCCGTGATATATAGCTTCCAGAATCGAAAGAAAATGGCTTTTTGGATAAATCGCCCGAAATCTGTAATGGTACCACTTTGGAATCTGCCAAAAATTGACCTGGAATAAATCTGCCCAAATCGGTGCTTAATGGACTCAATCATCGTTGGAGAGTAGCCTCAGGCCGAATCCGTGATCTGTAGACTTCAATATCCAAAGAAAATGGCGTTTCGTCTCCCTAGAAATTACAAAAATGCCATTTGAAAATATATTGGCACAAATCGATGCTTAACAGACTTATCATCCGTGGAGAATAGGATCAATAGACTTCATTATCGGTGGAGAAATGCCTCGGCCTGATTCCGTGATCTGTAGCTTTTAGAATCGAAAGAAAATGGCATTTCTGATAAATGGCCCGAAATCTGTGATGGTATCCCTTTGGAATCTGTCAAAAATTGACCCGAAACAAATCCTCCCAAATCGGTGCTTATTGGACTCAATCATTGTTGGAGAATAGCCTCAGGCCGAATCCGTGATCTGTAGCCTTCAATATCCAACGAAAATGGCCTTTCCTCGCCCAAGAAATTACGAAAATGCCATCCGAAAATAGATTGGCCCAAATCGATGCTTAACGCACTTATCATCCGTGGTGAATAGGATCAATAGACTTCATTATCGGTGGAGAATAGCCACGCCCTGATTCTGTGATCTGTAGCCTCCAGAATCGAAAGAAAATGGCATTTCGGTTAAATTGCCCGAAATCTGTGATGGTACCGCTTTGGAATCTGCCAAAAATTGACCCGGAATAAATCCGCCCAAATCGGTGCTTAATGGACTCAATCATCGTTGGAGAATAGCCTTAGGCCGAATCCCTGATCTGTAGCCTTCAATATCCATAGAAAATGGCCTTTCGTCGCCCAAGAAATTACGAAAATGCCATCCGAAAATAAATTGGCCCAAATCGATGCTTAACGGACTTATCATCCGTGGAGAATAGGATCAATAGACTTCATTATCGGTGGAGAATAGTCACGACCTGATTCCGTGATCTGTGGCACCCAGAATCGAAAGAAAATGGCATTTCGGATAAATCGCACGAAATCTGTGATGGTACCCCTTTGGAATATGCCAAAAATTGACCCGGAATAAATCCGCCCAAATCGGTGCTTAATGGACTCAATCATCGTTGGAGAATAACCTCAGGCCGAATCCGTGATCTATAGCCTTCAATATCCAAAGAAAATGGCCTTTCATCGCCCAAGAAATTACGAAAATGTCATCCGAAAATAATTTGGCCCAAATCGATGCTTAACGGACTTATCATCCGTGGAGAATATGATCAATAGACTTCATTATCAGTGGAGAATAGCCTCGACCTGATTCCGTGATCTGTAGCCTCTAGATTCGAAAGAAAATGGCATTTCGGATAAATCGCCCGAAATCTGTCATGGTACCCCTTTGGAATCTGTCAAAAATTGACCCGGAATAAATCCGCCCAAATCGGTGCTTAATGGACTCAATCATCGTTGGAGAATAGCCTCAGGCCGAATCCGTGATCTGTAGCCTCCAATATCCAATGAAAATGGCTTTTCGTCGCCCAAGAAATTACAAAAATGTCATCCGAAAATAAAATGGCCCAAATCGAGCTTAACGGACTTATCATCCGTGGAGAATATGATCAATAGACTTCATTATCGGTGGAGAATAGTCTCTTCCTTATTCCGTGATCTGTAGCCTCCAGAATCGAAAGATAATGGCATTTCGGATAAATCGCCCGAAATCTGTGATGGTACCCCTTTGGAATCTGCCAAAAATTAACCCGGATTAAATCCGCCCAAATCGGTGCTTAATGGACTCAATCATCGTTGGAAAATAGCCTTAGATCGAATCCGTGATCTGTAACCTTCCATATCCAAAGAAAATGGCTTTTAATCGCCAAAGAAATTACAAAAATGCCATCCGAAAATAAATTGGCCCAAATCGATGCTTAACGGACTTATCATCTGTGGAGAATAGGGTCAATAGACTTCATTATCGGTGGAGAATAGCCTCTTCCTGATTCCGTGATCTGTATCCTCCAGAATCGAAAGAAAATGGCATTTCGGATAAATCGCCTGAAATCTGTGATGGTACCCCTTTGGAATCTGCCAAAAATTGACCCGGAATAAATCCGCCCAAATCGGTGATGAATGGACTCAATCATCGTTGGAGAATAGCCTTAGGCCGAATCCGTGATCTGTAGCCTTTAATATCCAATGAAAATGGCTTTTCGTCGCCCAAGAAATTACGAAAATGCCATCCGAAAATAAATTGGCCCAAATCGATGCTTAACGGACTTATCATCCGTGGAGAATAGGATCAATAAACTTCATTATCGGTGGAGAATAGCCTCTTCCTTATTCCGTGATCTGTAGCGTCCAGAATCGAAAGAAAATGGCATTTCGGATACATCGCCCGAAATCTGTGATGGTACCCCTTTGGAATCTGCCAAAAATTGACCCGGAATAAATCTGCCCAAATCGGTGGTTAATGGACTCAATCATCGTTGGAGAATAGCCTCAGGCCGAATCCGTGATCTGTAGACTTCAATATCCAAAGAAAATGGCCTTTCGTCGCCCTAGAAATTACGAAAATGCCATCCGAAAATATGTTGGCCCAAATCGATGCTTAACGGACTTATCATCCGTGGAGAATAGGATCAATAGACTTCATTATCAGTGCAGAATAGCCACGGCCTGATTCCGTGATCTGTAGCCTCCAGAATCGAAAGAAAATGGCATTTCGGATAAATCGCCCGAAATCAGTGATGGTACCCCTATGAATCTGCCAAAAATAGACCGAGAACAAATCGCCCCAAATCGGTGCATAATGGACTCAATCATTGTTGTAGAATAGCCCCAGGTCATATCCGTGATCTGTAGCCTTCAATATACAAAGAAAATGGCCTTTCGTCGCCCAAGAAATTACGAAAATGCCATCCGAAAATAAATTGGCCCAAATCGATGCTTAACGGACTTATCATCCGTGGAGAATAGGATCAATAGACTTCATTATCAGTGGAGAATAGCCACGGCCTGATTCCGTGATCTGTAGCCTCCAGAATCGAAAGAAAATGGCATTTCGGATAAATCGCCCGAAATCTGTGATGGTACCCCTATGAATCTGCCAAAAATAGACCCAGAACAAATCGCCCCAAATCGGTCCATAATGGACTCAATCATTGTTGTAGAATAGCCCCAGGTCATATCCGTGATCTGTAGCCTTCAATATACAAAGAAAATGGCCTTTCGTCGCCCAAGAAATTACGAAAATGCCATCCGAAAATAAATTGGCCCAAATCGATGGTTAACGCACTTATCATCCGTGGTGAATAGGATCAATAGACTTCATTATCGGTGGAGAATAGCCTCGTCCTGATTCCGTGATCTGTAGCCTCCAGAATCGAAAGAAAATGGCATTTCGGATAAATCGCCCGAAATCTGTGATGGTACCCCTTTGGAATCTGCAAAAAATAGACCCGGAACAAATCCCCCCAAATCGGTGCTTAATGGACTCAATCATCGTTGGAGAATAGCCTCAGCCCGAATCCGTGATCTGTAGACTTCAATATCCAAAGAAAATGGCCTTTCGTCGCCCTAGAAATTACGAAAATGCCATCCGAAAATATATTGGCCCAAATCGATGCGTAACGGACTTATCATCCGTGGAGTATAGGATCAATAGACTTCATTATCGCTGGAGAATAGCCTCGGCCTGATTCCGTGATCTGTAGCCTCCAGAATCGAAAGAAAATGGCATTTCGAATAAATCGCCCGAAATCTGTGATGGTACCACTTTGGAATCTGGCAAAAATTGACCCGTAATAAATCCGCCCAAATCGTTGCTTAATGGACTCAATCATCATTGGAGAATAGCCTCAGGCCGAATCCGTGATCTGTAGCCTTTTATATCCAAAGAAAATGGTCTTTCGTCGCCCAAGAAATTACAAAAATGCCATCCGAAAATAACCTGGCCCAAATCGATGCTTCACGGACTTATCATCCGTGGAGAATAAGATCAATAGACTTCATTATCGGTGAAGAATAGCCTCTTCCTTATTCTGTGATCTATAGCCTCCAGAATCGAAAGAAAATGGCATTTCGGATAAATCGCCCGAAATCTGTGATGGTACCCCTTTGGAATCTGCCAAAAATTGACCCGGAATAAATCCGCCCAAATCGGTGCTTAATGGACTCAATCATTGTTGGAGAATAGCCTCAGGCCGAATCCGTGATCTGTAGCCTTCAATATCCAAAGAAAATGGCCTTTCATCGCCCAAGAAATTACGAAAATGCCATCCGAAAATAAATTGGCCCAAATCGATGCTTAACGCACTTATCATCCGTGGTGAATAGGATCAATAGACTTCATTATCGGTGGTGAATAGACTTGGCCTGATTCTGTGATCTGTAGCCTCTAGAATCGAAAGAAAATAGCATTTCGAATAAATCGCCCGAAATCTTTGATGGTATCCCTTTGGAATCTGCCAAAAATTGACCCGGAATAAATCCGCCCAAATCGGTGCTTAATGGACTCAATCATTGTTGGAGAATAGCCTCAGGCCGAATCCGTGATCTGTAGCCTTCAATATCCAAAGAAAATGGCCTTTGGTCGCCCAAGAAATTACGAAAATGCCATCCGAAAATAAATTGGCTCAAATCGATGCTTAACGCACTTATCATCCGTGGTGAATAGGATCAATAGACTTCATTATCGGTGGAGAATAGCCTCGGCCTGATTCTGTGAACTGTAGCCTCCAGAATCGAAAGAAAATGGCAGTTCGGATAAATCGCCCGAAATCTGTGATGGTACCCCTTTGGAATCTGCCAAAAATTGACTGGAATAAATCTGCCCAAATCGGGGCTTAATGGACCTAATCATCGTTGGAGAATAGCCTCAGGCCGAATCCGTGATCTGTAGACTTCAATATCCAAAGAAAATGGCCTTTCGTCGCCCAAAAAATTACGAAAATGCCATCCGAAAATATATTGGCCCAAATCGATGCTTAACAGACTTATCATCCGTGGAGAATGGGATCAATAGACTTCATTATCGGTGGAGAATAGCCTCGGCCTGATTCCATGATCTGTTGCCTCCATAATCGAAAGAAAATGGCATTTCGGATAAATCGCCCGAAATCTGTGATGGAACCCCTTTGGAATCTGCCAAAAATTGACCCGGAATAAATCCGCCCCAATCGGTGCTTAATGGACTCAATCATCGATGGAGAATAGCCTCAGGCCGAATCCGTGATCTATAGCCTTCAATATCCAAAGAAAATGGCCTTCGTCGCCCAAGAATTTACTAAAATGCCATCCGAAAATAAATTGCCCCATATCGATGCTTAACGGACTTATCATCCGTGGAGAATAGGATCAATAGACTTCATTATCGATGTAGAATAGCCTCTTCCTTATTCTGTGATCTATAGCCTCCAGAATCGAAAGAAAATGGCATTTCGGATAAATCGCCCGAAATCTGTGATGGTACCCCTTTGGAATCTGCCAAAAATTGACCCGGAATAAATCCGCCCAAATCGGTGCTTAATGGACTCAATCATTGTTGGAGAATAGCCTCAGGCCGAATCCGTGATCTGTAGCCTTCAATATCCAAAGAAAATGGCCTTTCATCGCCCAAGAAATTACGAAAATGCCATCCGAAAATAAATTGGCCCAAATCGATGCTTAACGCACTTATCATCCGTGGTGAATACGATCAATAGACTTCATTATCGGTGGTGAATAGCCTTGGCCTGATTTTGTGATCTGTAGCCTCTAGAATCGAAAGAAAATAGCATTTCGAATAAATCGCCCGAAATCTTTGATGGTATCCCTTTGGAATCTGCCAAAAATTGACCCGGAATAAATCCGCCCAAATCGGTGCTTAATGGACTCAATCATTGTTGGAGAATAGCCTCAGGCCGAATCCGTGATCTGTAGCCTTCAATATCCAAATAAAATGGCCTTTCGTCGCACAAGAAATTACGAAAATGCCATCCGAAAATAAATTGGCTGAAATCGATGCTTAACGCACTTATCATCCGTGGTGAATAGGATCAATAGACTTCATTATCGGTGGAGAATAGCCTCGGCCTGATTCTGTGAACTATAGCCTCCAGAATCGAAAGAAAATGGCAGTTCGGATAAATCGCCCGAAATCTGTGATGGTACCCCTTTGGAATCTGCCAAAAATTGACTGGAATAAATCTGCCCAAATCGGGGCTTAATGGACCTAATCATCGTTGGAGAATAGCCTCAGGCCGAATCCGTGATCTGTAGACTTCAATATCCAAAGAAAATGGCCTTTCGTCGCCCTAAAAATTACGAAAATGCCATCCGAAAATATATTGGCCCAAATCGATGCTTAACGGACTTATCATCCGTGGAGAATGGGATCAATAGACTTCATTATCGGTGGAGAATAGCCTCGGCCTGATTCCGTGATCTGTTGCCTCCATAATCGAAAGAAAATGGCATTTCGGATAAATCGCCCGAAATCTGTGATGGAACCCCTTTGGAATCTACCAAAAATTGACCCGGAATAAATCCGCACCAATCGGTGCTTAATGGACTCAATCATCGATGGAGAATAGCCTCAGGCCGTATCCGTGATCTATAGCCTTCAATATCCAAAGAAAATGGCCTTCGTCGCCCAAGAATTTACTAAAATGCCATCCGAAAATAAATTGCCCCAAATCGATGCTTAACGGACTTATCATCCGTGGAGAATAGGATCAATAGACTTCATTATCGATGTAGAATAGCCTCTTCCTTATTCCGTGATCTGTAGCCTCCAGATCGAATGAAAATGGCATTTCCGATAAATCGCCCGAAATCTGTGATGGGTAGCTTTGGAATCCGCCAAAAATAGACCTGGAATAAATCCACCCAAATCGGTGCTTAATGGACTCAATCATCATTGGAGAATAGCCTCAGGCCGAATCCGTGATCTGTAGCCTTCAATATTCAAAGAAAATGGCCTTTCGTCGCCCAAGAAATTACTAAAATGCCATCCGAAAATAAATTGGCCCAAATCGATGCCTAACGGACTTATCATCCGTGGAGAATAGAATCAATAGACTTCATTATCGGTGAAGAATAGCCTCTTCCTTATTCTGTGATCTATAGCCTCCAGAATCGAAATGAAATGGTATTTCGGATAAATCGCCCGAAATCTGTGATGGTACCCCTTTGGAATCTGCCAAAAATTGACCAGGAAAAAATCCGCCCAAATCGGTGCTTAATGGACTCAATCATTGTTGGAGAATAGCCTCAGGCCGAATCCGTGATCTGTAGCCTTCAATATCCAAAGAAAATGGCCTTTCATCGCCCAAGAAATTACGAAAATGCCATCCGAAAATATATTGGCCCAAATCGATGCTTAACGGACTTATCATCCGTGGAGAATAGGATCAATAGACTTCATTATCGGTGGAGAATAGCCACGGCCTGATTCCGTGATCTGTAGCCTCCAGAATCGAAAGAAAATGGCATTTCGAATAAATCGCCCGAAATCTGTGATGGTACCACTTTGGAATCTGGCAAAAATTGACCCGTAATAAATCCGACCAAATCGTTGCTTAATGGACTCAATCATCGTTGGAGAATAGCCTCAGGCCGAATCCGTGATCTGTAGCCTTTTATATCCAAAGAAAATGGTCTTTCGTCGCCCAATACATTACAAAAATGCCATCCGAAAATAACCTAGCCCAAATCGATGCTTCACGGACTTATCATCCGTGGAGAATAGGATCAATAGACTTCATTATCGGTGAAGAATAGCCTCTTCCTTATTCTGTGATCTATAGCGACCAGAATCGAAAGAAAATGGCATTTCGGATAAATCACCCGAAATCTGTGATGGTACCCCTTTGGAATCTGCCAAAAATAGACCCGGAATAAATCCCCCCAAATCGGTGCTTAATGGACTCAATCATTGTTGGAGAATAGCCCCAGGTCGTATCCGTGATCTGTAGCCTTCAATATACAAAGAAAATGGCCTTTCGTCGCACAAGAAATTACGAAAATGCCATCCGAAAATAAATTGGCCCAAATCGATGGTTAACGCACTTATCATCCGTGGTGAATAGGATCAATAGACTTCATTATCGGTGGAGAATAGCCTCGACCTGATTCTGTGATCTGTAGCCTTCAAAATCGAAAGAAAATGGCATTTCGGATAAATCGCCCGAAATCTGTGATGGTACCCCTTTGGAATCTGCCAAAAACTGACCCGGAATAAATCCGCCCAAATTGGTGCTTAATGCACTCAATCATCGTTGGAGAGTAGCCTCAGGCAGAATTCGTGATCTGTAGCCTTCAATATCCAAAGAAAATGGCCTTTCGTCGCCCAAGAAATTACGAAAATGCCATCCGAAAATAAATTGGCCCAAATCGATGCTTAACGGACTTATCATCCGTGGAGAATAGGATCAATAGACTTCATTATCGGTGGAGAATAGCCACGGCCTGATTTCGTGATCTGTAGCCTCCAGAATCGAAAGAAAATGGCATTTCGGATAAATCGCCCGAAATCTGTGATGGTACGCCTTTGGAATCTACCAAAAATTGACCCGGAATAAATCCGCCCAAATCGGTGCTTGATGGAATCAATCATCGTTGGAGAATAGCCTCAGGCCGAATCCGTGATCTGTAGCCTTCAATATCAAAAGAAAATGGCCTTTCGTCGCCCAAGAAATTACGAAAATGTCATCCGAAAATAATTTGGCCCAAATCGATGCTTAACGGACTTATCATCCGTGGAGAATAGGATCAATAGACTTCATTATCAGTGGAGAATAGCCTCGGCCTGATTCCGTGATCTGTAGCCTCCAGAATCGAAAGAAAATGGCATTTCGAATAAATCGCCCGAAATCTATGATGGTACCACTTTGGAATCTGGCAAAAATTGACCCGTAACAAATCCGCCCAAATCGGTGCTTAATGGACTCAATCATTGTTGGAGAATAGCCTCAGGCCGAATCCGTGATCTGTAGCCTTCAATATCCAAAGAAAATGGCCTTTCATCGCCCAAGAAATTACGAAAATGCCATCCGAAAATAAATTGGCCCAAATCGATGCTTAACGCACTTATCATCCGTGGTGAATAGGATCAATAGACTTCATTATCGGTGGTGAATAGCCTTGGCCTGATTCTGTGATCTGTAGCCTCTAGAATCGAAAGAAAATGGCATTTCGAATAAATCGCCCGAAATCTTTGATGGTACCCCTTTGGAATCTGCCAAAAACTGACCCGGAATAAATCCGCCCAAATTGGTGCTTAATGCACTCAATCATCGTTGGAGAGTAGCCTCAGGCAGAATTCGTGATCTGTAGCCTTCAATATCCAAAGAAAATGGCCTTTCGTCGCCCAAGAAATTACGAAAATGCCATCCGAAAATAAATTGGCCCAAATCGATGCTTAACGGACTTATCATCCGTGGAGAATAGGATCAATAGACTTCATTATCGGTGGAGAATAGCCACGGCCTGATTCCGTGATCTGTAGCCTCCAGAATCGAAAGAAAATGGCATTTCGGATAAATCGCCCGAAATCTGTGATGGTACGCCTTTGGAATCTACCAAAAATTGACCCGGAATAAATCCACCCAAATCGGTGCTTAATGGACTCAATCATCATTGGAGAATAGCCTCAGGCCGAATCCGTGATCTGTAGCCTTCAATATTCAAAGAAAATGGCCTTTCGTCGCCCAAGAAATTACTAAAATGCCATCCGAAAATAAATTGGCCCAAATCGATGCTTAACGGACTTATCATCCGTGGAGAATAGAATCAATAGACTTCATTATCGGTGGAGAATAGCCACGGCCTGATTCCGTGATCTGTAGCCTCCAGAATCGAAAGAAAATGGCATTTCGGATAAATCGCCCGAAATATGTGATGGTACCCCTTTGGAATCTGCCAAAAATAGACCCGGAACAAATCCCCCCCAAATCGGTGCTTAATGGCCTCAATCATTGTTGGACAATAGCCTCAGGTCGTATCCGTGATCTGTAGCCTTCAATATACAAAGAAAATGGCCTTTCGTCGCCCAAGAAATTACGAAAATGCCATCCGAAAATAAATTGGCCCAAATCGATGGTTAACGCACTTATCATCCGTGGTGAATAGGATCAATAGACTTCATTATCGCTGGAGAATAGCCTCGGCCTGATTCCGTGATCTGTAGCCTCCAGAATCGAAAGAAAATGGCATTTCGAATAAATCGCCCGAAATCTGTGATGGTACCACTTTGGAATCTGGCAAAAATTGACCCGTAATAAATCCGCCCAAATCGTTGCTTAATGGACTCAATCATCGTTGGAGAATAGCCTCATGCCGAATCCGTGATCTGTAGCCTTTTATATCCAAAGAAAATAGTCTTTCGTCGCCCAAGAAATTACAAATATGCCATCCGAAAATAACCTGGCCCAAATCGATGCTTCACGGACTTATCATCCGTGGAGAATATGATCAATAGACTTCATTATCGGTGAAGAATAGCCTCTTCCTTATTCTGTGATCTATAGCCTCCAGAATCGAAAGAAAATGGTATTTCGGATAAATCGCCCAAAATCTGTGATGGTACCCCTTTGGAATCTGCCAAAAATTGACCAGGAAAAAATCCGCCCAAATCGGTGCTTAATGGACTCAATCATTGTTGGAGAATAGCCTCAGGCCGAATCCGTGATCTGTAGCCTTCAATATCCAAAGAAAATGGCCTTTCAACGCCCAAGAAATTACGAAAATGCCATCCGAAAATAAATTGGCCCAAATCGATGCTTAACGCACTTATCATCCGTGGTGAATAGGATCAATAGACTTCACTATCGGTGGTGAATAGCCTTGGCCTGATTCTATGATCTGTAGCCTCTAGAATCGAAAGAAAATGGCATTTCGAATAAATCGCCCGAAATCTTTGATGGTACCCCTTTGGAATCTGCCAAAAATTGACCCGGAATAAATCCGCCCAAATCGGTGCTTAATGGACTCAATCATTGTTGGTGAATAGCCTCAGGCCGAATTCGTGATCTGTAGCCTTCAATATCCAAAAAAATGGCCTTTCGTCGCCCAAGAAATTACGAAAATGCCATCCGAAAATAAATTGGCCCAAATCGATGCTTAACGGACTTATCATCCGTGGAGAATAGGATCAATAGACTTCATTATCGGTGGAGAATAGCCACGGCCTGATTCCGTGATCTGTAGCCTCCAGAATCGAAAGAAAATGGAATTTCGGATAAATCGCCCGAAATCTGTGATGGTACCGCTGTGAATCTGTCAAAAATAGACCCAGAACAAATCCCCCCAAATCGGTGCTTAATGGACTCAATCATTGTTGGAGAATAGCCCCAGGTCGTATCCGTGATCTGTAGCCTTCAATATACAAAGAAAATGGCCTTTCGTCGCCCAAGAAATTACGAAAATGCCATCCGAAAATAAATTGGCCCAAATCGATGGTTAACGCACTTATCATCCGTGGTGAATAGGATCAATAGACTTCATTATCGGTGGAGAATAGCCTCGTCCTGATTCCGTGATCTGTAGCCTCCAGAATCGAAAGAAAATGGCATTTCGGATAAATCGCCTGAAATCTGTGATGGTACCCCTTTGGAATCTGCCAAAAATAGACCCGGAACAAATCCCCCCAAATCGGTGCTTAATGGACTCAATCATCGTTGGAGAATAGCCTCAGGCCGAATCCGTGATCTGTAGACTTCAATATCCAAAGAAAATGGCCTTTCGTCGCCCTAGAAATTACGAAAATGCCATCCGAAAATAAATTGGCCCAAATCGATGGTTAACGCACTTATCATCCGTGGTGAATAGGATCAATAGACTTCATTATCGGTGGAGAATAGCCTCGTCCTGATTCCGTGATCTGTAGCCTCCAGAATCGAAAGAAAATGGCATTTCGGATAAATCGCCCGAAATCTGTGATGGTACCCCTTTGGAATCTGCCAAAAATAGACCCGGAACAAATCCCCCCAAATCGGTGCTTAATGGACTCAATCATCGTTGGAGAATAGCCTCAGGCCGAATCCGTGATCTGTAGACTTCAATATCCAAAGAAAATGGCCTTTCGTCGCCCTAGAAATTACGAAAATGCCATCTGAAAATATATTGGCCCAAATCAATGCTTAACGGACTTATCATCCGTGGAGTATAGGATCAATAGACTTCATTATCGCTGGAGAATAGCCTCGGCCTGATTCCGTGATCTGTAGCCTCCAGAATCGAAAGAAAATGGCATTTCGAATAAATCGCCCGAAATCTGTGATGGTACCACTTTGGAATCTGGCAAAAATTGACCCGTAATAAATCCGACCAAATCGTTGCTTAATGGACTCAATCATCGTTGGAGAATTGCCTCAGGCCGAATCCGTGATCTGTAGCCTTTTATATCCAAAGAAAATGGTCTTTCGTCGCCCAAGACATTACAAAAATGCCATCCGAAAATAACCAGGCCCAAATCGATGCTTCACGGACTTATCATCCGTGGAGAATAGGATCAATAGACTTCATTATCGGTGGAGAATAGCCACGGCCTGATTCCGTGATCTGTAGCCTCCAGAATCGAAAGAAAATGGCATTTCGAATAAATCGCCCGAAATCTTTGATGGTACCCCTTTGGAATCTGCCAAAAATTGACCCGGAATAAATCCGCCCAAATCGGTGCTTAATGGACTCAATCATTGTTGGTGAATAGCCTCAGGCCGAATTCGTGATCTGTAGCCTTCAATATCCAAAAAAATGGCCTTTCGTCGCCCAAGAAATTACGAAAATGCCATCCGAAAATAAATTGGCCCAAATCGATGCTTCACGGACTTATCATCCGTGGAGAATATGATCAATAGACTTCATTATCGGTGAAGAATAGCCTCTTCCTTATTCTGTGATCTATAGCCTCCAGAATCGAAAGAAAATGGTATTTCGGATAAATCGCCCGAAATCTGTGATGGTACCCCTTTGGAATCTGCCAAAAATTGACCAGGAAAAAATCCGCCCAAATCGGTGCTTAATGGACTCAATCATTGTTGGAGAATAGCCTCAGGCCGAATCCGTGATCTGTAGCCTTCAATATCCAAAGAAAATGGCCTTTCAACGCCCAAGAAATTACGAAAATGCCATCCGAAAATAAATTGGCCCAAATCGATGCTTAACGCACTTATCATCCGTGGTGAATAGGATCAATAGACTTCACTATCGGTGGTGAATAGCCTTGGCCTGATTCTATGATCTGTAGCCTCTAGAATCGAAAGAAAATGGCATTTCGAATAAATCGCCCGAAATCTTTGATGGTACCCCTTTGGAATCTGCCAAAAATTGACCCGGAATAAATCCGCCCAAATCGGTGCTTAATGGACTCAATCATTGTTGGTGAATAGCCTCAGGCCGAATTCGTGATCTGTAGCCTTCAATATCCAAAAAAATGGCCTTTCGTCGCCCAAGAAATTACGAAAATGCCATCCGAAAATAAATTGGCCCAAATCGATGCTTAACGGACTTATCATCCGTGGAGAATAGGATCAATAGACTTCATTATCGGTGGAGAATAGCCACGGCCTGATTCCGTGATCTGTAGCCTCCAGAATCGAAAGAAAATGGAATTTCGGATAAATCGCCCGAAATCTGTGATGGTACCGCTGTGAATCTGTCAAAAATAGACCCAGAACAAATCCCCCCAAATCGGTGCTTAATGGACTCAATCATTGTTGGAGAATAGCCCCAGGTCGTATCCGTGATCTGTAGCCTTCAATATACAAAGAAAATGGCCTTTCGTCGCCCAAGAAATTACGAAAATGCCATCCGAAAATAAATTGGCCCAAATCGATGGTTAACGCACTTATCATCCGTGGTGAATAGGATCAATAGACTTCATTATCGGTGGAGAATAGCCTCGTCCTGATTCCGTGATCTGTAGCCTCCAGAATCGAAAGAAAATGGCATTTCGGATAAATCGCCTGAAATCTGTGATGGTACCCCTTTGGAATCTGCCAAAAATAGACCCGGAACAAATCCCCCCAAATCGGTGCTTAATGGACTCAATCATCGTTGGAGAATAGCCTCAGGCCGAATCCGTGATCTGTAGACTTCAATATCCAAAGAAAATGGCCTTTCGTCGCCCTAGAAATTACGAAAATGCCATCCGAAAATAAATTGGCCCAAATCGATGGTTAACGCACTTATCATCCGTGGTGAATAGGATCAATAGACTTCATTATCGGTGGAGAATAGCCTCGTCCTGATTCCGTGATCTGTAGCCTCCAGAATCGAAAGAAAATGGCATTTCGGATAAATCGCCCGAAATCTGTGATGGTACCCCTTTGGAATCTGCCAAAAATAGACCCGAAACAAATCCCCCCAAATCGGTGCTTAATGGACTCAATCATCGTTGGAGAATAGCCTCAGGCCGAATCCGTGATCTGTAGCCTTCAATATCCAAAGAAAATGGCCTTTCGTCGACCAAGAAATTACGAAAATGTCATCCGAAAATAAATTGGCCCAAATCGATGCTTAACGGACTTATCATCCGTGGAGAATAGGATCAATAGACTTCATTATCGGTGGAGAATAGCCACGGCCTGATTCCATGATCTGCAGCCTACAGAATCGAAAGAAAATGGCATTTCGGATAAATCAACCGAAATCTGTGATGGTTAGCTTTGGAATCTGCCAAAAATTGACCCGGAATAAATCCACCCAAATCGGTGCTTAATGTACTCAATCATCGTTGAAGAATAGCCTCAGGCTGAATCCGTGATCTGTAGCCTTCAATATCCAAAGAAAATGGCCTTTCGTCGCCCAAGAAATTACGAAAATGCCATCCGAAAATAAATTGGCCATATCGATGCTTAACGGACTTATCATCCGTGGAGAATAGGATCAATAGACTTCATTATCGCTGGAGAATAGCCTCGGCCTGATTCCGTGATCTGTAGCCTCCAGAATCGAAAGAAAATGGCATTTCGAATAAATCGCCCGAAATCTGTGATGGTACCACTTTGGAATCTGGCAAAAATTGACCCGTAATAAATCAGACCAAATCGTTGCTTAATGGACTCAATCATCGTTGGAGAATTGCCTCAGGCCGAATCCGTGATCTGTAGCCTTTTATATCCAAAGAAAATGGTCTTTCGTCGCCCAAGACATTACAAAAATGCCATCCGAAAATAACCAGGCCCAAATCGATGCTTCACGGACTTATCATCCGTGGAGAATAGGATCAATAGACTTCATTATCGGTGGAGAATAGCCACGGCCTGATTCCGTGATCTGTAGCCTCCAGAATCGAAAGAAAATGGCATTTCGAATAAATCGCCCGAAATCTTTGATGGTACCCCTTTGGAATCTGCCAAAAATAGACCCGGAATAAATCCCCCCAAATCGGTGCTTAATGGACTCAATCATTGTTGGAGAATAGCCCCAGGTTGTATCCGTGATCTGTAGCCTTCAATATACAAAGAAAATGGCCTTTCGTCGCCCAAGAAATTACGAAAATGCCATCCAAAAATAAATTGGCCCAAATCGATGGTTAACGCACTTATCATCCGTGGTGAATAGGATCAATAGACTTCATTATCGGTGGAGAATAGCCTCGACCTGATTCTGTGATCTGTAGCCTTCAAAATCGAAAGAAAATGGCATTTCGGATAAATCGCCCGAAATCTGTGATGGTACCCCTTTGGAATCTGCCAAAAACTGACCCGGAATAAATCCGCCCAAATTGGTGCTTAATGCACTCAATCATCGTTGGAGAGTAGCCTCAGGCAGTATTCGTGATCTGTAGCCTTCAATATCCAAAGAAAATGGCCTTTCGTCGCCCAAGAAATTACGAAAATGCCATCCCAAAATAAATTGGCCCAAATCGATGCTTAACGGACTTATCATCCGTGGAGAATAGGATCAATAGACTTCATTATCGGTGGAGAATAGCCACGGCCTGATTTCGTGATCTGTAGCCTCCAGAATCGAAAGAAAATGGCATTTCGGATAAATCGCCCGAAATCTGTGATGGTACGCCTTTGGAATCTACCAAAAATTGACCCGGAATAAATCCGCCCAAATCGGTGCTTAATGGAATCAATCATCGTTGGAGAATAGCCTCAGGCCGAATCCGTGATCTGTAGCCTTCAATATCAAAAGAAAATGGCCTTTCGTCGCCCAAGAAATTACGAAAATGTCATCCGAAAATAATTTGGCCCAAATCGATGCTTAACGGACTTATCATCCGTGGAGAATAGGATCAATAGACTTCATTATCAGTGGAGAATAGCCTCGAGCTGATTTCGTGATCTGTAGCCTCTATAATCGAAAGAAAATGGGATTTCCGATAAATCGCCCGAAATCTGTGATGGGTAGCTTTGGAATCTGCCAAAAATTGACCCGGAATAAATCCGCCCAAATCGGTTCTTAATGGGCTCAATCATCGTTGGAGAATAGCCTCAGGCCGAATCCGTGATCTGTAGCCTTCAATATCCAAAGGAAATGGCCTTTCGTCGTCCAAAAAATTACGAAAATGCCATCCGAAAATAAATTGGCCCAAATCGATGCTTAACGGACTTATCATCCGTGGAGAATAGGATCAATAGACTTCATTATCGGTGGAGAATAGCCACGGCCAGATTCCGTGATCTGTAGCGTACAGAATCGAAAGAAAATGGCATTTCGGATAAATCGCCCGAAATCTGTGATGGTACCCCTTTGGAATCTGCGAAAAATTGACCCGGAATAAATCCGCCCAAATCGGTGCTTAATGGACTCAATCATCGTCGGAGAATAGCTTCAGGCCGAATCCGTGATCTGTAGCCTTCAATATCCAAAGAAAATGGCCTTTCGTCGCCCAAGAAATTACGAAAATGTCATCCAAAAATAATTTGGCCCAAATCGATGCTTAACGGACATATCATCCGTGGAGAACAGGATCAATAGACTTAATTAGCAGTGGAGAATAGCCTCGACCTGATTCCGTGATCTGTAGCCTCTATAATCGAAAGAAAATGGCATTTCCGATAAATCGCGCGAAATCTGTGATGGGTAGCTTTGGAATCTGCCAAAAATTGACCCGGAATAAATCCACCCAAATCGGAGCTTAATGGACTCAATCATCGTTTGGAGAATAGCCTCAAGCCGAATCCGTGATCTGTAGCCTTCAATATCCAAAGAAAATGGCCTTTCGTCGCCCAAGAAATTACGAAAATGCCATCCGAAAATAAATTGGCCCAAATCGATGGTTAACGCACTTATCATCCGTGGTGAATAGGATCAATAGACTTCATTATCGGTGGAGAATAGCCTCGACCTGATTCTGTGATCTGTAGCCTTCAAAATCGAAAGAAAATGGCATTTCGGATAGATCGCCCGAAATCTGTGATGGTACACCTTTGGAATCTGCCAAAAATTGACCGGGAATAAATCCGCCCAAATCGGTACTTAATGGAATCAATCATCGTTGGAGATTAGCCTCAGGCCGAATCCGTGATCTGCAGCCTTCAATATCCAAAGAAAATGGCCTTTCGTTGGCCCAAGAAATTACGAAAATGTCATCCGAAAATAATTTGGCCCAAATCGATGCTTAACGGACTTATCATCCGTGGAGAATAGGATCAATAGACTTCATTATCAGTGGAGAATAGCCTCGACTTGATTCCGTGATCTGTAGTCTCTATAATCAAAAGAAAATGGCATTTCCTATAAATCGCCCGAAATCTGTGATGGGTAGCTTTGGAATCTGCCAAAAATTGATCCGGAATAAATAAGCCCAAATCGGTGCTTAATGGACTCAATCATCGTTGGAGAATAGCCTCAGGCCGAATCCGTGATCTGTAGCCTTCAATATCCAAAGAAAATGGCCTTTCGTCGACCAAGAAATTACGAAAATGTCATCCGAAAATAAATTGGCCCAAATCGATGCTTAACGGACTTATCATCCGTGGAGAATAGGATCAATAGACTTCATTATCGGTGGAGAATAGCCACGGCCTGATTCCATGATCTGCAGCCTACAGAATCGAGAGAAAATGGCATTTCGGATAAATCAACCGAAATCTGTGATGGTTAGCTTTGGAATCTGCCAAAAATTGACCCGGAATAAATCCACCCAAATCGGTGCTTAATGTACTCAATCATCGTTGAAGAATAGCCTCAGGCTGAATCCGTGATCTGTAGCCTTCAATATCCAAAGAAAATGGCCTTTCGTCGCCCAAGAAATTACGAAAATGCCATCCGAAAATAAATTGGCCATATCGATGCTTAACGGACTTATCATCCGTGGAGAATAGGATCAATAGACTTCATTATTGGTGGAGAATAGCCACGGCCTGATTCCGTGATCTGTAGCCTACAGAATCGAAAGAAAATGGCATTTCGGATAAATTGCCCGAAATCTGTGATGGTACCCCTTTGGAATCTGCCAAAAATTGACCCAGAATAAATCCGCACAAATCGGTGCTTAATGGACTCAATCATCGTTTGGAGAATAGCCTCAGGCCGAATCCGTGATCTGTAGTCTTCAATATCCAAAGAAAATGGCCTTTCGTCGCCCAAGAAATTACGAAAATGCCATCCGAAAATAAATTGGCACAAATCGATGCTTAACGCACTTATCATCCGTGGAGAATGGGATCAATAGACTTCATTATCGGTGGAGAATAGCCTCTTCCTTATTCCGTGATCTGTAGCCTCCAGAATCGAAAGAAAATGGCATTTCGGATAAATCGCCCGAAATCTGTGATCGTACCCCTTTGGAATCTACCAAAAATTGACCGGGAATAAATCTGCCCAAATCGGTGCTTAATGGACTCAATCATCGTTGGAGAATAGCCTCAGGCCGAATCCCTGATCTGTAGCCTTCAATATCCAAAGAAAATGGCCTTTCGTCGGCCAAGAAATTACGAAAATGCCATTCGAAAATAAATTGGTCCAAATCGATGCTTAATGGACTTATCATCCGTGGAGAATATGATCAATAGACTTCATTATCGATGGAGAATAGCCTCGGTCAGATTCCGTGATCAGTAGCTTCCAGAATCGAAAGAAAATGGCTTTTCGGATAAATCGCCCGAAATATGTGATGGTACCCCCTTTGGAATCTGCCAAAAATTGACCAGGAATAAATCTGCCTAAATCGGTGCT